CTTTAAGGGCAGAGAAGTTAATGCTAGACAGGAAGTTATTTTGATGGTTTTAAGCCTTAAGAATGTTTAAGGGCTTTAAGGGTAGAGAAGTTAATACTAGATAGGAAGTTATTTTAATGGTTTCAAGCCTTAAGAATATTTAAGCTTAATTTAGATATCCAAATCCTCTTATTATTCTTGTTGTTTAAGCCTATCCAAGTGCAATGCAAGTTAATTAAAGATATTAAAAGTAGCAAGACCTTCTTTTAATTAACTTCGGAGACATTAAGATGCTACAATGTTTTTTAGTGATAGTATTAATCTATAAGGTGTAATTATTAATCCAGTTAAGCTAAATACTTGCTCTAGCTCATTAGACATTATAGGGATTATATATAAGTTAAGGGCCAACTTTTGCAACTGTGGATATGTCAAACTAATTACCTTAGTTGCCTAGTATTAAAGAGGAGGTGTATTAACCATTAACTTATCTCTTTCGCGAAGATACTAACGTTGATATTTATCATTAGCCATAGGATTAGGCCCTTTGCTTCTAAGATTAAATAGCTTTAACATCGGCCGGCGGTTAGTTAAGGTTAGTATTAAGCTTAGCTATAAGATTGTAATGCTTAAATACTTTTGCCATATTTTAAGAACCTTAGCTTTGTGTTGTAGGATCTAATTAGGTCTATCCTTCCAAATGTCCTTAATATAGGCCTAAGTAAATGCTAGATGGAGTATAAGAGCAGTAACATAGATAGATGAATCATCTGTTCTCTTATAATACTCATTAAGCTTTATCTAACCCTAGTTAATTTGGATATAAAGAGTTTGATAATAGTCCAAGTCTTATTCTTAAGAAAGATTAACAGGTATAATAGAGAATGGCTCTTATGTAGCTATTAGTGTTAGTAGTTAACTTGCTTTAAGAAGTTAGGTTACTTAGGATCCAATTGCTTTTCCTGCACATGTTTTTCGAGGTTGCCTTTAGGAGGGTTAAGCTTGTTAAGTCTATTAAGTCTGTTAAGAAAACAGCTCTTCTTAAGTAGGTGCAATTAGATTAGAGGGTGCTAGTTAATATCTGTCCTTAAGATCTTTAAAATACTTTAAGAGCCCTTCCATAATAGGAATTGTCTGCTAAACTGATCCCTAAGTACCACCTTCTCTATGGCCTTAAAGAATCATTATAGCTTTATTAAGAGGTTAAAGAATCTTACTATATTAAGTCAAAACTTGCTAGTCATTTAGGGTAAGCTAGTCATTAATAATAGAAGGTCTATCCTTTAATATTAAAGGAGGAAGTAGCTTGCTAGGATAGTTTCTCTTATACTTGCTAACAACTGCTACCTAGTTATTATAAACTTCTTCTAAGTAATCTTAAATAGGTCCCTTTTGAAGGAGACTACGTTTAAGAGACTTATAAAAAGCATTCCAACAAGTATTATTATTAGCAATTAGATTAAGAGTATTAGCCTTTTATTCTCTAGTTGACTTATCTATTAATGGATGGTTACCTTAAAAGAACTTAAAACGCTCACGCCTTTAAGAAGAAGCACGAATCTAGGTATTAATATTATGGAACTTGCCATAAGGCCCTTTTCTTCTCTAAGCAAGTAGATCTTTAATGCTAACTATAATTATAGACTCAAATGCATCTAGATCATTGCTAAAGAGTAAGGCACGTGCAATAAGGTTAATAATATGGCTAATACAACGTAGTCGATGCTCCTTAAAATCAAATCCATATACTTAAGCAAGGTCTTATAGGCAAGTATTATTATTAGAGGCATTGTCACATTAGAAGTAGCTAAGCTTATGTTTAATCTTAAAGGTACCAATGATGTTTTAAAGGGTTTAAGAGATGTTAGTTCTAGAATGATCGCCTTGGTGGTATGGAAGTGCAAGTAAAAAGTTTCTATAATTATAATTAGCATTATAAAAGTGTACTATTATACCATAAAAAGCTTAACAAGCTCGAGAGGTCTAAAGATTAAATGAGAGATGAATACTACTTAATGCTGCTTAAAGTATATTCATAACCTTTATAATATTAATCTTATATGCAGCTTAAATCCAGGTAGCTAAGGTTATATAGGTTAGAAGACAGCCAGGTTAGTTAACAACTAGATTAAGATACTTAAGAATAGCTTATAGTCGTGTAGATTTAAGTGTGTTAAAGGCCTCATTCTCTAAAACAACATAGTCTAATAAGAGAGCTTTAAAAGTAGGAGGATCAAACTTAATTAAGTACTTGTCAATTGTTAAGCTAATGGTTAGAGTAGCTAGTTGAGAAGATAGACTATTCTCAATTAAGCTAAATAGCCGCTTTCGTTATATTAGTCCATGTTAATTAAGAGAGTGGGCATCCTTAAGATGGTTATGGACACCTCCTATACCATTAACATACTTAATTAGAAGACAAAGCTTGCCTTTCCGTGGTTAACACTTCTTATAGAGCTAATGGTATTGTTTTTCTTCTAACTCTTTTTATATTCGCTAACCATGAAGCCAGATCTAGCTATTGACATTGCCTTTGCCATCTTTATAAGCTTTAAATCTATTAGCAACCCTATTCTAGTCAAGTCTAGAGTAATAGCCTTAGGGGGTTAGTGTTTAAGGTCCATCTTAAGTTGCTAGACTTTTAAAGTCGTTAGTTTGTTAATAATTTGAAGGGATATTAAGTTAGGAGGTTGCAGGTGTAGAGCTAAGTATAGATAAAGTATCATCATTATCAAATAAGCGAAATAAGCTAAGAAAAGAATTTAAGGAGAGTTGAGAGGCCATTGAAGCAAGTAGTTAGAGGTATTGATAAGTTGGTATAGAGTTAAAGGATACAAGCTTATTGCCATGCAGAATTTTTAGTGCTAAGAGCAGCTACTATACCTAATTAGGACTGTCTTGGCAGTTCCATGGAATCCAAATGGAGTTCCATATGGAATGGATACTCCATGGATCTAATAGCTATTCCAACTCCAGTTCAATTCCATATGGAAAGTGTGGAAATTCCAAATGGAATTCCATCCATCGCCACCACTGTGCTGAGATTTCGAGCGATATTCCCATCTCTTTCTCGCTGAATCCAGAATCCGAGCGCACGTGGAGAGAAGCGCGAAGACGAAGGATCAAGCTTGAAAAGGGCTTTGGAAGAGAGAATGCAGGGGTTGGAGGCCTATCTACCTATCGATGCGTCTGCGAATTTCACTGCGGCTAAGCAGGAAGTTGGAAGACAATGGGCAAACATCAACACCTTTTGTGCTATGTTACTATGTCACGACCCGTCAGGAGAGTCCAATGCCCTGTCTCAGTCTACTCGCGGGCGTTGCTGGTCCACCATCGTCGATGCCCTGGAGACCTCCTCAGAAGCCTTGCCAACTTCACATCCAAGGAAGCATCTAGAAAAGTACAAGGTCTGGGCTGCGGCAGTCTGGTTCACGCTCGCTGGGAACATTCTTTTTGAGTTGCGAAACTGTAGTTGGCGACCTGGAGTTTTGTGGGCGGCTCAAGGAGGGAATCAGGATATTACGAGACAGCGATGGAGGTTCTGGCAGAGAAGATTTGTAGAGGTCGCCGATGATGGACGACTGAGTCTTGAAGCTGCGGAGGAAGCGAGGGAAGCAGCTAGGGTGATCTCGACGCTTTTGTCTCGCAAATGAGAAGTCCTGGTGGCTTTCATCATCAATGCTCTTCAGCTTCTTTTGCATGATACTGAAACCACTCTTTCGCTCTTGCCTGCATCTCACACGCCTGTGGATGTGCATAAAACCCCAAATGCGTGCCTCGAGGTATCGTCACAAGCTCACTATTGCGCAAACGCTGATGTGCATCCTGGCTATAATGCAAAGGCGCATCCGTATCAGCATCACCATGCACAAGCAAAACGGAACATTCAATTTGCTCGAGGTCTAGTCGACCAATGGCTGCGAAATCCGCCATATCGTTTTTCCAGCCGGCTTTGCGCTCGTTTCCTATGTTCACGGTTACCGCTGTGTCGAGAATAAGCTGTCGTTGCGATGAGTTGGCTAGGACGTGTGCGATTTGGGTCTGTAGCTCATCGCGTCCGAGAGAGCCTTCCTGCTCTAGTGCTTGTGCCACTATGTGGTCTGGTGCATGAGAAGCCAGGTACTTTATCACATGCTCTCCGAATCGTGTGCCGAACATGATGCGATCGATTATGCAAGGCTTGGGCGGGATATACTTTGAGCTCACAGTCGCGATAGCCATCACACAAGACACTCGTGTTGGGTGTCGTGCAGCTAGCTGAAAAGCGACAGGTCCTCCTCCCGACCATGCCAACACACCAGCGCGAGAGATATTCAAAGTGTCGAGTAAAGCAGCAATCAGATCCGCTTCTGCATTGATCGAGCTGTCATCTTTGGACAACGGAGTATTGAGATAATCCATGCGCGAGAGGCATATAGTCTGGAATTCGCCCTCTTGGTCTAGAAGAAAACGACTCATTGCGATTGCACTGTCGATGCCGCCTGGGCTGCCGTGTATCACGAGTATTGGAGTGCCGCTGCCTAGTACTTTGGCTTCGATTGCGCCAGCCTCTGTTTGGATGCAGTCCTTGATCTGTTTTGCAGACATCTTCCTTGGGATTTTTTCTCCGAATAAGTGTTTGGAGGTGCTCCAGTAAGTCGCTCAAAGGTAACTGTGAGTTGCCGACTGGTTGTGTTGCTTTGCTTCGAGGGAGACTAACAGTTCTCTATACACCAATAGGTGCGAGCAAAGGTCTTCGCGATGGAGGAACTTGGCGTTGTGCTATAGGCACACTATGGGCTTTATGAACTGTGGCCCCAATACTGATCGACTGGTTCATTCTTTGTTGATACTTTCTGATTGGTCGTGCTGGAAGCTTGTCAAGTTGGAAGGAATCGCGAAGGAATCTTGACGCGCGTCGATACGATGTATTCTTTCTCTAATTGGTCACAGCCGCTGTCAATGCAATCCCGAGCTATGTTAGACGATACCGAAGACAAGCTCATTCCTAGATGAATGCTGCGACTGGGAGTATCCGCGCTTGATTTGTCGCTGTGTTCCCTAATCGGGGTTCAATGACCGAAACCGAGCCCTCGTATCAATTCTCAGCCCTAAGCTCTAGATAACGTCTTGACAACTTTGGGAAGGAGAATAGAAGTCGATACAGACTATATGCTGACCACGTGATCGCGAGCGCCTTACGATGCACTCGAAATTGGAATCCTAGCTGATAATTCTTATCTTGATTGTGCGACCTCTCTTAGCTGAGGGGGTCATATTCCAAAAGATTCTACTATACATTTTTCAAGATTGCCAAAATTTTCTGGGATTACTCTGCTCCAAAATAATATACCCGAGATTAACTTTCCCCTCCTGTTAGGTTTCTACTTGGAAGCCTTGGTTCTTTGTAGACGCAAGCAAGTAGCAATGTTGTAGAAGATATCGACGTTGTTGTAGACACCTCCGAAAGCACTTTGGCAAGGGCCTTGAGCAAAGACAGGAACATCAGTAAGTGAGTGCACACCCTGGTCAGCCGAGACGGGGAGTGTGCCGTTGACGACAAAGCCAGTAACGGCATCGATGTAGTTAACATAGTAGTCGTTTGAAGAAAAGCCAGTAATGTTGAGAGCAGGAACACGAGGTCCATTCTTGTGGACGCGGTAGTTCTCGCGGTGATCAGGGAAAGTGGCAAGGCCAGATTGCAGAGTGTAGCGAGGGTCCCAGTTAACAGGGAAGTCGACACCAGCTGAGTAGACGAGGTTCTGGTCGCTCCCGATTGGCGCAGAGTGATTGGCAACCATGTATTGCGAGAGACCAGATTGCTCGTAGATACCGACTGCATCACGCTTCTTGCGGTCGCTGGTTTGAGCATCCATGTATTTGGTATCGACACTGCCAGTGACATCAAAGCCGTGACCGTGATCAGCGGTGACGATAACAAGGGTATTGTCCAGCTCGCCAATCTCTTCGAGATGCTTAAGAGTGGCTTTGACAGTGTCGTCAAGTTCTAGAAGTTCACCAAGAGCACGGTCATAATCCAGCACATGCATTTGCTTGTCAATGGAGGCTGCCTCAGACATCAAGAAGAAACCCTTGTCAGGGTTGCGCTTGTGCAAGATATCAACAGCCTTGAGAGTCATCTCCTTGAGACCGGGCTGATCAGTTGCGGCGGCGCTGCTGCCATCAGGAGCAGTCTTGGGAATTTGAGTGTTGTTCTTGTAGACGTTTCTGTCAAGCCACTTTGCCATGTTTGAGACGGAGAAAATACCGAGGGTACGCTCAGTGTTAGGCGCGGCTTGAAGAGCAGTGTTGTTCTGGATGACATTGTAACCCTTGTTTCTGAACTCCTGGTAATAGTCCTTTCCTTGGAAGGACTTGCTGCTGGGGATGAACTGCTCGGCACCGCCACCAAAAAGAACATCGGGACCGTTCCAAGAGGGCCAGGTGTAGTTGGTAATACCGTTCAGGAAGGAATCAACAACGTTGCCGTACTGACCACGATTGCGAGTGTGGGCCGTCAAAGCACCAGGAGTAGCATCAGCAATGAAGGCAGTAGAAACGATACCAACACCACCACCACGAACTTCGTGGAAGAGTTCAGCAATGGACTGGACCTTAGGGTCATCGAGAGGATTAGGAGAGGAATCAGCATAGACTCCAAGAGCGTTGACGGTACTCTTGTGGCCAGTGTAGAGAGCAGTGGCAGAGTTGGCAGAGTCAGTGATGAAAGAGTCGATAGAGTGAGTCATTTGGTGACCCAAGACAGGGAACTTGTCCATGGCCATACGGGTCTGATACTTGCCGTTGACGCTCTGGTGGGCGATCAGACGAGCAGCGGTGATCATGTTAGTAGTCATGCCATCTCCAATGAACTGGAAAGCCGCAGTCAGCACACCAGTAGTTTAGGGTCAAAAGGATATCATGTAATCTTCCACCCGACAGATATTTGTCCGGATGATCGAAGCGGTCACGTACCATGATGACGTTCTTGGCCTTCTGCGAGATCTTGGTGTCGCGAACAGTCCAGTTGGCTTGGGTGACACTACCATTGGCATAGGTGAGGGTAGCGATGTAGTTACCAGGTTCGTACAGGGCGACCTTTCTGTAGGCTTTCGAGGCAACCTTAACCATCGAAGGTGTCTTGGCAGCCTCAGCAAACAGATCCTCGTACCAAGTGAAGTTCCATCTCTCAATGGCAGGCTCGTCAACTTTGAAGTAGGCAGCAGCGTTCTGGCAGTCCTTCTGCTTGCCATCCTTAGCAATGGTGAAGGTGAACTTTTCGTCAGGAGTCAGGTAGCCGGGGACGACTTCACTACCATTCTGGGGTGCATGCGTCTCAAGACGGATGTCGAACCATTGTCCAGGGAGAAAATCGCTTTGGTCCGGAGGGAAGATACAACCCAGAGTGGGACAAGCACCGAGGCGTCGGAAAGTCTGCGCAGATGCCTGGCCAATGACGGCGGCAGTGCAGACGACACAAGCGGTACTGAAGCGCATCTTCGAAGCGAGAAGAAGCAATGAACAGAGATGCAAGGAAATTGGACAAACAAGACCTACAACCTCGCAACATACCTGGACTCAAACTACATTTATACCGACCATTTGAGCACCTCGCAACGGCGCGTCCGTCTTGTCTAGCCAATGAATTCGATAGATCATGCCATGCAAGCTCATGACTGCGCCTTCACGTTGACATCGCGTGGTGAGCAGCGCGAGCAGGAATAGTCTATCGCTTTCGACCGTATGCGCCAAACATCGAGGCGCTCTTGGCGCAGTCTTGTCAAGAGTAAAGTTTGAATGTTGGAAGGCGTCTTGGTAAGAAAGAGCTGCTGTGCAGCGAAAAGTGGAGGCTCGCGCCAAGGCTTGGCACTGGGCGGAGAGGAAAGAGGCTTGCAAAAGATTTGCTTGTCGCTCCTTGGGTGGCACGTTTCAGACCAATCGTCTGAGGCACGTTGTGCTTCGTGCATACAACGACCTTCCATGTTGAGATATGGCTGTTTTCGATGGCTTCAATGACTGGGGCTGGATGCAGAGCATGTCACCGCTTCTGTTGAGTGATGCCAGTATGCGTGTGAACACCTGCTCTGCTCATTGGCTTCCTTACTAGGGCCCAAAATTCCTTCTCGGTTCTAGCAGCTTCAAGTCCTGCTCGCGCTGGTCCATATCAATCTGGACGATTGGGATTTCGGCTTGGCAGCTCTCCCTCTACCTCGGTTTTCGGAAATGCTTGGCACTGATATCGAGCTGAGAGCAGGGTTGTACCTCCACCTGTATCTTGCAATCAGTTTTTCGTGCAGGAAGTGATTGTGGGAGGCTCATATTGGTAAGATTTTGGTAAGATCACATGTCGATGAAGTCTTCAATGATGGCGATACTTTCCTGACCATGATCGCACGCCAGATCACTTCTGGTTTCACCGTCGTTGATAGTACAAAGCAATTTGTTTACAAAGGAGCCATTTCACATACATGTCTTCACCACTTCAATCATGACAAACCGAATCGAACCAAGAAATTCAGGAGCAAGCTTTCAAGGCATACAACTGTATTGCCAGTCATCTAGCACACACACATCATAATCGTAATCATCGTTACGCTCACACGATGTCGTCGTGGGGGAGAGCGATGTGTGGTTGTCTGATGGAGTCCGTGCGTGATTGGTTTCCGCCACGGAAGCAACTTCTCCGCTTCCGCCTTCTCCTTGCTCCCTTTCCTGTCCTAAGCAACATATCCGACAACACCTGCACATTTGCTATCATCACCGTCATGAGATGGCAAGCTCAAGAGAAGAAGTCGAGCAGTTTAACGACAATACGAGTCCTGATACAGCGCAGACTCGCGCGCGTAAACGGCAGAAAGTCACGCGAGCTTGCGACGTCTGCAAATCAAGAAAGAAACGCTGCACCGGCGATCAACCATGTGCGCCATGTATTAAGGTGAGAGGTAGATGCACGTACGAGGCTCAGTACAATAGAGGTACGTGATGGGAAACATGGGCTGTCCGGTCTATGCGACGCACGAGCGCGGTCCAGAGAAGACGCGTCTCGTAGTGACGTGGAAAAGCTGTACCTCTTGGACTTACTTACCACTATGGTCAGCCGCTTTGAGTCGTTCGCACGTGCTAACGTCAGATCCATCAAGGAATTGCTATTCCTCCGTCTCCTGCGTCATCGGGATACGTTCATTACCCAACTCAAACTGCATCTAATCAAATCACATCTGGACCTCTACACTCGGTCACTCAAGAACCTTCCGGTGTTCACCAGACTCCTTCTCAAAACGGCGGGACGGGCCAATCAGCTAGAAGGCAATCCTCTAGGGATGCTCCGTCGTCTCGTGTCCAGCCAGAACACGAGACAGCTACTGATTTGTTAGTATCAATTCACCCTTCTCTGGACGCACCAGAAGCAGCCGGAACTATCAACGAACAGTACCTTGGACCTTCCAGTGCTCAATCTTTCTTGAATCAAGCATTAAGAAGCTCCGACCAGGCACAGAATCTTCTTACACGCCCCTTGTCGAGTGCCGAAACAGACACATCAACCTTATCATTCGGCGATGCAACAATCGACCGGCCAGACATCACGCAGTTTGTTTGGCCTGATCACACGGTTGCCAGCCAGCTTCTTGATAGGTACTTCGAATTTGCATCACCAACATATCGATACATGCATGAACCTACCGTACATCGATGGCTGGATCGAATCTACGACAAAGCCGATGTGCCAATTTCTGCTCAAGCGTGTATCTTACTGATATTTGCCTCTGCCGCCGTGTTTACTATCAACTCCGATGGTGACACGATCGATGCCAGTCATCGAGGCTGGCAATCGAGCGAGATGTATTACCGAAAAGGGGAAAAATTGCTCTCAACAGAGAGTGGTCCACCGCGCCTCGAGTCTGTCCAGGCTAGATTCGCGGCAGTTCAATATCTGCTCTCTTCGTCAAGACCGAACAAAGCTTTATTCACGTTCGGTACGATGGTTCAGCTCATGCAAGCTGTGGGTATGCATCGTAAGACGGTCGAAAGATCTGGCAGCACGGCTTTGGACTCAATAATAGTACAGATGCACAGACGATTGTTCTGGTGTGCTTTTACTCTAGACAAATACTTGAGCATTATAATGGGTCGTATGCCGTTGCTTCACATCGATGACACCAATCAAGCATTGCCGATGGCAGTGAATGATGAGGATCTCACTGCTGAAGGTGTACGACAGCAGACCTCAGCGCACGGTCGAGACTGCCTTCTTCAAGCCACCCTTGCTCATATTAAGATTGGTATCGTTCTTGCCAGAGCTTCGCAAGAACAAAATCGTCTGCCAACGGTCACTGAACGTTCCCACGTCGAAGCAGCCATCTGTAGAGGTCTGGAAGTTCAAGATTGGCAATCAACGCTACCGCCAATCTTATCTGGCGTGATTCACCCCAGCAGTCTCATACCAAGTTTCAGGCGCCAACACTCTATTCTTACTTTGGCACGTTTACATTCTATTATGTTTATCACCCGAACACTTCTCCTACGAGACCTCTCCACGAGTCTGTCCGAGTCAGAGGTTCACCAATACCGAGATCAACTGCGTACCTGCATCCGTACAGCACGAGACGTCGTAGATCTCATCAGCAGTTCACCACAAAACCGGGTACTGTTCCCAGCATTCTGGTTCTCGCAGTACATTGCCTTCTCTGCGATTTCGATAATTCACATATACATCATTCAGTTGAGCCGTCATCGTATTCCCACAGACTTATTTGGCACAGACTTGAACAAGGGCAACATGATGACTGTTGAAAGCTTATACCAGCTAGCAAAAGTGGGACAGGGCCATCTAGCCGAAGCAGGACTCAAGAGTGCACCGGTCTGGCGATATGGCCCTATCCTCGAAAGTCTCTCTGCGCAGACGACCAAGCATATGTCCTTGCGACTGAGCAACCAAACGCACGAAGTCAGAGCGTCAGATGCGTCTACATTCCGTATGACCCAGGTGCCGACTGAAAACGCTCATCGAATCGCATATCACACAGTCCAGACAGAATCAGACGCTCCCAACGACATGGTCGGCCCGCCGCTAGGCACGGATGAGTCTTTGATGAATGGTCACGAAAGTCTCTGGAGTGATCTGTTGGCCGATAATGTCGAGGACAACTATCTGACCATGGATTTTTGGCCGCAGTTTGATAATTTGCCTGTCGGTAATTTTTGACGACCATGAATACTTCTTTTGAACTCGGGTCCCCAAAATTCCAGCATTGGGTGATCTATTGCATCTACCTTGGGATGTTCCCGCACAGAATTCGCGCAGGTAGGAGGCCTACCATATAATATCGTCAAGGGCCCAGATTTCCCTCATTGCTACTCGTGCACACAATGCCGGCACAAGATAATCTGCAGGTCTCATCAGTGATTATACATCGCTGAAGATATCTTTAGTCCGGCAGTATCAAGTTCTCCAGTATATGTCTCTCTTGTTACATGGACTAGAACCAGACATCAATGGTTGATGAGTCGATACTCGTATTGTCAGGTCCTGGCTCCGACGTCAAGTCGGAGCCGCGGAAACTGAGCGCACACGCTTGGCATTTCATCCCACAAGTCGCATTGTAGGCCTGTAAAGAAAAGCTCAACTTATAGAGTCGGGACCCTGACCAGGACGCGCCCTTGACTGGTTGCAGCGAGCTGTGTACGAGACACTGTGTTACATAGAATTGTAGTGTGCCCTTTTGAGAACGATGAGGCCGTTCTCGGAAACCAGGTAAACTTCGCCGTCTCGATGAGTGGTGTCAAGAAGGTCAACTCTTCAGCTGCTTTGTACAACGGACCGGCGGGATCAACACTGTTTGTTGCAATGCAATTGAAACATACGTCTGCGTGACTATACGCCTGGAGTCTCTGGGATCATTGACACCATGGGATTGAAAAGGTTTTGCTACAGCTGTTTCGGGGAAAGCTTCTATTCTCTCTGTACTCTTCAAGGCTTAGTTTGCGCTCTCTCATCTCCTTCTCATTCTGAACAAGCTCCTGTTTTTTCCCTGAACCTCCTCGTCTGTGATAGGCTACCCGTTAGCGTGAAAGTCTTACGCCAACTCTAAAATCTGTGGTGTGGTTTGGCGACCAGTCCCTATTTCAACGGCGTAGTTTTCTGGGGTATGATCAGCTGGAGGTCGACGCCATCACAAAAAATCATTTTCAGGACCTTCGGATCATACCCAGACTTCCTCGGTTGCATCGAGTTGCGCTGAGACAGTCCTTGAGATTAACGGAGCAGCTTGCTTCCTGTGCCATCAGGGACACAATGTCAGGCGCAAAGCGAAATCAGATCTCAATCTTTACGGCACCGAACTCCGTTCCATTTTCGTTGATCATGACCGAAAAACACCGCCAAGTGCCGAGAGTCAGACCGACATGCCTTGGTGAGTAACTTTGTCTTCTAAGCCCGCGAAGCTCTGATGTCTTCTGAGGGAAAGCGTACTGTGACATGAATGATAGTTGAAGTGGCATGAAATCCACGAGTCTACGACAGAATTGCAATTGCTTCTGAGGTGACAGAAGTAAAAGCTTAGAGCGCTGAGAGTAGGTTCGCGGCGAAGCGTCGCCAGAATTTGCCGCACGTTTTTTATGAGCTTTGAGAACTATGGCGCCCTATGGGTTCGAATATAGCCTATGGCATTCTGCCTTATAGGATTCGACAAGGTCGCATGCATCGCCGGATGATGGTGATGGCGCTGTTTTGATGTTCTCGATCGTCCCGTATGTCCGCAGTTGTTCACCGAGGTTATGAGAATATTTTGAGTCCCGGGCCCCGCAGCACCCATAAGGCGATCAATGCTTGAGCCATCCTCGTGGCAGTTCCCCAGTCCATGCAGGGGCCTGTTCATGGCGGTTCATCCAGCCGAGCGGTCATGCAGAAAACTCGTGGCTGACCCCAAGGTCCGGATGACACCCTATCATCGGTCTCAACTTCGAAACCAAACATCGCGCATTCGTACCGGGTCCAAGGTCATGTTGTAAGCGTTTCACAAGACCACGAGAGAGATGAAACGAGCACTATACTTTCCGATGCTTCTCTCATGGATGTTGAACCGTCCAGCGTGTTGCAAGATCGAAGCCTGAGACTTGGCAGAACCTGTTTCGGAAGAATCGGAGCATTGATGATCATGACTGGCCGCATACTGTTGAGAGTCGATCCGAGAAGTTGTGAGTCCACAGTTTTCGAGAACTCGATGAGGGGTTTGGAAGAAAGTTGCTGTTCCCCAAAATTATCAAGCGCTTGAGCATTGGTACCGCGCCCCTCGATGATCGTTCCTTCCGAGGCCCCGTTAACGGGCTAGGTATGGCAACTAGGTAACGTCTTTCCGAGTCTCTAAGCAAGTATCTGTTGCTAGCCTGCTGGTTAGCATCGTGGACAATGCTCTGTATAAACCATTCAGAGTTTTGCGCAGACTATCAGATCGATCGCAAGCAGACGATGCGAATCCGCCCTTGCTCGTTGTGGCTAATTTTGCTCAGAATGATCAGCTCTTGTTGGGTGTCCTGAGCATACACTATCAGTCGCGCATTCAACATGAGTTTTCAGTCTTACAATGGTTCGGGGCGGACGTTGTACTAGATGAGAGAATGATGAACTCTGTATACCCGCCTCAGACGTTGTGTGAGTTCAACGTCCAGAGTTTACTACGGAACCATCACTACTACCTTACCATCTCTGTAGCATCATCGGTCGGTCCTTTCGGGTCCTTTCGACGGGATTAAGCACAGCCCTAGAAGAAACTTACATGCGCTTATGTGCGCCCACGTTGCGTCAAGCAAAGCATGCAGCTGCTTATATATAGCCTCAAAGATTCCAACCTCGACTACTCTTCAAAGTAAGCTCACAAGATCCTGAACATATATCTTCCACATCTACAGATAGCATCAATGTTGTCTCGAAGACTTGATTCCGCAATGGTTCTCCAATCGGAAGGACTGTACGTCGAACAGAGTCAAAGCAATGTAAGAGAATTCAAGCTACCTTTCGAATCCTCACTGACAAAACGCATAAGGCTCTGAACAACCTGGATACATCAGACCTTGCTCCCTTTGGCATACCATGCTACGCCATGACTACCGAACCTCTGTCATATGGATATACATGGCAGTTCCCAGATTACACGTCTTCTTCGAACACATTATACACTATACCCAGCGACGGCATCGTTGGACCCACAGATATGAATGGTCAATCACTGATTGCAACTCCATCCATGTCGCAGCTGCCTGCCGTCGAGCAAACCTATGAGTCGTCCCAGACAAGAGCGTCATCCTGGTTCGGATACCCATATCTACAGGATACATTGGGCATGGACCTTCTGGCGTTGCAAAGTCAACAATCACTTCGCAACCTCTCGCGATCTCCATCTCCTCACAGGTGTTTCGATCATGGCTGTAATGGCAGGTCGTTCTCATCAAGAAGCAATCTCAGACGACACCAGCGGGAACGAGCACGTCTGACACGAATCCTACCGTGTCCGCTGTGCGGGGCCAAGTTCTACAGACGCTGGACCAGAAACCAACATGTTCTGCGAGCCTCTTGCCTCCAGCGTATGTCGTCGCACAGCCCCTATCCTGATTTCGATCAAGACTCTCAGTCTGAACAATACAAACAATCCCATGGTCGTATCGACGCTAGTGTCGTACCAGATTACAGCGTATGTCTCGCATCCGTGTCACCAAGCCCAGCTGCTAGTGCTCCAGTTTCCCAGATTTCTGGATCGCAGTCAGCTCCCAGCAACAACGTTGACCATAGCTGGCAAGCACTGTCCTGCTATTGGCCGTCACTGGTGAACTCTGACTCACCAGAGAGATTCGATTGGACTGTGCGATCGTATCCTGGTACTCCTGCCCATTGCCCCTGACGTTCCGTTTCGTACGACAGCGATGCTGGCGCTCTCCTTTCTCGATGCACTTCATTCGAATTAGTCTTTCTAATAGTCATAAAAGTCCGTTGCACCTCTACAGAATACCCCAACGAATTTGATTATCTATTATTATTTGCTCAAAGTTTTAGATCTCATGGCCGCTCGCAGTTTTTCGTGCTAACATTCACCGTACCACTTCATTGTCTCATATTTGAGAGCCCTCAAACAAATTTCGAGGAACTATAGCCAAACTTCAGCTCCCATCTTCGTACTCAACATCGATCGAACCTTGAAGGCTCGAGAGCAGAGTTGAGAACAGGGCACTAGCCATTCCCAGCCACGGACTCCCACACGGTCTTACCAAACAACTCAATTACTAACTCCACATGGAGCAGCGGGGCATTTCCCTGGGGAAACGTGGCCATCACGTCAACACGAACATCGTTAGGTCTTTTCTTGGGTCTTGTGAGCAATTTGGCTTGGCTTCTTAGGTAACCACTTCTAACCCCATTCCACCCCAGCAGAGCTAGACAATCACACGGTCGGACCGAGTCCCCATGTGCCTCGGTACAAAGCTAAGGATTGTGATTTCCTGACGGCAATGTCGGCGCCTGATACCCGAACCATTCCTTGGCTACTTGATGCACGAGACAGTTCCCCTTCAGAATTTTCAGCTGGACAAGCCAGTGTCCTTGCAGACTTTTCCTCTGGACGACCGCGGACATACGATGAAAGACACCGATCTTCCTGGAAGCAACTTATTCTCGGCGATCCTTGTCTTGAAGACCAAGCAGGTCCAGTAGATGTTAGCAAGAGATCGCGATAGATCAGTTATAACCAGAGCTCATGTTTGCTTGCCATCACTCAGCCCGTTTACCGCACGTGCACATCCCTATGGAATCCCTATGAAATCTGATAAGCTGTGCGAGGATGGTCCATTTGGTCTAGGACGTTGCTGCAGCGCTGTGACGATAGAGATTAGAGGATCATCTTGGTGAGACTGAGCTGTGAGATTGAAAAGTCTGAGTTTTTCGTCTTATGTTCTGTTTGATGAAAACTAGTATATCGTGGTTGCACCATGTGACATTGGTCCTCTACGATACAGTAAACCAAAAACAGACTTCGCCTCTCACACGATGCCAATCCAAAAACACTACAACTTGTCTTTGCGAGCACAACAGACATCCATTACTACCACCGAAGCAATCACATACAGAACCTTCCATAGAATACTATCTCAGCGTCTATGTCGCTCACTCAAAGAAACTGAACGACGTAGAAGAAGAGAGCTGGAAGCAGACCCGAGACAATTCGAGGCGCGGAGCCTTGGTTTGCTGCGCCAGTGTAGACCGCCATGGTGGATGAAGCGGTAGGGGTTCCACTGCCTTGTCCATCAGATGGATCTACTGAGCCACTGTCATTGCCAGAGCCAGAGCCATTGGCCGAGCCATTTCCAGAGCCATTGCCAGAGCCATTGCCAGAGCCATTGCCAGAGCCATTGCCAGAGCCATTGCCAGAGGCAGAGCCAGAGGCAGAGCCATTGCCCGAGGGGCTGTCATTTCCTGAGCCATTGCCCGAGGGGCTGTCATTTCCTGAGCCATTGCCCGAGGGGTTGCCGCTTCCTGAGCCATTGCTTGAAGGGTTAACGTCTCCTGTACCAGAGCCCGGGCTCCCACCATTGTTGTTATTCGAGCCGGGGATGGTAGAGCTGCCAGTACCGGTGCCTGAGCCAATAGGATTGCTTGCGCCCGGGGTGCCGGGACTGCTGCCACTATTGCCATTGTTCGAGCTGGGAGTGCCAGGGCTGCCATCAGGGTTGCCACCACCGGTGTTACCTGAGCCTGAGCTACCAGGACTGCCGCCACCATTGTTTGAGCCTGGGTTACCAGGATTGCCACCAGGATTGTCACCGCCTGGAGTGCTAGGATTGCCCCCTCCATTATCATTGTTCGAGCCGGGGTTGCCTGGATTGCCACCGCCAGTGTTGCCCGAGCCTGGGTTGCCTGGGTTGCCTGGGTTGCCTGGGTTGCCAGGGCTGGCAGGGCTGGCAGGGTCATTTGGCCCTGGAGACCCAGTGGGTGATGAGTTCGGCCCAGGAGAAGAGGTTGGGGTGACGATGATAGTCAAGGTGGACGGGACGTTATTGCCGGTACCAGGATTGGCAGGGTTTTTCGGACCCGGAGACCCAGTGGGCGATGGGTTCGGCCCGGGAGAAGAAGTTGGGGTGACAATGATAGTCAAGGTTGACGGAACACTATCGCCGGTACCAGGGTCGGCAGGGTTGGCAGGACTGCCAGGAGTGCCCGGGTTGTTGTTAGGATTGCCGGGATTGTTGGTTGGACTGCCGGAAGGAGGGCAGCTGGAGACTGTCTGGACAGTATGAGTACGGGTGACAGTAGTAGGGCTGCCCGGCAAAGTACAGCTGGAGATGGTTTGCGTGGACAGAGTTGTGGTGCTTGTGACGGTAGAAATTCTCGTACCTTGAGCATTGGCAAAGCCAACACTCAAAGACACCGCAAGCAGAGAGGCAGAGATTGGCTTCATGATGCAATCGCGGTAAGCTTCTTGAAGGTTCGAACGAGACGTCTAACAAAGAGACCCCTGCTATTTATGAATTGCATGATGTCTCTCACCCAGTCACGACTTCGAGGCTGGGTTAGTGGGGATATGGTAGACCCGCCCGTTGAGATTTGATAAGCAATAATCCCAAACAGCTTTGATCCCGCAATTCAGATCTGAATGTAACGTCGAAGGATCTGGGGCTTACACATGAATTGTGGAGCATCTCCCCACAACATTGTCATATGCCACAACATTGTCATATGGGGAACGTGCTCTGTTACTATCATGCCCGCTACCAATATCGAATGTGACTTGCGATGAATCCTACAACCTTGACACGGCGAAATAAACTTCGAGACATCGTAATGGGACGTATATTCCCAGGATTTAGCGTCAGTGGTATCTATCATATTGCCACATTTAGAAGTCAAGATCTGATTTTGTCTCTAGGTTCCGTTGATGGGATCAATGATTCTGCAACATCTCATGACCTCAGGCGAACTCTGTAGGGAAGATTTGTCACCAGTAGCGAATGCCGAGAGTAGCGAGAGTCTTTCGCGATGGTAATTCTAACATGGTGGGTGATACGTTCAGAGTGAAGTTGAATCTACATCCAAGATATATAGCCACGTCCCTCGGCTGGTATCCAAGATCATCATCCAAAGAAACTTATCTGCAGCATCATCAAAGAAGATGCGTATCTCCTCGTTCGCCTACCATTTTCTGGCCTTTGTGCCCTCCTTGAGTCTCGCCCAAGCCACTACAGCTCTCGTTGAATACTATCCTTTCGAGATTGTCTGTAGTGGACAGACAGTCCTTTCCACTTCAACCACGTAAGCAAATCAGACATTTGCTCATTCAGGATTGACTCTTATCTGTTTACAGGACGCGCCTCATTCCCGGAAACTCTACTGGTACTTTCTTTTCTCCCACGTCGTCTCCTACTTCTGGTATATACACTACGGACATCGTGACTGCCAATGTTACCACTCCCATCTTCAAAACTGGAATGGCAACATGCGCTACTTGTCCCACCCCAGTCACTGAGTTTGTCCCGCCCAACTTTGCTCGTTACGGAATCTACACTACGACTCAGACAGCCAACGTGACAACACCGGTCTTCATTACTGGTACTCCAACCTGCGCTACTTGCTCGACTCCAGTCACCGAATTGGTTCCCCCAAATTCGTCTGGAACTGGTGCGATTCCTTCAAAGTCTTCCTCATCTACTTCCATGTCGTCTTCTTCTAGCATGAGTCCCAGCTCGTCGCCTACCAGAAGTTCTATGTCGTCTTCTTCTAGCATGAGTCCGAGCTCATCGCCTACCAGCAGCTCCATGTCGTCTTCTTCTAGCATGAGTCCGAGCTCATCGCCTACCAGCAGCTCCATGTCGTCTTCCTCAAGCAACAGCCCCAGCTCGTCGCCTACTGCCAGCCTCACTACCAGCTCGTCTTCTTCGTCCAGCAGCTCCAGCACCTCTTCTTCAACCCCTACACCAAGCAATGCGTGCGCCATCAGACAGTGTGCACCAGGAGCTTTGACTGTCAAGGGGTATTACAATTCATACGTCCTTGCAGATGCATACGCAGCCAAGGATGGTCACTCGGGTGTCGGTCCTGACTACTATCTTGATCAGAATCTCCAGCCCCTCAACACTGGTACTACCACTAATATGAGCGTTCCAGCCACCTATGGCTCAGGTAACGAGACATATGTGGATGGTGGTGATGATAACCAGATTCCGTACTATGCTGACACAACGGCAATGTACGGAGGATTTGAGTACAACCCCAACAACTTCACATTCGTTTGGACTGGTTACTTTGTGCCGCAACAGTCTGGAAGCTATCAGTTCTGTCTCGACTATGCAGACAATGAACAAGCCTTCTACATCGGAAGTGACACCGCTTTCCCTTGTGGTGACTCCTCAAACGCAGCCACCCCCCGAAATGCACAAGCCTATGAGCGATACTGGTTTGCGAGCTCTGACTATAACCAAGCTGTTTGCAAGAACATGACTCTGACTGCTGGGTTCTACTATCCGATCAGAGCCGTTTATGGCACGATGGACTTCCAGCATCTTCTCAGTTCCAGGTCAGTGGACCAGGCCTTGGCACAAATGTGACCGACCTGAGTGGTTACGTTGCACCACCCTCTTGCAATTGAAGTATGATCACGGATTTCGACCTACGAGTGTTCTCGGAGCACACTTGCTTTGATTACACCAGCCAGTTTCGGTGGAGACTTGGCCGGTGAGTGTGCTGGAAGTGGAGGATTTCTTTTCAGAACGGTAGTAGAAAAGCTGGGGTCAAGATCCTGTATGAGCAGCCAGTGCTTCCTCGCAAGAGCACGCCTTTGTTCATAGTCTCAATCAATCCGATATCTGACTCCATGACAATGACCATGACCGTTGAGATTGAGTGACCTTGAACATAGGTGGCCTGTCTTCAGGGAGACCCACAGATTTGTTAATATCAACAGTGCTTTCCCTCTTCAATCATGTACTGTGCCTGATGACAAGCACCTGTACAGAATCACCACTGCAACCTTACGCGCGAGCCTGCGAGGTTTTTTCCTTCACGTATGTTAGTCTTCTGGGACTCCAACACCGTGACGATAGCTGAAGACGTTGCAGCGAATCTGCAATACTTGCCAACATTCCAGGAATCGTCATGGTTCATCTGCACACGTTGAGGAATAAGCGAGACTTTGTCCTATGGGACTGAGAAGCTCGTCGCTTGATATTGCTTGCGGTAGATTTAAGGTTATCTTCCAGATCTTGGATGACGTGGGGATGAATCGGCAGGTCCGAGATTGCACGCAACGGTCCCCGGGGTCCCTGGGCTGTCACCTCCGAATGGAACATCATAGGTCCCGTGAATGGGAAATTAAGGGACTGTTGCGCCAGTCTACAATTGCATGTGTCACCCGTTGCCTTGAGAATTGCGCCCGTCACGACGTTCACAGTTGAAAACTCGATGTTCAAACGGCCAGATCCTGCAAACCCCCCAATGAGGCAATGAGTTTCTTGACTCGTTGTCTGGAAAGGATGAAACTAGCTTTGGGCTTGGTCGGAAAGTTTCTTTGATTTGTACCTTATATCGGATCTCGCGGCTGAAGTGCGGTTGGGATATCAGATCGGACACCTATAGGCGATACCTATAGCCTGCCCAATGGATTATTACAGCATTTTAGGCTAGGAACTCAAACAACCGAGGCTCAGTCACTGATACGCCTTTGACTGTTTGCTTCGACAGATTAAGATGCTGCACTTGTGGTACAACCGTTCCTCCATTGACACTGAAACCATCATTTGCGCATCCTGTCGGTCCACGCCAACTTGCGAATGTGGTTGTTCAAGCAATGTCTCCGCGGGAGCTCATCTTTGAATTCGCAGAAGGATCTTCGGACGTGGCAATGCTCAAGTATTTCAATTGTCTCGCTCCAGATCGGCTAATGGATGAACACTGGATTGTCTTGCTTCTGGGGAGGCTCTCACGATGATTCTGATTTTTGTCTCAACTTCCTCGGCCTTCCGGAGCCCTTTGTATCGATGGTGATCAGCTCCCCTCAGCAGAAGACCTTCTTACCGACTTTCTAAAGAAGCCCACAACAGACTTCAAGCCCGAAGTGATCCATCGACAGGTGGGGATGTGAATGCTTCCAGGTGCCTCGCTCTGTGAGTATGTGAGGCTTTCGGCGCCAGAGACTCTCCCTTAACAAATATCATATTGTGACTCGATTTGTCTCAAGAATACGAGTTGATCTTGCTCGGTTTAGAATATTCAGCACCATACGATGAAGTTGATTCAGATTCGAAATACTCTCCTGAAAGCTTTACAGAGTGGCAAGATCTTCTCATACCAAAGAAGCTGCCCTTGAAGCGGAAGAAGGTCTAAATTGCAGGTCCTCCAGGGCATACCAAGGAGTGTCCGCCGCTGTACAAGATGTTGTGGCCGCATAGACATCTCTTGCCACCCAGACATGAGCAAGTGCTAGAGTATCTTGCCGCATCCTACACTGAATTCGAAGTTATCCCACTACCTGAGGAATGTCTGATCTTCGAGCGATGGAGCGAGGACAAAGACAGAAAGCCCAGTGGCTCTTTCGTTGCACTCAACACACCCGAAGAAAGCATTCGAATTAGAGAAAGAGCAATGCCGAATAATGGTCGCGGGTTCCAACTCAATCTGAACGACATGTTGGATGCAGCTATTGCTGTGTTGCCCAGCGATGCAATGGCTTTGCTGCTACTCATGGATTTCGACATGTATGAAGATGACGATGATGAGTTTGGATGCGGACGTGCGTATGGTTACAGTCATGTGTGTATAGTGTCCAGTTTCCGGTACAACCCTGCTTTCGATAAGGATATTGACCTTGACCGCGAGCATGTCTGGCCAGCAAGTCATTGTGCTGCATACGTGCAAGCGCAGGTGGATGAGTTCATCAAGCCTTCTGGGAAGGTACCAAGTCCCAAGAGTATCATGCCACCACAACCATCGAGAGCTCTTGCCAAAGCCATCCAAGCACATCGAACCGCGAATCCTTCTCGAGAAACTCTATGGCTGGAAAGAGTTTGTCGCACGGCGAGTCACGAACTCGGTCATTGCTTGGGTATGGATCACTGCGTGTACTACGCCTACATCATGCAAGGAAGCAACTCCATCCCCGAAGACCTGTGACAACCTCCCTATCTCTGTCCCATTGACAATGCAAAACTGGACACTCTGATCGCAACAAGAGGAGACAAGATCAAAGCAAGAGTGAAACAAAAAGAACGGGCTTTACTGCGTATTGTGAAAGGTCATAATGAGGACGTTGGTGGGTTTGCCGGTTTTCGGGCCTGGCTGGAGGCAAGATTGATGCATGGGGAGGCTGCCCCAAATCACAAGGATACAACCAGACAAGCCGTGGACTCGAATACCAATAAGAGAAAGCCAGAGGACGTTGCCACTGGGATTACCAGAAGGAGCAAACGCATCGCTGCTCTGAGCTTGGATTCCTGGTCAGTGACGTAAGATATACCTTTGTTCTAGACTTTATGTACAACAACCATCATCGCATGCTATACAAAGCCTCCGCTACAGCTTCCCTGGTTCCTTGATCCAGAGTATCATCCTCTTGAAGATTCTGTAAGCGCTCCCTCCAGAACTTCCATCGTTCAAGACTTGTACCGCCAGATCCTAGCCAAAGGTCGCGCTCATCCTGGACACTAACATGCATCTCCTTTTTCGCGATCCTGTCTCTGATATCAGAATTGGAGAGCAAGCGATTGTGCATGTGTGAAGTATGTGACATATCGTAAAGTATGTCGTGTGCATGTAGTAGCCACTCTCTCACCGCATGTATTTCTATCTTCATAACAGCTTTGCTATCTTCGAGTGTATCGCAGAGTCGAGCAAGGCCTTCGTACTTTACGCCTTCTCCGAGAATATCGGTGTGTGCAAAGAGTGCTTCTGCACGAGCGACGTTGGCGACTTGAGCGATCTTCTCGGGGGAGGAGTAGAGCTGAGGTTTCTGGCGCCATTCATTCTGGTAGTACCACCAGTTGAAATCATACCATTGATTGGCGAACGAGGGAAGATCATGCCAGAGAGAGCTCGAGGGGCTTTGCAGTGAACCACTTCGCTTCTTGCCATGAGAATCAATATCTAAATCTGGTAGGTCTTGTATTTCCGACATTAGAAGAACAACTTTTCGTTGCAAATTGGGCAGTTCGACCAAGGCGTCTTGCAAGAAACCCCACAGATTTGGTAGGTCAGCGCCTGGATCTTCGGATAATTCAGTGGGCTCGGTGATGCGTCGTGCAGCTTTCGCTACGTCGAGTTGGTCATCAAGGTACAGTCTTAGAGCTTGTGCTTCTTCTGGTCGGCATCCATCTTCTGGATTGCCATCTGGGGCAACGGCATTGTCGTACCAAGATTGTGACATCGCTCCCGGAGTTATGTAGATTCCACAGACGAGTCGTAGACTCGATTGGTGGGCAAGGGGTGAAAGTAAGTACCCTTGGGGATCATGAAAAGCGTGTAGGAGGCATACAATCTGGCCAGACGATGCAAACAAGGAAAGTTACAGTAGCTCGAAGGATTCAGAATGACGTAATGAGTATCACTCACGCACGAGATGAGTATGGACAGGAGATTGTTCCAATCACGGGTCAATGTCATTATGACCGATAGAAGGCAGTGGCATGAAACGGAAGTGAAGACACGAAACACCTGAGATACACCTGATTGACGTAGACGATGTGAAATGACCAATAGCGGACTTCTCTCATGAGGCTACCTTATGCTATGCTCAACGACTGCCATCACTTCTTGAGTTTCTTGATGATAGCCTCAGCCCCAACGATACCGTAGACTTGGACATACGTGCCATCATAGCTGCCAGAGATTTTACTGAACTTCCATCTCAACCATGATGACTTTCATGCCAGCTTTCGGGCGTGAGTCGCTCCTACGGGCCCTGAGCCAACGATCAGGACATCTGTCTACTTTGGGATATTCTCGTTCGCCCTTGTCTTAAGGTCTATGCTTGGGTGTCGAGATGATGGGGATGAAGCTGGATGACTATCAAGTAGCAGATCATGTTAATGAAGATGATTAATCATCGAGCAGCAGGAAGAAGAGAGGCTTCATAGCACATATATGACCTTCAGCCCACTACCAGGACCTCAACAGTTGGTTTGCTTGGAGCAAGATAACTGGCCAAGTTCGAACCCTCTTGTTGGAATGGACAGCTGAGATGCATGCTCAATGCACCACGGACCAATGAGCCCTGTCGTGGATCTGTTGGGACTCTTGCAGCCATCACAGCAGCTGTACATACTAATGAATAACCATTCAGGGAAGACTTAGTCGTATGTCGGCCCAACTTTCCACGCGGTCTTACTCACCCTCGGTGCTGAGTTCGTTTCTGCTTTGGGACCCATGGCTGACCATACTGATAAGGAGCCCACAACTTGGGAGGAGCGAAGCTATCGGCGTTTTGTGTGCGTGAGGAAGTGCAGGATACAGTAAGTTTGCTATTCCACGTGCCGACGAATAGTTCGCCAGCTGATGTAGTAAGAAATATTAGTATGCGATCCGTACTGATTCAGAAGGTCTCAGTATCGGAAACCAGACCGGGAACCTATGCCCGCTGAGGGGAGAACGAGGCTCAGGACTTGAAGTACAAGCCTCACAGTCGGATAAAAATTTGTTTCAAAAGACAGCACCACGACCTGGATTTAAGCAAGTGGACAGGTATGATGCATCCGTCGGCAGTAGTGCATCTAGCACACGAATCATGTTCCACTCCCAGTCACGAGAATCATTAGCTTTAGTATATCCTGCCCGGTACATTCGTCAAGGCGCGTGGTCGGTAGCGTTGTGGATGAAGCATCTGGCGCGTCATCTGGTAAGATCTCATCCATGCTGCTAGTCACCAATTCTACAAACCGATTGGAGATAGGGTTTGGATCCGCTGATTCGTGCGAGACTAACCATTGCTTGAATCCGAACAGCATAGAAAACATTGTTGTTGATATCAATTCATAGCAGGCCGGCGTGTTGTCCATCTGAGGCTCAGGACGCGAGATTATACTATTGTAGATCGAGTTCGAGCTCTTGTGCCTTCTAGGATCGAGAGACCATGCCGTATTGACCAATTGTGAGAATCTTGATGGACTTCTAGGAGGTCCGAAGCTTGCAGTCGTCTGAAAGTAGCTTAGGCGAAAAGGGAACTCAGGTGTGATACCACAAGCTCTTGCACATATAATTTCGCACCTATCAGGCTTCGATCAGCAAAGGGTTGAGAAGCGACAAGTGATACACTTACGTTGTGATCAGTACACAGATCTTGAAATCGCTGTACAGCGATGACACCCCTAATAGGCGCTGGCGCTGTGTCATTATCGCGCGTAGACCAACGAGATGCAATTTGCATGTGACCGTATCACCACGGACATACTTTTTCTCATGTCAGCTGGAGCGCGAGTCTGATTTGCATTTTTTTGTAGAATACTGACTGCTTCAAGTATGCTGGATATTATCGCCGCGATGACACCAAGACTGACACACCGATCTGGATCCTCTATGGCTTTCTGTGTCTCTTGGAGAGCTTTGACTCGAAGTGTCATCACAGAGGGACCGTCAAGATCGAATGTACAAGAATCGCCTTCGAAGCGAGTGAAGTACGCGGCCATCATCAAGTCGATCTGATATGACGCGCTGTGGTCTAAGTGGTAAAAATCCTGCCAGAGATTCCCATGAACTCTTCTTCGGATCGGCGTGGCATCAAAGTAAGCGGGCACTGTTGGTGCATAATTAGTTGGAGATGTTTCGAATACTGAACCTGGTTGAATGTACTTCTGTAAGAAAGTGGCTCTCGAGTATTGTCATCAAAGAGGCTGCGACAAAGGCAGAGCGCCACATCCTGATGGTCAACATCTTCTTTGCTCTTTTGGCCAACGACGCGACGTTCACAAGCTCGTGAAACAGAAGCAACCTTGTCAGGAATGTTCACCACGTCTTTTCGGGCACTCTTTCGACGAGATCTACCAATATCCCGCATGACATGTTTTCTGATCATCGTGCGCATATGATCAGGTTGTTGTCTCGGGTTACCCAGCGAGCTCACCCATATGAAGCGCTCTCCATTTCTCATCTTGCGAATCGAAAGACAATGTTCGAGGGCTGCTGGTCACCAGCCTTGAGCAGCGAATGTCCCTAAATAGTATGTGGTCACTAGCTCCGCAATTCAGCTCCGCATTTCAGCTCCGTCTTTGGATTTGGTCTAGCCAACGCAAAGACGTTGAGCCCGAGCTATGAAACTCTAGCAGCACCTCTATTCCAATCAGAATTTTGATCTCGTTGCATGATCAGGTCGCTGGATGTTGATGCTGCAGCTTGTGTTGTTGGTGGCTCGGATTGTTAAAAACAGTAAGCGACACCTGAAATCATTACAAGCTTTGATGTATCAAGCAGTACCTCACCCATGGTTATGAGCGAGACATATAACACATCTTGTCTGACAAGGGAGATCAAGCAGCGACTTGATGTTATCTGATCGGGAGCACCGAGTTCATTTCTAGAAGACCCGGTCAATTTCTCGCTTTCTCTGGAAGTTCTAGAGTTTGCCTATCGCATCGACTCTCCCACTGATCTAGTACGATCGGCTTGACGTCCTTGAAGGAATGTGGCTTTCTCGAAGGATTCGCACGCCGACCAGTTATTTTCAGTAAAGACAAAGCACCACTCTTGGCGAACTTTAGAAAAATGGTACGTACCTCAGCCCACCTCATACGACCTTGGCAATTGCGGATGAGAAAATCACAATCAAACACCATGAAACACAGGCGAACACACTTATACAGATGCACACACCTTGTAATATGTTGCTCGCTCAATGTTCTGTGCAGCAGGCACGATGGTCGACATGCTTCGTGGCTCATAGTAGACACACTTCCGATCTCAAAGTCAGAGTGATGTCCAGGTCTGTGTTCCCCTGCATATTGAGCTCCCGAGAACCTGCAAGTTACCGTCTCTGCGACAACTGGTCCTGACCAGGCTTGCTTCAAGCCACATACGACATGGATCATCCGCAACTGGGCCACATGTCCACGAGAGTCCCAAAATCTGAAGAACTAGCAAGAGGCATGTATGTTTGACCTCACTAAGGTGATGGGCTGTTACACAACCCACCTCCAAATATGACAAGCATTGTGGCTCAAAAATGCTTGCTGCTCCAGGAAAGGTTATTATAAAGTTCTGACAAGACCTCACAACTTTATTTATACTTCTTCATCGACTCCATATCGAAGCCTCGGTCTGAGACGTTTCATGGTACAGGTTCAGAAGACGAACACAGCGTTCAACTTGACCGCCAGTCTTCTGCTGCAGCCAGGACGACAGGTCTCGGTGTGAGAAGAAGTACTAGAATTTTGGAATCAGCTCAAATGGCTTTTGGTATCTCAGGCAATATTAGTGATATCTCAGCATCATCGCGACATTTGACAAACAGATACATCAACGCATTCGGAGCGTGGAATGATCTTAGAGAGAGCTTGCATCCAGTGGCTATTCCTCGGCCTCTGTCCTGACAATCGGGCCGACAACCATGCACGTCCGGACAAAGAGCTCAAGCTTGCAAGCTCACGCGTCTTGCCAACAATTGCTCACTCGACCAAAATTGCATAAATCATTATATTCACGCGGTAGTGGAGTACTGGTAACGGATCTGGGTCGCGACTTTTCTCCGATAAGATAAGGATCACAAGTCATCGCAATCAACGATGTCTGAACTCGAACCGACCTCTCTCACTCAGTTGCCAGAAGTAGGAAATCGTCTCCTCTACTCCCAATCAGAGCTGCAAAACTACTTCGAGCGGATCAATCTTCCTGCGAAATACTTCGAGTCTCCGATCCTGTCAGATAGCACTCTTGCAAAATCAAAGGAACATGGCCTCCCATTACTGGAAGCATTATGCCGCCATCACACCAGCAATGTCCCTTTCGAAAACCTCATCCTCCACTACTCCACCAAGAAAAAAGTCGTTCTCGAGCTTTCTCATCTCTACACCTGGTTCGTGACCAAACGCCGCGGTGGTCGCTGCATGGAAAACAACAGTTTCTTTGGTACCGTGTTGCGCTCCCTCGGCTACCAAGTTCGCAACTGCGGTGGCAGGGTAAGCAGAGCAATGAGTCCATTCCCAGAAGTCCGCAAGAATCAGGCAAATACCTATGATGGACTGAACCATATGCTCAATCTTGTGCGCTTGGAGGATGAGTGGTATGTGGTTGATGTGGGTATGGGTGCCATGGGTCCAAACATGCCCTACCCACTCCGCCACAACTTCTGCACCACCAGTATAGTACCAAGACAAATCCGCATCCAATACCGCGCAATCAGCGAATCGTATGCCGGAGACGAAGCCCCAAAGCTGTGGTGTTATGATGTTTGCCACGTTCCCACGCACGGCGAACAAAATACCTGGATTTCTACGTACTGTTTCACAGAGATGGAGTTTTTGCCGCAGGATTATGAGGTTATGTCTTGGTTTACGTCTACACATGCGAATTCATTCTTCACCCGGTACATGATGGCGACAAGAATGATCATGGATGCCGAGCAAGAGGATATCATCGGTAGTATTACTTTGTTCAAAGATACCATCAGAGAACAAATGGGCAGTGAGCGCAAACTTGTCAAGGAATGCAAGACGGAGAATGAGCGAGTCGAGGCATTGAGGGAAATTTTTGGAATCGAGTTGATTGAGGATGAACGAGAGGCGCTCTCTCTTAAGCTCAGATTGGCTTAAGGTTTTGCTGGATATGAATTTCAAGCAATATGGATTCTTGTGTCAACTCTGCAATCCCTAGGTATTCCATTAGACTTTAGTGAGCAGCTCGTCACTACCGTCGAAACTCCAACGGCATAACTAGCGAATCATCAGTGTGAGAGCGAAAGAGAAGTTCAGGGCATACTTACGTCCCACCAACCACCATAAAAGCCCCAAGTACCACAATAAGCCCATGAAGTCCATACTTGAGTTTTTGCCCAGCAGTTCCAGATCTAAACCCTTTATAGTCATTCATCCAGAGAAGCGCCGGAAAGACCAGACTAAAAGGTGCAAAACACAATGCACTCGCCAGCGCAAGCAGATAGTTCAGAATCGGCACTGCTTCAGCAACAACATAAGCCACCGTCCCCAAGACCAGATTGATTCCCAGCCAAGTAGACCAATGCACGAGTGTGTTTGCCTGCAAGTGTTGAGAGTCCCTGAGTAAGCGTACAAAAGCGTATTTGGCTGCGACATGCTGGTAGATACCGACACCAACAATCAAACCAGGTAAAGAGATACCGTAGGAGATCTTCTTAAAGAGGGGTCAGCGCTGCCGAAGGCGGGGGTTGAGAGCCAGGATCCGCACCAGCGGTAGATGACAAGGCTGAAAGTGAGGTACATGGCGCCGACAATAAGACCAGCCCAGAGACAGGCTTTGCGATAGTCTTGTGGGCGTCGCATTTCGGAGATGACGGGGAGGAACATTGAAGAGCCACTTGTGCTGACGTAGATGTTGGAGGCATTGATCATGCCCACGACAAAGGATGGGTAAGCAATAGCCGTCCAGCCAAGCTCAAAGGGGCCAGTTTTGGGAGCAGCGGCTGGACGATCTTGTTGTGTGACTGCGACTGTGAAGATGAAGACGGCAAGGAAGAAGGTTACGAAGCCGAACCAGGTCAGCCATCCCAGCCGTGAGAAAGTGCGGATGGATGAACAGAGAGTGATCAGAACCGCAGATACAAGGGAGAAGACGGCTGTACAGGCTCCATGGTCTGACAATGCGTTGAATGCTGTTGCTGTTGTGACAATTCCGCCGGCTGAGATGAGGACCTGGGCGACGATGATTTGGACACCGACGAGTTCACGGCCAATGCGTCCCCAGATGTTGACCATCATATCTGCGAGCACTGTAAAATGTTAACTCTTGCAGTATCCTTCAGGCCTGTTCAAGGCATCTTACTATGGCATTGGGTATGTTTCAAGCGGTAGTCGCCTAGGACGAGGGCAGTATCTACAAACCTCGAGTCAGTATTATAACAGTAATAATGAAGTCAATTCACTCACAAATGTTCAAGGCAGTAAACCCAACAAGCGACAAAGAGCCACCAACCGAACCCAAAGCCGCCATCGCCGCAGGAATACTAAGGATACTCATTGCAAAGTTGATCTTCACAAAGACAACACATGCGCGCTGCCAGCTAACGGTCCGGAACTCGACACCATCAATATGCGCTTGGAAGACTTCCCGAGACTGTTCTAGTTGCGTGTCGGCAACGATGTCTTCTCCATATTGGGGTAGATCAAGTGGTTGTTTCTCGATCTTGGAGAATGAGATGTGCTCATTTTGGGAAGAGATCGTTTGAGACGACATGCTCTGGTCTATCAATGAGGGAAGAATTTGAAGATGTTCATGGATAAAAATTCTCATGTAACAGTATATTGGCCAATTTATATATGCAAGCTAGGCATGGCATGGTATCGTGGAGGATGCGGGGGTAGGCTTGTAGGATTCGATAAGAGCTAGATAAGGATCTAAGTGCCATGCAAGCCATGGAACATGATAGGCCACCCCTCAAATATATGCCTATCTGTACTTCCTCCTTTGTCGGATAAGGACATTCTTGTCGGCTAGGGACACATCTGTCGGCTAACGACATGCTATGTCGGATAGCAACACCGGCAGATCTGCGCAAACTATCAAGTAGCCTGGTCGAGATGCCTTCACATCCTTGTAGAAGCCTATAGCCCCATGCGCCACATCCTAAGGATGCAGGCACAGATTACAAATGACCACAAACCAGGTCCCTTTGCAATCTTCTTCTATATCCCGAGCAGGAGCCTCGAGCTTCAATCATGACTTCCAGTCTAGAGCCACTCGAATCCAAGAGTCGCAACCATCAAAGATCCAACAAGCAACAACATCGACACACCCCCAAGTCGACTCGCATCTCCAACAGGAAGCTGTGAACTAGCATCCTCACAAGTAGCCGAGTTATTTCCATTCTTCGCCTGAGTAGTGTTTGCCGGATTACACTTCAAAGCATCCACAGTACTGGCATCGGACACAACAGGCGCAAAAGTTCCAGAAAACCCACCACCACCATTGATACTGTAAGGCGTGCAAGCTTCCACAGCAATGTTGTTGATTGCAGAGTCGTCGCAATCGGATAATGTGCCAGTTGTGCAGTGATGATTAAGGGTGAGGCCAACATATGCGGCAGTGCCGTTTTGAATGCCTTGTAAATCGTGGGCACCACCTACCCATTCGGTAGTCGTGTCGTTGAACTTGAAACCTACGACGGAACTGATAGTGTCGTAGATGGGTCCTGGAGAGGAAATTGTGACGTTCAGGGTACGGCCGTCGGTGACATAGCCGCCGAAGGGGACTTTGCAGTAGCCGGTTGTGGATTCACAGACTATGCCTTTGCTGACGACGAAAGTGCGGTCAGATGGTTGGGTATACTCCTTGTCGGAGGGTGTGTATGTTTTGCAGGACGTAGCAAACACCGCAGTGCTAGCCAGAGCGATGGAGATGGCAGTGTGAGTGAGGAAATGCATGATGAAGCGAGTTGTTGTCTTACCAAACCAATCCAGCATGACTTGACTTTATAACTTGCCTCTCAGCATATGACGTGAGTTGCATTGGCAGCTCCTTCGAATGCGATCTTCGAGCAATTCATGACTCGTGATGCAAAATCACCATATATTTGATGGTGATCAATCCTTCATGCTTGGCAAGTGGATCCTGAAGGCTTTACACGGCCGTAAACCCTCGGATCTTGGTTCCGAGGCAGCACAACGATGAACATGCCAATGCTTGGAAAGCTGCGCCTTGGTCAAGAGGAGGTGCTTGATGATGCCCGTAACTCGGATCTCCCGGGAATGTTGTTGGTTGCTCAACTGGCCAGGCTGTCTTTAATAGCAAAGTTTGAAATTCTGCATGTTTGCTGTTCCTGACAGACAATAAGTCCTATAAGCAAGTATGGCAGAGTGAATATGCGTATCTTGAGCACATTGTTTTGTCAATGTTCTCAGGGATTGAGCTCAGCACTTATTCGTTGAGTAGGATCCAGATTCAAGTCGATAAGCAAACCTTGAGAATAGTATCACCACACTGGAGCCGGGTAAGTGGCTTATGTTCGCAAGAAAGAGCTCCAAATAGGGAGACCAGCTTGAATATGCGGTTGTAGCAGCATGTTTGCACGCTTGTTCGAGGCAGGAACGATTGTGCCCGTAATGTGCCAAGGGTCGGACCGCACGTGTAGATCCGAGACACTCGCTTGCGTACGCGACTTCTGGCCACGACATAGTTTTGTTGCCATCAACGCGACAGACACTCGCAGAACAAATGCATGAATCATGAACATTTTTTGATTATAGCTATTCGTGAGGGTATCTAATCATTTAACTTTTGCTACAGAGAACATCTTAGACGATGACCTTGTGGGGAGCGTCCTTCTCCTCGGGCTCGTTGAAGATGTTGACAGGCCATCTGGGCTTGTTGGCAGTGTAGGGAATGTTGTAGCGGCGGCGCTCCTCCTTGCCGATCTGCTCAATCTTCTCAAAGTCCTCCTTGGGGAGCTCAATCTCCTTGAAGTTGTCGCGGATACGAGAGGCAGTGACAGACTTGGGAATGACCGAGTGGCCACCGACCTGAGCCCAGGCGAGGATGACTTGTGCGGGAGAGGCGTTGAGGCGGTCGGCGATCTCCTTGACAGTCTTGTGCTGGATGAGGAGGGGCTCACCGACCATGTTGTTGCCGAAGGTCGAGTACTCGGTGATGTGAATACCCTTCTCTCCGCACCACTTGACGAAGTCGGTCTGAAGGAGACGAGGGTGACGCTCGATCTGGTTGGCAGCGGGGGTAACACCAGTGGCGTCGATGAGAGCCTGAAGGTGCTCCTGAGTGTGGTTGGAGACACCGACGGCGCGAGCCTTCTTCTTGTCGAGCTGGGTCATGGCCTTCCATGTGTCGACGATCGAGACGCTGTCGAGCATCTTGACGTCGCCGTCGTCACGGAGAGGGAAGAGGTTCTGGTGGACGTCGCCAGACTCGTCGAAGGCAACGGGGAAGTGGACGAGGTACAGGTCGAGGTAGTCAAGGCCGAGCTCAGCAAGGCAGTCGTCAAGGGCAGGAGCGACATCCTTGGGTCTGTGCTGCGAGTTCCAGAGCTTGGAGGTGATGAAAATGTCCTCACGCTTGATGCCCTCGCTGAAAGCTCTCTTGAAGGCGTTGGCGATCTCCTTCTGGTTGCCGTAGACCTTGGCAAGATCAATGTGCTTGTAGCCAGCCTTGAGGGCCTCGTAGACGGCGGCCTCGACTTGGCCAGGCTCTGCCTGCCAGGTACCAAAACCCAATTGACTGTGATTGTTATTAGCGACGACACAAGGCTTCAGCTGTTGCAAGGGGACTCACGGGATGGAGGCGCCGGTGTTGAGCTTGACTGTGCGACCGAGAGACATGATGTGTGATATGAAGTGAAGATTGAGAAATCAAGAAGAGGAAAATGCGAGGTTGTCTTGTCGAGAAATATTGAGGAAGGAGGGGCTTTCATATGTTGGCCCGGTGGGGTAATATGGGGCGTGGAGTTGTTCAACCGACACGCCATATTACCCGAAATAACGTCATCGTGCCGAATGCCACATATCTATCTCCGTCTCGCTGCCGTACAATTGCTCCCGTCCTTCACGCAAATCTGCCGGTCTTGACTTTGTCCGCGAGCTGGATTGCCACTCCGGTCCGTCCTTCTCACCGTTGCCTGTCGGCTGATACTCGACCTTGAAACGAACTGACGAGTACACCTGGAAGAAGGCCAAGGGATAAACTTTCAAGCTCCACTGACTTCCATTAATGTCTGAATCAGCCGATATCGAGTAATGCCCTGTTGTCAAAGCTTTGCTGAAGCTGTACCGTGTTGAGTGGTATTCATCGCCATCAAGGTAATCACTACACGACGGAGTCCGGACCATCTCTGCGACTGTCGTTTGGACCCTCAACCATCCTACAGGAATGTGCGAAAGTCGTATCCTCGGATGTCATCCTCTTCCACTTTGAATCCACGTTGGGTCAAGAACACCTTCAGATCTGCCATAATTTCCGATGCAGACTTGTACTCGCCCAGCCAACATTTCTTGACCAGATGCCCTAGTTTCTCTTCTTCAAGCACTGGTAACGATCCTGTACTGATAATTTCCTCCATCTCAGCATTGTGTACTACCCTACCATCCACAGGGCTTCGATCTGTCATCAAGGTATAGATCAAAGTGGCCCAATCAAACAGATCGACCTTGGCAGTAGGACGCTCATGTTGTGTAGTTCTCACCCATGGGTATCGAAACTCCTCACCACAGTGTGCATTACCCTGAACTCGCTCTCCTTTCAAACTGACAAAATCTGCCGACTGGAAGCCAACCAGTGCTATACTCAGGTCTTCGTATAGCCAAAAGCAATCCGGACTCACGATGTCCATGTGGATAATCCCATTGCGATGGATCTCAGACAAGGCAGACAAGATCTGTAATGCGCACCGATAGACCAGAGGGAGGTACGTCGAAGCAATAAAGCTCGTCTCAATCGAGTCGCTATCAGCCTCATTGTCGTGGGCCTCAGGATACATACGCGCACGATGAAGAGCAAGAAACTTGTTCAGTGGACCACCTCCAGGTTTCTCCAACAGTGGGAATGCAGTAGCAGCGTCTCTGCCTTTATATCTTACAATCCTAGCACAGCTTGACTCTGCTGCATTCAGCTTTTCATGGACCAGTACATTGCGCCAAACAAGCTCGGCTTCTGGTTCGCGCAGCCAATCTGCATCTGTTGAAACATCCCCGGCGTAGGGGTATCGTCCTCCAGGTACTATCATGAGTGTGTTTTCATAGTCTGCTTCCTCGATCTCGTAGACGAAACACAAGGGGTTTAGGAGTTCTGCCCAGGTTCCAAGAGACAGGACGGGTGGTGTCGCCGAAGGATCGCGGAGTGGTTGGGAGTAGATGAGTTTTGTCGCGCCATGTCTTTGTACTGAGGACCTCGATAATTGGTCCAGGTGATTGACTGGGTAGAATTCAGAGTCAAGGCTGAGACTCGAAGATGAAGAAAATGTCTCGCTCAAGCAGGGTGGCCCGCAAAGCAAGTAGATATTATGTTAACATGCACGCCGTGTGTATCTGGCGACTTGCTTGAGCTGGCTGGTTTATCTCTTTTGTGCAATGCATCGAGTCCCAGCCGTCTAATGCATGCGAGGTGGTCGATATTCAGAGACACGACCACAATGATCAAGCCACGACTTTTGACCATTCGGGAAGGAGATTTTGACGCCGCTGGCGTAATATCATCCCCTAGGATTGTCGCTTTACATTTGTAGATTTACTGTCATCCAATCATTCCATAGAATCAGACTCGTGCCGCGTGTTGGGCCATCAGAAGCACTGAAAGGATGATGGACAACGCGAAGGACAGATGCTCACTACCCTGAGGCTATGCCGCGAAGGATGTAGGTAACAACCATGACCGACGTTAGCTTGATCGGAATAGATCAGCATTATTGTGGTCGCCGAACAGCTTGCAGATCTATGAAACAACTCTGTTATCGCATCCTTCGCATCCTTCAGGTAGCTCAAGCCCCATTCTTCTCGGAGCATTATTGAAGCTCGCATCCCGCTTGCTTACTATGCCTGGGAAAAGCTTGTTATCGTTTCAGTTGCTTGTCTCGCTACATCTTAAATATGTTGCTTGGCCTTTTCATCGGTCTATTTTCCATACCAATCATCCTACGGCTTGTTCGATGGTTCAACAACTACCAGGAAGCACTTGGACTTGGACTACCTATAGTGCTCACTCCATTCTCTGAGGAAGATGCTTGGTGGCTGCCTCTGCGGCCGCTCTTCGCATGGGTGCAAAACCTGCCTTTTGGCCTCGGGAGCTGGTACCTCTACTCCGAATTCGGCTGGTCACTCGTCGATGGTCGCAAGACTACAACAAGAATAGGAGACAACTTTATCCTATGCTCACCTAATTCAATTCAGATCATTACATGTCATTCACCCGCAGTTCTCCAAACAGCCCGCGATCATAGCAAGTGGCGCATACCACCGGCACAATCACAAGTCTTTGCTTTCTTTGGTCCAAACCTGACCTCGACTCACGGAGCCGAGTGGAACCGCCATCGTAGAATAACCGGTCCTGCATTCAATGAGCGTGCCATGGATGAGGTCTGGCGCGAATCCTGCAAACGAGCTGCCGCACTCCATCTCGACAAGCCTTACACTCTGGGCAGCTTTCGCATCACTTGCGATCTGCTCGCCATGCAGATCCTGACAGCCGTTGGTTTCGGACAGCAAGCCGAGCTAAACAAAGTGCACTCTGGACATAAATTGTCTTTCATGGATTCTCTCAGCTTCATCTTGAAGAATATCATCTTGACGGCTCTGTTCAACAGCCTCAAAGCTCCTGATTGGATGCTGCCAAGTAGCCTCAGACGGCTCAAGCTGTGTGTTTCGGAATTCAGACTCTACATGCGAGAGCTGGTCCGTAACGAAACAAAATCGTCAACAAACCGAGCAACCTTACTATCAGCATTGGTTTCTGCCAATGAAGCCGCAAAAAGCGAAGTAGGCGATAAACCAGTCCAGGGATCTATGAAATATCTGAGAGAAGAGGAACTATGGGGCAACCTCTTCATCTTCAATCTGGCCGGGTTCGAAACTACTGCCTCTGCACTCTCCTACGCTTTGCCTTATGTCGCCGCGTACCCTGAGGTGCAGCAATGGATGATGGAAGAAGTCGATGAGTTGTACACACAGGACAGTGAATATGCCGACACTTTCCCCAAGCTGGTAAGATGTCTTGCTTGGATGCACGAAGTGGTGCGTTTCGCAGCTCCTGCTCCGTTGTTGGCGCGCACTCCTACCTCGTCGCGGACTATACCCATCATCACACCCGAGGGAGAGAGGGAGGTCGTCGTCAGACCCGGCATGCAAGTAGCTTGGCACCTATACGGAGGACATTTATCTCCTCGCTGGGGCTCGGATGCTCTAGACTTCAATCCCAAGCGCTTCATTGTCAAAAACACAGATGGCACAGAAAGTCTTCAAGTGCCTGATGGAGTGCTCTACTTTCCATGGACTGGTGGACCTCGCATCTGTCCTGGCCAAAAGTTCTCTCAGGTGGAGTTTGTGGCCGTGGTCGCGAACTTACTTTCTAGGTACAGGGTCGAACCTGTAGCACATGGCAATGAGTCAGAGTCTGAGGCTAGACAACGCTTGTTGACTGTCATGAACGACAAGTATTTCAACATCAGTGCGCATTTCAAAAGACCGGAGGATGCCGCCGTGCGCCTTGTGCCTAGGAACAACAATTGATGTTCTCACTCGCTGAGGAGATCCTTGAAGAACTCATCTTGTTCATCTTCGGCGAGGTGTGGCTAATGATAGCACCAAGACGTCGTCGTATGTTATATCAGATTGACCTGCAGGCTGATCCTGCTTGGTATCTCCCCATATGCTTGCTGTGCCGCATGATATATCCCTAGGGATGAACAGAGGGATCGGGAGCATTGAAATAACAAAGACTTGCTGCCCTTGCTGGATCCCGGCCACCAACACAGTAGAGTCATGATAGTCGCATGCAAAATTGAGATATGGTTGTCATCATCCCAGCTAGACTTGACTGCAACGTAGATTCAAGTATACCGCTCCAAAATTGGCGTTCTCCAAAGCTCTTCCACCTCAGTCCTGAATACATCTGCAACAGCGAATGAGTGTTGTATCAGCCCAAACATTTTCCTCAATCTCTGCTTTTGCTCATCCATATACACCCTCGCACAAGCAACCCTAAGTGGATATAAAAACAGCAATTTGGAAAGATTGGTTTGCTGCATTGCATATTCCGTTCCCTCAAGTATTGTGTTGACGTGATATTCAATCATGTACTGTGAGAGTGTGGGAACAGCTTCTATGGATCGTAGCCATACAGATCTGTAATCGTAGATTCCAGAGAGAAAGATCGAAGTTGCTGCAAAGTATACTTTTGCAATCAGAGTGCGGGACGAGGTTGTGAGGTGGAATGGCAGTGACAAAAGACGGGAGTCTACTCCATCGAGGGCAAGTCTGAGTTCGAATCCTTCCAGAGAGAAACTTCGGAGTTGTTGGATCTGGACGCTTGATAGAGCGGTTTCGTTCATGCCTTGAAGGTATGACAATGCCCTGGCGCAGTGATCCGAGCATTTGATCATCAGATCGAGAAGATCATCTAGAGGATGTGTGTCACTCTCGCTAGAATCACTACTGTAATGCAACTCCATCCAAGGCTTCTGAATCAAGAACGAAGACTCTGAGAATATCAGACAGCGAGAAACTTCAAACATCTTCGTCTGAGTGAAGAAACTCAGACCTAGGCCTGAGCGGAAAGCCTCTGGTCCTAAAAATTGGACGAGTTTAGAGGTACCGTACATGGTGTGTTTTATCCAGCCTTGGCCTGTGGGGTCGTACATTAACTGTATGCGTTATAAGCTGATGCCGAGAGATATAATGAAAGTATTACCTCAAACAAGCCTAGTAGAAACGTGCTTGACAATAGTGGTTGCTCGATCCTTGCGTCTGGGCCATTGATTACTTTCTTTACTGATAGCACTGCAGTCTGATAGGACTTTAATGCGAGTCTCTGATTCTGGAGACGGTTTGTGCTATCTTTCTGGCAAGCGTATAATGCACTCAATGCCTTGATCGCATGATGCACTGCCATGTCGGTTGCAAAGTGCGTCTGAATGTCGAGGAACCAAGTCGAAGGAAGTCCAGTAAAGTCATTCTCGCTGACGAATCTGGTGAGAAAGATTTTCAAGATCTCGTTGCTGTGGTCGAAGTTTGGCTTTTGTGATATCCTTAGACAGACCTCGCTTCTAGGTGTTTGTGGATTGAACAGCTGTATCCCCATGGTTGCTGTGTTTTTCTGAGGATAGACGCATTGAAGATTACGCTTGAAACAATTCGTACATCTTGTGCCAGCAGAACACTGCGATTGTTTAGCAAGACTACGACCAAGATATATGGCCAACTCACCTTCAAATGACTCTTCGCACAGGATAGGCATCTAGTCCGCTCAAGGCGGCGGTCCAATGGTCCAAGACGCATCTTTCGCGCAATGATGAGTGGGAAGAGGCATATTCGGGCGAGGCTTGTCTTGATCAAGTTATATGGATACTGCAAAGTAAAGACGAAGGCGTGAGTGTTCCGAGCCCACAGAAACGACCTGTCGCAGCCAAGGCGACTATATACGGCGGTCGATAGCTCAATGTATGACAAAATTATTTAGCGTCTTTTTATGTCGGATATATGCATGCTACGGAATTTTGCGGAGTGTACGATTTGTGCGAAAGGTTACCATAGCAACCATTAAGACAGAAAGCATAGTGATGTTTTAATTAAGGCCTTTCTTATACTAAGACTATATTTCTACTCTATAAGATAGTTGCCTTTATTATCGCCACTTTATTTAGTAGTACGATAGTTAGAAGGCTATTTGCTATACCCTTAGAGCTTTACTAAGGGCTACTTAAGGTAGTATAACATAGTACTATTAGCGACGGCTAGAAGTAGCTATCTTAAAAGGGTATTAAGTGCTCTACCTATACAATTCTTCGGATTATTACTAAATACAATGCCTAATTATATGTTACTATAGTCGACTCCTTATAGCTCTACTAGTACATCGCCTTACTATACTTCCTTAAAGTATATTAGAATAAGTAAATTATTTAAGCTCTTAGGTAAGAAGGGTTCTAAATCTCTTTAGAAGGAGTTATACGCCTTAGAAAATTAATAGAGATATACTACTATATTATATAGACTTAATAGAAGCAAATTAAGGACGAGTAGAGGCATATTATTAAGGATATACTTAATATAGGCACTATTAAGCAATTTAGATAAGAGTTCTTATTTACATACTTTTGCTTAACTTACTTAATATAGATAGTAATCTTATAGTTTATATAGCTATAAACTACCTTATTTATAAGGATAACTAATATATAATAGAAATAAGATATTTAGTCTAGTTAAGGAGATTAACCTAGTTAGCATAGCTTTACGCTATCGCGATCTCTAGCGCTATTATAGTAAGTATTATATAGGCGGAAAAAACTACATATAGTTAATCGATGTATACTATAAGCTTAAAGACTTTAGCTTCTAGGTCTATAGTGTAATCGATATATTTTCTAGATATATTATCTAGTACTATATTAGCATTACTACTAATATAGGGATTAGGTATGTTTCCTTAGCTATACGACGTCTTTAAAAGGCTTTAATATATAATACTAGTATATTTTGTTAGTACTACTAAGTAGTAAAATCTATAGGTTATATTCTATACTTTGTTTAATTAGACTATAGTAATGAGACTATTATAATTACTGACTACTACTTTAAGCTATTAAAACGTGTTTGTTTAGATATACAATTTAAAGACTACTTCTTATTTAGAACGAGTAAAAAAAACTAATAGATTAAAGCCTAGTAGAACTAATTATTAAAAGGCATATTAATAAAGTGGCAGGTAAGTAATGCAATTAATTTTAAAATAATTATATAGCTTAGTAACTTAGTAGTAGCAAGCATTTTAGAGCTATAAAAGCCGTAGTCTTTTTAATAAAGTATTAAAAGCTAACTATATTACTATACTCTATATCTATACACCTATATTATAGAAGGCAATTGCTATATTCGTATGCATATAGAATCTTTATTATATCTAGAACTAAAGGAATAGGCCTTATATAGTATTAGGTCGACCTACTTACCTATATAAGGAGGAAGACTAGGTTAAAGATCTTACCTTTATAGTAGACTAAGAGCTACTTAATAAACTCGACTATATTGCACTAGAGTTTAGTTCGTATAGTCTAAGTTAGCCTTATACTAGCTAACTAGTAGTAGATATTAATAAGGTATTACCTAAAGAGACTATAGAAGTCTACTAGGAAATTCTTAAGAGCTGTAGTTTCTTTAATATTAATAAGGTAGACTTCTTTCCTAATACTAGTAAGCGACTATACAAAGAGGCATTTATATAGCTTAGAACTTTACTCTATAAGCATAAGAAGTAAGGCCTACCTAAGCTTCTTAAGACACTATGTCCTATAGGTAACTATAATTAGGAGCCTAATGCTATTATACTTAAGTCTTTATTAGATAGTACGACTCTTAATAGAGACCCCTAGGCTAGTAATTTAAAAGGTAAGCCTTAGAAGAAGGAGGAAGATTAAAGGTATAATCTAAGCAAAGTAGGCCTAAGTGCTATAGGGTTCGACTAGTTTAACTATAAGGCACGTATAAAGGATTTCGATTAAGAACTCTTTATACTTTAAACTATATGTTTTTTTTTATTAAAAAGGACATTATTAAGCTATACGATTCTTTACAACTATTATACTAGGAGTTTAGACCTGCTTTTATAAGTAGAAGACAAATTATAATTATTAGATAAGATGCCTAAATACCCGCTTCTATTAGTACTACAGCTTAGAAAATAGAGAGTATTACTTTTCCTTCCTCTTAGTTATAGAATAGTATAATATAGGCATAGAAACTTCCTCTATCTATCGTATAAACATACCTAAAATTAACCTTACTAGTAATAATAGTCCTACTTTTAAAGCCGCTATAGTCTATATACTTACTTAATACTACCCTCTATAAAGAGACTAAAAGTAAATAACTATAGGTTTATAACGCCGTATAGAAAGCATATAAAGGATATTAAAGCAAGAAAAGTCTATATATAATGCTTATAGCCCTTTAATCTCTTTCTAGCTAGATTAGATACTATACTTTACTAGTACAAAGGCTATTAGAAAGCCTAAAAAAAAGGTAGACGATATAAAGACTCTAATCTCTCTATATATCGTTATAGCTTCTAAAAAAGAAGGTAAAGTGCCTAAAGCCTAGTTATAGATTAGTAAGTCCCTTCTTCTAGATTATAAATTATTAAGCTATACGACTAATAACATAGTGTTTTTTACTATAGCTATTACAAACTAGTAGATTAAGACTAAGGTAGAACTTATTAGGACCCTTTAATTTATCTTTACTAAAGTAGTACTATAATAGTCTAAGTAGATAGAAGAAGGAGCTAAGGTCTACCTTACTATAGTATATGATCTAACTAAACCTATATAAATACTAGGGCGACTAAGTCTTAAGTTAATTAAGCTTTTAATAACTTTCTTTAATCTTATTACTAAGTAACTACTATTCTTAAAACTAAATAAGGTAGCACGCTAGTCTATTACCCTTATAGTAGAAATAACTACCCCTTAATTATATATGCTAGAATAAGAGGCTAATAGAAAAAGCAATAGTAATCTACTAGTTACGCCTAAGGTACTAAAAAGAAAGAGGCCTTAGAAGGTAGTAGTAAAGCCTAAACCTTAGAAGATAAAGCAGAGCATTAAGAAGGAGCTAGAGGAAGATATAGAGGCTCTAGAGGTATTATATAGCCCTTACGTTACTATAGTATAAAGCTAACCTTTATAGATGCTGCGCTATGTCGCATTAATAAAGGTACTAATGCTACGACGAAGCCTTAATGACCTATCTAAAGGCCTATCTAATACTAAATCTAATCCTTATTATATACGTAGCTACCGCCTTTCTAATAATAGAGATGTTAAGAGAGAGGTTAAGAAGCCTTAGCTAGAAAATTCTTATAAGAGTAAATAAGAGGATAGAGTAAAGGAGCTAGTAGATAAGGAAGAAGAGGAATTAGATAGGGATAGCAAAGAAATCTTATAATTACATTATATAGCTTAGTTCTAAAGTTATTTAGTAAATCTCTTTTATCTTAAAGAATTATTATATAAGTTCTACTTGCTAAGGGTATAACCCTAACTAAAATTTATATTATATATCTTTTTTATTCTTATATAATCTCTTTATAATACCTATATTCTACTTTAATTATATACTCTAATTCTATATATGCCATTAAAAATCATAAAGAAATAAGATAGAAAGTTAGAAGAATATTAAAAAGTTAATTAAGAAAATATATTTTAGATCTCTTATATTGTTTCTTTAAAATTTATTAGCCTTCTTAATATATAGCATGTCCTACCTATATAATTCTTATATAAAGTAAGATTACATATTTAGATAGTAATTATTAAGAGAAAAGCATAGAATTTAATTACTAGATTATACTTCTCTTAATTCTTCCTATAATTTCTTTCCTATCTTTAAGTAAAATAGAGGGTCTTTTAAAGCTCTAGGCTTAGCTTATAAGGCCTCTTTTACTTTTCCTTCTACTTTAACTTTAACTTAGACTACTTTAGCTCCTCCTAACTTAACACTCTATACTTATCTAGTTTCTTAATTATGTAAGAAGGGCAACTATTTTCTCTAGTTATATAACTCTTATTCTTATTAGGCTCTTTAATTTTCATAGTCCTTATCTACTTATTATAGCTTAGAGATTTGTTATAGCAAAGAGCAAAGTTATCCTAGATATAGTTATTATAGGCATTATTAAAGTATCTATACTAGATAATGCATTCCTATTTCTTTATATTAAATTATATAGGCGAACATAAGAATACTTTTACTTATACCTTAAAAGGACTATATAATGTGCTATTCTCTAGACTCTTTCTACTACTATAGATAGTATATAAGTATTCTATATTGCTGCTATACTAAAGTAGTAAGTATTTTTTAATCTTATTATAGGTCCCTAGCTATATAAACTAAGTAGTAATAAGTAGTGTATTAATATATGACTTATGCTATATAGGACGGAAGTCTTCTAGATTCTATACTATAATACACTTAAGAGGCTTCTCCTTTTTCTTTAGCATATATAGTTTTTCTTACTCTTTACTTAGATAAGTAATATAGAGGAACTAGAGAATCGTATAGGTTAGCGCGCTACGAAAGTACTAGGTATATATACTTACCTTATTACTAGTAATGTCCTAGTTCTTATTAATATTATTCTAGAGAGTACTTATGTTAAGTAGATATAGAGCTATTATAATATATAGTTAATATATTATTAATATATATAAAGAATAGTATAAAATATAAGCTACTACTTAAAGAGAAGGAAGAAGTAGTTATAGTATTATTAATAATATAGGATTATAGGAAGAAGTAGGAGTTTATATAGCTAGCTAAAATGCAAGTAAGATTAGCTCTAAGTTATATAAAGTAAAAAAGTAGTTCTTACTAGAAGCGAAAGGTATTAATAAAGAAAATTAATAAAGAAATAGTAAGTAAGTAGGTATACCTTAGAAGTAATATAAGACTAGATATAAGATTAAGAAGGTATAGATAAAAGATAGAAGAGGCTACGTAAGGGTAGAATATATATAGCGTATTATATAGCCTAGTAATATAGAGAGTAAGCAAAAGGAGCTAACTAGAAGAAGGTAGGGAGACCATTAAAGTTTAAAAATAGTAAATGTCTAAGAGTATAAATATTCTTAAGCTAGGGCTATTTTACTATTTAAAATATATATTATATAGCTTAGAAGTATGCTTAGTAGTATATAACAAAAGCTAATATAACTCTATAACTCTTATTAAGGGTATAATAAGAAAACTAGAGTAGCAAGACTATTCTAGTTATTAGGCGTAAGCTAGCAAGTATAGATAGAGATATATAGACGTAGCTTAGAAGCGGAAAGCTATCTAAGTAACTCTAATAGATTATTAGGTTTTATTATAGAAACCTTTCTTTCTAAAGCCTAGTTCTAAGGTTTTCCTAGTAGATATATATTATAGGCCTACTTTTGCCCTAGTATAGCAGATAATAATTATATAGCTTAAGTACGTAACTAGAATTATAGTTAGCATATAAAGAATTAAGATCTATCGTTATTATAAAAATTTATATATATCTCTTAAGTAATAGACTGCCCTTCTCTTTCTTATAGTATAATACCTAGCTTTATATACTACCTTAATATAAGAAGGTATTTAGAAGAGTATTATCGTATTAGGGATAGGAGAAGTTAGGTACTATAATCTAAAAGTATATAATAGTAGTATTAGTATTTAGAGGTAATAACTTTCTATAACTTTGCATTTGCCTACCTATACGATATGCTTTCTATTCCTATATATATAGTATCTATTACTTTAAGAAAGGAAAGATAATAAAGAATACTAAGAAAAAAGGAGTAAAAAATTCTAAAATGTTATAGAGAGTACTAAGTAAATTATTTTTAGGTATATTTGTCTTTATACTATTCTTGTTATATTATACTTCCTAGATAATATAGTATTACTACATATATTTAGAGTTAAGAGATTAAATTAAGATTTAGTAAAAAAAAAAGTTATTATTAATAATAAGAAGGACTTTCCCTTTTTACTTATAGGCATTTCCTATAGGTATTATATAGCTTAAAACTCCTTCCCTTCTACTCTCTAAGCCCTTCTTAAACCTTCTATTACTTCTCTAATTACTTCTTTAACGACTTACAGCTATATCTCTAACTATGCTTAACTATGCTAGGTCTAGAAAGCTTTTTTAAAAGGTAGATAGGGCGACTATTTCCTCTAGTTATATAACTCTTATTCTTATGCTTCTCTTCCTTAGTAATTATAGCATCTAGCTTTATAACGTTATTAATATTAAAGGTGTACTTAGCACTCTTATCTTACTAGTAGTAGTTATTATAAATATTATTAAAGTAGCCCTTTAGAACTATATAGAGTTATTACTTCTTATTAGATCGTATAGGCGTATATAAAAATACTCTTTTTCTTACCTTAAAAGGACCTCTACTAATAGTATTATTATGTATCTTCTCCTTATACTAATTATAGCTATCTTCTTTTCCCTTATCGTTAGTACTATACTATTACTACTTACTACTAATTAGTTAGCTTTTTTTAATACTATCTAGCTTACCTACCTATATAAACTAAGAAGAGATAAGTAGTGCTTTAATATAGCATATATGCTAGAGATACTTTAGTATACTTAATTAGTTATAGTAGTAGTAGAGAAGAACTATGTTTTTACTTAGTAGCGCTATTACCTCTTTCTAGGTGTTATTAAGATAAAGACTAATAAGCTTAAGCTAAATCGTATAGGTTAGTAAGTCGTAGTATAGCTAGGTAATACTACTTACTTAGTTACCTCTAATATTAATAAAGCTATCTTTGTCGATATCTAAGCTATTACTATTAACTATCTAGTAGTATAGTTAATGTATATAATTAGTATTATTAAGAATATAGAAGAATAGAAGCAGCTTAAGTAGTAGTAAAAGAGAGATATTATAGAAGTAGTTATATAGAGGTATAAGATATAGAAAAAGAAGATTGTATAGAAGAGAGAATAAATATAGTACCTTCCTAATTAAAGTAATAGTAGTTATATAGGCGTATAGATTAGAGTAGCTACTAAAGTTGTTATTTACTACTTAGGTAAAATTAAGTAATAACTTAATAACTTATATAAGTTATATAATTTTAAAGGAAGTATAAAAAATAAGGAGAGAAAGTAAGGAGTAGTTTAAATACTAGTTATATAGGCTAGCCTAGAAGTAGGAAGGAGGATAGAAAACTTAGAGCTTAAGAAAGGTAAAATGATTATATAGTAAAAATTATTTTAAGTGCTAGAGGTTCTAAGAGTAGGATAGAGGGCTTCTATAGAATAGGAAATATACTATTAAGCAATATACTTTAGAGTAGAAGAAAAATTCTTATAACATACATACTATACTTTCTACTCTCTTAAAGAGTAATATAAAGAAACTATATAAGGATCGAGATTCTATATATTAGGCTACTAGAGATATTTAGAAACAACATTATATAGCTAAGCCTCTTAATTAAAAGAGTAGTACTTAAGAAAATAAGGGTATAAAAAAGTCTTTAGTCTTTAATCTCCTTTCTATCTATTATAGCTATTTCTTTCTACTTTTGCTTACCTAAACGATTAGATAATAATCGTATAGCTTAAGTAATAATTTGTATATAATATTTAATAAGTAAGAAAGAAGATCTATTACTATAATATAAAACTTTGTTTAGCTCTTTAATTACTAAGTCTCTCTCTTTTCTAGCTTTATAATATATATCGTATATGCATGTAAACAGTTAAGTAAACAAAGAAAATATTATGCCGGCTATTTATCATGTCCGTGCAGAAGTTATGCACACTAAATAATTTTGTCACACATTTAGCTATCGACCGCCGTACTATACCTAAAGAGGAAGTGTTCGCGCGAGATGAGCACGGACAGCGGCCGGCGAGATCCTCCGACTTCATGCGAACTCATCGTCGGCGAATTCAACCTTCTATCATGAGTGTACAGCCAAGATGTAAGAAACCCATCAGACCGTAAAAGGAAGTGTTCGAGCGAGTCTCATAGTTGTTGTCTCAAGGTAGGTCTTGCTGTGCAGCTCGATGTAAGTATAAAGAGACCGGTGGCATGAGTTCCCCTTTGTCAGCTTCACCTACATCCTCGTTTTTGCACTTGCTATCCTCCATCTTCTTGCTTCCGTCTACCTAACATGAAGCTGTCTCTATTCTTTTTCTATACGACTTTGACGTCTGCAATCGTCGTCCAACCTCCACTTGGAAAGTATGGTGTCGCAACCACCATCATGGAACTCGTGGACACCTCGCGGAACGACACTTATGCTACCAAACCGGAACCTCGACGTATCATGGTCTCTGCCTACTATCCAGCCGCTGCTTCGAAGAAATGCCAGCCCGTCATGCTCTCATACATGCCTCCTGCCACCGCAGCTGTCTACGACAAGATCTACGCACCCATCGGGATACCCAACGGCACATTCGCCTCCTTCGAACTTTCCACTTGTGCTTTCAACCGCAGAGATCGCAGTCGCGGTCCTAACAACTTCCCTATCGTCATTTTCTCGCCTGGTCTGGGCAATTCCCGTCTTTTGTATGGTGCAATGGCTCAATCTCTGGCTAGTCATGGTTACGTGGTTATTACCATTGATCACGCCTATGATGCGAATATCGTCGAATATCCCGACAAGTCTATTGCACTTGCAGTCGATATTTCAACTACTGAGCAGATTACAGCAGACGTGCTTGTTCGCCAACACGATATTTCTTTCCTGATTGACCAGTTGCACAATTGCTCCATCAGGAACCAACTCTTCCACGATATCGCAAGCATGAGGTCTTTGGACAGAATCCTTATGATGGGACATTCTCTGGGCGGTGCCACAGCTGCAGCTGCAATGCTTGCTGATCAGCGTATAGTCGCTGCTGTCAACCTTGATGGAACTATGTTCGGCGATGTCTTAAATGATGGCTTGTCTTCTCCATTCATGATCATGAGCCATGCGGGCAAGAATCTGAGTACTGATGCTTCTTGGAACAAAGTCTGGCCCAAAGTCACGGGCACAAAGGTTGCTGTTACGCTTAATGGCACTGTGCATGGTTCTTACTCTGATCTGTCTTTGTTGGCTAGTACTCTGGGATTAGAGACAAAGGACGATGCAAAGATTGGAGAGCTGCTGGGTACGATGAATGGAAAGACAGCCATCGAGAATGTTAATGGTTTTGTTGGACAGTTCTTTGAGTTTGCGAGAGGACTGTCGAAGGATTTGCTACCGAGAGATATGCCTGAGAAATTTCCCGAGGCAAGAGTGCTGGACAAACATGTTCATAAGTAGAGAGAATTTGAATTGCCAAGAACAGATATGGTAGAGTGTACACGTATCACAGTGCGAAGATATGGAGTACGGGCAGGTGGAATACCTCTAATTATACCGTTGCCGCTCACTCTGTGGTACGGCCACAGCATACTGTTGCAAGCTTCAGATTCACAACGTCCTTACAAAGAACCCCACCTGCAGCCTTGTCCATGTTAGACTTGCCGACGTTTGATGTCCAGGTTCCAAACAAGATGTTGTTCTCCTTCTCCTTGCGCTCAGAGAGTGAACGAGCATAAGGAGGTCAGCCTGTCTGCGTCGAGTCGCCGTGATGCTTGTGCGTAACAGAAACACACAAGAGGTGACGGATCCAGAGCACACGGGGCAGGCCCAAGTACTCGCGATAGTTGGGGTCGTCTGTGTAAAGTTGTCAGATGAACTCTGCAAAGAGGCTCTGGGTATTCTCGATTGCTATTTCCAACTTTAGCTCAAGTTGTGCCAATAGAAGCGAACGGAAGGAAATGCTCCAGGGAAGGAAGACTTACTGATTTCATGGCGGTTGCAGACAGTGCGCATTCTCTGTAAGCGCGTGTACATGAATATCGACCGGCATGCCCAGCTCCAGTCGCGAGGCATGTCTGAGAATTCCGAGTTCTCCTCGCGGATCTGAGGAGGACCATCGGGCCCCTTCTGCAGACGGATGCCAAATTTAGTCTCTATCTCGCGGAAAACATCGGAAAGGCGTTTGATGGTCTCGCCATCCCAGTCAGAACTGTGCGATCCACATTTATAGGGAAGCAAGCGCCACAGTAGGAAGTTCCAAGGTCCATCCTCACCCGGAACAGGAATTCCGGCGCGCCAATCGGCCTGATCGGCCTCGAGATCGTCTGGGTCTCTGCCTTCAAGACATGCATTCTTGATAAAGGGAGTCTTGGAGGTGATAATGTATAGATCGTTGCAGATCTTTTCGAGGTCCAGCTTCTCGAGCTTGCTGTGGGTCGCCAGGGGATTGTAATTGCCAAGTTCGACGAGGAAGCCGAGAAGCTGGCGCTGCTTCAGATAATTAAAGCCTGGAGTCGACATGGCAACATTCATGGCAGTATGGACCCTCATGGTGCCATCATGGCTCATGCCACAAGGCTCTGTGGCATCCACGGAAGGAATGAATGAGTCGCGATGCATTTGAACTTCGTTGTCGCGCATCTGTCGAGAGATCTCGGCAGCGTAGTCGTCGGTCCAAGCGTTACTCTCCAAGTAGTGATCACTGATTCCTTCGACCATGTCGTTCAGTCTGCTCTTTTCAGCTCCAGATTGATGGTCCTCGCCAGGTACCTTGCACTCCCTGTCGTGGTTTCTGCGGAGGGAGGACTTCATCAAAGTCTCACAAGTGTCGTCGCCAGAGCCAGTGTCAGCCGCGAGTTTCCTCTTGCACCGCTTGCAGACACGAGCAGCATTGTGCATCACAAGGGATGGGCACAGTTTTTGGCGCAGGTATGAGTTGCAGTGTTGAAAAATTTCGGACGACATCTTCTCGTCATAAATACAGGCAGAAACTTCGTCCTGTCCTGTGGGAACCTGGGCATTGACCCAGTCAGCGGCCTCCGCAAGGTATAGGGCTGCTACGCGAAAGTCGCCGCTACCTCGGAAGTGCTTGGCCCCGACAACAAGTGGTATAGAGGCTAGTACGCCATTGAGAGTTCTGACCATGGCAACTGTAGCCCCTGTATGATTGTGCTTGGTTCCAACTTCCGATCGAAAGTATGCATGTTAATGGCTGCCTGAAAGTTATGAGATTGACTTTCTTTCACCAAATGCACATAGCCTCCATAGCGCGCATACTGTCTTGATAAGGAGGAATTGCGTTGTTTGTTGCATTACCTATTGGAATCCATTGGGATATGCAAGCTGTCTTTCCGGCCTTTGAAGAAGCGGTAAAGTTGTTACGTTCTTGATTTACATAGCGGTGACAATGAAACTTGCAAACACCAGTTCCGATGCCAGATTGAATTGCCCCAGGATATGAATACTGATTGGTTAGTCGGAACTCATATCTTGGGCTTCACTTCTGCTTGGTCCCGTCACTTGAGGCCTTCACTTGAGTCGATTGGAAGGAGCGATCAGGGACGCCGCGTATAAGACCCACATCGTTTGACACCAGTCACCATCCCAATAACAACAACATCAGTTCTGAACCTTGTGCACCACCTTCGCCTGAGTGCGCCTATACAAAGCCGTGACCAGATCAAGGCAGATATACGCTTGTGGTATCGTGAGTGTGTGCGACAGGTCGTTTTCCCTGCACGAGCAATTAATCCTGATTCGGAAGTGAAGCTGGAGTCGTGTAATCGCTCTTCCCCCTCATTCAACTCTGCGCAAGCATACGATTTTTTCCTATCCACCAACACTTCGTCAGAACAATCCATTGCCACCACCTACCTCTCAACATCATGGCATCGCAGAAAAACGGTCAGATGCTTTCCACTCACCAGAATGAAAATCCTGTCGAGAACGACACTGCGATCCCCGACACTACTCAAGACGCTACTTTCATTCAAGATACCGCAATGCATACCGCCGAGGCCGCTGGTACCGCCGAGGCCGCTGGTACTTCTGTCTCTTCCTTCGAGCACCGCGGCTACGATTACAAAGGCTATCCTAAGCCCGGCGAGAATGATGATCTTCCGATGTATCCCGGCATCCATCACAACGCCAACGAGAATCTCGAAAACGCGTTCAAGAACAACTTCGCCGACATGATGGACATGTTCGACAAAGGCGACAGCGAGGCCGCCGAGGCCATAGCTACCGAACTGCTGCTCTGGGGAGATCTTCCTTGTCTCATTCGCACCTACGCACACATCGTAAGTAAACCTCTTCGCCTGTTGCTGGCTTTTCTCTACTCTCACTGACACAACCAGGTTCTTGCTTACGGTCCCACGGACAACCTTCTTCATGCTTCCAGGGCCGTCGAAGAGGCTCAGCGGGGCCTTGCGAGATACGGCGATCAGGGAATTGGCAATGAGTTGCTCACTGTTGCCAAGCAGACGTTGGAAGCAGTCACAAAGGCGCGCAGCGAGGCCATCAATACTGGCAGTGCTAAGGTAGACGCTGAGCAAATGGTAAATTCCAGCGCGCATGACGAGAACAAGACACTGCTGACGCCAGATAGGAGGTTGACCAGCACGCCGAGAACAGCCAGGACACATCCACCTGACACCTGTCTGTCACGGCGCGGCGCGGAGGGAGGGAAGAGGGTAGTAGAAGTGCATGGAACCCTATAGGCTTACTCCATATTTGGTATTTCAAGAGTCTCTCATTACCTTTGTTCTTCAAATTCTTGTGTATGGTGCAGATGACGATGGACGAGAGGAAGGACGGAGAGCGCCCGACTGGCGCGTCACATTCGAATCCGACGGTTGTTCTTCGGTGCGACCGAAATTCCGTAACTTCCACTGTACTCCGACTATAGCAAAGAGCATCTCTACACTATGAAAAGAGACAGTTTTTGGAAAGCAGAGGTGTATCCATAGAGCCGACAACTTACTGCCTCTCGGTGGATAGCATTAACTTTCCTATTACTATGATGCATTTCTATAGCTATACACGTTACATATGTTTGAACACGGGAAGGTTGAGTATTGATTACACTGTCATTGAACATTTGAGATTCACTAGAGAAGCATGCAAGTAGACAATGAAAGAGTGAAGGAAAGTTCTGGTTAATCTGATGTAGATTGTGGTATAATTATGTCATGATAAGATTACAAGACTGGGTTGGTAGCCATGATATCGTAACAAGTGACTCCCAAGAGAATACACTTAGTGGGAAGTCTGTCCACCCTTCTTTCCAGCCTCAGATGGATCCACCTTGCCGCCAGCGAACTCTGCATTGGTGTCAGTGAGTGAAGAGATCATGAAGCCGAAGGTGAATACTCACGTCCGTTGCCGCCGGAACCACCGGAGGAGCCAGTGTCCTCAGAGCTGCCGCCAGAGGCGTGACCGCCCTCCTTGCCTGCCTGGTGGGGATCAACCTGGCCCTGGGCGAACTGGCCGGTACCTAAGAGAAGGTATGATTAGTATCATCTCACAAGATGGACAGATGGGAACACCACGACTTTGCAAAACAATTGTACCCAGTTCTGCACTAAACGCCGCCCGGGACGATGTTCTGATGAACGCCGTACTGGCCTTGTGCCAGACTGAGACAAGATGCCGTCGCTAGTCATGGTGTCTGTGCCTTGGGCTTGACTTACCGACACGCTTGTCCTCGGTACCGTCCTGCTTAAGGCCTCCGTGCTCTTTAGAATATGTCAGCTAAAGCTGCTCTGGAGTGAGGAGGGAGGCAGAAGTGCATACCAGTGGGCTTGTAGGTTCCAGACATGTTGATAGATTGAATAAAGTAAAGACTTTGTTCTGAAGTAGTGTGATGTGAAGTGAGATTGTGCGAGAAGCTGTAAGATCGAAGTGGTTTTCTGATTGATGATGAAGAAGGAGAGGTAGAGGCAGCAGAGGACGAGGTACTTATACGTCTTTCTGCCATCTTGTTCGGCGCTCGCTTGCAGCCATGCAAAGTGTCGTTCTTGCTCGGTTTCGTCAGAAGGGCGCAAGTAAGATGAGCTGATGATGCGAGATGGTGTAAAGGATGAACGTGCAGCAAAGCGTTAGGTGGAACGGGTAGCTTTCCCCACAGATCGTGCTTGCGTCGTACCTGAGTAGATCGAAGATCTGGTCATGGAATGACGCTTATACAGCTGATCTTCTACCGAATACAGCGTTAATTGATCTCCTAAAACGTGTCATAGCCGTGATGAAGCCCCGCGTTTGACGGAGCGAATTCGATCCTTTGTTGACAGGGTAAAGTAATCTCCTATAGCATGCTGCGGCTCGTTTTGAAGCCAGTGAACGAGTGGAATCTTCTCTATTGCTCTCAACGCATGTTTCCTGCTCAGCATACATAAATTTCAAGCTTCTCCTGGTTGTAATGGTCCGGTAATCTTTCATCATGATCAGATAACGCCATCAGGGTTGTTTCTGTTTCATTGTGGCAAACGACGCTATTACGTTCCCAATCGAGCGTGAAGTGGTTTCGCGATCGCGGCTCTGCACGCGCCATCATGACGCGCCTCGACCGAAACAGCCCCAGAAAACAACAGTGTCAACATCATCAGAGCCGCACGTACTCCACCCGTTTCTTCCAGATCTCATTGAACAGTTTGAACTCAATCGCTTCTAGTCGTTTCTTCTTCAGCCGCGTCGACTATGAACTTGCAATTTGGGGTTTAGTGCGGCGTTCAAACTCCACTATTGACCTGACGATATAGCCCCTCGTGATGTTGTTTGCGTGGTAAGTGCTTCATGCAGGGGCCTGAAGCTTCTGGATGTGTTGTCGTTTGACATCATGAATCGTGGTCGATCTGTTTACTATTGGCAGGACGTGCTCGCGGGAAAGACAATGAGCTAGCAAAAGACAGATGCAATCATGCAAGCGTCTTTGTCATGCGATCCTTTGGAGATGTAGCGGTCATGGTCTGTTTGCTTGAGGTGATTTCAAGCGACATGACGTTCGGCGGTTTGGCGATGAGGTGATTAGTCGTCTGCCTCGTACAACACGAGGGCACTGCTGCCTTGGGTTGATGGAAGACTTGCATTGTACAAGCATGAAAACCAGCAATGCAAGAAAGAAGCAGACCGCTTTCCTACACGTTTCCTGAATTGCAGCCTGCAGGCACTACAACTGGATCGCTTTGTGCTTCTTGTGAAGCGGAAGCGACGATGAGCCTGCAAAGCGCTGACAGTTCCTGAACGCTTGCCCGCGCGGCTGAGCCGACCGCCCAAAGAGTGTCCCAATCCTCTACGAGCTGCACAGTCTTCTTCTGCTGCTGCTTGGCAATCTGACTTGAGGTCGAGTCAGTCGACGAGACTGCAGGAGCTTCTGCTCTGCTTAGGTCCTCGATTTTCTGGCGGAAGCCACGAGAGGTCGGTGCGTCAGAAAAGAGTCGCAATTGCGTTACAGAATCTCAGAAACACATTGATCAGCTAAGTATCTCAATTGGAGCGACAGTGGGATTGTTCGACACTGCTGCTCTACAAAGTTGAACACTCCAGCCGCACACTTTTGGCTTCAGCCGCAGAATGCGGCTGAACGAAACTTCTCGCTGGTCGCCAACGTAGAACTGTGCGGAGAGAATGCACCCCTCATACCCCTCACTGAGGAGAAAGACAAGTCCGGCGGACAAACACAAGTCCACTCTACCCCTCCTCAACCAGCGCTACATAAATGTTATTGGTTTCGCAGTCTCGAGCAATTGCTAATTATCAAGCATAGAATCTCCAGAATTGCCAAAACAACATGCCTGGCAAAAACTACAAGATCGCTTGTATACCTGCCGACGGTATTGGACCGGAAGTCATCAACGCGGGCGTCAAAGTGCTCGAAACATTGAGTGCGGCGAGCAAATCATTCACTCTAGACTTTGAGCACTACGACTGGAGTTCTGAAACATACAAGAAGACTGGAAAATACATCCCCGACAATGGACTGGAAGAATTGAAGAAGCACGACGCAATTTTGTTTGGTGCTGTTGGAGCTCCTGGTAGGCTTCATTCACCTCTGACGCGATCAAGAGTGGGAGAGTGAGGGCTGATTTATGTTACAGATGTTCCTGATCACATCTCACTTTGGAGTCTGCGTCTCGCAATCTGTCAAGGCTTTCAACAATACGCCAACGTGCGTCCATCCAAAATACTCCGAGGCACCGAGTCACCTCTCCGCAAAGCGACAACCGGCGACTTAGACTGGGTCATCATCCGCGAAAACAGCGAAGGCGAATACGCAGGCCAAGGAGGTCGCAGTCACAAGGGCCAACCTTGGGAAACAGCCACCGAAGTCAGTATCTTCACTCGACACGCGGTGACCAGACTCCTCAAATTTGCGTTTGAGACTGCACAGAAGAGACATAAGAAACATATCACAGTGGTTACGAAGAGTAATGCGCAGAGAAATGGTATGGTCATGTGGGATGAGATTGCGGCCGAAGTCGCGAAGGAGTTTCCGGATCTCAAGGTGGAAAAGATGTTAGTGGATGCTATGACTTGTCGTATGGTGTTGCAGCCGCAATCGTTGGATACCATTGTCGCTACAAATCTTGTAAGTTGCAGAAATTTTTCACACAAGACAGAAAAACTGACTTGGATACAGCACGCAGATATCCTCTCCGATCTCGCCGCAGCACTCGCAGGGTCCATCGGCATAGCACCAACGTCCAACCTCGACCCCACACGCCAAAACCCCAGTATGTTCGAGCCAATCCACGGCTCCGCTTTCGACATCACAGGAAAAGGCATCGCCAATCCGGTAGGCACGTTTTGGACTGCGAGTGAAATGCTACGGTGGTTGGGCGAAGAAGTCGCTGCAGAAAGATTGCTCGAGTGTGTGGAAAACGTGTGTGGGAATGGTATCCTGACGCGTGACCTGGGTGGTCAAGCAACCACAAAGGAAGTGACTGATGCAGTATGCGAGGAGATCAAGAAAAGCTATGCATAAATGCATAATGTCGAGTTGTATGAAGCATTTCTCCCTAGAGACAGCTGAAACCCAGCAAGCGGACTCGGAGCCCTTAGGCTCGGTTAGCCTGACCTTTTTTACCCATCATCCACGGCCCAGACTCCTTGTTCTCCAGCACAATCATGTTCAATCTCTTCTCATAAGCCTTGCGACTTGTCTCCTGCGACGTCTTCAACATAGCCCACCGTAGATATGGCAACCCTTTGAGATACTCATCTACACAATCAAGCAGCCAACCTCCCAACCCATTACCTCTATACTCTGGCAACACATAGACATCTGTAATGTACCCAAATGTCACCTTGTCGGTGACCACACGCGCAAATCCAACCTGAGTACTGTTCCCGTCTTCGTAGAGGCCAAAGCAGACTGAGCTAGCAATGGCCTGTCTGAGCTCATTTAGGGGTAGGCGAGTTGTCCAGTACATCCAATCGGTATCGAAAACATCGTTGATGGCATTGAGGTCAAGAAGAGAGGGATCGGTGGAAATGCAATGTGTGCCACGCTCCCACCTCTGATGTACTGAATGGTTTGAGGTCATTGGTTGTGGCAGGAGTTGGACAGGATGTTGTCGGCCCAGAAGAATTTCTGCAAGAAAGAAGTTCTAGTCATTGATGAGATGTGTGCTTGTACAGCTCCTGATAGAAAGCATTATGTGACTCATTTCATAGGGCTTGCCGGATACGAAGGTTGAACGTGTCAAAGCTGTACTGGCGTATCAATCCCTGTACCTATTCGAAAGCAAATCTACACGTCAAAAGATAACAATTCACTTCACGTATCGAGCGATTGTTGCCTCAAGGCTGAGAATGCTTTGTAATCTTCAGGTAAGCAGAGGAGGATGATGTAGCTTGGCATGGAGGGACAAACAAGATGCCCCGCACTCAAGCTCCATCTGCAGCATTGAACCAGATAGATAAATACTCGCTGGACCATTGCAAATTATCAAGATCACAGCAATCAAATCGCATCAAGCAATATGTCAGACATCAAACCCTATACCATCTCAGTTCCACAGGCGAAACTTGATCGCCTGCAGCAGAAACTCGCTGTTGTTGACCTGCCAGATGAGCTCGATGACGCAGGCTGGGATTACGGCGCATCTCGACCCGAAGTCAAGAAACTAGTCACTTACTGGCAAAACGATTACGACTGGCGCAAGCATGAATCAAAACTGAACGAGCTGCCAAACTACGTGACTGGTATTAAAGTCGATGGGTTTGGCGAGCTGCAGATACATTTCCTCTATCAGAAGAGTTCGGTCAAGAATGCTATTCCTCTTCTCTTCTGCCATGGATGTCAGTAACTCCAGCATCGATGCATCAGAGAATTTGCTGATGACGAGATAGGGCCCGGAAACTTCACTGAGGTGTCGAAGGTGCTGCCTTTGCTGGCTGACACCAAAGACGACGCACCTGCTTTCCACGTTGTCGCACCTTCGCTTCCCAACTTTGGATTCTCGCAGGGAGTCAAGAAGCGAGGATTCAGACTCAAGCAGTATGCAGAGGTCTGCCACAAGCTCATGTTGAAGCTGGGCTACAAGCAGTACGGTAAGCACACCCTCGTCCTAGTGCTTCATGCAGTTACTGACACTGTGCAGCAACTCAGGGTGGAGACTGGGGTTTCTGGATAACGAGACTCATGGGCCACCTCTACCCAGAAGCATGCAAAGCTTCACATGTCAACATGACCCCACCAGCCATGGACGCTGACCTCACTGCTGCCCTCAACGACAAATCTTCGTTCAGCGAGCAAGAGTATCAAGCTCTACAACGCCTGGCCAGATTCCGCAAAGACGGTGCGGGCTATAGCACCGAGCAAGGCACTCGGCCTCAGACTCTGGGTTATGGACTCCAAGACTCTCCAACTCTTTTGCTGTCCTGGATTCTCGAGAAGCTTCACGAGTGGACTGACAACTACCCTTGGACACCCGACGAGATCCTGACTTGGGTGTCTTTGTATTGGTTCTCTTCTGCTGGACCTGCAGCCAATGTTCGGATCTACTACGAGGCCAGGCATGATGCACAAGGCGGCGATGACATGAGTGTCTTGGCGGCAGCGACTGGTCATGTTCCGCATGTCAAGCTAGGCGTCATGTACAACTGGAAAGACATGGAGACGTCTCCGAAAGCGTGGGTGAGGAAGATAGGACCTGTGGTGTTTGAGAACGAGCATGACACCGGTGGTCACTTTGCTGCTTGGGAGAAGCCTGAACATCTGGCTAAAGATCTCAAGGACATGTATCGTAAGGGCGCGGAAGCTGCTCAGGTCTTGGGCGATGCGAACGGCTACGACGGTTGATGGAGCATCTGCAGGTTCAGGTGCAGCTCGTGGTGACGCATGGATCCAGCGAGATCATAGATAGGTCAAACATAGCAGTATCACTATATCCTGGGAGTGAGAGTACAGAATAATGTATGATATGGTTGCGTCAAGCGACTGTTCCCAACTTGCAATCGAAGCCTGCGCCCGGGCCACCTGAGCTCCTTGCTGCGGCTTCTCATTTCTAATTCCATCTCATAATGAGAAATTCTTCTGTGACTTCCATCATGTTGGTCGAAACGAATGATTTCTCATGATGCTTGGAATCCACTTGCTATGAGTCTCTGTATAGCTCGCTCTTCTCATACTGACAGCGGCAATGTGCAAAAGCTGCGCAAAAGTCGCAAGAAAGAGCTGAAATCATGACAGCGCGTCATCTGCTTCGACATTCACCTGCTGCTTCTGAGATATTGACTAAATGGACTTGTGAACATCGGGACAGCCCATATCCTACTGCTGCCGAGAAAGAAACTCTACGAGGACTGACAGGTCTGAATGTACGACAGCTCAATACTTGGTTTGCAAATTATCGTCGGCGGAAGCAAGCTGGACGCCCAAGCAAGGATACGTCGGCCACAACACCTCAACTCGTGACGGACGCAATTGAGAATGAACCAGATACTCAAGCTGTTCCTGAGCAGGAGACATCCCTTTTGCTTCAAGGCAAGAAATTCCAATGCACCTTCTGTACCGACACCTTTAGCACAAAGTACGATTGGACCAGACACGAGACTTCCTGTCACATCCCACTGAAACGCTATATTTGTTGTCCCTTTTCTGCTGTGCAGCAATGCGCAAGCACTGGTAATCAGATCTGCGCCTACTGCGGCCTCACATCTCCGACCTCGGAACACATCGCGTCTCACAATCATGACTATTGTCAATCGAGAGAACCAAATGCTAGGATATTCCTTCGAAAAGACCATCTTCGCCAGCATCTGCGTTCTGTACATGAGTGTGGTATGCTTCCACATATGGATGACTGGCTTCTGGAAGCCGCATGGGTGAACAGCCGCTGTGGCTTCTGTGGCGAGCGCTTTACAACATGGAACGAAAGGAACGAACACCTCGCTAGTCACTTCAGGGATGGTTACCATATGGGTATGTGGAAAGGCTGTAGAGGCTTTGACGGCGCTGTATCTGCTCAAGTAATAGCGGCCATGCCACCATTTCTTATTGATTTGGAACGCCTGCGTCCATTCCCTTTCAGCGCCTCCAATGCAAAACGTGGTCCCGGTCTGCCACAAAACAGGTCTTGGGAGTTTCTCGTGGCGGGATTGCATCGTTTGGTTAAGTATAGAGCATCACAAAGTCGTCCTGTATCAGACCAAGACCTTCAGGATGAAGCCCGGCTCCTGACTTACGGGTCATCCACTGCCGACATTCATACTGCAGCCGACAATCCTGAATGGCTAGATCTGTTCAAAAAAGCTTACAGTCTCGGTATCTTGACGTGTCTTACCGAAGGACAGGAACCTTACACGGCCGAAGACCTTGAAGTCTACCACGATCTTGGAATCGCGATACCTTCCTTGTCGCAAGAGCAACGAACATCTGCCCTTCTTGTATTGTTCCAGAATGATGGACCCATACCAAAGGCATATCGCCGTTTTTCCGCTTCACGTGTTCCTCTGCAGAAGGCGCTGCCTTTTGAAACGATTTCTGGTCCTTGGCCTGATGCAGGTCTACTCGGAGAAATGTTGATCGTTGCGGAGTGGGTGTTCCGAAAGACACTGGGAGCAGAGCTTAGTCTGTCTCTCATCAGAATAGAAACTGGGGATGAGTGGCCTTGGGAGGACGAAAACGAAAGTGAAACTCAGTTTTTCGAAGGATTGCTCTTGCCTTGGCATGCAGACATCCAAAACGAAGACGAACACAGGATCCAAGCTCTTGATTGAAGGAAAGGTATACACCAATGCTAGGCAAACATGATCCATCGGCATTGTATCATGCTTAGCAGATGTCTCGATTTCAAATGTCCCAAGTTCAAACGAGTCTGCCTGCACTATCATTGTCATTTGATCTTGACATTCCATCAAGGGCTGGATCTTCTGAACTTCTTCCATACCGCCTCGTCGGGCCCACAAACATGCCCACTGCGCCGAAACTTGCAGCGAACATGATGACGCCAGTATATAGCACGAGGCCCGACCATGCCGTACCTCCTCCCCACCCTTTGTTCGACCCACCCTCATGGACAAACATCTTCATGATGAAGCCCGAGCCGATGATCGCAGAGCCACGACTTGCGGTCAATATCGCAAACACAAACAGACTTTGATTGTCCTGTGAATCCTGATCACCTACAATCTCGGCTGCAAAGCGAGGTCGTAGTACAGCAAATCCACCTGCCGTACTGCCGAACGCTAGCGCAAAAATGGACAACGACCAGAGAGAGCGAGCAAAGCCCCAGATCAGGAGAGCCTCGAGGCTTGCGCCGATGGTGCTGATGAGCATGGGGATGTAGTAGGATTTGCGCCAGTCACTGTGATTTTGGTCAGTGTGAGGTTCGCATCGACTTTCAGTCAGACTTACGCAAGCCATCCTTGCAAAGGTTGACCAATAGCCTGTGCGAGATTCAAAAGACTGGCAAGCATAGCCGCTTCTGAAGCGGACAGTCCAAGACTGGCTCCAAAAGATGGAAGATATAGGCTTGGGCCGTAATGAGCAATCGCTTGTACCATGGTTGCGAGGAGCATGATCAGAAAAAGTGGTTTCTTTGTAAAGTCAAAGTCTCTCATCGAAGGGGCTGGAGGCTTGGCTGCTTATAGAAAACTTAAATATGATTAACATCGCCATTAACCCTTGGAGGTCTTCGTGCCTCTCTTAGCCCTGGGCTCGCCGGGGACACATTCCTTGTCCAACCTGACGCATCTGGCGCAAGGTGTATTCCCGTCACACTTTTCTTTACCTTTCCTGCAACTTTGACAAGCCACCGATGCATATGATTTACGAGATCTGTTCTTCATCTCGGGGATCTCGTCTTCATCCGATCCCTCATTCTCGACCAGAAGATTCTCAATCCTTGGTTTCTTGACAATCTTCTCATCCTTCTCTGATTCTTCGGGTCCAGATTCCAACCCCTCCATGCTCTCTTCGGCAATCTCATTCAACTTTCTATATCTTGCGCCAAAATCTTTAGGCACTCGAGGGACGAGTCTTGTCTCTACGACCCCGACACTTTTGAACGAGTCCAGAATTTTCTTTTCACTCCAATCTTGCATTACGGTCTGGGACAGAGTTTTCGCAAAATACTTGAGTTGCGTGTGCTGCATTCTCGAGAGATGTTGAGTTTCGTGCAGGTAATGAGGAGGGGAGTTTTCCAGGGACTCAAGAGCTGCCAGAATTCTACTCCAGCGATCGTGATCCCAGCATCCCGAAAATGTGAGGACCGCACGTATCGTGATGCCAAATTCCTCTTGGGCGATCTGAATCTCCAGAGCCTTCGAGGCTAACAAGACCTCGACTTCATTCTCCATGACAGAGAAGCATCCAGAATTGTCTTTCTTGCGGCGACACTCATTGCGAAGATCCAAAAATAATACTGGGTTTTCTCCTTGCATCTGAAGCGCCGATACAATTTTATCCGTTTTACATTCTTCCTCATCATCAGGCTTCATGCAGAATCCCAGAACAAGCATGACTTCTTGACCTCTTAACTCCCTAAACTGCGGGAGGGCACGTCTGATCATCTGAACATCCTCCGGCAGTATTTTGAGGATGTCTGCGGAACGGGTTCTTCTCTTGAATGCATTGATGAGGGGTGCAAATTGATCGAGCCGCTGAAAATGGCGTTGGGTTGGTGTTTCGGAGGACATGTCACGGGATTTACTTTTCGAAGGGAGGGATTCATTTTTGGGTAGAGAAGGCTTCGAGGAGCGGGTTTGCATTTTGGATGATGAAACTCGGAGAATTTTGAATGCACTGAACGAAGAACGACGAGAAGCAAAAATGAAAATCTCGAGAGATTTCATGTTGGAAACTGCAGTCTCCATTTTGGAAGTTGCACTCCAAGGACGCTCTTACCCAAACCCACCCTCGAACGGTGACGGCAGAAAACGCCTTCCTGCTTAGAACATGACAACAAATTGTGTCGAGAACTTACGCTGGTCGCTTCAACCGTGGCGTAATTATAACGACCATCCACCGCTCCATTCATCTTCAAGGCATTGTTCGCCATTTACCTATCGATGATGGACGCGCTGTATCTTCGCCTGGAAAAAGTCTTGCACGCAACGTGGGCTGCGATTAACCTGCCTTTCTCTTGTCTGCGTTTCGCGGGAACGCGCTTTGAACATCCCAACTTCTTTTTTCTGTATTGTGTTTGCCCTCCGATTCAGCTCTTTGTCTTCACTGCAGTCTGGGCCCTCCTCTTTTATCTTACGCCATCGGAACTCGGACGCGTCTCACGGATTAGTCTTGCTCCAGCTGGTCCGGCTCCGTGGGTGGAGACTACAGCCTCCCTACAGGCATGGTGCTTGGCGTTATGCGACAACATCTTTCCAGAGAGCGCGATTGTTTGAGCGTTATAATTGTTGAGAAGGCGTAACGAGCTCGTGGTGATCTAGCAGAGCTTTTTTTTCGAGGCCTGGATGGTTCTGTCGCAGTGAATATCGGACGATACGACAACGCTTCTTGCTGGACACACTGCTATATCACACAGACTCGTGCCTCATTACATTCACCTCGGTGCGAAGTTCTGTATACGGGATACGGTGTATCTATGTTGTCGCCGGCTCTGCTTACCTATCCAGGTCTCTCGAGACGATGCTTCTGACAATCAAACTTTCGTCTCGAAGGATTGCCAAGGGTCACGTGCTTCACAACAACCTCGCCGACGATACCAGCGCGCGCAGCATTCCGGCCTCTTGGCACATAACGAAGCCTCGAGAGGCAAGAAAGCGAGGACAAATTCCGGCCATGGAGAACATCAGTTTCGTTCAGGCCACATTGCAGAGCTCTTATGGCTCACACGATGAGTGCCACCGGTCAGGAAAGCTCCAGCGTCCTCTGCAATATGACAGACGTAACCTGACGAAAAACGTCCTAATATAGGCGCGTTGTCGATGTTGTATACCATATCGACCTCGTCGTCGACAGAGCGATGGTAAGTGGGTCTGAGGCCGGAACGCCTTCCTCGTTCAGAAGCATTCTGTCCTTATCAGAGGAACTCATTCCGGCCACAAGAACAAAAGGGCTTCGCTTCGCCCACATTCTTCGAATTTCCTTTTTTACCACCCAGAATCATTAGATCTGAATTGCTGCCATTTCTACGCTACCAATCATGCCTGGCATCATTACCCAGCCCTCTTTTCTCTCTATTCCTCATGACCCATCTGAGCTGCCCGCTGGCTCTGACCCTTTTCTCATCACTGCTCAGAATGGGTACCTTCCCACGCAGCTGCCACTTCGCAGACTGCCTGCAGCCTTTGATGTATTGAGCGACATCCTGGATGACATGCCCATTCTCAAGGAAGATGGCAGCGCTGGCTTGCTTGCGACTTTCAAGCTTGGCCCACTGATTGATTCTGGTGCTCTGCCTGACCTCACTGCTGAGATTGATAACCTCGTTGTTCCTGGCACCAAGGAGATAGACATGGCTGCTATTACTGCTGCCTTCCGCGACTACTCGTGAGTTATGTCAGTCGCAAATTCGGTCATGCAGGTGCTAATTTACATAGTTTTGTCGCTTCTTCTTATCTGCTTGAGCCTTGCTGGAAGGTTTACAGCAACAATCCCGCCGACGGCTACGGGCTTGGTCGTCAGATTCTGCCTAAGTGCATTGCTGGCCCACTTGTCAAGTGTGCCGAGATGTAAGTCGTTGCCGACTCCTGTGATATCTCGTATACTAAGACCCGTCAGCCTTGATATTCCTGCCTTCATGTCGTACGCCGCTTCTTACGCTTTGTACAACTACTATCTCGTTGATCCTTCCAAGGGCCATGATGACTACTCCAACCTTCGTCTGATCCGTGCCTTCGAGAAGGGTCTCGATCCCAAGTCCTCCGAAGCTGGTTTTATTCTGACTCACATCCATATGGTCGCACAGACAGGCAAGCTGATTGAAGGAGCTGCCAATGTCGTGGACGCCGTCTCTGCGGCCCGCGACGAGCAAAAGGATGAGCATGCCATTACTGATGCTAAGACCGGACTTCAATCTATTCTCCAAGCCATGACTGTCATTGAAGCCAACATGGAAAAGATGTGGGCCAATTCTCTGCCTAAGGATTATATGACTTACCGCACCTTCATCTACGGCATCACCAACCAATCTATGTTCCCCGACGGTGTCATCTACGAGGGTCAATACGACGACAAGCCTCAATTCTTCCGCGGTGAATCTGGCGCAAATGACAGCATTATCCCTCTTCTCGACCACATCTGCGAGATCCCCATGCCCGAGAACCCGCTCACGCAAATCCTCCGTGAATTCCGTCAATACAGACCCAAGCCTCACCGCGAGTTCCTGACCACTATCCGCGAAAAGGCAGCTGACGTCGGTGTCCGCGACTTCCTCACCAATTCTGGCGACCTCAGCGCTGTGGTCTTGTACTTGCGCGTTCTCGACCACATCCGCAGTTTCCGTTGGCGCCACTGGCAGTTTACTCGCGAGTATATCATCAAGCGCACTTCTCACCCTGTCGCTACCGGCGGCAGTCCCATCATTACATGGCTACCCAACCAGCTTTCTGCAGTCATGCAGTTGATGGAAGATGTGTGCAAGGGCTCTGGGCTTTGGGCGATCCTCGCTGAAGGTGTGTGGACTGGTGGCGGTGCTCAGGCATCCTTGACCAAGAAGGAGTTTGACTTGATCAAGGATATTATGGATAACGCGGTGGATCAGAAGAAGAAGTTGGCAAAGGAGGTCGCTAAGTATTGCCAGGACAGAGGTGTTGATGCCACAAAAGTTTGAGGCGTCATATCGCGGTTCTAGGGTTGTCTTTTATTTGATTTTCCTGTTTTGTTTTATTTTCAGTTGCGCTGGAGGAGTTTTTTATTTCTCCTGGAAGTTTTCTTCTTCCGCGCAACGCATCTCGCTTGACTTGGTATTTCATCGTAGTCTCATTTCCTATTACAGCTCCTTCTTTGCATCTCAGCAGACTAGTGTGATAAATTTGGCCTTGATAAAGTTCTCTCTTGTATTTGGCCGTTTTAGGGCTCAGCAAATTCGCCGCTGTGTTGTGGAGTGGAGTCGACGTCGGACCTCCCTTCTTGAACCGCTCCCTTCAGATCGCAGCAACAAGTCTAGCAGCGACAAGCAAAAACTGGTTTGTTATCGCGTGTGCAAGGTAATTGAGGTAAACCATTCCAAGAATCGTGAAAGAGATGATGGTTGCAACATGCATATAATTAGACAGCAACATCTGTGACGAACCTCTCCGCATGGCAAGATTAGCACTTGAATCACGACTCTCCTCCTCACACAGGTCTACCGACATCAATATGTAGATCAACTGTTCGGCCTCTCAGATCTGTTCTAGCCTCAAGATCAACCCTAAGCTCTCGTTTTAGAGGCATGAAATCATCTTACGCGCAAACCTTGTTATACGAACAGTTTACTACAACCGTTGTAGAGGACAATCGAGAGACGGCAGAGTATTGCTATACATATGCTCTACATCTTGGAACTTCTCGCTTTCTTTCCTTCTATCTATTTCTGTATTCAACCATTTCCCTAATAACCGTCGTTCTCTCCAACCATGACCATCACCAACACTATTCTCCTACTTCCACTCGTATCTACCCTCGTAGCAGCAGGTCCCTCAGGCTTCGGCCATTACTTCGGTTCGGGTCCAACAGCCGAAAACAACTGGATCCGCGTAGCAAACTCGACACTCGTTGTCCCTGCTGCACCCTCACCTCAAAAAGGTCTCTTGTCCTTGTGGGTGGGCATGGGTACTAGCAACGGCGATCTCATCCAAGCGCTTGTGGAAAGCTACAACGATGACATAGATACGGGATGTGGTGTCTTGGATGGGGATTGGTGTGCTTGGGCGAGTACTTTGGTAACGGTGAACTCACAAGGAGGGCAGGCACAAGAGGGCGGACAGGAAGTTGTCGCACAAGTTGGCGATGAGGTAACGATGAGTTGTAAGTTGCTTGTCGATTCTATTGTCAAGCCTAGATGAATCTACTGATGCAAGGCAAAGACATGTATAATGACGACACCGGCAACTACGATCAATACGTTCTGGTCAACGATAAACTCGTCTCCAACTTCTCGACCTGTAAGTTGCTTGAGTCTATGACTACTTTCAGCATACCTAACGTCGCTCGCACACAACAGCATCAGGACACGCACTAGGTTGGGGCACAGCAGAAGAATGCAACCAAGCAGCACCAGCATACCCATGCGGTCTCACACCCACCCACTCCTGGATCAACACCGTTCTCGTTCTCGACTCGCCTCAACCAAATTACTCAGACACCTTTGGCAGTTTCGGTGCTTCTGGCACCTTGACTTCTGTTGATGGCGGCAAAACGTGGACGAGTGAGAACATCACAATTCAAGTTTGGGATTATACGCCAGTGTGTCCTGACGATGATGGATATCGGTTGACGACACTGGACTACAGTGTTTTCAATATCACCTGCAGCGCAAATTACACTGGTGGAGAGTTGGGAACGCAGAAGCTGGGTAGTATTCAGGATTGTGTGACTGCTTGTGATGAGACTGCCAACTGTTTCTTCGCAGTGTGGGATGGTACAAACTGCGGCTTGAAAAGTTCTGTTGCGGAGAAGGTAGCTGGAAGCGGACTGATTGCCGGCGCATTAGTTACAAAAGGCTGCTAAGAGATTAAAGCGAGAACGGAAACAAGGTAATCAAGACATTGCCGAAATGATAACTTCTGCCAAGTTTGCGGCTCCCTGCATCATCCCCTGAGGTACTTCACCGACCGTAGCGAAATATTTGTCCGCGTCCAGGAGATCCTCAACAATCTGCCAATCGTGTACTTTGCCTTGGTAAATTTGAAAATCAACATTTACTCCATCAGCCCTCAAATGATCGACGAAAGCAATGTTCTCGTCTAACAACACCTCGTTAGATCCTATACCCACCCACACTTTGCTAGGCAAGATTTGTGCCCAGGACTGTTTCTCAGGTCGTGGCAGGGCAAAGTTGATGATATGCGGCGCTGTAGCATCGAGTTCATGCGGCATAACTTGAAGTCCGGCCCGAATGATTATATCACGACGCAGATAATCGCTGTCTCGGTTGCGAGTCCAAGAGCCGCCTGTAGAACAACGCAAATCAATCCACGGAGCAATCAGAAAAACACCAGCTCCAGGTTTGGGGAGTAACTTTTCGTCCGCCAAAACCGAAAGTAAGCTCAAGATCAAATGTGCACCTGCAGAATCTCCAATAGGGGCAATCTTTGCGGCATCGATCTTTTGATCCTCTAATAGGTAGCGGTACGCAGCTTTTGCTTGGCTGACTTGAGTGGGGAACTGTGCTTCTGGTGTCAAGGAATAGTCGAGTGCAAACACAGCAACAGATATGCCTTTCTTATCTGCGAGTTCGGCAACACGAAGAAATGGTGCGAGAGCAGAGGCTGGGTGGCCGACCTGATAAGCTCCGCCGTGAATGTAAAAGAGAACCAAGTCTACATTGGATGCCGTTGTAGATTTTCCGGGGCAGCCTTTACAGATCCAGCGGCCGGAAAACTCCTTTCGAGATACTTTTTCGTATAGCTCTGTTTTGTTGTTTGCAAATCGTCGCGACGTCGCGAACTTGGGCTCGGAATCCTTTGTAGTATCTCTCAGAATGCTCATCGGCAGCAAGGGCTGTGCTCTATGCTGCTTGTCAGCGGTCAAGGCTATCTCGGAGGGAAGGTAAGACGCACGAGCGAAGGAAGTTGCAGATGAAGTCGGCTTTGAAACTCAGATCATTTGTTGTCCAGACAGCTCTTCGCAAAAGCACTTGGAAACATGTCCAAGGTAAAAGAGGCAAAAGTGTAAGGCATTGTAGCTTATCCATCAAGGTCGCTGGCCCGACGCCAGGGTTAGGCTCGTGTGTTGACGCCATATTCAACGAGTTTCTCAAATACGTTTTGGTGTCGAGATAAATGAATTTGCAATGTCAAATGGCGAGGCAGATGAGATTTGCTTGGATTCGACTATCTAGCAGTCGGTTCAGCAAGGAGGTTTTGTAGAAATCCATCGCTCCTCAGCTGAACCCCCTCCTTGTCAGATAAGGCTTGTCTAACACCTCGGTTCAGCTTCAGGTCGACCGTTACAAGCCACTCTGCAAAGCTAGTGTTGCAATACGGCGAACGTGTGGGGAAGCTGCACACGATATACGGCCTGTAAAGACAACGATTTGTCGCGAAACTTGAGATCAATGCGGGAAAGAATTGCGCTGCATTCGACGTCGTAAAAGTGGTAGTTCCGTAGTCAAGGCTTGCTGCTGAAGATGGATTGCAAGAAGCCTCGAAGCATGCTGACAGCTTCCCAAGCCACATCGACTCTCCCGAAAGCGCCGCCAAAAATGATCATGCCAGCAAGGGTCTTTGTCAAGTAGCCCATGTAAGCAGGATGGGGTCGAGAACCATCTTGTCCATCAGCGACAGGGATAGAGTACAATCGCACGGCCTCGCTGATCAAAGATGCGCCCTCTACGATGAGGTAGCTGAGGACTCCGACAGCTGCCGTGCCGTAGCTGAAATCTTGATCGGGCTTCGTACTCAAAGTGGCAGCAATAACGACATAGACCATAGCCATCATGGCCAAGGTCCTGACATTCATGCCTGCAGGCAATGGTTTGGGCGGTGCTGGCGGCGCTTGCGGCGCTTGCGGCGGCATGATGTTGTTGGTGCGTGCAAAGAGGTTTTGTTGAGTCAAGCTTTCTGTTCTTGTGAGGAAGCGAAAGAAGCACTCCAAGGCATCGCCAAGACTTGTTTGGACATGATGGCAACAGCTCGCGGGGAAACACTTGCCCGATCAGCCTTGCCGCCATCAGCAACTTACTTTACCCTGCATTTTTGCACATCAATCTTTCCTTTCATGTCATCTGCAACCCATGCCAGATGTACCGGAACATGAGAATGCAGAGTCGCCATCTGCAAGGCCGGCACGCGCTGGCGACCATGTTGATGAACCCCCTCGAAAGCGTACTCGACGCGAGTCAGAAGACCGTCAGCGACGCGAGATTGGCCTAATGAGACAGAGCGATGGCACAGATGCACCAAGCTTTGTAGGCAGTTCGAGTGGCATTCACTTCGTTCGTTCTGTATACCATGCGCTGGCAAAATCTCGCGTACAATTGGCCCCTGCAACGCCCGATCAAAACATCGTGCCTGGTGAAGAGGACCAGCTAGACGATGTAGACGATGCCGTCCCATACAGTCCAAAATCTCTCTGGTCCACCAACGAAATCCAGGAAGTTACTCATGAGCTTCCGCACTTCGATTTCGACGATTTGCAGACATGGAGCGAGAGCTACTTTGAAAATTGGCACACTGCTTACCCCTTTGTTCATGCACCCACCATGCTCGAATATCTTGAGCAACACGTACAACCGGATAATCTACGAGCACTGTGCGAGCAGCGGAGTCCACAGCTTACACTCCTACGCTCCATGATATCGATTTCCCTTGCCGACCGTAGGCAATCGGAAAGCCCGTCCATGAAGCTGGTTCCTGCGTGCCTTGTCTTCACGTCGTTCAGGGAAGCCATGGAGAGTGTGCAACACATGCTATTCATGCCATGTTCGATTGACGCACTTCAAGCAGTCGTCTCGGTACAGCTCTTCCTTGTATCTATGCTACGACTGAATGGAGCATCAAGACTTGGTGGTATGATTGTGAGAATGGCCTTCCAGATGGGTCTGCACAGATGCCCTACAAGATATGCAAACTTTGACGCTGATCAAGCTCAGCTTCGTCGGCGACTGTTCTGGACAATATACTGTATTGATCGACATCTTTGTCAATCTCTAGGTCTGCCACTGACCATCCGCGACGATGACGTGGATGTTTGTTACTTCGACGAGGAGAAGCATGCAACTGGAGGACGTCACAAGGCAGTCATGGACGATCGGCTCAGAATACTAGACTTTCTCATTAAGCATGCTTCGATCAAGGGCCAGATCGTTGAGCTCCGCAACAAGTCCATTCATCAACGAACTACCAACCACGATCTCGCTACGCTGATCGGAGCGAGAATTGGCAAGTGGGCCAACGATCTTCAATATTCGTTGGATGCCGCCGAACACAGTGAACCTGGTCGATTTGGCACATTACATGAGGTCGTCCTTCTGGTCTCTCAACATGAATTGATCATCTCACTCAATCGACCTCTACTTGCATTGGAGAAGCATACACCAGAGTATATGGCCGCTCTGCAGACATGTATCCGTGCTTCTGACACCATCATCTCTGCTCTTTTCAAATACCTCTTCTTCCGACGTATTCAGCGAGGTGAAGGACCATCTACAGCACCTTTAGTATGGCCTTCACTGACGTGGTGCGTATGGATGAGTTCTTTCATCGTGCTCCACGCAGCAATCGAAGGCGAGATGCCAAAAGATATCGCCAGGAATCTCGCAAATAATAGCGTGGAAATCCTCAGACATCTTGCACTCCGAGGAAGTGTTTGGCCAAATGTTTGTGCAGTCGCTATCAACGATTTATTTATGAGACTGCTTCTCGACTCCACTGTTACCACACCACAGTCACCACAGATTGACACAGCTGGGACAGCGCAGCAACACGACGTCAATCCTCAACAAGACGTAGGTGCCAACAGACTAAACGCGTTGCGTGATCTCAATGATAACCCGAAGGGGCTCAACCGTGTCAATCCGACGCGTCTGCAGAATAACATTTCGGATCATGTCATGAACGTATTAGGACCATCTTCGTCGGCGTTGGAACCACAGCCGTCAATTCCTTGGCTTTCTGGAGCTGACGCCGCTGCGGCCACCAGCACTAATCTCTTTGAACAATTCGATATTCCCTTCTGGATGGGCGATGATCAATATTCTTCTTTACTGGACTTCGACCTCTAACATGGATAGAATCTGCATGAAGCATAATGATGGATTCCTAGCATCAACGACCTTTGCGTGATCTGGTTGACTAAGGCAGGGGTTAGAAGTACTTCCGTGAGTGCAAAGTGCTAAGCCTCTTAGCTTTGCTGGTGTTTTGATCGGAATCAGGAAGTGCTTCCACGCCATTAGATCGAATCGGTGTGGGCATTGAACGCGGATTTGAGGCACGATGCGAGTCTGTCGATCGAGTCGTAGTGCCTTGTGCCGAAGGAATCGATGTAGCGAACCCATGATCAGGATCAAGAGGCCTACCTTGAGGCGCGTTTGTCGTCCACTCGCTTCCTCCCTGCAAAGCTTGTGCTCCTGTGAGCGGCAGTGCTTCAGATGCGAAATCCGACCTGTGGCCTTGCGGAAGCTGTCTGTTTTGTGGCGACTCATTTGCGATCTTCTGTCGTTTCCGTGCCGCGTCAGACTTCTGGTGGCTCTGTGACTGTTGCTTGTCACTAGCTTGACCAGCATGACCTTCTTGAGTGTTCAATATTGTCAACGCACTTGATCCAGGGTTTGTGGCGAGTTTATACTGCATCCAGTTCCGCTGGTGTTCCTCCGTGTCCAAAGGATACTTTTGCCATTCTTCGACTTTGGCAATTCGTACTTCGTTGAACTCCATATCTCTAGGCTTTTCGGGTATAGCTGGAGGCGATCTAGATTCTACCTGAGATCCGTGGATTGTGGAAAGTGCTTGTAGTAGTGCGGCTTCTGTTTGAGCTAGTCTATCTTCGATGCTTGCGATGTAGCCGGATGGAAGACCTCTGAGGCTCAGAGATCAGTGTCCATATAGCAAAAAGGATAATGCAAACAGGCTTATTACCTCTTGCTTGTGCCTGGATATGTGCAGGTCTGGCCGGCGTGGATGCATTGCGAACATGTTGGACTATTCAAAATCAGCAACCTTTTGGAATTTTGCAACCGCAACTTGGCTCTTCGACTTACATCTTGCGATCACACTAAGATAAAACCACTTAAGCACATTTGAACCATATCACAAAACGCTGCGCATGAACACCTACCTTGCGCTTTTTGGTGCGGCAGATTTCGCACGCGATTTGCGAGAATTCCATCATATTTGCAGCTGACTTGAGAGCATACGCTGTGTCGTAATTTCGGCAAGAGGTGTCTCCGGTGCAGACGCGCAAGTTCGTGCGAGATGGTTGAAGAGTTGGCATCGCTGTGGGAAGTGTTGGGTGGAGTTTTGTTTCTCCGATGCCCGCGCTGCAAGGGCAGGGTTGTCCTTACAGCTTGTGTTTTGAACATTTTTGACGACATGCAGATATGTGAAGGTCTTCTTCAGGGATGTGAGTGGATGCGAGAATGTTTTAGTGTGAAGAGATAAAACACATTGCAAGATGCCTGCGCTTTTACCATGGGCTGATGTCTAATTCTCGTGGCCTGGCCATTGCAGATTCAGAGACGTCAGCGAGCCGCCGAGCACAGTCTAGACAACATTTACGAAGTATGTCCAGGGATAGCTGAAGTCAGATTACAGGTCTCCAGGGCTACAGGAGATGTGGATATAGAGCTTCTGTTCTAGCGATTGAACTCTTGACCAATGTATGTATCGCACCATCTCCGAAGCCGCAGTGCCATGTCAATCCAGAACTTCTGTTCGCTAAAGATATGGCCTTGACGAGGGTATGTAACCAGCTCAAACGGCAACTTCTGACTTTCAAGAGCTCGCCGCATACCCCACGCATTAGACACATGACACCGTGTATCCTCCTCTCCATGCAATATCAGCATCGGTGGAATGACCATCGAATTAGTCTGTTGACTCCGCTTCACCGCATCTTCGAACTCCCACAACGGACTTGCTTGTCGATTTCTTGTATCATCGCGATCCATGTTCCACATCACACGTCCACTGTGGAGTTCAGGTTGAAACACACTTCCTAGATCCGAAGTCAAAGCCATAGAATCAGAGTCAGAGATTCCGGCTCCGGCAACCGCTGCTTTGAACTTCCAATCATAGGGGTGGAGGCCATTGCGTACACTACACAGGAAAGTCAGGAAACCGCCTTGACTCCATCCGCAGATAAGAAGTTTGTCATTGTTGGCATAGCCCTGCTCGATGGCGCATTGAGTCATGGTTATAATGTCGGCATAGTCGTGTTTTCCTGTTCCTCCGATAGAGAATTCTGCGAATTGCTGGCCGCGGCCGGAGCTGCCTCGGTAGTTTGGTAGCAATATCCCGTAGCCTAAGGACAGTAAGTAGGGCGTTAACATGTAGTAGTAGGTGTTGAAGGCGTTGGTTAGACGGGTGTTTGGTCCTCCGTGAGCCATCACGACAGTCGGCAAGGCTTCTTTGGGACGGTCACTTTCCGCACCCGCCGTCGTGCCTGCAGGCGAGAGGTAAAGTGCCTCAATGTCGACAGTTGCGTCATCGGACGGGCTTGTTAGGATGCTGCAGGTGCCAAATTTGCGTGACTTGAAAGCTTCTCCATGGTTAGACAATTGGATCATCGTAGCACCACCATCTACCGTCGTGAAAACCTCCACCGGATGGTTGACATCAGATGTCGCAATTGCAAGGATTGTCTCTCTTTCTTTGCCCGTGTATGCTGCATCGAAAGCCTCAAGTTCTTGTTGTTGACCGTACATGACTTTGCCGTCCATGGAGCAGATGCGACTTTCCAGGTGATGCTCCACCTTGACCAATACTTCTCCATTGCTTGCTTTGGTCAGACCAGCAGCATCGTCGTCTATTCCGAAGGCCACATGTTCGTAGCTTGAAGATGGGGAATCTGGATCTACGGAGTAGATGCCATGACCACCATATAATTTGTCCGCAGGCACGCCAGAGCAGAGATACAAGTGACCATCGTTCGCCCATGTGAGGTTGATGTTATACGATCTGGGTAGCGAGCAGACTTCTTTGCTCGAATCCAGATTAACATCAACCGTTGAGATGGTGACACCTTCAAGGAGACCGCTCTCAAATTCGGGGGTTCTGCTGCTAGCAAATGCAATGCGCGTACCATCCGGGCTCCAGTGGAAGTCCACCAGATGTCTGTTCAAAACCAGATTTGACACCTTTCGGGTCTCCAAGTCAACAATTCTCAATCTCGATGGAGACCATTGCTCGCCCCAGACGTGCATGTCTTCACCATCCGCTTCCTTCTGCTTCTGCTCAGTGGTCTTTTCGTCCGCCGAGAGAAACGCAATCTGTTTTCCATCAGGAGAAAAAGCAAACTTATCAATTGCCTTCTCGTTGTGCACATCCGTGATAGCATATGCTTCTGCGTCCTTAAAATCGCCGTCGCGCATTGGCAGAACATAGATAGCCCAACTCTTCCCCGCGTCTGCGCGATCAGATATGAAAGCTATGGATTTCCCATCGGTACCCCAGGCACCTGCGTAGTCCTTGTAAGAGCCTGATGTGAGTCGCTGTGCCGAGTTCTCTAGTCCGGTTTTGGCGAGCCAAAGGGTTGAGACTGCGCGAGAGCCTCTCCGATGACCCCAAGTCAGTTCTGTCGAGTACAAGACATGTTGACCATCGGGAGAAAATCTGATTGTGTTTGGGATTTCAAGGTCACATAGGCTTTGTAGAAGTTCTTTGTCGTCCGACATTTTCGCTGGCTCTCCAAAGCTGCCCAACGAGTTTGCCGCAGCACAAGGTGGATTGGCCAAAGAGCCTTGCGCTTTTGAAGTGAAGATGCTTGAGACTTCACTGCATTGCGGCGTAATGGGGACTTAGCAGGATAATTATAGAGAAATAATTGTTGATGCCTCCGACAGTTTTCAGAGCTTCCTAATCGAGCACACCGCGCGTCTCAAGGCACCAGCGATAAGGACACTGTTGCTCTTGTCCAAGGAATACTTACCATCTGTAACGCCTGTTCAAGTTCACTCATGCAGGAAAAAAAAAGGAGAAAAATACCCAAAACGCTCTTGCGAGATGATTACGAGTCGCAGGGCTAGAGATATCTGAGGATTGTTGGAGGTTTTGCCGTCGACAAGACAAGCCTCAAGATGATCAAGACTTTTGGCCATCACTTTCCAGCGAATTGGCCACACTCACTTCTGAGCCAATCCCTCAAACGTTTTCGCAGAGCCTCATGACGAGTTTTATCAAGCCACAAAAATAATGCCATCAGCAACCCATTCATTTGGCGATGTTGAATACTGGAATAACCGCTTTTCTCAAGAAGAACAATTTGACTGGTTAGCGGACTTTGCTGTCCTTGAGCCCTGGCTGAGGAAAGCAATTGCCGAGAGATCTGGTCATAATGAGAAGCCCCAAATATTGCACATAGGATGTGGATCTTCAGCTCTGTCAATACAACTCAGGAAGCTGGTCGAATCACCAAAGCAAATTCATAATGTGGACTACTCGTCTGTGGTCATAGACCGGAATCGACAGCGCGAAATCGAATTGCTGGACTCTTCGCAGGCTACATCTGAACCTACTTGTTGGTCAACACTGAACCTGTTGTCAGCATCACAGATCTTGGATTATGGAGCTTTTGGGAAGAAATTCGATGCGATCATTGACAAGTCCACCTCTGACGCTATATCCTGCGCCGAGGATGTAACAATCGACCTACCATATCAGATAAGCCGATTCCACACAAGTCAGCCTATACTCCCAACGACGACAAGGACTGTGTTCCCTCTGGATTTATTGGCCAATCATCTTGCTTACCTTGCAGATCCTGGTTGTCAATGGATTGTATTGAGTTATTCATCTTCACGCTTCTCACATTGGAATGACAGAGTCCAGACAGAAGGACTTCCACACCCGCTCGAGCTCTGGAATCTAGAAAGGCATGAGAAGATCGAGCAGCCACCAGATCCTAACGACACTGTTCACAGACCGCCTGTCATGCACCATTTGTATATATTGCGCCGTACGGACGTGCAGCTCAACCAGGTGATTTAGCTGTGCTTTGCCATGCAAGCAGTGCGTACAAGGAAACTGGATCTCAATCAATTCTGCATGAACCACCATTCAAGGTCTTGGCTTCCCTCTGTCTCGCCTTATGCATCATGTGCCCGCTTTTACGTCATGAAGGATGCGTGCCAGAAACCATGTAGAATTGCATGATCTCAAACCAGTTGTGTTCTGACTACTGGGCTTGAAGTCAATGACACAGGCTGTCTATCCTCATTTGTTGCAAGGACAATTTCTACAGCCATGGACAATCTACAGCTCTACACTCTGATTCATCACCGGTATCAGGTCTATGATCGTTCGGCCCAATTGCCATTCAGCGTCGTCTTTGGTCTTTGTCGACGTTCGTCAGAAGACACAGATCCCCGGCCCTTGGTCTTGAACATCAGAGGATCCGTACTGGATGTTCCATATGCGCTTGCCAATGAATTACTTGTTCTTGATGTCAAGGATCTTGATTTGAAGGAAGAAACGGCACACGCGATGAGGCAGTTGCGTCCTGAGAAAAAACCAAATACTTACCTGAGCCTTCCCTCTCCAGTCAACAGGAAACAACGTTGGACGACCGCGCTCGTTGAGTATCGTTACGAGATCGCTCCATCCAGACATCTGGCATCAATCTTCCAACCTGGCTCCACATACGAGCTGCAAATTGCGACTCGAGATTTAGGTATAAAGTGGTATGGATATGGAGAAATAGACCAGCTCATTGACGATGAAGGGCATCCGATGTCGGAGTCAGAACAGACTAAATTGATCAGTGACCGGAGACATGGTAGATACAATTTCACTGTGGTGCCCTCACTTTCACGGCCTCAACCATTGATCACGCGACTGCAGATGGAGCCGAGAAATGCGAATGAAGGACCTTTTGGTGACCCCGTGCTCCTGCGAGTCTCGGTGGGAATACCGGCACAAAAGACATAACTGTTCAAACTCGCGGTACTCAACGATTCCTCATGATCTGGGGAACCATGCAACCAGAAGAAACGCTTGAAGCCAGGCCTCGGATTATCGATGCCGAAAGACCAGTACCAGTCGCGAACTTGCGGATCATTGAGAAAACCACTCGCATGGTCGTTTACGAACCGCCACCTCTTGGTCCTTCTGGTCCTGGAAACTAACGTGATCCTCGTCCAGAGCTATGTCGCGTTGTCACCATCAGGTCTGGAGAGACACTTGTCCGCCTCATTGATATCCGTCACATGCTAGCTAAGCTCCCCGATGGCGTCTACGAGATTCATCTCGAGCCACGAAGAATGTGGTAGTGCGAAGGAGATAAAGAGAGTCTGGCAGAAGACGGTGATGGTCGTATTCCTCATCGTCTTTAGAACTCATCGATCCCGCCCGCAATGCTAGAATCTGGTGATATCGTAGAATTGTGTATTAAGAATGGCAACGTCGCAGGAAGTTGACTGTGGCTCATCGAAAAGGAACACCGGATTTCGCAACCGAGAATACTACTCGCTTTCCAGAAGGATTGCGAAGAGACGGCCTGGGACTCTATCCGTGCACAACGGCCAAGTGAAATCTCAACCCAGGCACGCCGGTTGATTTCCACTCGCCGAGCTGACACAGGGCTTCTCATATGTGGACAGGGCAAGCGCAAGGTGTCCATGGCTTGTAATCAGGCACAAGTTGGCCATAGACATGGTTTGTTACTCTACTTCCCTCAATGCCAAAAAGCGCATGCAGCGAGTCAAGCAGGCTTGATGTTGTCGCCGATGTTGCCGAATATTCCTCCAAGTTCCAACATACCGTTGACGGAACAATTGACCTGACTAGCTTGGTTTCACCAATAAGTGGAGAGAAGCATTTGGACAAAACTGTCGGGTTGGCCGTAGTGTCCAGAGATTGGACCGTTGCATCGGCTCACTTGCCAAGACTACCACATCACTGAGCCTGGGTCTCGAAACCACTTTGACCGAGTACCTATATCTTGGGGTTACTAAAAGGACGATACGAGGACTCGACCTTTTCCAAACATCCCCATGCTGTGTTTGGAAGCATGCTTTAGAGGAAGTCGGTTATACTTAGCCGTTGGCTGAAAACGGCGAGACAGAACCATATCTCCACCACCGTTACCGTATATCCTCTATAGGACGAGACATTCCTATAGCTGATTCACTCGCAGACTGTGGCTGGCTGACTTCACGACTACTATGCTCGAAGTAGACAATGGCCTCTGACTCGGGTCTTTACTGCAAAGAAGCTCTTGGAAAGTACAGAGCTCTAGAACTTCGACTGTTCCAACTACTTATGCAACAACAATAAGATCATGTCGCTCTACTACCGCAGAGAAAGATGCACATAAATTGTCGACGGCCGCCCGATGATCAGTGACAACAACATCTTTGCTCTTTCTTTCTCCAGACCAAAATGTTCTCTCAACCTGGTTTATGGGTATTATGCCTATCCCTTGGGCTGATTCAAGTCATCTCGGCATCACCTTTGGGTGCTCTGCAGTCGGACTTAACTTGTTCTGCACGCAATCTTGCCATTGTCAGACGTACCATATCTGATGAAGTCTACTTCTGCAAATGGTGGCAGGCCGAGTACGAACCTAGTCCAACTCGCTTCCGGAAAGATTCTGATTGCAAGCAGTACCCGTACAAGAACTCCCTTCCTGGAGTTTACTGTAGATGAAGTTAATGCACTCTGCAAATGCATCTCACCTATTGCCAAAGCAACTCCAAGCAAGCACAAGAGAGCTGAAGCGACTGGGGGAGAAGCTATCCTCTCAAGAAGCGCGTCTTCTGCTGTATGCAGCGCCGAAGTGAGCAAGCAGTTCACAGAGCCATGGCATTTTTGTACATTCTTCAACGCTTAGTATGTCACTCTGCAGCTTATTTAGGGTTATACTGACATGCAAACAGTCCAAGAACTAAATCCCCATTCAGATCTTACAACGCTAAGCAGTTGAAGACTCTTTGCGATTGTGTCCTGAAAAAAGCTGTTCCGTCAACAAGCAAGAAGCTAACCACAAGTTCTCATAAGACGTCGACAAGCAGCAAAAAAGCTAGCCAGATTAGCACACGATTGTCTTCGAGCACCAAAAAGTCTTCTTCGAGCACCAGGACAAAGTCATCTTCCATACTTCCAAGGCCACCTCAACAACCTTGAAGTTGACACACTCGAGCTCGAAGTCGTCAAGTCCGTCGAAGGCAACATCAAGCACTCAAAAAGCTTCTACGAGCTCGAAGTCCTCGTCCAGCACTAGCAAGACGACTTCGACAAGCTCAAGAGTTATTGCGTCTTCAACATCGAAATCTTCCTCTAGCCGTGATACTTCATCAAGTCTAGTTTCTTACGAAGCTTCCAGCAGCATAATTTTGCCCAGTCTGATCATCGAAACATCGAGCTCAACATCAACAACTCTTTCATCGACAATCACAAGTTCGAGCATGCTGATCTCTTCAGCCATCATTTCAACTAACTCAACAAGACAAATCATCTCGTCAACTGTTTCAAGCTCAGCTGTTGATGATCTTCCAACAATCGCTGCTTCTTTGACCTTTGCCCCTGAGTTCACAGCTATCACGACCTCTTGTAATGACCTTGTTTGCGTCACTGTTGCCGTCGATGCTTCTACAACCAGCACGTTTGGTGCTCTTACAACCGACCCTGCAATTACCACCACTACTGCTACGACCTCTGCGCCTGAGTTCACGGCAACCACGGTTTCTTGCGAAGATCTTGATGATCTTCTTTGCGTCTCGTTAGCCATTGGTTCCTCTACAACCAGCACAATCGGTGACATGTTTGTCATTGGCTCCGATCCCACAGCATCGATCGCCCAGCCGACAATCACCGAGACGTCTGCAACTGAGACCAGCTTACCTACAACGACGACTAGCACAAGCTCTGCCTGTACCCCACTGCCCACTTCTTGTGACGACTACACCTACTTCCGTCTCAAGGCTTCCAGCAGTGACTCGGCCATCAACGGAAAATACGCTCAAGTTTCCGCCGAGGGCATCTCTATGACGGAGGAAAACATGTATTATGCGATGGTATTCTGTCTGACTAATGATAACGATCTTTTATATCCTATCAGCGATTACTCCCAGATCATTGGCAAGACAAGCAGCAACCGTCCGATTCAGATCGGCTCCATGGGCACCCCCTTGAATTGCACGGCTGTGTCAAACGAAGATTGCACTGCTACTCTGCAGTGTACTTGGCAGGATGATTACAAAATGGTTGTTGACAGCGCTGACACATTGTATCTGACCGACGAGAAGGCGACGGATTACAGCGCCGATGGAGATCCCAGACCAGTGAACCTCATATTGAGCTGGTAGAGGGTTTTTCTTCTTTCTCTTTTGCGATCAGTTGGTTTTTGGTCAACAAATTCAGGTCTCACCAAACTGATTGGTTCTGATGAAATCTCTAATGATTTATACACGTCAAAGCCCTCTCAATTCTTGATGAATCCATCTCTAAGAGCCACACAAAACTTACACCGTCCATTTTCACTCCTTCAACAACCAATAATCCAGCCAAGACACAAACTTCTCCAAGCATTGTTCCTTCGCCCATTTTGCGTATGGGTCTTCAAGATTCGCTCGTGTCTGTGGCAAAGACTGCATCAGTACACCCCAGTCCTAACACATCGTACCAAAGAAAGGAAAGACAAGACTTACCGCAAATCCATGCCCAACCCTCGAATAGGTCTGCATCGAAAAGTGCACTTCTCCTTTTGCGAGAATCTCCTGCGTCCGATTACGTTGTTCGTGTGGGAATAGCTCGTCATCTGCAGGTGCCACGATGTACAGCGGCGCTTTATAGACATCAGTAAACAGTTTTCAAGTTTGGAAAGAGGATGGATGGAAGGGGAGACTTGGGACACTCACCTTGCACACCTTTAACATGAGTTTCCCTCAAAAACGAAGGATGAGCAACAACCCCCACTCGACAAATGCCTTGTATGGAAAGTTGGCGGCAGACGAATCTAGCACCCCAACTAAATTGCATCAAAATTAGCATATACTGCACACTCCATCTCCAATCATACAATGAAAATCAAAGGGGAAACTGACCAATATCCCACACACCCAAACTTTACTCCCTCGCCTCCAAACTCCTTTACAACACTTTTGACCCAACTTTCTGCAATCTGCTCTGAAGAATGCAGATGTTTCTGCGTCCAAGCTCCAAAGTCAAAGGTAGGGTCAGAAAGTGGTGTTGTGTTGTGTTTGGCTACAGAATCCTAGTTGTTTTTCGTATTAGCACACATCTGCTATCACTCCTTTTTTTGGATCTTTCTTTACTGATATGATTTTCAGTCAGAACAGAGCAGAAGAAACAGAAAGATGAAATGGAAAGAACCAGACACTCACACCTGCAAAGTAATCGACTCCAAGCACTAAATATCCAGCAGCTGCAAAATTATCCATCATCAAAAACGCATTCTCATATAAGCCAAATGCATCTGGGAAGTAGAGTAAGACGTTTCCATTAGCAGAAACGGAGTCAGGAGGAATCGAGGTGTAAGTATCCACACCACCAATTTGGCGTATGTTTCCTCTCGGCGTTCCAATTTGTTGAGATCCCGGACGGAAGCAACAATCGGAGGGTGGTTTGGCAAGCATTTCATCCATTCTGCAGCACCAACAAATTATGATATAATTTTGATCGTTGATAAGGTTTTGTGAGTTTGTGACTGTTTGATGTGCATGGATACTCTTGTATATGCGTCGGTCACATGCGTGTGAGTCATGTCTGGAATCTGAGCTTCAGTTTCGTTTTGGTAATGTTGTGGTGGTGACCCTGTTGTTTGATTCTGCTGTATAGCCATTCTTAAGTGGTTCCATGACTTAAGCTGCTCCCTGACGTTTTCGCAAAAGAGATAGGCAAACATCTAGTGACTGCTATAGTGTCTGAATACGAGAAGTATTTGTTGTATATAAGTGATACTGAGCCATTCAGCTGATCCAAGATAGATATCGCTGTCACAACATACTCTTATTCAGTATTGAGATATCCAGGACTCATGACTCGTTGGTCTAGGCCCAGGATTGCAGGTGTGTTCATACATCTATACATGAGTCTATTCGATCCCCATAAGACTTTATCGGTCGCCAGATACGAGGGAGGCTCGAAAGTACTACAGCATTGGTTTTCCAATTGTTTCGACCAAACGCCCATTTTCACACCACATCCTCGACGTGTCTCGTCCTCAGACCCTCAGGCCACTGACTGCTCTTGCTCGGTTACTTCCATGATACGTTGCACAGACTGCATAATCAAAACCACAGTAGTATTGGATCACTCGAGCGACTTTCAGCGCTTTGCTGCCGGTGCTTGCATGCATCACACGTAATGTCTAGAAAATTTTGTGCGAATAATCATGAAGATGCTAGAGACCATATGTACAGAGTGTTTTCCTTAAAGCTTAGCCACAGCCTTCTCCTTTCTCTTGGTAAGTGCCAGTTCCTGTCTCACAGCCAGATCACCAATAATCTCTTCACTACCACCACCAACAACCAAAACACGAAGATCACGACTGACCTGCTCAACATAGGAACCAACACCGCCCTTCTGGTATCCAGCACCACCCATGACCTGTTGGGCCTCACGGCATGCTAGCTCCAACATTCTACCGCCAAAGATCTTGGCCATGGCAATTCTGCTGGCAACATCGGCCGTCCAGCCATTGGCCTTGATGTGGTATCCGATCTGTTCAATCCAGGCAAAGTGGGCTTCGATATCCTTGGCTACGTTTGTCAACTTGTGGCGAATGACTTGGTTGGAGAAGAGGGGTTTGCCCCAAGTCTCACGCTCCTGGGCGTAGTTGAGGGCGGTAGAGAGACAGATTCTCGCCTTGCGGTTCATGGCCACTGCGATCAAAAGTCTCTCCTTGTTGAAGTCTTGATAATCATGGTCAGTTTTGTTTCTGCGCGAGAGAGCCCAGCTCATGTGCGAGCGTGGGTCTGCTGTACTTACTAGCCATTAGTGCAGGGAAGCCGTTGTTCTCCTGGCCGACAAGGTTCTCCACAGGCACCTTTACGTTCTCCATGAATACCCATGCGCTGCCACCGGCGTTGTTACCGCTGTTGTAGATCTTCTTTGCCGTTACTCCTGGCAAGTCCATGGGGATAACCAAGACAGAAACACCGCCAACACCAGGGCCACCGGTACGTACAGCCGTAGTCATGTGTGTCGACTTGAGAGCACCAGTAATCCATTTTTTTGTGCCGTTGACGATGTAGAACTTGCCATCCTCGGTCTTCTTTGCCGTTGTCTTCAGGTTGGCCAAATCGGAACCTCCTGAAGCTTCTGTGGCACCTAGACAGAACTTTGTCTCGCCTGTGAAGATTCCTGGAAGCCATTGGTCCTTTTGCTTTTGGGTACCGTGGGTCAAGACCGGTGGTGCTCCGATTGTAGAGCTGCCACTCAAGCCTGAGAGTGGACCTGCGTGAACGCGAGCCAATTCGTCATGCAAGACGATGAAGTGGAAAATGTCATAATCTGTTTGAAAGTGATTAGAGGAGTTTCAATGCGAGGGGTTGAGTTTTGCTGACCTTCAGGCTTCACACCTCCCAGGAAATCTGCACCTTTGCGGTATTGCGTGGGAAAGTCCTGCAACACCATGCCTGCTCGGATAAAAGCCATTGCCTCCTGAAAACCACTAATGAGTAATTCGCGACATTGCTTGTTCTAGATTACCAAGTCTCACCTCTTCGGGGACCTCTCCCTTCTCTTCCCACTCTTCTTGTTCTGGCATGATCTTCTCGTCGACATATGTGCGAATGGCATTGCGCAAGGCACGATGGGAATCATTGTAGTAAGGCGATGACAACGAGTTGTACCATGCGGGTTCAGCCCAGGGCGAGAGATCGCCGTACATTTTAGAGCCTGACGTCATGTTTCGTGAATGTGGAAAAGGAGATAGAATGAGAGGAAGTGATGAGATATCAACTCGATGCAGGGTTCAAAAAGTAGGGAAAAGACGACTTTATCTCAAGACGGCTTCTCAAACTCCGACAAAGGGTCAGACGATGTAGCAACGAAGTTCCAGTCGGAAACCTATATAGCCGAGGGTTGGGGTGGAAATGTTGTCTGGAGACCCCACAAAATGCATGCCCCCCGGAATGTCGTTACGGAAATACTGGTTTCCCCCAAGTTCCGGTAACTTGGTTTACCCTGGATCAACATCTGAGGCCGGGTAACAAGCTTTCAGGCCCCTCATGGTGAGCCTTTCCAATGGGTTTGTTGGTGCACATAAAATCCTCGGGGGACTTTATTTAGCTTCAGTCCTTTAAATATTAACGGGCTTTGACCTCACCTTTTCGAGAGACAATCGTTACTCAAACCACTGCGGCCATATCCAAAATGCATGCGTCTTTACTTCCTCCTCTTCACATCCCCACGGACTTGTCTTTTGGGCAATTCTTGCTGAAATACAATCCCGATCATGTGCCAGCCAACAAGGTAGTCCTTGAAGATCTGGCAGAGCCCCACGACAAGCTCACTTATGGCGGCATTCGCCATGAGACTGCTCGCCTTGCAGGTGCTTTGCGTCAAGTCTATGGAATCCGCCCTGGAGATGCCGTTGTTCTTTATGCTGTCAACTCAGTGGCTTGGCTGCGACTTGCTCATGCAGTCATGTGGATGGGAGGCGTCTTGGTGTAAAAATTCCATGCTGATCGTGTTATCGATATCTTTCTTACTGATTCTGTGGCCAGTTGCATCAATGCCGCAGTCTCGGAACATGAACTTCCTCATTATCTGAAGATTGCCAAAGCTACACACTGTTTTAGTGATGCAGGTCTTTGCCCAAAAATGGATGCAGCACTCAAAGAGAGCCCTGGTTCAAAAATGCAAATACTTGAGCTTGCTGGTACACTGGTAAAGCAATTTTCACCCTGTATTCATCTACTCTATTCACTAACAATGGTAATGTTGATGTAGCAAAAACTGAAGGCAAACTCGGCTTCACCCATCCCACCCATTGACCTGTCTAAGACGGGTAACAAGAATACTGTGGCCATGGTGCTTTTCAGTTCAGGCACGAGCAGTCTTCCAAAGGGTGTGCAACTGAGTCACTTCAACTTGCTTGCTCAGGCTCTGAGTGCGAGAGTATCAACTCCCGAAACCACTTGCCAGGACGCTCGAGAAGTTTTCTTCCCACCTCGTACGTTCTTTTGGATGCTTTTTTTTTTCTGTCGGGTTTGACTAACGTAACATCCTTGAAGTGGCTCACATGTTTGGTCTTGCCTCGGTCGTTCTGCCAACAGCCGTCTCTGGCAGCTATGTTATGCTGATGCCTGCTTTTACATACCCTGGATTCATCGAAGGCTCAGCGCGTATCAGAGCCAACGTCATGAGAACGGTGCCCGCCATTGCCGTCATGATTGCCAAAGACCCAAACATCTCAAAGTATGATTTGAGCTGTGTCAGATCTCTTATTTGTGCTGGAGCCACTTTGCAAGAGGAGATTGTTTCTCGCCTTCAGGACGTTTTTGCCGGTGTTGAGATTACTCAAGGCTACGGGTAAGTCGGCACCCCTGGAATCTTGTTCAAGAGTAGATTCGCTAACTCAAGCCGCTACAGAATGACCGAAACTTCGGTCACTGTGTTGAGAGGACATCGATCAGTCGACAAACGCGGTAGTGTTGGTACTCTCATGGCAAACTCGTGAGTCTCATCACTGTACAAATGACTGTTCGCATATTTCTAATGTTGCTGTCTTACAGGCAAATCAAAATCGTCGACGACAAGCGCAATGAAGTACCCACAGGCACAATGGGAGAACTGCTCATCAAAAGTCCCAGCGTTTTCTTGTAATGAACCATTGATTCTCATGCAAACAGAAAAAATACTGACGAAGAGGATTCTAGCAACTACCGCGGCGATGACAAAGCCACCAAAGACTCTTTCCACGATGGTTGGTTGTGCACTGGCGATATGCTGCGTGTCGATGAAGATGGTTTCTTCTGGTTCATGGATCGCAAGAAGGAAATGATCAAATACAAAGGGTATGCCGCAGCGCCCTCTTGAAAGATGCCCTCTCTAACAATTCACAGGAACCAAATTCCTCCAGCTCAACTTGAGGATCTCCTACTCCGCCATTCCGCAGTTCAAGAAGCCGCAGTCTGCGCAACCTGGGACGCAGAACAACAGACCGAAATTCCCATTGGTTACGTAGTCTTGAGCCCCAACATCAAGAAAGAAGACCACCCAGCCTTGCTGAAGGAGATTCGTGAGTCCGTGGATACCAAAGTGTCGGGTTACAAGAAGTTGAGAGGAGGTGTGGTTGCGATTGATGCGTTGCCGAAGAACCATACTGGCAAGCTTGCTCGTAATGAGTTGCCTGCGCGTAAGGAGATGTTGAAGATGATGGAGGCGAAGCTCAAGCCAAAGGCTAAGTTGTGAGCTGGCAAGGACAGTCTGGGAGAGGGGATACAGTGCTTCGGGTCTTGTGTATATAGATATCGCGAATCATGTTCGACCGTCTTGGAACTGAGGTCTTGACGGAATCCCGCCTTTCGCCTATCAACAATCTGAAGTGTTGTACATGTCGTGCTCCCAACACGTGAAAGATATATCTCAGATGCTTTCGTTATCAGACCAAATTTTGGCAATTTCGCCGATTTAAAAATCATAGAATCACATGGAATATCTTTGCGTTCTACTGCAGGATGATAATTTGTATTGATATTTTGATATATATACGAGCTAGATCCAGACCAGACGCTTCACGCTCACAAACGAGACTGTGCGTCCAGGAAGAAGAGGTTTCTGCCATCAGACGCCTGAGAGACTGTGCCTTTGCGTCCAATGGGTTCCTTGTCCATACTGCTCAACTCAGCCAGCGTGACCTCGTCACCGTGATTCGCGATAAAGCGTGGTCGGTCGCCAGACTCCAGTCTTCCCACAATGTAGCCGAGCTGCGGCTTGTTGTTGCGGTCGAATTGTACCGTGTAGGCCTAGAAAAGGGAGTTAGCCACTTGATTGCTCAAGTAAGTAGAACGACCTATACTCACCTCAATTGTTGCTTGCCCTTGTGCCTTCTCAACGAATGAAGGAATCGGGAGATTTATTTCAACGTGAGGATTCTGATCGGCGTACGGTACAGTCCCCTCGTTCGGCTGCTTGGCCAGAATGATCACGTTTTGGTGGGTCAAAATACCACCATTAGCCAACACCAGTCCAGTTTTCTTTGTGCCTTTGCGCAGCTCTCGGGTCATGGCTGTCAAAGCCTATTAAAAGCCACATTAGCAACGATTCTTAGACCTGTCACTTGTTCGGATGGTCGTTTGCACTTACATGCATGGAATAGTTGTTACCAGCACCACCGAAAGAGGTCAGACCGCCTAGGAGCGTGACTGGGTTGTCGGAAGGACCAATAGGTAGGCCAAGATGGTGACTGGCAAACTTAGGCACTACAGGGAAGCATCTGGGACACTGCGTCAACAATCGTTCGACAACCCATGTGGTCAACTCACGAGTAAAAGTCGAATAAGTCAAGCTGTCCTTTTTGCAGTCCGGCATTCTTGAGAGCAAGATCAATACTGGCGCTAATGTGGGGTGCCGAGTCAAAAGAAGACCGTTTCCAGACTACGAAATGCGGTTAGTCAAAGATGCGAGGAAGTCTGATTTGTCTCTTCGCTGTAGGGAACTGACAATCGGGGTCTACAGCACTTTCAGCGCCACTCAAGGGGTAAACCCATTTGGACTCTGGTACTCCTAGAGATTTGGCTTGTGCAGCGGAGGTGACTATACAAGCGGCCGCGAGATTGACAGTGTTGAACGCGTTCATGAGAAGAGGATCTGTCGGTCTGTTAGTGTGTGCAAGTGATTGTAAATGGAAGATGAGCGGGAAACATACAAGGGAAGCAAATCATTCTGTTCTTCTTGGACACGGTGCCAATGTCCTCTTTTGAAGCAGCCTTTCCATGATTCCACGCGAGAGTATTCTCTTTTGCCACTTCAGCAAACTGAGCGTACAGTGCTGCGGATTCTTCATGATTGGCGCGAATGGACTGTTTCCTTTTGGCACGGAAGCCATTCTCATACAGAGGATAGATGTGAATGGGCAGTCCTATCTTGTGCAACGAGCCCGGTGCTACGACAAAAAGTCAGTCCAAGCCATTCACACTTCAGAATCAAATGTGCCTACTGGTTCCGAGGAGCGAGAGATCATCAGCAGTCATGGTGCGACTGTTTGGGTCAGGGGCAGGCCAACCAGGTGGTGGCATCTTCTTTGCCATTCCGCAAGACCGCACTACAGGCTCGTCAGCTTGAGGGTCACAAGGCAACGGATTGACACAGTTCATGTACATGATGCCAAAGCTTCTCCACCAGTCACAATAGCGACCTTGGTCTCGCCCTTTGCTATGCGACGAGCAGCTTCATCCAATAATTGACATGGTGAATTGCCTCCGTGTTCACTCAAGTGGCGAGTAGCGGGATTGATCTTCAACAGCTTGGACAGATAGTCTGGTAGGTCTGGGTATGGCCAGGTCCAGGTAGCCACGACACTCAACTCGTCAACAGAGGACATTAATGCATCTTGTTTGTCAGTTGAGAGGTTAATGTCTTTGAGAGCCTCCAGGATGGCTTGCTTCATCAGTACAGCTGGCTCCGAGGCATCTTCGACTTCAAGCGATTTATTGATGATATCTCCGACACCAATGATGACGGGAGTGAGCTCGTCTTTCGCCATGATGTGTGATCAACAGGTTGGAAATTCGCGTTGTATTCGTGAGCCCCAGTCGCGATTGGCTCGGAAGATAGAGGAGGTGAACTGGTCGAAGGTGATACTTAATTTGTTGTCCCAGCCGTGGATCTCGGTAGTGGTATTAGTGAGAACATCAATGACCGGACGTTGAAAGTTCCACCAATTCTGGCAGTCGAGCGCTTATCCTTGTCCTCGGTAGCCAAGGTGGGGGGGCTGACCGTTGGAGTTTTCGGAATTTGAGCTTTCGAGCTCGGGTAGCTTGGATTTCCGTACTGTTTCCATGTCGATCAGCAAGTCTTCCACGACAGATCGCTGTTGTTATTTCAGCATAATATATCCTCACTAGCATAGCTCCTATTTCTCATACTTGCAGTCAAGCAAAATCATCATGGCATCATCATACAAGACTACACCACCAAAGACGACCACTTACGAGCTGTCAAATCCCGAACCCGGGGTTCTGCTCGTGCAGATCTGTCGTCCCAAGGCTATGAACTCGATTCCTGTCGCAGGACATTGGGAAGGCGAAGCTGTCTGGAAGTGGTTTGACCAGGAACCCAGTCTATCTGTCGCAGTCATCACTGGACAAGGCCCGAAAGCCTTCTGCGCAGGCGCCGATTTGATGGAACAACGTGATAGAGGTGCTGCTAAGGATGAAACTGTTAAACCACAGATTGGACCTGTGGGAGGCTTCGCAGGGCTTAGTCGACGATTGGGTAAGAAGCCGGTGATCGCTGCAGTGAACGGCTTCGCACTGGGTGGTGGATTTGAGATTTGTCTTAATTGGTAAGTCACCATCATAGCTTCAACCAACAGAACACAAACTGACTCGGAATGATCAAGCGATATTGTCATCTCATCGCCAAATGCCAAGTTTGGTCTTCCGGAAGTTCAACGTGGGCTCTACGCTGGCGCTGGCGGATTGTCCCGCATTGTTCGCACCTGTGGAATACAAATCGCCACTGAGCTTGCTTTGACAGGAAGAGCCATCAGTTCTGCAGAAGCTCAAAAGTATGGCGTCGTCAACAAAGTCTCTCAGAGTCCGGATTCGCTCCTTCCCGAAGCTCTTGCTATGGCGAAAGAGATTGCGTCTCATTCACCAGACGCTATCATCGTCACACGTGCTGGTTTGAGGGAATCCTGGGAGACGGGTAGTGTTGAGAGGGCCTCCCAACTCACTGCGGAGAAGTACCAAGATGCCCTCATGTCAGGAGAGAACTTGATGATTGGTCTGCAAGCGTTCGCCGAGAAGAAGAAGCCGAAATGGGTCGCCTCAAAGCTATAAGTATCTTCATCATGCATGAAGCGGTTATGTTTCCTTTTCTAGTATTGTCAATGTATACAACTCTTTTAAGTCACTGAGTATGCATTTAGAAGATTAACGTAGACGTGGCAGCAGCGAAAGTTAAGCAAAGCTTGCGATATGCAAGTCAGCACTATACTATTGATCTTGTGTCCATATTCACGAAATGCAGAAATCAACCTCCGCAAAGTTTCTACGAGCACATATCGCGTAGATCCTGCTAGATATTGGCCATAGGATCGTGAGGGTTGAGGTTCAGCATAGCCTCCGCAGCAGCATCCTGAGCGTTGATTCTCATCCAAGTAGGGAACATTCTGAGTATCACAGCGATGTTCGCCATAGCAGGCATAACGACCTGCTGTGAATTGGCGCTCTTGAGGATCTCGCACATCCTGTCTCCAATATCGCTAGCTTCGAGCGCGGGCATGAAGAAATTGCCCTTCTGGACTACGGATCCAAACATCTTGGTGTTTGCAACGGCTGGGCAGATGACTGAGCATCTCACTGCTGGCGCTTTGTAGACGTGTTTGAGCTCTGTCTGGATTCCTTCATACAAGGCTAATGCTGCGGCTTTTGTGGCTGCATAGTCCACGATATGAGAAGTTGCAACGAAAGCACCTTGTGAAGCCGTAATCAGGAAGTGACCATGGTTGTTGCGTACCATTGCGGGAAGGAACACTTTCGCACACCAGACGACGGCTAGACTGTTCACACCAAAGGTTCTTCCAAATTGTCAGCTGGAGAAACGGGTTGTGGGATTAGGGTTCACTGACAACTCGACGTCCCTTGCACTTGCTTTCAGAAGAGGCTTGCCACGACAGATTCCTGCATTGGCAATCACAGCTGTCGGTTCGCCGACTTCCTGGCGGATTTGGTTGGCGACTGCCTCGAGGGCTTCCAGATCAGTCAGGTCGACTTTGTAGTAATGTACACCAGGAGCTATCGCCAGTCATCAAAAATCGTCACTGACAAAGTATTGCAGTAATAAACAACTTACGTTTGGTGTATGTTAAGGGCAGAACGTCAAGGACCACAACTGTGGTACCCTCTGCAGCCAATTTGAGAGTCGCTGCGGCACCGAAACCCTACGAAGCATTACTTGATTGAGCCTATCTTAAAACATCGATGGTTGGTGAATGTCACATACCCCAGCGCCACCAGTAACTACCACAATTTCTTGCTTTGGCTTGAAGCGAGCAACGACTGCATTGTTGAGAGCCCTTTGCGAGGCGATACTGTTCAGCCGCAGCAAAGTAGCTACAGCCGCGAAAGCAATCAGTTTCTTCTGGAGAGCAGGTAGTTTAACAAGATTCCAGCCTAGCGTCGAGCCCGGAGCCTTGGCCAAGACTATCTGCTGTCGGCCGCTGACATGAAGAGCAATTGGAATCGACAAAGCCAGCAACGGGCTAAGTAGAGTCTTGTCAAGCAAGTGCAAAACGTCGCCGATGGAGAATCGCATTGTGAGTTCGTGAGAGTCTGAGTGCTGTACTACACCGGTAGGAGTGCATAGGACTTCATTTTATCACTATGCTTGTGGTGTTGCCCAGGAATGAGGGGGCCCCCCGGAAATCCTTCACGGAAACAACTGGGACTTCAACTGCGTGCACTTACTTCCACTCCGCTGAATTGGCGTTGCGCACTGCGCAGGCTGCAGACCCCGCAAAAAGGGTCAGACAGAACCTCATCAGTATATAGATAGGGTCACTATCTCGGGGACCGAGGCATCTGTTCACTCTCAAGGTTAGCAGATCCGATCAAGAACCTCGCAGAAACCCAATCCAGGTCTCAAATCTCAACAATTGAAATAATCATGGCCAGCAGCGAATCAGGATATACGTCTCCAAAAGAGGTCGAGAGCAAGCTCGAAACCTTGCGAGCGACATTCGCAAGCGGTTGTACCAAGGACCTCCGTTGGCGAAAGTGGCAGCTGAAGCAGCTATTCTGGCTCGTCCGCGATAACGAAACAGCTATCGCCGATGCCTTGTACAAAGACATCGGCAAGCATGAGTTTGAGGCGTTCTTCACTGAGATTGCCTCTGTCAAAGGGGACATCCTCGACCATATATCCAATCTGGAGGAGTGGGCTGCAGATGAGGTCCCTGATGCCGGTTTCGCCTTCACCAAGCTGGGTTCTGCGGTCATTAGGAAAGAACCCTTGGGTGTCGCTCTCATCATAGGGCCATGGAACTTTCCTTTCGCTTTGGTGATGCAGCCGCTGTGTGCGGCGATAGCAGCCGGATGTACCGCCATGGTCAAACCCTCAGAGCTGTGTCCGACGGTTGCATCATTGGTGGAGACTTTGCTGCCTCAATACCTTGAGAGCAGGGCTTACACTACGGTTACAGGTGGCGCCGAGGAAATGAGCTTCATCCTCTCGCTCAAATACAACCACATCTTCTTCACTGGATCCACGCCTGTCGGCAAACATATCGCGGCTGCTGCGGCCAAGCATCTCACCCCCACTGTGCTCGAGCTGGGCGGTCAGGGTCCCACGATTGTCACAGCCAATGCCAATGTCGATCTCGCTGCGAAACGCATTGCGTGTTCCAAGTTCCTGAACGCGGGACAAATTTGCATCACGACAAACCACGTCTTTGTGGATCCATCCATACACAACGAGTTTGTCGCTCGGCTCAGGGTCTGGAATGAGACTTTCCATGGAAAACCAGAGCACGGCAGTCAGATGGCTAAGATCGTCAACGAGCGCAACCACGATAGGTTGACAAACATGATTACCAACACTACTGGCGAGGTGATCTGTGGAAGTACAGGAGACCGCGAGAAACTCACAATCCCTACGACTATCATTGACAATGTTACTATGGACGATGCACTACTCGACTCCGAAATCTTTGGCCCGTTGCTTCCCATCATCGAAATGGGATTCCAGGAAGCTGTTGACAAGATCACAGAAGGACCTCACCCTCTAGCCATCAACATTTTCAGCCACAAAAAGTCTGAGATAGATTACAGTAAGATCTGATGGCGTCTATCTTGTTTCCAATTTGCCATGTTGACTCTTCACTAGTCTTGAATCATACCATTTCAGGCGGTGTATCGATCAACGACTGCATGTTACACGCAGCTGTGCCAAATGCTGGCTTCGGAGGCGTTGGTAAGCAATCAGGAAGAACATTTCACCCTCCTTCGAACTACAAGACTAACAACTCTAGGTGATTCGGGTATGGGCGCTTACCATGGCAAGCTGGGCTTCGAGGCTTTCACGCACAGACGTACGGTTGCGCGTATGCCAGATTTCTTAGACAGCGCGATGAGTTTCCGCTACCCGCCTTTCGATATGAAGAACAAGAAGGCTGTTGACGTTGGCACCAGAGTCGGTTTCAAAAGAGGTGAAACACTCCAAGATCAAAAGATTGGAGGCGGTTATGGCAAAGTCTCGGTATTAGGTGTCACTATCGCTCTCGCTCTGGTTGCTACCCTACATGCCCCTTCAAGAAAGGTTTTGTACGCTAGACTCGGCAACATTCTTAGTTCTTGAGAGTATCTAGTACCAGCTATACCTACAGACGCATACCGGATGCACAGACGAAACCGAGAAACATTTAGCTCAAACGGTCTGTCCAATGTGAACCCACATCTCTCAATCATGACTTGCCGTTAACTTTGTAGAGGTGTAATATTCTGTCCAGGCAGTCAGCAAAATGAGATGGAGCACAAGAGGATGTCCGATTAGTTGTAATTACCTTCCATACAAGTCATCCCAAGACAAACTCGGTTGACTTGCAATGGCACCAGAGAAAAAGTCCGTTTCCAATGGCGTTCGCAAAGCGTCCATGAAACGCATGTCGGTATCATTGTGCTGGTCATGATCTTCACTGTCAAGAGCGATCACTGGGAATTCAAGAGGTTCTGTCGCCTGGTCTTGAGTGTCGGGGTCATGATGGCTGTTAGCAGGGTGATTCTCGTTGACACCCTGAATGACATCTCGAAGTGATCTTAAGGTCTCGCGAGCCACGAGGGCACTTGAGGATATCTCACAGAGCACCGTGTGGGCGGTGCGGAAACAGGCCAGTGGCTCCTGACGTGGCATGTTCTCGCGTTGGCATCGTATGAGAATGAGTGACACATAGATGACAGCACGCGTGAGCAAAATCGAAACTATCGTGCGGTCGCTGGGCCTGAACAACTGAGACCGATAAAAAAGGTCGATGGTTGCCACCATTTGTTTGGCGGTCTGCCAACCAGTACGGTATAGACGATGATCAACTGGTAGTGAAAGCATACACTCCTGACGTGCTAGCAACTGAAGGTCACAAAATCGCTAGAAGAATTACTTGTCAGAACTCATAACGGAATCCAGATGTGCAGATCGAGACTCACCAGATAGAAAAACAAAGCTTGCTTGGCGGAAGCATTGTTATCAGCGGATAACATGTTCCTGGACCATTGAAACTTGGACGGGAGACTTTGGTAAAGAATGACCAGGCGATCATCCATGACAGCCACAATATCAGGACTCGTCGGCTTCGAGGCACTCGCGCTGGCCACTCTATCACAGATCTCAGACGAAAGCACTGACCATTGTACTAGAGCCTCAAGGTGTGTCGAATTCTGGTCTGAATTACCAGACTTCGACGAGGCACTGATCGGAGAATGTTGATCTGCAGCGGATAGTTGCTGTGTCAAAGGTATTTTCAGATCGCAGTCGCGCATGATGCAAGGAATTTCGAGAAAGCGAGATATGTCCTTGTCGAGGCAGTATATCGAGCACATGACCTCTGTTACGGTGTGATTTTGACCCGATGCGAGTTTCAAATTCGATGGCTGAGAATTAAGTCGTAGTTGGTAGCACATGCGCACGCAAGAGGCGAGAGTGTCATATGCTGTGCTGAGCATGTCGCATAGTGTCTCATAAATCGTTTTCGCTATTAGGAACTGGATAGCAGCAAGTGTTGGTCGATATGGCGGCGTGAGGCGGGTAGTCAGATGAACAGCTTCTTGATACTCTTGCCATCCCGGTGGCGAACCTTGTTCGGGATGTAACTCCTCCAAGATCCGCACCGTAGCCTGCATCATCTTTATGAGCGCAGCGAAGTGTAGGTTGCTTGATCCTAGAGACTCTCCATTAATCTGATCCAGAATGATTTCAAGCTCTGACAAGCACTGCGTCTCGTTGATAAAGGGATACATTGAATTGACGTTGGTGAAGTAGCTTTGTACGCTCTCTTTTATGAGAGGCCCAGTATTTTGGTCGATCCCGAGATACGACCCAACGTTAGTGGATCTGGAACCAGCACGAGCCTCAAATGACTCGAAGTCAGATTCCATTTGACATTGCGCACTTTGAGCTGACGGTGTAGAACCTGAAGACGCTCGATCTGGTACCGCAAAAGCGTCAAGACGTATGAGAGAGCTACCCAGAAACCTTTGCGTAGCACTTGAAACAACTGCAGGCCGCGAATAGATTCTAGACTCGGAAAGATCATCACTTCCAAAGGCGCTCGAGGCGTCGCAGTCCGCATTAGCCGCAGTCAAAGGGTGGCTCATTAGATCAGAGTTGAATCTTTGACGTAGACTTTGTTCGAGAAGTTGCAGGCGGCGGTCCACATTGGCCTGCCAGGCTTTCAAGGAGTCACGATCTTCTCTGGGAGAGGTCAGGACACCTGGCAATTGACGTTTCGCACTGTGGGAGATATCGCGCGCTCCGGAAGCAGGCTCGTTCGGAGTAGGACATGTCAGTGCCGGTCCAGCCGCGCTGTTCGGGTTTCGACTACTGATGTTAGTAGCTTCGTTCGACAGCTCTGTGTCGGTCTGTCGGCGAACATGATCTTTCTTGGATTTTCTCCGTCTTTTGTTGGGGCCAGCAGCATATGAACAGTGCAGTGACTGCACTTGACAAGCCATGCAAGGCTGTTCGCCCGAGCACTATACAAGTGGTTAGTCCGCGAACAAGATCCTAAATCATAGGGAACTTGTGATGGACTGAATGTGCTAAGGCGAGCCAAACATCCAAAGACCAGTGTTCCTCACTGGACTACATACCTTTGTCTTCCGTCGCTTGCACGTCTCACTGGCGACACATCAGTTCATCTATACGCTTCGGCACAGGACACGTCGAGCGATCAGGTAATTACCATGCAGCGCGAACGTATTGTCCACGAACCGAGCCAGGTGTAGCCTTGGGCCGCTTCTCGGTCATAGCTTGATGAAGAGTCGTGGTCCGAATTCTTGTTGACTTATGACTGATGTATGAGTATCGACGATGCACAAGGCGAGGTTCCTGGAGAAGGGCAACGGCAACCCCGCACTTCTTCGCCGCGCTGAGCTCTAGATTCCTTGGCTCTTTGGGTCACGTGAGCTATCTTTGAAGCACAAATCAACAATATTGACTACAAGTAGGTTAGTAAAAGTTGATTGCATACTACACAGTTTGAGAAGAACGAATAGCAGACCAAGTAAAAACCAAGCTCAGGACCGAGTCATGTCACCTCGAGATCGATGAGCTAGCAACAGTTTCAAGGGCCTTCTGGGGTTCTGGGGAGACGAACGTGGGGGTGATCTATATGCGGGGTTGTGATAACAATATCCTGGAGACGACTTAGCTAAGCACCTCACAACTGATTGTCTCAAAGCTTACTGTGGAGTTGAACGCGTGTGTAACCCTGAGTAAAGGATCTCCTTGCCTTAAGACTTGAGAGACCGAGGCATGTCGGTCCTCACAGATCGTGGCGAAACATTCCGGCTACGCTTTTGAGTTCTCTATTTCCGGTTTTTTTTTCCGACAGGCAGGAGTCCAGGGCCCAAAATTCCGTCCAAGACTGCCATCCGACAGCCATAACCTCAAATGCGGGGATCAGCATGTATCTCGAATATAAAGGCTCCTTATTAGACCTCAAGTCCAGACAGTCTTGTTGAACCCATATCATTTCCTCTTGTTATACACATCACCAGATACATCATGAAGACAAACGGAGTACGCTGGTCAGACCCAATCTACCAGCCACAGAGAAAACTCAAGGTCGTTTGCATTGGTGCAGGAGCATCTGGTCTCTTGTTGGCCTACAAGGTCCAGAGACATTTCGACAACTTTGATCTTGTAGTGTACGAGAAGAACGAGGATGTCAGTGGCACCTGGTTTGAGAATAAGTACCCAGGGTTGGTCTTACCTCTTCTCGCTTTTCTCGGTCTTTCCTAATTGATCACATAGATGTGCATGCGATGTTCCCAGCCACAACTACACCTGGTCCTTTGAACCCAAAGCAGATTGGTCCGGAACTTACGCAACATCTGGAGAAATCTTCGACTACTTCAAGCAATTTGGCATCAGACATGGATTAGAGAAGTACATCAAGCTTCAACACACCGTGGTCGACGCCAAATGGAACGAGCAAGAGTCCATGTGGCATGTCACTGCCCTCAACACTGTCACTCAAAAGACAGTCACGACTACTTGTCATGTACTCATCAATGCTGCGGGTATTCTCAACGCCTGGAGATGGCCTGCAATTCCCGGCCTGCAAGATTACAAGGGCAAGCTCTTGCACAGTGCAGCATGGGACACCACGACCGACTTGCGAGGCAAGAACGTCGGTCTCATTGGCAACGGGTAATAATCCACCGAGTGGAATCTCAAGCAAGCGAATCATTGTTAACCTCTTTCTCAGATCATCAGGAATTCAAATCCTACCTGCAATCCTCGATCAGGTCAAGAGCTTGACAACATTCATCAGAGAGCCGACATGGGTTGCCCCTCCTCTTGGTCAAGAACCCAAGAAGTACACACAGGAAGAGATCCAACAGTTCAAAAACGATCCTCAACACCATCTGGATACGCGCCGCGACATCGAGAAGAGCTTGAGTGGCTCTTTTGGCACATTCTTCCGCGACTCTGAAGAACAGAACATGACCAAACAATACATGCAAGGACACATGGAGTCACTGCTCAACAACCGTGAGCTGTTCGAGAAGCTTGTCCCAGAGTGGAGTGTTGGATGCCGCCGTATCACCCCTGGTATCGGCTATCTCGAGGCTCTCAACTCTGAAAAGGTTAAGGTCGTTTATGGTGCAATCACCAATGTTAGTAGCAAAGGACCCATCATCGACGACGGCAGCGAACACCCTGTCGATGTTCTTATTTGTGCAACCGGATTCGACACTACCTTCAAGCCAAGATTCCCGCTTGTCGGTAGATCAGGCAAGGCGCTGGCAGATGTCTGGAAAGGTAAACAACCAAGATTGGCTTTGTTGAGGATGAGTAGCTGACATGTCCTAGATGAGGCTCGCGCTTACCTTGGTCTCGCCGTCAACGACTACCCCAATTACTTCATGACCCTTGGACCAAACTGCCCAATTGGCAACGGACCTGTTCTGATCGCCATCGAGGCCGAGGTTGAATACATTGTCAAGTTCCTCTCCAAGTTCCAGAAGGAGAACATCAAGTTAGTCTTAACCCATACCATCCGTATAGCACATAAGGCTGACCCACCAACAGATCATTCGATGTCAGACAGGAGCCAGTAGACGACTTCAACGACTACAAGGACGCATACATGGAGGGTACAATCTGGTCCGAAGAGTGCAAGTCCTGGTACAAGAATGGCAACGCAAAAGGCAAGATCGCCGCATTGTGGCCTGGAAGCACACTCCACTACCTCGAAACCCTTGCCGAACCCCGTTACGAAGACTGGAAGTTCACCTATGACCGCGCCGTCAACCGATTCACATACCTTGGCAATGGTTTCAGTACCTCGGAGAAGCGCACTGGAGATCTGTCCTATTACATTCGTAACAAGGATGATTCTCCTATCGATCCTTGTTTGAAGGGACAAAACGTTGAAGGACCCACGATAGAGGAGGCTGCTAAGCAGGCCAATAACTTGTTGACAAAGGGTGATACCCGTGGTCAGAAGATCGCAGCTGTTGGAGAGACTGTAGCAAAGCTGTAGTTATGTTGCAAGAGCAATAGATAGATGTTCCATATTAAGCAACTATCGCTGTTAAGAGGACGTTGATCAAACTTAATCAACCCATGTAGTTTGTTTCTCCGGGCTTGAAAGCATGCATGAGCTTCCTAATCGCGGTTCTCAGTCTGCTTCTCAACCATTGAATTTTCGTCAAATTGAACCTCATATCAAGCCATGATAGCATCGGTTGGATTTCGTTGTATCTTGCCTATGATTTGTCGAACTACCATTTTGCCTACAAGTCATCTGTCTACCAAGACTCTTCGAAATCAAATTCTGGATTGGAAGAAGCCCCAGATAGTTCATGGCTTGAAGTGAAGATCGGATTCCTTTACCCACTCGTTGGTTCCGTCTCCCTTGCTCGGTTTGACAAATCTTTATGGTGAAGCTGACGACAAGAATCCAGAGCCAAAAAAAAAATACACGGATACCGTCTCGCCGTGGCAAGGAAATCGAACCTACAGAGCAGACAGGGTTGCCCTGTTGGACGCACTCTGGACGAAGCATTAGTCATCTGCCAAGCATCACGGTCTATGCCTAATTAAGCTAGACAAACTCTCGGACTGTCTTCCGTTTTGCTCCCGAACGCCCGCAATGACCCTTCCTTGAACATTCATAGTTCATCAAATCGAGGTCTTCTTCTCATCCATTTGACTGTCCGCAGTTTTTTGATGGGCAAAATGTTTCCTGGATAAACATCCGGTATCAGCACTAATCAGAATGTCGCCCTAAAGATGCTCTCATCGTAGTGCTATCTAGCCTCGGCACAGTTATGAGATACCGGAATTGGTTACATTCCGAGGAAAGTCAAATGCAACAGGCATCTAAATCGACGTCTCCGCAAGGAGACTGGAGTCTTTGATATGCGGAGACCCTTTTCTCCTCCTTCTCGATCTTATATTCGGACGTGGGATCACATTCCAAGATCTTCAATTTCGGCATTGCGATGGCGGTCAAGCAGAAATTGTCCACTGGGGACATTTTGAGGATCATTCGAGTGCTCCTTGCAACTTGTATGCATTACCATTCTAGCTGCGTCGATTGCCTCTCAGCTGATACTTGCAACGCATAGCTGCAAAAGCATTCGGCGCTTTGATCACAGGTCCTTTCCGAGGAGCCAATGGCGCAAGAACGTACAAACAGCATGTAATCTTCACAGCCATAAGAAATCTGACTGCGAGTTTGTCTGTACGGCTCATGAGGCAAGTATTCCAAAACACTGACGAACTTCGACTTTGATGGGACTGACTTTGCAAAGCGCGCTTACACCAGGTACTCTTGACGCCTACAAGGCTTTTGCAAAGAAAAAGGGCTTCAAGCCGAATTTGATCGATACTGCTGGTGTTCAAGGAGGTTGGATCGGTAATCCTCAAGCTAAGAACACGATCATGTGGTTCCATGGTAAGTAGTACCGTCCTAAATGAACATCAATAGCAGAGCTAAATTGCTTCCAGGAGGAGGTTATGCTTCTGCCGCTGCTGATGGCCATATGAAGATTTTGGGAGATCTTGTGGATGAAGCCCAAAGCCATGGAAGTGAGCTAAGCGGCTTGATCATTCGATATGGTAAGTAACATGTTTTCTTTCGCAATGGGAGGTTTTTTTTTTTTTTCGTTTTTCTTATTTTGAGAAATGGAATGATGTTGACATAGCTGGTCTATCAGATCTGACTGCCGAGTCGCCATATCCCAGACAGCTAGAGCAAGCGGTTGCAGCGCTGCGCTATCTGCTCGAGACCATGGGAAAGTCTCCACAGCAAGTACGTCTACCCGTTACGCTGAGCTTGCTGACTCACGCACGGCTTCTCATGTTCTAATCATGGGAAACAGATCATTATCGCTGGAGACTCTGCAGGTGGCAACCTCTCTCTAGGCCTAATCTCCCATCTGACCCACCCTCATCCCAACATCGCCCCGATCGATCTCGGCTCCGAGTCCTTGAAAGGACTTGGTCTGATATCTCCATGGGTGACGTTTGCTCAGGACGCCGATGCTTGGAAACGCAATGCCTACAAAGACTGTCTCACTCCCGTGGCAGCGGCAAGATGGACCAACGAGTTCCTCAAGCAAGCGCCACAAGACAACTACAATGCCCCTTTGACAGCGCCAGAGTCTTGGTGGGCTGATATCCCCGTCGACGAGGTTTTGGTGACTGGTGGTGAGGATGAGGTGTTGGTTGATGACATTGCAGCCATGATCAAGAAGCTCGAGGTATGGTTTGACTGGCTTACGACGAAAAAGCTTCTGGGATCATTTTGACTGACTGGAGAGCAGACGCAAGACAAGGCAAAGGTACACTCACTGATTGCCAGTCAAGAGCCACACGATGGTCCTTTGCTCGAGATGATCCTTTCCAAGAAGACCGAATCAAGCAAATTCTTGACAGAATGGACCATGAAGTTGATAGCATCATAGATGGATCTAGCTTTTTCGAATCTTTTCTTTCTTTTCTGTTTTGGACCTTCAAGATGTGTTTGTTTGATTCAAAAGAAGATGCATGTCTGGCATGCGGCAATTGAGTGTACCCTCTGGTCAACAGAAACACGGTTCAGACGCACATGATTTTAGCATTTGCTGTATACGACCCAACGAACGTGGTTATCTCAAAGAATAGTGTTTTTCTCACCTGTCGCTTACAATCATGATACATGATATACCTCTATTCCTCCACCTGCTTATGATCTGATGGAAACTAGTGTTTCGGTGAGGAGGAGTATGATAAAACGTCCTGTCACACGAAACATTGATTGCTGGGAAACTCAGTAGTCACAGTGTAAAAGTCTTTCTTTTTTGTTCATATGCAGTGTGTGAACATTTGGTATTCGTGTTGATGGGTAGTAGCTATATAAACAAAAGAAAATTTGGTGTGGTGGGGAGGGTGGGGGTATTGGTTCCTATATCCTTTCCTGTCCTTCCTTGCGATAAACCTGTTATTCGCCCTTTGATATCATCCCTCCTCTTTTCATAACGCCAGCGCAAAAAGAAACGATAAAAAGCCCCAGCGTTCCTTCTTTCCAAAAGAAATTCTCGAATCCTGACCTGAGGATCTTACAGAGTGCATCCACTGAGTCCAGAACTCCATCCAGTGAGTCTGTTGGCGACGTCTGAGGCATAGCACAAAGTACAGCATCCAGTGCCCAAATCATCAGCATGGTAACCACCCAGACCACCGTTGTAGATGCGAGCAGCACGGTAGTACATGCTAACATCTGTGACATCGGTCTCTTTGAGACATTGCACAAGGCCATCGCCAGAAGCAGTGCCTTCAGTTCCATCGACAATCATTTGTTCAATCTCAGAAGCGGGACAGGGGTTTTGAATCACACCGCCAGAGTTGCAAGTACCAGAGCCAGCATGGTCCTGCATGAGTCCAGGGTTTTGGACACTCCAAGAGGTGGTGACGACACGAACACAGCCGTTGGATTCTTGCATCACAATAGCGAGGATAAAGCGAGGGTCCACTCCAGACGCAGCAGAAACCTTGGTGATGGCAGCCTTGATGTCTGCAATCTCGGTGGGAGAGTTGTTGGCGCCCCAGCCGTTGTTTGCGCACGATTGTTGCATGATGGGGATGTTGGCGGTGAACATGGAGTCAAAGTCCATCCATTGGGATTGGGAGGGCCAGCCAGCGGCGACGGTGCCGTTACCGGTGTACATCTTGTATGCGGTGGAGGCGACGGAAGTTGAGGAAGACGAGCCAGAGTTGGAGGTCTGGGTAGCGGTGGTGGCGGTAGAGGCGGCGGGGGATGATGCGGCGATGGAAGATGCTGCGGCGGTAGAAGCAGAGCCAGAGCTGGTGCCGGAGCTGCATGTAGCGACACAGTAGGCATATCCAATCCTGTGCATATGTTAGCTTAAGGAGTCCCTAAGAGGGAGAAAAGAATCAAATGCTTACTGGATGTTGTTGCAAGAAGGTGCATTGACAGCAGGGTTCCAAGCCATGAAAGTGTCGGTGGAGATGCCGTTTGCAGAAGCAATAACATAGCAGTAGTCGCCAGACTTTGCAGTGTACCACTTGGTACAGCCAGACACGATACCAGTCTGTGTGGAAGCAGGAGGTGCAACAGTCGCGCAAGAAGACGAGCTAGCCTTTGCGGAAGTAGCAGCAGCCTTGCTAGAAGACTGGGCAGACGAAGATGCCTTGTAGCTGGATCCAGAGACCGAAGCGGGAATGCTGGAAGTGGTAACAATAGTCTTGGTAGTAGCGCCATGTTGCATGATAGAAGACATGGTAATCATGGTAGAAGACTTCTTGGACGAGGAAGTAGGCTTGACAGAGGATGTGCTGGCCTTCTTGCTGGAGGAAGTGCTGGTGACCTTCTTAGACGAGGAAGTGCTAGAGACCTTCTTAGCAGACGAAGAGCTAGTCTTCTTGGAAGATGTGCTCGATTTCTTGGTAGATGTGCTTGCTAACTTGGTCACAGGGATCGCGGCAGATGTGCTCGTCTTTTTGGAAGATGTGCTCGACTTTTTGACAGAGGAAGAACTTGACTTCAAAGAGGACTGAGACACATACCTGACTGTGGTAGCCTTGGAGGAAGAAGAAGTCACTTTGCTGGTAGAAACACCTCCAGCAATAAGGGTTGGGGACTGGGTAGCGGGAAGGTAGACGATACTAGTCTTGATGGCAGCGCAAGAAGATCCAGAGGAGAGAGCAGCAACCTTGATGGCAGGAGCCTTGAAGGGCGTCAATGCCGAGAAGGTGGCAGTGACATAGTTAGTGACCACATCGGTAACAGTAACAGTCTTCTCGCTTGCAGATGCAGTAGTGACAGCTCCATTAACAGTAACGGTGTTGTAGACGGTATCAACAGATATGCTGGTAGTGGTATCAACAGTCTGAGAAAGTGCGCCTACAGCAGTAGGTGTGGTAGCTGCAGCAGCGAGGAGGACCTTGACAGATGCGTCGGAAGGAATGGCAGTTGAGATGTTCAGAGCCAATGATGTGTTCGAAGGAGACCCGCTCGCATACGAACCATCGGAAGTGAGTGACAAAGTGGGGAAAGCAGTTTCTGACTGCGAAGTTGTGGAGGAGATGGTGCTAGAAGCTACCTCTGAGCTAGCAGAGTTGGCATCAGTACCATCTGCATAGTTAGCAGCAACATTGACTGTAGAAGTCTCGTATGAAATGTGATCAGCGTAGATTGTAGAGTTGGCACTTTCTGTCGTGGTAGAGTTGGAAAGAGTGCCGTTGATGAGGGAGCGATGGTGAAGATGATGAAGATGGGTATGGCGAGAGTGACCATGAAGAGGTCCAGCGGCGACGAGACCGATAGGCGCAAGGGTTGCGATAACCTGAGTGACGCGCATTGTAAAGAGTGTGGTGAGGTGTATTGTTGTGAACGAGAGTGAGAAACCTGGTTCTGTAAAAATGTGCAAACAGCGACCTGGATATATATCAGTGCAGACGCGAACAGCTTAGACTGTCGGCAAGCAGGGTTGGCTGCAGGAAGCACGGATTAAGGTAGTGTAGGGATCAGGAGGGGTGGGATACTTAGCCTGTGTGGCGCTCGCGGAAAACCTGGGATCGAGTGCTTCTGTAAAGGGGCTGGAGGGGTTAGTGAGTCGTAGAAGATTTTTTCTTTTACCTTTACAGCTGCATTTAACCTGGTTGCCGGGATGAGTGTCACGAATGATTTGTTGGTGCGCGTGAGAGAACAATGAAAGCAAGAGGCGCACATCATCTTATACCATTTGCAGTCGAATACTTGAACTGTCTACACGTGAAAAACTCCACCATGTGGTTGCGTAGGAGGGCGTGATAGAGGTCAACGTTCTACGATAGGAAGATAGTGTAACCCAGGTGAAGGTGCACGGACGGACCCTTCAATGACAGGTATTCAAGTCACGATCGATAGGTGGATTCGTCTTTGTCCATTGGCGCGACTGACCTGACAGTTTGTTCGTGAAGAGTTGTCCATGCAGGCGCGTTGTAGAGACGCGTAAAAGGGGGTGCTTTGCAGAAGGGGGAAAGCCAGGTCCACAAATCCAGAATAGAGTCACTGTCTCGACCTGGAGGAGTAGCGCAATTAGAATCCGACAAAGGGAATAGAAGAGCCAGATCTTTTCAGAATGTTGCCCTGCGCTACAACGGTAGTTATTGGCATCATAGACGATATCAGCGGTTCGGTTCCTAGAATATCCCTTGCTTGAAGGAGGAGAAAAGAGGTTCGGCTTGTGTCCAACGGGTGGGTTTCTAGCCAACGGTCCTGTTGTTCCGTCGACGCGACTTTCAAACGGACAGAATGGGATCTGTAGAGCCCTACGGACGTCAGTGTCCGTCCGAGTGAGACTCAGAGGCGCATCAAAGACTGGTGACGTGCGCCTCTTTCGTGATGGTCAAGTGTCATGCAAGTCTCGTCAAACAAGGGAAGAGGTTGGGCGGGCAATGGTTGGACAAGAACAAGCGGGGCGGACCGACAAGGAAATTTGCGACCTCTCCTCTTCAGCACTTAACAGCCAACAATTGCTAAATCCACCTTCTACGCCGCAATGCTAGCTCTTCGGGTACTCGTACATGGAAGCATGCGATTAGTTTGATATGTAGAAGATAGCCGTGGTGACCGCCGTTTTGCAGCCGGCTACCTGCATTGGGCTTGAACAGCCGAAGAGTCGCAAACTGTAAAAGTCTAGCCATAGAACCTCAACATCAAGCGAAACTAGCAAGCGCTTGGAGATTGTATTGACTATACCCGTATCACTGCGCTACAAGTGTTGAACACTATTGTGATGTCAATCGAGGGAGTAATGCGACAGATGTGTTGTTGAAGCATTTTCCAGTCATGTCCTACGGCTTCATGCATGGCATAGATCTGGCGCTTGCATAACCCAAGGAACTACTGCGCGTCAAGCCAGATACCTTCCAGCCGCCATGTTATAGATGTGAGAATGTGATAGGTCAGAGTGTGGAGATTAACGACGGGATATGTTTTTGTACCATCCTTGTAACATTTGAACTGAGCGCACTCCGGCTCGGTAGAACGCAGCCGGGCCGTGGTACCTGACATGCAATCATGACTTTTGCAATCACATACTATCACTCTAGCTGCAGCAGAACTCCATAGTGAGAAGCGCGCGCTTGTGGAAAGTGCATCAGGGAGTGCCTTGATGATTGTCGCCGCATAGGTAGATTGAACGACAGGTAAATCATAAAAGGGTTTCTTGGAATATTTGTACAGACCATGTTGAGAACGCCGATAGAAGATGCCCGAATTTTGTGAGTCCCTGATATCATATACAGCCAGCAGAGCAGGAAATAACAAGAAGATGCCGTCACTCCTTAAGGTGAAGGAGACTCGGGCATGCGGTTGGCAGACTGATCGACGCTGGGGGGAGGCAATTCACGTCTCGGCCGCCTGAGCGACTCCTCAGTGACACCATTTCCAAGCTTTGTGATGCCCATGACTGGAGGGTCTCCAGCACGCACGAATTCGTAGAGCCCAGGCAGCTTGTTTCCAGCCAATCTGAAAGCATCCTTGACAACCTGCTCGTGCAGCTCTCCCTTGAGCTCAAAGATGATCTTACTGACAGCAACACGCGAAGCCCAGTAATCGAAGCTACCCTTTCCCTTTCCCATACGCGACTCGTTACCAGAAGTGTAGACACCGATGTTTGCCGAGATGCGGGTGTAGAGGCGGTACTTCATTCCACGCAGACGTTTACGGATGACATCTTCGCCAATCTTGAGCTGTGCAGCGCTGATGCGACGATCGTGGTCGAGAAGGCGAAGGCCGTAGTCACCCCAAACGACGGTGGTGCCGCGAGTGCTGCCACCAGTAGGTACACGAGGTCGTCCTTTGCGGTCTTTCTTGTTCGCGCCGGCGCGAGGAAGGAGCCAGGATTGAGTAGAAGGTGTTGAAGAGAATGCGCGAGACAAGGATGAGAGAATTGGTGACGTTTGGCTTGGGAAGAATTGTGGACGTGCTGGAGTATGGTTTAGTCTTGACTGCGTGAGGGTATAGGTGGATCGAGTGGCGTACTGCAGGTCTGAGCGAAGGAGAAGAGAGTGTTGCGATGCGAAGCAAGGCTCGCGCGAATCCGTGGTGCCGACATGGTTGATGTGATTGAGTGTATACCTATTGCTGCATCTCGTCTTGGTACAGGCCCTTGGACTTTCTCCAAGTCGAGCTCGGTTTGTTCCGTTTCCCGCGGGAGTGAAGCAGCCGAATCGGGATAGATTGATGACGCGCTGTCGAGTGATCGCGAACCCCCGAGCGCGTCTTGTTTGAGAGCTGCAATTGAATTGTATCAATTATCATAGCATTTGCGGGCATCGACCTATCTTGCTTCTGAATAGAGATAGACCATGCCAGCAGATATTCGCAGTTTCTTTGGTGGCAAGCCGGCTGCTACACCACCGGCGAAAGAGGAAAAGAAGGCTCCTGCCAAAAAGGGTAGAGCTAGAAAGGTCGTTGATGACAGCGACGATGAGGAAGAGCAAGTGACTTGACAGGTATCAAGAGGAAATCACATGCTGACTCTGCGACAGAGTAGCACCAAAGAAGGCAACAACGACGAAAGCAGCAACAGCGTAAGCGTGTCTGCCTGGCTGCAACCTGCTCCTTCCCCAATTGACTCCCTCGCAGAAAACGCGCCGCATCACCAAAAGGCGAGGAAACAACGACTGCCGCCTATTTCGCCAACAAGAACAAGCCAAAGCGAACTGCCACCGCTACCAGATCACAACCTGCTGCTCCCCAGAAATCTCCTGCCAAACCCATCAAATCAGAAACAACTCCACCACCTTCGACAGATGACTTGAATCCCGACGACTTCCCTGACGACGACCTGGACGACGTCCCCACAACAAACCTCAAGAAGGAAGACCCACCTGCCGAAGACATGCCTCCCAAGAATCGCGCCGCCGCCACAAAGGCCAAATCAACAAAGGTCAAGGACGAAGACTACGAAGACGCCAATGTTACCATGAAAGACGATGACTTTGTCGTTCCAGACGATGATGACGATGACATGGTTATCGAAGAACCCACCAAGGCCAAACCCAAATCCAAGGCCGGCGCAAAGAGAAAGTCAAAGGACCTCGACACAGATGAAGAAGAGGAAAAGCCCAAGCTCAAAAAGCCTCGTGCTCCAGCCAAGAAGAAGGACAAGGATCCACCACCCGAAGACAGTGCAGAACTCAAGGCCATTCTCAACGACATTCCTTTAATTCAGGCACCCGACCCTCCCAGTGATGATGAGACGACCGGCAAGAAGAAATGGTACAACCGACCCAAGGATGATAACCCCGCCCCTGGTGCCGGTAGTCTCGACATTCCCGAGGGCAATGAAAACTGTCTTGCTGGCCTGAGCTTTGTCTTCACTGGTCAGCTTACATATCTTTCAAGAGAAGAGGGTCAGAATCTGGTCAAGCGTTATGGTGGAAAGTGCATGACAGCTCCCAGCAAGAACACTAGCTACGTCGTTCTGGGAGCTGAGGCTGGTCCCAAGAAACTCGCCACCATCAAGCAACACAATCTCAAAGTCATTAACGAGCAAGGTCTTTGCGCTCTCATTGCGAAACTTCCTCCTAACGGCGGCGATAGTGTGGCCGGCGCAAAGTTTGCAGAACAGCAGAAGAAGGATGCCGAGAAGATCAAGAAGGCTGCTGAAGACATTGAAAAGGCAGAGCGTGCAAACGCTGCCAAGGGTGGTGCATCCCAGCAAAAGGGTATTGCTGCTGACGGCACCGACAACAGACTCTGGACTGTCAAGTATGCTCCCACTCAGCTCAGTCAGATTTGTGGCAACAAAGGTCAAGTGGAAAAGTTGAGCAACTGGTTGCGCAACTTCCACAAGAACGCCCGCAAAGATTTCAAACTGGCCGGAAAGGATGGCAGTGGTACTTACAGAGCAGTCATGATTCATGGCCCTCCTGGTATTGGAAAGACCACAGCAGCACATCTCGTCGCCAAACTCGAAGGTTTTGACATTGTTGAAAGCAACGCCAGTGATACTCGCAGCAAGAAGTTGGTCGAAAGCGGTCTCAAGGGCGTCCTGAGCACAACTTCCCTCATGGGTTACTTCTCTTCCGGTGAGGTCGAGGCAAGCAAGAAGAAATTGGTCTTGATCATGGATGAAGTCGATGGTATGTCTGCTGGTGATCGTGGCGGTGTCGGCGCGCTTGCCGCTGTCTGCAAGAAGACTCAGGTCCCGATGATTCTCATCTGCAACGACCGCAAACTGCCCAAGATGAAGCCATTCGACTTTGTCACATTCGATCTACCTTTCCGCCGTCCAAGCAACGACATGATTCGTGCTCGTATCGCAACTATTGCCCACCGCGAAGGTCTCAAAATGCCTCCAAACGTTATGAACGCTTTGATCGAGGGTACAGGAGCAGATATTCGCCAGGTTGTCAACATGATCTCTACAGCAAAGCTTGACCAGTCTGCCATGGATTACGACAAGGGCAAGGAGATGTCCAAGGCCTGGGAGAAGCATGTTGTCTTGAAGCCGTGGGACATTACCAGCAAGATTCTTGGAGGTGGCATGTTCCAAGCAGCCAGCAAATCAACACTCAATGACAAGATTGAGCTGTACTTCAACGACCACGAGTTCAGTCCTCTGATGTTGCAGGAGAATTATCTCGGCACAAAGCCGATCTTGGCTGCAGATGCTCCTAATGCGAAGATGGCCAATCTCAAGACGCTCGAGTTATCAAGTCAAGCAGCCGACAGTATCTCGGATGGTGATCTGGTTGATAGAATGATCCACGGCTCGCAACAGCAATGGAGTTTGATGCCTACACACGCCATCATGAGTTTTGTTCGTCCAGCCTCGTTTGTTGCAGGCTCTCAAGCTGGTTCTCAGACTCGCTTCACAGCATGGTTGGGCAAGAACAGTACCTATGGCAAACTCGGTCGTCAAGTCAAGGAAATCCAAGGTCACATGCGTCTACGAACTTCTGGAGACAGACACGAGATCAGACAACAGTATCTTCCCACCTTGTGGCAGAATCTTGTCAAGAAGCTGGAGGTTGAAGGCAAAGAAGCAGTCCCTGAAGTTATCCAGCTGATGGATCAGTACTTCCTTACCAAGGATGACTTTGATGCCATCATGGAACTTGGTGTCGGACCTATGGATCAGGAAAAGGTCAAGCTGGAAACTCAGACAAAGGCCACCTTTACCAGGATGTGAGTGATTATTGCACCATCTATCTTCCCTTTCAAGGCACAAGCTAACCCAATTGCCACACAGGTACAACGCACAATCTCACCCTCTCCCCTTCATGAAAGCTTCCAGCGTCGTCAACCCATCCAAGAAGATCGCAAAAGACAAGCCCGATCTCGAAGAAGCCATGGACGACTCAGAAGATGAAGCAATCCTCAAGGACGCAGCTGAGGATGATGCCGAAGAAGAGGAAGACATGGATCCTACAAAGGACAAGTACGTCGCCAAACCCAAGAAGAAGAAAGCTCCTGCTGCAAAGGGCAAGGGAAAGAAGAAGGCAGACAGTGGAGATGAAGATGATGAGGAGGATAAGCCAAAGCCGGCTGCTAAGAAGAAGGCTCCTGCTAAGCCAAGGGCTAAGAAGTGAGTTTGAGAGTGCTCGTCGGTGTGAATGCTGAGAAAAATGGGCATACTTCCGTGAAGGGGTTCGATGGTTGCTGCAAGTTGTCTTGCTATGATGGTCTTTGCTAGGCGCACAATTGCTGTTCGATCATTCAGCTGGGAACATTACATAGAATTGCAGGTCTTATCCCAAGGAAAAGCAGGAATCCTCGAAGCATTCTATGAAGTAGCTTCCTCTGGCATGCATGAATCAAAGAGAATATACATCCTTCCCGTCTCCTTTCCTCCTTTATCTGACTAGACGTTTCTGTTCGCCCGCAGGTTACCTCATACTAAACCATGCATTTTTTGGAACCCTTGACTGCAAATTGGCTGCTTCAAGAAATGTTCAAAGCAGTATTTGACCTCCCATGAAACATTGGTTAGCACCACCTATTCTGCCTTGCCTCTTCTTGTCGAACATGGACCTTCTCTCTTCTCTCTCTCTCTTCACGAAGCATATATGGTATCCAAAAGTCTAGAACTTTTTGCGGAAAAAAAGACGTTTTTTCATGTTTGTTACATAGCTTTTCTCTCTCTCTCTCTCTCTCTCTCTCTCTCTCTCTCTCTCTCTTTTTTTTTTTTTGCCTCTCCCCTCCCCATTGTTTTTTTTGGCATATGCCAGCCATGTTTTCCCCACCAGTGACTAGTGTCTGGATATTACTTAGATTAGGCCTTTTCCATCTCTCTACTTGGCAAGCTCAAGTACCTTCCTGGTGTTGTTGGAAAGTGGAGGAGTTGGGGAGATTTGGGGTCATATCCAAGATCTGCTCGCTTGCGGGAAAGGTTACTTTTGATAAAATTAGGAGCACTCACAACGACCGAAAAAAGACTGCTAGTTTTTTGTCTCTTTTTTTTTGGTGGGGGTGGGAAAGGTAAAGAAAAAGTATGAAGAGAAGAGAGAAAAGAAAAAAAAAAAAATGATAGACAAGGGGTAGAAAAAGAAGAAAAACATGGAACGGGGGTTGAAATTTTCAATGTTTTTGGGGGTGGGTGTGTAATTCAATTCATATTGAGGTTCGGGGTTTCGTTTCTGGGTAGTTAACGTCCAGTTCTTTTTCAACACAGCTCTCCAAGTCTCCCAGTTTTCCCCAACAGAAGATCTCCGAATCTCCCTTTCCTTTCCTTGCTGTAACATGGAAAAACCTCAGAACGCTCAGAAGCATGCTCGAAACAAAAGCCAATTGTCAAGATTATGATATAGGCAGAAAATTGCCCACAATAACTGAAGGACTGTCAATCTCAAATGTCAGCAAATCGATCGCCATCCTAAACACTTTTTCCTTCGTAATTGTCTTCAAGAGGCAGAAGTCAGTTACTCACATGTTATGTATATCCCTCCTGATGGTAAACGAAAAACAGCATTTCCTCAATCCTTTTACCGGTTTGGGCTCTGCACCTCTTTCGCCTTGTTTTGCACTCTTGCCTTTGCCATCTTTGACTGCAACACCATCTTTGCCTGCAACACCATCTTTGTCGTCCTTGTCGTCGTCGTCATCCTCGCTAGGATTCTTCAACGTGCAAGACGTCAAGATGGCTTTTTGACTCTGGTCAAAAGCAATAGCGCCGAATTTTTCCCAGTAGGATACTAAAGAATCTTCGGCCATGATTTCATGCAGCGCCAATTTTCCATCCCGTAGCTCTTCCATCGGCACTTGAATCAGTTCCGCCATTTCCTTGTTGCCGCGAAAGATTTCTCCTGTGCGACGCCAACAACAAGCTGGGATTGCCATACTAGCAAACACGCGGTCATATTCCATAAGTGTGGACTCCCACCACATCTCCACTCTAATCAGTTGGATATCCGTCAAATTATGCATGGCTTCTCTAAACTTGGGACGGAACTTCTCCAATTGTCGCAAGATTTTTTGACGGAGGGGTGGTCGCATGTGGGATTCCATGTAGGTGTTTAGACGCGAGTAGCCACGCACGTAGTTGAAGGGCCGTAACATGCCGGCGTCGTATTTTGCTTGTAGCAGTTTTAACATGCGAGCTTCGGGGGTGTCATTGCCGGCTGGATCTGCAGCGGTCATGTAGAATTTATCGCGGGCTTTGGCGTCGACGGTGGGGCGGGAGAGGTCGTTTGCAGCAGGCGGAGCAGGGGGGTCTTGTTGTGGTTGGGAGGTTGAAGAGGGAGCAGCTTGATGGATTCCAGAAAAGAGATTCATGTTGTTTGCGTAGGTGGAGAGGGAGCCTGTTGCCAGCAAAGGATCGTTGAAGATTGGATTCGAGTCGTCGAGGTTGTAGGTTGCGCCATCGTCTAGTAAACTGTTGTTGAGAAAGTCGCCGAGGAAATTGTATTCGTCTGTGACTTCTGAAGTATTGAAGGTGTAGTTGGGATGTAGATTTCTCATGTCGTGTAACTGGTTTGTAGAGCCAAAGTTCCAGTCGTTTATGGAGAAGGGCTGTTGAGTGGGTGGAGGCTGAGTCTGTTGCTTGATGTGTGTAGGCGACAGTGGTTTGGAGTGTTGAATGCTTGGAGGGTCCATTCTCAGGCTACTTCGGCGTTCGTCTTGGTTGGCAGTGGTTTCGGCGGGAGGAGTATCAGTGTCTGGTTTCTTGCCTTTTGCAGGCTCTCGTGGTTCGTCATGGCAGAGGTGGGCAATGTCGCGTTTGACGCATCTGGCGCATGGTCGTTCGAGGTCGCATGTCATGTGTGATCGACGACAATAGACACAGGCATGGTTGACCTTTCTACGCTTCTTTCTCGGAGGACTTGATGGACTGTCTACGGTGGCCGTGCTCTTTGATCTCTCCTGCGACTTGGGTGTGTCGGTTGTATTGTTACTCTGCTGCTTGTTGGCGGGTTTGGAGTCGTTCATGGTTCCATTGCGGTCGTGTTTCGTGTCGGCGTCCGTCATGTCCAGTCGAGTTTCCAATAGGCGAAGCAATCACTGCAACGCCAAAACCAAGCTCTTTCAGTTTCCAGGCTCTGGTATACGCGTAGGCCGAGGTGCAATGACGGTCCGCATCGAGTCGCGAGGGTCGAGGGTCAGCGGCCCGCTGCCAAGCCCGCTCCATAGTCCAAAAGAGCTCATCTTTCCTGAGCATTCAAGATTCATCTTGGGAGTTCATCTTATAAGATTGTCTCATCTTTTGCTGCCTCATACGGCCTCTCTCTTTACTTGTATGCATGTCCTTGACAAAGAATGCATGTTGGTGTTTTTGTTTTCCTTTCTCGGGATCTGCAAAGGACAGACACGGCCCGATCAACCCCTTCATCACTCCACCATTCTACCGATCCTGCCCGCTCGGCATATCTAACTATTACTGCATCCATGTCCGAGATGCTGCCTAAATTGACAGCTCAGTATTTCAATGTTTCAGATCAATCTTCAATGAGTAATAGGAACCAATATTCGCTCAATGCTTGCATCTGCGCTGCTCAACCGAGCTACAATTAAAATTCGCTTCTTCAGAACCCGCTTCCTATAGAATCGAAGCCTGTATCCCTAACCATGCACATGGCATATCTTCTCGCATGCTTGCTGGCCCTTTGCTGAAAATGCCTCCTAACAAATCCCAAAACTCCCTCGCTGCATATCCTCTAGATACCGCGTATGCTTGTTGATGCCCTTCTCGATTCAAGAGCAACATCATCTGGTGCGATCGACTGTCACATAGTCCTGCCCTTGACCATAGTTTGGTGTAGGTGTCTTGGGCATGGCACCAGGAATGTGGGGTTGGAAGGACTCTTCTCTGTTGTTTGGTGGCCTCTGCTGGTATGCTTGTTCGGGGTACGATTGGTAGCCAGAGGGTTGTCTAGGAGCAGCTTCTCTCGAAGCATAGGATGGCTGAGCGCCTGATGCAGCTTGGTGTGGAGTGATTTCGTGGTCGGGACTGTTGGCAGCTCGTGCTAGACGTTCTTCCGTCTCGCGTAGGCGTGCTTCGATTTCTGCGAGTTCTTCTTCTCGGGTTGATACTGTGCGCTTCCTGTGTCTGGTCAGCTTGAGCTGATGGTGTAGCTTGATGTATGAGATACTGACTTCTCTTGGACGGTGAATGAGAGGTTGCCGAGAGTGGTGCCCGAGTTCAAGCCAAATAGAGAATCCAGGTCATCCGAGAAGTTGCGAGCAGCGATGCTACAGCCATGTAAGTGTCGGTCAAGCAGTCGGGTCAATAGAGGTCAGCATACGACTCAGGTCTGGCCCGCTGTTGAGGGGTGTGTTCCATGACGTTGTGTTGACAGGGATGGTGTAGCTGTTGATAGAATATGCGTTGTTGATTGGAGCTGGCAGCAGAGGTGTTGCAGTAAACAGGGACGGATGTTGAAAAGTGGACACAAGGCGGGGTGTTGGTGAAATGGAAATAACTTAGTCCTTTGAGTGATAAAAGGAGGATCGTCTCATTCATATGCAAGCTGCGGCATGACCACTTGGGGGTGCGTTCTCGTACTCGATTCAGGCAGTGACCAGGTCGCCAAGACTGGCATCATCAAGCATCAAGGCAGGCCGAGGAATGTACTCGGTATACCTACACTTAGCCATCGACTCTTGAAGTAGAACAAGACAATTGTGTTGTGCACGAGAAAAAGTCGAGAGATGACGCCTTTGCACGGCCTCTAGATTAGAATTGTCTTGTAACCGATAAGAAAGCTCGCTGAGCCATGTTAGATGGGTCAGTTGGGTACTGGTGGTCGGGCAGCAATCGAGACATTTTTTGGAGGCTAGCATGTCAAGGTATAGCTGCATCATCTCAAGATAGACGTTAAGGCAGATGTTGCATCAAAGTGTGGAACAGTCCAAAGGTTCCAAGATCTAAACTGCTCTACGAAAGCCAAGCAACGGTTGGCGGCAGCGGAAGAGGCGCGCAAATCCCATCCCAGCCCAAAGCGACTCTCAGACACGAAGCACGAGGCCAGCAACAGCACAATCTTTCAGTCCATCCATCATCTCGCACTACGACCACCATGAGCTACAACGCGTAAATCAATCACCAGACAAGCATGAACTGGAATCATCGCGACTTCTGGCCCGAACACAACCAACCACGCTACTCTGGTCGCCGACGTCGCCAACACTTTGCGACAAATCAACTCGCAAATGACTAGTCTGGCCCAGCACACTCCGCTCGAGTCGCTTCTGCTCTTGCACGCCTTGCGCAGTGATGGCTTGACTGCTATCCGCTTTGGCCAGATTTCAGAGCAGCTGAACAACATTCCACTCGTCCGCAACGACCCATCTTACGACAGCGCTCGTCTGCATGAAGATGCTTTGAAACACTTGTGTCTACGACTGCTCAAAGATGAGGCACGCAATAGCCTGGATCAGCATGACGACAGGAAGAAGAGACAGCTCAGTCCGACCATTCTTACTGTCGAAGAAGCCGCCAAACATTCTCACTTAATCCCACGTCTTGTCCATCGCCTGTACACCCGCTACAGGGAGGGTGTAGTTGCTGAAATCAGAAAAGAGGAGGAGAAATATGATACTTTGACGCGAGAGATTGGGGAAATCGAGGCTGGACAATGGGACGACCGTCTACGAACTGAACAAGCTGCCTCTGCGCCGTCCACGCGACCTGAACCTACTGTTGCAACACCAACAGCAGATGAAACTGCGCAGACCAACGGATCTACTGCTTCAACTCCAGGAGAGAATGCGTCGCAGCAACCCAAGGACGCAGCACGACTGAACCGCGCAAAGATTGACGCCGTCATCAACCATGAACCTGTCGCTGCTCGTCCTACAGCTTCGCCAACTCCTCCACTGCCGCAATCATCTTCGCAATCTCAGTATGCTCCACCCGCAGTACCTCACAGACTGTCGACCACTTCTCTGCCACCCCTCTCGGAGATGGCTCCAGAACAGCACATGCAGCAGTCTCAGCCCTCTCCTCAGCTACCGAATCTTCAGTCAGCTGCTGGTTACCGTGTGTCTCCAGTCTTACAGCAGAATGGCTTCCCGCCTCAATTTGCTCGTCCCAATGCTCAGCAAAGTCCTCGTCACAGTCCTGCTCCATCTTCGCCTCATCCAATCCTGCCTCTGCCTCCTGGTATGAGCATGCCACCTCGTCCGCATTCTCCTGCTGTTTCAACCCGTGGTGGTCCTGCTCAATATCCTTCGCCAACTCAGCGTGCTCCTCCAGTGCCTCTGCAGCCTGCCCCACGACCACCTCACATGCAATCTCCCCAAACATACAACCAGGCCTACCCTCAGTATCCTCAGCAGCCAGGTTATCCTGCTCAACAACAGCCAGCATATCCAGCTCGTCCAGCTCACCAAGGAGGCTATCAGTTGCCACCCTTCCAGGTCGCTGCCCAGGATCCAAACAGGATGCATCAACAACATCTGGCTCAACAGCAACATGCCCGTCAACCACCAACTCCTGCTCGTCAGCATGTCCCTGCTCCCTATTCTCCCCACACACCATACGCCTATCCTACACCTTCTGATCCTCGTCGTCCCGATGCTGCCAATCCTTTGGACATTTTGAGCAGTTTGAGAAAGACTCCTCGTTCAACTCTTTCGCGTTCCATGACTCCTCGTTCAAACTCTCGTGTTGCGACTTGGAAGCGTGAGAGACCCTCCTTGCTGTCTCGACCGTTCATTGATGGTGTTGAAAGTCCCGCCCCTGAACGTGCGAGTCCACCTCCGCCATCGCGTGAGATCTCGCCTGTCCGCACGACCAAAGAGGTTCCAATCAAGCCCAAGTCTGTGGAAGAACACCCAAAGCAAGTCGAACAAGAAGAAGCAGAACCGACTCCCAAACCTACCAAGTCTAGCCGCAAATCAACTAGACGTAATCGTGCCGCAAGCAATGCTTCTTCTGCTATTGCGAGCTCCGTTCGTGCAAGAACGAGGAGTCAATCCGTGCTATCCCAGATCGAGGCTCAAGCTCCCAACCCAGAACAATCGGCCCCATCTCGTATCGTCAAGGATGAACCAATGACACCCGCCGACATGCTCCAAGAAGAGATCCTCCAGGCCGAAACCTCTGATCCACCTTCCCAGCTCCGATCCAAACGTGGTCGATTCACTTCCAACAAACGCAAGAGGCCTCGTTCAGCAACTCCCCTCCCTGCCTCCGAAGCACCAGTTGCCGAATCTTCCGAGCCTGAACAACAAGGTCCTGCTTATGGACCTCCCACTAAACACAAAGTCCAGGCCCATCGCAACTTTGCGCGTATTTCTAACGTGATTATCAACGACATCACGCAACATAAACACGCAGGACCTTTCCAAAAACCCGTGAGAGAGAAAGATGCAGAAGGATACACGGATATAATCAAGCGGCCTCAAGATCTGAAATCCATCAAAGCAGCCATCACTTTTGGGTCTCGCGCCATCAATGCCGCTACCACTTCTTCAACCGTTGATTCCCCAGCTATTGGGACACCCTCCACTTCTTCATCTTTGGTACTGCTCGACAAAACAGCAGATTTGATACCTCCCCGCGCCATTGTCAACTCGAGTCAATTGGAAAAAGAAGTCATGAGGATGTTTGCTAATGCAGTCATGTTCAATCCTGGCGAAGAGGGAATGGTCAAGGATGCCAGGGAGATGGCTGATGACATTGAAGCCAAGGTTCGGGATTGGAGACAGGTTGAAGGTGCCGCTGCGGTTGGCAGACAGGAAGAGGACGAGGAAGGGCAAGCTGTCGGAGGAGACAAGAAGAGAAGGAAGGTTTGATAGATCAGTTTTCGAATTGAGTTTTTTTTGTCTTACTGCTCGCACTTTTACCTTTTTTCTTGCGACTTTTCGCGAGCAAGGGGGGTTTGGCCACCCTCCCCGTGTGTCCAAAGTCTATAAACTACCAATTCCATCCATTCGTCTTTCGAACTAGAGCAGGATATACGCTATCAACAGACACGGTGTTTTTTCGAGATCACAGGCATGTTCCACAGAGAATCCATGACTGCATCGCTTCTTGAAGTGGGTCTTTGTTGTAGTTTTCTCTAGGTGGTATTGTGCCGATTTTAAAAGCACACGCGTTACAGAGTTTGAGCACACGGGGAGGGGGAGGTAGGTAGGTAGGTAGGTAGGTAGGACCACGATCAAAGAAATGAAAATGAGCATTATATCTCTTCTTTGCTTTTTGTGCCACCCCCCTGACTTTTTCCCTCAACTTGGCATATTACCATTTATTCCAATTACTCTTTCCTCTCGCTCATACACTTGTACTTGTACTTTTTGCAGAATCAAAGATCTATGCCATTGATGTTGCAGCTTGGTGAGGACATTGGCCTTGGAATAAAGTGCACCACTCCCACCACCGGAGATCAAAGGTATAGAAATCGGCAAGAAGATTCTTGCAAGGTGTTTTTCTTGCTGTGTGTTCGGAACTATGTTACGGAAGTGCGGGATAGCGATGGGGAATGGCAGGGTGTTTATGAAAGGGTGATAAGGCCAAGGGTATTTATGAAGGGTGGGTGATAAGGCCAAGGGCTCTAATGGATATGGCATTTCCTTTTTGAGAAAGACTCTGCCTTTGTATAGTAGAAATTTGTATTGTTGCGTAGGCTGGAGTAGGAGTATAGCTAACAGGTAAAAGGGATAGGGAGAGGTAGAGAGGTAGGGAAGTAGGATATAATGGTAAAGGTATAGAGTCTATTACACAGACAGAGTCAGGGAGGAGATTTGGTGGATGTAGAGTTACAGTTAGTGGTGTTTAAGAAGCGCGATCCAGAAAAATTTGATTGGCAAAGTTGGTAAGTGGGTAACTAGGTGTGCTTAGTTCAAGGGTATATCGTTTATACGTTGGGTATGGGTGTAGCATATAGGAATATTAGAGAAACCTTGAACCAACAGCGAGTTCTTTTTCTTAAGTGTTTGTGTAAATGGCAATTTGGATATTTGGAGAGTTATTTTTTTTGTGATTAGTTTTGTGGGTGGTAGTAAGGAATGTTGATACATATGGTCAAGTATAAGATCTGATCTGCTTCTGGGGTTTTTAGTAGATTTTGGATTGGGGGGTTTGGATGGCTGGGGTTTGTCTATATCGTTGTTGTGCATGTCCGGAGATGAAACAAAGGTCCTAATGTAATATGGTCTTCTGACTTGCCTTTTGTGCTTGTTCGATATGTTCATCTCCGAGATCTGGGTCCTGATTTTTGGGGTGCGTGGTTTGTCTTAACCCCTGCCTTATTTGTGACGCTCTCTGTCTTCCTAACTCGAGACTGGTGAGAGCTCCTGCTGTTCTGAATAATCACGCCTCTTCGTCTTCATTCACTTCCCCTTCTTCGACCTCTCCCATCTCCTCTTGCTTCGCATCTTCTTCCTCATTGGTCTGGTGATCAGTATCATGATCCCACATCCAATCCCCAGGACACCAATCCCGTTTGCAACACTTCTGCCCTTCTTCCCCATGGCCACCATGAACATACCCCCTAGGTGGTTGAACATAACTCGGCGGCGAGGTCAAAGCGTGAAGATACTTGCAATACTTTCCTTTTTTCTTTGGACAGAGACCGTGGTACCATAGGAAACAGGTTGCGTGGATCTTGTTGTGGAGTTCACTGACTTTGACTCCAGGAGTACTATGTTGCAGCGATGTTGTGTATGGAATTACGTCGAGGGGTTTTGCTGCGGCGAGGATTTTGCGTTGGGCTTGCTGGGCTTGTCGGGCTTGTTTTGCTGTTTTCTTTGCAGCGTTCTGCTCTGTGGTGCGGTTGTTGCTAGAGTCTTTGGTGATGTTGGACTTGTCGTTGCAGATCTGGGTGAGGTTGGTGGGTTTGGTCTCCTTGTTAGCGTCTTTGGCAGCATCTCTGATCAAGTCTTCGTCGCCGTAATCAGTGAGGTTGGGTTTGGCAGAATGTTCGTCAAGCCCTCTGTCAGACTTTCTGTCAAACCTTCTGTCAAGGTCTCTGTCGAATCCATCGTTCATTCCTTCCACTGAACCAGCACAAGACATGAAACTTTCAGTGCTTTTACTGGGCTGCCCAGAAGTACCATCATTTGATCTCTGCTCATCGATCATGACTGATTTCCTGACTTTTTTGTGCGAAAAAGGTGTATCTGCATCTCTGATGGGCGTATTTCCAGTCGATGATGCCGATGGTGAATATGGAGCTGAAGTGAATGAGTTTCTGCTCGATGCCAAACTTGAAGCTTTACGTTTTAGTGTAAAAGGTGCAGGTACAGATACCGCATCAGTCACGTTGCTGAGAGACCTATACGTTTGTCCCCGGGCCGAGTTTGAGTATTGTTGGTGTTGTCCCTGAGCATGAATGTGTTGCTGATATTGTCCTTGTCGGTACAATCGCTGTCCCTTGGCATATCTTCCTGCTCGTGGACTAGTTGGAATCATCGAAATGGCTGCGTTGCCGGTTGTAGGTGAAGCTCTGCTGCTGCCTTTTATCTCCAACCTTTGCATACTCTGTCGTTCTTGCGCTGGAATTTCCTGGCCTTGGTCTTCTTGCTTGGCAGAGGCATAGTGAAGATTGACCTCTGCACTTCCTACCAGGCTTGATCTTGTGTGTGAAGGCTGAAAATCGAACTCTCCATCTCTGTTTCCATGTTCTCCTTGGCCTTGACTCTGATTCAGCTGTTGACTTTGCATCCCAGCACCACTCCGAATATTCGTGCCGCGCACGTGGGAGACAAGGAGAGAAGCAAGGATATCAGGGTATGCTGCTAGACCTTTGAGGACTTGTTCGCGGGTGAGAAGAGAAGGAGCAGGATCTTGAGAGTGGTGCTGTGGGGCATGATTCTGATGTTGAGTTTGCCGAGATTGCTGTGACTGCCATTGGTACTGTAACTGATGCCCATATTGTTGATGCTCTGGATTTGCGTCAAACTTTGGAGTTCCATGGCGAGATGACTGCTGTTGGGCCCGCTCATGTGGAGCTATGAGAAATTGGCGGAGATCCATGGTATCCTCTTTTAGTCCCGGTCAAGCAATATAGTTGTGGAGAGGAAAAGCTTCGACGAGAGATCGGGAGGTTTTATAGGCTAACGTCGAAGGGAGAGTGAGCTGTAAGAAGCGATTGTGAGTGATTGGTACCCAAAGTTATTGCGAGATGATCCGGGCTTTGTGAACAATGCAAGTGAAAGGCGTTAACACTGTCAGGAGAGAAGTTCACCGAGAGATGGTCAAGCTGCAATGCCGAGTGAGTGCTGCTGATGATTTGTGAAACGAGTCAAGTGGCAAGGCAAGCACCTGGCTCCAGCAGGGACGGACAGCGTCGATCCTCTCACAGGTCGTGCTTCCTCCAGGCAATACCTCATGACTTTTAGCAACACCTTTTCATTTCGAATCTTCTCTGGAGAGCATATCTGAGTGAAGTAGCAAGGCAAGCAGCCCCTTGCATCCGGGACGAACAAGGCATTCATCAACCCTGGTGAACATCAACCCTCTCACTGGTCATGATCTCTCGAATGAATACTCCATGACTTTCAGCAACACCTTTTTGTTTCTCATTCCCTCGGGAGAGTGTGTTTAGCAAGCGCTACAGACTCAAGATCTTGAGGTCATCAGATCTGGTGAAGCACAGAGCTTTCTCTCTGGCTGTGCTCTGTCTCGGAATTACTCTGACTTTGAGCAGATGAGATTCGCCTGTGAGAGCACATGGCTCCACTCCCTCTGGCCAGACTCCAGATCTTGAGATTATTGTGACTTTTCACAACTGAAGTTGGCAAAGTGAGCGCGATGGGAGTGATTGCTTTCGCTGCATGTCAGCAAATGTCTCTGCATCAAGTCTTTATTCTCAAAAATATCCTCAAAAAAATGAGCATTTGAAGCCACACCATAGAACGATTGTGGAGAAGAAAAGGGATATGTGAGTGCAAAAAAATATATACATGTGTATTATGAACTTGGATAGGCTCTCGCTGGGCGACTCAGACTTGAGATCACGCGCTGTTGCGCTTAGGCAAGCAAGAACGAAGAATCGAAAAAGGAAAAAAAAAAAGAAAAAAAAAGGTTTTTGGTAAATGTGATGCAAAGACAAATGCATCACCACAAAGAAGCGAAAAGCGCGCAGAAGCACAATGCTTTTTGTTTGCGGAGAAGCCATAGCGTGATGCGAGGTGTGAAAAAGAGAAAAGGAAACCGATACATGGGTCCTGTAGAGGCAAGAAAGAGAAGGTAAACATAGGCTTGAGTCTGTGATCTCAAACAAGAAATAACAAGGGAGAAATATCAACAGAAAAAATCTGAAAGGCATGAAACTCCAAATAGCCAGAAAGAAATTCGTAGAGTGAGTCCAGAGGTGGTCACAGCGCAACACTTCCTCAGTGTCTTCTGAAGATGTTGAAGAGGCTACTTCTCCTTCGTTCTTCTCTGATCTGTTTAACAGCATCACCAATGAGATGATCAGAAGCATCTCCATGACTCTTTTGTCTAGGTTTCGGCGCTGCAGGTCTCATACTAGCTCTCAAGCCAGCCATCTCCGCCTCCTCATGCGCAGAATCCTTTTTACGGAATAGATGCAGAGATTGTCGTGCACTGTCACCGCATTGACTGCCTTGAGCCCAGTCATGGCGATCTGCTGCTTTGAGCATTGGACGGTTGAGAGGATTGATGTATGCGGGTGAGGCTGATTCTTCATGAATGGGTTTTGACGGTTTGGAGTAGACGTTGTCGACGGCATCCCAGTCGCGCATGTTTTCTAATGCTGTGCTGAGGGGCCTTGGGCGGCCTGCTTTTGATGCATCGCGGAAGGCGTGGAGAGCTTGCATACGTGCTTGAGACTTTTCTGCATCGGGGTATTCGAGTGTTGATGGGAGTGGTGGTGAGGAGGGCTTGTGGTGAAGGGCTGGTTCGTTCCAGTCTAGGACGTGCTTCCTGGATGTGTCCTTTACTTTGACTTCCTTGGGCTTGGACTCTGAGGCTTGGTGTGAGGTGGTTGATGGTGTTTCGGCCTTTTCCTTGAGTGGGGTTGTTGTGTTTGCGAATTGTTTGGCTGCTACTCGAGGGATGAAAGGCTTAGCTGGCTCAATGGGCGCTGTGTCTTCCTGGGCTGATTGCTTGCGGCTGCGGTGAATGAGGGATCTTCTACGTTCCGGTTGCTCGTTGGCAATAAGACTTTTTGGCACAGAACTGGCTTGTGCACGCTGCGATCCGGCATTTGCTTCCACCTCTGGTGCTGTAGTGCTGACATCCTGCTGAGTAGTTGGTGGTTGTGCTGAGCCCAATGCCTTCTCTGCCTTCTTGTTTGCCTGCTCGCGTCGTGCCTTTTCCAATTTCAATTCTTGACGATAATTTTCCAATTTACGGGTCAGTTCGGCAGCATCGAAAGGCTCTCTCAACGACCTTGATCGTGTGAACTGTTGAGCTGGTTGCGGTTTTTCTTGATGTTGTTTGGCAGCATATCGAGGCTTCCACAGATTGGGCTGAGAAGTGCTGGTCTGAGCCATTGTTGCTACGACAGCCATTGAGTGTGATTTCGCGAATGTGAGAATGTTCGACAATGTCTCGAATCAAGGTGATCGAAATGCGTTGTAATGTGAATATATGTCAAAGGGTCCGGTCCAAACCTGCCGTTTTACGTTTTCGGGAAACGGCCGAACACGCAAGTAATAGCACCGAGCGAACAACGTCAGAGGGTTGGTGATGCGACTCGAAATCAAGTCGTGCAGGGAAAAAAGTGTAAAACAAAAGTAAAGATAGGAACGAGTGGGAAAAAAGGGAAGGAAGAGATCCACTCTGCGCGCAAGCGTCCGCCGGTGTCCGGGTCCTTATACCTACCTCATTCCTGATCACACGCTCGCCTCGGAGAGAAGGGCAACAAGAAGGGGGCCCGCCAATGTGACGAGGTAATCCCTTTTGTGCTTGGTGCCATTTTTAGGCTTCTGTCGACCACAGGTACGAGGTACAGTCCGGCATGGCATCGCGTGTCGGTAAAGGAATTCTAAACTATTCCCAGCGTAGGCACGAGGGCTGTGAGTGGAAGAAAAAAGGCGCCATACCAAGAACGGTTTCCAAGTCAGGTCAAGACCGTAACCCCAGATCGACGCACCTAGCGGAAACCCAATCGCTCAGCGCAGACCAAGGAAGTGTGCTCACTCTGTGACCAACGCTTTTGTGCTGCGTTTCTTCCTGCGTCGTGCGAACAGATTCAGGGAGATTATGGTGGCTTTGGTAACCTTTGCGTTTTCTGCCGCCCGTAGAAAAGACAAAATAACGAGCCGTGAAAGTTGCTTTTAGACATGAGACATGTGAGAATTGAGGAGCATCTAGATCACCAGACCGCCTCAGGAACGAGGAACAGCTCGTTTGCGCCTCCCCGGAGTATTCTCGTTTAGAGCGGACGCCTTTTTTGCTGGGCAAATCCGCCAGGATCACAATCACAATTTTTCCCCTCATTTTCCGATGTGCTGCTTGAGCAACACCGACAATTGTTTTGAGCTCTGTGCAATGCACGCATTGAGGTATGAACAGCCAGATTATGACATCGCTGTTACCTCTGTTGCCGTGTTCGGATCTCTGCGGCGCGAGGACTTGTCGCACGTGTTGGTGTATCCACTGTGCCTGCGTCACCAAAGAGGACCCCTCTGAACGTCATGTTGCATGCAGTGCTGCAGGTTGCCGGTGCTGCGCTGCATGCTGTCAAGCATATTCCTGTAAATCCTCCGATACGAAGGTACGAGAAGTTATGCCAACCTTTTGTTAAAAAGAGGTAACTCTCTATATGTCTTGCTCTATGAAAAATGCATACCTACCTCATGCTTTCCGGAGCGAAGCGATGTCCGCGACAACAGCGTCATCTCTGGGTGTCAATATTGCGCATTTCTATAGCTGCACTGCCACAGACCGCCTGCCTTCCATCTTTGAATCCCTTCTGAATCGTCAAAAACTCGAAAAGGTCTGTCAACCTCTGTTCCCCCCAAAAAGTTGCATCCCGCGTAACTGCGATCGGGAAGTCAAGCGGGAAGCAATGTCTCAGTGCGGGCAGCGGTTTTCTCACTGTGGCTTTGTTTATACTTTGCACAAAACCTTCTCAGCCTCTACGGTCTACGGTTTCGCATTCTTCTCTTCCAAATGGAATGCGTCGAACGATGACATTTAATATATATCGCGCAAGACAGAGTCCCAACATATTTTCTGTTTCTCTTTGCAGACAGACAGAAGAATATTGATTGCGCGTTCTTGCCCTGACTGACCAAGCGCTGAATCAAACAGTCCGCGACTCTCGAGTCAAGAGTATAATTCCCCGGAGATGAACGAGGTTCGATGGCGTCTTTACTGGCGTCTTGCTTTCTGGCTTGTGGTGACCAGTTCTTTAGCTCTGTCCTTCGGAGCTGAAGTTCAGGAGCTGAATTTTAAGGAGCTGAGACGTTTTGGGTTCCGATCGATACTCTCCACATTGTCGGAGGGAGGAGGTGAGGTGAGTTGCGGAAAATGTCTCTCCACAAGACCTCGGTACAACACACCCGACTTTGAGAGCCACGATTGCGCACTTGAGAATTTGATGGACAGCGGTAAAGGAGACAATGCCTTTTTGCACACCGTTGGAGCTTGGAAGACAGTAGCAAGAACTAATTAGTGACATGCTATAGGACTCAATGGTTATCACTATACACACCTATATATCGATAAGATCGGCATAACTAGCTATAGTACTGAATGTCACTTGAGCAAACCTTGGTCATGGCGAAGTTTTTGTGGAGAAAGTCGTTAAAGAAGTTATGAAAAGGACAGTTTGTGGCCATGTTCAAAATCCAGATGTCATTGAGCGTTTTCGTAACTACGATACTCTGATCGGCGTGAATCTGCTATAGACTGTATACCTTGCTGGTGAATATGCAAATCCAGAGATAAGCATAGTAAAAGAAAGAATGGCAAGTAGAGTATGCTTCCTCAACTCGTGTATCCTCCAGCTGAGTGTCCTTGCAGAGCTTACATCAAGCAAGCCTGCGAAGCATCAACCAAAGGAGCACCCAGACGGTGGAACCCACCCTTCTCAGCAACCTTCTCCTGCAAAACGACCATTCTCTTCTGATCACCGGTAGGATCTTCAGATTCAGCGTCAAAGGTCCACTCCAAGAACTCATTAGTGTAATTAGGAGTATACTCCTCAGGCAAAACACCCAATCTCTTTCCATAAGCAGTGACTTTGTTCCAGTCTCTGGCAACATTCTTCATATCCTTTGAAAAGTAGGCAAAACTTCTTTCGAAGATTTTGCGGTTAAGAGGTGTTCCCATGGCAGGTTTGAAAGAAACGTATTCCTCGTAGGCTTGAGCGGGAGAAGCCAAAACGAAGTCTGTTGCTTTCTTGCAAGCACGCAAGAATCCCTTGACCGTTTCGGGGTTTTGGGCGATGAAGGACTCATTGCCGATGTAGAGGATACTGCAGAAACAGCAACAGCCAAGCTCGGCGAGTTCGTCGATGCGTAGCATTTGCACATCACTGCGAGGTTTTCCTTGCGAGGCAAGCCACTCAGCGAGTTCGACCATTTGAACGTTTTCAAGTCCAATGCCTGCATCAATAGATCCCTCAATGATAGCCTTGGAGACATTCATACCGCAGCGAACAGCAGTATAGTCGGTTGGTTTCATGCCGTAATGGGAAGTCAGTTCGTCGATTTGGATTTTGCCAAATTCGCCGACGTAGCCGATGCGCTTGCCCATCAAGGAGCGGAAGTCGGTGGTGATGCCTGAGGACTTGAGGTAGACTACTCCGGTGAAGGGTTCATCGAGGAGAGAACCGATGGACTTGATAGGGAAGCCGCGAGCTTTTCCGGCGAGGGTGTGGATCATGGCCTTGAAGCCGAGATCGACTTTACCGCTGCCGATGATCTCGGTGACATCCTGGAGGAGGTCATTATGTGATTGTGAAGTAATGAGAAGAGAAGCAAGATCATACGCTAGGGTCATTGGGCTCGAGGAGAGCAACCTTGAGGCCTTCCTCTGCAAAGTAACCCTTGGCTTGAGCAAGGTAGACAGGGGCGTGGTAGGGGGTGGCATGCCTACAATAAGCTGTCAGCCACGCTGCTCCATTCTGACAACGATCAAGGGCAAAGAGCCACAGACCAGTTAGCCAGGAAGGTGATCTTGTCAGTAGACATCTTGAAGATTGTTTAAGGCAGAAAAGCTGGTCATGTCAGTAAGTCCACCCTCAGTGGAGGGGGATAAAACAGAAGCAGTCCTTTCGCTGGAATTACCCAGATCAAGTTCTATGTCATGGAAAGGAATGATCTCTTATCAGACAAGAAACCACTCCTTTCCATGGCATTACGGTATTTCTCAGATCAACCTCAAGATTTCTAGCATCACTGCAAAGTAACGAAAGACATCTTGAAGTTGAACACCCGTCTGCAATATACATGTTTTGTGTGTTTTGAGACGTTACCTGCTGCTTGATACTTGGATAGCTCCATGTCGAATGGCTTCTGTCTTGACAAGACTCATACCAGTGGTGGTGCTCGAGTGGTAGTTGTATGTTTTGTTTGTGGTGAGAAGAAAAGATTGAGAAGAAGGAAGACCAGGGTGAGGCATTTATAGGTTGTGCTCGGCGTACCTACCTCTAGAGGTGTCGTGCAGCAAGAGCGGGTCAGAAAGAGGGGGATCACCGTATAGGACCGAGTTTATCCATCCAGGTGTTATCAACAAGGCTTTCGGGCCGCTTGTCACTGTATGGAGTAGGGCTTTTGGGTATCTCATGACAGAGATCAATGATGACCTCGCTGCTTTCCACTGCGGTAGCAACTGAGCATTGTGTGTATTTACGCAAAATTTCTCGGCTCTCGAATCAATTCATCCCTAAGCATAGTCGGTTCGACCTGTCCGCGGTTGATATAAAGTATGGAGCTGCAACGACACATAGTAGGGTGGGAATACCAAGACTCAGGGCAGTCTTGCTTGAGCGACATCGCACCACCCTTGAGTCACCATAAGCATGAGGCATATCAACCGTTCGTGATTGAACTCAACGCTCTAAGCTCGTGGCTCGAACACTTGCACGATCATTATCATGTGATTGCTCCTGCAACTTGTTTGTTGTGTCAGTCTTGCCAATTATCAGAGACGTGGGCTTGTAGGGCGCATTTTAATCGAGTGCGACGCCCTTTCGAACGATGAGCCCAGGTGTTCTGTCACCACAAATACCCAGCGTAGCTTTATCGAGCTTGAGAAACGAAGGTGTATTGCGACACCACGTTGTAATCCTGCATGCTCTGTTTCGCTATTCCGGTTCTCCGGTAATACGCGTCGTCCCAGGTGCTGGATTGTCACTCTCCCCTCTGTTCCCGCGGTGATAAGGTAATTCGATCGTGGGAGACACCAACTTCGAGTGATGACTTCGTGTGTTGGAGAAGATATAGAAATGCCTGAGGCATAGACGTGGCCCTCTCGAGCAGTACTTGTGTATCGTTCATTTTTACATTGGCCGGTGTGACAAACTTCAGCACGGTCGAAGGATTAAGGTTAGGACTTCCGAGTAGCGTCTGTGTTGTTTTGAGGTCTTCGTTAATGGAGTGACCCTGGTCACATTCATGATGTCTTTCGATTGAGTAAAACTGCTCACGCGAGCATCTCTTACCGTCGCTGATTTCTTCTTTTGCATCAGGTTCACAGTAGGATATCTATATATATTGCAGGAGTGGGAGACGGCAGATAGGAAGATTGATCTAATGAGTGGGTGCTGGAAACAAAGGTTGCGTGCTTAATGCACTAGATCTGGCTTCAAAATGCATCGAAATACCAGAATATTGCAGTGATTCGGAACCCGTGGATCCGGAAGGAATATCAACGACTATTGACCATTTGCAAAAAAGTAGACGACTTGACCAATCACCTCCCGAAGATGTCAGTTTACTTGACTTGTACCTGACAATCTGGACCAACAGGAAGAGGATATTCAGGGACAGTGCGAGCTGCGGCCTCTTTTTCGCACAGACAGTCGGTGGGGCATGACGTCGAGCCTCTCCAACAGTCGAAGATTGGGGGATAGTCTGTCGGCCAGAGCGAGGCAAAGATATTCATCAAGACGTGGCACCTCGTTTGAGGGATAGCAGCCAGCAAAGTGGCTCCCAACTTTGTGCGCAACCTCAAGGCCCGGGGCAGAGTGGTCAAGTCGAAACCCATCTTCAGCTACCTGCTGCCACAACGAAACACCATCCGCAATCTCCGTTTCGACACGCTCCCTCGACTGCGCCATTCCGCCCAGTCCCGTATATACCGCTTCCTCGTTGGTCGCCAGCTCAAGAAACAGCAGCGAAAGGCCAAGGGCATACTCGCCTATCTGCGTCAGCGCAGCCCGGCACTCGTATCATCACGCGCCGAGAAACATGGTCGTGGATATCTACAACGAGCAATCATGTCATACAGAGCCTACCAAGACGATGCCCCTCGCGAGTCGGGCGGCCGTCGTAAGAAGCTGGCCGGTTACCTCAAGGCCGCCAACGAGCTGAGGCAGTCGTATGCTTCTCAGTGGTCCCAGTCCAGAGACTTTGCACAAGACAGTGAGGAGCAACCAGGCATCTTCCCTGGTGCCGATGTCGTTCGCAGTGGTGATGAGGAGATGATCATCTTCCCTAGCTATGCCACAAAACACATACGAGCAAAACCTCGCGCCCAACCAGGCACAATCCAACAAGCTGGTGGTACTGGAAGAGACTATCGTGATACAGTAGGAGCAGGAGATGCCGAATTCTGGAAATCCCAATGGGAAGAGTACGAACAAGACAAGGCCATCGTCGATGTCGACGTGCGAGGCTGGCTATACACACCGCACAAGGGTCAACTCAGTCGAAAACATCGTCTCATGGTCGGTCTTGCGAGACAACTCGTTGGCATACAAGCCCCATCAGGCAGATCAAGTTCTGCCAACAGCCGAGCCAGCAGTCGCTCGTCCAGTCCCGTTGGCGCTCACAGAGACTCGACAACAAAACAAGAGGAGGAAGTCATACAAAAACAAGCAGACGAGATCCTGAAGAAGGGCGAGAAGGAGGCCGAAATCGCTGGAAGAGGAGGTTTCAGCGAACGTCCGAGTAATTATGCCGAAACTACTCGTTCTAGAGAACCTTCTCCTGCTCCTAGCGCCAGAGAGGGTCCTACCTTTGACGACTTCCTCGCTCCTTCAAGGACCAACACTTCTAGCTCCGACTATATCGACCCTGTGCAGAAGCGCTCATCATGGCCAAACCCTGCAAAGATGTCGTCCGAGCAGCTCGTCACTGCAAACAACCATCTCATGGCTCGTCTGAGGCCATTCATGGCCAATCCATTGGCCAATGCATCTGTCAGCGCTTTCTTTTACAACGATAAAATCTCGCGCCAGAGAACTGTACAGACGAATGCTGCCGGACACTTTCACCTGCGGGCTGCTCTGGATTTTGTCCCTACTCACGTACGCATTCTCGCGTCAGAAGATCTGTCCGCTACCGAAGAAGTCAAGGTTGTTCCCGTCAGAGGTGTCAGCTTGATCAGTGATATCGACGATACCATCAAGCACAGTGCCATCACCAGTGGTGCGAGAGAAATCTTCCGCAACGCTTTCATCCGCGATCTTGGTGATTTGACCATTGAAGGCGTCAGACAATGGTATGGCAAACTAGCCGACATGGGTGTACAAATGCATTACGTCTCGAACTCACCCTGGCAACTTTATCCTGTCATCACTGGTTTCTTCAAAGCTGCAGGCTTACCAGCTGGATCTTTCCATTTGAAGCAGTACAGCGGTATGCTGCAGGGTATCTTTGAACCCGTCGCTGAACGCAAGAAAGCTACTCTGGACCGCCTGTTCCGTGATTTCCCAGAACGCAAGTTTGTTTTGGTTGGAGACAGTGGTGAGGCAGATTTGGAGGTCTACACTGATACTGTCCTGGAATATCCTGGTCGTGTAGTCGCCATTTTCATCCGCGATGTCACATCCAAGCCTGACAAGGGCTTCTTCGACCCATCGATGGGTCCGTTGAGCAGTGACAAGTCATCTAAAGGTCATCTTCGTAACATGTCGACTGATAGCTTGACTGGCGCCAAGAGGCTTAATCGTCCTTCTGACATACAAGACGATGATGAAGAGCTTCGCAGAGCAATTGCCGAATCTCTCAAGGATATCGAACCTGACAGGAAATCACTATTTGGTGCAGATGTTGAGCCAACGAAAAGACCTGCATTACCACCAAGACGTCCTACAGATCCTCCTGCACCACAAGCATCTGCGGTAGAAGAAAACCTCATCGACTTTAGTGATGACGAGAGCACTTCACCATTATCCAACGAACCTCAGAAGAGAGCCTACAGCACATCCCTCACCAGAAGACCAGCTATCCGTTCTCACACAGAAGGCCCCGCTAAGCGCGCAACCCCTCCACCTCCTCCAAAACCGCTCGCGCTACGATCACCATCTGGCGAGGGCAAGAATGCAGTCTTTCCACCTCCAGCGAAATCTTCAACTCCGCCACCGCCTAAGCCTCGCAAACCTAGCACCACTGTTAATACCACGAACGTGCCTTCACCATTATCTCAAGTGGTTGAGCCTTCTCCAGCAACTCCAGCACCACCACCTTTACCGAAGCGACATTATCTTGCTTCGGCAAAGCAAAAGCTATCTCCTACAACCACATACTTTTCCTCGACCAAGCGTAGTCCTACCTGGGCATCGGAGAGTAGCGGTGCCTCAACACCTGGCGAATCACGAACCTTGACGTCCTCGGCAGCTTCGCGATCAATGGACAACTTACGCGGCCCGCCGTCCACTGCTGCCTCGTCCGCTGCCCCGTCTCAGCAACCACGCCCCAAACCCCCACCACCCCGCCGCAACCTTTCCCACTACCCAGCAGCCGCCGCCTCGTACGCCAGCAACCGTCTTAGCGGCGCCTGGAACGACTCCTCCTTCCACGACCCCTACGATCCCGAAGGCGGACCCATCCTCTCCAAAAAAGAAGAATTGTGGAAACGTCGCTGGGCCAAGGCAAAATCCATCATGGAGAGAGAGGGTGTTGTGCTCAGGACGTGGAGGGTCGGGATGGACGTTATGGATGTTTGTGTTGAGACTGTACGGCAGGAGTTGGTGGAGATGGAGAAGAAGGATAGACGGGATTTGGAGATGCAGAAATTGAAAGATAGAGAACAACAAAGGGAGAGGGAAAAGGGGAGGCAGGGCACTTTGATTTGAGGCAAGACGGGTTATGAAGGTGAATGTGCTGATGAAAGAAGTGGGTGTGGTATTCTTGTGGTTTTGGGCGTTTTTGTTGCATGGAAGCGTGGTTGTACATAAAAGCTGCTACGAGTATGAGTATTGTTTTATCCGTTGTTTCATGCATCCCAACCTATACTATTATCTCCTTCCATATCAAGCACCCTCTCAGCTCATTTTGATCGTCCGATGGGTCGTAATTGTCGAGATTGTCGAGAAGAAGGCACACCAAGCATCAAGCGAGACAGGTCTATGCACTTCGACGAATTCAACGTTCCCTCTATGGGCAATGCTTTCCTGTGGATGGATATCCTGCAGCACTTCCCTCTATTCATGCCCCTGTCCCCACGTTTGGAAATCGTAAATCTTTTTAATAGCATTATAAATAGACAACTAATACATAATAGCCTAAGTACTTCTAGGTCACACAGATAGCGTATATCTAGGTCAGATAGACCACCTTTGATATAACTCTCTAAATCCCGAGAAGGATTTTTGACGTCATCTGCGAACCATAATCAGGCATAACCCCCTCAGCCTTTATGTTTTCTTTGCGCCGAGATATTCGGGTGTGCAAAAACATACAAAGGCAGAACATCCGAATTCTATACAAACTATCAAATTCCCTGCTTGCGATAACAATTTTGTACTCTTTTTTTTTTTTTTTTTTTAACTCCTTCAGCATCATTGTTTGTGCCGTTCTTGAATCCACAGAGGTGCGTCTGTTGCCATTGCATCATGTCTCCCTATACACCGAGCCGCCATCATGAAATCCGGTCATTTTACATTCGTTTGATGTTGGGTGTGGTAATGGCCCTTCTTGGGATAGCATCGCTGTTCGCAGCACCAAATCCAAAAACCTTTTCGCGACATGAGGCAAACAGAACTGTACTTCTGGCTACAGCACACAACAACAACAACGATACCATTTCTACCATTGTAGAACTGCGATACCTCCCTGTGGGAATGCGAGAAAGCGGCGCCAATGCCATTTTCATCGTGACTTTGATTGCTGTTGCCATAGCAGGGGGATACACAGGCAGTGTGATTCCTCGAGTGGAAGCAGAGATCAAAAACACCTCTCAGAACAAGGATGAGTACGATACACGGATATCTAATGTTTGGGCAAGGGACGAACTTGATCATCTTGCCGGCCCAGTCGATCGCTGTTTGTGCTTGTTGTACATGATGGTTGCTAGTATCGGAATAGTCGTTGCCAGCGCTATATCTTTCATCGACGACTTGAAGAGTCCAGAAATCAAGGCGGCGGAGCATCTCGATGGGTTTCTTGGGAGCGTGGTTAATTCCACCAATAATACTGTCATACTCGGCAGCGACAAAACAGATGGCACATACAGTTTTGCGGCATGGGTTTGTCAATGGGAACCCCTCTTGATTGACAACCCCGGCCATGCAGAATTCCAAGCTGCTTGTCGGAGAATGGTGAGTTTCTGCTCTGTTCCTTTCACCTGAGCATTTGCCATTCATTGGCGTTTTGTTTTCCTGGAGACCCTCATCTGCTTACACCTTTTGCCGGGACCTTTCCAATAGACTGTATCAAGATATCTCTTGATGCTTGTTTTTGTCGTTGCTGGTGTGCAAATGATAGCCGCTACACAACCACGCTTGACCGCTACACTGGCGGACTGCGTTGCCAAAGTCTTCGACTCTAGCTGGTGGAAATCACCAGGGATGGAATGGATTGCGCTGGGATCTGGGCAAGATGAGGAATCTACAATCGCGGAGGAAGGAGAGGAAGAATAATCAAGAAAGCATAAGGTCTTTTTGAATACGGTATCAGGGATGGGACTACAAACTTTTGATAAAACGTGATCGAAGAAGAAATTTGATCACCTAACCATGTAGCTAAACTGCAAAGACGGCAAGCTATTGTCTTGACCGCCAGGAACCCCTTTCCAAGTCCCTCTTCCTCGATTTGTAAATGAATACTGTATGGCCAGAGTCTGTAAATTACACTTGAGCGAACAGTAAGATGTTGAGTCGATTCACTGGCAGCGAGGCGCAAGGGGTACAGCAGGCTCCAGGGATTTGCAAAGGACAGAGTACTTGAGAAGGGCAGGCCACATGCTTAATGTTCCTTCTCCACACGACAGACCAGAAGATTCAAGAGGTCAAGGAACAGAAGACAGGGAGGTCAACACGGTCAAGACCATTAGCAAATCTCTCTCGCTGCAGGAAAAGTCCGAAAGGATCAACACACTTATTTGGAGAGGTCGGTCTTGCTTTTTGTAAAGAGGCAATGTTTCTGACGACAATAGTTGTGGTGAGGAGAGATTCTGAAGGCAAGCATAGAAGTCTGTTTCGTGTGGTTCTCTCTCGGGGGAGTGCCGTCTTCGGCGAGGGGGTGAAGTTCCAGGAAGAAGAATTTGAGGTGCTTCCAATCAACATTGTCGTGTTTTTACCATCATGCTCGGCATCAGTCGATCGAGGTCAAACGTTGCCATGTTGGAGAAGAACGTCAATGGGTGCCTGTCTATTAACCTGACATCTGCTCATGCTTGGCCTCGTCTGACATGTTGTAGCGCATATTTACTTTCACACGAGGTGTGCGGTTGTGTGGGAGAGTCGGTGGGTCGGCTAGGTGGCCAAAGAAGAAAGGGTACTATTCGTCCATGTGATTGAAGTCCGAAGGCAGCGGATTGTTGGGCTGAGTGGCGAAACCCAGGTTTAATTCTTCTCGGACATTGTAGCCAAGGCGATCAAGTACCCTGACGATATCATCCTGCTCGACTCTTCTCTGGTGATCTGGTAGAGTATCCTTTGCCGCGATGGGGCTCAGTTGCTGGAGAAGAGCGAGGTCGGCGAACTGAATGATGTGCTGGTCGAACCTGGCGACATTGTCTGCATCGTCAGCTAATGCGCCTGCCAAAACGTTGAATGTGGTATCGCTGTCCAGGACATCAAGGCAAGGGGGTTGTCGAGCTCGGGCTTGCTTTGGTGTCTGCGAGTAAAGATCTGACCATCGTATCACCAGATGAAGAAATCTAGGAGGTTGGCAGCCCTGAACTCAGGAGGGAAACGGTTGTTGTATGCGCCGTAGGAGGCGCAGGCATGGCCCACCACTTCATGCGAGATGTCGATCTCGTATGTTGCATTGAAGTTGTCCAAGATATTGACAGCAGCGGCTGGGCGGAACTCGTTTGCTGGCAAGGCAGGAAGTTCACGGTCTTAATATACGTTATTGGTTTTGGCGATACGCAGAGCGACCCTCCAAGCTCCTTTATGGCGAGCTACTATGACGGCCTCGGCAGTCGAGATGATCTCGCGCTGTTCAAGGTAAGAGAGTGCATTGGACTGCTCACGCTTTCGGTGGACTTTCTCTCTTTCTTGGGCGAAGTAGAATGACTCTTTGAAGCTGATTGCGACATCAGATATAATGACAGATCTGCGGTCGCGGTAGGTGTAATTCTCGTTGTTGTCGCAGAGCAAATAGACGATGTCGCCAGGGAGGTGCGGCGCATTCTCATTGGTGCAGCCGATGATCTCACCAACGAGCGGGAGTCTTCTGAACCTGTCTTTCTTGTCGATAGTCAGATTGGCCTGCTTCTCGCGTTCTCTGGTGGCCTCATCAAGGAGGACGTTCACTCTGCCAGCGCCCCTGCGTGCGCGTTGCAAGCGTTGGTATCTGGCATCTCGATGTGCTTGTGTGACTCGTCTGTCGAGTTCAATGCGCTCGATAAGGACCATGTTGGATGAATCCGAGGCAGGAGGAGATGGTGTGATCTTGAGTGGATTTGGCAACGGAGTGATGCTCTCGCCAAATGGTGGTGCTTGAAGGAGCGAGAAAGATACGCGTCGAAGTTGTGTGGCAACGGAATGATATGCGAAACAGAGCAAAGACTACACTACACGAAGACACCATCCCACGGAGAGCAGGTGAAATGTGCGTCTTTCCATGGAACTATCTGATCTCGTGATTTCTCTCGTGCATTTACACACGTAGAAGCACTATACCATAGCATGAGAAGGATGAGATGCAGCTTGGAGTTTGTGACTTGGCCTATACTTCCAGTATAGCGAAGGCTAGAAAGCACTCTATTCAAAGGCACAATCGTATTTTCAAACAGAGATATGGCCACAGAGAGCAGACAAGACGGTGCCCCTCAGTGGACGTTGTTATGTTTGGCGGGCGTATTATGCACCTATTCAGAAACATGCATCACATGTTTTCAGATCGGAGTACCAGATAGAGTATGACATGCGATGGCTTTGGATTCATGGAAACTAAAGGCTGTTCCTCTGTAAACAGCCGTTGTTTTGTAGTCATGCAACTCAATGAATGGCTAACTATCCGACCATGCCGAGCTGGATGAAGGCAAGGCGTTTCCGCCTCTTGAGCTCAATGAAGGACTGACTGACTCCCCGGACATGCCGAGCTAGATGAAGGCACGGCGTTTCCGCCGCTTGAGATGCTCTGCTTCACCCTACGACAACTTCTGTCCAGAGAACTTCTGCACCATATCCCAAGTCTCACGCTTGTGAGCACGCTTTGCGTGTCTTCTGCTTCTGGCGGGCTTCAAACGGTGCTTTGCGTTGACTTCTGGCCGGTGGTGCTCTTCGGAGCATTGCTTGCAGATGTAGGTATCGCACTTGTGGCAGTGCAAGACGCAAGGCAACCAGACACGGCATCGAGCTCCAGATCTGCCGTCTTCACAGAGAAGGACACCTTCTTGTCCGAACATTTTCTTGTAATGGATAGGTTCTAGTGGTGGAACCCCCTGGCCACGGAAGTCTCTCCAAGGACTGGTATGCTTGCACTAGTAAAGGCTCGTTAGATTGATGGTGCAAGCTGTACGAATAAGCTGACACTTTACCTCAAGGTTACTGTCTTGAACGGTCCAGCCAGGGTTTAGTCTGGTACCATCGCGAGCAAAGAAGCGGTTGTCGATGATGGCTTGTCTGACAGCATAGTTGTTGGCGTTGTCAGAGCGAGGCAAGGCGGCGAGGGCGAGGTTCTGGCGGCTGACGAAGGGGGCAACGACGGGCCTGGCAGCACTCACATTGCAAGACCTTTCGGCCTCGGCTGGAGTGCTGCCAGAGTGTGCGCCTGCGGCAGGATGTGACGGGCGCACTCCCTCCTGAACAGCATTATATTAGCGAGAGACTGCAATCTTTGATAGAGGTGCTCACATCGTCGTCGTCGTCATCATCGACGCGAGAAAGTCTTGCCTTGATGAGATTCGACATGGTGGATGGTGGTGATGAAGATTGGGTTGGTGGTGGACGCGAAGAGGAAGAGTTACAGACAGCGAAGTGAAGTCATGGCATGGGAACAAAAGGTTGACCGAGTGATTGGCTGACGAGCTGATTTTTCACTCGGAAAAAGAAGATTGACAATAGCACTCAAGATGACGGAACAAACAAACAATGGGACCATTATCATGAGAGTTGATGTACGAAAGAGTTGGAAGTGAAATGAAGATGCATTGTTACTATAGATACCAATCGAGCCATGAGCAGAGCTTGACGCTGCTGCTGCTGAGTGTCTCTACCAGGCCTTGCGGCCTGGTCCTGTGCAATACTTATGTAAAATACAAATTCGCAGCTCTTGGTCTTCTCATACTGACTAAAGGCTTAGTCTGCTGTTCCAAACTTGGCAGCGCGAGCTGCTTTTCTCTTCAACGTGGAGGGTCTCTGACGCTGTTTCGCGTTGACCTTCTTGGAGTCCTGATGCAGCTTGCAGCACGCCTTGCAGTAGAAGGTGTCACACTGATGGCAGTGCAGGAGGTTGCGGTGCCAAAGGCGGCACTCGGACGAGCGTCCGTCTTCGCAAAGGAGAACTCCAGGTCTGTCAAACATCTTGACGTACGAGACACAAGATGGAGGTTCGACGGCCACTCCGCTGCGGCCTCTGGCGAGACCGGTGTGGGTGCACTGATTGAACGTTAGCTTGGTTGGTGTAATGGCAGCATAACATAAATGAGTCTTACCACGAGGTTACTGTCATGGGGAGTCCAACCAGGTTGAAGTCTGTTCCAGTCTCGGACATGGTAGAAGCCACGCGTGATTGCCTGTCTGACCTCATGAATGTCTTGGACGTTGTTTGCATGAGTGAGAGATGCGAGAGCCATGTCGTGATGGCTCATGGATGCAGATGAGACAGGAGCGGGTGATTGAACATCGGTGGAAGTGCCAGCCCTTTCGGGCTGGCCGTGAGCAGATTCAGGAGAGCGAGCAGTGACCGGAGGAGGGGTCAACGGACGAGGCGAAGAACAACACGACAGGCGAACTCCTCCCTAGGCAGCCAGGTCAGTAAAGCATCACAATTGATGGAGGTCAAGGCTCACGTCGTCGTCATCATCATTGGCGAGAGAGAGTCTTGCAATACCTGCGATGATGGGGTCTGACATGGTGATGGTGGAGGGGTCGGAGGTGGAAGAGGGAAGAAGAGAGAAGAGATGAATGCGCTTCTTATGGACGCGTCTCGGGGAGGTCGCAAAGTTGGAAGGCGCAACCACTTACTCTCAGTCTTGGCTGTGTTTACTCGCACCTACTTCACTTTGACAGTCCGCGTCACAACAGCCACGCTTACTCTAGGCGCGCAGCTTCTGTCTTCTTTCTTTCTTCCCTCCCTCTTCACCAACGTCAAACAAACGTTCTGCATTCCATCACAATGAACTCACGTCTTCAGAGCAACCCCGTGAGATCCCACGACCAGACCGAAAGGTCTGGTGAGCAAGGCGGAGCTTCACGCTCCGACCAGCCCGCAAGAGCTGGTGCCAATGACCAGCAAGGTGCTCGCGTTAGTCACTTGGCTGTAAGTTGACCTATGCCCATCGTGAGCTGCTCATCACTGACGTACATACGCGCAGACATTCTCTGACTTCGTCGTTCAAGCCCTGCGCGACGGACGCTTCCATAGCAGACCTCGTGAGCCCCAGCACTATGTCCTCACGGTCAGTTCATTCATGACTCCAACGTTATTGTTTACTCATCTGACTATCCGATCTTAGTGCAAGCACGTTCACCGTCGCTCCGGTGCTAGTGAGTATAATCCGATCTCCTACTCCACCATGTTTGACGAACCCGGTGTGCTGCAATGTGAAGATGGCCGTTCCTCTCGTTGCCGCGTCTGGTGGCCGACCATGAATCTATGCCCTCATTGTGGCATTCACTTCTGTCAGAAATGCGGTACTTTGCATGCGAAGAACGATGTCAACGCAGTGAACCGTAAGCGCCCTTCGACATTGAGAAGAAAAGCAGATCGCTTCCTCAAGCATCTGTACGGTCAGCAGCCCAAAGTTGTTCGTACTGGAGATGACAGAGATCGTTGAGAATTTACCCAAAGCTGGGTGAAGAACTTGGCCAGCCCGAAAGGGCTGGCATTATGCTCAAGCGCCGCGAATATGCATACTCGAGTCGCCTTATACTTTTCTGTAGTATCAAATCAATTGCTTCTGTGTTGGCCCATACTTATGCCTCCAGTGATAATCATCAATCTGTCATAGCACATCTCATGATTCTCATCGTTATGACCCAGACATAATTTTCGCTCATTTTGTGAGCCAGGAGAACCATACAAAGAGATACCCAGCCATCCCTAGAGAAAACTTCTTTGTTTGTTCGTGTCGTGATCATCCTCCCGATCCATATGACTGCTTGGTTAGTAGCCAAGGAGAGAGGTTTGCAGCAGCTGAGGTTGGCGATAGCTACAGGTCGGGGTAGGCGGTGAACGATTTTGCCACTTTCGTACTACTACCGACCCTGCTCCGCAATCTTTCCTTCCAACTACATCCTCTACATCTAGATCGAACTTGTTGTTTGTTACGATAGTTTCAGGTGGCTGTCCTATTCGAAGCGTCACCGACTCAGCGATATTGCTCCTGGCAGTACGTTTCCCATTCTTTTCACGTTCTTGGATGCACGATTTCTTCCAGAAGCAAACGGACAGCTTGGGGAGTGTTCATTTTCGTACTGGGGCTTGAAGTGAATCTCAAATGATACGACTTTCTCATTATCAGATGTACCCTAGACCAAACCCACTCGACAGAGACTGCTGCGTCTTGCTGCTTTACTCCGCTGCTGTTTCATTCGGATCTTGCTGTAATTGCTCAGCTCCGGGTGGAGATTCTCTTTGGCATTCGAGGACGAATCTCTAAAGCCATAGAGCTCAAAGAAACAATATGACAACTTCGATAAGATATAACAGGCAACGAGAAGGAGCAATCAGGAGTTGCACCTCGCAGAGACCAAGAATACACGCAACAAAAGAACCGTCATGATGACATCTATCACAGGACAGATTCAGTACTGTTACGCACAAAGAGATGCACCGCATATTGTCATTTCTATCCTCATCGTATTTGTACTTTGTCAACAGCTCCCTGGATGTTTCGGATTCCTGCAGAAGCAAGCGAAGCTGCTAGGTGTTTAGTCAATTTCACACATCGCCTCCAATTTTCCGACACATTCACACGTGCACCTCAAAAAGTGTTGTCGCTGAGTGGGAGATTCTTCCTCTCTTCTGCTCGATGCATCTTCTTCGCCACGCATTACTCACACCATGGAGCCTGCTGACGAAGAATCAGAGCGCACTATGGCCACTAAAGTCAAAGCCAACTCCGAAGACTTGCCTCCATCGGCTTCATCTTTGCCCATGCAACCTCCTGGTTCCGAAACAAGCGAAACCCATCCCCAACCTCCACCTAAGATGACGACAACCATTTACACCGCACGCGCTCTTCATCGCATACTCTACAACGCATGCCTCGCCGGTCAGGACATCACCCGCATCGAAGAAACTTACCTGAGCGACCGCGATTCCGCCGAAGATCTTATCCAAATCTCCCCTCAGGATGCGCCAATCATTCAACTCTGGGACGAGCAACATTCCCGCCCAGAGCGCGTCCTGGGCGACCCTCTGTCTGCCGAGTCGATAGCCCGGGCCATATTCTTGGCTCCTCACCCATCAAACACCCTTCAACGCAAGAGTAGCCACCTGAGTCACGAAACTGGTTCTCTCAGACTGGCTGGTGTTGGTCCCGGTATTCAAGATACATCATCACTTCCTCGCACTGAACAGAACACGGAGCCTAAGCGAAAACCACATTGATACGCGAGAACTCGAAAGGAAATCATCGCCTTGACTCCGTCTTGTCTGCGAGCTGTTTTACAGTTCTTGAGCCGTCCCTCCAAACCACGTTTCAACTAGAGTGACTATCTGCCGTACAAAAAATTGCCAGAACCTTGTCTTTCCAAGACGCCAAACATCACCCTTCTCGATCTTCTCAACAGCATACGTTAGCTCGACTTCCGAAAGTCTCATCAACAAGTTGACAGCGAGTCTAGCACCTTGCACACCTCTTGCGCCAGCCGAGAGGCTTGACTCGGACGTGGCCACGACTTGGAGCATCGCAATCAAATCTACCAGCACTTCGACTGTTCGCTGACCTTTACCGAACTACAACCTCCTGCTAGGTGCCAAGCTGGTCATCCTACGTACCAGATGCCTTTGATCCATCAAATCCAAGCAAAAGATAGTAGCCACAATCTTCAACAGTATCTGGTCCAGACCGCGACTAGTATGCTCACGAGAGATAGATGTGTTCCCCTCCGTTGGTAGTTTTAGGATGATTTTCACTCTCTTTTGCCTTCAACAAAATCAAGTAGACCTTATTTACACAAATCAAAGATCAAAGACTTCCTTCAATTAATTTTCACAAAACTATATCACGTGAAGAGAGCACCGTCAGGTTCATTCTTAGTTTTCTCACTTTCATCAATCAACCTACATATGCCACCAGATCTGTCATACCCACAACTTCAGCCCCTTTAGTGCAGTGGTTAGCACGTTCCTCAGATGAAGTCTTGCAAACACAAGCTGAGTAAGGTCTCATCAGTCTAAAGAGACTGAAAAGTCTTGCTCCCTGCCTGTGAAGACTCCTGAATTGGAAAAGCGTGAGTTCGATTCTCACAGGGGGCGCTTATCTTCTTTTTGCTCTTCTCTTCTGTGCTTTGTATGTTCTTTTGTTTGTGACGATTCACGATAAATCTTCAGAATCACGACAATGTCGACGGGAATACACAATCTCCTCACATTATGTTGGACAAGCTTCTGGTCATAGTTTCATTGTGAGTATCACGGCTTTGATCATCCCATATCGCTTTGATCACTCAGGAAATTGCCGCGTCGTGTCCTAAGTCTGGTACATGAGGCACAGGTCAGATTGTTGGTCGGAAAGCATGAATGAGGATGTCTATTGAAAGGGTGATATAGTCCAATATGTGCAGCTCCTCTGTCATCCAACTACCTCTTGGTCATCATACTTCAAGCTCTTATTGGCAATGAAGGAGATGGAAAGTTATACCTGCTGAATGCTTTGCTGAGTAAACACAGTATGGGGTTTACCAGGTAACAACGGGAAAGATCTATTTGGCATTTCTGTAAGAGAGACAAGTTGATCATTTCCGCGAGGCTAAGCGGTCCTGTTTGGTGTTCACTGACTCGAAATAGCCTCGATCTCAACGTTGTGAGTTCCAGTCCGATGAACTACAAGTAGCTTGATCATTGCAATATTGGGCAAATCCGGTACAATGGAAATCTTAGAGGCTGGTTCACAGCGACGAGATTGAGCTCGAAAATTTCCTCTATGATTTCGAAAGACATTCCAGTAACTGTGTGGCTGAGCACAGCATCCTCTGTGATATCTTGTTGCTGGGGCCCATGCCTTGAGCAAGGAGATACTGGAGTGTTTCAATATGACTTCCACACGCGGCAAAATGCAACGCCGTTCCTCCCTATAAGTCCTGAGCATTGACCTGCACACCTCTCCGGAGCAGCACCTACACCGGTGCGTGAAGCCGGGCGTCACGCAGTATCTGTACAATCTTGCCGTGACCTTCTCTGTGGGCTGCCCGTATTGCGGTGTCATACTGTCTGCTGCAAGCAGTGATGTCTGCACCACTATCTAGCAGCACCCGCACGATCTTGTCGTGGCCGCTTGATGAAGCTAATACCAGTGCAGTAAAATTCCCATCCTGAGCATTAACGTCTGCACCTCTTTCAAGTAGCATCTGTACGATCTTGTAATGGCCTCTGCTAGAAGCTTCCTGTAATGGGGGGCCTAACCATCCGCCATGAGCGTTGACGTTTGCGCCTTTGTTGAGCAGCATCTGTACGATCTTCTCATAGCCTTGTGATGAAGCTGGCTGAAGTGGGGTATATGAACATAATACGGATAGGTCACTCTGACCATTGACATCGGCGCCATTGCTAAGCAGCATCCGTACGATATTGTCATGACCGTTTGCTGAAGCTATTTCTAATGCGCTGCCCCACGGTTCGCTCTGGGCGTTTACATCTGCGCCTTTGTCGAGTAGCATCCGTACGATATTGTCATGACCTTCTGCTGAAGCTAGTTCTAATGCGCTGCCGTGCTCTTCGCTCTGGGCGTTTACATCTGCGCCTCTGTCGAGCAGCATCTGCACGATTTTTTCGTGACCTTTTTCTGAGGCTACCTGTAATGCGCTGCCGCTGCCGTACTCTCCGCCCTGAGCGTTTACATCTGCGCCTTTGTCGAGCAGCATCTGCACGATCTTGTCGTGTCCTTGTTTTGAAGCTGCCTGCAGCGGAGTGCCGTAGTCACTCTGGGCATCCCAATCTGCACCTGCGTCGAGCAGCATCTGCAAAGTATTGCTGTGACCTCCCCTTGATGCTGCGAACAAAGCCGTCCGGCCACAGGAATCTGCTTCTTCTACGTCGGCGCTTTCTACACTGAGAATGTGTTCTAGAATTCGATCATGGCCGTTGTACGCAGCAAGTCCCATCCTCGTCATAAATCTAAACCCACGAAATTTATTGGTCTTCGAACGGGTCCAGGTGTGGTAACTTTTTCCTCCTGTGTCATAGAGCTCCAGTGCATCTCGAAACGTGTCTTTCTCGGTAATGCTCTCGGAAAATCTGTGATGAGTCGTCCACCACTCGGAACAATATTCTGCAAATTCCTCTCTGCATCTCTGAGACTGGTCGCTTTCGTCAGGATCATAGTGATCGCAACAGTATGCTGCAAATACTTCCTGGTCGCTTTCGTTCGGAACATAATCATCTAGAGATTGACTCAGATCTTCTAGGTTGAGGCATCTGATACAGATCTCTGCCATCGTCTTTTCTATCTCCATATGCTCGAGACTGTGCATCCACAAGCTATTCTGTAAGCTTCCTAGCATCGGCGTACACTCCTGAGCGACGAGAAACTCCCGCGCTGTCTGGTGAATCAGGTATACTCTCGAGTGATTGAAAAACACGAAGAGACCGCACCAGTGTCTTAACTGATTCTCGAGATGGACTGCATTAATCTGAACATCCGCAGATGTTTCATGTTGCTCGGATGTTGCAAGGCCGAGAGCGAGAGCCATCTCGCCTACTGCAAGTGGACGTCGAGCTCCTACAATGATCCGCAAGATAAGCTTCACTTTCTGACGGCGTGCTTCTGGGATTCTGTTTAGAATCTTTTCGTAGGCGCCCTCTACTGAAGACGGAACTGAGTCGATGGGCTCCTCGTCTGGCCTGAGGCTGTTTTGTAGAGTCGTACGGATATCGTCGATTGCCAAATGGAGCCACAGGTACGTACGGTGCTCCATTGCCAACAGAGTCTGTTCTAGACGTGAAGATGTGCTCTTGCGAAGACCCAGCTCATTTGCTAGTTGTAGCACCCTTTGGTCGATGACACGGTTGATCTCTGCACGAATTTGGTCGTTCTCCTCCTCACCTCGCAGCCGTATGGCAGGTAGAGATGGGGGCATGTGCTGGAACCCTCTCTGGATGTCGTCATAGGGGCGACTCGTAACGATGAACTTGAGCGATGATTGATGGGGATGCTGAGAAGCGGCGGCGGTCTCGTGAAATTGAGCAAGCTTATCGATCAGATTGCTCCGGTCCCCATCTTTGCATTCGTCGAGAGCATCGAGTACACATATGGTGTTGTGCGCAGCCCCGTCTGACGTCGCTGCAAGTAAGATGCGCCATAACTTATCAGTCTCTTGCTGCAGCTTGCTTCCATCACTGTGCCAGGCCGCAGTGGCATGCTGTAGAAGGTGTGGCTGATGCTTAAAAAGTTGGTGCAACAACGCACAAAGGCAAATTGCGAGACTGTTCTGTTCGTCGTTGTCCTTAAAAAAGAAGTAGCAGATAGTGCTGCCAGCCGTATCGCTCATCAATCTTTCATCCACCAGCGATTTCGAGAGGACTGACTTACCGCAGCCAGGATCTGCCGAGATCCACAGCAGGTCATCGGTGGCACTTTCGTTCCAGCGCTGATACTGCGGATGATTCAACACCCACTGGCAGGTCTCCTTGACACGATCGGGATTGATATTCTTGAAATGCTCGTACGTGCTAGTCTTGAAGACTTGGTGACACTTCCGATGTGCTTCGTTTTGATATCTCAATGCTTCGTTCGCTAAGTGTTGGTTCGTCGAGTGCGCGTGCTCTTTGAGTACGTCTGTCGAGGACTTCGTTTCTTCAATCAGCTCCGTCACACCTTTTTCGACTAGATTTTTATTTCTTTGGTCAGATTCGTCAAATATTCGATACATGGACACAGTCACATACTTTTAGCTAGTACCTTTTCGAGCCTCTCTTCCTGCTCGACCCTACCCGGGATCATCCTCGTAAGGATGTCCTTTGCGTAGGCTGCCGCTGTCATTGCTGCATAGCCTTGCCACTCTTTGTTCTTGTGCGAGTCTGAGTAGTCGCAAATGCCTCGAACTACCAGACACGGAAAGTGGTTCATCAACCCAGCTGCTTCCATTTCGAAACATAATACGTCCTTCTCCTTCGCTATGGCGTCCCTTGTTATGGCGTCTTTCATCAGCTGGTCGGCAGATGCAATGACACCATAGTGAATGGTGGGATTATCCTCATCCTCTCTCCTTTTCCGACGCTGGACCAAATCGGCAGTCTGACCTCCACACACTTCCTTGCAACTTCGTTTGTCGTCTTCCGGATGAATGACATCAGACGTATAAAGTCGATCGCTCTCCGGGCTTGGCCGACTGTACTTCTGACGTAGCCTAGATTTCCTGCCCAGTATCTCCGTTATATTTGCTTCAAGCTGGTGGCCGTCGTCCTCGTATTTGCTTCTTAGACCATTGACTGCAGTGCGCACGACTACCGGGGGCTGATTAAGGAATCCGGTCGGCTCGAAGCTTCGTCCTTGGATGGCCTTGCCGTAGTTGTACTGGTACACACAAGGAGCACTGCCTTTCCGGCTGCTGACAACAACGTCTCCGAGTCGAATGTCATTCTTCGCTGTTGGCGCACCGCCCCCAATGCCTACCATCAGGCCGACTCGGACATTGGGAAAGCTGTGGAGCATGTCTTTGGCAACGGCTGTAGCGCTGCTCACCCCATACTCGCTATCTGGTAGCACAGCGATAACAACATTGTGACCGGCCATCTTGCCAAGTGTGTAGTCGTTACTGTCGTTGGCCGAAACGTGATCCGGGCTCCCGTGTGCTTCGTCGAGGAATTGGCGTGCTGCGGTATATTCTGTCGTTATCGCGCAGATCCAGCCTACGGTATACTGCTGCGGATCCGACATGTTTGTAGCAGATTTCTTTCAATCAGATGATATATGTGAGCAATGACTCTTGGTTGGTTTGATACGATCAAACCTCAAGTGGGCGGTATGCCTCTATTTGACCTTGTCTGGCTCACATGTGAGGAGCCTCGCAGGCGCCGTGGCTGAGCCGCGTGCAGACGCCTGCAGAATCCTGGTCATGCAACCAACATGACCGAGCGGCCCAGCCGCAAGACCATCGGAGGCTTGCAGTCTGACCAACGGACTTCGACCGAGGCAGTGATGAGAAGGGTGATTTTGATCGAACCCGCGAGGCTAATTGACGCAGAAGCTGCGCAGCTCTTTGAAGAGTACACAGTCGAACAATGAGTTCAGTCAATCCTGTTAGGGCTTTGTTTGAGATTTGCTTGTGAAGGGACTCCGATAAGCGCTGGAGAACAGCCTCCAGATCTCATATTCATGGGTCCATTTGTCAAGGAATCTCGTCTTGTCGCCGAGCCAGTCGATGTTTATGGGCGCGCGTGGCACGCCGGCCTGATACAGTAGCGAGGCGTCAACCGATGACGCGAGTGAGAAAGTGTGGACAGTATGGACGCAAACATATCAGCATCAAGATAATTGATGGCTTGCTGTGTTCTTCTCCCGCCTTGCTCTATCGCGACGAGGTGACTGCGGTGCAGTCGTTGGTCGAGTCGAAAAGGCGGTAAGACCCCGCTACGCGAGTGTGATTTTTCTTTTTTTTTTTCCTCTTTTCACTTCTCTTTTCCCTTTCGCATCGGCAGACACAGAGCGAAAAAGCAATCCTCTTGATCGTTCCAGTGGCCTCATCAATCTCGAAGAACCCATGAACACAACCATCGTAGAGAAGTTGGGGTCTGAGGCCACAGGGGCGTCGATATGCCATTGCTTGCACTTCCACGAAGCGCGAGTCAGACATGTGCTAGAGGTCATTCCGTAACTTCTCGAAGAGATCACGAAGCGGCGCTGGGCTCTTCTCGACCTTAGCAACATCAGTCGGCAGACGCAGAAGAAGACGGCCCACCGAGAGTGAGTATTCAAAGCCACCAAGAACAGCTGCAACAGATCGCATGCAGATGTTTGTGAGATCGGCAGTTTGACCATAAATCGGCTTGCGCGTGGTGAGCGTGGGCCAATGGAAGATGTTCATCAAGAGAGCAGCTGTTTGACCAGATTAAGCCCTTAATCAAGCCATGTAGGTATCTGAGGCGACTTTTTTAACGCATTTCAAAGAGTGTTGGCTCCATAGACAGATCCTATACTTATCTCTATGGTCAGGCTCAAGTACAGGATACAACTTTGCATTTCGTCGGCTCATTGATGTCTTAATACCTCCCGATGGAGAAAGCGATGAACTTAACATTGAACGTTGTGACTATCTTTAGCATATCAAGAGTAGTGGTCACATCAATTTCAAAGAACACATTTAACGAAGAAATCAAGAACAAACTCCTCCTCGTCCCAAATCAATAACTCCTTGTTTAATGTGTGCAAAAGTACACCGACCAGCAAGATTAAAACATAGCTATATGGTCATGTAACGCCATCGAGACTGTCTTGTATTTCTTCATCCACTACATCTTTCGTTAGTCTACCACCTTCTCTCCAAGTTACTTTTTCATACTGCGGCAACTAACTCGTTCATTCTAAAGAGTTACTGCCTTTCGTACCCCGTTCTTCAACAGGTCCACCAAATCTGACATCGCCAGGCTTAGGTCCCGTCCAAACATCATGACTCACAGAACTTCGCTGTTGTTCCATGTATTGTTGTCCCAAGCCGCTATCTTGAAATTCCCCTCGGTGTATGACTTCATAAGTATCGGGGTCGTGGATAAGGATATGCACTTTTCCATCGACCGCATTGTAGCCGGTAAATACATCTTTTCCAGTCTCGTATTTGTCCAAGAAGGCAATGAGTGCGTTTTTCTCCTCGGCGACAACAGTGTCGCTGAGGCTGATCTTCTTCGATTCAGACATTGTAGAGTGGATATTGATTGAATGTGCTTTCTTCATGTTAGCAACTTATACCTTAGAATCAAAGTAATGTATCGTACCGGACAGGAGACTAACTCGAACAGAGATGGGTGATGGAGTGTGATAAGAGGTCCTCTTCGCTTATGCTACTGTGCGTTGGTTTAAGTAGCTTCAGACAGACCTGCGGCCGTAAACAAAACCCTTCATACACGAGCGACGTTGCGAATCAAGGCGATAAGTCCCGAGGTGAAAGTGTGTGGATTCAACTCCTTTCCCAAGCCAAGATAGGCACCTTTTGCGATTTCAAGCTGGAATTTGAGGGCAAACTTGTGGCACTGGTCGCTATATCAAGGACTTCTTAGCCGACACACCACGCTCCAAAGGCCTTGCCCCGTCTTTCGGACCCCACACCCATTGTCAACTTCGTACGTGATGCTCATGACATCTATCCGAATCAAAACGTCTTGATGGCTAGGAGGTATGGCATACTTGGCCTTGGGAGCAGTCGATTGATGTCGTGGCGAGGATATTGTGGAAGACAGATCAACGCCGACGAACTTCACCAAAGTGTTAAAATATCACATCGTGTGAGAAGACGTGGATATTCGTATTCATTCCTATTCCTGTAAAGACTGTGTTCTTGTGCCTGATTCTGTAAACCCCCAAACAAACTTTATGTGCTCTGGGTGCCGTTGACGATGCAACAGTGTGATCATCCAGTGACTGTCTTACAGTTCAATGTCGTCGTACCTACCCTACCATTCCAATTCGATTTTCTGCTTACATTGCATAGTCCTCATCATCACTGTACTCTTTGGGTTCGTCGTCGTCACTGAATTCAGGCACTGAAACCTCACGAAACCCCTGATGACAATCAGTCACAACTCATACATAAGGAGGTTGTGGTAGACTTACATTTTTGACAACAGCCCATCCACTACTGCCGGTCTTGACACGAGGAGCTTGGACAGTACTGGCATAAGTCGAGTTCGAGAATCCAGAGCTGGATGAAGCAGAGGTAGTGGTGTTGGTTGTCACGCGAGAGTTGGTATTAGTGGATGGAGCGGGTACAAAGCCGTTGCTGGAAGCCAATGGCGCACCTCCGCTGGTGGACGAACGGGAGGTGAGGTCACCGGTGATGCTCTGTTCAAAAGCATAAGCCATGTTCAGCAAGATGTATCAAGTATACTCACAGTCATGCAGTCTTCATCGGAATCATCGGCCTCGTACGGGTCCTGCTGTCCAGGCCTGACGTTCTCGATCTGGCTGATACACGTTGTGCATCTGGCAGAATCAGGGTCGCGCCTCTGAGTTTTAGAGAACCTGCCGAGACTGAGAGTTTTGTTGCATCCGGTACATTTGAGCTGCGTGAGAGGTGCAGCGGTGCAGTTGCTGCAGACCATTTTGTCGAATATCTTCTTGTCACCCAGTTTTGCGCCATTGCTCAGCATCCAATTGGCATCATTCTGGCGGTTGTTGGCGAAGCTGGCGAGGGGCCGGAACTGAGAACATCTCTTGCACCAAACCCTGCAGAATGTCAGTGTACGATAGGTGGACCAAGCTGAACATGCGTACAGATTAGGCAGCGAGCGTGCATTCTTGTACTCTGGTGGTGGAGAGCGGACGTCTTTGGAGGCTGAGCTCATGTTATCGGATAGAGGTAGGGATCTGGAGGTTGTCTGTCAATAGGGAACACACGAGCCGAGCGAATGAAGAGAGGTATGATGCAGGCAAGCATGGTGCAGTCCATGATGAATTGAGAGTTGTAAGGGAAGATGGCAGGTAATGGATTGTAAGGTATGCCAGGGGTATCAGGTTGCAAAGGGATGAACATCTTACATGATGTTGATGAATATGGATGAATGTGAACTTTCACGTAGAAGATCGAAATCTGGAAGAGAGAGAGAGGTTGATTCCAAAGCTGGCAGCAAGATGAATGAGGAAGTCGAAGGCATGATAAATATGGAAGGCTCAACCAAGCGCTGCGTTTGGCGGCTCGTTTGCTCGGCGTTCCTGAAACAAGTCTTTCAACCAACGAGACAGTCTAGTAATCGGATATACCTTGTTTGAGCCGATAGAGCATGTTTTTCAAACAATGTTCCACAAGAAAAATGATGGGACTGTTGGAGATTTTGGCTGTTGCGAAAGTAGACGAGGCTTGACATCGAACCAGGCAAGATACAGAATATGCCTGTTCAAGAAGACAAGATAACACCAGAATTAGAAATATTGTTCAGTGATTCGCAGCTCTGATTTACAGATTGCCAGTGTATAGTACCATGATTTCTGGTAACGCGGTTTGCAGGCTTCAGCGTATGGTAGCTTCATGTCCCTACATTAACATTAGCACATCACGCAAGTATCAAACGAAGCACAGTATGTTCAAGCCCTTGCAGCATCCGCATGCTGCTTGAAAGGAGCGTCTTGAGAGGCAAACATAATCTGTCATGTCGCTGAGATGGGGATTTCCACCAGCGCCGAAGCTTCAACACCAGTCCCAGAGAAGTGCACAAGAGGACAAGAGAAAGATCAGCATTAGAGAGAAGAGGAAAGATTCATTATACAAGCCTCAGCGTTCGAGACCTCATGCAGGTGCGAAGCCGGAGCCCGTCACAATTTGCATCGCCATGCTGAGACAACCCATCAACCAGGTCTAATTTTGCGCTCTAAAGGATGTATTGGTACAAGGTATCATCGTCGTCGTCGCTTACTTAGTCTCCTCAGCCAAGAAGGTGATGAGGTCGTTGCGGTCCTTGGCCTTCTTCAAGCCACCGAAGGCCATCTTGGTGCCGGGAATGTACTTCTTGGGGTTCTCGAGGTACTCGAACTGGCGAGGTTGTTAGCGGTTGAACGACTGTGTAAGACTGCCATGTACAGCAATGCGTGAAGGATCAAACTTACGAGAGTGTCGTTCTCCCAGGTGATACCCTTCTGCTTGTTGGCATCGGAGTAGGCGAAGCCCTCGACCTCACCAGTCTTGCGACCGAAAAGACCGTGAAGGTTGGGTCTTTGCGTATGTTAGCATCTGAAGAGAAGGTGTTGAGAGGGAGAGTGTATCAGGCATGGTTGGCAGTATGCGCAGCCATGACAAGAGTATACTCCTTAAGGCAAAACATACCCAATCTTGTTACCCTCACCCTCCTTGAGGTTGTGGCACTGAGCGCAGCGGGTCTTGAAGAGGTTGGCGCCCTTCTTGGAGTCACCTAAGATGTGTTGTTAGAACGAGGTTCTTGCTTCGATGGCCATTGAGATGCGGAGGAGAGGTGGCGGCGATTGCAAGCACGGGAACGAATACGCGAGGCTGAGTCCTTGATCGCAGACAGCATTGAAGATTGAGAGCCGTCCAGGGTGCGGCGACTAGGTATTCATCGATCGTTCGTCGTTCGTGTCCAGTGCTTCCAGGTGCGCTGATGTGGTGTGAAGCTTGAAGATTGAGGTTACCTACCAGGTGCGAAGCTGTCCTTGCCCATTTTGATGGATATGTAATGTGTATGAAAGGGTTGGAGGTGTGTAGGAGGTTGTGGCGGTAGAATAAAGAGTGAAGAAAGGTGGATGGGAATTTTGTTCGACGATCGCGGCGAACCAAGGAGTTTCCAGGATGCAGGCGTCGCGCACCGACCACCACAATCAACCAATCAATGCAGGCCAGAAAGTCAATATTGTTGGAAACACGCTTGTCGCTCGGGAAGCCTCGGAAGATTTCTTGTTTTCCATCGTTGTCTTTGTTCGCCAGCTGTGGCAATCCTCACCTCAACGTATCATAGACCTGTGCTCTATGAGCTCCAGACTCGATCTCGAACATAGAATGCTTCCTGTTCTTGCTCGTCTGGTGTTACAACGATCCCATAACCTTCTAGAAAAGCCACAGTTCCAAACGAATAATTTCTTCTCCCTTGACCAGTCGTGATGCATGACTTGACGCGGTTTGACGTCGTGTCGAAAATCAATCACCGCGCCAGCGGCTCAAGCTCCTTCAGCTTGCTTGCAAGGAGCTGACTGGCGTCAGGGCAACACGCGACGGAGATCTTGATCTGATACGTGATGATCTCTGATCAATCATCCATTTCCTTTTTGGTTTTAACCGAGCACGGCTCAACGCTTCCTCTGGGCGGGCAGCGGGCTCCTTTAGCAAAACCCCCATGTTTGCTCCCGCTGTCGAGGTGTCCCAATCTGAAGCACCCTTCTCGTTAGGGCCAATACCACTTCCTTTTTTCGAGACATGAATCAGATACCCGAGATTCTGTATGGCAAAACCGGACAGAAGACTTGGTGTATCGTTGGTGCATCCAGAGGTATAGGTCTGGAATTCGTACGACAATTGATTGCTCGTGAAGACCGCATATTCGCTACCGTCCGCGACACCGCCGCCGTTCATGCATCCGGGCTCTGGGCGCAAGCAGGAGGTGATCATGGTCGCTGTCAAATGCTGATCTGTGATGTCTTGTCAGAACAGAGCATAAATGTAAATTCGCTCCTGCTTTCTTACCAGCTCTTTCTTTCCTCGTTCTCGTTTACATACTTTCCTTCTTCGCTGTCGTTCCTGATCTCTTCTGAATTCATATGTGTACTGCTTTTCCGTAGTAGACATGGCTAACAAAGCGTTGCGAAGAACTTCGTTGCTCAACTTGCTGCAGTACCGGACCTGAAGTTGGACTATGTTGTAATTAATGCTGGCGTGTTGAGATATCCGAATGTAAGTAGTCGAGTGTCTTTGGATTGTTGTCGTAACTAATTGATGTAGAGAGCGACTGAGTTGTGAGTATGATGTCGTTGGCTCCGGACTCCCTGCACGAGGCTGACCATCAAGTTCTTTCGATGAATTTGCCTTCCACTTGCACACCAACACGATTGGACCGATCATCACCGCTCAAAGACTTCTTCAGACAATGATCCCGATTGGAACGATTGTCTTCATGTCCAGCGACTCTGGCTCAACACAGCGTTTCCTGGAGATGGAAGATGGGTAAGTACCTTTGTCAAGTACTTTGCATCCTTACTCACCGCTTCTTTAGGTTTGCAGCTTACTCCGCGTCAAAAGCTGCATTGAATCAAGCAATGCGACATATGGCTGCCGAGCTCAAGCGGAAAGATGATGATACCATCTTGTTAGCAATTCATCCGGGAGAGGTTGCTACGTATGTATATCTGGTGGCCGAGCGAAACGAGACATGTGCTGATTGTTCACACCAGAGATATGGCGAATATTGATCTTGGTTGGGAAGTTGACGGCATCATGACACCACAAGAATCAGTGTCGGCGATGATCAAGGTCATCGAGAGTAAAGGAATACAGCACAGTGGAACGTTCTGGACATGGGAGAATAAGGTATGTGACTTTAATGATATGTCTGACCGTTTTCCTGACTATTGCAGCAATATCCCTGGTAAAAGCATGCATCGTTGTGCCCAGGACGCAGTACTCAGCAAGCAACTTCTGCAAGTATCTAATGCTGATTGCAGAAGAAGCAGGACAGTAGAACAAAGAACTTGAGAAGGGATTTGGGGAGACTAGAGTATGGATGCAACTTCGACGAAGCAGTCGGAGATAGGTACAATATAATGTTGAATTCCTGACTCACGCATTTGGATTTGTAGATGCATATTACGTTTCGAGTAATATGTCTCGTGATCGGCATACCTTAGAAAGAACTCGCCCAGAAGATGTTGATGAGTTTCTTTGTCCGGCCACCGAGCCGATCTTCGGTTTTCTCGACAAGGCCATTGTCAGTTGGTAGCATGTTAATAGGCAAGTGTTACATGGTAGTTAGGATGGCACGTCGGATGGACTCTGGTGAAACAGTCGTGAGCCCACCGGAATGCGTTAGAAGTAGTTGCCGAGAGCCGCTGTAATACGGGCCTGAGTGCCGAATATGCATGCATCGGCCCAGTGGCATGAAAGGCGAAAGAAAGAGATGGTTGTTGTTGAGAAGAGGTGACTTTGTCGTGGCCTGGATTGGCTGGACAAAATGGTAGCACAGACAAAGTTGACCAGTCGGACGGGAACGTCATTCTGCAACGGCTTTGGACTTCTCCCAACAGCAGGATTGAGCAAAGAGCGGTGTCAAACACATACAAAGACAATGAATGTGATGGAGTCGAAACCGACAATGTCAGACGCGGCTAGAAACGCGCAGTGTCGGGAGGTAGGTGTGTAGGCTGTGAAGGAAGTCGAGAAGGCGCGATCGCCAGTTCCTTCCTCCTGCGCGTCCGTTCAGGCATCCCTCGACACTTTCTCACGCCGGCGACTCACATGTGGGGTGAGATGCATATATCCACCATTCCGCCTCGACTCAGATGACCTATTGCGCCTACGTTTCTGTTTCTGTTTCTGTTTCTACTGCTCTCGTGCTTTCCCTACTAATTTCTTCTCCCTTCTGCACTCTCTCTTCCGCCCCTCCTTTGCATCACAACATTCTTCTTCTTCCCCACTAGCTAGCTGGCATGGCTTCCTGGGACACTTACGATCATTCCCGCTACCCTTACGACGATTCTTACAATAAGCCACGACGCTCACGAAACGACTCGACGTATGCTCCTCACATACTTCTGCCTATCCCAATCTCGACCACTGACACCCTGCTAGCCTCGACCCCACCTATCATGACTTTACGCAACCATATCAATACCCCTCCATACCTACACGAACCCGGAGTCGTGCACCCACAAAGAGCAGAGACCACAGTCGAGCACCACGCCAATGGCCCCCTTTGCCGTACGTCGAAGATGAGGAGGACTCGCTGAGAAGGGAATACAAGCCTGAACCTATACACAATGACCACATTCCCTCAAGAGGCACCATCGGACAAGAGCCATTGCTTATTGATGTGCCTGACCACATCCCCGACCGTCGCTACGTCTGGGTCCCTTCAGCAAGAGATTCTTCCAACGCACAATCAACGCCTTCCAGCGACGATGAGCGAGCTAGACGCCGCCAAAAGCGCAACGGTCCTCGGATAGAAACAGCTGGACTTCCAGAGATGCGAAGAGAAGCTTCACCCTATGCTTGGATGAAGCCAACTTCATCTTCACACACCCCAATGCCGTCAGAAGACCTCTTTCTGTCGCCAGAGGCGCTTACTCCATCTACTGCTTTCAAGTCTACAACTTTCGACAAGCTACCACCAACCAGCATACCTCGCTCTGACTGGTCTGACCCCAAAACAAGTTCACGGCAAACTCCAACCAGAGACGGCACTCCACCACCGCGATCAACTTCACAACACGTGTATAAAGGACGTAGTACTGCCGAAGCCACTCGAAGTGCAGAAGACCACATCCCACAGAGATCGTCAAATCGGTATTCTTGGACCAAGCCAGACCAATCTCACTCGTCTCCTACAACACCTCTCAATCCACCATCAGTCGATCCCTCCAGAAGACGTTCGGAACCGATAGAAGGCTATCCACTTCCGACCGATTTCTCGCGCAAACCAGCACCTCCGCAAGTTGTCAATTTACAGCAGTCTGGACGACCGACTCAACATCCTCGTCACTCCAGTGAGGGAAGTTCTAATTCTCACGACGCCTATGCTCCGACTCGCAATTTGAGCTCAGACAAGCTGAGAGACAGTTACCCACCCAGTCTTCCTAATTCTAGGCCAACATCGCGTGGAGGCTCAACTCAATCCTCGCCACAACCTTCACCTCGCATAGTGCACCATCCAGAGTATCCTTGGAACATGGGCTCGGCCGCTTCGACCACGGCTCGCCGTGCACAACCACCTTCTCGTCTTGCTGAGTCGACGCTTCCAAAGACACCACGTCCCCAGGCATCTAGGTCTGTATCAACTCCGTACTCGCCACTTCCTTATCCGGATGACGATCGTCCATTTGAGACCATGCCCTCTGAAAGGGATCATCAATATTTCCCAGCACAATCGAGCACACTACTCCCACCATTCAGTGAGCCAGTCACGCGTGTCAACACTCCGAAACAGCCAACACAACCCAGCAAAGCGCGACCAGTTGAGGAAAGGTCTGCAGTATCTGGTGCATTGAGACGAGAGGCATCAAAATCCGAGGACCAATCCTCCAGCACAAGAAAGAGTCAAATGGAAAGGCTACCAGCATGCAAACGGGTGACATACAAATTGAAGTATGATGACTGGTACACGCTCGATGGATATCCTGGCTTCAGTATCTGCCCGCGCTGCTTCAAGTTTGCCTTTGACAGGACTCAACTGGGAACAGCTTTCAAGCTCGTGCCTAACAATGCACCCAGGATGGCCAGAAGATGCGAGTTTAGCAACCCTTGGATTCGACTTGCGTGGGTTTTGACCGCCAACAATCGTCACAACACCCTGAGTGTGATGACAACCATCTTCAAGGCTGACGAGATCGAAGAGCCCTGCCCAGGGAACGCGCGGGGATGGTGTAATTGGTACTCAATTCGCGACAGAGATGGTCATTTCTTACGGGACTTTATTGTGTGCCCGTCTGATGTGAAAAGGTTGGAAACACTTTTCCCATGGTTCAGAGGTCTGCTTGTACCACTTCCAATGAGGCATTCCTATGACGAAGACGAGGAAGTGTTCGGCCGCTTCTGCTCGCTACGAACCGACCACAATAACCGGTTCGCAGCCTACATCGACTGCTTGTTTCAGCTCCACGAAGATGCAGTGTCTGGTCAGCGGTTGCCTAGCACACATGAGTTTGTGTCACTTGTCCGACACAAGACCAGACTCCCCGAATGCATCCGTGACGACAAGCTTCAAGGAGTCGAGTGGTACTACATTCCATCATTGGCGCCTGCCTTGACTGTCTGCGAGGAGTGTTACCATGATGTGGTACTGCCATGGATGAGGTCAAATTCGGAGGTAGCTATGAGATTCAATCGAAGGAAACAGCCTGTCCGCAATGAAGGTAGAGGAGGAGTATCCTGCCAGCTCTACTCAAGACGAATGCGAGATGCATTTCGCTATGCGGTTGACACGAACGACATGAAATATCTTGCAAGAAAAGCAAAGGACAGAAAAGATGTTGAAGAGGATTTCCAGCAAAGATGCAGAGATCTGCAAAGAGAGGCCGAACGACTCAAAGGTCGCAGCGGGTATGCGATCAGCTCTCGGGCAGAGCAACAATTGGACGATCTTCAGCGTGAGATTGAAGCAATTGGCGAGACTTGGGAGATGGAGTGGGAGTGAGTAGAGACAAAAAGCTGAGTTTATCTGCTTCGGACATTCAAATAATATGCTGCCGGTATAACAGAACGGCCAGCCTTTCTCCTGGTCAAACTTGTTGATTAATTCTCGTCGTGATTGAATCAATTAATTAAATCAACTGTGACATGTGGAGCAACCCCAGATTGTTCCCCAGACCTCGGCATGTGTCAACATCATCATTCACATGCAAGACAATGGACAGAACATGACATTGACCATCTCTCGAACAAGGACATCCATGAACAAGACACTGAGCTGAACATGGTCGAGACATGGCGGTACAATCGAAGCTGTCACTGCCTGGCGGCCTCGTGTCGGAAGGAGCGCTGAAGAAGGCCGTGTCCGATCTCACAACTCTATACCTCAAACACCGCACACGCATCTCACGCGCCATCTACATCGGCCTCTTTGTCACCTTACTGAATCGTATCCGCAACGCCATCAACGAGCAGAAAGCCGCAGAGCAACAACGGCGAACGGCCGCTCGCAATGGAGAAAGAGAAGGAAGCACATCCACTGGCAGGAAGAAGGTCGAGCTCAACAGAGAGTTCTTTCGTAACCTGATCCGCTTGTTGAGGATCTGTATACCAGGCTGGAAGAGCAAGGAGTTGCGTCTTCTTGTCAGTCATAGCGTTTTCCTCGTTTTGCGAACATTGATCTCGCTCTATGTCGCTGAACTGGACGGAAGATTGGTCTCTGCTCTTGTTCGGGGCAAGGGCAAAGAATTCATTGGTGGTTTGCTGTGGTGGATGGTTGTCGCCATTCCAGCTACCTTCACAAATTCCATGCTCAGCTACCATCAGTGCAAGCTCGCACTGCAGTACCGCACGCGCCTTACTCAACACATCCACAACAAGTATCTGTCCAACATGACCTTTTACACCCTCTCCGCCCTCGACGACCGCATCAAGAACGCCGACCAACTTGTCACAGTCGATGTCAGCAAATTCTCAAACTCGCTTGCCGAGTTGTATGGCAATCTAGCAAAACCAATCCTGGACATGGTCATCTACAACTACTCGCTCTCGCGCAGTGTAGGTGGTGAAGGCCTCTTTGCCATGGGCTTGTTCGTCCAGCTTTCTGCTTCCGTGATGCGAGCTCTGACACCACCATTTGGCAAATATGTTGCCGATGAAGCACGCTTGGAAGGAGAATTCCGCTTTCAACACTCTCGTGTGATTGATTATAGTGAAGAGATTGCACTATACCATGGCCACGAAGCAGAAAAAGACGCTTTGGACAAAAATTACTTTACACTCATCAAACACGTCAATCGCATCTTGAGACGAAGATTCTATCACGGCATCATGGAAGACTTTGTCATCAAATACTTCTGGGGCGCTTTGGGGTTGATGCTCTGTTCCATTCCTGTCTTCTTCAAACTTCCCATCGCAAAGAACGCAGGAACAACAGCCAAAAACTCGACAGAAGCTTTTGTAACCAATAGACGTTTGTTACTCAGTTCATCTGATGCTTTTGGAAGACTAATGTTCTCCTACAAGGAGATTTCCCAACTTGCGGGATATACGTCTAGGGTTTCGACGTTGTTGGATGTTATCAAGGATATCCAAGCAGGACATTTCGAGAAGCAACTCGTGAGTTCCGCCTCGGTGGATGCTAATGCAGCTGTTCTCGCAGGCAGAGGCACTATAACCGAAGGCACTGATATCATGTTCAAAGACGTACCTATCGTGTCTCCCAACGGCGATATCTTGGTCTCGGCATTATCTTTCCACATACGCCCACAGGATCATCTGCTCATCATTGGCCCCAACGGCTGTGGCAAGTCCTCGTTGTTCCGTATACTAGGCGGATTATGGCCCGTGTACGGCGGCGAAGTCAGAAAACCTCCCGCAGAAGATATTTTCTACATTCCACAACGACCATATCTCTTAGCGCACGGAAGCCTTCGCGCTCAAATCATCTACCCCGATACCATTGCAGAAATGCACGAGAGAGGAGTTATAGATGCAGATCTGCTCGAAATCATCGCGTCTCTAGATCTGGACAATTTGCTTTCTTTGCCTACCAAAGATACTTCTCCCACTAGTGGTAATGAGGGATCAACGCAAACAGGCCTAGACACCACTGCACCCTGGCCCGACCTCCTCTCCACAGGAACACAACAACGCCTCGCCGCCGCAAGACTCTTCTACCACTCCCCGTGTTACGCTATCCTCGACGAATGCACATCTTCCTTGACTCCTTCCATCGAAGCTCTAATCTACACCCAAGCCAAAGCCCGCAACATCACTTTATTGACCGTCTCCCATCGCAAAAGCCTGTGGCAGTATCATACGCGTATACTACAGTTTGATGGCAAAGGAGGAGTGGTGTTTGGACGACTGGATGCGGAAAAAAGGTTAAGACTTGAGGATGAGAGGGAAGAGTTGGAGGAAAAGTTGAGGGGCGTTGAGGGCGTAGAAAGGAGGATTGCGGAACTGGAGGCTGTGTGAGATGATAAGAATATGCGAGCGCTGGTTTTCTTGTCAATGGATTGCAGTAGAGGTAGTAGGGCAGCAGTAGTGGGATGAATTGAAATCGGCATTGTTGACAACTTGTTTGTTCTCTGATCTATTTCACTGCCATGCTCCCCATACCCTGATCCGCATATTCACAGAAGAGGAAGAATTTTACTCGAAGCGAACGAATCGATATTGCAACCATAGCCTGAACAGGTCACCGTGAAACGGCTGGAGAGAACCACGAAGAAAAACTAATGTCCCTGACAAGAATTTCGATCTTACCAAGAATTAGGGTAAACACCAATATAACGTGTTTGTAGTAATACCAGCAAACTTGTTCTCTCAGAAAACATCACAAGCCTCATTCGCTGAGTTGTCATGCAATATTAAAGCACACCAGCAATCCTACACCTTTCCTTCCCGTTCGGTTCTTGCTCTTCAGCTTCTGTGCTCGGGGCGTCCCTAGCTTTGAGCCTGACCCACCCCCCTCAACTTCATCCACTTATCCTGCAACACCTTATGCAACCCTTGCACACCAGTTCCAATTTCACTCACACTCCCTGCAAGCATCAAAGCCTTCTCAGCCCACATCCTCGCTTGCTCGTTGTCTTCTCCTTGACCGTTTCCCTCTTCGATACCCGCAAACCACAAATCCACTGCATGGTTGAATGCCGTACTGGCCAACCACTCGAGCTCGTCAGGTGGATAGGCTTCTGGAATCTGTCTCGTGGCTGCTTTGGATGCAATAGCAGAGGCTTGGTCTAGACAGCGGAGGGAAATGATAGGGTCGGAGGTCAAGGTCATCTGGAAGAGGCAGCGTATCCAGCGGGCGAGGCGTGTGATGTCTTTGTTGTTGCGCCAGCATGTGTTGATGATCTTCTCCATCACAGAAGTAATGCCGGCGAGAAGTTTTGGAGTTACGGGCTTGGAAGGGTCAGATGTTATGTGAGTTTGAATGTGGATGATGAGATCTGCTGCGCTTCCAAGTCGATTTGAGTGGCGGGTCTCAAGGCACATCTGTAGAGAGGTCAGCTTTGGTGAGCAAGAATGGTGCTCAAAGCTTACTGAGAGGACTGTGTCTAGATCGTCCCACTGCTCAAGGCGCATGACGGCCTCCAAGTCGAATTGGATTATTTCGAATTCCTTGATCTCCATGTCCGATGTTGCGTCTGGAGGCAGTAATTCCTGTCGTTTGGCTTCTTGATATCTCTGGTGAAAAGCCCCGATTTGTCTTCTGGCATCGGTGTATAATTGCAACTGTCTTTGGAGTTAGTGAACATGTTTTCAAGATGGTGAATTTCAGCACTGACAGCTCGCTCAATGTTGTCCTCTGATCTCGCTAGAACAATCAAAGCAGAGGCGGCCAGGAAGCGACATAGGAGAAGGCGATTCAGAAGACCATCGTCTTTCTTGTCCTCATTGCGAAGCAGATCTATAAGCTGTTCTTTGTAAGCAGCGATCCTAGGGGCTCTTTGGAGTGTACGTACAGCAACGCTGGCCATCATGAACCTCGTCAGTAATTCAGGTTGCATGTCAGAGCAGTGCTTCAAAGCTGTATTGTAACAGTGACAAGCAAACCATCGAAGTTCGTCAATTCGTGCGTCGTGATCATCCGCATTCTTGAAGTTACTTGCATGCCTCATGACTGCCCAAGTCAGCCTTTTTCTGTCACTTGTGGTTTGGCTTCAGTAACAATACCTGCTTCAAAGACTTTGCACAACTCAGTCAGACCAGCATCGAGCGGCATATCATTATTCTTCAGCTCTGTCTCGATCGAACCAACTATACAGCTGTGCATTGTCAGTGCCGTGAATAGGTCGCTTGACATCTCACGAACCGAGATAGAACTGCCAACCGGACATCGTTCAGAGAGTTTTTCTCGTGAAGTTCCAGGATCTTTTTCAGAGTTACGATGAACTGCTTTCTATCGCCAATCTGTTGGGCTTCGAGTGCACATGCATACAGATACTTCTCGGTGTCCTTGGAAGATGACTTCAAGACTCCTTCGAGAGATTTTGTAGCTAGCGATGTTAGCTGTGGTGACAGAAGGTTAGATCTCAACCACATACCAAGCTCGGCATCATCTTCCTGCAGAGCAAGCTTATACATGAGATATTGTGTCATTGCGGCTGACTTGCTCTGACTTGACATCTGATGATAAGCTGCTCTTGCAGCGTTCACATCACCTTTGGAGAGTGCGACTGTCATTGACTTGCTGTAACCAATCAGAGCGGGCTCTTGTTCAGAATGGATTTTGCACAGATACTCACCGAGATAATTTGGCTTTGTTCACCTCTCCAGAGCTTGCGAAGATGTTGTGATTCGCCAAACTGCACCATCTTGCAGCTTCATCCTCGTTCTGTGATTGCTGTAAGGTAGTGACAGCTTTCCATATCAGCTATCATAATGTGAGTGAAGTTCTTGAGATAAGAGGCAAGCTTCCTGCTACTCACAGATTGAGAGGCGTGTGTCGCTTCTGGACCCAGCTTTGTCCCGGCTTTCATAGCGATGTCCTCAAACAGGTTTTCGAGTGATGGAAGGTGATCTCTCGCATGTAAGGAAAGAGAACAAATGTATAGCCTCATCACCACAATTTTCTCGACCCAGGGTTGTACAATAGAAGATTGTTCAAGCAATCTGTATAGCATAAGATCCAAGGTCTGGCATGCCAGGTGTGAGTGAGGTCCCGGGTTTATACTGGCGATGGTACTGTGGTTTGTTCCGCCAGCTTTTTCGGGATCATACGTGTTCAGTCTCTGTATTTGATACATGATTCTGGATGTCGTCAGTGTCGAGTCGCCCATGCACAATGAGTTGGGATCCATACGATCTGAATATTCCGTCCGAAATTATAGCTCCACGGATGATCTTACCTAGAACTCCACAGAATTCTTGGCCATCGAATGGCGTTGTAGCATAGATGATGTCCAGTCTTGTGAGTTGAACCTCAAACCTGAAGCCATGCTCCTACAATGGGTCCGGGTCAGTGAAGATCCTCCTTTCTTCGATGTCTCCATACCTGATCGAGCGTCACAATAAGACTGATTGCTTTCACCAAGGAATCAGAATCACCAACGCCGACCAGGGAGCGAGCTTCGAGTAGTAAGCAGGCTGTTATCTCAGATGTAGCTATTGCAAAAGACTTACCATAGTCAAGCATGACGACCACGCGAAGATCGCACATGTCAGAGGAGAGGATCTCAGAATCAATGTCGGCAAATACTTGATAGCTTTGCTCGAGCCACCTGGCAGCTGTGGAGAATTGCTTCTTCTGGAGAGCGAATTTGCCAACTTCGTATGTCAAGTCTGCTTTCTTCTCGGCGAGATGTAGCATATCGGATCTTTCTGGGAGAAGAAGGACTCTGCTGAGCCAGTAGCTCACATTGCCAGGTTTGTTCCCTTTCCATGACAATGTTGCCCTCAACAGATAATAATCGGCCATCAACTCTTTGAGCATCTCCTCGGCCTCGCTTTCCTGTTTGTCTTTCTTGTGTTCTATGGGTGGATCCTGCGTGTGCTCGACATGTTCTGCAACTTTTTCAAAGAGCATGGTGCAAAGGTCCAGCGTCTCTGCGGCCATACAGATCCGTGCTGCTCTCAAGGCAATCTTGAGGATGCGGACCAGGTTCTGAGAAGACTTTTTGCTGCCATGCTTGACGTAGGATCGGTGGGCCGCGTCTAGAAGGAAGTAGGCAAGGACCCGGAGCTGAGCTTCGAATAGTGGCCAGGTTTTGAGCAGTGGTGAAGATTGGTCTTTCAGGCGGATCGCGGTATTCCAGAGCTGTGTCCCTAGACGATCGTAGTCGGGCGCTCTAGCAGCAGGCAAACGGGGGTAACTGATGCGGAGAGTGGTCTCAAGGTTTTGCATGGCGACAGCGTTGACATTGCCCGAGTCTATGCGCCTTATGAGTTGCGCAGCAAAATCTACCATGTCAATGTTGGTGGTTGATTTTCAAGGAAACGGTAGAATCTTACCAAGATACGCTGCAATCTTTGTGTCATTTTCTGATTTTCCTTTGGTCGCCATGATCGTTGGTTTGAGTGACATGAAGTAAATTATGCGCAGATCAGATAAATCGAGCTTGTCGAGTTGAAAACCTGCAAGTCGGGCAGGCACCAGCCTCACACCTGCCTTTCTGAACTGCCATTCCCGTCCGGGTAGTACATGACTTTTATGCCTATTCAAATGCACAATACTACCAAGAAAGCGGATGAGAGTCGACACAGTATCAGCTCTCTCTAGCCATGTCTCTACCATCAAATACAATTGTGCCTTTTTATAGTGTATATTTTGCTTGCCGCTGCAGTCGGAGTACGATGGAAGTCATAGGGGAGATAGTGGCTTACAGTTCTTCTTGATCTCGAAATCAGCAGCGTTAGTCTAGTGGTCAGGACGCTACACAGATAATGCCTTGCAAACACAAGCATGTAGGGCGGTCATGAGGCAGCATACCGAAGGGAGAGTGGAAGTGATCATCTGAAATGTAGAGACGTGAATTCGAATCTCACAAGCTGCAATTATCTTTTGCCATGGCGTACAAATAAGATATCAGTATCGAATGCGAAGCTCAATGCAGGTATCCCAATCTGGCGCCGCACAACCACAATATAGACTAGCCCTGTGCCAGCTCCATTGTGTAAGCTTCAACTGGGTTCAACACGTCGTTAATACAGTATTGTCTGTTGATACAGTATTGTCTGATGAGATCTCACAAATGGTCGTGAAAGAAAGGAAGAACAACGAATCAGAAGGAGGCACTCAAAGCTTACCAATTCTGCCGAGGTTCCGACAGCGGCGGAGGGCTTCTGCGTCATTCGATGCTCAGATAATTGTTAATCTTTTGCGGACACGAACAAATACAACACATTTCGCCTTCCCTAGGACACACAACATCCTACGCCATGCCTGCCAAATCAACCATGTTCACGTCCGCCTGCAGAAACGTCGCCCGCTCGAGCGCATCAAGGACCATTGCCACAGCACCTATTCGCAGGAGCTTGCACCGCCTGTCTACACCTTCATCTCTTACCTCGACCGCCACCAGATACCGTCCGAGTGCGCCTTCGCTCAAGCCCGCTCACTCTCGATTCCCTGCCGGCACTCGCTCAATCTTCATTCAAACCGAGGACACTCCTAATGCCGACGCCCTGAAGTTCATTCCCAACTCTCGCATCTTGCCCGAGAACTTTCAATCATCCTTCCTCGAGTATCTGTCGCCGCGCTCAACACTTGCGCCTCCTCACCCATCGCCTCTTGCTGCTCAGCTGCTGAACGTAGAAGGCGTTTCATCCGTCTTCTATGGTCCCGACTACATTACCGTTACAAAAGACTCTGCCACCCCATGGCCGCACGTCAAGCCTGAGGTCTTTGCTTTGATTACCGAGGCCGTGACATCTGGACAACCTCTTGTAAACACGGTTTCTGGAAAGAGTGGTGAAGAGCAAGCAGTCGAGAAGGACTCTTTGGAGTACGATGAGAATGACAGTGAGGTTGTCAGCATGATCAAGGAACTGCTCGAGACTCGCATTCGCCCTGCTATCCAGGAGGATGGTGGTGACATTGAGTTCAGAGGTTTCGTCGACGGCCAGGTTCTTCTGAAGCTGCGCGGTGCTTGCAGGACTTGCGACTCGAGCACAGTCACCCTGAAGAACGGCATTGAGAGCATGCTTATGCATTATATCGGTTCGTATCTTCTGGCTACATTACCTTCGCATACCAGACTAACGGCAACACAGATGAGGTCCAAGGTGTCCAACAAGTACTGGATGAAGAGGAGGAGGTCGCTCTTCGCGAGTTCGCCAAGTTCGAGGAGAAGCTCAAGGCACAAAAGGGTCAGGTCCCTGCTGGCACAAGCGGCAAGGGTTCTCTCGACACTGTCGAGTAGATATACATATCTCTTGTCCCTTGATGCATAGCCAGGTTTATTGTACATTATGTCGGCGTTTTTCCATTTCTGTTTGCGAGGGATACCAAATTTGAACCACAACTTTTAGATCAAAAGTCACAATATACAGTAGAAAGATGATGCTACGACTAAGTTACTCGATCGAAGTTCAGTGGGTTCGCCGCGGACGACACCGACTCCGTGCAGGACCATCGCGAAGACTTCCGAGCTAGCAGATGGTTCTCCTGCATGTCAGCTTTCAGCTAACCTTGCCGGGATTTAGACAGAGCCTCAAAAGCTTCTTATACGACAACAACGTCATAATCGGCGAGAATAAGAGACGAAACAGCAGAGCAAATGACTAGTCGGTATGACGGAGATATGAATGTACTACAAGCGTTGTAAGGCGCTTAGTTAGTCAACAACAAAATGTTGGTGGTGGGGTAGACAAGTTTTCGGTGAATTGACAAGCCCAATTGAACAGTGCGTGTGGAGCCCAGCGGAGTCTCCAGATGGTTGAAATGGACTGGGGGAGATTGATCTGGAGACTCGACAGGTGTTTTCTCTGGTTCTTGAACGAGTTGGACACTTGTGTCGACAACTCAACATGAAACTGAGAGATGGCATATACTTTACGGACATTGGAAATTTTCAAAGGGGCTCAAGTAGCGTGTATAACAGGTGTGCAGCTTGAGCCGATGCTCCCAAAAGTTCGATAAGCACCAAATTGTTGGGCCAAGAACCGAGAAGTCCGTCCTCGCAGCACAGCGGGATGACGACTGTGGATTTATTTTGTGAGCGGTTGCATTTCCCGCGTTCCCCAGTGGACCTTCCTACACGGACGGTAGATCTGGAGTGTACCTGCTGTGGCTGCTGTCTCTTTTCTCCCTCCTCTCTTGTGCAGTCGCGTCCAGTTCCTGAAACCTGTCTCGGTTCGGCTGACTTTGCATTGTTTCTCTCTTTTAACTCGCATCCATCAGACTTACCACCTTAGCTAATTTCTACTGCCTTGCCTGTCGTTCTCTGCCCAGCTTAACTTTCACCACCATCATTAGCCAGCTCTGCGGCTCCTTGTCCATCCATTATCTAGAGGACACACCGCATCGCCATGGTCTACATCGACAACACAGAGGTTCTCTGTGAGGAGGAGAAGCGTCTGCAAGAGGACCGCGAGAGAACCAAGTACTGGAAGAAATGGGGTTCCTACGTCGCCGAGAGACAATGGGCCACCGGTATGTCCAACAGCGCCACTTCTGCCCATTGCACAATGCTGACTGACCATTGACAGTGAGAGAGGATTACTCGTAAGCTAGACAATGCTCATTCCAAAGCTTCGAACCGCCACTAACACACAGCCAGCGCTGATGGAGATGCCTGGAGTCGTAAGTCTTGCCCGTCAATCTTCCATTGATGCACGATTGAAGCTAACACCGACGACAGACTTCTCGCATGACATGTCCCGCTCGAGAGCCTACCGTTGGGGTGAGGATGGTATCGCTGGTGTCTCCGATACCCACGGTCTTCAAAACATTGCATTTGCTTTCTGGAACGGCAAAGAGTAGGCTTCACACAAAGTCCAACAAGATGTCCATCCACTGACACGGTTCATAGCCCCTTCCTCAAGGAGCGTCTGTTCGGTCTGTCCAACCCTCAGGGTGTTCACGGCGAGAGTATCAAGGAGTGCCATTTCCATCTCGACAACACCCCTACTGTAAGCGCCATTTCGAGCTCATTGACCGTCCTGTGCTGACCTCACGATCACAGCACTCGTACATGAAATTCCTTTACAAGTACCCTCAAGAGGAGTTCCCTTACGAGGAGCTCATCAAGGTGAATGCCAGCCGCAACAAGACTGAGCGCGAGTACAACCTCATCGATACCGATGCCTTCAAGGACGACAAGTACTGGGATATCTTCATTGAGACCGCAAAAGAGTCGGATGACCCAGATGAGCTCCTGTTCCGTGTGACAGCATACAACCGTGGTCCTGAGCCTGCCAAATTGCACATCATCCCTCACGTCTGGTTCCGCAACACCTGGGCCTGGGGTTACGACGATACCAAGCCCGAGAGCAAGCAAGTTAGTGAATTTGCTTGCGAGACCAACCACAAGAAGATTGGCAAGCGCTACTTCCAGTGCTCTCCTTCTCCCAATGTCGGTGGCCGTACTGAGGATATCCACCCCGAGTTCCTCTTCACCGACAACGACACCAACTTCAAGGCCATCTGGGGAGAGGACCAGAAGAACAAGACTGAGTTCACCAAGGATGCATTCCACAGACACATCGTCAACAAGGAGAAGGGCGCTGTCAACCCTGCCAAGTCAGGAACAAAGAGCGCAGCCTGGTATGCATTCGATCAGGGTGAGGGTGTTCCTCCTGGTGAGTGCGCCGTCGTTCGTTTCCGCATCTCCAAAAAGCTCGCCGAGGGCTACATCGATGAAGAGCTTTTCGACGACGTTATGGATCAGAGACTCCAAGAAGCCGACGAGTTCTACTACCGCATCAGCCCCATGCCCATGAACGACGATCTTCGCAACATCCAGCGCCAGGCTCTTTCAGGTATGATGTGGTGCAAACAGTACTACCACTTCATTTGGGATCAGTGGGCCAACGGTGATCCTGCCATGCCTCCACCCCCTCCTGGCAGAAAGGCCATTCGCAATGCTCAATGGAAGCACATGCACCTTGACGACATTCTGTCAATGCCCGATTCATGGGAGTATCCCTTCTTCGCCGCCTGGGATTCAGCCTTCCACTGTATCCCGCTTACCATGATTGATCCCGAATTCGCCAAGAAGCAGCTCGATCTGTTCACTCGTGAGTGGTACATGCACCCCAATGGACAGCTACCTGCCTACGAATGGAACTTCGGTGACGTCAACCCTCCTGTTCACGCCTGGGCTACCTTCAGAACTTTCAAGATGGAACGCAAGATGTACGGCCGCGAAGACATTGACTTCCTCGAGCGTGTCTTCCAGAAGCTGTTGCTCAACTTCACCTGGTGGGTCAACCGCAAGGATGCTGAAGGCAAGAACGTCTTTGAGGGTGGTTTCTTGGGTCTGGACAACATTGGTCTTTTCAACCGTTCCGACCCTCTGCCCACTGGTGGTGTTCTCGAGCAAGCCGATTCCACTGGTTGGATGGCTTTCTACTGCTTGTGCATGTTGAACATCTCTCTTGAACTCGCCAAGCACCGCCGCACCTACGAAGACATTGCCTCCAAGTTCTTCGAGCACTTCATCCTCATCAGTGACGCCATGCAGTACCGCGCCGGTAGTGAGGCAAAGTCCCTTTGGAACGAAGAAGACGGCTTCTACTACGACGCAATTTCATGGGGCGGTCCTTGGACTCAGCAGATGCCTGTCCGCTCGCTCGTCGGCCTGATCCCCATGTACGCCTGTTTGACACTTGAGCCACAGGTTATTAACAAGCTGCCTCAGTTCAAGAAGCGCATGGAATGGTTCATTGAGAACAAGCATGACGTTTTCGAGCGCAACATTGCCAGCATGAAGCGTCGTGGAAAGGACAACCGTCTTCTTCTGTCTTTGGTCAACGAGGACAGACTCAAGAAGATTTTGGAGCGCATGTTGGACGAGACCGAGTTCTTGTCAAAGGGCGGTATTCGTTCGTTGTCCAAGTACCACGAGGAGCACCCTTACTCCATGGATGTCAACGGCCAGCGCTTCTCAGTCGGCTACGTCCCTGGAGACTCGGACAGTGGTCTTTTCGGTGGAAACAGCAACTGGCGTGGTCCCGTTTGGATTGCCGTCAACTTCTTGCTTGTCGAGTCGCTGCTCCGCTTCTACATGTTCTACGGCAACACACTCAAGGTCGAGTGTCCTAAGGGTTCCGGCGATGAGATGCACCTTGGACATGTAGCCGAGGAGATTCAGCACCGTCTTCAACATCTCATGGCTCGTGGTGACGATGGAAGACGTGCCATCAACGATGGAAACGACATGCTGGACTTCGACCCTCACTGGAAGGACTACCTTTGGTTCTACGAATTCTTCGATGGTGACAGTGGTAGAGGTCTCGGTGCCAGTCATCAGTGCGGTTGGACTGGTCTTATGGCCAAGATGATCCACGACACTGGTGTCAACTGCCGCCTCCCTCAAACTCCCAGAACTCCTACTGCTGCTGCATCCCACTACTTCGATGATGTCTTCACTCGTCAACGCAGAAACTCTCAGACCAAGAAGCCTGGTGCTCTCCGTCGTTCGTCGACCAGCCGTAGCATTGGTGCCCGCAGCGACTACTGGAGGTCTGCCCCTCCTAGTGATGACGGCGAACATGAAGCCGAAGCTGAAGAGGGAGATGACACCAGGTCTAACGGACGTGCTTGGACTATCTACAAGGACGACGGTAATGCCGAAGCCCGCAACAAGGAGAGAGAAAGCGCAGATGATCACGTCCACAGATACGTGCAGGATCAGCTCAAGCGTCTGATGACACCGGACGGTCCTGAGAAGTACGAGGATGAAATTGAGTAAGGAGAGCATGGAAATGGCATTGTCAAATGTGGCGTTCGTCTGAGTGGGTTTATTATTTCTGAGTAAAGCATGAACGACAGGATTGCAATCCTGTAGTATAGAGCAAGACCTAGATACCTGATAGTATATAATGAACAGGATCCTACCTATTGAGATTTCTTCTTGTTGCATTCTGATGTGTGCTGGTGTCATGTCTTAGCGTTATCCTCGTAGGACAGTTGCACTTCATTTGTCCCCGAAGCTTTGCATCGCCGAGTCTCAAAATAAGTTAGCATCTGATCCTCGTGCCTTACCCATCTTCTCTGATCTTTCTACTGCCAATTGCTATTTTGCATGTTCTACTGACTCACTGTTGTTATCATCAAAGACTTGCCGGCATCGGGACACCCAACACGATAGAATCCACTTAAGACCAGGGTGATATCTCCAACCACACTATCTCCGCTCGGTGACCGTCGGCCGCCGGCAAAGCAGTATCCTGAACAGGCAGGTGCATCCGAGATAGATAGCCGGTGCGGGCAGTATATATCAATGCCTGTCTGTTCTTCCTCAGGCTTATCCAAATCGTTTTGTTTCTGTCTTTTTTGATCTTTGACTTGAATATCCCATCATTTTTTAAACACGAACAAGCACAAACTCTCTGGCTTTCAAAGAGCGGGAACGGCAGCCATGGCATCTCGAGCCTTACTCCAACGACTTTGCAGCCGTCGAGCTATATCGCTCTCACCTTGTGTATCTGCTCTATCTGCTTTGCATTATTCCAACGTCACCAGATCCAGTAACTGCAGCACAACCAACAAATCCACGCGAACCAAACATTGCAACACCTTCAACAGACACTTTTCATCTTCAGGACAATGGAACAAAGACTTGAGAAGTATGTCTGAAGAAGAAGTTAGTGGGTTGAAAGTTCAAGAAGAGAGGTTGATGAGGGATTTGCATGAGACTTGTGAGTGGGGGAAGGGGGAGAGGTGGGGGAGGTGAGTGATGATTTTCTTTGTCTTTTGTGGTTATATCATTGTGTTGCTGCAGTCGAGTTCCTGAGATGGGAGGCATGGTTTGTGACAGTGATTGAGAAGATGAAGAGTTTGTTGTGCAGAGAGATACTTATGATATATCTCTCGTTGGAAAGATGCTGCTGAGGCTGGCACTGCTTTTCGGAGATCAGACAAGTGGTCTACCTCGAGTGGCTCATTGGTCTCCAGAGGGAGCTACTTGTCCCTCGATCTCCTCAGTCTGTGCAGCAGTGTCCTTTGCCGAGGAGTAACCCAGCACTCTCAAGGCTTCTTCCCGAACATCCCTCGATTCGACCTCCATAATTATCGTCTTCTCCATCTCTGTCAACTTTTTTACAGCTCATCAACGGACGAACTCCAGGCTAACACCTTCTCTCAAAACAGCGCTCCCACTGAAACAGGCATGTCACGCCTCGCCCTCTCAGACACAGACAAACAAGCCCGCGACTGGTTCGCCTCGACCACAAAATCCCTCGGTTGCAAAGTAATCGTCGACGCCATGGGAAACCAATTCGCCATCCGCGAAGGCCTGCAACAAGGCCCTCCCACCGTCGCTGGCAGTCACTTAGATACCCAACCCACTGGAGGCAGATACGATGGAATCCTCGGCGTCACCGCTGGTATAGAAATGCTACGAACCCTTCACGACAATAACATCACGACTACGTTTCCTGTAGGTGTGGTCAACTGGACCAATGAAGAAGGAGCTAGGTTTCCTATCTCTATGGTTTCGTCGGGGGTTTGGGCGGGTGCGATATCTCTCGAACATGCCCATGGTCTTAAGGAAGTAGGTTCTGGCTCTGCAACCATGAAATCTGAACTCGAACGCATCGGCTACCTCGGCGATGTCGACTGTAGTCACGAAGCCGTTCCCCTAGCCGCACACTTCGAGTTACACATCGAACAAGGACCCATCCTCGAAGCCGAAAACCGCAAAGTAGGGATCGTACAAGGCGTTCAAGCTTACAAATGGTTTACGGTTTCTGTGCGTGGAGCAGATTGCCATACTGGAACAACTTCATTCTCTCATCGTGCTGATGCCCTCCTCGCTGCTTCTAAAATGATTGTTTACTCTCATCGTGCGGCGGCTAGAAAAGGAGCTTTGGCTTCTACTGGCATCTTGACTTTGAAACCTGGAAGTACGAACACGGTGCCTGGCTCTGTGGACTTTTCGCTGGATATAAGGTCTCCTGAGAATGAAATTGTCGCCCAGGTGGAAGAAGACTGCAAGAAAGCCTTTGCAGCCATTGCAGCGGGAGAAGACGTTGATGGCCTAGGCCTTGACTTCGTACCCTCCTCGAAATCGTGCTCTGTCACTTGGACTTTGGACACCGATTCTCCAGCTACAAAATTCCACCCTGACTGTATTTCCTGCGTTGAGGATGCAGCAACTTCCCTCTTCGGCCCCGACACCTCAAAGCTTACCAAACCTATGACTTCGGGAGCTGGACATGATAGTGTATACACCAGCAAACGCTGCCCAACAACTATGATTTTCGTGCCCAGTAGAGATGGGGTCTCGCATAATCCTGTTGAGTTTACGAAGCCTGAGGATTGTGCGATTGGAGCACAGGTTTTGATGCAGGCGGTTTTGAGATATGATCAGAAGAGAGCTGAGGGAAAGGTTTGAGGAGGTTGGAGGTGGCTTGGTGAGAGAAGGAGGAAGGCATGGGGTTAATGGGCTCTTTAGTATATGGAGGCAATAGTCCACCTTCAGAAGAGACAAGAGATGAATTAACATAGACTCTTCATCAATGTCTACAACCAGAGCAGCAGCTCTAGGAACACAGTAAAAAGTCTAGCGAGCAAGGCACCCTTTCTACTAACGCAAGTGATTACGATTTCTTGGAGCTTGTCCTTCTTGATAGGTTGGATGGATAAAGAATGAGATGATATCGCAAAGATAACGCCAGAACTCGCTCGCTAGTAAACAAAAAAGACAGAAAGCTGCAACCCTTTGCCCGGAAGAACCAACACAAATGAAAAAGTCATACTTTGATCAACCTCATGCCTTGGCCTTGCCTTTGCCTTCATACCCAACAGGCGCAGCTTCGAGCTCCGTCGGGACATCTTCGTCCTCTTCGTCGCTGCTCATGAATTCATCGTCTTCGTCGTCCCAGCCGTAAAAGGCGCGTGTGGGAGCTGCAGTAGGCTTGGTGACTTTAGCATCGTCATTGTCGCTGGATGCAGAGCTCGAAGCCTCTGGTTGAACATCACTACCTTCACCCTCGGCAGCCGAACTCTCGCTTCCAGTCCTCTCAAGCACAGGCGTATCTCCCTCGATCAAACCAGCCTTCATAGCCGCCAACACAGCATCCCTAGTCTTTTGCTCAGCCTCCTCTTTCGCCTCAACCCATTCTCCATCCAGCCTCGCATTCCTGTTTCCCTTCTTCAATTCTTCTTCTTTTCTTTCTGCTGCCTCCACAACAGCTTCCCAGCGTTTTCTTCTCTCTTCTTTCTCCTTCTTGTCCATTTCTGGTTTGAGCGCTAGGTATTCGGCCAGGTTTTTGGCTTCAGTGATTGTGCGAAGACGACGACCGTCCAGGTTGCGGTTGCTGCCGTTTAATTGTTCGGGATTGCGATTGCGGTTCTTGCGTGAGGACATGCGACCACCAGCGGCGCGAAGCTGGGAACCGAAACCACCTTTTCCACCGAGAAGGCGTGCGCTGAGGTGTAGAGGAAGAAATGATGAAGCGTCATTGTCGGAGAGAAGAGAGCTGAGTGAGGAGGTTGATGAAGTGTCGATGCGACGAGTTGTGGTCGAGAGAAAGAGGTTGTCGACGTGGGGTGGAAGGTGGGTGGACAAAAGTGATGTGAAGTTGGCGATGGATGTGTCGGCAGGCACGGGGAGTGACAGCGTGCGAGGCAGCGACAGTCCAGCGAAGGACGAGATCAAGACGTTGATTGTATCCATGGTTGAATGTGTGGTGTTGTGTAGAGAAAAGGTCGTGGTGGTGGCGCGTGAATCTGCGGACTTGGTCGCGAATGAGATGCGGAGATGGAAAGCCTAGCCTACTGAGCGTCTGACTCGAAAGTAGGGAAGGCGCCAAGCAAACACGAGTCAACGAAGCGAAGTCCGCCGCTCCACGACGCATTTTGGACATTTGCGCGCGCGCCCGACGAACGACTTTTTTCTCCCAAACCACGTCGGTACATCAACATCGCCCAAGCCCCACGTTGATCCAAATACATCAATCGTCAAGATGCTGATTCCCAAGGCCGACCGTAAGCTCATTCACGAGTACCTCTTCCGCGGTAGGTTATCCTTGGTCCACCCTTCATCCAGCTCTTGGAGTTCTTGCGCTTGCAGTATACTAATTTGGTTGCAGAGGGTGTTCTCGTCGCAAAGAAGGACTTCAACCAGCCCAAGCACGGCGACATTGACACCAAGAACCTCTATGTCATCAAGGCTTGCCAGTCCCTGACCTCCCGTGGTTACCTCAAGACCCAGTTCTCCTGGCAGTGGTACTACTACACGTACGTCTCTTTCCAACTCCTGCGACCAACCACCACCACCACCAAAACACATCCTAACAATCTTCTCACAGCCTCACCCCCGAGGGCCTTGACTACCTCCGCGAGTGGCTCCACCTCCCCGCCGAGATCGTCCCCCAGACCCACATCAAGCAGCAGCGCTCCCACGCTCCCCCCCGTGGCATGCTCGGTGGTGAGGACCGTCCCCGTGGCGGCCGTGGCGGTCCCCGTGGTGACCGTGAGCGTGGCGAGTACCGTCGCCGCGATGCTGGTGAGGGTAAGGAGGGTGCTGCCCCCGGCGAGTTCAACCCCCAGTTCCGTGGTGGCTTCGGCCGTGGCCGCGGTGCTGCCCCTCCCTCTTAAATGCGCACTTTCCAGTCGCAATCTGAGGATGGCAGTGTGAGGGTGGCTTGGGTTGGCGTTTTGTTCGAGAGGAAACGTCTACTTCTGGAGGAATCGCCGGATACGTTCATCTGTCTTGATATGGTCAAGGGCGAAAGTCTTGTCGACTGTTGGACGCGCGGATGATAACGAGTGGTTGTTGAAAGAGTGGGTTTCCCTCTCGTTATACGGTCAAAACACCATTTTGCAAGTCCTTCTTTGCAGAAAAAACAAAAATGAAATGAATACGGTCTTTCCTACGGGAAACCTTGGAAAAACAACATACTTCTTCTTCTCTTCTCTTGTGACCTCCTTTAATGCAGAGCAGCCCTCATGCCGTTCGAGTTTAAATTAGTGATGCTCGGTCTCGCCGATATGCCATATGTTCTCAGGCTTGATTGCCTCCAGTGCGATCAAGAGAGCTGCCCAAGTACGAAGGGACAAGTCTAGTCAGATTAAGCATTAAGTATATTATCTTCTTCTCATCATGATCATTTCCCATTATATCAACAATCCCTTTTCTTTCCATCATCATTGGAATACCCAAAACAACAGTACCTCCAAATTCTCTGAGCAGACCTTCATGTACATTTCCCCTTCCCAACACCATTTAATCACAGTCCAAAGACACTAGACCATCCAATACCACCCGCTGAACATCAGCACCAACACACAACAAGAAAAACCAAGACTCGCAAATCCAGAATCTCAAACCAGCAGACCAACTGTTACACCAAAAAGCACCAACATCCCCAGAATTGCAGAAGGACTACTATCCCTCACAGCAGCATTAATAGGCGGTGCAGCAGTGGTAGTAGCAGGTTTTACTGTATTTGTTGCCGTACCCGAGTGAGTCGTTGTCGACTGGCGGGTTGATGTTTGCGTAGTTGAGGAGGAAGTGATGCTGGATTCAGAGGCTGAAGAAGATGCTGAAGATGATGAGGAAGTAGATGTTGAGGTTGAAGTAGTGATCAAGGTCGTCAAAGTAGATGATTTCGTTGAAGTCGTTGAAAGTGTCGTTGTCGGGTTTGGTGCCGCAGAAGTCGAGGTCGCAGAAGTGGCAGACAACGAAATCAAACTTCCTCCACTAGACAACAACGTCACGGTTTGTTGTCCACTAACCACAATCGTAGATGCTGTGATTGTTGTCTGTGGTTGTCCACTACTCTGCAATCCTCCAGAACTGGTCGCCGACGTTGAAGCAGAAGTACTCCCACTCCCGACCACCGAAGTCCTCGTGGTGAAGTCAAAAGAATACGTCGTCTTTGGCAACAAACTGCTAGGAAACGTCGCCAACGCAGACGAAAGCACAGAAACCGCATTAGTAGTTTGTACTGGCTCTTGACTAGCAGTGGCAGTAGCAGGACATCCAGCAATGCTTTCTGCGCAAGAAGTAATGGTAGTGTAGTCTGTAGTGCCTGTAGTTGCGATAGGGATGACTACTGCTAGCGTTGAGGATGGTGGGATTTGTATTGTTGCTGTCAAGGCGAGGGGAGTTAGTATCAAAGTTCTTTTGATAGAGGGAGTAGGTGATGAAGTAAGTGAGTAGGAGATCCAGGCAAAAGGAAAGAGATGCATTACCAGTAACATTTTCCTGTGCTGAAACCATCGCCGCCAATCCAGCAAATAGCAACCCAGTCTTCATGATTAAGATATCAGATATATATTAGTCGTCGAGTATATGCAAAACGAAGAACAAAGCTGTTTCGCAACGAAGAAAAGACGGTACAAACGGTAAGCAAAAACGAAGATTGCAAGGATAAAACGTGGGGAGAGGTGTAAAGATGATATCGCAGGAAAGAGGCAGTGTAGGTGGTGGGTTTGAGATGGCTGGGAATGGAAAAAAGGTGGATCTTTGAGCCTTTTGAGGTGGCTGGGTAGGAGAAGTGAGAGACAGAAAGCGAGACAAGACTTGAAAGACTTGACTCTGAATGAGAGACATGATTCCGCTATACCTTTGTACGAGTCTAATAGGGTTGACGTTCTTTGTGTTACCGATGTGTCATTTGCAGGATTGGTTTACTTTCATCGCTGAGACAGGATAGTCTTGTACGAGTATGGAAGACATCTCTAGTCGCACAACAATAAGCATGAGCGACTTCTACCATGAGCACGCAAATGTAACCTTCTTTAGTCTCGATGTCTTCAGGAAACCACAAGGATGGTGTCTACTATCACATAGGATCAAAATGTGTACGAGAACCGTGCTCGCTGGCAAGCTGAGTCGGTGTGAGGTTGGAGAGTGGGGCGCGTGGCTGGCAAAGTCGCATCGACCACACTGCCTTTTTTTTTGCCAGCGTAAAGCGAAGCAAGATCTACAAGCGAACGTGCTGGGTAGCGTGTTGTGCAATGTGACAGTAAACAGTAATTAATCGCTGAAGGACGTTCCTGTGACACAGGTATAGATGAGACAGGACGAGATTCTTGATTCAGGATTTCTACGAGTACTTCTACACAAAACTTGACGTAGCATGGAAACAATGTGGTGAAAGCGTTTCACGAAGGTTGATGGCACTTGTGCAGCATCTGCAACAGACAGGATTCAGAGGACATGCGAGCAGCCACATGTGCTGACTTGTACCTCATCCATGGTAGAAGAACTTAGACCTGTCTTGTTCAAGTTAGCATTTGATGCAGACGATCAACAAAGGAACAAAGTGTAAGGTAAGGTATGATTGTCAGACAGCAGTTGGACAACAAGTATATGATCGACATAGTGATTTCCGATCAGGTCTGTGAGATATTGCTTTTTCATCATGATAGTGGGAGAGAAGAAAGAAAAGTGAGAGCTTACCATACTAGTCGTTACCTATGCGCAAGCATCTCTTGATTTTGAGACGCCAGGCATAGGCGAACAAGGAACTCAATCCTTTCTGGCTCTTTTGAAGAAGGCTGTCATGCTTTGCTGTTTGTCATCATGTTGGGCTCGCCCGATACCACCTCGTTGTCGCTTCAAGCCTTGCAGATGCTGCTGTCCATCGACGACAAGAATGGTTGTGCGGTAGCCTTCGAGCAGTCTAGGACCGTCTTCCTCAATTGGTCCAGGCTCAATAGCGGTTTTCGTGACACTTACTCTGCCAATAACGTCGAGCTGATCTGTCGGCATCTCTGCTTCAGATGATTCTGTCACCAGGTGAGGAGGTGAAGTGACGATTGGACTTCTCGGAGATGGCACATCAGTCGTGGTTGCCTGCTCGTCCAGAGAGGGAGTCATAGGAGGCAGAACAATGTCCAGCTCCGGGCTGCTTTGAGGGTCTAGGCGTTCGATTGACAGTTCGAGGAAGCCTGTATTGCTCCATCCGCCCAGGTGAGCAAGAACAACTTGACCTCGAGCTGCGATGACCTCACGAGAGACTTTCACACTCTTTGGACCAAGACGGAGCAGCAATCTTCGCCAAAGGCTTGACAACAAGATGCCATGGGACACAACCGCAACGATATGCTCAGCGGCACCACCAAAGTCGGCTTCATCATCCAAGATGGGCAACAGATGGTCGTCCAAGAATAAGTCTGCGCGGACACCAAGATTGTCCTTGGACTCAACATCAACAAAGCCTGGCTCTTTCTTGTGCTCTTCCTGATCTGGACCCTTGCGCACACGGTTGGTCTTGCCCTCGTAGTAGCCAAAGTCGCGCTCGATCAAGGAGTCGACAGTGGTTATGTTCAGGTCCTTGTTGGATTGCTTTGAGGCCAAGATGGTAGCTGTCTTGTGGGCGCGTTGCAGCGTTGAAGAGAAGATGCGGGTCAGCGGTGGTCTGTTATCTGCCAGAAAGTCGCTCAGGCGACGAGCTTGTTCAGCGCCATGATTGGTAAGGGCTGAATCTCTTCTGCCGGCACTGTCGACGTCAATCAGAAAGGTCCACCGTTTGCGAACAGGAGAATTGAACTCACAGTATGCCGGCTACATTGTCAACCGTCTCACCATGGCGGATCAAGAAGAGGCGCATTGAGCATGCTCGGGTCGATGGCCATGTGTGATGAGGAGGGAGAGTTGACGAGCGACGGCCGTGTTTGATCAAATCCCTGTGGCCCGAGTGTCCACCTCCATCGGAGCTTGCCATTCTTCAACCAACCTCATCTGCTTGCAGATCAGAAAACAACATGCTTGTTGTCTTGTTATGCTACGACTTACCCTCCTCGTGGAAGCTACGATGAATTCAACATCAATCGTACATCTTGTCAATCCAAATCTCACCACCAAATGTCCTTGTCGACCATTTCCAGGTACAGTAATATGGTCATCTGTGTGTCTCTGGTTCTAGTCGAGCAACGATTCGATCTTCTTCCTTATTCCCAGTGTGGCTGAGGTCTTCTTCACACAGATGGATAGGCATGTAGGTAAGCTCGCCTGATATCTCTACCCATGCATTGATCAAGATTTCCCAAGAACCGGCAATCATCGAAAGGTTATTTATGTATAAACAGCGGCTTCTTCACATCAATGGTCATCAGCTCTACATCGTTCGCAAATATTCATGCATCGCCTATCTCGTCCACGAGGCTGCAACTTGTCTTGCACACTTTGTTCATTTTCTCCTCCTAAAGTTGTGTCTTCTCAGAGTATTTCCCCGGCTGCTTTCGAAGGATCAACCTCGCTTTCCAGCTAGATTCATTCTCGAAAGCTCTGGAAGTTCTGAAAGTCTTTCCTTCCAGACATTGGGCTCTTCGGCTTCTTCGATAGTCTCTCCCATTGCAGTATCACACGTACATAAACTCTGTGTTCAAATTCAACTGTTTCCGACGACTATGCAGCTCGGGGATAAACAACTTTCAAGCACGCCGACCTCATCAAATTGCCGTCGACTACCTTTGGGCAATTCGATCAATCACACCTCTTTCGAAGGCTGATCAACCTTTCACTCAAGTCTGCCTTCTTCAACTAGCTCTGACTATTTTGAACAACTCGTCTCCTTCTACCATCTCCACCTTCTGCAACCATCTCTATAATCTTCGGCCGTCTTCGTCGTGTGGCCACTTCCACCATCTCTAATTACTTCTACTTCTTGGGAATTTTCTGGCTCCTTCAGCTGTTTTCCTCCTCGCCTTCTTCGCTTTCAATCCCTCCGTTACGGTTTCAACCAGCTTGCACTTTCGCCTCTTTACAGATTCTGCATTGATTAGGTCACTCACCTTCCACTTTCGCACAAACCACTTTTCGGCGTCATTCGTCAAACCTTGGAAGCAATTCTCCACTACAAATTCTTATCTCCAAGACTGGTCGTACCAGCGCGAAGCAGTATCGGCTCAGGGCTAGGCCGATCGTGAAAGTTCACCCATGTCCTTTCAACTCACTTCACTTACTTCCGACATTCATATCACTACCTCCTGCCCACCCTCATCTGTCATTGAACTTTACAACACAACTCTTCCTTGGCCACAAAAGTCTCTCTCTACTTGGGGTACGCGTGCCATATCTTGAATGACCAAGTCCACAGCTCAGTAAGACCATCCAACTCACTTCACTACAATCCCCCTGGCTAAGACTTATCGATAGTTCCAACTATGCAAGACAAAATGATGCTTGACCCTATGGCAACCCAGCACGTCCCGTCTCTGCCACCAGCAAACCCAGCACCGATAGACATTCACTTGGATGATGACATGATTACCGACACCAACTCAGCTTCGGACGCAACCATGAGTGCTTCAAAGACAGCTACATCCCCTGCCCCTATGTCAGTTGGATCGACCTACGTCAAGACGCAGACGCACGTTCAGACACCTGAGAGTGCTGTCGAGATCAATCAACCTCCTATCCCAAGCCCAGCAGAAATTCAATCAACGTCTAACGAGGTGAAAATAGAGATCGATGGAGACGAGTCAGAAGCAAATGCCAACCCCGAGTCCGTCGAAAAAACCAATTCAGCCTTTCCAACACCACCGAAAGATCCAGAACTCAGTCATATCACGCCGACGCCCGCCCACGATACGACTTCGGAAGACGGTACAGAAAAGGACAATGGCGGCGGTACGGATGCGAGAGCCACTGTCACTCAGAGCACAAAGATCTCCACAGAAAACGAGGTTGAAAGCTCCAAGCCTCAGGTGGCCGAAGTAGAAGAGGCGGAAGCTACGAAGACCGAGTCCAGCATTGAGAGTTCTCCAGATCAAGAGCCCAAATTGTCCAACACCGAGGCTACTGATTCTATGGATCTGGATGTTGTTGGCAAACCTGGTGGCAAAGTCAAGAACGCTTTTTCGCATGATCATGATCCCAACACACCCGCTGAAGAAGTCACTCATGCACAAGGTGGTTCTGACCACCAGCAAATTGCTACCAAAAATGTCAGTCCGGTAGATGCGCCTCTTCATACCCCTGAGCCGATCTACGGTGCTAGTCAGTCTGATGACATGACTGCACAAGTAACAAGATTGCATGTCACATATGACTCGTCTGGAGAGAGTCGAGCCTCAGAAAGAGAAGAAGACAAGATGGAAGATGATACTGTGTCAGGCACGCAAGACGAACACACTTCTTCCGATTGCGAGAAGGTTATGGCTCCAGAGCCAGTCGTCGTGGACAACAATTCAACAGCCACGACTCCTGAGTCAGCAGAGAACGAAGAAGAAGGAAAAATCTTACCACCCAAACCTCAAGGTTCCTTATTCGGTGGTCCAGATGGCAAGCAAGTTCTGCCTTCTCCAGAGCCTCCTAAGACTACGAAGGTCGACTCGATTGCAGAAACCGAGACGCCTAAAGGATTCGAGGAGTTTTTTGAAGATGGTATGACTGGCATCTCAATGCAATCTCAGAGCTTGATGGATCAAGCTTGGACTTTGAACACTGGACCATTCACTTTCGAAACAAGCAATGCAGAGGAAGACGCTGAGCCCGATATCAACAAAGACATTGAGATAGAGGCAGTGCTTGGTGCTCAGCGAGAGGCCTCGAGTTCATCACCCAGTTACGATGGCGATGCGAAGCCTGATATAAGCCGGCACCCCAGCAACACGTCTTCAAGTTACTCTCACACGACATCATCAACCAACTCACAGCTACCACACAAGATCAGTGCTACGCAACACGAAGACATGGAAGAACTGTTCAGCTCAGCCGAAAAATACTCACAAGGAGCTGAAGCTAAGGATTTCTCCGCAGATTACTTTAACCTCGAGGAGACATCCAGTGATATCGCTCAGCCTGATACTGATCAGCCTGTGCTAGAAACGGTCGAACAGGAGCAGCTTTGCAATTGCGAAGTCGAATCCCCTTGTTCACATTGCATAATTCGAGAGCACAACCTACGTCCCGGTCCCAGAAAAGATGGCTACGTTCACTTCGGTAATCAGATCCCAGATACCGACAAATCAGGAGACTACACAGACGACCGCAAATACTTCCTGTCGACACAACAAGTTAGCCGGGAAGATCGAGATGATGACGAGAACACAATCGGCGATGAAGAAGCACAAGACTATGCCATAAGTCTCGGTCTAATCTCTGACAACATTGACTTGATAGGCAGATTCAGCAATACAGTCCCGTTCAACAAGACTGACCCTCTTATCAGAGACAAGAATCCATTCGATGAGGAGTCATCCTCAGACGAGTCAGAATCCAAGAAGAGCAGAAAGCGCAAGAAGAAAAACAAACCGACCAGACATGCCAGACAATTCAAGAGACCCAAGATCACCGACATTACTGACAATGAATCTGACACTCAACCTACACATCCCTTGTCAAAAGCCTCGAGACCCATCAAGAAGACCGCTACCAGGATCAGAGACAGTCCCGACGAATCCGACATACAATTTGCCCAACGCATGAGGGAAAGGTCCAACGCGCTCCCACATCTCTCCACCACCCTGGGAACACTTGCCGAATCACTTCGCAATCGCCAACCAGAATCAAGAGCCTCAAAACCCACCAATAAATCCCCATCCAAAGCGAAGAAAAAGACCACAACCACCTCCCTCTCCCCCCAACCCACCCTCACAATCACCCAAATGGTGCAACGCGTCGCAAAACCCCTGGTGACAAAACTCTCCTATCCCATCTCTTTCAACTGCCCCTCCGATTCCTGTTCCCTGTGCTCTTGTCCCTCCTACGCAATCATCGGCACTGGTTCCCCTCGCAGCATAAAGATTTACGATTTTGGACAGGGCAACAGGGAATTGGCTGATGCGGTGGCTGCTGGAAGAAAACAGACGATGCAGAGAAGGCCAGAGAGTACGAAGGTGTGCTTGGTGTGCACGACTAAATATCTCAAGGTGTTGATGTGCAAGGTCCATGATGTGATGCCGTTGGACATCTCCACGGTCTTTGACACTTCGGACGCAGTCGCAAGAGCTACGAACAAGCAGTGCACCAAAGCCGAGTTGAACAATTGGTGCTCATTATGTCCGGCACCAGCTACCTATTCCTGCGACAAGAACTGTGGAGCAAAGTTTTGCGATACTTGTGCGCCCAAGGTATATGCAGAAGATGGAAACTTGACTGCTATGCTTGACCAAACACCAGACAAGGTTACTGCAGAGTACCCACACGGACTCAGAGCTGACGTTGAATTGCTCAGGAAGGGAGGAGAGTTGGAGAAGTTCTTGGCTAGAATGGCTAGCGGTGCTGGAAGAAACAGAGGTTAGGCGGGGAGGTGCTGATGGCAGGGAGTGAGAGAAGAAAGGTATTGGGAAGAGATTCCAACTTACTACAGCGACGAAGTCAACATCGCGAACAAGGTTTCTTCGTTCTCTGGTTTCAAGATCGAGAGGACCGTCGGTCGGAAGGCGGAGAAGCGGACAGGCGAGAAGAAAGAAGATATCTACCATATTTTGAAGTTGGAAGATTGCAGGCCGCGGAACGACGCTGGATCATTCTTTTGCAGCAGTTTCGACAGGTAGCTGGTCATATTCGATGATTTACTTCATTTACTCTTCTTCTCTCGTGCATGCCCTCTGCGATGTAAGTACACTATAACGATGCAAGAATGTATTTGTGAAACAAAAATCGATCACACAGAGACTACCTCACACGTTCTCTCTGGACAAACTCTAATCTGCAACAAGACTCTGCAGTGCTGCAGGCAAGCAAGGGAAACTCGGGACACGAAGAACAGCCGCATTGAAGGGTAGCTATGTAGGATTGCTGTGACTAATAGCTGCCAGAAGCTGCTCCAATCTGCAATAACCACTATCACCATCCTCTTACCCCACCGAATCCTGGCGACACAAAACGCGGATCCCTCGACTCTGGTCTCACATCAATCTGTTCTGAGTATTTACTTGCTGTCTTGTGCGACACTCTTCCTGTAGTTCTCGAATGTCTAGATGGATCCTGGGAAGCGTACGAGCGTGATTTTGATCTCAATGAAGGCTCCACAGGCACCAGGAGGTTTGAGTTGTAAGGGTCGCGTTCGAGAACAACTGCAGGTCCGACAGAGGGAGGTGGCGCTGATCGACCAGGTTTTGAAGACCTCACTTTGGATGGTCCAGTCGATGCTTCTTCTGATACACGCGATAGATGGTTGCTACCTCGTGGGTATCTCCTGGGCTCTGTCCAATCTCGACTCTCGATTGAGCTGCCACCTGGCAGCCTTTCACTGCCAGAGCGTATATGAGAGGAGCTGGTTGCATTACGAGGAGGCAAGCGTGGACTTTCCTGCAGGTATCGTCTCAGTGGTCTATTGTACGGGATCATGCGGACTCCAGAACCGGGGTCTGACGACTCGGAGGCTTGTTGATCGGCGAGCTGAGCAATCATGGGAATGGGACGCTCTTCCACACTCCCGCTGACCTGAGTAGATGGTGGTGAAGGGTCTTCGTCGTCGTTGCTACGATAGCGTGCGAAAGGTTTGCCATCATCGTTTGTCATCAGGAATTCAAGTTCCTCGATTTGAGCATCGATGACTTTGACGCGTTGTCTGTTCGCTGCAGATAGTCGGATAACAGGGCTCGTGTAGATCTTGCGCAGACGCTTCAAGCGATTTAACCGGCATTGTGGGTTGGTCTCCAAGATGAGTTGATCAATGAGACTCCTGGAGTAATGATTCTCAACGAGGCGCATGAACCAGGTAGAATGTGGCGCTAACGGAGTCACTTGAGAGGCTCTAGAGTGATGATCAGCATCTGTATCAACGCTAATATGTAGCAATAGTAAGATGACTTACATGCTCCCCATCTCACTTTGGCGACCACTGGTGGACTCAACATACGCCGCCCTAAATTCTTGCAGTGCAGGATCGGGAGCGACAACAGGAATTGGCTGCGTTCTGGGGACCACGGGTATACCAGATGCGGTCATGTAGTGTGGTTCGTCTGGCTGTGTATTCCGGTGAAGGGCATCTAATTGTATACTCCTGCTATCCGTAGGCACAGCTTGCCTTGAAGGTCTCGAAGTGTTGCCGCCCATCCTGTATCAAAATGAGACGGTCTTGTATCCTGTTGGCGGTATGAATATGCTGGCTGTATGAATACTTTGTGTCGATGGCTGCTTAGGAAATAGGATGAGTGGCCAGGATTACGAAGCGATCGCACATCCTGAGATTCGACGAGGCAGCGTCGCCATGCGTGCTTTCCTCTTGTGTCGTGATTCGGCTTTCGAATGATTCGTTACTTCCTTGTTCGAGGACATGTGTGTTCAGGCCTGTTGTTTGACAGAGATTTGTTGAGTGGGAATACGCTCCAACATTTCAGCTCCAAAAGCTGCCTCGAGCCTGCCCTGGTTGGATGAAGTTGCTGCGAACAATTTGTCAGCCAAAAGAAGTACCAATCTATAATATCACCTCGGTAAACAACAGAACACCCTCGCTGATTGTTGAGAGTTTGTGAATAGCTGCGATGCTTCCCTGCTAGCACAAAACAAACCATTTGACAGCTCTTTTCTGTTGGACTACCGTATCTTGTTGCGCATGATACCTGTTCTTCCCAAGACCCGGTTCAAATGCAGGATACTCTGAGGGACTATCTTCGCCTCCAACACACGTGTGTGTGAGTTATGACTTGTTCGTGACGAAGGCGAGTGTGCAGTGCTAGAATCTGCAGAGATAATGCAGAGCTCAAGTGCTTTGGAAATCGATCGTGCTGGGCCAGTATGTTGAATTCTGACATTGCTACTGATAAGGTCCGCCTTCGTTGCCACGGACGGTTGTCTATCGACTCGCTTCAGAGTGATTATGGAAAGTCGTCAGGGTGCTACGGTAGGTTATACAGACTTGGTGCCGTCCCACAAGCTTACCCAACCACTCTTATCGGCGTTATCGCTTGGAATGTCATTCTGATGGGCTCTTTGTTGAGATAAAAAGAGCTCAATGCTGCGAAATGAATCTTGCAACATCACCACTGCAAGAAAGCTCTGAGTTTCATCTGAACAGAATCAGTCTGCGTGCCTTTCAACGGCCAGAATCTCGGAGACAGCAAGCGTGAGGATGAGGGGAGTCATGGCAGGCACACGACCTCGTGCAAGCACGTTGAAAGCAAGTGAATTTACGGTCAGTCGTTTTTTCCCTTCAAACATGGACACGTGCCGTTTTTGGGTACCGTCTGCTGCAACCGAGGACGAATCTGCGCTCTGGAGACTGGACAGAAAGGGAGTCAAGGAACAAATCAACCGCTGTCGAGACGTCGCCGAGAAGACCCGAGGTTGGCCGTATTGGCGTCATGCACTCGCACCTAGATGACGGCCTTAATTTCTCCTCTCCTGACCCTTGAGGGGCAACATCTGGTGTTTGGTCTGTCCCAAAAGTCACACTCTCCAACTGCATTCCACCTCACGCCACGTTGGACGTTGTTATTGTTTCTCGAATGCCACTCGATTGCGTATAGCTATTGCAAACCGCGGAGCAAATCGGCGCGGGGGAGAAGAACAACCCCGCCATCTCCATCTATTATTACGGAAACTACCAATCTAGCGGTCTCGTCACGCGCGGAACTGTAGCTGCTGCAAAAGTTCGCAGCTTTCTCCTAGAGTCAGAAACCGCTTACTGTCCTCTTGTTTCTCTCATCTTATCCTCCCTCAACGAACAACAACCAGTCTATCTGCTCGCTTTCAAGCTGCTGCAAGCCGCTGACTCGAAACATCATCACGACAAACCATTGACTGCTGGATTCTCCCTCCCACATATCTCTCTATTGATAAACCTTCTCCAATTCGTCAACCATGGCTCTGGATCAGATCCCCCCGGAGACGACTCAGCAGTACAAGCCCGAGATGCGCAAAGTGTCTGAAGGACAGATGATGCGTCCAAACAGGAAGACTAATGGTAGCGGCGTCCAGGCTCCCGAAACCAGGATTTGTGTTGTTATGGTTGGTCTGCCCGCCAGAGGAAAGAGTCTGATAGCACAAAAAGGTATTGTAACCAGAAACAACTCATGTAACTCATCACACTAACCTCTTCGCAGTCGTCCGCTACCTTCGCTGGCTCTCAGTCGACGCAAAGACCTTCAACGTAGGCCAATACCGCCGCACCACCACTCCCAATCCCTCCGCCGAATTCTTCGACACAAGCAATGCAGAGGGCGAAAGAATGCGTAAAGCTGCTGCCGAAGCTGCTGTTACAGACATGATTAGATGGTTCGACAATGGCGAGGGTCTTGTTGCAATTCTCGATGCCACCAACTCGACGAAAGCAAGAAGACGCTGGATACAAGATCGCTGCGTCGCCGCCAACATACAGACCATGTTTGTGGAGTCAAAATGTGATGACGAAGAACTCGTCATGTCCAACATCAAGGAGGTCAAGACCACATCGCCCGACTACGTAGGCCAGGATCCCGAGGTTGCTGCACAAGACTTTTTGAAGAGAATCAGGAACTATGAGAAGGTGTACGAGACATTAGACGAGGACGAGGCCGACCTCACATACTGCAAGTTGATCGACGTTGGACACCAAGTTATTATCAACAAGATTCAGGACTACCTCCAGTCCAGAGTGGTCTACTATCTGATGAACTTGCACATTAAACCGCGGTCCATTTGGCTGTCACGAGTGAGTTGCTTCATACCATGACCCGTTTACGCTGCAATCATGCTAACCTTTGCAGCACGGTGAATCCGAGTACAATCTGTCAGGCAAAATCGGTGGCGATGCCAACATTAGCGAAAGAGGACAGATGTATGCCAAGAAACTACCAGAAATGGTAAGGCAATCTGCTGGAGACCTTCAGCTCACAGTTTGGACCTCGACACTGAAGAGAACCATTCAAACCTCGAGATACCTACCTTTCGAGAAGCTTTCATGGAAGGCACTGGACGAACTAGATTCTGGTGTTTGCGACAGCTTGACATATGCAGAGATTGCAGAACGGTTTCCAGAAGATTTTAAGGCTCGTGATGACGACAAGTACAACTACCGCTACTTGGGTGGTGAGAGCTACAGAGATGTGGTCATTCGTCTCGAGCCTATCATCATGGAACTGGAACGCAGCGAGAACATTCTCATTGTAACTCACCAAGCAGTGCTGAGATGTATCTACGCTTACTTCATGGGCGTTGATCAGGCGAAGAGTCCTTGGATGGAGGTTCCTCTACACACGCTGATCAAGCTTTCGCCCAGAGCATACGGCACACAGGAGGAGAGATACTCAGCCAAGATTCCTGCAGTGAGCACCTGGCGTGGCAAGGGATCAAAGGCCCAGCATGAAACTCCTGCTCCTGGTGAAGGGACGGTCGATGTCGAAGCGAATGGAAAGCCCCCCAAATAGACGACTTTGAGGCGGAAATGGCGTTGCGGAGGCGGAGGTGAATGCAGGCACCGGCTCTTCTTTCCGCAAACAGAGACAGCACAGCGTGGACAAGACAGACAACGCATAGAAGTCTGATGCCTGGACACTCATTGTATTCGTATAGCATAAACAAATGACAACTGCCTTGTCCCGTATGGTCAGCGTGCATTTAAGTACTGTTGTAGACGTTTGCAGGATCCACTGCTTTATGATTAGATTTATTCGATGCCAGTCGACAATTTTTGCAGAGGCTGAAAGCGTATGAAATCTCTGGAGAGTGATGCAAGACAGAAGTATACCAAATAGTACTGTTTTGTTTAAATCGTCCTTCCACGAAGAATGAGCTGCTTGGTCTGATATTGGAATAAATTAAGAATCTGACGTGGTTGGCCCGTGACAGGTTGACAGCAGCGGCGATTCCCGCGGCCGAATGATGGTATCAAGTTGAAGCTCCATTCAGACGGACAAGGAAGGCACTTTGGACCTTCGAAAGTTTCACTCACGCTCATCGTGAATTCCGCAACACAACAGGATCTCTGAAGCGCTGCACCCGCCGAAGGATCTGACAATTCCCCTCCACACGAATCATCACCCAACTGCACCGTCGATAAAATCCACGACGCTTCCACCAGCGAGATTCCAGTCGAGCCGCATCTGACCGAGCAAATTGTAGCCGACGTGACGTTTCTTCTTCACGCCCTTCCATCTGCAGCTGCCCGCGCATCTGTTTGCATTACTCGTTTGACATCAACTCACGCTTACCCGCCCACCTTCACTTCTTCTGGTCCTTTGCCGCCTCAGCAACATTCTCCGAGCATCGGATCAGTCGCAACCATACACAGACACAGCACATAATCTGGTGAAGCGCAGGACTTGCGCTCGTGTCTCGGCACGCCATGGGGAGGATCAAGAAGACCGCCACCGAGCGTCATGAGGCGACTATCGTGAGTTCAACCTTTCCCGTTCTCTTAGCTGTTCCTACTGACCTTTGCCGCAGTCTCCTTACATTACCAATTTCATCAAGACTTTGGTCGAGCTACCTCTGCACAAGGTGCCCGAACACATCGCTTCATTCCCACACAATTGGCCGTTCCCCAGAGGCGACCTATATCACTGGATCGCTCCGTTAAATCGCTTCGACCGCATTCTTGAGGGTTTCACTACCGTGTATGCTTTGGACAAGGGCCCACAGACACAGCCATTCGAGCTACGGCTATTACAGAAGGGCGACGCTGAGGATGGTTCAGTGACCGAGGTGTCGGTGCAAGAGCTCGAGGCATGCGGATATTCAGCAGATGGAGATCGCGAGCTCGTAGAGAGCATCCTCAACTTTACTCGTGTCCTGCTTGAACGTTGTGGCAATCGCAGTCTGTATGCTAGCAGCGCACATCTCAACCACCTACTCAACACTGTCTCTCTCAGCCTGCTCAAGATCACTCTCCGTGTTAGTTTGCGCCTGGCCCAAAGATACCACACATCGCGAATGCGCGTTGCATCGCCACACTCACTCAACGCTCTACTAGCTGGCCATTACAGCATCAACCTAGACCGCATCCAGAAACTCGCCAATCCTTTTCCCAAGAAGCCCGTGGCTACACCCATCTTCGGCCAAACTCCGTCCAAGAACAAGGAGAAGGAGGATGTTATCAAGCCTGGTGTCAATACCTCCGATATTGAGTCTTTGGTCAAGGCCAAGGATGTTCCACTGTCATACAAGGAAGAGCTTTCCAGCGTACACTTGACCTACTACGACAAGACTGATGCATCTGCACCTGCATCATCTGTCGAGGCTCGAGCCCCTAACACACCTGGTTCGCCCATGCCCCCAGTCACACCTACTCCTGTCCGCCGTACGTCAAACCTAGGCCCCGGCTCAGCTCGCAGTGAACGTATCGGCACCAATACAGACGCCCCCGAAACACCAGTACGACCGCAGCAATTGGAGAACCCTTCAAGCGGGCCTAAGATCTTCGAGCTTTCTTCGGCTCAAATCTCTAAAGCCGAGCCTTGGAAGGTCATGGAGGAGAACGTCGCAAAGGTACCTGAAGACAACCAGTTTGATCTGCTTCAAAGAGTTCGTGTGGCTTCTGCATTCCAAACATCCAAGGCAGCTGTTCATGATCTGGTCGCTATCAGGATTCTGGCCATCTCCAACTTGTCATATGTCTACGGCGAAACTACCTTCCATCAACGCATCGGTCAGCCAGATTCTGAGGAGCCTCGTCGAACTCAACTGGCTCAGCAACTTACAGATATGCTTCAGCCTCCCAGCTCTGATCAGGAAGAGATTTCTCGTGAGATGATGGTGATTGTTATTCAAGCTCTCGAGGCTCTGGCCAAATGCAAATCCAAGACCACTGAGATCGCCAATGCTCTCAACATCACTGTCAGCCATGGCGTCCTCTTCTATGTTCTCAGAAAGATTCTTGCTACTCTTGGTGATGAAGAAGCCTCTGGCCAAGACCACGAATGGTGCAAGGATGTCTTTGATCTGGTCATGACTCTCACTCCAGCAGCACCTCACCCACAACGTAACGCGGACGTCCTCGTGGCTGCTGGCTTTGTTGGCATTCTGGTCGATATCCTTAATCTGCGCACAAAGCAAGCAGAGATTTACTTCCCTATTGCGCTTGGCTTCTTCGATAGCTTCATCCACAATGGGGTCAGAGATGCATTCCAGGCCATTGTTAACGCCAAAGGCTTGGACGTCCTCGCTGATCTTACTGCTTTCGAAGTCCAACGTTCGCTCGAGGCTGCTCAAAAACAACAAGGTTTACCTGCTGAGTACAAGACCAAGATTACCGATTTTCAAATCCCTTTCAACTCACAGCAGACTCTGCGCCAGCTTCTGAAGTTTGTCGCTCACATGTATCATCACAATGTTGGCACGGACGATCGCCTGCTACGTAATTTTGTCGACTCGCCTCAACTTCTTGGTGCGCTTCGCATCATCTTCGATAATGCGCCTACCTTTGGTTCGAATGTATGGAGCGGAGCTATGAACATCCTCAGCAGCTTCATCCACAATGAGCCCACCAGTTACCAGGTCATTGCTGAAGCAGGATTGAGCAAGGGCTTCCTCGAAGCTGTTACTCAGCAGTCGATCACTGTCTCTGATGTGATCGTCGAGAATGCTGAGAACGAAGATACGGAGATATCTGAGGACAAGCCTGACGAAGAAATGGCCCAAAAGCCCACTGTACCGCAGGTCCCAAGCAAGAACGCCCCTTCCGGAGAGACATCCAAGGCATCGGGCATTTTGCCTGTCGGAGAGACCATGCGTGAAATCCCTACAGCGTTCGGTGCCATTTGTCTCAACGAGAATGGCATGCGCATGTTCCAGGCGTCCCAAGCTTTGGAGAAGTTCCTTGAGATCTTTGAGAGCCCCGAGCATGTCAAGGCTATGGAGGAAGACGCTGAGGTTCCTCAGTACATCGGTACCGCGTTCGATGAGCTGGTCCGCCATCATCCTCAACTCAAGGAAAGAACATCCAATGCCGTCGTCGGCATGGTTCGCAATGTCATGGCTATCTGTCAACGTCGCGCGGAGAATAAGGGTGTCGGTGCCAAATTGTGGCTGCCTGGCGACAAAGAGTTGCACGTAGCAGGAGGACGTGATGCTTTGCGCGGCATGTCTGATACACAAGTCGAGAACGCTTTTGATGCCGATGACACCAATTTCTACGGTCGCGCCGAGGACACATCGGCAATTACAGAGCCTGAGCTTGAGAGCGATACCCTTGTCAAAGGCCGTGGTGGTGGTCAGTCTAGCTCGGACTTTATCGCCATGGTTTGCAGATTCCTCGGTGGCTTCTTGAGTAATCACAGCATGGCAACAGCTTTCTGTGAGGCGGCAGGTGCTGAGATCTTGCTGGACATGGCCACTGCTGCTTGCAACCCATACAACTTCCATGAGACTCTTGCCCAGCAGGAGCTCATTAGAGTTCTTCAACAACTGGTTGAGCACAAGGCTCATCTCATTCTTCCTTCTCTTGCTCGACGTACACAACTAGCTTATTTCCAGCTGAGGCCACTGGCCGAGCATGAGCCTGGCAAGACCTACTTCAAAGACCTCACCGAGCAGACCACCGACTCAAGCTCTCAGAATGACCTTGCAGTCTCAAACGCAACATACACTGCTAAGGCAATGGTGCAGGCTCAGTTCCTATGTCACGTTTTCTCTCAGGTTTTCTCTATGCACGTCTACCATGCTGGCCGTACTGTGCCTCATCACTTCTTTGGCCAGGTCAACCTTACAGATATCTACACTGACTTGATCGACGATTTGGGTCAACTGTATTCTTCATGCGTCTGGGAGGCCATCACGATGCGCAATAACATGCCCGAAGACTGGAAAAAGCAAATTCATATCTCTGGCATGAGTTTCGACCATAGTGAGGCCGACAATGTCATGGGTCTTTCTACATCTAGCAACTCGCCGTCCAACAATGCCGAGTCTACAGCAGCATCACAAGGACAACAGGACAACGAAGCTAAGAAGATCGAGGCACGTAACACTGCACAATTCAAGAACTGCCAGATCCTTGCGTCGCTTTTCAATCAAGTATCCACTGGCATTCTTTCTTTCTTCCAGGCTATTGGCAAATCACTGTTGTGGAAGCACTCTTCGCGCACCATTCTCAGTGACTACCAGAAGCAGAATGCAAGCAAGATGGCTGAGCACCTGGCGCGTGCCTTGATCAACCACATTGCAACGCGCCAGCCATCTGCTCTGTCAGAAGTTGACCGTGTTGCATACGACATTGTTGTTCTCACCTCGACGCTGCAAACTCTAGTTGACGAGCGAAAGACGACTCGCACTGGTGGCACACACCGTGAGGTCTTTTCCTTGGTGCTGCTTGCTTTCTATCAACAGGGAGGGTTTAAGCAACTCGAAACCCGTCTACAGCAATTCGGCAAGCTCATTGAACAACACAAGGAAGCTTCCCAGGACACATCCACTTCCGACCGGATCACATCATCCAAGCGCATTCATGCTCTAGCACTCGCTGGTGTTGACAAGATCCTGGAGTTCTACAACAAGATCAGTCACTCCAAGAACATCATCGATGCTCAGCAAACTAGTGTCATGGCTGTCCGTGATCGTCAAAAGAGCGACTTCTTCTTGGGTGCGCAGTTCGTGGTCGAGCTCCGCAACGCTGTCCTTCCTCAGATCAGTGAGATCTGGAAGTCATCTGTCATGGAGGCCCTGCCTGCGCACAGCGTCAAGTCGATCATAGATCTACTCAAACTCATACTCGAAGGCGATGGCGAGTCACAGGCTGTGAAACGTAGTGAGAATCTGAAACGTCGTAGAGCTGCCGAACCTCGCAAGTTCAAGATTCGTCCAGAGTCGAAGGACGTTCTCACGGCGGAAGGCTTCGAGGATGAAGAGCTTCTTTCCGAGGCATTGTACCGCTGCAACAACAATGTCAACGCGGCCAAGGAATACTATGTGTTACGGCGGGACAATCCGGATAGCCACATACCTGTTTTCCCTCTTCCGGAGGCTGAGCAACCCGTTCAGGAAGCCTCTAACGACACCGCAGACCAACCAGCTGCATCTGGCAGTGTGCCCTCCGTCGAGATGCAGGATGCAGACGAAGCCGGCTCAAGCACGCAAGACACTGATGGCGATCGATCAGAGGCTGATCTACTTCTGGGCAACGGTAATCGTCGTTTGGTTTTACCTCCAGATGTGCTTAATAGTGGCCTTGCGGAAGTCCTCTCGAACGCTCTTGGCGGCGGAGAAGAACTGATGCGTGCTCTTCCAGTTCACAGGCGGCCTTCAGACGAGGCCCAGAGACCTGCTGATGTTGTGACAGAAGAGAGCTTTGTCACTATCGATGACCTCGATGACAAGCGCAAGAGCATCAGAGAGGGACTTATCGACAGGTGCCTCGACGTTCTCAATACCCATACAGACGTCACTTTTGAGCTTGCGGACCTTATTACAGCTGCTACCATCAAGGCCGGCCATGAACAGTCATCGAAAGTAGAAATTGGCGAGACTTTGGTTAACTCCCTCATGTCTCTCACACCAGACGAGGACACTCCTCTCGAGGGCAAGAAGATTGCATCATACGCTCATCTGCTTGCACTGGTCATTCAAGACCGCGAATTCTTCAATGCATGTCTTGATACCTTGACGGACAGCTTTGAACAGTTTGGCGGCTTCATCAAGATGTTCCAAGGACAGAAGCCGGAAGAGACGTCGCCTTGGGTCAGCAACGTGCTTCTCATAATCGAACGCGTTCTAGCCGAGGATGAGAAACCTCAGCAAATCCATTGGACACCACCACCCTTTGAGGAGCCATACAAGGAGCAAGACATTGCTGAACTCAAGCCTCCAATCGTTTCTGATGAGAAAAAGGCCACCATCTTCGACGCTCTTGTTGAGATTCTACCCAAGATCGGCAAGGATGAGACCCTTGCGCTCTCGGTCACCCGCACACTCGTGATTTTGACCCGCCGTCGCGCTCTTGCAAAGAAGCTCGGCGAGAAGCTGTCGATCTCCAGACTCTTTGTTATGATGAAACAACTTGCTGGCATTGCAGGTGAACGTCTCCAAAGCACATTCCTCATCTTGCTCCGTCACATTATCGAAGATGACGAGACCATTCGTCAGATCATGCGTACCGAGATTCAATCTACATTTGAGAGCAAGGGTATGGCTAGGAGCTACGACACGACGCTCTACACGAGGACTCTGTACCATCTGGCACTGCGCAGTCCTGAGATTTTCGTCGAAGTCACAAATGAGAAAGTACAACTCTCGAGATGGGACCAGAGCCGTCCTGGCGGTGCACAGCCCCTTATGCTGAAGAAGGTGGACAAGCCTGTTGAAACTAAGGAGTCAGAGAAGCCTACCGAGGGTGAGACGAGCGCTACCACCGAGAGACCTACCATTGAGCGTACCAAGACCGGTGATCTTAAGCCTCCGTCGATTGAGAATCCTGATGGCGTCATACAGTTCTTGCTCAAAGAGCTCTCTTCCTACAAGGACGTCGAGGACAAGGAAGTGCAGCCTCCCAAGCCTGCTTCTTCTGAGGCTCCTGCTGTTGCTACTCCTTCAGACGTCGAGATGTCTGACTCAACTCCTACTCCAGTGGCTGAGCCTGCGCCCGCTCCATCCACTGAATCCGAGGCTAAGCAGGCTGACAACAAGCCAGTTTTCAAGGCTGAGCAGCACCCTATCTTTGCTTACCGCTGCTTCATTCTGCACTGCTTGGTAGAACTCCTTGGCTCATACAACAGGACCAAGATCGAGTTTATCAACTTCTCACGCAAGGCCGAGTACCAAGCATCCACCCCTTCCAAGCCTCGTTCAGGTCTCCTGAACTACTTCCTCACTAGCTTGATTCCGCTTGCATCTTTGACCCATCCCGAGGATACTCCTTCGAAGAAGCAGGCTGCTACCGCGAACTGGGCAATCAACACTATTGTGTCCCTCTGCTCAAAGACCAACGAGCGTGCTATCAGTTTGAAGATCTCCGCCAGCGACGAAGAGTCTGATCTTGCCTATGTTCGCAAGTTTGTCCTGGAACATGCTCTCAAAGCATACAAGGATGCCATGGCATCTTCCGAACCCCTAGATCAGAAGTACGCACGTCTACTTAGCCTGAGCAACCTCTTCTACCGCATGTTGACTGGTAAACAACAATCTGGCATCAACCACTCCTTGCTTGAGATGGTGACTGTTTCTCAGAAGCAGCTTGGACGTTTCATGTACGAGAAGAACTTTATCACAGCTTTGACATCTTCTATCGCCGAACTCGACCTCAATTTCCCTGGGGCCAAGCGAGCAGTCAAGTACATTCTTCGACCACTCAAGTTGCTAACCGATATCGGTGTCACTTTGAGTATCTCTGGAGACGTCTCTGCTCCTGGCACTACCGAAGATGACGAGATCTCTTCCGCCACCTCTGTCTCTGACGACGACAATGAGCGTGAAGAGACTCCAGACTTGTTCCGTAACTCTACCCTCGGTATGTTCGAAGCTGCAAACAGTGACGACGATGAGGACGAGTCCGGTTCAGACGAAGCCGAAGAGTACTATGAAGGCGATGAGTATGGCGAGGAAATGGACTACGATGAATATGAAGAAGGTGGTCCTGGCATGCACGAAGGAGACGTTGTCAGCGATGAAGACGACGACATCGACGACATGGGACCCATTGAAGGTCTTCCCGGTGACATTGATGTCGAAGTCGACATGGATGAAGACGAGAGCGGCGATGATGATGACGACTCCGATATGGACGAAGCCGATTCAGACGAAGGCGACGACATTGAAATTATCGACGAGATTACTGGCGATGACGAGAACGCTAGTATGGAAGAAGATGACGATGAAGATGATGTCGACGAGGATGAGGAAGATTGGGATGACGACGATGACGGTGACGACCCTTACCACCATGGTGCTCTCCCTATGGATGCTCTGGTTCCTGCCCACGGCGGTCCATTCGGTGGTGCCGTTGTCCTCGAGGATGACCGTTCGGACGTCATGGACCAGATGGAAGGCGATGATCCGGTCATGACCCTTGATATGGGCGGTCCCGAGCAATACTTTGAGGATGAGATGGCCGAAGACGATGAAGACAATGAGGAAGACGAAGATGAAGAAGTCCTCGGCTACGAACCCGAACATGACGACCCTGAGAACGACGAAATGGAGTGGGGATGGGAGACGGCTGCTATGCCTTCACACCATGGATGGCGCCGCCCTGGAGGTCCCTTTTACACCATGGAAGATCCCCCTCTTGGACTCCCTCGCTCTCATCGTGGTGCTGCAGGTAGTGGCGATCAAGATGGCACCAACCCTCTTCTTCAAAGAACAGACCGCAACTCAGGTCTGGGTGCTCCGCCTCGTCCTGGTGACATGCACGACTGGCTTCACTCACATCGCCCTAGACCTGGTGGCCAAGATGGACTCTCGTTCGTCAGTGATCTTATTCAGATGGTTGGCCCTTCGGGAGCTAGAATCAGCGTCGTTGATGGCTCTGGTGGTCTTGGCTTCCCACCCGCTGCTCTTGCTGGTGGTATGCCGCCTGCTGTCTTCCACATCACTGGCGGTCCCGGCAGATTTGGACTACCTGATATTCGCGCCCTCCAGCGTATTACCAGAGGTCTTACTGGTCGTGAAGCACCATCAAGTGGTAGAGCTTCTTCTACCGACCCTGTTGCAGCAGTATCGTTCACACCTACGCTTACTACCCTTCGTTGGCAAGAGGAGGCTCGCTTGTTGTTCGGTCATCAACATCTCGAGAGAGCTATGAAGCTTGTCGACTCCCTTTTGCGTCTTCTTGTACCCCCTGCTATGGAGGCCAAGCGCCAAAAAGACAAGGCTGATGCTGAGCGCAGAGCCGCCGAAGAGAAGGCTCGTGAAGAACAGCGCCAGAAGGAAGAAGAAGAGCGCCGTGAGCGTGAAGCTCGTGAACAGCGTGAGAAGGAAGAGCGTGAAGCTAAGGAAGCCGAAGAGGCTGCAGCACGTGCTCGTGAGGCTGCCGAGCGTGGTGAGACCACAGAAGGCACCGAGAGCATGGAAGGCGTTGAACAGCCTGCAGAAGATGCCGCAGAAGCCGCACCTAGAGTCATGACCAACATCCGCGGTAGAGAGATCGATATCACACACCTCGGTATTGATCTGGAATATCTTGACGCACTTCCCGATGATATGCGCGAGGAGGTCATTATGCAACAATTCCAGGAGCAACGTTCGCAGGAGAGAACCCAAGAGACCACTACTGGGCAGCCAAGCAGATCCAGTGAGATCAACCGCGAATTCCTCGATGCGCTGCCGCCGGACATCCAAGCCGAACTGCTTGCTTCTGAAGCAGCTGATCGTCGCCGACGTGAACGTGATGAACAGCGCCGCAGAGCAGCTGCCAGCGGCAATGCTGCTCCTCAAGCCGGTGATATGGATATGGCAGACTTCTTCGCAACCTTGAACCCGGCTCTTCGTCAGCAAGTCCTCATGGACGCCGACGATGGGACGCTTGCCGGCTTCCCTGCCGAGTTCCAAGCTGAAGCTCGCACACTCCTGGGCAACCTCCAACGTCATCGCAATGCTGGTCGTGAACGACGCGAAGCCGATCGTGCTCAGGATGAACAGGAAGCTCCTGAACCTGAGGAGCAGCGCGTGCGCAGACCTGTAATTCAGATGCTCGACAAATCCGGCGTGGCCACTCTCCTGAGATTGATGTTCGTCGCCATGCAGGACAGCGCACGAACCACAATGCAGGCAATCTTGTCAGATATTTGCAAGAATACCCAAAACCGCGCCGAGGTCATCAGTGTGCTTCTTTCCATTCTACAGGATGGAAGCGCCGATGCCAATGCTTTGGAGAAGAGCTTTGCACACCTCACTCTTCGTGCCAAGCAGATGTCTGGACAAAAGACACCACAGCCTCTTAAGCGCAGTCTTACCAGCTCTCAATTTGCATCGCCTGGCACAGATATCTCTCCCCTGATGATCATCCAGCAATGCCTTTCAACCTTGACTCATCTGGCCAACGAGAACCCTCGTGTCAGTTCGTTCTTCCTTTCTGAGCATGAGACTAGCATCAGTCAGAGAGCCAAGTCATCGAAGAAGGGCAAGGGCAAGGAGAGCAAGGCTGCCAAGTATCCCCTCAATGCACTGCTTACTCTTCTTGACCGCAAGTCAATCATCGAGAACTCATCTGTGATGGAAGGCTTGGCTTCTCTCCTTATCCGCGTCACTGAGCCTTTGAAGATCCTCCTGAGAAAGGCAAAGGATGCTGAGAAGGAAAAAGAGAAGGCTGCTGAGACTGCTGCCAGTGCAGCTACCGATGTGCCCATGACTGAGGGCGAAGCTGCAACCGCCGCTGACGCTCCCGCTGAGGCCGACAAGGCGCAAGAGCCTGCCACAAAGACGGACGAGAAGAAGAAGCATAGAGACCTCACCCCTCCTGAAGTGCCGGAAGAGAACCTCCGCTTGGTCGTCAACATCATTGCTGCGCGCGAGTGCAATGCAAAGACCTTCCAGAGTACACTAGATATCATCAATCATCTTTCGGCCATCCCTGGTGCCAAGGATACTTTCGGCAAGGAGCTGGTTCACCGTGCTCAAGATTTGGGTGATGCCGTTCTTGTTGACCTTCAGCAGTTGGCTCCTCAGATTCAGAATGCTAAGACTAGCACTGATATTCAAGGCATCGCTTTGGCCAACTTTTCTCCCGCAAGCTCGCACCAGAGCAAGCTGTTGCGTGTTTTGCTGGCACTTGACTACCTCTTCGACCCCAAGCGTTCTGGATCTCACGACAGACAAGCATCCACCTCAAGTGAGGCTCTACCTTCAAAGGCCCGCCAAGATCTGCTCTCGACGCTCTACGAGACTTCGACGTTTGCTAAGCTCTGGTCTAATTTGAGTGACTGTCTGACTGCCATCCGTGAACGTGGCAGCATGAACAACGTGGCTACCATCCTTCAACCGTTGATTGAGTCGTTCATGGTTGTCTGCAAGAACACCACTTCCAAGGAGGTCAACCTTGCTGCTTCACAAGAGCTGCCAGGTAGTACCCCTCAACCAGACTCACGCATTGAGAAGCTCTTCTTCTCCTTTACTGAGGAACATCGCAAGATTCTCAATGATCTTGTCCGCAACAACCCCAAGCTCCTCAACGGTACATTCGATGTGCTGGCTAAGAACTCCAAGGTTCTCGAGTTTGACAACAAGCGCAACTACTTCACTCGTAGAATGCACACCCGCAACTCTGAGGATCGCATTGCTCATCCCTCAGTTCAGCTCAACATCCGTCGTGACCAGATCTTCCTGGACTCTTTCAAGAACTTGTACTTCAAGACAGCTAATGAGATCAAGTATGGCAAGCTCAACATTCGCTTCCACGGCGAAGAGGGTGTCGACGCTGGCGGTGTTACCAGAGAGTGGTTCGCAGCTCTTTCCAGACAGATGTTCAACCCTGACTATGCTCTCTTCAATCCTGTTGCCTCCGACAGGACCACTTTCCATCCTAATCCCATGAGTGGCATCAACGACGAACATCTTACTTTCTTCAAATTTGTTGGCCGCATCATCGGAAAGGCTATGTACGAGGGCCGCGTTTTGGATTGCCACTTCAGCAGAGCCGTCTACAGACGTATCCTTGGCAAGCCAGTTTCACTCAAGGACATGGAAACACTGGATCTCGATTACTACAAGTCACTCTGCTGGATTCTTGAGAACGACATCACTGATATTACCTTTGAGACTTTCTCGGTCGAAGTTGACAGATTCGGAGAGACTGAGATTGTTGACCTGATAGAGAACGGTCGTGACATTCCCGTTACCGAGGAGAATAAGCAAGAATACGTGCGTCTGGTTGTTGAGCATCGTCTGATCAAGTCAGTCGAGGCGCAGCTTGAACATTTCTTGAAGGGTAAGTCACATCCACCAATCCATTCTTCACCAATTCATACTGACCAAATACAGGCTTCCACGAGATCATCCCCGCTGAACTTGTCTCAATATTCAATGAACAAGAACTCGAACTTCTCATCTCGGGTCTTCCTGACATTGACGTCGATGACTGGAAGAACAACACTGAGTACCACAACTACCAGCAAACCTCACCACAAATTCAATGGTTCTGGCGCGCTGTCCGCAGCTTCGACAAGGAAGAGAAGGCCAAGCTGCTGCAATTCGTTACTGGTACCTCCAAGGTTCCACTCAACGGCTTCAAGGAGCTCGAGGGTATGAATGGCTTCACCAAATTCAACATTCATCGTGATTACGGCAGCAAGGACCGTTTGCCTAGCAGTCATACTTGCTTCAATCGTAAGTTTTGCCCAATCGTAACCTACAAGAATAGTATACTGACTACCGGTTGCAGAACTCGATCTTCCTGAATACGAGACCTATGAGCAGTTGAGACACCAGTTGTACACTGCCATGACGCAAGGAAGCGAGTACTTTGGCTTTGCCTAAACAACCTGCATCGCATTGCCGTTCTCGACAAAAACAACCTCATACGTTCATGATTCAATCGCATTTCAAAGGCGTTTTTGTGTCTTGCTCTTCTTTTTTCTGCGTCGCGCAAAGGGGAGGAGTTTCTTTTTCTTCTATGGTCGTCTTTCCCCCTGAAAGCTATCGTCTGCTTCTTGCTTTGACTCTGATCTTTTACCTGGGTCCGAGATGGAAGGACGGAAGGAACCAAGGACAGTGACGTGCAGGTCTTGGACTTGGGTCTTTTTCGTTCATCAGAAGTCGATGGTCGCTGGTATTCTTGACAGAGAAAATAAAACATAAAATTGCAGTAGCTTCATTCTAGCTTTGTTTCCATCTTCCTATTGATACAGCAAATTCGTTTTCACTTTACGCCCTCCCCGTGTGCCAAAGTCTTAACTCCCAATTGAATACGACGTCCTTCATCTACGGAGAGAGCAGAATATACGCTATAAAAAGGCACAGTCTTTTCTGAAAATACAGACAGGTCCAGACAGAGACTATATCTGTCGCTTCTCAGTGGACACTGTTCTGATTCTCGTTAGTATCGTGCGTTGTACAGCTACACGAGTTACATACTTTGGCACACGGGAAGGATGTTGTTCTCACGGATCTTCCGGTGCTAGGTGATGACAACGTGATAAAGATGTTTTGGCCTTGTGAAAATGATGAAGAATGCCCAAACCTGCTTTCTAGGTACATAAAGCCTGCTTTTTTGTATTTATCGAACTAACACCACGGCGTGGTACATGACGTCTGTCAAGTATAGCGATTTACCTTCACCTTCGACCACTCTCTACACAAATGACATTGCCTATTCCCATCTGCCGAGCTGATCGATCTTTCTCTTGAAACAAACACCACACTAGGAGAATATATCGGTGTCTTTCTTTTTTTATTTTCGTTTCTTCGCTTTCGCATCCTCCTCTCATACTACAAATCATTGCTTTCTCTCAGCCGTTCTCACCCTTCCATACGAAGCCGGCGGATTTGCCGACATAACGGCTGCGTAGAACGAACCATAGAAACGAAGAACCAAGAGCCAAACCCGGCAGTTTTAGTCTTTTGTATTTCGACGTGATCTAGTTGGAGGATTTGACATCATGTCTTGCAGAGAGCTTGAGGTGTAGGATAGGAGTGGAAGCGAGAGGATGAGATTGGGAAGGTGCGATGTAGTTCGTAGTACGAGCAAGAGGACAGGGTAAGTAAGTACTAGAAAACCCCCAAGGCAATGAGTTTGTGGTGACCCTGCTCGTCATTCCTCGATGGTGTTTTTCTTTCAGCATGAGTAAACCCGAGTTTCTAGATCAATTCTGGGTCAGCACTTAGAATTGATCTCTTCCAAAAAAAGAAGATCAGGATCCATGCTATTTTGTTGTTGTTCGAACGATACGAGTCTAGAAAGCTGTGTGTCAATTCTGTCGCGAGCATTCCCGTTTTGTTGCCGTTTCCCGTCTGAAGCTGCACTTTGTTCGCGCATTAGAACAAAAGTCACCGAAAGTTTATGGACCTCACTCTCGCACCAAAGACCAGCTTCGTATGCTTGTACTTTGTATCTTCGCTTTTAGTTCTCACGTATTCGTAAGGTCATGCAAGAGCTAGCAACAAAACCGCGGCAGATACTTCGCAGCTACCTCGGAGGTAGACATCGCTAAGAGCGAACAAAAGTGACATGGCATTTTCCGTGGACCAAGAGACAGAAAACGTCTTCATGCATAAGAAATGGAAAAGAATAGAACAGAAGCTGGGTTACAAAAGATGGATTGCTGGGTTACGTTACACTGCATACGGAGTCTAGATCGCAAGGGTCTGAAGATCATGGTAACTGGAGACGATTGTTGGATCTGATAATCCCCAACCACGATAACAAGGCACCTCGATTAGGGATTCTCACAAGCACGGCGATGACGGTAATGTTGTATTCTGCAATGTCTACCATGACAGCAATACATAAAAGGCAAGAAGCGAAAATAATCGTATGGTAGAAATGTTGAAAAAGAAAAAGAGGATATAGAAAAAAGCGAGCAAACATAAATGGGGTATCGATGCTCGAGAAGCAGAAGAGTAGAAGAGGAAGAAAGGTAGAAATAATAGAAGAGAAGTCGAAAGATATCGGAGAATGAAGATAGAGAAAACGCCATGTAGAGTAGTTTTCGAACTCTCAAAGAACCCCAATGAAAAGAGCCGTGCCCCATCGCTGATGCATTTCAAAAAGCATGTTTCGGTCTTCGTAGCTAGGTCGTGATGAGGGTGAGATTGTTGTACCTCTCACCTCAATGCATAAAGGAGGACGTCAAGGGTCATAACTGACTATGGTCGTCGACAGGGCTTGACGAGGGTGGTGGTGTGATTTGGTTGATTGGTCCCAGGGTCCATACCCATTCTCGAGGTTTCTTAGTCCTCCTTGTGACAGGTGTCGAAGGGCAGATATCACTATCTGATTCGTCTTCTGAAGAGTCGCGTTTGTCTCCACACGCGGGTGATGTAGGTGTTCTGATTGGCAGGGCTGCTGCTCTTTTATGCCTTTGCTGTTGCTCAACATAGGGTCCGTTGCCTGAAGGTAATGACTCTAGAGTAGATGTGGAGGACGAGGCGGACTCAACATCAGACTGAGCCAGAGTGTAGATTTCGTTGCGGATGTCTTCGGTCAGGGGTGCGCGGAAAGAGACCTTCTTGGGAGAGGGAAACATAGGTCGAGTACTCGAGAATGATTTGCGACGGCGGATGCAGCCATGGGGGCCGTTGGTCAGGATAGAGCGATGATTGAAAGGCAGACGGTAGGGAATGGGCTTGTCAAAGGAGTCTGTGGTGGATATAGAAGAGATAGAAGAGTCGGTCGAAGCCGAGGTGGCAGAAGTGGCTGACATGCAGCTGTCGGTAGAAGAAGAACGTGCAGGTTGTTGATGAGTAGGTGCTACCGACGTGTCCAGACACAGTCGAGACTTTGGTCGTGCATCCTGATGAGGGGTCATGGCCTCGGGGCTCATGACATGTTGTGATCCATAGGCATTGCTAAAGGTGTTTCTAGCTGTGGGAGAGGCTATTGAGGGTGCATCCAGCCTGAGTCCAGTCGTGCTCTTGCCAAAGGTCGAAGGCAAGGAAGATGTGTTTAGAGTAAGTTTTGGTCGCTTGGTAGGAACAGTTGGCCTCGAGACGGGAGGATGCGAAGGTAGTATGCTAAGCGACATTGTATCCACGGGCATGAGTGCCAGCATGACGCGGGCGTCGACGATAATATACTGAGACGACAATGTTGAAAGAAACGTGTTGGCTGATCTAGCCGCTCATCGCCACAGAGGCTGTCGTAAACATCCAACCAAGTCAGCAGGTCCAGAGAGGGGCGGCGAAAGGGTACGCAGTAGTCGACGACAAGTGGCCGATGACGCGCGTGAAGGATGCCAGTGCCTTTTCTATACTTGGGCACACCACCGAAGGGAAGGGGTAGGGGCCACCCGCCTAGATGTCAAAGCCTCCAAATGGATCAACAGAACACGACCTGACACACTGGCCCTTCTGACACACTGGCGCCGCAGAGATTCGTGTACTCGAAGGGGGGAGAAGCTTTTACAAGTAGGAGTCAGGATGCGCTCGACAAAGTCGTGACGACCTGAGGACCGGGAACCATGGCCCTTGTAAACCCATCAACGGCAGAGCGGGCGCCAAACAAAAGAAAAATCTCGTCTTGCAGCAATTCTAGACGAAGCCGATCTCTGCCCATGCATCGTCTCTATTTCATCCAACTTTCGCAAACAAGCCTCCAACCAACCACTCTCCTGCTGCTACACTTCGCGGTTCTTCCCGCACGCGCTATGGTCTCCTCGTGTTCTATTTCGGGCTGGTAAGCCCCGCCTGTCACTTGGACCCCTCCGTCACCAAGTCCAACGGCCAGGGTTAGACGCCATCTCACGAATCAAGGGCCAGAACCACTTTTGCATCCTGCATCAAACCAATTTGCCGTGCTGCATCTCCTTCTCGCCCCGTCTGTATGTGTTAGATCCTGAAACGCTACTCTTTGCTTCCACCTGTGCAGTCTGCAGACGACTTCTCGACGACATGTCCTGATCGCGCCATTCAAGAGCCTCCCCCTGACCCGCAACACCGGCTGGGCTGAGTATATATGGCGACTTGATTCGAAGGCGTATGTCCGCCGTGAGTTTCTGCTCCGGTGTGGCGCCTCATACTACACCAAGTCCAAACACGTAATCCACTCCCTGCTTATACATGCGTCCGGCTCCCCCCCTTGTCGAATTGGCAAGAACGAAACACCTCCGACTTGCTGTGCTACGGCCTTTCTCTGCTTGCTGTAGAGAAAGTATGCGACTCGTGTCAGTGTAGGCCCTACTCTTGCTGTGGGGAGCCGACACCTGAAACACCTTCTCCTTTCACTGCACTTGCTCATGCCTACGCCGATGCTCTATCTTCTAGACGTACCTGCATATCTTACCGTTCTGCTATCAGAAACTCTCTTTCTCCTTGTCTTCGGTTCCTTTGGCACTCTACCGTAACTTGTTCGGGTTGTCAAATTTCCCAATGATGTGCTGTGGAGCTTATGGCAGCCACAAATACGAGAGCTTGGAGTTTAAATCGTTCGCTATCGCTATTCAAGTAGTCCAAGCGCCTGCCGACGTTTTTAGGTCGTGGGTCCGAGGGAAAGCCGCTTTACAAGCAAAGCAATCGCCTGGGGCAGTTCCTTCGCAGAATCGATTTCAATGAGTCGCAAGCAAGACAAGCCTCAATCCACGTAAAACATCAGAACAGAGGAATTTTGCCACCTAATGTGCTGAGAGCAGCATGAGCAATAGCGACATGGATTCTTTTCCATCAAGGACCTGCCCACTTGCAACCGTTTATTCGCTGAATCATGTGTTCTTTTTTTCGTGACAGACATGACTGGCTGAAATGGAGAGCCGCAACTGGCCGAAGCGCACACCCATCAATTCCTACAGTACCAATGTTGATCGCAGCCGTGCATCGCTGATCAAGAGCAGTCCATCGAGGATTTGACCGCGGGCGAGCGCTTGCCAGACGCTCTCTGATCGTGGAGCAGCGCTTGTTTCTGGTGCACACCTTGAGCGCTTCATCTTGCATGCTTCACAATTGTTGCACTTCTATCATTCAGCTGCTCGTGTTTTCTTCGCAGAGTTTCACCTGCAATATCAGGTTTCCGACAGTTTGTGGGCCTTGAACCATGAGCTTGAAGCCTGAAAGTGCCCACCGCGGTCCTCGGGTGGGCCTCTATACAAGATGACGGTTGGACGAACCAATCGATAAAGTGTGTTCTCGTATCTTGACCCGTCGACCGGTGCGATCCGAGTGGATTTATGGAGTACCTTGTACGTGCATAGCAGAGTGCAATTTACATTGACAGCGCACGGTACCCTGTATACATGAAAAGTTGATTGAAGCCAGTGGGTGGCCAAGTGCTTGCATTGCATCACCGCATGCCGACAGGGGAGCTACGGTTGACGGCAGAAGTGGTTTCTGAAGAGCTAGCATTGTCGCACAACGCAGTGAGACGAAGTGTCGTGCATCAGAAGCAGTGAGACACTTGCCCACCGCGCAAGTATCTCCATAGCCTCTATATCGGATTTAGCCTGTGGGAAGCAACGTATCTGATCGTCGAAGCTGTAATACGAGCGCCACTGTATACCAGCTGTTTAGGCTATGCCGTCATCACTCTTTTCTCCAAGTGGCAGCTGCGAAGCCTGTCCGAAATCCATGCTGTGCGATGGGAAGTTGGCCATCGGAAAAGAAGTCACCAGTCTGATGAATTGACATATCCGTGTCTAATGCCAGCCACCGTCACCAGCCATCACGGCGCCGCGGAAGACATTCACTCCTACACCGACAATTGCCCACGAAAGCAGGCCGGAGCACATCACCATGCTCTTCTTGCCATGATTCATGGCGAGGATACTTCGTACATCATAACGCAGTACATCCGCAGCCTCTCCCTCGGAGTCTTTCCGCCGTGCATCTGGCAACAGACGGCTGGCGACTGCCTTCCACAATGCATGGAGCTCAACGTCTTGCGAACAATCTTCTTGAAGCCCAGCAACCAAACGTGTGAAATCCCTCAGGTGCACAACACACACTCCAGCCTCTGGCATTTTCAAGGACAAACATGAAGATATGTTCGGTGAAACCACGGGTCGGCCCATGCCCTCCAACTTTCCAAAAGCTCCTTCCAACTTCGAATGATCGTCGACAATACGACCTAAAAAGGCAGCTCATTGACCAACCACTTCAATCTTGACTTCGCTAATCGTATGCTGCTGTAAAACACACAAGGAGATGCACAATGCACAGAACTGTGATGGCATTGTAATCAGTCCAAGTGAGGTGAACGTCGGCCGACGCAAGGACACGTTCCCGTAGGAGTAGCACTGCGATATCAAGCTTCGAAAAAAGCCTTGGACCGACTGACAAGAACGTCTTGGTGCGCTCTTTTATCTCTTATCACCGCGCTAAAACGTCATAAGACTCCAGGCAACACTTTAGCTGCTATGGCATCTTCTGCTGCCGACCTTCGAGCTGCTTGTTGGAGTTTAGTTGCCAATAACCATCGCTCATCATTGCCAATCATCTCGTATCCATCATGCGGACTAGCTCATTGTACAGCAGATAGGCTTCCATCGAAGCCCTTGAGGTGCGGAGAAGGAAAGTATAAAATAAAGCATTGAGATCTTTTCCATCGTGTGTATTGCTTCGTTCTTTCCTCATCACCACCAAGATGCTCGGAGGAAAGATTGTGCTGAGCAGCGCAGCTGCCCTGCTTTCAGCTACTGGAGCATCTGCTCTCGTTCCAGTTCTTGACAAGAGACAGTACTTCCCTGCCAATGCTACTGGTCTCAAGACCATCACTGTAGGTGCTAAACAATCATTTTGGTTGATGCTGTCTAATTTTGATCACAGACTCCTACCAATGTGACCATTCGTTACAAGGAGCCTGGCAAGGAGGGCATCTGTGAGACCACGCCTGGTGTGAACTCATACTCGGGTTACATTGATCTTGCTCCTGATATGCACACCTTCTTCTGGTTCTTCGAGTCTAGAAACGACCCTGCAAAGGACCCCATCACATTGTGGCTCAATGGAGGTCCGGGAAGCGACTCTCTCATTGGCCTGTTCCAGGAACTTGGTCCTTGCAACGTTACCGCCAATCTTACCACCCAAGTCAATCCCTACAGTTGGAATGAGGTATCTAACATGTTGTTCCTGTCCCAGCCATTCGGTGTTGGTTTCAGTTACCAGGAGGAAGAAAAGGGCTCGTTGAACCCTGTCACTGGTTCTTTTGAGAACGCAACGTTGGCCAATGCTACTGGCATCTACCCTGTCATCAACGCAACAGAGATTGATACTACCGACCTTGCAGCTGTTGCAGCTTGGCACGTTCTTCAAGGGTTCCTCGGTGCTTTGCCTCAACTCGATGCCGAGATTGGCAGCAACAAGGAGTTCAACCTCTGGACTGAAAGTTATGGTGGTCACTACGGTACGGAGTATCAGTTCAATAATTTGAATTCAATGTCTGACATGAAGCGATTACAGGACCATCCTTCTTCAACTACTTCAACAACCAGAACAAGCTTATCTCCAACGGAACCATCCCTGGTGTCAAGCTCGACTTCAACACCCTTGGTATCGGAAACGGAATCATCGATGAGATGGTTCAGGCCCCTCACTACCCCGAATTTGCTGTCAACAACACATACGGTATCAAGGCTGTCAACGACACTGTCTACAACTACATGAAATTCGCTCTGACCATGCCCAATGGATGTCTTGACTTGGTTGACTACTGCCGTCAAGCCAGAGAGACTGGTCAAGACAACCTTGCCACCAAGACTCTCTGCTCCGAGGCACAAGACATGTGCAGAGACAACGTAGAGGGTCCCTACTACAGCTTCTCTGGACGCGGAACATACGATATCAGACATCCAAGCGATGACCCTACTCCTCCTGAGTACTTTGCCGATTTCTTGAACCTTGCTGAAGTTCAGAACGCTCTTGGTGTCAGTCTCAATTACACAGAGTCCAACGATGACATCTACTATGCATTTTAGTCCACCGGAGACTTTGTTTACAACAGCTTCTTGAAAGATATTGAAAACTTGCTTTCCCAGGGACTCCGTGTCAGCTTGTACTATGGGTAAGAATCTCGATCAAGCGCATCGATTTTCTACTAACAGTCGCACAGTGACGCCGACTACATCTGCAACTGGTTCGGTGGACAAGCCATCTCACTCGCCGTCAACTACACTCACAGCAAGGAGTTTGCCGCAGCCGGTTACGAGCCCTTCACCGTCGATGGCACCGAGTATGGAGAGGTCCGCCAATACGGTAATTTCAGTTTCCTCCGTGTCTACGAAGCCGGACACGAGGTGCCTTACTACCAACCCCGGGGTGCTCTTGCTCTCTTCAACCGTACTATCAACCACTGGAACATTGCAGACGGCACTGAGATGGTTACTGCAAACTTGACTAGCTATGGTACGCCCAACGCTACTCACACTGAGTCGTATGTGGCTTTGCCTCCTACCTCGACTGCTAGTGCTAGTGCCAGCGCCAGTGCCAGTGCTTCGACTACTGGCAATGCTGTGCCCCACATCTGGAGATCCTAGATTAGGACTGAGGTGGGTTGAGGTTTACAAGGACTGGCTCTGTGGTCGGTGTTGCGACCATCACGATGTAACGAAACATGCTTGTAGGAAAAGCATGTAAAGTATGAAATGCAGCAATGCCTCAGAACAATGATGAACAAACCGTGTGCCGAAACAAGTTTTCTCTGTCGATAAGTGTGAGGATCATCAGAATAACCGAAAATAGAGGTTGTAAGATCTTTTGAGCTAACAGGCCGATTTGACACTCATTGTATATTTTCCACTAATGTCTCTCGGAAAAGAGCATTATTGGATACTGGCAACCGACACTGCAGCATAACCCATGCAATCAGATAGATTGCTGTCAGACGCCCAGAAATCCTTCAGGACTCCGCTCCTTCCTTCGCATCACTAAATAATACGTTCGACAATGATGACCCTCTTGTCACTAACTTTGTCTAAGGCTACAGACCTTTTGCGTCAAAATGGCATCGAAGAAAAATTTATCGCTCAAAGAGAAGTATCCTGAGATTTATGCTCAGACGAATATTGATCGGACGGGATTTAAACGTGTTGTTCCTATGGAAGTGCTGTCGCTTGGTTTGGGGCGGACTGGTACTATGTGTGAGTATGCTTCTTGTTCTTTGGTGGTCAAGTCAAGACTCAAACTTGCGCGTGACATTGCAGAAGGATAGAAAAAGATCTATTTTGGTTGAATTGGCAAGAGCGATTTCTTTTGACTTGTTATTTCTAGTATAGACCCGTTACGAGCTTGCTGTTCATTGCATGTATACATCCTTCTGGCGACTGACTAGCACCCCATCCACAGCAATGAAAGCAGCCCACGAAATCCTCGGCTACCCAACCTACCACTACATCTCCATGATGGAAAACCCTCCAGACCTCGACCTCTGGCTCTCCGCCCTTCGCAGAAAATACTCTCCCCAAGCCGACGAAAAGCCCTTCACCCTCACCGAATGGGACGCTCTGCTCGGCCACGTCTCTGCAGTCACAGATTCCCCCATCAATGCTTTTGGCCCCGAACTCATTACCGCTTATCCCTCCGCCAAAGTCGTACTCGTAGAAAGAGACGTAGAAACTTGGTACAAGAGTTTTGAGAGGAATGTCATTGAGAGTTTTGCAGCACCCATGACTAGAATATTGGTAAAACTGGATCCTGGGTTTATTGGTAAGCAAGGTCAGATTGGAGAATTTCTTATGCGTGGGTATTGGCAAGCGGATAGTTTTGATGATTGGAAGAAGAAAGCTAGACAAGGGTATTTGGAGCATAATGCTTTGATCAAGAAACTGGTGCCTAAGGAAAGATTGTTGGTGTATAAGTTGGGAAGTGGGTGGGAACCGTTGTGTGAGTTTTTGGGCAAGGAAATTCCTGATGTTGAGTTCCCGAGGGTCAATGAGACTGAAGAGTTGCAAGAGAGGGTATTCTTGTGTTTGATGCTGGGGTTGAGGAGGACGGTGTTGCGTTATGCGAAGACGCTGCCGTTTACGGTACCATTGTTGATCTCGAGTTGGTACCTCTGGCGCATTGCTAATTGACTATCGAGCTGATATCACAGTGCTCGAATTTATTCTCTGGCATGAACTGACTATTGATAATGCTAATCGTACCTGAGTTTCGCCGTCTCCAGTGGATATCAATTTGCTCAAACTTGCTCATCGTTGACTTTATATGGTTTCAACTTCCAATCAGCCCATGTCATGATCTAAGCAAGGTTTCTACGATTCTTGACTCTAGACACGTGGTCATCGACGTCTGTCGATTCTGAACACAGGCATTCTACCTGGACTTTCTACTCTTATCTTCGCTTTCTACGAACCATCATGAGTAATCCTCCATCCCTCAAAGGCTTTCTAAAAAGATTCCTGTCGAAACAAAAGTCATGCAACGAAGACTTGCCTCCATACTCGGAATTTGATCCACTCGAGAAAATACAAGAGCCTGAAGAAGCATCGCAGAGCCACAAGCTACAGAGGGTCGCAGCCTTGCGTCGGTCGATTCCAATATCCAAATCCTCACGATTCGATTCAGAGATTGATACATTTCCCTGTCAAAAGTGCTGTACGAATACCATGGCGCGCCAACATACCATGACGAATCAAACCTTTGAAGAGGCAAAAGAGGCATCCTTCGGTAGATGTCACACTTCCATGAAGCATTTGTTCACCGGCTGACTTTTGAGCTTGTTGATCCAAGATTACTATTCAACCCATGAACATAATCGTCAGCATGATGTCGTCGAGAAAGCCACCCAGGGGTCAGAAAATTCCCCTGGAGAACCGGCAGCAAATGAGCACCTGAACACCGAAGATAGGGCCATGTACCCAGTAAAGCGTGCAAACCGCACGGTAGACTACGAAGAAGGGTCTCTTGGGAGTTCTGTCGAAGATCTGATCGAACTTGTGAGAAAAGAGCGAGAGACGTGGAACAAAATTTACCAATTGCTATATGGTAGCGGCGACATGAATCAAAATACCCCAGATGGGATACGGATAGATTACATGACACAGATCGGTACCGAGTCTGAATGATCCTGTTACTACATGACATATCAATAATAGCATCCAGATATGACCCTCGTCTCTCTCCTGATGTAGCCCACTCACTGCCAACACCAACTTCACTGGTGATGAGGACGAAATCAAGTCCTTTTCGAGAGGTTTATCCATCAGCATCTTTACAGCGGGCTCCGGATGGGAAAGGTTGACATCATCGAGCGTATAAACATGAGTGCATCAATCTGTTAATGCTTCAATCGCCAGTCCGTGGGCGACCACTTCTTCATCAACACGTTCTCCAGAGTATCTGTAACCATACAAGAATGGGTATGAACGGTCTCGAATACTGATCGAACTTTTGCCACGGCCTTGTCATCATACTTTGCATGTCGAGGCTTGGAGAAACACAACGTGCACGACTGAAGTGTTGCCCACTAAGAAGATCACCATTTGTTTCTCCTTTCGGCAGGCAGCATTCAAATCGATTCTGCAGGGACAACTGGGGCAGTCGGCATCCTACCAATCTCGTCAGATGTTGCGAATAGAGAGTCTTTGCTGAAGATGAACGGGTGAACGGGTTGCTATCATGGTAGTAAAGTTTGGTCATAGATCCTGCATTATCCTACGATCAATATGACAAGAGTCCAAGAAGAGTGTCGCTTCCAAAAGCTGAAGAAGTCAAACACAAGCCAAGAGATTGATTGAGTGGTTTCAAGAACGATCCAAAGGTGACAACACATTGCTCACAGAAGTTACACTTTTAAGGATCGCAGTCATGGGGAGAACAATGACGATTTCGAGAGGCAGAAAAAGTGAGCAGACCCATCATTCAGGAGTAGGTTTGCTTCTCTCACGACCTAACACTATGATGATGATGTTGACTTGTTTCAAAATACTTATCCAGAGCAGCTGAGTGAGATGAGAATGGCAACCCCGTGTAGAAAGAATTACCTAGCCTGATCGCTGGAGGTGGGGGCGTTGTGGGTCCTTGACCTGAGTTGAGAAGATCCACCCATCACGAGTAAATGGAATGTGGACGTCAGCGAACAGGCCCCAGGCTAGAACGCTAGAAGCATGGATTTTGGTATGTTTAGAAGCAAGGCGGAGGTTCGCAAGATCATTGACGCTGAGAGCTCCATCCTTAACTACCATAGCGAGAGCATCTCAGAGTAGTATTCTCATGGCCGCTTTTGAAGCAGTCTTGATCTTCCCATAGTATCACGTATATAACGTTGGATGGGCTGCTGCTGAATTGACAGCCAGGTTGGGTTGACGCTTCTTCGGGCCCTTCCACTGAGATGGAGCGGTTTGGGTCGATTCGCTAGTGGATTGGGGTGCAGCAGGTTGACTGGGTTGGGTCATAAGTTCAGTGAGCTTGGCTCCTTCGTCGACATCGAGTTGGCCTTGGGTCCAGTGATGACTGGTGCAGTAGATTCAGCGTTCACCCGCAAGGTCTGTGGCACCTGCACGGGGGGCTTGCCCATAGGGCAGTGACATGACGGAGTTGCACCTTGCCAACCAGGCAGAGACGAATGCTTTTATAGTGTGAGGGAACAGGTGAAAGGGACTGACTGAGTCGGTGGCTCTCAATAAGATTTATTGGTAGGAAATTGTAGATTGATCTATTCACGTACACACATACCCCTCCACCAACGCCATGCACTTTTTTTTGGAAAACAAAAGTCAAAGCTAAATGACGACATTATCAACAAGTGTTGTCTCTTTACGAGGAACGCATCTCCTGCTGGCCATCTGTGCCAGGAATGTGCTCATCGGTTCTGAAAACAGCCTTCATGGCATCCTCGAGAATGTTCATGCCCTGCTCAATCTCAGACTCGGAGATGATAAGCGGAGGAACGAATCTGAGGGTATTGGTTCCGCAAGTGATGATCAAGAGACCGCGTTCACGGGCGGCGGTGATGACAGGAGTGGGGTCTTGAGACAGCTGGACACCGAGCAGGAGACCACGTCCACGGACTTCGGTGATGACATCGGGGTACTTTTGCTTGAGCTGCTCGAAGCGCTTGCGGAAGATCTTCTCCTTCTGGATGACGCCGTCCTGGATCTCGGCGCCGGACAGACGACCAACGATGTAGTGTGCGAGACGGGAACCAAGAGGGTTGCCACCGAAAGTGGTTCCGTGGTCACCGGTCACGATCTTGCTAGAGACGTTCTCAGTGACAATTGTAGCACCAATGGGGAAGCCGTTGCCGAGGGCCTTTGCGGTGGTCAGGATGTCGGGGTGAGCTTCCTTGGGAAGAGCACCGTGAGCCCACATGGTACCAGTACGACCAAGACCGCATTGAATCTCATCGTAGATCAAGACGGCGCCAACTTCTGTGCAGCGACGACGAAGGGCGAGAAGGAAGTCGTCGGTTGCAACATTGACACCACCCTCACCCTGAATAGGCTCGATGATGACACCGCAAGTCTTTTCGGTGACCAAGTCGTTGATGGCGTCGATGTCGTTGTAGGTGCCATACTTGAAGCCAGGAACCATGGGACCGAAAGGCTTCTGGTACTTGGGGTTGGGAGTGGCAGACAGCGAGCCCATTGTGCGGCCGTGGAAAGAGTTGTGGAACGAGACAACCTCATGCTTGTTTCCTGACTCATCGGCCATGCGGCCACACTTGCGGGCGAACTTGATAGCAGCCTCGTTGGCCTCGGAACCAGAGTTGCAGATGAAAGCTCGTGCTGCGTCAGACATGGCTCCCGACTCGACCGTCTTTTCTACGAGCAGCTTGGACAATGCACCAGTCCAGGGGTTGTGGTATAGGTTGGAAGTGTGAACGAGGGTTTGCGCCTGGTTGGAGCATCAGTATGGGTGTATTGACTTGTAGGGCAAATTTGTGACTGACTTGCTGAGCGAGCAGCTTGGACATCTCGGGATCACAGTGACCCAAGGCATTTACGGCGATTCCTGATGTGAAGTCGAGGTATTGTCTGTTCTCGACGTCCCACAAGAAGCAGCCTTCTCCCTTCTGGAACATGGGCGGAGGGCGAACATAGGTAGGGACCATGTAAGGAGTCGACTGGCCTACGAGACGGCTGGTCTGCGAGTCTGACGGAGGATCTGGTGTGGCCAGAGATGCCTCTTTCTGCTCATTGTCAATTCACTCCATGGGACATAGTCTCAGCATGATTGCGCACTTGGATGGCATTCTGGAGTCCGGCAGGCAGGTTGGATGCTGTCGGCGAGGCATAACCACGGCGGAGAGCCAGTGACGGTCTGAGCGATGCGCTCAATCGCGAAGAACAAATACGGAAAGACATGACGATGGATATACAAGAACAGAAACAATTCAGACAAATGACAACTTTTTCCCCGGGCAGATGGCAGCTGCTCGTTGAGTCATGAAACTTTTCTTATCAAGGTGGGACTTCGATATGCAATTGTTCGGTCCAGAACGGAGTCATTCCCGATCTCGGCTTTGACTTGCCCGGTCTCGCCGCCCTGTATGTGCCTCAAGACTCTATGACAGCTCCAACCTCTTGACCACCACGCGTCAAGTACGCACCCAATGCATTTACAAGACAGACATCCAACATGTCAGTCAAACAACGCTATTGGTCCCATGCAGCTTGACTGTCTTGGTTGTCTATCTCATGCAATAAATGGCTCCAATCACATGCACAGCTTTTCCTTGCGCGGTGCGATGACGTACCCATAACCTTGAACACCTGAATGGCCAAGTGCTCTCAACGACCATCTGTGTATTCGCAATCAATACCGTTCATAAATTGAAGGTTTCTCTACAAACTAGTCGATCATGATAGTCATCGATCAGATTCGCCAGCTTCTACAGGTACAGCCAGTACCATCAAGATGGCATCTCTTCGAGTGGTGTGATTTGGCTATGTAAGTACAGCATCGACACATATTCCCAGAGGACCCTTTCGAAATTCTCTGTATCTTGCTGCCCGGTATTGGCAGCCATATGCGTCCAAGTGAATACGAGATTCATACACATTTTCTGACTTCGTTCGTCCAGAACGCCGTCATTTATCAAGCACTGTTGCCAGGATATGCTTACTGCTCAATGGACACGCAAACTTCCGATTATACAAACGACAGCTCCGGCAGAATTGGCAGCTAGACTCATACATTCCTTTCTCGATGATTTTCCAGATATCGACACAGAGCAGTATTTCGTGATCGACTTTTGCTCTGGAGCAGGAGGTAAGCATATTACGCTATTGAAGAGCTGTGATATTATCACAGCTATAGAAGAGCTATGATGAGGTCGACTCTAGCACTTAGATCCACGACTTGTGCTTTTCTGCAAGAGAACAATACCCAAGCGAGAAAAAATTATCACTCATGCGAATCAATCCATGATTTGTTGGAGGAAGATCACAGCGTCGACCTCTTTACAGATCAGAGTCCTAATAGACCCCATCCATAGGTCCCACCCCTGTGATCGAAAAATCAATAAACAAAACCCGAACCCGCTTAAACCAACCACCCATCCCCTTCCGCCTCTCCGACATCCATCCGAACCTCGACGCCTGGATGCTCTTATCCTCCCACTCTGCCAACCTATCTTTCATCCCTCAACCCGTAGACGCCACCTCCCCTTCTTCCTCTCCTCCCCTTGTCATCTCCAAAACCTCTTCTGTGTCAACATCCACAGGCGATCATAAATCCATTCACCTCTACAATCTTGCTTTCCACCATTTTGACGAGGAAAATGCACAGAGTGTCATGAAGGGAGCTTTGGAAACTGCAGATGGGGTTTGTATCCTCGAACTTCAGGATAGGAGTTTGGGCATGTTGGGACTTATGTTGCTTGAACCTTTTCTCCTTTTCCTCGTCACAGTATTCTGGTTCTTGCATCATCCTTTACATATTCTTTTTACTTATGTTTTTCCTATCTTGCCGTTTGTGCAGGCTTGGGATGGGGTGGTGAGTTGTTTGCGTACACGCACCTTTAGAGAAATGTTGGTATTGGTGGAAAGTGCTTTGGGCGAAAAAGCGAGGATTGTGGAAGATAGAGCTGCAGCCGGAGTGGGCGAGAAGATCACTGTGGCAGAGTGTGGTGGGTGGAGGTTTGTGGGTGTGAGGAGGTTGCATACTTGGCCTTTTGGATACATGAATGCTTTTCTTGCGAGGAAAGAGGTGTGAAAGGGTCGTTTGATTTAATTGGAAGCCTGGGCGAGGGAAGATGTGTTGAAGTACTGCAGAGTGTCAAATTGCTCTCGGTATACACAATGCAGATCATCCTGATAGAGATGATGAGACACAGGCCTTGCCTTGACCTACTCCGTTTCAGACTGCCACCATTTCACCGCTAACCCTTCGCAAATCAGATTCATTTCAACGACTGCGAACATAGATCTAGCAAAGACAAACAACGCTATACATTTCAGGTATGAAATAATGATATCTAACAAACTAACAAGGAAACAACTCCTATGCACCTAACTTCCCATCCATGACTTTTTGCAAATCTTTGCACACACACACGACTCTTTAAGCTCTGCTAGCTCTGTTGCGGTGCTCATCTCTCTGGCCCTGACCCTTGGGTGCAAAACGGCCCTTGTTAACACCATGATGACCACCACCTCTACGATCGCCAAACGAACCACCTCTACCACCTCTACCACCACGTCCACCGCGAGAATCTCCACGACCGCCACGACCACCTCTGCCACCACGGCCAGCAGACCCACGCTCGCCACCAAGACTCCTTCGTTGGGGTTTGGCACGCGCATCAGCAAACTCCTTGACATCAACTTCCATTTCATCGTTGTCATCATCTGCGGCATTCTTGTTTCCACGGTTCTTGAATTTGAGTTTTCCGCCGCGGCCGCGGATGGCTGCGTCTCTGCCTTTGATGGCTTCGACGTAAGCATTAATTCCATCTTCAAGACTTGCAGCGTTGCCATTATCATCGAACTCCATGATTTCGTCGTCAGAGTCTGCATCGTTGAAGACAAGTTTGCCGTCCAGGTCCATCTTGGCGGGTTTGCGGGTTGCAGGTGCAGTGCGTGATTTAGAGGGGATGGTGGAAGAGATGTTGGCAAGGGCTTTGCGGTCCAGCAAGTCGAGGGGCTCGTCTTCGTCTTCGACGATGAAGGTGTTGCCGCCCGCTGACTTGGCCTTGCGGCCCTTGGCTGCCGAGCGACCCAGCACCTCGTCGTCGGAAATGTCAGAGCCAGAGTCGTCTTCGTCACTGCCGTAGACTTGCTCGTCGTATTCTGACTCGAATTTGCCTTTGCGTGTGGTTGTTGCATCGTCGGCTTCGGCATCGTCGTCCTTTCCAGCTTCCTTCTTTCTCTTTGCACGGTCGCGCGATTTGCGGATGTTGGCAATGAGTTTCTTGTCTTCTTCGGGGCAGTGCTTCTCAACGATCTCGACACCGAAACGCTTGATCATGCGCTCGAAAATGTGCTTGACCTTAAGCTTGAAGTGGGCCTTGTGCTCGTGACTCCAAACCATGAGGTTGGGGATAAGAGTCGCAAGACGGGGACGCATGAGATCTGTGGGAAGAGAGAGCACGCAAACCTTGACGAAACCAAGGCATGATCGTACGATTTCACGGTTGGCAGATGTGAGGAACAGATCCATTGTTTGGACGAGGTCAAGGATAACAGGCTCGGAGAGGGTGTTGCGGAAGTCGTAGAGAAGGCGAGCGAGAGCAGTGATGGAGGCGGAGATCATGTGAGGAGTGGATCCAGCAAGACCAGCGGAAACCATGGTGAAGTATTCTTCCAGACTGGCTTCTACAGGAGCGGCATCATCGGGCATGTGAGGGACCTTTGCGTTAACAACGGTACCACCTTCGGCCATCTTCTCACCCATCTGGACAAGAAGTTCAAAAGCGGCAGTTCGTGCCTTCTCGTTGACCTCCTTTGCGCTGATGACGACTTCGGAGAGGATGGAGGGGATAAAGTGGAGGTCTTCCTTGGGAAGGGCGGGGATGATTTGAGAGATGGCAGTCAAACGGTCGCGACGAGAAGGTGCAGCAGCCTTAGGACCAGCCTGGAGAAGGAGTTGCTGCAAGTCGGAGTTACGCTCGACGATAGCTGCACGACCAGATTCTGATTCAGCAAGACGAGGAATTAGCTTGTAGGCCTTCTTCTGCAGCTGCGGGTCAGCGTCGTTGTTGACGATGATGGCGGCCATGTTGAAGAGTCCAGCAAAACTCTCACGAGGAAGGTAGATAGAAATTGTGATGACCAGATCCATAAGAGTGTGAGACATGGGAGGCATTTTGTTGGGACCCTTGGTTTCCTTTTGCTTGTCGGCTTGGGTCTGAGGTCCGCTCTCACCGAGAGATGATTCGAGCATAGAAGCGACACGGGTGAAAGTTTCCATCAGCTCTGCCTCAGGAGTGATACTGAGGTAGGCATTAATTGCCTGGAGAATGGTTCCACGGTATTGAGGTAGAGTCTCGCTGTAGACGTTGAACAAAACGGCGAGAATGTTACCAGCAAGTCCTGAGAGATGCTGAATGTTCTTCTGTGCGTCAGCTCTGGAGACTCTGCCTTGTGCGACGAGGTCTTCCTCGCCCTCGATGGAGAGCACGGTCTGGTTCGACTCGACCATGTTCTGGAGGGCTCTGCAAAGTTCAGTACGGAGCTGAGGTTGCGAGTAGAGGAGGTTTGCGACCATCTCAGCAAATGTTTGATCGAAAGCTTCAGTGACGTCCAGGGGAAGGTCACAGTATCCGGGAAGAGTGGCCCAAATCTGTGAAACAATGGTCTCAAAAATCTTGATCTCCATAGTCTTCTCGGCAGCGCCGTGGTTCAAGACACGCTGGAACATGGCCTCACTGAGAGGAACAAGCTCGGCACGGAAGTGAGCGAGGCGAGTGTTTCTGACAGAGTCACGAAGGATAGGGAGCATCCAGGCACGTCCAGGTTGTCCGGGAACAGGCTTGGTCAAGTTGAGCGGCAAAATTTCAAGAACATTGTCAGGTCCCATGGCAGTAATGGCCTTTCCGAGAACAGCGTCTGCCTCCTTCTTTCCAGAGAACGAATCATTTCCACGGAGATCACCAACAGTCTTGACAGCAGTGTTGAGGATACCCTGAGAGCGCCACTTCAATGTGTCGAACATGGCACCAATGACGGAAAAGACCTCCATCCAGGCAGATTGATATTTGATGCTGAGGAGATCATTAACCTGGTTTCCAAGACTCTCAAAGACCTTCTCGTCGTAAATTGAAGGCTCAAGGAGAACTGAGTCAGGAATGCAGGTGTTCAGGAAAGAGATCAGACATTCCGAGGCAGAAATGCGGATGTTGTGCGAGGAAGAAGCGAGGAAGGCGGAAATTTGGGTGAAAAGTGTTGGTAATTTTGCAAAAGTCTCCTCGGGGTCGAGCTGAGCGGCAACATCGTATCCTCTTGAGATGACGGCAATCCAAGGAGGAAGGAGTTGCGAATCGTTCTGAGAAGGCTGAAGCTCGCCAATAACCTCCAACAAACGAGGCAGCTTTGCAGCAGAAACCTCATTGGCCAAACCAGCAAAGATAATCTCAAAGACCTCGAAAGCGGACATGACAAGGAATTCGTGGCTGGACTTCGAGATTGCAAGCAAAAGCTCACACAGCGAGTCGATCTTGCGCGACGGCCATCCATTTGCAGCAGTGGCGATAACCTTGACGAGTTGCAAGGCGTGCATCAAAGCAGGGTCGTTCTCTTGTTCCTTTGCTCCTTTCTTTGCCTTCTTGGCTTTTGCAGACTTCTCAGCAGCATCCTGGAGCAAGCGCATCGAGGTTTCGGCAGCCATGTCGGAAGCTGGGTGATCGAGCGAAGGGCTGGGTGGAGGGTTCTTGAGGACATTGCTAAGAGCATCCTGGGCTCGCTTGCGGACCTTGGGACGGTGGTCGGCGGCAAGACCAAGCAGACCAGAGACTGCGCGACGAGGACTTAGCGACGAAGCAGGGAGAGCCCAGGCTTGAGCATCTTGTGCAACCAGCAACGATTCCAGACATCCAATACTCGAGCGTAATAAGGGGGCCTCTGCTTCCGGGTGTGTAAGAGCGGGGGCGAGACTGCCTAGAATCTGACTAAATTTTGAGCGCAACAGAGGCGCGGGAACGTGAGGGGTGACGAGGTCGAGAAGGTATACAACGGCGTAGGCGGTTTCCTTGTTGGACATGTCAAACTGCGCCAGCAGCGACAAAAGAGCTGCAAAGTAGGCAGTGGGTGTTTGTTCAGCATTCTGTGAACGCAGAGTATCTTCGACTGCGCCGAGCACGACAGCGGTCTGAAGTTCTTGTTAGTTGATATGGCCACAAAACAGATGGAGCCACTCACCTGCTGCATGCCCGACAGCTTGGGCTGCGACCTGATCTTGTCGAGTCTCTCGTTCAACGACATGGTCGACATGATGTGTGTACAAGCAAGCGACTGGTCAAGTCTCGGTCAGCCTCTCCAAGAGAGAACTTTCTGATCCCCGACAACTTGCAACTTTCTTTATCGATAAGTGCACGGTCCAATTGTCGAAGAAGTGGAATGGACCCTGATCAAACCATTGTTGTTGATGCTACGACCCTGGCTTGATTTCTTGAATTGTTCATTTGGAACAGCAGTGTCCTTCTGTGATTGTTTTGCTGATATGATTGCTTTAGCATGCTGGAAATACATCACTACTGTATTCAAAGTCGTTCCCATACATATTGACCACAACCCAGGTTTTCTGATTCGATTCCAAGTATTGGCATCTCATGTGGTTCTTGCACCCACCTACCGAAGACCATTTTCGGTAACTAGTACACCAAAATCTGCAGTCGAAATGCCGAAGGTTATAGTTCTTCAAGAAACAGACCGTGGTCGTGATTCTCTGACTTCACAATGCTACCACAGACAAAGCATACTGTATAGTAGGTGTGAGCAACCCCAATTTACACATTGTTATAATATCTATGAGTAGACAAGCAAGATAACACAATCGAGGAAGACATACATAACACATGCCCATCGCGGCTGCAGGCAACAAATAGTCTTGCATTGTCGACCTCCACCAAGATCTCGATGGAGCGACTAGGCTTTGCTTCGTTTTTTCCCACGTCGTCTCACTCGAGGAGGCGGCAATTCGTCCACGTTGGTGCAGCTAATCCCAAGCTCACGAGAATCGATCAGGTCCGAAGGCTCCTTCTCGGTCTTGCTAGTGATGCTAAAAGTACGAAGCACGAAGAAGGGGAAGACCCTTTGGTATCCCTTTCCTGGTAGACTGTTAAGTGGCGCGAATGTCATCCTTAGCGTATGTCTTGTTGTTGTGCATCCAAACTTCTGGAAAGCCCTCAACGTCTGGAGTTACAAAGCAAAATCGCACCTTCGATGCAGTAGCAGAACATACACCCGGCTCTTCGAATAAGAAAAAACCCACATCAGCAAGATTAAGGGTTTTGCAATATCTGTCGTTTGGTTTGTGTTGAAGACGCGAAGATGAAGATGTTTGAAATGATGGAAAGGAACGAGACATCTCACTCTTCTCCGAAGCGAAGCAATCTCGCTTTCGGAAGACCACGATTGCTGGTGAATGAACACAAGAAAGGAGCTATTTGTAACAACCGAATCGTGGCTTCTATTACCAAAGGATAAACATTCGGGAAAGTGAAGTGCTATAGATATGAAATTCGTCTGCATCATTTTTACGTGAACAATACTAAGTAGGGGGAATTAACGTACAAGAGGACTGCAAGAAAGAAAGGAAATGTATCAAACGCTTCATGAAGCGGCATCTAACTTCCAGTCTCGGTCTCAACACCAGGCTGTCTGCCATTGAGACCACCCGTCAACTTGTTCCTGATCTTTCTGAGACCAATCTTGCCCTCGTCCTTGGCAAACTTGAGGTTGCGTGCTGGCTTCCATTGCATCAATCCACGCTGCTTGCGCTGTTCGGTGCGCTTGTTCTGTGCGTTAGCGTTCTTAGGACTTCCTCCGGTGTTGGGGTCTGAGAATGTGGAGTTGGTGCCTGCGTACGAGTCGTAGGAGCTTCTACCGCCAGTAGTATCGGTAGCGTATGACTTTCTGCCTGCTCTTTCGGCGGAGTTACCGCCTTGGTTTTCGGCATTCTCTGCGTCTAAGATGCCGAGATCATTGGATGAGTCGTCGCTTGAATCACTGTCGTCGTCCGAGCTAGGGTTGTGAGGATCGTGGAGAGGAGGTTCAGCACCAGGCTCGCGACGCTTTCTGCCTTGCGAGTCCATGTAGGCCTTGGGATCCTCACCAAATGCTCCACTCCAGTCAGTGCCTTGCTTGCTGAGCCACTTCTGCTTCTCATCGGGCTCTTCCTCCTTAAGGATGTCGCGACCTTCTGTGAGAGACTTTTCGTGTAGGGCTTGTACGCGATCAGGCATCTCCTTTTCGACCAATCTTGTACGAACACCCTCAGCAACACATGCCTCCCAGGTTTCGTAAGTCTCGCGAGAGTCGTTGTCAGCGACAAAGTGCTCGTGGCTCTCATCCATACCAGCCTTGAAACGACCAGTGAACTTTAGACGACCAACCTCCTCCAGATCATCCAAGCCAGGCATAGACTTGTTTGCATTTTCCTCTGTGATATAGTTCTGAGTCAATCTTGCTGGAGCAGATGTTTTCCAGATAGGAATGTCAATCTCGGTGGACTCATTGTCAACAAGGTGTTGGAGCCAAAGAATAGCATGGGCATCCGCCTTACGCTTGCCAGACAAATGGAACTCAAAGACGACAGGACTGCGGTAGCGGTATTTGACTGGAAGACGAATAGGCTCCGACTTGTCGTTGTGCTGCACTTCCCATTCGAGACCATTGTCAGTTTTGTGGCATTGTGTACGAGGAATCTTGCCAATAGAACCGCCAGTACGCATCTTGAGCTTAGCATTGTGACTGTAGCCAGTTGCGGTAATTCTCTCAGAGAGGAATTGGAATGTACCGACATCCCAGCCGAGCATGTTGGGAGGGAGACGTGTCTCGATGCTGCGGAACAAAAGCGAGATACGAATGCGACCAAACCCGATACCGCCGTCAAGAGGGTACCATCTGGTGACTTGCGAGCTTGTCTCCATAACATCGGACAACTTGAGAGGTACAACTCCAAGAATGGGGTCGTGCTCACGGTTGCGAGAATCACGTACTGTGACAGTGACGACGGCAGATCTCCAGTCGCGAACGAAGCGCTCAGTACCGGCATTGAAGATGGGCTGACTGCTGACTGCCTTGGCACGAGTTCTGTAGACCAATTCATCGTTGTAAAGGATGGTGCAGTAACTGGTAGGAAGATGGTCACCCTCTTCATCAGTGCCTTCGCCACTGGGCTTGGCAGGCTCGTACTCTCTGCCCTTGCGACTGCCTTCTGTACCCTTGACGTTATCAAGTTCGAGGTTGACAATCTGGTGGACAACGATACTGCAAATACCACTGGGCCAGAGAGGGTCTGGAGGTGTGTGCTGAACAGCATCATCAGTGTCAGTGTTAGCCACACCCTTCTCGTCCTGGAGCTCGGGCTTGTCGCGAAGGTTCTCAGGAAGTGCGTGGTCTTTGCCATCAGTACGAAGGGCAGGTCTGAATTGAGGCTTGCCGAAGAAGCCAACCTCCCAGTGCAGCTCTCCGGGCATCTCACTATCAGAGTCCATACCGGCAAGCTTCGAAACTTGAGGATACATCTTGCCAGGGTGCTGGATCATCTTTTGCATGGACAACTCGACCTTGCCGACAATATCGTCGGCGGTGTGACGATCAGAGTCCCAAAGCTCAACACTCAGATTCTCATCGGCCTTGATTAGTTCAGGGGTAACGAGAAGACTAGAAACATGTTAATAAGATATTCTCAGCCGTCAAGGAGTACACTTACGCAGCAGTTTCTTCCCAGATAGGGTTCAGATCGTCGGTAATAACGCGAGTGCAGTACATGGGCTTTCCGTACTTGGAGAAGGAGAGGGTAATGTATGGGTCGCTGCCTCCATATTTGCTGCCTCGCTTGTCCTGCTTGCTGAGACCAACAGCACGATGAATGCGGATCCACATGACACCGAGAGCTTGAACGTCCTTGGTAATGTCGTCGCCTTGAAGCATAGCTCTCATGTCAAGAGACATCGACTTGGGAGCGACGTACATGCTAGCAGCCGCACCAATCGCGTAGTTGACGAAGTTTGAGATGAGCGGGAGGTTGAGGATGTTGACACCCTTCTCGACCATAGGAATACATCCTGCTGCCACGTGAGGCACGCCCATAAGCGTGAAGGTGACTGTCTTGAGGAAGGGGGGTTCAGGTGTCATAGCCATGCGCAGTCTAACAGTGCCGACCAGCTCTTGCAGCTCGACAAAGATAGGAAGAGGAACACCAAACAGACCCTTGATACCAAGATAGAAGACCAGTTGCATGTGCATGTTTCTGGCTCTGTCTGAGGCTCTCTTGCCAGAAGGAGCGGCATGGTAGGCGAAAGAGACTTCGAGGTTGTAGTAGTCACCACCCTCCTCATCAGCAGCAGCCTCTTGAGGATCCTTGGTTTTCTTGTTTTCCTCGTGAATTGCTTGCTTCATCTCTTTCATGTGCTCATCGGGAAGAGCGCGCAGACTGAGGATGCGGATGGGGTTGCTGCCCTGGTTGATCTCTGCTACGCGGACATTCTCGATAATACCGGGGACGGACGCTTGCATGACATCCTCAAGGGTATCGGCGACACTCTGGAACATATCCGGATTGACGAGACCCCAGACGACTCCGAGCAAAGTGTTCATCCATTCGACTGATTCGGGAAGGAGGTTTGCCGTGGCCTGTATTGCGATCATCAGCCTTATCGCCTCCACTTGCAGTCATCTACCCATGTACTCACCGTTCTGCCTCTGGTCTTCTCACTGTCCCACCCGACCTCTCTACCGCTGCGAATTACCTCCTTGGCCCAGAGAAAGATACCAGAAGCTATACACATGGCCAGAGGAATGAGGCCCAAAAGACGACCACCGAAAATGTTTCCAACGAAGACAATGCCCAGGAAAACACCGATGCACAAAGCACTGGCTTTCTTCTCCATGGCAGCGAAGAACGGTTCATAGCTGACAGAGGGTGTAGGGTGGAACAAGATATTGGTCTTCTCGCCATGGATAGGCACGTCTGAGGTACTACCTTCAGCAACGGGGTCCGGAGGGGCGGTCACGTCTTGGGCATGTTTGTACTCAGCCATAGATTGGGATGGATCGCTCTTGACGGGCTATATGCTGTTAGTCGTGGTGCGTGTTTGACATGGTATGCGCGACATACTGTAGGCTTATCGAGGTTGGCGTTTGGTACTGAAAGCTGCTCACGTGTCAGATAGCTCTCTCACAAACATCAAGACTATCTTCTCGTACCACGGGGTTCTTAGCCGCATCCACCATCTCCTTGTTGACATCTTCGATGACCACTTCCTTACCAGTGGTTGGGTCTGTGACCCTTTGCTGATGCTCCTTCACGTGCAGGTCAGACGCCTGGTGAGGGACTGCATCGCCATTCTTCTGAGCAGCTTGCGCCTTTCTCTGTTCGTCGATCTGCTTGTCGCGAGTTGCCTTGTCGCGATCTAGCTTCTCGATGAATTGGTTGATAGTCGGTATCTTGTTCGACCCTGAGTAGTGGCCACCAGGGGCATGCTGTTGTGTAGCATCCGCCATGGTTGATGGAGTCGGACCTGGTGTGAGCGCAGGATGGTGTAGAGAGAGAGAGAAAGAAAGGGCTAGACTAGAGTCTTATTGTCTGGTCCACATGCTACACAGGCTTGCCTTGGCCAGAGAAGATTGACGTGGAAAACTTGGAATGCCGTCGAGGTGGTTGATGGCGCGTTCGTACGCATCTGGCTACGTCATATCTGTGGCTCGATTTCAATGTCTCGTTGTGGCTGCATCGCAAGCTTGGCCGTTGTAACTTCTCGTCAAGACCTGCTCGCCGTCGCGTAAATACTTGGCTTTGTATATCAACAAGAGCCTCATTTACATAACCTATTATTTATTCACACAACTCCAAGCACAGCGGTAGGGAGTTTTACTTTGTGATAATGCATAGTCAAGACGCCCGCGGCATGCCGAAAATCTTCGAAAGCGGCTGCGATAATGACAGATGCGGAGGAAATGGAGCATTGACCAATGATTACTCGGCAGAGGGGTCCCGATCGACAGTCCAAAAGATGCCCATCTGCCAGTTGAGTGACAGGGTCGTTTCATCCTGTTTCTCGTTCCTTGTGCGGTTGATCTTCAGACAATCATGTCTGGCTGGTTTACCTCGTTCCTGAACTGCCGTCTCTGCATAGGCGGTAAGTTGGTAGAAGATCAGTTGGTTGTTTCTGATGATACTGGCCTTATCCTCCCTCGGACTGGATATATTGGTGGTGATGCAGTAGACTTGGAGGAAGGCATTATTGCTCCTGGTCTGCTGGAATTACATACTAATGGTTTGCTCGGATTTCATTTTACCCATTTCAAGGATGAGCAAGAGTATGCTGGTCAGATTGACAAGGCTGCCAAGTTTCTTGTCACGCAAGGTGTGACGGGTTTCTGGGCGACGATACCCACTGTGTCGTCTGATGAGTACAAGAAGGTAGGTTTGGGCTTCTTTCCTCATGTATCTCGAACCAGAACTTCGCACTGTTCAATGCCTGTAAACGCGAGACAAGCAGAGTTTCCAATTGGATGTCTCTTGACATCTAGACCATGGCACTGATAGACCATGGATTACAGATTTTGCCATCTTTGAGGCCTAGGACAATCGACGATAGCGCCTCTCTACTCGGAGCACACGCAGAAGGACCTTACCTAGCACCCTCCAAAAAAGGTGCTCATAATTCGGACCACTTCTTCGACGGCAGTCGTTCGGTGGAAGACGTATACGGACCATCAGCAACATCTTCTGAGACTCTGAAATTCGTGACTCTGGCTCCTGAGCTTCCCGAGTCAACAAAGTTGATCAAAAGTCTCACCAGCAGGGGCATCAAAGTATCGCTTGGCCATAGCGCAGCTAGCTATGAACAGGGCATCAAAGGGATCAAAGCTGGAGCGACCTTGTTGACACACACGCTGAATGCCATGACACCGCTCCACCATCGCGATCCTGGCCTTGCTGGACTTGTCACAACTGCCAACACAGATAGCCACCAAAGCCCATACTTCACGATCATTCCGGATGGCAATCATCTCCACCCTAGCGTAGCCACAATGCTCTTCAGAGCAAACCCCGAAAAGTGTATTTTCATCACCGACAGCATAGAACTTGCTGGGCTGGAAGACGGCGTTTATCCTGGACACGCACAAATACCATTTAAGCAACGCAAGACGGGATCGAAAGTGACAATTGACGGAACAGAGACGCTAGTGGGTGGGTGTGCCAGCTTGCAGGAATGTATCCAAAACATGATGAAGTGGAGTGGATGTAATGTGGCGGAGGCAGTAAGATGTGTCACAGAAAATGTAGCAGACCTCATGGGGGACAAAGATAGAGGAAAGCTGGAAGAAGGACGAAGGGCAGACTTTGTGGTGTTGAATGATGAAGGAGAAGTGCTCCAAACATGGGTGGCAGGATTAAAGGTTTGGGAGAAACGATGAGCAAGACGTCAATCTGGTGATCGGGCGTGCACATTACTATATTGCAGAGACGCGTAGTACCTATAGAGTAGAGTTCGAAGACGGTCGTTGTGGTGTACTGGTGTGAAGCGGCTGTCAGCTTGGACCGCATCGACGAAGGTGGTGTGTCAGAAAGGAGAAGAGCATATAGAACGTGTCTTCCAAATCTCCACCAGTTTTTCGAAAGATTGTTCGTTTACATAGATTGATTGTTCTATAGCGTATGCACAGCAGGGTCCGCTCGACTGCGGGGCGGGTTTGTTTAGCATGGCTTCAACGGCGGTTGCTGCGAACTGTCAAGGGCAAGAACATTTTCATTCAGGAGTTGACAAGCGTTAAACCGGTCGTGATAAAGGGATAGCAAACTTATTCGAGCTCCGAGCTGTCACATGGTCAACCTCAACCCTCGCCCGGGATCTCAGGAACGCAAAGCAATTTAGACTAGACGCAGCCATCCAGACATCAATCCGACAAACAAAGCCTGGGCCAACCACTTTATACGACGCGAATCGTTTCGATCCACCACTTGCATCCTTTTTCGAATGTTATAGATCTCACTACATATAGCGACATGTCGGACAACGAACCAAAGCACAACGACGAAACACTGCAGGCAGAGCAGCATGCCACCAGTCCCAACCATGAGGATGGCAGGGATGCGGTAAGTTCCTCGCTTATTAGCTCTGGCAGCAACTCTCTTTGTTGTCTGCTTTGGGCTGCCATTCGCCTGTGAGCCTCCGACTTATTGATGCCCCTCAGGACACATTCGAAGATGCTGCCGACACGATATCCACTGCCACTGCTCAGCCTGAGCCACAAAACCCAGCAGATCAACCAATCTCGCATCAAGGAGACAATGCCGATGATGAGTCTCGCATAGCCACCGACAAGGTCCACGAGGACGACACAGCGCCCAAACTCTCGACATCGACCGCCCCGGGAGCTTTCGACGCAGACGACATCGAACACATGCTTACCGAAACAGCTGATCACAAGAAAGAGACTGCGCCGGACACCGAGGCACAAGCTTCAACAGTAGAAGACAAATCCCGACCTGCTACAGCAGAGTCGTTGGAACAAGGGGACCACTCTGTGACAGCCGCGTCGGACAAGGTAGAAAGCCGACCTTCGACGGCCAAATCATCCAACGAGGAAGTCGCAACCGCTGGAGGCGCTCAGGACCAGCGTAGCAGCATCGACATCATCAACCAGTCCACGTCCGACAACGACCAAAACGACATGCCTCGAGCTGCCAAGTCACGACAAAACACCCTTGAATCCGTACCCGAGCTTCCCCCTGCCGTGCCCGAAAAAGAGAACGACAACGAGCCCGTAAAGGGTCTATCTGGTGACCTCCCTACTCTCAACTATCCACCCCCACCCCCGCCGCCACAGAAGTCGCAGACGTTCATGGCCACGTCAACAGTCGAGAAGCCTCCTGTCACACGCAAAGTCTCGAGTCCATTTGCTTGGTTCTCGCGAGCTCGGAAAGCTACATCTCCATCTCGCCCAACGAGTCCACGAAGAAACACTGCTTCGTCTTTGCAGAGTCTGACAACGAATCCTGACTCGAATGACGATGGTTCCCATCAACCAACTCTGAAAGACCGCTTCCACATCTTGCGACTACAAGGCGAATCAGCCATATCAGCTGACGAGAATCTGGCTCTACCCCAGGGCCGCCATGGTCGCGCTGGAAGTTTACAGGGTCCCACCAAGGAGGACGGCGGACAACTGAGCCCTCCTTTCACACCTCGAGCAAACTCTTTTTCCGCAATTTCATCGCCCACCACCAAACTTCCTCCTGGTACCGTGGCAGGTGATGCTGCTGGACCTTCCGAAGAACAAACTGAGGTCAACTGGGATCTCTGGCAATCTGTTGTATATGAAGGCCCCTCTGCGGTCGCGCGAACAAGCGGTGACGAACTTATTCGTGCTATCGCGAATGGCATTCCCCAACCCATCCGTGGTGTCGTCTGGCAAGTTATGGCGGAGAGCAAAAATGATGAGCTGGAGCAGGTCTATCGAGAGTTGGTTGCTAGAGGCACCGACAAGGAAGTCACTCAGCCACCTGCTGTTCGTCGTATCAGTAGCACTGGTGAGAAGGAGTCGATCGCTTCTTCTGCGTCTTCAGTGCATTCTGATGTTTCTGCAACCCCTCAGGTGAACGGCAATGACTCCATCGCGTCGCCGGAGAGAAAGCGCATGTCGAAAGATGAAACTGCTGCACTGCAGAAACTTGAGAAAACCATCAGACGCGATCTCGGAGCACGAACAGCCTACTCAAAATACATTGCCAGTGCAGGTCTACAAGACGGTTTGTTTGGCATCTGCAAAGCATATGCTCTATATGACGAGCCCGTTGGCTACGCTCAGGGCATGAACTTTATTGCTATGCCTCTGCTCTTCAACATGCCCGAGGAGGAAGCCTTCACCTTGTTTGTTCGACTCATGTCAAAATACAACCTTCGCTCTCTGTTCACTGCAGAAATGACCGGTCTACACATGCACCTCTACCTTTTCGAGCGCTTGCTCGAAGATTACGAACCAGCACTATACTGCCATCTTCGCAGACGATGCGTGCCTCCAAATCTGTACGCCACACAATGGTTCCTCACACTCTTCGCCTACCGTTTCCCTCTACAACTCGTTCTTCGCGTGTACGATCTCGTTCTCAGCGAAGGCCTTGGTGCCATTCTAAAGTTCGGTATCGCACTTATGCAACGAAACGCTCAGACCTTGCTCGGAATGAAGGATATGGTCCAACTATCTACTCACCTCAAGGAACGTCTCTTCGATGTATACATCGATAAGTCACCTTCTGCTACCTCCATCTTGGAATCTGGCTTTTTCGGCTCTACCTCAGGGTCGGACAAGGAAGTCTATCGCGCAGATGAACTCGTCCGAGATGCTTGTGCCGTTGTCATTACCCCCGAAACACTCGCCGCCTATACCTCAGAGTTCGAAGAGAAATCCCGCGCCGAGAGGGACCGCGAAATCGAACTGGAGTCACTCAGAAACGAAAACGCAAACCTCAGCACAAGAGTGAGAAAACTGGAATTACGCACCCAGCAATCCGATGCCGAGCACGTGGACCTGGCTTCTTCTCTCGTACGCACGAAAGTAGAGAACGACTCTCTGTTAGACGAAAACGAAAGTCTAAAGATGCAAGTCGAGGAACTGAGAAAGATGGTCGACAAGCAACCGCAAGAAGTTGAAGACCGCTTGAAAGGTGAAATGGATAAAATCATGGCGAGAAATATTGAAGTTCAAGATAGTAATCGTGGACTTGAGGAGCAGGTGCAAGAAATGGAGCAGGAGTTGGTGGGGACGAAGATGATGTATGCACAGGTAAGTTTTTGATCTCCATGTCAATGGCTGTTAAGATGGATGAATTGCTGACGTTAACCAATAGTTGAATGCCGAACACGATGCCCTCAAGCAAAAACTGAGGGATATCCAGAATATGCTGGCGAGCACCGATGAGCAGAAGTAAAATACCTTTCTGCTTTGCGTCAGCACAACTCCTCCAGAGAGACAGAGAGCTGAGCTCTTTGATCCCGACAAGACTGTAGAGCAGTCTCATGAACCAATTCAGCTTTCTTCTCAGCATTCTTGTTGTATTCTTTTCTTATCTCCTTGGACCTGTTCCTCCTATCAAGAAGACGGAACAGTTCAAGAGACCTTTTTGTATATACACCCTCCCTTCTCAAATAACAATCATGACATACCTTCATCTGCGCTTGTAGCACGAGAAGCTGTACATACAAGAGAAAAGTGAAGCTCTGCTAGCTCTGGTACAACAGACACACATTCAAAACATGTCAGGCCGAAAAAGTGCATCTTTCTTTGAACTCGTAAATCTTTATTTTGTTTCAAAATCGCTACAAGAGAAAATTTTACACCAGCCTACTTTTCTAGTCCAAAAGATCAGACATCTAGAATCTCAAGTCCCAGTCGATCTTAGGACCGATCTTGGGCAGCTCCTCAGCCACACTCTGCACATCCTTGTCACCACGGCCGGAAAGACAGATGACGATATCTTCACCCTTCTTCATCGTCTTTGCCAACTCGATGGCGCCAAAGATGGCATGCGATGTCTCGAGGGCGGGAATGATACCCTCGAGTTGAGACAGCAGACGGAAACCAATGAAGGCTTCGGCATCAGTGGCAGCAATGAACTTGGCGCGGTCGGTGTCCTTCCAGTTGGCAAGTTCGGGACCGACACCGGGGTAATCGAGACCGGCGGAGACGGAGTGTGTGTCGGAGATCTGACCGTGCTTGTCTTGGAGAATGTAGGTGCGTACACCGTGGAGGACACCGTGAGTACCGCCGGAAAGGGTGGCGGAGTGACGGTCAGTGTCTACGCCATCACCTCCAGCCTCAACACCGAGGAGCTTGACGCTGGGGTCCTTGGAGAAGGGGTAGAACATGCCTACTGCGTTGGAGCCACCACCGACACAGGCGACGACGGCATCGGGAAGCTTGCCCTTCATGGCCATCATCTGCTCCTTGGTCTCTTGACCGATGACCGATTGGAAAGTACGGACGATGGTAGGGAAGGGGTGAGGACCAATGGCTGAGCCAATGATATAGTGAGTGGTGTCGAGCTTGACGACCCAAGCACGCATAGCCTCGTTGACGGCGTCACGGAGGGTACGGCTGCCAGCCTCGACAGCAACAACCTGAGCACCGAGAAGCTTGATGCGGAAGACGTTCAGAGCCTGGCGACGGACATCCTCAGCTCCCATGTAGACAGTACACTTCATGCCGAACTTGGCACAAACAGTGGCAGTAGCAACACCGTGTTGACCAGCACCAGTCTCGGCAATGATCTCAGTCTTACCCAGACGGCGGGCCAGAAGAACTTGTCCGAGAGCGTTGTTGATCTTGTGCGAGCCAGTGTGGTTCAAGTCCTCGCGCTTCAACCAGATGTTTGCGCCACCGGCGTGCTCGGTCAGGCGCTCAGCCATGTGCAAGTGACCAGGGCGACCCATCCATTCGTAGTGTGAGCGGTATTCCTCCCAGAACTTCTCGTCGTTGATGGCAGCCTTGAAACCGTCCTCCAGCTCGCGCAAGCAGTCCATCAGCGATTCAGGAACATACTGACCACCAAACTCTCCGAATCTTGCAGGAATAGCACTTGAGTCCATGGGTCCATCGGTGTTGAGAGCCTCGATCTGGTCAGCGAGACCAGGGCCGTTGGGGGTATCTTCTTCCTTGACAACGCCATCAACGTGAATCTCCTCGGGCATACCGTCCTCGTTGGTAGTCTCAATGACGCCGCCCTCACGTGGTTGGGCCTTGATGATGTCTCTGCGCTGGGTAATACCATCCAGGTAGTCCTCGACAGCCTGAGCGCCCTGACCAGCAGGAGCGTCGGCAAGAGTCTGAATGATTTGACTGCCAATAACAACACCCTCAGCCATGCTGCCAATGCTCAAGTAGTGCTCTCTGGTGCTGACACCAAAACCGACAGCAGCGGAAATACCGCCAGAGTATCTGTGAACACGCTCGAGCAGGTCAGGCAGAGCAGTGTTGACAGTTGCGGTAGCACCAGTGACACCCATGCGCGAAACGACGTAGATGAAGGAGTCGGCAATCTTGCACAGCAGCTTCATGCGGTTCTCTGAGGTTGCGGGAGCGATGAGGGGAATGTATGAAAGTCCGATCTTGGAGCAGTGGTTGCGGAAACGAACAGCCTCCTCTGGCGGCAGGTCGACCATGATGAAACCATTGACACCAGCAGCCTTGCAGTCCTTCAGGATCTTGTCCTCGCCGTAGCTGAGGACAGGGTTGTAGTAGCCCATGAGCATGACGGGAGCACGCAGACCTCTTTTCCTTGCATCCTTGACCATCTGAATTGTGGAAACAATGTTGACGCCGTTCTTCAGGGCTTGTGTGTTTGCTTTTTGAATGGTAGGGCCGTCTGCGATAGGGTCGGTGAAGGGCATGCCGAGTTCAATGATGTCGGCACCACCAGCCTCCATGGCCAGCATGATGTCGGGGGTCTCTTGGGGAGTAGGGAAACCGGCAGTCACATATGTGACCAAGGCAGGCTGTAAACATGTCAGTCGTCTGCGAGAGTCGTGTGCGCATTGTCATGACCGACTCTGTTCTCCTGCTTGGCCGTAGCAAATGTTCTCTTGATGTGCTCCATGATGGGTGGTTGTCTGAGACGAAAGAGCTGAACCAAAAAGAGAGGGCGACTGTGCCTGTAGGAAACACTCAAGCAATTGACTTTATGTACAAGTCAAGAGTGTGTGCAGGTGCAATTGGGGTGGACAAGAAAGTTGTGGTGAGTCAAACAGAAAGCGCGACCGACGGCATTCAACACCACTTTCGGGAGTGGCGGGGGCCGTGCACCAAGTTCGCCGACGGGACTCTCGACTCTTGCCCCACCATCGTTCGGCCTGTCTTGTCCATCGACTGTCAATCTTGGCCAGATCTATCAGCTAACCTTCTCGTTCTGAACTTCGACTTGTGAACAATGTAACCGACCAGCCGACATTAGAATGTGGTCCCGTTCACCTCCCTTCATCTAATCTTCGCGAGTGAACCTGCTGCATTCTGCCTCTCGATCTTCAATTAAGGATTCAATCCTGCCATCGGCTTACTTATGCGGCAATACTCCCGAGGTGACTCACAAAGCAGGACCTCCTTGTGGTGACCATGAGTTTGGCAATAATGTCAAAGGTAATAGCCTTTGGTTGTCCACTATGCAACTCCTGTCTCTACCGAAAAGATGATCCTGCATCTTTCATTCTGCAATTAGAAGAAAGAGACTCCATACACGATCCCCTCAAGATTAGTCCAGAAGTGTACGCCCATCAGGTTTGTTGCAAGGACAATTCTGTGTCACACTCATCAGTGCAGCGCTTCGCGGTGCCGACAAATCCTTCAGAGGCTTAGAGACATCCAACACAATCATCTCGGCGCTTAGCAAAACCTCACCACCAGCTTTCGACCTTTGAGCTTTCTCGCCGACCTGAAACAAAGACAATTCACCTGCTTCCATAGCCGCTCAGCGAGTAACAACAGCCATTGTCTACAATAATTCAAGTTGATTGGCTATCACAAGACAATAGAAGCATGTAGGTCCTTCCACAGACAATAAATCATGACAATCCCTGCTTTTGTTCTTTGACCTTCATTCATGGTTTTTTTGTTGACGTCGACACAATCACATTCATTCAATGCTGCAATAGACTTGTTCATTGTTGACACCGCTTTGTCTTTTCTCCAACACTCTTTCAAGTTCTTGCTTGTCCCTTCCCCCTTCTTCTGTTTCCTGCTCTTAGACAACTTCCTCAATTACACAACACACGCTGGACGTACTTCTACCTCTTGAACCTTTAATCAAACCTCGATCGCTTCTCATCTCACAAGCATCGAAGCTTGCAAAATCTCTCAAAGATGCCTTTCAAACAGACTTTTGAAAAACACCTCAACAAAGATCTCGAGTCTAATCGCGACTCGGCTCTCTATCCACCACCTCTTCCTCCTGCCGATCTGGAGTCTCAGCCCTCTCCACCGACACCACCTCCCGCAGCTCCTCAGGTCTTCACCAGCTACCCAGAGCGCAGAGGCGGCATCTATGTCCCCACACCCTTGCTTATTCTCCTGATCCTGGTCCTGCTCTTCGAGTCCAGTGTTCTCTTCGTCTACACGATCGTTGCCCTTTGGAACACTCTACCAATCCCCGTCACTCAGCCTCACCTCATGCCATTGCCTCAACAGCAGATCTGGCAACCAACCACCATCACTTCAATCTCAACAACAACTGAAACCTCTACGTTCAGCACAACGCTCATCAGTACAACTACTTTGAACCTCTCGACCACTCTTCCAGCTTCTACAACTACAATCTCCACGACTGTGGTCCCTACTCCAAGCACCATCCCGCCTGTCACGGTCACTAAACCTGCTCCTACCATTACCGTTACGAGTACTTTGACGCCTTTTGAGATGCCTTCCATCACTACCATGACTATCATGAGTACGACCAGCCAGGCAGACAGCGGCAGCACCACTACAAGCACTACTGTCGTTACTGCTAAGTAGACGACTTTGAGCTCGAGACACAGAGCTTGGGAAGATGCATAAGGAGGAAGTTGGCGTTGGGTTGATGTTTGGGTCTGAGCATTGCATAGCACCGAAAGGATTGGTTTGTTTGCTATTACGCAAGGCCAATGTTGGCAGTCATAGAAGATCAGCAAAGGAGTCTGGTCTTCTTTTTCTTTGGCACATATTCAAAAACAATCAAATCACAGAGCCATCTCGTGCTCCTCGAAAACTCGAAAAGTTTCCCTTGTGTATACGTAAGAATCATGTCTCTTTGTAGTAAGAAAATGAGTCGGTGTATCGTTCCGCATAGACAAAGAACAGAAAATACAAAGACAGGGATAATTACTCTTTATTCTTCTTTTTTGCCTCGTTAAGACCGCTTTCTGCGACCTGCTGTGCTTCCATACCGTGCAATAGTTGTTACTTCCAAGTAGATGAGGAAGACTCTTCTTGCCAATCCTGTTTCGTGTGTACATTGACTCACCTGCCATCGACTCGATGATCTATCATGTATCTGTGCGGGATAAAGACACTTATGCTGTCTACCCGTAAGCCGAGGTCTATGACTCCTCATCAAGTTCGTCGTCCTCCGACTACGCACGGCGCAGATTGTACGTTATGAAAAGGCACAGTGTCTTCTGCAAACATAGGCATGTCCACTGAGTCTATGATTCGTCGCTTCTCGGTGGATACCATCTTGTTTTCTACTAATATTGTGCATTTCTATAGCTACACGTCAGATACTTTGGCACACGGAGAGGATGGATCAGGAAGGTAGTATGAACGGGTTGATCGCATTGCAAAGGCAGATATGTAAAAGAAAAACAGAAACTTTCCTCCGACGCAATGCATTTGAAACTCCAGGATATCCCTCCATCAAAAAGCCTGTATCATTGTCAGATCCGTTGTTTTTGTGCTTTTGCTTTTGAGTTTGTGGATACAAATTTGGAAAAAGGGTCTCCTTCGCCGCTTGGGTATTGACAAAGATGAAAAGAGAAAGAAACGCAAAGGCGACCGTTTTGCCTTGCACTGCCTGCCATGTTGCTGATCTCTTCGTCCTCCATCACTTTGAGCATGATTCATCAGGTTCGCGGAAAACAGAAAACATCAGTGTGAAAAGCAGATGAGGGGCCAGACATTCCTGCCCGAAAAAAGAGAACAAAAGGAAAAGACGAAACAGATGAGTGACCAAAGCACTCTAGGATGCTCTCGAGTTGCATGGATGCCTGTTACCGCCCAGAAACGCCAGAGAATGGGAAGGGGAACTCCGTGAACGCCCGCTCCAGATTATAGCTCAAAGGGAATGCCCTTCTCAGCAGCCAGATTGCGCAGGTAGGCCTCGACAGTGTTGTTGCCAAGATGAATCTCCTCAAGGAAGCGAGTGGTCTCGGTAAGAACGGCACTCTTGCTGAAGCCGCCAGTCTTGAGGTTGGGGACGAGTTCGTTGAGATCTTCATAGCCCTGCTTGATGATGTTGCGGCGCTTCTGCTCAGAGCGGATGTGGTTGCTGCGCTTCTGGTCTTCAGTTAGGTTCTTGCGAGCGATGTTACCGAGCTTGCTGTTTGCACCAGAAGAGGCTCTGCGACGCTTGATGGAAGATTTGGGGTTCTTGTCTCCGTTATCGTGGTCGTCGGAGTCAGCAACGGTGTTCTCGCCATCGGGGCTGGAGTTGGTGACGTGGAAAGCAGGAGAGGTGATGGAAGTGTTGAAGTCGTGTTCGTCAGCACGCTTGGACTTGCGACGCTTCTTGTTCTGAGGCTGATCAGACTCTCCAGTGGAGGTCTGATCAGCGAGGGAGGCGAGAGCCTGCATACTACCAGGATAGTAGTTGTGGACGGCCTTGCTCAAATCAGGCGTGTGGGGAACTGAATTCTCGACAGAAGAGAGTGCGTCGTTGGATGAAGGAACCATGTTGCGCGCAAACTCGACGTGCTGAATGGTGCTTGCTTCAAGGTCTTGGTAGGGAGCAGCGTAACCGGTTTGGCGGAAGTTGTTATCCGTGCCGAAATGGAACAGAGGAGTGCTGGATTGATGAGATGAGGAGGAGTGTGATTGAGGATGAGAGTGAGAGTTTGTTGCCGAATTGTCGAATGATGCACGAAATTGACCATTGGCCGGGGGGTATTGAGTCGTCGAAGAGGTCGTCGGCGCGGGAACTGAGAAGGGAAACGAGGCATGGCGGCTTGTGCTTTGAACGACGGGCTGCTGTTGAGCGACGGGCTGGGAGAAGTTTCCGGAAGCAAGACTTTGACTGGGGTTTGCACGATACGAGAACAAGGTCGACGCAGCATGGAGTACATCTGCAGACGCATTTGCTTCTGGAATGCCCACAAGAGCAAGCAGGTCCTTGGGGTCTTTGGGTGCCTGGAAAGGGCGCTGGTCGTAGTTTCCATTCTGGAATTGGAAGCTCTGCTCTTGAGAAGGATATGGTACGGGGAATGACTGAGTGTCTAGAGGATACATCCATTGAGAGTCATTGAGCTGGTCGTACTGGTGAAGCCTCGTTTCGGGTAGTGTGTTCATGTTGGCCAAGAAGGCTTCGGAGAGGTTGTCTGGGCCTCCATAGTGATCTGGATCACTGAAGAAGTTCTGGAGAGTGTTGGACTCGTCTTTATCAAGCACGGGCGGGCCTTCTGGAGGTTTGTCGGGTTGGTAGGGGAACTCGTCTGTGGGAAGGTCAGCAATGTAGTGGTGGTATGGACGTGCAAGCATGCGCAAGAAGACGCTCACACTCACATCCAAAGGGATTAGTGGACCAAGACGAACGATTGTCTGAAGCCATCATGTCAGGGACGGCAGGAACGAAGGAGGATGCTGCAGTCTGCGCCGACTCGAGTGGCTGCAAGCTGTCGCTTCTGATCTGTGGGGGTGCGCTCGGGTCGGAGAGGGCATCATCCTAGTATGACCAAGGGAACCCGGGCTGGTTCATCGAGTACAGATTGATCGAGTGCTATGGAGAGAAAGTCGGTGGATGGGTAGAGAGCTGGCTCGAGGCTTCTCAAGGCTGAGTCGGAGTGGTGAAAGTCGGAGCAGAAGTGCGAGGTCGTAGGCAATGGCGGGGCACGTGCGCCAAGTGACGAGCAATGGTATAGATAGTGATGCTCTTCCTTAGCTATCCTGAGAGCTGCGAGATGTTCTTGGTCTCGAGTCGCGAGATTCTGCGAGCTGCATCTTGGTTTGGATGATGCGCTTTGCATGTGATGGTGGTCCGAGCGCAGGCACGTGAAGTTGCTGCTTGTGCTCCGTTCCTTCCTTCTTCCTTTCCTTTGAGGATCAACTCTCACAGATACCCATTCCAGCCATCTTCCTGATCCATTGGAGAGACAGCTTAGAATCGCACTTTCCGTCTTTGTGCACGTTGCTGCTTTGTCTGTGTTCACATTGTCTACACATCATCTCATCGCGGCTTGATACATATACGAGGCCATCATGTTGCAGCAACGGTTAGCTCTCTCTGAGCCTTAAGTATATAAACACTGTAGGAGAGGCCCGGGCCATCTGTACTGCAGCCGTCGCTTCTTTATCATATTCTCTCTGAAGAGACTGTCTCATATGTCAAGTGTGCTTGGAGAGGTGCCTTGTCCTCCTCTGAATGCATGCTGACTGCTCTCTATTCAGTCTCGCTAACTTTCGAACTAGTCGCTTATATCAAGTCTTTGTTTTCCTGAATTCTCCAGGCAAGACCGTCCTGTTTCGAGACGAGATGCAACTTGCCGCCTCAGAGACTCCGCATTTGCGGTCCGCATCGTGCCGCTTTGCAGATCTGGAGCCTCTCGTTTGCAGTCGTTAAAGTCACACAAGAGTTCTTGGATGGCGGAAGAATTATCATCACGGGACGATCTGCAATATCAAGCAATTCTTCCGAAACTCTTCGCCTTTGCTTGCGGAGTCCCCATGTTTGAATCGAGCCACCTTATTGATGAATGCTCTCGCTTGTCATGTCTTGGAATGGATGCCTAACAATGCTTATTGAATGCCAACGTACAACTCGATTTGTCTTCCCTCTTTCGTAATACCGCATTGAAGCATAGACTAAGTATAAGTACTTATGTCCTGCCCTCGAGATTTTCCTTGTTCATTTTCTTCTGATCAGTCCCTGTGCCGGTCTTTCTCTCTTCGTCTTCCTCCAAGGCCATGATGAAATCCATTGGTTGGCGCACCAAACCTACCTTGGCCATCTTCTAACTTACTGACTCTCCCAAAGTTCTCCAAACTCTGTCTTTGTCTGGATATCTGGCTTTGGGTGCTGCTATTCCAGCTACAACTCATGCCAGAGCTGTCGATCCCTGCTACGTGACCTCTTATTCTGGCGTTGCCACTGCCGTGTCCTCATGCACCAATATCACTCTTGACAGCATCGCTGTGCCTGGTAACACCACACTCGACTTGACCAAGCTCAAGAATGGCACTACCGTTGTCTTTGCTGGAAAGACAACATTCGCCTATGCAGACGCGAACTATGACATGATCAAAGTCGCTGGTACTGACGTTACCATCACAGCTGAAAAGGGTGCTATCATCGACGGCAATGGTCAGGCTTGGTGGGATGGTCTTGGTTCGAACGGAGGTGTATCCAAGCCCAACCACTTCATCACGGTCAGCAAAGCTGTTGGCTCGTCTGTAATCCGAGATCTCGTCATCCAGAACTACCCTGTACACTGTTTCTCCATCTCTGGCAGTGATGGACTAGTCGTGGAGAATATTCTCCTGAACAACACAGCCGGTAATGCTCCCAACAGCAGGTCCAACGGCCTCGCAGCTGCCCACAACACAGACGGGTTTGATATATCGAGCCTCGACGGCATGGTGTTGAGAGATTCAAGAGTGTCGAACCAAGATGATTGCGTTGCGGTCACTAGTGGCAACAACATCACAGTCTCAAACGTGTACTGCGATGGCGGCCATGGTCTCTCGATTGGAAGCGTTGGTGGCAAGAGTAACAATAATGTTACAAACATCCTGTTCGAGAACAGCAGAGTGCTAAACAGCCAGAATGGTGCAAGAATCAAGACCAATTCTGGCACGACTGGCTACATTGCCAAGTAAGTCGAATACCCTTTTGATCTCTATGTTTCACAGCTAAACTTCTTTAGCATCGAATATCACAATATCCAAGTCTCGAACATCTCTATCTATGGTATCGACATCCAGCAAGATTACCTCAACGGAGGTCCAACCGGAGAACCCACCAATGGTGTCATCATCAAGAACATCACCGTGTCCAACATTAGCGGTATTGCTCAGACGAAAGCCAAAAATTACTATATTCTTTGTGGAGATGGTAGTTGCTCAGATTTCACCTTCAACAACATTCACATCACTGGAGGAACCAACAGCTCTTGCAATGTTAAGCCCATTGGTGGCTTCGAATGTATCTAAGTTTTGTGTGGAACATGTAGACCATCAGACACACAGGGCCTTCCAATCTATTGTCAAGGCAAGCCCTCCAGCAAACACCATAGACGAGAAATCAACTCTACGTAGCCGAGCATTGCTTTGTCCGAGACATGACATATCTCCTATGCTCTACTAGTCTTGAATTCGGTCGTATCACAGAGTCTTGTCATAACATTGCATCTTGACATCGAAGCCCATGGGCCAATAAAGGAGTGTATTCAGTGTACTGGCCTTGTGTGTCTCGGGATTGTATCATCCAACAAACGAATGTGGACAAGCTCAAATGAGCTCTTGAACAACAACTCTCTATCAAAAGCTGGGTAAGACTTCATCCTGACCTTCACCCAGTATGTTGCAGACCATATAACAAGCAATCGATCCAGAACACAACTACTATTCTCTTTGAGCTCTCTCTGAGCATGGGGCCAACCATCGCGTGGCTATGGTCGAGACGAGGAGCGAGAATACCTTCGCCATGTCCTGGTCTTCACAGAAGTATGCTTGTAGACTGACAAGCTTATCACTTGCTCTTGCTCTTCTATAAACTGAAGTCAGCTTAGGTTTGGATGCTATGTATAATTGAACTTACGTCACATAAAGGGCATACCTGAGTTTCAGAGATCTCCAAACCGCACTTTGGGCAAGGGTGTATGTAAGATGGCATCTTGATGAGACTGGATGATGGCTGTCGTGTCGGGACGAATATGGCTAGAATTTTGACTTTCGAATGTTTTTCGAGAAAATGTTTGAAATTTTGGTTTGGTGATGGGCTGTAGAACAAGACGGATGTCTTTATATCTCTCCATGAACAACAAACCTTTCTATCGGAGCGTGCTGATTGCAGCCTCATTCATCAACAACACATCAATGGTTGGTAGGAGTTGTCTGTATACCAATCGCCGTCAGAGCCACTCGATGGTTATGAACAGAGTGGAAGCGGTTCATTTATTATTGGCTGTGGCTTTCGCCAACTCAGATGTGAGCAGCAGATATGCAGGGTCAATAGGCAGCATTGGTGTAGGTCGTGAAAACTTTACATTCGTAGGTGTCGGTCCTCCATCTTCTGGCTGAGGGCAGCTGATCAGGCGCGGAAGAATGCATGATACCTAGTGATCAGCCAATCTGAGGATTGATTGGCCTGCGTAACACCCGCCACCGAGTCTGTGCTCATGCAGGCGCTTAGTTGCCTAATGAACATGACAGCCAGCTTTCTTCCCAGAACAACACCTTTCCTATTGTCAACCTTGGCTCAAATTCTCTTCATTTTGGTTTGCAGAAGACGGCAACTACACAGCACTTTGCCAAGATGGTGACCACAAATCAGCTTTTGAAAAAGAACAAAGAAAAAGACTGCATTGCAGTGACAGCAGACCGAAAGTACTATCAAACCAAGTCGGCTTTCATCAAGCGCAGCCTGCGTCCTCAAGAATGGCAAGTCAGCGCCTTCCTGGGGAAAATCATCGTCCCTCGCCTCGGAGAAGAGCGTCTACTCAACGAAGCTGCTGCACTCGATTTCGTTGCTGCCAACACCACTATACCAGTGCCGAAAGTGCTGACATGCTTCGAAGATGACGGCGCTGTTTACCTCGTTACGGAACTCATCGATGCGAGAAGAATGGACGACTTATCTGATTCTGAGCGTGCTGTTGTTGCACAAGAGCTCGAAAGCTATATCAACCAGCTCCATGGTCTGCGCTCCTCGAATCTGGGTGGTTGCACTGGGCTGGCCATTCCTCCCTTTCGTGTTTGGGAAAAGACTCCTCGCGACGAGTGGAAGTTTCAGCCTTCTGATGCTGAGGAGTATGTCTTCTGCCATATGGATCTTTCACAGTCCAATGTGCTGGTTTGCCATGATGAGCTGAAGATCAGAGCAATCATTGACTGGGAGTACTCTGGGTTTTGGCCAGAGAAGTTTGAAAAGAGGGTCTACGAGCGACTCGGGCCTTCGATTGTGTTGGAAGGAGAGGTCGATGATGTGGATGAGATCCTCAGTCTGATGAACGAGAAGTTAGTGCGTTGAAATGTGAGTGCTGTCATGTCAATGTTCCATTCACTCGACTCGTCATCATTAGACACTTCATACAGTGATTTCCGCCATGATCCCCTAACAATCACATCTGGTCTGGCGGTTAGCATTGCAATATCAAAGCTAACCATAAGTCTTGGCAGTCATCACGACAACAATACCAACACCACCACCACAATTTCTCGAGTTCGAATCTCTGCATCAGCTAATACTTTCGCCAGTTCAATCAATCAGCTTCAAATGGTCTCTTGATAGACGCGCCCCTGTGGAAAGGCGGTCTGGTCACTATCAGAGGCTGGAGGAGAAGATGGAAGGAGTGGGAGGAAAGTGAGAACTTGAGAAATCGTGGAAGTAAGTCACCAGATCCTCGATCTGTCAGACCTGTGATTCTTTTTTTCTTTCTTTTTTTGGTGTATGGAATGGTAGTTTATTCATACTCAGAATAGTCTTCGTTTCCAGCAATAGTGAGCGAACATGGACCGAAGGTCGTTGTCATCCAGTCACTCTTCAGCGTGGTCTACCTTTGTCTCGAACCTAGCTGTTGTCCTCTAGAGGATTTCGCCCCGTGCTCGCTTGCTCTATCTTTACTAGTTTCTTGGACTGGTTGTAGCGACAATGGCCAGTCCTGATTAGCGAAGACCCTCTCAACTATTGAGGATTTGCTTGGCTTGCACCGCTGCTTCTCCATGCACTCAAGATCAAATCAACAATGTGATCAACCCCCTTGCCGTTCTTGACCTGTGCGAAGATAGTGGGTCCGCCCTCTCTGTGTACCTTGTCAACAACGACCTATCATGAAAAAGTTAAGAGAACATACCTAATCTTCCTTGCATCTCTGTCCATAACTCCAAGATCAGCGCCGATCAATTCGGCCAGATCAGTCTTGTTGACAATCAGCAAATCAGACTGGGTGATACCAGGACCACCCTTGCGAGGAATCTTGTCACCTCCAGAAACATCGATGACATAGATGATAAAGTCGGCAAGCTCACGACTGTAGTTTGCAGCCAAGTTGTCACCGCCAGACTCGATAAGCAGCAGTTGTGTGTTGAACTCGCGATGTAGATCCGTCAATGCAGCCAAGTTTGCAGAAATATCCTCACGCACAGCGGCATGAGGACAGCCTCCAGTCTCGATAGCGCGGATACGTTCAGCAGGCAAAGCCTTGTGTCTGGTCAGGAACTCGCAGTCCTCGCGGGTGAAGATGTCGTTGGTAACAGCGGCAATGTTGTACTTTTCGCGGAGAGCAAGACAGAGGGCTAGCATCAGGGCTGTCTTTCCGGATCCAACGGGGCCACCAATACCGACTGTGAAAGCTCTCTCGCTGAAGTCTCGGCCTTCCACAATGGGCATTTCTCGGCCCAAGAAGGAGCCAGGTCCGTCCAGAATCTCATGAGTGTGTCCGTGGTCCACGGCATCGTGAGAGTGGGAGTGAGCTCCGTCGTGCGAGTGGGAGTGAGACATGATGATTCGGGGTATAGAAGCTGTGAGAGTAAACAATTGTTATAAGTCAGAAGTCTGGAGAGCTTGATGTCGAACGAGGGAAGGGTCTTTGGTGGGGTATCGGGCACGGACCCGGTCCCTTATCGTGCCCGCGCTATCGGCGACAACATATAATTGTTCATCTTTCGGCAATCGACACTGATTTAACATGGGGTACTGACCAGTCTCTGCGGTAGCATGCGAATGTCAGTCCAGAGACCAGATCAAGCAGCACTCAAGATCTTCAGATGGAGGTGAACTTCAATCAGCTTTGCGATCCGCCCGGAATCTGTGACAACTCTACACATATCTATATGTCTAGTCTGCGGCTTTTCCTAATACACGTACTCGAAGTTCGGGTTCTGCTTGTCTGTCAGATTGCTGAATGCTGTATCGTTCAGCGCAGCAGCTTCACCACTCTCACGCATGCGAAGTCTGATCTTCTCCTTGCGCTTGTTTTCCCAGATGAACGCATATCTCAACACTCCAAAGAGCAAGAACTCAATGCAGTTTGCCGTCAGAAGAGAGCCGATGCCCAAAGGGTATGAAGGTGCCTGCTCTGATCTGTAGAAGAACGGACTTGCAATGTTGCCGATGCACGCGCCAAACCAGATCATTCCGGACACTATCATCTTCTTTGACTGTCCGCCTGTGTTGCTGGTGACAAGCGATAGAGATAGTACAAAAGATGCTTGGTATGAGCCAGTCAAATAGCTGTGTTTGATGTCAGCTCAGGTTCATGGTAACTCGACCAAAGGGACTGGGACTGACAAGCAGATTAGTCGTCCCACATAGGCATTGTCGGGTGCCAACAAGAAACCCAGAGCACCCGCGATTGTTGGTAACATGAATAGCGCACAAACAATTGTACGGCTGTTCTTGGGCAGATACCTGTTTGCCACAGCACCGAGACCGATCCAGATGACGACTAAAGCTCCTTGTGGGATACCAAGCAACGCCGTGTGTAGGGTGTCAAACCCTAGACCTTTGATGACCAAGGTACTGAAATTACTGATTCCTGTGCGAGTGAGGGCAAAGTCAGCCTATTTGCATGTCGGTTCGTGTATGCCACTACTCACCTCCATTAGGTATGTTGGACACAAAACCAAGCAAGGTGAACAGCCATGTCTTGTAATCAAGATAAGCTTCCCTGATCTGATCCCAGTTGATACGTTTCTGCTCTACGCCAGTCTGGTTGCGACGCATGCGTGCGATCATGATCAACTTCTCATCACGAGAAAACCCTCTGAAAGTCGTAGGCGAGTTGGGGAGAAGCAAGCAGAGGACAAGTGCCCATGCCGAGCAGAATGCGCCGACAATCAAGAACTCGTAGCGCCAAGAGGCGAGAGCACCATTGATGTTGCCAATGCCATACCTGTAGCAGCATTAAAGACCAAGTTTGTCTGACATATTGGAATGTTCTGCTCACCCGATGAGGCCACCTCCGGCAACCCCTACGCCATTCCACACATACCAGGCCGCAATTCGAGATGGCTGCTCTTCGCGCGTGTAGTACATGGACGTGATGAGCATGAACGCCGGATCTGCAATCGCTTCAAAGGCTCCAGAGAGAATACGCAATGCCGCCAGAGCTGAGAAGCCATTTGCAGCAGCCTGACACATGAGAAGAGCTCCCCAAAAGAAGATGTTGAACGACAGGTACCATCCGGGTCGACATCTTTGCATGATGAGATTGGATGGAATTGCCCATACTAGCCAGCCAAAGTAGAATATGCTTGACAGCCATGAATATTCTTCGCCCGTCAGCTTCAAATCTGTCTTGATCCCAAAGATCGCCGCGTAGGAAAGCGTTGTCTTGTCGACGTACTGCGCCGAAGGTAAGTTTTTGTCAATGCCAAACTCGATATTGCCTCTCGACCCACGTAGAAAAAGTAGCATACACCCAACAATGGCAGAATGCGGGTGTCTAGCTTGCGCTTGAGTCTCTTCTCATCGGCCTGATCAATTGATTCATCATTAGGGTAGCGACGGAGTGCTTCTGCGTATAGATCTGCCTGGTCGTTGTCGAGCTCTCTTGAGATAGGCTCTTGAGGCTTAAAGTCGATGTACTCAATCTCTTCCTCTTTAGCTGTATCATCATGTTTGTCCATGGTTGATTATGAGTAGTATTAGAAGTCGACGACCCGGCATATCGAAGGGACCGACCTATCTTGTATAGACTTGACTGTCATGCTGAGGTCGTCCGGTGAGAAGCCCGCAAACAATACAAGTCATCGTCAAAGGATGCAAAGTCAAGTCCATCCCCACCATCGGCATCTGATCTTGGAAGATGATCAGCGCAATGGTGCTGCATCTAAGCGTGGGGTAGAGGAGTTACACCTTGGCGATTGTGGTTGTTCCACCAATGATTGTCCAGAAGCCTTGAGACGAGTCATCCACCCCAGATCAACTCCGCCATGTTATTCTGTTATACACGACTGTTCAGCGGGGCTCTTAGACGAAAAATTCTCCTCTTACCAATGTCTTGAGCAATCTGACATAGTACTTTCTGCTTTAGGGACCTCAACAGCGACGGGTGTCAGAGTTTTTTTTTTTTTTTTTTTTTTTTTAAGACTCAAGATTATGCTCAAGATTCCGAGTCGCAGCCGAGAGCTACCACCATGTTCACGATCATTTGAGAGCATTTGTAGACTCTTTTGCCTATGGACAGATGATGGATACCAACAACAGAATGGGAAGATCAACGTGAACCCAATTCATGAGATAATTGAATACAGACCTGAAACTCGACGAGTGGATTCGAGAACAGCACATTGTACTTCTCGTTTGCTGGATTCTGAGAGACGCTAGCTTTTTGTGGCTAGCCAGTCAGGTGCGCTTGCCGCCAAAATGTTGGTTGGCGAATCCAGCAATGTATACAGGATCAGGCAAGCTTATTATCAATCAGCATTCTGGTCAAAGAACTAGATGTGCTCCGAAGGCGAGGTTGTTGTAGTCACGTCGGAGATCTGGAGACTCGTGCGATAGCGTTGCCCTAGTGCGCGTTCGAATGATTTGGTTAATGTATTACTTACCCTGACAGCTTGGATATCGAGACAGTGTTGGACAGGAGCTGGTACGGTGAATGATGTATGTCATCAGAAATGCTATCCGTGCAAGGTCAGAACTTGTCAGGTCCTTATAGACTCACAGCATTGATCCCGGACTAATTATCACATGTACAGGCTAATGTTGTCTAGAGGCTTTCTCTGCAGACCGCTAGTTGTATGAGCAAAGATGGTTGAAGTCATTGAAAAAGCAAGAGAACCTGAGAAAAAGCCGACCATGATGTTATTAGATGCGTGGTATCGACAATAGTAGGTAGAAGATTGACCTCCTCAGATCAGGTATGACAGACCAACAAGGACCTGAGACTTTTATGCACTTAACTCAAGTAGTAGTAGTGTAAGAATGCCGACCGTCTTATGTTGACATTGAACTAAGAAAGTACTTGGAGAAGGCTGGAGGCGGTGCATCAGCCAAAATTGCCAAGCGCTGAGGACACAAAATCATCACATCAAACTTCCATTCGTACCTCAACTCCTCTACCAACTTATCTCAATACGACCACGATAAGATGACCGGATACATCGTACACGCGGAAAATATGAGCAACAGTCTTAGGGCTCAAACTGGTCCGAGAAACCAATCAGAGGCGATCCTCGTTGATTGCCCAGCCCTTTCCTACGCAATACGGTGAATACGACCGTACTCGCTATACGGTCAACAACAATTTTGATCGCAACTTGTACGTACTGGAGAGGCAGTGCTGCGTAGGTAAGGCAGACATGTAAGATGCAGCATATAATACAGAGAACTAGTCTTCTCTCCATTTCCATCACCTCATCTTCACCTCTCCCGCCTTTGTGCTTCATCCAAACGATTTTATCTTCAATCCACCATATCTACTACAATGTCCGATTCAAATGATGGGCAAATCCACTTTGTCTTGTACCACTACACCCCGTCTATCGTAGCTGCAATCATATTCGTGGTGCTCTTCGGACTTGGTTTTGTCGGCCATGTCTACTACGTCTTCAAGCTGCGTGCTCGCTACTTCATTCCCTTCACCATTGGAGTTCTCTGTGAGTATGGAAAGTCGTGTTCTTTCAGCACAAGCTGACTTGTCACAGTCGAGTGCATAGGATATGTGGGTCGTGCTCTTTCGCACAGTGACAAAGAAGCTCTTGGTCCCTTTATCATGCAGAGTCTCCTGATCCTGGTTGCTCCTGCTCTCTACGCCGCTTCGATCTACATGGTTCTTGGGCGCATTATCCGTCTTCTTGATGCCGAAGAATACTCTATCGTTCGCACCAAATGGCTTACCAAAGTCTTCGTCATCGGCGATGTTTTCTCTTTCCTCGTGCAGTCTTCAGGTGCTGGACTTCAGGCCAAAGGCGATCTCGACGCTTTCAACCTTGGAAAGAACATTGTCATTGCTGGACTTATCATTCAAATCGTCATCTTTGGTTTCTTTGTTGTTGTGGCCGGCCTCTTCCACATTCGAGTAAACAAGCTTCCAACTGGTGCTTCTGTAGATTCAAACCTGCGCTGGCGTAAGCACATGCACAACTTGTACTTCTGCAGCGCTATCATCCTCATCCGCAATTTGATTCGTGTGATCGAGTACGCTCAAGGAAACGACGGGTACATCATCACTCACGAGTGGATGCTGTACATCTTCGATGCTGTTTTTATGCTGTCAGTGACTGTCAGCTTCCTCGTCCTACATCCGAGCAAGCTTCTTGGCAATGGACGTATCCCGATCAGAAATGAGTCTCAGCTCTATGCCATGGAGAGTGGCCGGTCTCAGGTCAGTACACATTATCGACAATCTAAGCACGAACGCCGACTTACTCACATGCATTATAGTCGCCCCTACAGTCGTCGTCAACACCATTCAGCAAGGTCGACAGATCCTAGAACATCATAAAGAACGTCGAAGAATCCTCATAGCAGAACCCTCTTTTACATTGAGTGAGGAATGATTGTACACAGGTCAGGATAGACATACACGCGGGCTAAGGTTAGCTTCTCTCATGGCATCACCGTAAATGAATGCAAGAAACTTGTCCATATCGACATGCGCAGTAAGAGTTATTGATACTTGCGATCAAGAGACAGATTACACATATCACATAGTGCAGACAAAGAAAGTACTGGTGAGAGCTCAACCCTCAATCATCAAACATAGAACATAGGTCGGACGACATCATCATGCTCATGTTATGTGAGGCTTGAAAGAATCTCGAGTATGAAGGCGCAAAAAGATTTCAACCGCACCACGAACCAGAATCGAACCCACAACCAGCAAAATTAGATGCGTTACACCTAATATTCCCGATTAGACACACAAGAGGTTTGATTACCGAACAAGTGTGTACGCGCGAATCGGCTATTCCGCTCAGCCAAACACACCGTACGCATCATCTGACTGAGTAGGTGATCGCAAAGCAATCTTCAAAGACTATATAGTCTCATTCAGAGGCTCCGAACTCTGGCTGGTCCTCTATTTTCCGTCATCTTTCACTCGGCCTCGCTATCTCCCGCTGTCATGACTTTGCCGCGATCTTTTCAACTTCTGGTTCTATTCTTCTCACCTACATTATCATGACCAAGGCACGCAACAGACGCAACAAGCGCATCAGACTTGATGCAGCAAGGGATAATCTGTACAAGCTGAATGCCGACTTGAACGATCAGATCGAATGTCGCAAAGCAGCTGAGGCTGTTCATCCTGGAACAAAACCACGCATCAAGGGCGTCTGGACGAGATCGGAAGTACGGTATGTGATGCTCTAGGCAACTCCTACTTACCTCAAGCTCACTCATCACCACCAGCGGAATCATTGCTACAACTGATGATTTTGTCGAACTTATCTCGAAGGACGACGATGAATCTGGTGATGGATCCCATGTGGCCGAAGTGCATCGCGACCTTCTCTGTTTCTTCGCGCCCTATTACCGCGCTATCTTCACAGGGAACTTCAAGGAGGTTATGCACAACACTGTGATTCTAGAAATGGATCAAGCTTGCTGCAGCATGTTCGTAGAGTGGCTGTATACTGGATTCATCCCACAGCATGACCCCTGGAGTCTCTGTCAGCTTTACATCTTCGCTGATCAGACAATGAATCTGACCCTGCGAAGAACGATCATGACCCAACTCTTCGACTGCAAGTTCGACCCGTCGATCAACGATCCCAACACAGCAGCTCTACTGAGTTCATTGCCGAGCAACTCGCCCCTGACTCGTTACGTGTTCGATCGGCTTGTACACCACACTCGTCAAAAGGGCTGCCACTTCAGAAAACAAGAATACAACGATGCCCTCTACGACGGTGTCCCTGTCGACTTCGCTCGCGAGCTGAAGACACGGCTTGCGCCACATCGCGAAGTACCTCAAGACTGTCCATGCTGCCACTCGCCATGCAATTACCACGAGCACGACAACATCGAAGAATGGGGATTAAGTGAGTTAGACCTCCCATCAGTACACACATTTTCAGAATGAAATGCTGATTCAAGACAGGCTGTGGTGATTCTTGGTATCTCGAGCCTGAGAGTTATTGAAAGGGTAATTGTTGCTGTCGCTGAACAAACGACAGGCCGACGGGTATCAACAACTTCATTGAACAATGGTCCTAGATACGCATTCTTTTCCGGATAACTTAGAATTCAGAATTGAAACTATCAAAGACAGTGTCAATAGTCCCACGAATGTTTTAATGAAGGAGATGCATCACAAATGAGTTTTCTGTGGATGGTGAAAGTGAGACATCTAGGACACAGATATTAGTGAAACTTCCTCGCGCTTTTCAGTTTCGAGAAGTCAATTTGTTTCGAATCAACACTCCGGTTCGATCAAGACTCTTCTGCGCAGATCCTTTTGATCTTTTTTCCCCAACCTCTACATCCACCGCCATTGTCCAATACCATTCGCCAAGCCAGCATGGCGTCCTCGCCGTCGGTCAATGAGAGCGCAGGCATGTGGAATCTGGACAACGTCACGTATGGTCGTCATCCTGGCAATACACCAGAACCCAATCGCTGACAGAATAGCAGTGCAATTCTTGGGTGTACTACGGATACGATTCAACTGAGGTCCGGAGACGAAGACCATACCAGCGAGGACACCGATGAAGATGACTTCCAAACAGAAAAGTCAGAGACAACCTACAAGACCTTCCGAGCCAGTGTACAGAAGGAGCTCCTCTGTTACTTCTCACCGTACTACCGTGCAGCACTCAAAGGTGGATTCTCCGAAGCTGCAAGCAAATCGGTTGTTCTGGAACTGGATCCTATGGTCTGCTGCATGCTCGTTGGATGGCTTTACAGCGGCAAACTGCCCAAGTGGATTGAGTGGGCTCAGATTTTGAGCCTGTATGTCTTTGCTGACCGCACTGATATGCTCGCACTCCGCCGGGCCATCATGACGAGAATCGTTCACTTTGAAGTTGGTGACCGCATTCCACGCTTCGAGGTCGCTGCCATAGCGCTTAACTCCCTACCCTCAACTTCACCACTGTATCGCTGGCTCTTGGACGCCTACATACACCACTGGATGGCCGACTACGAAACACTTGACGACACGTTGCCGAACTGGTTTCTCGTGGATTGGGTCAGAGGTGCAGCTGCTCGAAAGTGCGAAGTTACCGAGGATGACTGTGGCAGATGTCCCTGCTGTGAATACAATGCCTGCAACTACCACGAGCACGAAAACATGGAAGAGTGGAAGTCCAGTAAGCCAACATACCCCTTACAAAGAATTGAGACTGACTTCAAGTAGCATGCTTCGCAGCAAAAGGCTGTAAGGCCAAGCGACCCGATAACGCTTGTCTCGTGGTCAACTCCAGTTCCAAAAGCATGGACCAAAGATAGTGTTGTCTTTTCGACTCTTAGCCTTGTATGGACTGAGATGTAATCCTCATCCTACTTGTGAAGAGTTGGAAGATCACACGAGGTTTGTTGATCTGAGTGTTGCCGAAGAGTGATGTGGAGTAATGTCTCTTTTGGGTGACAATTCTGGCAGGAGAGGAGGTGCGATCGAGGTTCTGGCACAAGTAGATCATGTATTTGCCTCCCGCGCATGCTCACAATGTTTCTTCAGTGTTAAGCTGGTGCGGCAATCTTACTCAAGGGCCAGGGCATAGCAATACATCAACGCCTGATCCACACGGAATGTAGCATACCTGATTTCAGCGTCGACGGAACTGTTCGCTTATGGTTAACACCAGAACCTCAATCAAAGAAGCTTGGTTGACCCATTGCAGAAATAGAAAGATATTCGTCTCTTGGTGAAGAAAAAAAAAGGCAAACAGATCTGGGATGATTTCGGCATCATCGCGCAAAAAGACAAAAGAATGTGCTCTCCATCAGGGAATCGAACCCTGGTCTCCCGCGCTTGACGAGATTTTACTCTTGACAAGCGGAAATCATGACCACTAGACCAATGAAGATGAGCCAGCTCAGCTGGTATTGGTTTGATGACCAGAATCTGGTCCAACAACATATAATGCTTTGATAATCAAAATTGGCTCACCTTGCCTCGAGCATGATGACTTCGGAGACTGGAGCCCGCGGACACATGATTACTGGGAGTTGTTCAAGAGCTTGCTGCTGATCTGTGCTTCGCATTGAGGATTGAATCTAGGTTTGCATGTTGTATCATAGAAGGCGGTGCAAGCAGAGCCGTTTTGAGCGATCTATGGCGGAAGTTATGGTTCATGACGGTCAGTCACGCGTTCGTGGATCAGACCAGCCAGCGACAAGATGAAAATGAGATTAAGTGAGTAATAAAATTGATTGATGTTGCTGCGCTGAGTGGTATAGTTCTGGTAAAAATGAGCAAGTTCAAAAAGCAAGTTGGGAATAATCCTCGTCATAATCGTTTGACCCCAGGCCAAGGACCATGGCCGTAGAAATGCAAAACACCTCCAACACCTTGCTAGACAGTAAACAAGAATTCCCTAAATGGTAGAAGATCGAAAGAAAGTGGCCACTGATTTGAGTGGCTGAGAAGATTTGAAGTTGTGTCGCGCATCGTGAGCACCATGCCAAGTAGATTTATTGGATCATGGCCTTGCAGAGCCACATTTCCCAGTAAGTTCGAAGACCGAGGACCGTGGCTCTACCATCGTTTCCACCTTCAGTACCATCAGGGTCACCAATCATGGCAGCGAATACCCAGTACATGGCGACAGCCCAGGCGCTGATAGACACAGCCATAGCGACGAAAGGCGAGAGGACGTGGACCAGTAGTAAGCTTGAAGCACTCTTTCCCTGAACGATATTGAAAGAGTAGATTGCTCGGAGTTGAAGACGATTTGAGCGGGCGAGGAGACAGCAAAGCTCATCTGGAAGGGACTGGCGAGAGGCGGAGAAGAATCGAAGAGGATAGGTCAGGACGGTGAAGAAAGAGATGACCAAGGACCAGATACAGAGGATGAAGGAAACCAAGACACAAGGACCAGATAGGTAGAGCTAGTATATTCCGTTAGCAAGAGAGGAGGTGAAAGTAGATGTATCAAGTGACATACCAGTATCTTGATAGCCTTGGATTCGAGATGCAAACGTTGATCGACCAAGTCATCGTCCTCGTCCGAAGACATGCTCGAGCGACCGTATGGGCTATGTCCAAAGTAGGGATTGTATCGCTCGGTCATGTCTGGGGACCTGCGAGGCGACACAGTGGCCTGCTTCTCGAGATCATGGTCGCTATCATCTCCTCGCTTCTCATTCAGCTCTCCTGAAGAATTCCGGACGACCGCGGCAGCCGGTGGTTTGGGTAGTCTCGAGGGAGCATTCTGGGCGATATGGAAAGTGTGCTGCGAATCGGAATCCGAGGCGTTCGAGTGCGGGTACGATGAGCGATCGGCCATTGTCCAGCTTAAGTCCGGGGGGGTTGCAGATACAAGGCGGCCTCAGTTGACACGCAAAGGTCGACGGGATGTTATAGACGACGTTCAGACGAAGGGCTCATGTCAGTCTCGCATGACCGGCCGTCGTGCTTCTTTTGACATGTCTGCCAGACGAAATGCCAACAGAAACGAGTAGCCCCAAAAGTCTTGTAGTCTTGGGGCCAAGCCTTGGCTCCAATTTTGGGTGCCGTCTGATCTGCCTGTTACAGCCTCGTCGCCGATGCTCTGCCATCTCTATTGCTTTTATCATGTTTGCCATTGCCATGATGCCAATCGCACGACTCAAGACGTAGTCGCTGCTCTTTGCCCTTTGTTGTCTTGGTGAAGCACACTTTCAGCTTCTGTTGGCACGGTAGACACAGCCCCTCGTATGCCAAGACGCACGTTTGGTCACTTTGTGCTCGCCCAGTTCTCTTTGCTTCTTGTCCGCTACGCATTCGTCCTTTTCCAAGCCCGCCAATACTCTCGTTTGTAACACTTCGACCAAACTGCCCCTTTGACCTGCGCCCTGAGCTGCATTCACCTCTTGTCGCACCAAATATTCCAAGACTCATAACATGCACTTGGCCCGTTACTCATTGCGACACGACCGAGCAAAATAGTCTTCTTACGGATAGCCGGCAGCCATGCCTTCTAGGCGTCGTCCAATCTACGTAAGCTCCCAAGACTCCTATAATCTATCTCGCCGAGCACTGCCCTATACTTCTAAAACTACTAGAGTCTGTCCTCAGTTTGGCATTACGTCTAGTTTGAGACAGCTCCAAGAGTCATTTGTGTCGGTCAAATCATTACTTTCTTTTCTGCTGTAGGTCTACTCGAGCAGTCACGGCTTCCCGCGGATGATCTACCACCGTCTCTGATATGTGCCCAGCCAAGAGCTCTACTCAGCCCTCAATACCAAGACCCTTGATTGGGCGCTTGTCTTTGACTCGTAACAGCGAAACCATGTGTCGTTCTGGAGGGTGGCTTGCTCAAATCGACAAAAATTACTCGATCACAATCCATCTGCCAGCCTCCAAGAAGCTTGGCCTGCGGTATGGATGGGGCTTCCAAGATACAAAACTCTGATGAACACGAGCATACAAGACTCTTGTATCCGGATTACGGCCGATCATAAAGAGGACTTTCGTCGTCAAAGATTTCCCTGGCTTCATGCTGGAAACTTTGATCACATATCTGTCACAATGCGATACCACCAAAGTTCCCGTTCGAACGTTTGGCCATGGCCAATCTCGGCCGAGTTCTGCGGTAGCATTTCGCGTTCGCTTTCGACATCAACTTGTGCTTCAAGCATGCGCCTTGATCCTTGACGATCTTCTAATCATCATTCTTGGATAGTCTCGGCCTCTTGAACTTGAGGACAGTCTGATCTGACGGCAACACTAAGGAATGGAATATGCAATCCAGCCTAGTGAAGTTCATCTTACCGATGTTAAACCAACCAGCAGTACACTGGACAGCTCAATTCTTATCAGTATGTCGCTCTGACTTGCGCACCTGTGTGACGAGCAAATGCACCCGGCATCGGCAACTCCGCCAATTGTTGGAGGTACTAGAACTCTTGCATGTGGGAAACGGCCCCGACTCCGCATCCGGAATAGGTCTCGTGCCTACTTTGTGTGTAGTGAGGTGCATACATGGCATCATCTCGCGGAGTCGGTCCTCGTTTGGGGGAAAAACAGACCTCGTTGACCCAGCAGATGCATTGTTCAGAGTGTATCTTGACGGTGAGTTTATCACGCCAAGTACCACATGAAAACAACCAAATTTCTCGTGTAGACAGAGTACTCTGCGCACACAAGACTGAGGATATTTCTGCCTTCCTGGCAGCCATTATGCCCGCCCTTTGCCCATCCATTGGCCACTTGATGCGTGATAGCGTAATGACTTTTTCTGACTCGGTGTTGGGTAGTCTCAGTTGCACTCGGCTGGGTTTTCATGATCAGAGACTCTTTACTTTACCTTTCTCTAGCAAATGCTCAAATTCCTTAAAAGATAGTTATGCGCAGAGATCACCTAGTCAACGTTTCGCAAGACCTTGCTCCATCCACCATTACTGACCCGAAGACTACCAGATCAAAGATGGAATCCACCTTCGGGACGCTCACTAACAATGGAAGGATAGATTTTGGTCAAGAGCTTATGCTGAGCTATCAACCCTGTCTGAAACGAAACCAGCGAGTTCTGTTGGCCCTTTCAAAATTGGGGAGTGTACAATGTGGCTTGTTATAACATGTTTTGTAAAGGCCCACGTAAGTGTAAATCAAAGACAGTGTGGTGTTGTGCAGAAGCATCTGCAATGTTGATGTGTTCATTTGCATATAACTCTAGCAAGCACAGTTACAGCCCAATGTCCTCTTGCTGTTGTCCAAGTGCATACCAAACCATGTCACAACCTAAGAACATCATGTGCGTTCATCCTCTCGCTGATTGCTGTGCTATACCTGAGCAACAATTCAGAGACCTATCTGGGAAGCTATCGTACGTGATCAGCTTTCTGCTACCACAGTTTGTTATGCATAAAATTCTAGTGCACGCCTTCATAAATCCTCACAATGCACCCCTCTTTTCCAGCTTCAGCTTCAATCTGCCGTCCCCGATACTTCGAGCTCCCCTTCAAATACCTGTGAGAAACCTCTGCCAGTTCGTTCATTACCACTGGCTAGAGAATTCTTTCGCATGTCTCTTCGTACTATTGGATTCAATCTCAACCAGGCGTGTCGTGCGATATTGTGGCGTGCACTTATGCGCCAATGTCTTCTGCAGTGCACAACAGGACACCCCTGTCCCCTTGATTCTGATACCGAGGATGCAAAAATCCCACGCAACATGCCCCTCTTTTTTGCTCGTGGAATGAGGACGGATAAGGGAAAAGGTGAAATTCGCAACTCATCAATTCTTAAATGCTTTTTTAACCAGCAACATGTCGTGTCTCAGCCTATCAAGTGCAGGGCCCAGACGAGAATGTAGCTCCCAAGTCGGATGTACGGCAGTAGGACTGCATTTGCGATCAATGGTAAGGCTGGCTTGTGATTGTCAGCAATAGCTGGACGATTCATCCGGACACCTGACTTCTCTTGAAGTACCGACGATTTCTGCCATGATAAGAGAATGGTTGTAGCGAGAGTAACCCCTCTTGCATGGTCCTGTGTTCAGCTGCCTCGTGTCTACCATCTTCGTAGTGTTCCAGAAGCCTACTCCGCTAGAGTGTTACATATACCCTGAGAAGCTGAATCCATCTTTTGCTCCTTCCTTCCCTAGGATCCGACATATCAAAAGTGGGCATAATCTTCCGTGGATACTGAAGGATGTGCTGACGATAGATTGCAGTGGGTGACTCGACGTCGCGGCGCGCTCGCGTTCGCCTTAATGAGCCTGTGATGGCGCATTGGGAACAGTATACTCCGTCTCGATTCGAGACAATGATCATCCGCCCGTATGCGTTGTCCACGGAGCATAGGACGAACACAAAGCATCACAATGACAGCGTCTCTTCCTCAGAATGCAGCTCAGTAGCAGGTACAAGAGCATCGAGCTGTCGACCCAGCTCCACAGCCACAGAGAACGTGCCATCGTTGGACAGATCGCTTCGTACAATGTCGACCAGAACAATCGATACAAACGAGACGTTAGGATCCTCGAGGGCCGAGTCGTCGACATCTGGGTTTGGTTTTCCAAGGCCTCAGACAGGAAAGCTCCAGTGTACCTTCGCCTTCCTGGGCTGCCACGAGGAGTTCACATCAGCTTCAACATGGAAGACTCACTGTACTTCGCACTTCCGTGCTCATCCTCCGCCGAGTCGAACACAATGTCCTTTCTGTACCTCGCAATGGGAGCATCCCTCAGCCTGGGAGGATCGGCTGGATCATATAGCCTCTCATCATCGAGGAGAAAGAATCGATGCGGGATTTAGAGTTGATCATGATCTTTTCAGGCATCTTTTAAGGTGTCGGGTGGTGACTTTCGTCCAGTACCAGGAGTTGGAGAGGAGGGGTCGATGTGACGGAATGAATGAACCGTATATTGAGACAGGTAACTCGAGGAGGGAGAGGAGAGAAGGCGCGCCACGTGGATGGACTTCTTATCGAGTCGGAGGCTGAGGAGCTGATCCTTTCTGGTTTTGCCAAGATGATTGACGATTGATGAGTTTCAAGACTGACGACCTGAGTTCTTTGTTCTTGCGAGTAGGCGTACATATTGCTTTTGGTCTGTGCCAGGGTACAGTAGTTTTTTCTTTCAGTAGCAGTCACGAATCAAAAACACTAGTTGAGAATCCATAGAACACTAATTTGATCAATTTGAAGGAACCAGGGCTCTTTATAAGATGTCAGGTGTACTGTTTTTAGCACCCAACTCAGCGCACCCAACTCAACCCGTGACGCTGGTTTGGTTGCACAGCCTCAATGTGCCGCACATCCACCAGCGACTTTAACCTGCAGCCTGATACATCGAACCTCATGTTTCAAGTTCTCCTTTGCGCATATATAAGCATGGTTACCTGCGAGAGATTGTTACCTACAAATTTACACTGTCTTTACATCTCTTCTCTTTACATTGCAGCTTACTCTTCCCATACCAAGCTAGCACATTCCACAACGGCATCTCTAGATACAGCGTCTGTTAGCACTTCATGCTGTTTATAGCTCTTGGAAGATCATACTACTACATGGGCTCAGTACTTCAAGACAAGGTAGGTCTCATCTCCATTATTTCTATTGCATATCGACGTCTTCCTTCCTCATGATCTGCAACTGCTTTACAACTCTGGTTCTCTTTATGTTGCTTGTATAGTCGACGAATATTCGCTAAATACGATGTTGCTTGTATAGTCGACGAATATTCGCTAAATACAGCATGTATCTCGCGATCTCTCTTTTCTCAAGCTTTGAATCCAGCTAATTGGATTGATGTACCTTGTTATAATCGTCGTCCTCTCCTTAGCTCTAAACATACCTGCTTCTTTCTCCTAGCAGCTTTCCAGATGCTACTTTTCTTCTGCACAAAAGAGCTTAAGATGTATGCATGGTGTTTAAAGGGGACGTCACATATCCACCAGCATGACGAACATGATAGAAAGAGTCAACTTCGCGACCGCTAAGCCATGTGCCTACTAGCCGTTCCTATAGCACCTTAGATTGTTAAGGGAACCCAAGGACTAAGCAGTGCCGTGTGGCTATCTATGCAGTGCTCTTTTCGTTAAAGATGGTATGCCTTCTTTGACTATAGCAAGATGGAGATCTGTTCGAGCAGCAAACAAAGCAGACATGGGGCCCCTTACTTTGTATCCAAACTTGGCAGTCAGTATAGTGGCAATACATACGCGATTACCATCACCCTTCCTCGTGCTCTACTAGGATAACGAGTCACCGACTGTCACAAAGTGACACCCGCCCTCGTCGTCCATCACTCTCGGCTTGCATCGATGCCTAGAATCGTCGACCCGACGACCAGCTTGTTACTGCTTATGCAAGTGATCGTCCCATCTTCCCCTCACCCGACAATCGTCCACACTGAACCTCTTCGAGGTTGAGTGAACCACCTCTTCCCTCTCTATCACTATCAGACCACGACTAAGCGGAAACACTATATAACTTGCTTCATCTTGCACCCGGACTTGATTACCTTTCCCAATCACAACCACGTTTTGGAGTGTCCCTCAAGGTCTAACTCCAGCTTCGCAGTACTGCACGTATTCCAAGTACATTCTGTAGACACTCTTCTGACCATTGACAGAGTTAACAACCATGTCGGCCTCACCTTCGGGTTCGACTGATGTCGAAACCTCGGACTCTGAGTCTAACCACTCAATCCGTGCACCCTCGCCTTCCTCATTCCAGGGACCGCCAGCAGCCAGCACTCGATCAAAGAGATCGTTGGCTCAGTCGACCGCAAATCCCGTTTCAGCCTCTCTCCCCCTCCAGCCTCCATCAGCCATGACTCGTGCAAAGAAGCTGTCGGTCCAGTCGACCAAATCGAACACTTCGACCAGGTCAAACACTCCCACCAAGTCGAACACTTCGACCATGTCAAACACTTTGGCCCAGTCAGACACTCCCACCAACGCCAAGGCACGGAAGGTCCAGTCGACCAAGTCGAGCATTCGCCCTGATGTCAGCGCCATCAGTTCAGTCGCCAACTCCGTTCAGAGCTCCACATCTACTACACTGTCTAGTGATGTCGAAGAAGTGAAGACCACTGCAGAGCTCAGCCAACCTCCCAAGTCTGCTGGTGTCAGCCTAGTCAAGTCTAGCGACTCACCTCCGGTATGTGCCCAGAATTGAACCTCCATCGCAATGCATGATGCAATCTGAAGTCGAGTATATGTCCATTAAGAGCCCGCTCAAACAAAGCTCTCAATGGTCATCTCCAGCTTCCTTGACAGCAATCTGCATTGCGATGGTTGCCAATCCATCCTGCTTTAGGCAAGTGATATGCTAATTGGCACCTAGGCACTTGAACCTGCTCGTTTGATCTCTAACAAGACGTTCGAGGAGGTTTCCCACCATAGCTCTATATGCAGAGAGTTGCTGCTAGGCACATACAAGAGCTTTCTTCGTGAGCTGGACCCGAAGGCCTCTCACTACAAGCATTTGAAGGAACCTCCAACCCTGGAGACCAGCCTTGCTGAACTGCTTCAAGCCGTCACATGGCAGAATTCTGGCAGATTTTATCGCAAGGCTGAGATGCGCAGATTCTGGGAGACTGTCAAGGATTTACACAAGACCGAAAAGCTGGTCTTCCAAACCTTGAACGCTGCTCGCGATCTCATGAGCGCCAAATTCAACCACAACAAGTCTGAAGCCGACGAGATCCTTGGTCATTTGACCACCATCAGCACTGCCATCGAGGAATTCTGCAGTCGCATGTCTGCTCGCCTCACGCTTACGACCGAGCAGAGCATCATCTTCGGCGAATGCGATCTCACCAGCCCACAGCTTCTTTACTTTCGCCTCGCCGGCACTGATAACCTGCCTTCAGTCGAGCAGCGTTTCCGCCTTCTCTGGGGAGTCTTCCCTATTCACGGTATGAGAACTCGTTTCCATGGCTGGAACCAAGCTCTTTCTCGCAACAATGCTGGCTTGAAGGCTATGTTGAAGACTATCTCTGTCGCCATGGCTGCTTCTGGCACTGAGGAGAAGGTTCAGATTGAAGCTCGCGGCGCCAAGAGAAAGGCCGAGGACGAGATTGAGGACGAGGCTGAGGATGAGAATGAGCAGTGAAGCACAACAGGGAGCCGTGTACAACAGATTTCTTGACGATGCCCGTAGAATAGCCTTTTTGAATTGACCAAGTCATTGCTCTCGTTGGCGTCATTTCTGTTTTGAACAATGTTTTGCCTTTTTATAGTCTTTCTGTAGCTTATAAGCACAGTTGAGATGGCGACCATGGAAGATGAGGTGGGTGATGGCAGGATCGGCAAACCTTCCAATTTGAGGGCACGGGCGTCATTGCGGTCGACCTTGATGCGACAACAGCAACGACAAGGTGCAGTGATAAGCTCGGCAATTGAATAGAAAGTCGACCAAGAGCAGGCACACAAGGCTTGCTGTCGGTACGATTGAGAACAGGAGGGTGAGAGGTCGCCATGTTGTCGGCGTTCCGAGCGCAGCCCATCTATGAGCTCAAACAACAAGACAAGTCCAAGATCGAGTCGGTCCTAGCATATGGTATGGCCGTCGTCCAGTCTTGGAAAGAGCAATGCTGATAGACAATCCATAGGCGACCGACTTCTCGTAGGCCTCAGCACTGGCACACTCCGTATATACCGTGTCAACGAAGTCGCCGAAGCAGATCAAGATGCGACGCCCTCAAAGACACGCGCTGTCGATCTGGTGCGCGAGGAAGAGAAGTTCTCAAGAAGAGCAATACAACAGTTGGCCATAATCAAAGAAGCAAACATTCTCGTCTCCCTGTCCGACGGCTATGTCTCGATCCACGACCTCCAGACCTTTCAATTGCAGGAGAAGCTGGACAAGACCAAGGGCGCAACCGCCTTCGCCGTCACCTCCAACGTAATCAAAGACCCCACCACCGATATTCCTTCGCTCGTCTCTCGTCTTGCTGTTACTGTCAAGCGTCGCATTCTATGGTGGAGTTGGCAAGATATGGAATTGTCCCCTGAGGTCCAGGAAATAACATTACCACATTCGCCAAAGTCATTACTATGGGCTACTGGTACCAAGATGCTTGTTGGCCTGGATCCTGGCTTCTCAATAGTCGATACCGATACTCTGGCTGTCACAGATGTCATGAAACAGACTCCGACTGGCAGCGTCAGGTTCGGTGCTGTCACTTCTTCCGGCATGGGCTACATGGGCATGGGAAGCTGGGTGCCGAAACCAATGGCAACAAATCTAACAAACAACAAGATGCTCATAGCCAAGGATGTCAATACCTTGTTCATTGACACTGATGCCAAACCTGCCGACAAACGCCAAATACCATGGGCTTTTGCCCCTGAAGCTATTGGTTACTCTTACCCTTACTTACTGTCACTGCAGCAAACTACCAAAGGTGCCCTGGATGTGCGAAGTCCGGATACTTTGAACCTCCTGCAAACAATCCCTCTTCCAGGCGCTTCGATACTCCATGTCCCTCAACCTAACATTAGCTTGGCTCACGCTGGCAAAGGCTTCCTTGTTGCGAGCGACAGATGCATCTGGCGTATGGTAGCTCTCAATTACGAAGCTCAAGTCAAGCAGCTTGTCGAGAAAACAAAATTCGATGAAGCCATTAGTCTCCTTAACATGTTGGAAGACACCTTGCTCAAGGATAAACAAGGTTCGATCAGAGAAATCAGTATGCTCAAAGCTCAGAATATGTTTTCTCAGCAGAAGTACAGACCAGCGCTGGATCTCTTTACCGATGTTTCTGCTCCACCAAAGCGCGTTGTCTCGCTATACCCTAAGTCTATTGCTGGAGATCTCTCGACTGTCGAAGAGCCTCCGGAACTCACTGACTCCGAAGAACCATCTGGTGAAACCAGCGCTGCAGAGGAGAACTCGTCACAGGCCGAAGATCCGGCCAAGGCTACACAGACTCCGACGAAATCCGTACTGGGCAAGTTCAGGCCATCTGTAAAGGACGATTCAGATACGGCATCAATTCGATCGTTCCGCACTACCAGCGAAGCTCCCCGCGAGAAACCTGTCAGGGATGCACCACTAACTGGCTCTGACCTGAAAGCTGCTGTCATGGCACTCTGCTCCTATCTAGCTCAATCGCGTGTTCAGGTCCAGAAGTACATGAACACTGATGGTACGCTCAAGACTGAGTTGACCGAAGGTACCAAGCCACCATTCAGCAATCTAATTGAGCTTCCTGAAGGTGCTGAAAAGGTCGACTGGCAAGCAGAGTTGTTGGAGGTCGCTAAACTGGTCGACACAACTCTTTTCCGTGCTTACATGCTCGCTTTACCATCACTTGCTGGACCGCTCTTCCGTCTTGACAACTTCTGTGACCCACACGTTGTTGAGGAAAAGCTCTACGAAAGTGGAAGATACAATGATCTGATTGACTTCCTCTACGGTAAGAAATTACATCGCGAAGCCCTGGAATTACTGGAAAAGTTCGGACGCAACGAAGCTGCAGAAGAAGTTATGCCTGCTCTGAGAGGTCCCGACAGAACGATCAGTTACCTGCAAAACCTCCCATCAGAGCTCATCGATATTATCCTAGAATTTGCAGAATGGCCCATCAAAGTCGACGCTCAGAAGGGCATGGAGATATTTGTCGCAGACACCAAGAATGCTGAGGATTTGCCTAAGGACAAGGTGCTGAAGTTCTTGGTACCATTGGACAAGACCCTTGCAGTCCAATACCTTGAACACATCATCCTTGAGCTGAACGACAAGACACCAGAGTTTCATCAGAAGCTTGTAGACCTGTATCTGGAGAAGTTGCGTGACAGAAAAGGAAGCAGCGATGAAGAGCGAAACGACGCTCGGACGAAGCTGGAAGAGTTCTTGCGAAACAGCACGCAATACCACAAACTCAAGACGTTCAACCAGTTACCTGCTGATGGTAAGATATTATCACTCACACTCTAACAATATTCTTGCTGACCATAATCGGACAGACCCCGATGTTTACGAAGCCCGAGCAATTGTGCTCTGTGCAATGGGTAACCACAAACAAGCCCTGCAGATCTACGTCTTCCAGATCTGCGACCACGAGAAAGCGGAAGAATACTGTAACAAAATCTATCTCTCAGCATCAGCAACTTCTCCAGCGCCTGTCGGCTCGAACCCCAACACCGGCTCTCAAACCTACGAAAAGAGCAGCATGGCTGCCGACCCTGAGGATCAGCAACCCAACGTCTACACTACACTGCTCTCTTTATATCTCAAACCACCGAGCCCGCACAAGGTACAATGGGAGCCTGCGCTGCAACTGCTGTCAAAACATGGTCCCAGACTCCCTGCTGCCAACACTTTGGACTTGATGCCCAGTGATCTGCAAGTCAGCGAACTGTCTTCTTACTTCCTCGGTCGCATCCGCAGTGCCAATACCGTAGTTCGTGAGGAACGTATTCTTACTGCTCTTCAAGCTGTGCTCAAGACGAGTTTGAATTATGATCTCGCCGTTGGACCTGAGCATATGCAACAAAAGGGTGGAAGGAGCAGAAGAGTTGTCATCAGAGAGGAAGATCATTGCAGAGTCTGCCATAAGAGGTTTGGCAATTCCGCAGTCAGGGTCTATCCTGATAATGAGGTCATTCATTATGGATGTGTGGGCAGAAGTGGAGTGCAGAGGATGAAGACAGGGCAGGGACAAGGCTTACAGGCCTTGAGACAGTTGCCATGGAGTTAGAAGTGTCGAGATGAAGGTTAATGGAAGAGGAGAGTAAAGAAGATACCCAAATGCTATGTTTTGTCACTATTGTTGCAATCTCAAGTGCCGATGACTGTAACATTGTAGCTATCAAAATGCACAAATAACAACAGAGATGGAGTGATGTCCAGAGAGATTCATGATCTCCTGGGTATCTGTCTGGACACATTCATGATCTGAATACGATCGTGCATTCTTATGGCTAGCATTGTAATGATAAGCCACTGCGAGAGACGATAGAATGTACCTCGGTCATCCTTCGATCATCAGGTACATTAGTATCGACTTGTTCTCTGGGCTATAATCGTGCAGTATTTCACCTTTGTTCTCAGCCATCTCGATCATAGGAGATAGACGGTCATTTGCTGCACGGTCAGGGACATGGTTGCTTCATTCTGGTTCATGTGGCAAGCTTGATACAAAAGGGTATCTATCTAGTTGGTTTGGTATCTAGGCTCACTCCAAGGCTCATCTGCAAAAGTGCGTTTTGCTGAAACGCGAGTAGAGCGGCGACGTGGGCGTTGGTTTTCTTGCTGTCTGCTCTGAACACTCTTTTGCTTCGATCTCTTGGGGAGACTGATGAGTCTCTTTGTCTGAGTGGTATGAGGGATGGGTTTGAGAGATTCTTCCATGGCTTGTTGATCATGCTCCTCTTTGAGCTTTTGCTCAGTTATGCGAGTTGATCGACGGGGTTCTGGGTTGACTATGGGTGTTTCTGTGGTGTCGTCTGGTGATTGATCTGACGTCTGCTCGTCTTCAGATTCTCTTGATTCTTCTGATGCAGCAGGGTCTGCCAGTCGTGAGATGTTCGGTGAGGCAAGAAGCGGCTCAGGGGTAGCGGTTTCTTGCTCGACTTCCATTTCCTCCACTTCTCCGACTTCTTCCTGCTCATCTTCAACAACATCACCCTTATTCGAGATAGACAAATTGTCATCGACAGGTGCCACTTCACCACGCATCCACCACGAAAAAGGCGTATCCTCTGCAAAAACAGAAGCCCCTAACCTCCTCATCTCTTCCCTAGCAAGAAAGGTCTCAACCGCATATCTCGCTTCCTCGGCCTCTATAACCCATTCAACAACAGGGTAATCGTACAGATACTCAAGCATCAAAGTATCCTTGTGACGCACATACTTCTCAGTCTTTTCCCAAGACCAAGAAATAGATGGACGAGTAGTGGTTTGGTGCGCGAGATTGGTTTCGATGATTGAGCGTTGGGCGAGAGGGAGGTCGATTCGACGTCGATGAGTGGGCACCAGGAAGGGGAACTGTTGGCCAGGAGGAGGACCGTGAAGAAGAGTTTGCTTGATTTCGTGGTTGGAGGATTGCAGGATTGGCTTTGTGTGGTCAGGGAGGGCCATGTTTGCTATGATGAGCTAGATTGTGACAATTATTAGAGGCTGAGGAACCGAGAGTTCATGGGTAACGCACCAGCAGTTGCCTCTCGACGGTGATGGACCAAAGCAACGGTGGTCGTGCTACAAGAAGTAGTTAATTGGAGAAACTGGTCGTGGACGAGATACAAGCTAGGGAGGGCCTTTCAAGGGCGACACAGACGAACAATTGCGGGTCCACGTCGAGGTCAGCAATAAGTGAGAGCTTGATATCGGGTTGTATCGTGTGCAAAGAGCATCACGGACTGCCACGTATCTACACAGTCTAGTCGAATTCCATGGTGTACTTCCAGAGACTCTTTATCGACCTCACCGAGCAGAGGCAGAGGTAGCTCCGCAGATGCCAGATAGACCATCAGGGCCAGCAGTGGAAACAGAAGATGGCGAAGGCACGTTTGGATTAACATGTAGTCATGATCAAAGTCTCGATGAACAATTTATGTATTGTAAATCCTTCTGCACTTTTTCGATAGTGATATGACGAAGCAAGCAGCCAGATGTTCCAAACGAGAAGCGCGCTTTCCTAAGCCAGTGTCCATTTGCGCATTCCTCACTGATCGATGGAGGACATCTGAAGAGCTATCGAAAGGCACATTGATCGTCTGAGATTAGTGAAAGCATTTGGGAATTTCTCTGACAAGTCTCTTTGGCGGAGTCTGAACGGCAGAATTAACATGCAATTTGACAGCTTCAAGTTTACGCTTGTAACAGTAGAAGATGGTGTGAAAGATGGCTTTGTAAGTGTCATGAGGGTTTCATTACAACATATTGAGTTTTCGCGTCTGTCTGCCAGAGCGAAACTGCTATAAGAAGCTGAGGAACCTGAGCCTTGAGCGCTTTGAGTACAGACATCTCGGAAAGAAAATGTGCCTACGCACCTGATCGCCGATGTCCAAAGATCAATCTTCCAGACTTCTTTACGCATGCCCATAGTGGTCTCGGAGTCGTAGTCCTTTGGGTGATAAACCTGGCCTCCGGATTTATCATCGCGAGGTGGAAAGAGCACTGGTGGCTGCTGCGATGATGCAGTGGCTGCTCGTGGCAGAACTTACGTGTGTACCTTTGGTACGTTTCTCAAGGACCTCACAGAATAGCCTCTCCTGAGTGCTCGCCCTCGAAACCGTAAGCGGCCAACTTCTTATGTCTGGTCTTCTCCTGCTTCTTCTTTTGGGCCTGCTCTTGCTTGTGTAGCTCAAAAACTTGGTCGACGGGAGCTTGTTGGAATGGAGGGGGAACGTAGTCGTCTCTGTCCAGATCCTACGGCGCAATGTCAATGACTGGATTTCAGCAGGCAGGTGGAAATAAGCATACGATTTCGCCGAGCAACAGGACGTTCTCTCCTCTGACAAGGAAGAGACCACGGTCGACATCGGCATAGAGGTTCTGGGCGAAAAGGCGTTCCACTGTGTCCTGGAGAACGAGGTTTCCTGAAGCGCATCAACCACTGCAATCGGCGCATGTTGGATCGCATATGCTCGTACCGAATTGGTCCCAACTCCTCAAAACGCCAATCAGTTTCCTGCCGTCGCGAAGTGACACCATGAGCTTCTCTGTTCGCCGAGTAAGAGACATCGGTCAGTCTTGTCTCTCCGGTCTGTTACAAGTCATGCGACGAGGCAGGGCATGCTCACTGTCGGTCAAGTCAAGCAGTTGTGCTGCTGTAGTGAACATTTGCGGGGGCAATTGAGGGATGGGCGGAGGCATCTGGCCTCCACCGAGCGGCGGCGGCGGAGGAGCGTTCTGCATGTTCATGTTGTCCATGTTGTGTGATGAGTTTGAGACCTTCAAAGTGTATTGATCGCTGCCGACTTTCCACAGACCGCGCGCGATTGGTAGATTGACATGACGTGGGGCTGGAAGCTTTGAAGGTCACATGACATTTGATCGCTCAAGTCTCTTTCATCCTCTATCAAGCGTCACTGTCAACGACTGAACACTCGAACATGCAACAGCAGCGATTGGATGTCTATGAATGTTGTCCTACGCCTTTGATTTATCCAACCACAGTATAACTGACCGAGTACATATTACGCCCTTGGGCTGCACGAATTCACACCGGCCAAGCTACCATGAGTAAGAGGAAGAGGGTATATGCATTTGCCCAGTAGTACACATTAGGTTTTCTCAGGCCATTCGACTATTAAAAAACAGCCTCCCCATCTCCTTGCGCCTTAGCCAATTGGCTTCAAGGCCTTCTTCCATGCCCATATTAATTTAAACACTCTCGACGCTGCGAAAGCAAATCTTCATAACTCATAGCAGTGCCGCCAGACTATTCGGGAGCACCGACTGTTGTTTGCTTAGACAAGCATGAGAGCGGCAAGAGCAGCAGCACCCATCATGGGGCCGACGGTCTGAATAGGAGCTCCGGCAGTGGCGACGACCGATGAGGCACGAGAAGCGGCCGAGGAAGCACCCGAGGTAGCGGCACCGGCAACGCTAGAAGCACCGCTGGAAGCACGAGAAGCGGCAGACGATGCTCCAGAGCTGGCAGCGCTTCCGGCAGAAGAGGCACCTGAGCTGGCGGCAGAGGCTCCGGACGAGGCGTGAGAAGAGGCAGACGAAGCACCAGATGAAGCGGCGGCTCCAGCGCTGGAAGCCTTGGACGAAGCACCCATTGAGGCACTGGAAGCAGCAGAGCTAGCAGCAGACGAGGCACTGGAAGCAGCGGACGAGGCAACCGAGGAAGCAGATGAGGCACCAGAGCCAGCGGCAGATGAGGCGCTCATGGCACCAGAGCTAGCACCAGATGCAGCGCTCGAAACACCAGAGCTGGCACCGGATGCAGCGCTTGAAGCACCAGAGCTGGCGGCCGAAGCACCGCTTGAAGCACCGGATGAGGCACCACCAACAATACCACCGACGACGGGAACGACGGAGTAGATCGTAGAGAAGCCAGTGGTGGTAGGGATGGTGCTACCACCTGAGGTGATGGTACCGACAAGAGCCGAGGTAGTGATGGCAGAGGAAGTGCTACCAGACGACTGCTGGGCGCCAGAAGACATAGAGCCAGTAGACATGGCACCGGAGGACTGAGAGCCAGAGCCAGAGCCAGAAGCGCCACCACCAAGAACACCCAAACCTGAGGAGGCAGCAGCAGCGCCGGCGGAAGTAGCTGATGCGTAATTAGATCCAGAGCCGGACACAGTGCTCAAGATGGAAGCGACGGAGTTGCTGGCAGTGCTAACGGCAGCTGTAAAAGGATCAGTATGACGGATCTGGAGCTATGTGATGTAGTGGATGCTCACCAGCACAGTAGGCATTGGCGAAACCAATGGCGTCGGCGGCCTCAGAAGCGGAACAGGCCTGGTTGGAGCAGTCGCGGACACCGTAGCCGAAGTCAGGGTGGGAGCAATAGCAAGCAACATCGCCAATGCTGCAGTGGAACTGGTTCAAGGCAATGCCGATCATGTTGTTGAAGCAGTTTTGCTATAGGCAGTTGCGTCAGCACATTGCGCATTGAGTGTCGATAACAAACATGGAGATACTTACAGCGCAAGGGCCGAGGCCCTGCTGGGCGGCAGCGAGGACAGCGCCACTGGCGACGAGGGAAAGTGCGTACTTCATTGTGATGGTTGCGAAGATGTTAGATGCTTTGGTGTAGGATACCAGATAGTGATCGCTTGCGAGGAACGTTCAGATGACGAGGTTGGAGAGTGGAGAATGAAACGACTATTGATGAGGGGATGGGTGAGAAGATGTACACGAGACGCAAGGAAGAAGTAATTCGGAGGCAGGTTGCTGATGGCTGGTAGGATGCGCAGTGACGATGGGAGCTCTTTCTTAAATTTCCGTCCAAAGAGCCATGGCGATGCGGTCACGCAGCTTCTGACAGCACTAAACCACCGATACCGTGCACTCATCGGCCTAGACTGCCAGCCAGTTTCCCACATTTTGCACCATTTTCTTGATTCACAAGCCTGCGCTATGCGCATATCCCACGTAGCTTTTGCTTGCATGATGATGGTGACCATGACCGACGCAATTCCTCGGGCGCGCTAAATTGGCGCTTGCTTCCCCTCTTGGCGGTCCAGTGCAGGAACCGTCTGTAAATGCAACGGCTGACTGAGAAGCTCCTCCCTCGTGCCGTTAAAGAAATGAGACCAGGACTCCTGCATTCAATGGCGTATAATGCCATCTAAGAGCCATCGTTTAGAAAGACCACAACCCCCCGTCCTGTGTTACAGCACCTGGCTCGCTGCGAGATGTCGTCTGGTGGCAGGATTTCCGCAGTTCCCCAGATCCACCACCATCGAGCTCCCACCGCCCTGCAGTCGCTTGCTTGCGCCTGGTCGAAACCTTGCTTGGGTTCCCGTTACCGCCCAAACCTCAATGAGCCCTGACGATCATTGATATCACTATATCGATTGACATCATATTCAAGCTTCAAAATTCGAGTTCCGGTCTCACTCGCGACCTCTTTCCACGATTTCCCACGTCTGCTTTCATCACTGATGTGCAAGCTTGACTTTGCCAACTTCCCTGTTTTCATGCAGGTACGAGCGAGCTGGCTGCCTGTGCCACACAACGCCACTTTGCCCAGCCACACTCAGCACGGGGTCGAGGAGGCTTGCCGCTAGAAGTTACCACCGATGGAATCTGAAGCAGTCGTTGATGGCGGCAGTCCTGGTGCCACGGTATGACAGTTAGCAGGGCAGTAAATTAAACAAGGACCCCTGCTTGTTCCTATTCGAAATGCAAGGTCTGAAAGCTCCCATGCAACCCTCACCTTTATCATCTTGCAGGCATCCCATCTCTACTTCATTGGAGACGGTACACGTGCAATGATTATTCCCGCTTCCCCGACCCTTCCAATCAAACCATAAACCTTCGACCCAAACCCCACGATCTTGTGCTTCTACACAGCCGTACACAGCCATCGCTCTGGACTTGATGAGGCTTGACGGTGGCATACCCAGCCATCAGCGCCCAGCTGCTATATCAAAACCTCAACCGTACTCAACCGCACTGAGAAACATCAATAAGCCATGTCGCACAATCGCTTGGGTGAGTGCGTTGGCTGTATTGTAACAACAAGCCTCTTGAAGCCTCCTCGGCGCGGTTCACTACCCTGATTCTTGGATAGTTACAATTTAAATGTACCGTCCAATCAGAGCGCCATGCCAATTGTTGTGCTCCCAGCCACATGCATCACATGCTAGCACAACATGGGACTTAAGAGCTTGACTGAGATGGACAAAATTACTTGTACAATGGCTGACCATCGCAACCCTGCTTTGCATATTAATCAGAAAAAGATCTGCTCTATCCGTTGTCCCATCAGCAGGCGGCATAAAAACACACACTGACATACACTGACGCGCTCTTGTACGACAGCGACAGCCTCGGAGGCACGCGGCATGACTGGGCAATAGAAGTTTATCCAGCTTTTTGACGGCCAAGTTCTGAGGACTAGCAGAGTGAATCGCGAAGTGGCTTGCCGTTCACGATATTTTTGCTGACAGGACGACCCTGTGCGTCTAGATTCAACCCTATCTATCTGCTTCTTACACCTCTCCTGTGTGCTCAGCAGTCTCTCTTGACCCATGTCAGGGAGCTCAACTGAAACGCTAAACAGGTTTAATACCTGCAGTGATTGTGCTCATGCCATTCAGCCATGGTTATAAAGCGGCTAGAACCTCAAAAAGGTACGCCAGGACCTTATAAACACAACAGTTCATTCACATGCGATGAACCTGTTCCTGTTCCAATGATCTGCGTGATCAATCTCAAGAACAAAATGTTCGTCGAAGCGTCACCTAATGAACACTGACATGGAGTCAATTCTGCGTCTAGGGCATTGTAAAATGATCAGGAGAGGTGAGTCTGGGTGCACGCTCGAAATGCTTTCCAGCAATTCCAGTACAGCTTCAACGTGTCCTTACGTTCTTACATCTAGGTCGCAAACTTGTGAGATAGATTTCAGAGAGTCGCCGAAGACTCAAATGAAAGTGACAACTCCGTTTGCTCGCCCCACTGTGAATTAGACCTGTTTATTAACGCCTTCAAACACGCCAAAAGCTCAACAGTATATCTCACTGCTGGTAAGGGGACAACTTCGTCCAACAGTCGTTCACAAAGATCGTGACTGTCAGCTATTTCGCATCTTGTCCCTGATCACCATCTCCTCATCTCTACCTTCTTTCTTTCTTCCTCTTTTCAGAACAGGCTACTAGGATCTCGCTTACGGGCGAGTGCCATCACATCTGACAAGATGCCTCCATACTCAGTAAGTCAAACGTATACAATCGTTGACTTCGATCGATATACACTGACCACACCAGTAGGGAGCCAAATTTCAAGTCTTGCTCAGAGCTCATCTTCCGAATGCCTTAGTGGAACTCACGACTGTCACGGCGCGTGAATGGGAGTCATCGCCCGCAGAGTACCTCCCCTCCTACCCATCACACTCAATCTTAGGCCGCATCCGCAACTCTGACGTCGAGCTTTTCGAGAACTATCCAGCTCTTCGCGATGAATTGCTGTCACTAGGATTCACAGTCCGCCGTTTTGATGAGAACAAATGCATGTCAATCTATGCAGACACCGAAGTCAAAGACCGTACTTTGGTGCAGAAACTGCAAGATCAGCTTTACGAAGCACTCAAGAGTGATGGATGGGATATTGGATATGGGTTGGTGGCTGCTACTCCCACAGACATGATGTTGGTTGTGAAATTCGATCGTGTAAGTCATCGAGATTTACACAGATAGCAAAAGTCAGGGGAGCTGATACTAACAAGCCAACAGCAAAGATACAACCCCCAAAACCCGTGTCCAGAAACCATCACAAGCTTCGAAACCACTTACAACACCATTGGATATATACTGGACAACGACGTCTTTCTCACTTCCCCAGAACCCGAAGTCAAAAGATTCTATCTCTCGCGTCCTCCATGGGTAATCTACAAACTCCTCGACAAGACCGTAGCAACAGAATATGCACGCTACCACGCCGAACAAAAAGAAGAAAAAGTACGTCAACACAAGCGAGAAAAGAGAAAAGCCAAGAAGAAGAATGCAGACAAGGCAACAGAGCAGGAGAAACAAGGTGTACTGGAAGCAAATGGAAAAGACACAAGAAGGGGAGGTAAGAGCTACAAGAAACTTCATGATCTAGAACCGATTGCAGATACAGTGCCAGGCGCTGAAGATCGGAAACAGAGGGTGGACAAGCAGGCGAAAATCAGTCTGCACAATTTGACCATCAGCGGAACCAAGCAACACCCTTTTAAAGCCACAAAGATTGGACAAGACAAATTGGATACCAAGGAGATGCCAAAAAAGAACGGAGTCTGGAACCCACAATGGAGAAGAGATGCAAGAATCGCCGAGATCAAGAAACCTGGTTGGTTCTTCTCTGGAGAAGACGTTTTCAAAGATGGGTAAACGCGATTCTTCGAACAGAGGAAGGAGCAGATTACATTTTGCGGTATTTGCGACTGCTAAATCTGGGCTCTCAGTGAGCACTCCTGCTTTACTTGAGACTTTATGCATCTTGATAGCTAGATAATAGTCTATCATGCCGTGGGAAACAGAACGTCCTCATTTGTATGCTGTGCTCCTGATCTATACACCTGCTTCTCTCTCATCAGAGTATAAAACAATTGCGAGGCTGTAGAGACGTACAACACTCTCAGTAAAACAGACAGTGTCTACCAAGAGTTGACATCCAAAGTCATCTCACTGGCCAATCTCGCATTCGAATCCCAACTGTGCATTTCTGCAGTGTACAACAATCCTTGACTCGCAACGGAGGACGGGTCAACTGAAGAGCATCCTGTTCGATATTTCTTCCTACAACTGTTTCTCTTGAAAAGCACCTTCCAAGTTTTGGTCGGGCTCGGGATAGGCTGTCTTGCCCAGTCGAAAAGCTGTTAGATAGTCATGCAAGAAATGTGTCATTATGCCTGATGGCGAAACCTATGAGAGAGCTCCTGTTTCCAAGCTCTGCTTATTCGACGTGAATCCAAACTCCTCGGCTAGCCTTTTTGCCTTGCCATGACCAAGCTTCCAAACCCAACCCTGTCTTGGTCGACTACCTCCTTGCCATGTTCAACGAAACTCCTGATGCAAAAACAAAAAAAATCGGTGAAAACGCTCAAGCACCCACAACACCTAGTCCGTTAATCTGGCCCTGTCCTTGCCCTATACTCCCAGAATTCTTTCCTTTGACACCAACCCAACCCCTCCTCTGTCTACCTGTTCTTCCTCTTCCCAACCAGTTGTACTTCAATTCCCTCGTTAGTCTTTCTACAACAGCTTGACTCTGATCACCGGTCTGTGCTCCTGCAACCACACTGACACATTGCAACATCCTAGCCACTGTTTGCGTGACCTGCGCAGGGTCCGCAAAAGTTGGCGGTCTGCCTGACGGATCCGGAGAAAATGAGGATGAGAAAGCCGGAGCTGAGGTTACACTGTCGATGGATGTGGTTGGATAATGCGATGTGCTGTGAGGAAGTGAAGTGCCGAAGCTACCAGCAGAAGTGTTGGAAGTTGCACGGCTGCGACTATGGTGCGTTGGCGGGCTGGATACTATGGTTGTGTTACCACTGTCCAGATAGTTCGAATTGCTATTGTAGCTGCTTCCCATGCGTGGAGATAGGGAACCTCCTGTCGATGGTCTTTCTGCCCCTCCTGCTGCTGGATTGGAAAAGCCTCGCCCTCGGCTGCCAGACATAGCTGGCGACGATGATGGATTACTGGCCACAGCAGCAGTGTTTATGCTGTCTAATGACAACCGTGAAAAGATCGCAAGCAGCGTTTCATGGCGTGGAAGCAGAACCACATCGCGGAACACAATCAAGGCGATGCGGCGCACGTCTAATTCCTCTCCAAGTCCAGGCATACGATTTGATGTATTGCTTGTTATTGTCGCGCCTCCAGAACTACTCGGCCTCAGCTCGTCGAATGAGGATGATTGCTTCCGTGTGATTGGTGGTGGCATCTCAGCGGGCACGAAAGCACCCCAGAATTCTTGGGCTTCTCTTGCGCTCATTATGCTGCCGTGACCACGAAACTCAAGATCCAGTGGCAAGAAGACGGCTTGGATGAAGGGCAGGATAGAGCTGAAAGTCGTCTGCCAGATAGCAACAAGGCGCGTTACGAGCCGTTCGTCGGGCACTCTGTGTAGTGTTTGCGCGAGCGAAGAGAAGCCAGTCGCGAGCAATTCCCTCAGGTCTTCCACCAGAACAACCGGTGCACGTTTTTGTATACATCGTCGAATATGTACGGAAACCAGCAAATTGAAATCCTCGATTGGCGTCCTTAGGTCCTCACCCGAAAAGATGTTTAATAATCTTGCTTTTAGCAAAGGCCAAGCATCGTCGGCTGTGATACCATTCAGACCCATACTGTTACCCAGATTGTTGAACGCAGCGGCAGACATTGTAGGCTGAGACTCGTACAAGGGCAGAGAGAAAAGAGAGTTGCTGCTCGGAGGACCGAGGATAGAGACCGAGTCCAAGCTACTGGAAACCATGAAATCACTTCTAGAGTCGTCTCGGAGCAGATTTCCAGAAGTGTTGGACATTGTAGGCGTCAAATTTGTAGCTGCAGCGGCAGCGGCCTTTTCCTCCTTCTTCTTTTCCCGTAAGGCACGCCCACCATGTCGCAAATCTAGACCACTGACGGATTTGGAGAAACCAGGAGATTGTGGAGTGAACGAGTACAAGGACTGTGGAGCATTTGGATCCACAGCGGTAGAATTGGATGAAGCCGAGGACAAAGGTAGAGCGCCACGGTCCTTTTGTTTCTGCCTTGACAAGAAGTGATGCCTGTGTTTCTCCTTGTCCTCCTTCTTCTCGATGGTGGCTGTCGCAGTCGTGGTCACAGGTACTAGGGTAGAAGTTGATGTATTTGCGGAAGAGTAGACAGAGGCAGCGGCAGAGGAATTGGGGTCATTCAGACTGGTCATTGAAGCATTTGCGAAACCAGCGCGCAGCAGACCGCGATTTGGAGAGGGCAGCGCCGGAGCAGCCTTCTTGTCCAGGTCCTTGTCTTTTGTGATGCCAATACTCTTTGGCTTATGAAACAGCTTCATCTTGGAACGCTCTTTGACCTTTGTCTCGGCAGGGATTGGAACAGGAGGGGCAGAGACGGGTTGATCAGCAGTCAGGGCGTGTGGTGAAGGCATTTGACCTGGACTGCGAGGGAAAGCGACGTTGGCAGCGGTGGTGGCGGCGATCCTGCTATCAATGTTGCTTGAATGAATTGGAGGAGGGCTCAGAGTGGTAGGAGAGACTATGCGACGATCGAGACGAGTGGCAGCAACGTTGATGGGCTGCAAGGGAGGAGTGGGACGTTTGCGGTCGTGGGACGGGTTTTGCATGTGGTGCATAGCAGCTTGGGCAGCGATTTGGGAGGCGGGCATGTGCGAAGTATGCGGTAGAGAGGGCTCGAAGAAGCCTTGAGAATGCTGTCGGCCACGGTGATGTATGGATGGAGGGGCAGTCGGTGGAGGCGGGGGCGGCGAGGTCATACGCAGTTGAGCATCGATGGACTGACGAGGCTGAGGGCGAGAGAAGTTGGCCAGGGCAGAGGGCGGGGCGGTGGTGGCATGAGCGGTATTGGGACGAGAAGCAGATTGGTGTTGTTGCGGGAGTTGTTTGTTGGTCGTCGTGTCGTTGGAGGCAGCCGACATGCTCGAGGCGCTGCGATGCGCCCACAACGGTGGAGGAGCAGCAGCCGTGGGCGAGGTTTGCGACGGTCGCGACCGCAGCGGAGGGTGGTCGGGTTGTTTGGGTGTCTTGTTCATCGTGTTTCGTCCATCTTGGCCATGAGGGTCGAGTAGAGGGAATTGTCTCACAGTCCCTTGGGAAATGTGTGGAGTCAAAGTTTGGGAGCGTCATCGTTCAAGCCAGCGCTTCCTGCGAACATACGCCCAGAACAACTTTGGGGCCCTGTCAAGTCGAGCTTCTTTTCTGCCACCTCATCCCATCAACCACATCGACGACAAGACCCTTCTCTTTGCCAAAATGTCCGCTCACTTGACCGCCGTCTACACGTCACCCACCGCGACAAACACCTTCTCTTCCCCGCTCCAGTCCGCCCCCACTCAAGCCAGCTCGTCGACCGCAAAGTCGCAATACCTGGGCGACCTGCGCCAAAAAGTCGCCCAATTACAAAACGACATCAACCACTTCTTGACCAAAAAGATGGACCAAGACAAGGCTGCCACTGAGGGTGCTGCATCCAAGGACGAGGATATGGAAGAGCAGATGTACGGCGAGGAAGTCGTCGACGAAGATTGAGAACGTCACCATCAAGATCACATATCCGACATTTGCATCTTCATCTACATGCACTATGCTACACACACCCTCGTCATCAACATCCATGCATCAATGAGTTCCGCGGCCACGCATACCCAGTATCTGCCCACGTCTGCGCGTTCAAGAGTTAGTATTTGAATGACAATCCGAATAACAATCCGAAAGACTCCTTGACTTACAGTGTAATTAGGATTATTATAAGCCTCCGGGTGGTTTCTGATATACTCTGTAGTCTCAAAGCCAGGAGGGTCGCACGTCACACTCTCCTCGCCTTCCTTCTGGTAGATTCTTACGTAGTCGATACGCATGATCGCTGGCCATGATACAGCCGACCAGTTGATCGCGACCCAATTTTCAGAGATGCCTAGATTGAGAATCATCGACATGGGCTATGAAGTCATTTGTTAGTACAAATACTGAATTCATCTGACATGCCACATACCTCTTCACTGATTATTCTCTGTCCAACGTTGCCGTTTGGCCCAATGGCTCTGGCATCGAACTTCATCATCTCCTGCCCGGCCACCGTCCACGCGATGAAGCTCTCCGATGTGTTTCCAGGAACATACTCGAAAGCATAGCGCTGATATGCTTTTCCATCGTACCAATTATTATTCAGCATCGTTGTTGTAGACACTGCTTGTTGGAACGGCCCTCCAGTCCATGTGTTAAGCATAGAGAGTGTGTAGTCCGGAATTTCCATGAACTCTGCGTTGGGGTACCTAAACGTAAGGGTACAATTAGCATGTTCCTGACGTGAGAATGGCACATCAGTAGTCGAGAAGCCATCTGGTGGCTGTTGACCTGCACTATTTGCACCCTTGCCTTACTTACCACCAAACATCGAAAGGAGCAATTTGGTAACTTTGAGTCGCGACACCGAGACCCATACCGCCATAGTCTGCAGACACTTCAATCACATCAATCTCCGGTGCTCCTCGACCTTTGCCTGGAGTAGGATGGTCTTCGCCCGGACAGACACAGTTGGCGAGCCTCTGTCCTGGCAGCTTGTTCATGCCACTGCTGTCGGACTGGTTGGGTGTTATACCCGCATCGCATTCGTTGTATGTATAAGGCCATGTCCCTTCTGTCGTGGCCAGATATCCCGGTCGTCCGAGATTGCCCAAGCTCCACACACCAGGCCAGAGAGCGTGAATACCAGCAGGTCCCGGAAGACTGACCGAGACCTCCATCATTCCACCCTTGAAGCAGAGTTGATTCCACGAGTTCAGCATGCCACTACGAAATTGGAGACCGTGGTTGCCGAATGCGTCCAGTTGGAGATGTAGAGCGCCGTCCCATGTGGTTACGGCGTCTGGATCATACCATTCGAGATCTCTGGTTGCGCCGTACCAAAAGTCTGGAGCGTACCAATATGGATCGTCGCCAGCATAGAACGTCCTGTTGATATCGTTGAACTCATCGCTAAAGACCAGATTAAGCGTATCTCCGTTGACGCCAATCCGCGTTCTCTCGGTCTTAGGCGTGTCAGGGTCGATCAGGCTGGTACGCATGTTTTTCAGAAGCGGATATTTTCGACTCGCGTTGACTGTTGCCCATGTCACCTCATTATCGCCATAACCCCACATCTGGTCCAGTGGTGTATCGTTGTATCCGATAATGTTTATGCCCGACCAGCTAAGCACCGGCAACATGATGAACACGCTAAGAAGACCGATTATCATGAATGCCAGACCGAATGCATCCCGCAGATTCTTTCGCGAGAAACGATCTCGTAACGTAGGTTTGAATTTCTCATCGTCGTCGACCATTGGCAAATGCATGTCATCGTCCCACTCTTTCTCGTGCCAATACAAGGGAAATGTGTAGCCCTGCGCTTCTGTACCTGGCGCGCCGAGTCTGTCGTCGAGATACGGGAAGAACGGCGTGTCTGCGCCTTTTTCATCAACGAAAGCACCTCTTGGATTGACCGCTGTCGCAAGATGGTTCGAAGGATGACTTTCGTCGGCAAAAGGGTTCGAGTTTCGTCGCGACAATGGCCGAGAAGCTCCATCTGCGTACCCACTACTGTCAATAGAATTGCGGCGTGGCAGCAAAGCTGTCAAATCAGTTGTTGAGTGGCTGGGTGTCTCGAATGGGTTGTAGTATCTATCAAAGTCACGTCCAAGATCTCTGACAGATCTCGGTGTAGCCATCCTCGAGAGACTTGTGGAAGAACTGACGTTTCTCATGCTGTATGGTCGTGGGCTATGACGTGAGGTAGGAATAGGTTGTGGAGGTAACAACCCTTGGCCTAGCGCAATCCCTGCAGCGCTCGTATCTCTAGTATATGCATTGTGCAAAGATCCAACAGATCCATCTCTTGAAGATTGTCTAGAAGCATTCGAATGACTGGAACGATGAAGTGTAGAGGGACTAATTGGGGTTTGTCGAACCGGGATCTCGTCACTGCTTTGGCCTCGTGACCGGTCGTCTAATGGTTGGGGTCGCAAGGAAGCTGCTGAAAGTTGTGCGTGTAAATTGATTGCTGAGCGTCCGGCTTGCTCGCTCTGTCGTCCCTCTTCGGGATAAGGAAATTCTGGTCGGGTCAAGCGGCGTGATGATGGCGGTCGATCAGGCGGAGACATTGTACTGTCCTTCTGTCAATTGAGCACTTGAGTTGTACTGATGTTCTGCTCGGATACGCCAGCTTCCAGGACAGCGACTAATGCGATCAACGGTTGACGAGTGAAGTGCCTGAGAGACGCAACGACCGAAAGTGATATATTTACTAAGGTGGTGCCAGGTGCACGGATGGCGTTCGTAAGGAGTCCGGGGTCAGAACGTGGAGCTGAACTGTGGGCAAGCTCAAGAGTGACACTTGCAGCCGATTGCTGTACTGGTAGAAACTCTGCGAGAGTTTGGGAAGATAACAAGGCAGTATGATGTAGAGAATTGGAAGAACAACGAAAACAAGAAAATCACTAGTTACGCGTCAACAAAATGCCCAGCTCTTCCCCTGGTACGATACTGCCACTGCCATGCGGCGCGGCATTTCTTGTCGAGTTGGCGCATTTTGGCTGATGGACTAAAACCGTTAAGACTTCTGAGGCTTGGTGAGGGGTCCAATGATTGTTGCAGGAATAAATTGGCTCCAGGAACACATCAGACAATCTTCTGCTCCTTCTGCCACTTGTCTGGCGCACCTGCAGCATGCAGAGAACATACCAACAAGTGCACGAGTCCTAAATTTGTGACACCGTGTGGTCGGCTTTGTAACAGGCTCAGCAGTCGAAAACACCTCATGAGTGGCATCTCTCTGGGAGTTTTGTATGATAACGATCATCGATGTCCGCGATACGAGAAACGATTCCATCGCATGACTGTAGATAGTCAATCGGAATTTGGACCAGATTTCGCGGCGTCTTTGATGCCAAAAAAATCCGCATCTAAAAGTCTCGTCATTACACCAAGCCAGCCAGTGGCGGGGTCTGTCAAAAGTATCGCTTGGCCGACTTTGGCTCTCAAATATCGAATCAACGTTCCTCCTGAGATAGGAGACTCATTTGTACAGCCTCCATCGGCATGCTCAGCTGAGAGCGTTGACGTTGCGATCGATCACCAAGAGCGTTGGCGCTGACCCCAAGAGACGCCTCGCACAGCGCTCTCAGATTGCCTGTCATTGGAGGTTGAGTCGAGAGTGCGACTCGATGCATCGAATCTTCTGAGCGATGAGGATGATGTCCTTTCGTCGAAGAGAAGGAAAGTGTCAAACCACGAATGTGATGGAAAGTTGTGTGGTGAATGACGCCGCGTCTGAGATTGCGACACCAATCGGAAACCTCGGCTTGTATCCAACCTAGACCAGGGGCAAGGTGATTTCTTGAGCCTCGACTTCCGTCCACAACTTTCTGATCTGGACAAATACTTTGAGATGCCACCGCAGATTGTTTCAACGACGGAAAAGAAGAAGCGTCGCCCACATGTCAAGAGCAAAGCGGGGTGTTCGACGTGCAAGAAGCGGCAGGTACGATGTGACGAACATAAACCCAAATGTCTCAATTGCAGTCGCCTGCATTTATCATGCGGATATTCAAATGAAGCGTGTCTGAGTGTGGTACACCAGCCCGTTGATTATCAATTGAATGACCGCCCTGGCTGGAAAAATCGCGACTTATACTTCTTCAACCATCTTTCCTGCTTGGTTGTAGACCTTCAACAGAGCAAGAGGCAACAACTTTTGTTTGCAGGTGATGTGTTACACGAGTACGTCAAACAATGAATTTGTTACATCCTGGGAATTGCATCTGACTTGATTTTGCTAGAACCTTCAAGATAGCTATGGAGAAGGATTTTGTTCGACATGCGGTGTGCGCTTTATCTGCTTCACATCTTTCTTCACTGAACAAGACCACCGCTATGGCACACGCTAGCTTCGAGTACAGATATTTGGCAATCCGTGGCCTGCGTCAAAATTTGAAAGACACAGATGCTCAAAATCTTGTGGGAGTCCTGGCTGCTTCACTCTTACTCTCCTGGCAAGCTCCCTCGAGTGACGAGTACTCGCATACTATGCAAGGTGTCAAGACTATACTCGAATTTATGGATGCGAATGGATATCACTCCGACTTGCGATCGTTGCTTGCATCATCGGATGGGCTTCCTCCCACGAAAAGCACTGAATTCACCATTCCGGATCGTCCTCTGGTAAGAGCCAACGAGGTACTGAGCACGATTCTCAGAAGACTACAGGGCTTTCAGGTTGATGCCGAATTCAAAAGAAGCATGAAAGAACTTTCGAATTATGTCTCCAGCTTGGCTATGCGCCCGGTCACGAACACGCCAGCGGAGTACCAAATGCAAGCACTCTATCCTATCAGGAATTGGATGCACTGGATTCCAAACGCTTTCCAACGTCTCGCGCAAGGCGATCCGGTCGTTATGCTTTTCTTTGCGTGTTTCGAGATGACCCATCTCGCTATTGCTCCTGTTCTTCCTGAGACAAGCACACCACTCAGTATTTTGAAGCGAGCCAAGATCATTGAGAACCTGGATAGACAAATCACGGACCTTGAACAGTCGTCACGCCTATCAGCTTCTATTGATGCCGAACAGTTACAGACTCTTAGCATGCTGAAGACTTTGATGGCTGGACCTCGCTCTTGGATTCCTACACGTGGGGTGTAGGCATGCGAAGCCACTCTATGCCGACCACGACTGCTACTTTAATCCTGGGTCTGCCGAAAACGTAACAAGGCGTATGACGAGTACGTCTGCTGATAGGCAGCAGGCTATCCAAGCTCTCACGGAATACAGATCTGGTCAGTAAACGCACGCATATTTTCCAACAATGCACACGACGGCTATTAGTACACAAGAGATTTTATTTCATGTCTATGGTACAATCACAAATCCTGTGAAGGCGTTTGTCTTGTCCTCGTATACCTTTGACTTGACACCTCCCTGGATCTTCCACAAAGTGCCACCAAGGTCGGAGACATAGATACTTCCGTTTGCGTTGTCCAATCTCAGTCCGATGGCCTCATCAAAGTTCTGTGCGATGATCTCGTGCTTGGGGAACAGACCAGATGCCATCGGACGTGCATGGCCGTTTGCATCGATCTCTGCTCTGTTCAAGGTGTTACCGAATGGAACTTCTCCGCGATCAGTCCAATAGAGCATATTGGTGTTGCTATCAAATTCAAGGTCGATCGGCTCTGGCAGCTTATCCAACACGCACTCGATATCCGACCTGGTTGTAGCCGTCTGGCCAGTGGGCATGTCGATGTTGACGCTGAAGATGCGACCTTTTCCACTCTTGGGCGAGCCCTTCTGAGTCCAGAACAACTTGCCAAGCTTGGGAGCAAGTGTGATACCAACACACCACCTGGTCTGGTCTGCTGTTTCTTCCGGTTTTTGCCAATCGCCATTTTGAACCAGTGTCTGCAGGTTACCACCATCAAGGTCACAACACATAACACGAAGACCTTCTCTGTCGCAGAAGTAAATCTTTCCATTTTCCTCGTCAATCACCGTCTGCTTTGGAGTGTGTACACTGCCAGGCGGGACGATCTCCTTGAAATCGCTACCATCAAGTTCACAGGAGAACACTCGTCCGTCGTTGTTACCGAATGTGCCCATGTCGGTGGCATACAGACGTTTGTCGGTTTTGCAGTATTCGATACCGTCGGGAAGGCCAGCCTTCGGCAGAAGGGTTGCAGGCTTGCTGCCGTCTTTGGAGACTTCGAACAAGCGCCCGTTGCCCAAGATTTCTTTGACGGTTGTCTTTCCTTTCAGCGACTTCGATACGCCAATCTCGCAAAGGACGATCTTCGAGGTGTCGGGTGTCGACGGAGGGTACAAACCACCCTTCTGACATTTGTTTCCAAGTTTGCCTTGCTTGATGTAGTTCTCCTCCAGGAAGTCGACTGTTTTCTCTTTGGGAAGGCCTCTTTCGTGGACGTAATGTTCTTCGATGAATTTGACAGTATCGAGGCCGACCTCTGCAACATGTCGTTAGTGATCTGCTGGTGGTTCTAGGAAAACAAAGAAGAAGACTTACGGTCCATGATCTGACAAGGAGCTTGTTTAGAGCCCCAGAACAAAGTCCACATCTGATCCAACTCTTCTGGTGTCGACACATCCTCGGCCAGAATGGTGAGGAACTCGCGCTTAATAGCTGCCCACACACGATTGAAGATGAAACCAGTTGACTCTTTGCGTGCGACGAAGGGGAAAAGTCCCGCGTCCCTGTGACGTGCTGCTAGGAACGGAAAGATTTCTGGGTGTGTGTAACCGTCCGTCATGAGCTCAACCATCATATTACCAGGCGGCATGAAGTAGTGGGTGTTAAGCACGCGTGCTTTTGTTGCGTCGCTGATCTTCTCGATCATCTCACTAGACTTGTACGACGATGAGTTGGATGCGAGTATGCAGTCTTTCGGTGCCTTGGTGACGAAGTATGGTTAGCATGATCTACAGTCATTCCATGATCGATTTGAAGGAGCTGCTTACCAGTTTCTCGAGCTCAGCAAATGTCTCGATCTTGATGTTAAGCTTCTCAGGAACAGCTTCGAACACGAGCCATGCGTTTTTGACAGCAGACTCTAGGTCCTCGTGAACAGTAATGCTACCAAAAGCCTTCCCTGTGTTCTCGGCGTAAGATGCTACGTTGGCGTTGAAATACTCAACAGCATCTTGACGCTGCTTCTCAGAAGGATCTCTGATTTGAATGTTGTATCCAGCAGAAGCCCAGCAGCAAGCTAATCAGACGACACGGTCAGCTCGAGGATATCTGCCGTAGACAGACGCTACATGCTCACCAATACGTCTGCCCAACACACCACCGCCAAGGATAGCTACTGGTCTGTTGGTATAATCTTGGGGAGGGTTCCACATGTTTGCGAGTGACGAATAGATTTGTTATGAAGAACGAATAGAGTTGTGAGACTTAGCGACGCAGAGAATGCTTACCGTATATATGTATCCTATTCGAATGCCTCTGTGGACACCATTTCAGTCTGCCCATGTTTACCTACTAAAATTCATTGATACGACCGGCGCTATCTTGACGGTTGGTGACGTGGTGATCTAGCAGGCACGACACGACCGGCAGACGTGAACCGTAAAAGATGAGCTTCGGCAACAAACGTCTTTACAACACGCGCGTTCATGAAATGGCTCGCATCTGAATCGTGCCTCAAGATTAGGACCCGGGAAGGCAAGAGTCGGAGGACGAAGCAAGCACGGACAGTCGGCAGATACTCGCCGGTCTCAGACGCACGGACGCCGAGTTTTTTGCCCAACTCGCCTCTCATCTACTATCGGTTTCGGACCGAACCTGATCTCCCTTCTGACATGGCCCTGAGAAGGCTCATCTCGCTATGCTCGCCTCCTTGCGACATTTCTGATCCTCGGTGACTAGTCGAGAGCCTATCAGAAACAGTTTGTTGACAGGTCCATTACCGCTTGAGATCCACTCCTTGAGTGCGACCGTGCTGGTCCAGAGCTGGTGAGTATGCCTCGGTCGTCGTATTCAAACAAGCACATGCCAGCAGTGTGCTATCGTTGTTGGTCGCAGGTAATATAAGAAAACTTGTGCGCCTAGAATGTCCGATTTAGACCCTATCTAATCCTACTTTGTCCATCCAAAGCACTTTCGCTCATTGTCTCCTTTCTTCCAAGTTCGTTTACCATGGCAGAAATCAAAGAGTACACCCTGAAGGAGGTGACTGAGCACAACACTGAGAAAGACCTCTGGATCATCATTGATGGCAATGTCTACGACATTACTACATATACTCTGGACCACCCCGGCGGTGTAGAATCTCTGGTAGAGGTAGCTGGACAAGACGCTACCACAGCCTTCGAAGATGTTGGTCATTCCGACGAGGCTAGAGAGATCATGGAGCCCTTTCTCATTGGACGATTGGAAGGCTTTACAAAGGCAGCTCGCAAGCAGGCAGTTCAGATCGTCCGCAAGGAGCCAGCTCCCAGTCAAAGCAACGTGCCTAGTGTCAAAACTTTGAGTACGGTTGGAGCTGCAAGTCTGCTTGCTGGTACAGCTACTGCAGTTGCCTATAAGTTTCATGGCCACATTCACATTCCCGGAGCCGAGAAATATTTGCACAAGCTCAACCTCCACAAGCTCAACTTCTTGCAATCCGACAATGGTTTCCTCAAGGGCTTCTTACTGGCTAGTGTGTTCTCGGCAGCATTTGGCGCAAGCTTCGCATCTTATATCTCGAAGATAACAACTATTCCTGGTGGTTTTGGACGCACCCCGATGTACAAGAAGGCTACCAAGTTGCCAACCAGACATTACGTCGGTTTCCTAAAATCTACAGAGTTCCAGCCATTGCCCTTGAAGTCGAAGCAAATTCTTCGCGGAACAGGGCTTGTTCGTTTGACTTTCGAACTCCCAACTCCGTTGACTAGACTTGGCCTGCCCATTGGTCAGCACGTTGCCATCCAGGCAAAGATCGGAGAGCAAACAGTGACTCGTTCGTACACACCAACTTCGAACGACTCAGACCTTGGCGAACTGGTTCTCCTTATCAGAGTTTATGATGAAGGTCTTTTGACTGGAAAATACCTTTCGCAGCTCAAGGTTGGTGACCAAGTACTTTTCCGTGGTCCGAAGGGCGCCATGAAGTACAAGAAGGGCTACGCTAAGAAGATTGGCATGGTTGCTGGCGGCACTGGAATCACTCCTCACTACCAACTCATCAGGAGTATTTGCGAAGACAGAACCGACACCACAGAAGTCTCATTAGTGTATGCCAACCGCACCGAGGACGACATCTTGCTCAGGTCAGAGTTGGATGCGTGGGCCAAAGCATACCCTAAGAATCTCAAGGTGCACTACATGCTCGACAACCCACCTGAAGGTTGGCAGTATGGTAAAGGCTTCGTCAACAAGGAGATTCTCGAAAAATACATGCCTGCTCCGTCATCTGATGGATCTTCCAAGATCCTACTTTGCGGTCCCCCTGGTATGATCAACGCCACGAAGAACAACTTGGTTGAATTGGGTTGGAAAAAGCCTGGTGCAGTTGGCAAGATGACCGATGACATTTTCACTTTCTAGATCTTTTGTCTAAGTACTTGTAATCATTGAATCCAAAATTTGATATGCCAAGAACTCTCTACGATTTCATCCTTGACCTTGTCGATCTCTGGTACGTGATATTTTACCTCATACGCACAAGCTGTCTATCGATCAAAGCCGAGATTGCTTTGGTTATGGCGAACATTTGCGCTGAGACTTGGTAGAGTCAGCAGCGGTGACAGATAGTGCTCGGGCAGGGTCACCCAGCATCCCAGCACGTGGCGGAGGAATAACGTGACGATCCAAAACTAGAATTGACGCTAGCATGTGTCAACACGACCGGAACATGAAGCTTTGACCGCCTCGCACATCTGGGTTATCGTTGCGATTCGCAATTGCGCTTCCTGAAACTATTCGAGAAGTCCACTCCGGGCCTTCCTCGCGAAAAATGCGATATCTGAGCTTGTCAAATCGGCCGCATCATCTCCGCGAATTTGACAGCAAGCAAGGCCACGAGGCAACGGCCGTGAGCCGCTCGTATGCCTTTTGATAATGGAGTCCCTGAAACGTATTTGCAAGCCTAAACTGGTGTCGCAAAGATGCGAGCACTTAGATAACTTACTCGCGTCGGCGGTGTATGGCACCGGCCGAGATCTCAACACTCTCGCCTACTTCGACCCGCTCGTAATAACATTTTGATGAAGGCAAATCGCGAACCGCGGCAAGGTGTTCGTTGGTCCGTGACAGATTATGGGTCTGCAAGTAGGCCATCCGTTTGGCGTGTGTATGCTCAATATATAACATAGTACTCCCACAGGCTTCAATGCAACATAACCATAGTGGTACAGCACAGCAAACATGCCTTCAGTACAGTTTTACCTACTAGGACAAGACCCTTCTACAGGGCACCAAATCGAACTCAACTCCAGCGAAGTTTCTGACTATGACTCGCTCCGTCATCTGGTCGCGGGTCACTTCGCTATCTTGGAGCCAAGCGGTAAGTAGAATGTCAAGCATGCGGAACCAGTCACTGAGCCTTAGCAGGAATCGACTTCTCGGTAGACAACAACACATTGGAGGAGGTGTCAGAGGTCATCAACAGCCAACAACCAGTCGCAATCACAATCGATGGCAAGCAAGTCAGAGATGTGCCAGGCCCCAAAGGCTTCCCTTACATCGGCAACTACTACGAGATCTACCCAGACCATCTTGGCAACCACCAGAGACTTTTCGAAACATACGGCCCTGTTTTCAAGACCACAAACTTCGGATCCGTCGTTTACCAAACCAATGACCCTGTCATCGCCAACCACGTGTTCAACGAGAATGGATTCTTCAGCAAGCAAATCACCCCCGAGCACCCTCTTTTCGGTATCATGAATCAAGAAGCAGGCATCTTCCTTGCAGACACAGACACTGAGGCCTGGAGATTGACACACAAGTTCCTCCCGCCAGCTTTCTCACCAAAAGCAGTTCGTCACTACAGCCCGAAGATGCAAAAAACTGTCGAGTCAGCATACAAGGTCTTTGATCAACTAGACGAAGACGGCGATGCTTTCAACGTCTATCTTTACATGTTGAAGCTCGGTTCTCAAGCTGTCGGTCAATTGACACTCGGTCTTGATTTCAACCATTTCTCCTCTGTCAAAGCGCCGCTCCACAAGATGGTGCGCGACATTGCCGAGCTTCTTGAGTTGAACAAGAAGGTTTCGACCATGGGAGCATGGTACTCATACATGCCTTTCGGCGACCCCGCCAAGCTGAGACACGTCAAGCACGACCTTGAAAAGCAGATGGAAGCAGCCGTTGCTGCAGTCACCCCTAACGGTATTGAGGACCTCGAATTGCAGGATGCAGCTCTTAAGGCATCGTGTATCGCAGATTATGCAGTCCGAGCTGTCGACAACCAGGGCGAGAAGCTGCCCCCGCATTACAGAAACTCTTCGATCATGGTAGCAACTGCAGCTGGTTTCACAACCACCTCATCACTTCTTACATGGCTTATCTACGGATTGACAACGTATGAAGGCATGCAAGAGCGTCTGCTGCAAGAGCTCATTGACAACGATATCGATGATGACACAGTGCTCGACGCTGATATCATCGGCAAGCTCCCCTTCCTCGACAAGTATGTAAAGGAAATGCAGCGCAAACACAACCCATCCTACCAGCCTGGCCGTACAGCACAACACGATCTGATCCTGCCAGGTGGTTACAAGATCCCCAAGGGCGGTATTGTCATTCCTGCACTCCACCACATTCACAACAACCCCAAGCTCTGGGACAACCCAGCAAAATTCAACCCCGATCGTTGGGACACCGAGGAGGTCAAGAACCGTCACCGCTCCACGTACATTCCCTTCGCTCAAGGCCCTCGTGGCTGCATTGGTTTCAACTTTGCTCTTCTCGAAGTCAAGATCTTCCTGCCCAAGTTGGTGTACCGTTACCACTGGTCAAAGGCCGATGATGAAGCTGTCGAGTACGATCCTTTCTTCCAGCTCATCAGACCTACCAACTTCATGGCACGCGCGGAAAGAAGAGTCAAGTGGCCTGCAAAGTCTACATAGTGATACGATCTAGAAGAATAACATAATTTCTACACCATTCATCAACGTTCAAGGCCCCAACAATGTGACTGTCTTCATTCGAGGATGTTCTAGCTATGATATGGACGATTTGACACAAATGCGGCAAGTTCTTCCAGCGCAAGTCGCGCTACAGCCTAGCTCGGACCTCTGATCTCTTTGTCTTCCTCAGAGTCTGAATCTCAGGCATGTTGACATAGTCTGGCGTGGGAAAGTATTGTGGCCCCAGCACCTTCTTCTGTACCTTGCCAGTTCCACCCTTTGGCAATTCACCTTCAACAAGACGCAACAGGGTCGGTAGTTTGTATCCAGCCAGATTCGATCGCAGATCATCTCGCAACTTCTTGAGCGACAAGTTCTGGATCGATACGCCGGCGGACTGCTTGACAGTGATTGCGGCGCCAACCAATTGACCGAATTCATCGTCTTCAACGCCTACGACCATCGCTTCGCCAACGTATGGAAGAGTCAAGAGTTCACGCTCAATGTCAATTGCGGAAATTTTGTAACCACCTGACTTGATGATGTCGACCGACGCTCTGCCAATGATGGTGTAATAATCTCCATCTCGACGAGCGATATCACCAGTCTTGAACCAGCCGTCTTTATCGTGTGCTTTGATGGTCGCTTCTCTATCACCAAGGTATCTAGATATGTTAGCCAGGAAACAAAACGACAAGGACAGTGAAAGCACTCACTTTGCAAACATATATGGAGACTTGACCAACAATTCTCCCTCATTGCCTCCTGAGAGCTTGATCTCCACTCCAGGCACTGTCATACCGACACAACCTTTAGGCAGAAGTCTATGATCCATGTCGACTGGTACCTTCAGACAGCCTGGGAATTCAGTCGCACCATATCTGGTCAGAATTGGCGAACCATTTCTCAAGCTCGTCCAAAAATCTTGGACACCGTCTTGAAGAGCACTCGATCCGCACAAGAAAGCACGGAACTGGTTGGCAGCCTTGACATATCGCATTTGCTGATCTAGTGGAAGCTTCTGAACTTCACGCTCAAAGTACCACTTCAGACGCATGTAGATCGTAGGCACAGCAGAGAAGACGGTCAGTCCGCCTTGGAGCCAGCGGTCCCAGACCCATTTGGCGTCGAAGCTTGCTGCGCCTCTGAACTCGATACATGCACCTGCACAGAGGAAAGGGAAGAACGAAGTTCCGAACCCTGTGGTGTGGTGGACCGGAAGAGCATGTAACAGGACATCATTATGGTCAATGTCGTAGCCTTCGCCGATTGCAAGTGCTGTCTCGTGAGTATAGCCGCGTCGATGTACGACTCCCTTTGGTCGTCCAGTAGTTCCAGAAGTGAAGATGACGACACCAGGAGCTCTTTCGTCTAACGGTGGGTCTGATGACATGGAAATGTCTACGGGGGATCGACTGGGTACCACAGGCAGATTAGGCATGATGGATACCGAAACCAGATGAGGGTTATCCGTTTTGACCTGTGCTACCACATTCTCTGACAGTGATGCTACCGGAACACCTGCCAGCACTGCGACTTGGTTCGATTTGTTGACGAAGTAAATTAATTCATCTACTGGTGCAGAAGGGACTTGGGAAGTCAGTCTTGATCCATTGGATAGTATACACTCAACTTACACATTGGGACAACAGCTGCCCCCAGAGCCAGCACAGTCAGGACTGCCACTGTGAACTCCCAACCTCCAGCAGCAAGGACACCAATATAGACCTCATCTCCCCGCTCTAAAGCAACCTTTGTCTCTGTGGTCAAGGAGGCGCTGACGACTTCTCGAAACGTCAAGACTGCATCGAGGAGGTCTCCATACGTTTTCTCAAGACCAAGCTGAAGGTCTCTTACAGCTAATCGTTGGCGTCGAGCGTGACGAATGAGCTTGCCGAACAATGGGCTGTTTGGCAATACATTTGGTCCTCTGTGTGGTGGGAGCAATGAGTTACGATCGTTTCTCATTTTTATTGATGATGAATTTCTGGTGCAGTGATAAAGAGGTATGAAGATGAACTTCCGCAATTTATCTCAACCAATGTACCAAATATTGGGGCCGAGGATATGAGCAGAAGACATTTCGACATGAATGGCAGCCCGGACTTTGGTTTCTTTGGTTACGGCATATCCAAAAGGCGAGTTGGGCGGATTCGGCATTTCGGTGTTTTCCCTAATCGCCTCCTCAATTATCCCCACTCATACCCCGCTTCACCTTTCCTTGGCCTTGAATTGTCTGTAACATCTGCCGAACATATTCGTTGTGAGTGCTCACAGGAGTCGCTCCAGTTGCAGCTCATCCTCGAATCCAATGTCTCGCCCTGCACCCACCTTCACGAGTCTTTCTCTCTCCAGAGAAGGCAATGTCTTCATAATCACACTCCAACGCGGCCCTGAGAATCGTCTCAATACTACATTATGTAACGAAGTCATTCAAGCCTTCCATTACATTCAAAGAACACTGGGTCCCAATTCGGAAGGCGCAGTCATCACCCGTGGAAACAATGCGAAGTTCTGGTGCACTGGCGTTGACCAAGATGAACGCGACGACAACCCTTTCGCCAATTCTGATGGCTTCTTCCCAATGATCCATACGATACTGGATTTTCCCTACCCGACTGTGGCTTTGTTGACTGGACATACTTTTGGTGGAGCGTGTCCATTTGCCTTGAGTCACGATTATCGGGTGATGAATAGCGAGAGAGGGTTTATTTCCATGGTAAGTCACAATTGAACGGCAGTCTTGTCTGGACTCATCTAACGATTTCCATTAGCCCCCCGTCAATCTTGGTATGCACTTCCAAGGCATGGGAACACTTCTTAGTCTGAAACTCTCTCCAAAGATTGCCCGCAAAATGTTGCTTCAAGCACATAAATGGACGGGCAAGGAAGCTCTTGCTGATGGCGTGGTTGACGAGATTGCGAAACCAGATCTAATGCTGGATGCTGCTCTAAAGATCGCTCGTGAGTGGGCACCAAAAGCCAAGGCAGGAGTTTACGGAGTCTTGAGAAACGAGCTCTATGGTGAGGCTACAAGGGCATTTGCACTGATCAGTCATGTGCACTCGAGAGAGACCAACAGGCGGGCATTAGTAAAGCTGTAGACATGATGAGATGAAGTTGTTCTATAGTTTGTATCACAGCATACCAATTCACCCCATTTGCGGATCGGGGGTAAATCCTGTACTGTTCTGTCACGGAGAGGTGAACGACATGTGGTAAAATGACCTCAAGGAGCAAGGTATTCGACGTTCTGATTGGTGCCAAAATCATACACTACATATTTACAGCTTGTGCCTTTTGGCTCCGGTCCTGATCTTCTCAAATTCCTTCTGTGGAATGCCCAAAGCTGTCCGCTTGAGGCCTCCAAACAGTTCAGCCACCATTGAACTATCTATTTCTCTTCTCATAGAAGCGGTGACTATAGCCTTAGTCTCGATTAGACTCGATGCCACGAGATGATCTCCCATGGTATCACGGATATGATCGAGCACAAGCTCTCGGAAGCGTTCATCCTCGCCTTTGTCGCAGTCGAAGATCTTGTTGATAAAGCCACATGCCTCCAAGTCTTTGGCTTGTAGACGTCGGCTGGTCAGCAAGGCTTCATTCGCCTTTGCGACACCCATTCTTCTGATGAATCCGACTGCAGCACCACCTTCAGAAATCAGACCCAGACTGGAGAAGGGCGTGAGTAGGTAGGTATGTGGCACGCAATATATGAAATCCGAAAAGCTGATGAGAGCCGCTGCAATGCCTACTACTGGTCCGTTCAAGGCTGTAACCAGAATTTTAGAGTGCGAGTAGAAGGCTTGTGTGTTGTTAAGGTTATTGGCCACTGTTTCTCTAAGACCGTGTCGCCAGACATCAACTCCAGGTGGCGTTTTGCGGCTGATAGATACGTCCGCGCCACTATGCAGATGAATTAGGATATCAGAAGCTATGCAATACACTAGGTGACATACGCGCAGAAGAAACGGCCTTTGCCCGTGAGCAGAGTCACCAAGACTTCATCATGAGTCTCGATCTCTCGAAGACATTGAGTTATGCGATAAAATCCGTCTTTAGGCAACGCATTCAATTTATCAGGACGATTGATCGTGATGATAGCGATGCGGTCTTGGTATTCAAGGGTGATCCATTGCTCCAGGGGTAGGTCGCTGGTGTCAGACATTTTCGCAGTATGTGTAAATGTGGTAATCTCCTTGGTTGGAAGCTCTGGTGATAGATTTAGAGGAAACAGAACTTCCTGATGTTGTCCATGGTCAATGTTCCTGCCTCGGCTGACGGTGCCTCGATACTCGAGTGTGATGACCGTGGAGAGTGTGCTCCCGGCATTTCGGTATTTCGGCATTTTCGTGACGTTGAGACACACCTTCCTCTAGGTATCGCAGCGCTTACACAAAGCAGAACGAGATGAATATGAATATTCGAAAGGCGGAATGGTCGGCGAATTTATCTAGTATCCATTTCGTGCTACTTGGCCCTCCAGCAGAAGATGATTATCGCCGGCATGACATCCCAACAGACAAATTTCAGTCCCCCATGCTTGGGAGATCGCATAGTACTAAAAGGCAACCGACTATCACGCAGACAGAGAGCGAAAAAAGCATGCACTCATTGTCGAGCTCGCAAAGTTCGCTGTGACATCAACATCCACGGATGGCCTTGCACAGTCTGCCGAGAGGATTCGTCAGAGTGCAAGATCATAGCGAGGAAACGGGTAGTACATCGCAAGAAAGCCACTCCCAGGTTTGTGAAAACAAATAGAAATCCTTTGATTTTATACTGACTGAATCGAATAGCCCGGAACAAAGCTCACAGCTTGATCAAAACTCAATGCTCTCGTGGCGAGATGACCATGAAGTAAGCTCGAATTTCGGCGTAGGATGTTGCCTGGCTTGTAGACTGACAAGTTCCAGCTCACAAGGGGTCCCAGAGACGAGATATCAATCCTGAAGGATTTTGAAGCAAAACTTGCTTCGATGTCTGTCCTCAGTACGCACAAGACACATATAGCGTTATCTCCAAGTGATGCGTTACAGCTCGAGGAAGATACATACACAGAATTACATGCTTCGAAAGAGCACCTGCACAATTCGCAGGACTGCACACAGTCGCTGTGCAATCGTGTCTGCAATGACTGGCCCTGTTCAAAGTACAGCGATACTGAGAGGGACACTCCAATCCTTAGTCCTCTCGATCGTGATCGGACTTACGACCATGAGAGTCCATATAGCGAGAAAGAACCGGGATGTTGTGTATCTGAACCAGATCAATACATGCCACTAGAAGAGATTACGTCTTGGCAAGAGTCTGGTATATGGTCCATCCTACACGGAGGGTGGCCGCGATTAGATTAGAATATCCAGAGTCAACCTGCAATGACTAGCCATTGACACCCCAATCACCCCAAAAATACGGGACGTCATCGAACGGGACGTCAAACAGACTGTCGTCGGGCAGCAAGTTCAGATTCATGATTGCTGCTTGGCTGTTGCTTCCTCTTTCGGCAGCCAAGTCCATCTGTGGCGGTAGTATATCCGAGAGGTTAAAATCAACGTTCTGCGCGGCTCTCTCCGCTTCAGATGCATGCCACATCCTGCAAATATGCAACGGGAATCCCTCGAACAAGGGTGCTTCTTCGCGGCTGAGAGATAATAGAGATCTTTTGGGAGATGTGCCAGTAGGTACCGGATGATCGAGAGCTCTCTGTATTACCTTATAAGCTCCTATAGCAGAGCGCCATCGATTAGATAGTTGTTGGAGTGATGCGAGTATGGTCTCGAGATCTTTCCGCGCGGCAGGCCAAAGCCCAGGGTATGACCGGAGCGATCGGAGTACAAGGCCAGAGATGAATGCAAAAGTTGTAAAGGTAGGTGACAGCAGACCAACCAGATTGCGGGCCAGGAAATCTTCGTAGACACCTGCCACGAAAGAGGCTGCCATAACAGCAGCTGGGCTGATATTTTCGCCTGTAGCACCTGACCTTGCCAAAATTATGATACTTGTGAAGTAAGGTACGTGTAGTTGTCGTGCCAGAAAGTCGTGAGGACGTGCTTCATAAGATCGTGTGTCGACAGAGTACTGCGCCAACATCAGTCTCGCCGGGAGCATCCGCGTCCACTTGAACAACGCGTTCAAAACTTCTGTACGTTTACTAGTTGTCATTCTTCTCCTCGCACATGTTTGCACAAGATCGCCTAATATGCAGCAAACTTCGACATAAGCAATAAACAGCTCTCCAGTTTGTGGTGCGTCAGCAAAATCATCCAAGGTCGGCATCGATACGTCCGAGTCTTCCAGATTGACAGCTCGAGGTCTACCTCTCGAAACAGAGATAAGAGAATCTCGCACCTGCAAATATCAGCGGCTACAATGATAGGACATGAGGTAGCTAGACTTACAACAAGGCTCCACCACATCCGCCGTCGAATGGCTCTTGGTGGACCTGGAGGAGGCTCTTTATGCAAGCCAATTTGATACGCCAATCCCACACCGATCTTTAGCCAGTATTCGCTGGTGTCATGAGAAACAAAAGCAGGGCCGTCCGGCGTGTACCAATGCAACATAGTAGTTGCTTTGATGACAGTCAGCTCATTTTTCTCATGTCCGATCCAGAACAATGCTTTCGCCCGCTGATAAAACTCAGCGGATGAGGCGTATTCGCAGACAGGAGGAGAAGGATTGACCCGACTCGCGGCTAGAAATATAGCCTGGGACAGAAGTAACGAGCTCTGCTGATTGTCACGGACATGTGCTTCGGATGGTTCGAGCAAAGGCATCCACGGAAAACAGTACTGCATGAAAGATTCTAATAAACTCTCATGGAGTGGCCGTGGGGGCAAAGCAAAGACATTCCAGAGCTCCAGAGTTTTCTGTTCAAGTTCAGATAGTCCTTGCTGTCGTGACTGACCATAATCGCGAGCGGAAGTTTCATCTATAGCACTGTCTCCAAAATGATGTCGTCCGATATATGTTGAGCTTCCTCCTGTGCCGGGATCCTCCTGGAGAACTGGTCGTGTGACTACAGGGCTGGCATCTGTGATGTGCGTTTCTGCCGTTAATTGCACAGTGCCATCGAAAGAAGCTCGGTGTGTATCCCAATTGTCTGGCGGCATTGAATCACCGGCCCCAGAGAGACTCTCAGGCTGCGTATTGGCTGTCTTACGCTTCTTGCGGACTCTTGGCCTACAGACTGTCAGAAAGCAACCTCGTAGATGGACCGTGTCCAAGCGCAGTGGCCGATAATTGCGAGTATGGTCTACTTACGCGCATTCGGCACCTACTGATTCACATTGCTCGCAAATACCTCCTTCACTAGGCATGCGGCATTTGATCTTCTTGCTATTGCAGCGCGCACATGCTTGGATGTATGACTCTTTGCCGGACATTATTTGATCGCAGCACAGACTCGGCGTTCCATCAAAGTTGATGTGCTTCTCTAGCTGTCTGCGGGGGCGATCAAATAGATTTCTCTGCCGAACCTCCTTCGATTTCTTGCCGAAGTTTGCCGAATCGCCGCCAGGATTCTCGCCCAGGAATGGTCAGATCTCAAAACCTGGCTGGGCAATCCTCAACGGTCACCAAGACTTTCCAAGACCATTCGTTTACGATAACTGGCCCATAACACTTAAAGCAGGACTTGGGGAAGACGAACTCGAATATAAAACTCCTTGGTGACTCAAGCAATGAACGGCAATACAATAAATCTCTGCGATGGGACCACAAATGCTGTTTAGACCCCACGAAAACGCCTAATACGCCTTCATGACAGTTTGAAGATCGATTCTGTGTGCAACCCTCAACACTTTTACTACTCCACGTAGCGCCAGCCCTTGGGAAGATTGTTTGCTTGTTCACTCTCTTCCAGCTTCTTGTTGAGCTTCTTCACATACCATTTGCACCACAAACAACCAATGATACCCATGACCGCACCAGCAATGATCACAGCACCGCCATTCTGATAGAGCGGTTCTTGCTCGCGTAGCTATATGAGATAGGTCAGTACGAAGGCATGAAGGGGCAAAGATATAGTGTTGCTTACGAAAAGATACGGTGTGAACCAGTGTGAGACCGAAGCAATGCAATTTGTGATGGCCACGACGGCTCCTCGTTTTGCCCTAGGCGTGAAAACATTGGTGGTCTCCCATGGAATATGAATCTTAAAACATAATCAGCACGAGCCTTCCAAGGATATAGCCCCTGAGAGACTTACGTTCAAGCCGATGAAAGGACCCGCACACATGAAGAACATTCCAAAGTAGCGAGCACCAGGATTGAGAGTGCTTATAACGATCGCAGTGCCAACAATGCACATCACGGTTGATCCAATGATATGGTAGCAGTGCTCTTTGTACTTGCCGGCTGACCACGAGATAGCTAGAGTTGCAAGGTAGGCGAACACGTATGGCGGTGCTTGGATCAGATACGTCATAAGTTTGGAGTAACCCAAAGTCTTGACAATCTAAACGGCATTAGTGAGGCTTGGAACTCAGACGTCAGTCAGATACTCACCGAAGGGAAGAAGTCCTTCTGAGACAATGCAACGATGAGTCCGAAGTGGAGGACTGTGAAGATCCAGGTGAAGGGATCTTTGCAAGCAAGCCAAACACCCTGCCAAGCTGAGATGTCGTCGTCTTCAGAAGTTCCACCTGAAGAGACAAGCATGCGGTACTGCGCCATCTGAGCTTGCTCCTCGGTCAACCATTTCACATTGTGGTTGTGAGGATAGTTTGGAATACAGTAGAATCCTGCCAAACCAACAAGGACACCGACGCATCCTTCGATGATGAAGAACCAGCCCCATGCGGACACGCCATGGACTCCTTCCATCGTGGTAAGGATTGCTGCTGCGAGAAGACCAGAAAAGATGTTGGACGCAATATTGCCTGCATGCCAGATTGCCATGCGGAATGGTGCCTCCTCTTTTGTATACCACGAAGAGCTCATCAAGCTGACCATCGGCAAGAAAGGGCCTTCAGCCACTCCAACTACACTCCCAGGTGAGCTCACGTAAACAAGTCGTAGGGTGATTCTGACATACCCAAGAAACGACAAAGGATGAACGACCATCCGCTTGTCATGGCAGCCATGCATGCTGTAATCGCTGACCAGATAACTACGTGGACGGGCATCTGAATCTGTGGTCTGCCTCGAGCTAGATAGACAGTGGCAGGGAGCTGTGAGATGATATATCCTAAGACTTATCAACATGAGCCCTGCACACTATAGGACGGAAGACTCACCAATGTAGAATGCACTGATTCCGAGACTGTACATCGTATCGCTCATCTCAAGATCATCTTGCATACCAGCTAAACGAGCGTTGCCGACGTTGATGCGATCAAGGTAGCCCATCAATAGCATAAGTGTAACCTGAGGATGATCAGCTATGTGACAAAGTCTTCAGAGCTTTTGAATCACGTACCACCGGCAAGAAGATCCAGTCGATCTTGCGAAGCAGTGCCTTCTCGATCTTGCGAAGCTCTTCAGGCGACTTGTCGGCAATGAGTGGATATCTAGCTAGCCACTCGATGTTGTGTTCGCTCTGAACACCAATGATCTCGAGATGCTCTGCAGAGAGGTTCTTTTTCTCAAGGCCATCTAAGGCGACGGTCTGATGGGGAGCAGCCATCGTTTGTAAGATTCAGTAGTGTAGAAGTAAGAGTCAATTGGGATGATCCGAGCTGTTGGGATGCTTTATCAACGAGAGAAGAAGGCGAGTTATATATTGGAAGCTCTTGGATCGCCCCGCATCTTGGTACCCCATGGGGAGTACTCCATGTAAGACTAGTCAGAGGATGGTTGAGGAGATGAAGTCGTTGCAAAGGCATTTCGGCGTTTCGGCGTTAGGTACCTAGAGAGGTACATTTAACGGGACTCCCTCGCCCGGAATCGCAAGCCCACGCGGCAGAAAGGTCTTGTTCGAGACATCTCTCGCAGGAGTATTCGGGATGCAAAGTTCTGCCGTACCCACGTCAAGAACAAAAAGAAGGGGAATATGGTTTATCGGCGCTCACGGTTTGCCATGAGGGGTTTTCATGCATTCCAAAGGCATACTTTGACGCCGGCACTAACCGCGCCAGGAAGAGAACGTTGCAGATGTTCAAGTAGTCTCTGTATGATGAAAGATGTCCCAAGTGATGACAATAGTGACTTCTGCTCAGAGGCGTGTCTTGGCCTGAGAGTGATAGTGTTTCCAGATTCCAATCACGAAACTGATACCGTATCGACAAGGTGCTGGAGAAGTTCATGATGGGTATATCTGCCTACATCTCTCAAGCACAGAGACTAGGTCTGATGACCCTTTTATAGCTTGTGGTAAGCTATCGTGTCCAACAAGACAAGCGATGCAGCCTGTTTGCGAGTCTCAGGTCATTTCGCCCTACTGAAAGCGTTATTTCATTGTAACTCTCATCATGTATCAGAAGCTGTTCAGGTTGGAGACTTATGGTGTCGAGTTCAAGACATCTGGGGTGTGGATGTTGTGCTTCTCCTTCGTTCTTGAAGAGAAGTTGCACAGGTGGTCATCGTTGCCCCACCGAGCCAAGCACATTGGCTCGGTGCAATTTGTATTCTGCCATGGCTAGGAACATTCTTATTCTAGCCATGATCAAAGCGAGCGATCAACATGTTTTGCAAGTAGTCCGTGTGCTTGACAGCTGGCACCATGTATATCAGCATCAATGTCAACTTCAGGACAAGTCATACTTTTTTCAGCGCGCGCTTCACCTTGCATTCTCTTTCGCGCCCAAATCTGGATCCTAGGGATATCAACTGTGATGGTTTGCATGATGTCTCTTCCATTTTCTTGCATGCTCCTCTAGTGCTTCCACCAACATCTAGCGAAGCACCGCTTCTTTCTCATGCTAGAGCACTTGCTCGACCATATGACAACAGAACATTTGCAAAATCGAGAATGCGCTGAAAATCTTTCCACTCACCAAATGACAGCTTCAAACTCAGTTTTGCGTACGCATAAGACTTACCGGAGGATTCTGATACATGCCAGCACATATGACGATATCGATGGGCTGCTCAAAGGTCTTAATGTCGCTTGCATTGTGTCTGCGGCGCGGAGGACTGGTCTCATGGGCTCTCGAGAATGGCGCAAGACCAGACGATCCAATGCTTACTGATCCATATCGATGTCCCCCGTTGCTCGACACCGTAGCCCGCAGAGGCTCTGTGGTCTCATTCAAATTACCTCAATCTAAAGGAGCCAGGCGCGGGCTTCGAACTCTCCACTCTGCTGTAGATACTGCTTTTGATGTCAGTGAATCACGAATAGAGATGGTCAGAAATCTTGTTGATGATCTCAACCTCATCGTGAATGCTCTTGACGGCCCAGAAGAGTCCCAAACCGCTGGGGTACTCCACTCTGTTAGGCAGCAAGGCGGTCAGGCGGCGGCAATGAGAATGTCGTTCGCTTCTTGTTGGAAAAGGGAGCTGACCCGAGAATACGAAGGACTGTTCATCGCAGTGCAACAGAGTTAGCAGAGTTCTAACACAACCAAGGAGTTTTAGCTCTGTTACAAGATTGGGAAGCGGACCATTAAAATGAGAGACACAATATGATTCATCTGCTTTAGCTACGATTCTGGTCTGCTCTTGGTACCTATTGCCAAATGAACCAATTTTGAGACTTCATAGGTAGAGGGTGTGTCTGCGCCCGTTGAAATAGCGTGCCGCTTGCAGACTGCCTGTTTTGCTCTTGGTAAAATCTGCGGTCTTCTGTGACCCTTGAACATGCAGACGCGTCGATGTGTGCGCTCTCCAACGGCTCTGAAAACATCCTGTAGAAGCTGGACTCTGCCTGGATAATGACATCAAGTGCGTGAATCCGAACTTAGACAATGGTCCAGCAGATTTTTTGGTGCAGCCAAGAAGTAGGCGGTAACAGTCACCGGATGAAACATTGATCCTTGAGGATTTACTGCGCCATGTAGATCAGCAATAAGCCTGGCTCATTTGTCTGTGCTAGATTCATCAGAAAGTGCGAGGCCAGGCTGAGCAGAAAGATCATCACGAAGGATTTCGAAGGAATGTAACAGCAGTCTTGGCTGGAGCGCCTTACGCGCGCAGTCGCAGTCAGTTGCCAATCCTTGTCTAAGTTTATTTCCGTACACCTCAGCCTTGTGGTCGAGGCGCTTATAAGAAGATCGTTGCTCCTTCGTGTTCACAATTCAGCATTTGCTCGTAAGCAATCTTTCCAGACTGCCGCAAAATTATCAAATCCGGCTCATCAAAGACATAAACTCTGCATTTCTACTGCAGCTCATCTCAGCAACAACAACCACGCAAGACCTGTCAGCAAGGCCATCCTAAGCACGATAACATCAGCTACATACCAGCTCCCAGACACTTCATCAGCAACTGACACAATGTCCAAATCCGAAGTCCCACCTCCATACCCAACAGCCACACCTGTCGTTGAACACGTTACACCACTCGGCTCACTTGGAGCCTCATCAGCAAGGGTCGACTGTCCTGTCTGCAAACAGACAACATCAACAAGAACACAAAAAAAGGTCGGAGACAGAGCATACATCTGGGGCGCTGTCTTGTGTGTGCTGACCGGCTGCCTGTGCTGGATCCCATGTTGTATGGATGAGTGCAAAGATACAGAGCATACTTGTAGCAACTGCGGACGTCCTCTAGCCACGGCTGCCGCGAATGGAGGTGTCAAGATTGCGCCTAGTGCTGCGACTGTGCCATCTCAATACGAGAGAAGAAACGAGACCATGACAGCAACAGCTGCACCCTGAAAGCTGCAGGGATTCATGATGTCAAGCACATTGGCTAGAAAACGAAGAGCGAGATGCTGGACATTCTCTTTGATTGATGGTGTTTTACGAACGGAGTTTGGATGGTCAGAATGATAGCTTGAGCCTTTGGGTGCTTCGATGTGGTTCAAGTCGGTGGGATAACCAAGTTGGTGAAATAACCAGATTTGTTGGTCTTGGAATTAGCTTTGGAAAGGAGAGAGATATTGAATCACTGCAAATATGATCTTCAGGTCAATTCTTCATGGACATCGTCAGCTTTTGTGGTCGGGACAATCTTCCCTACAGAGTCTCTGTCCGTGCCTAACACCCAAACGCATGCTCCATGTAGCCTCTCTCCAGTAGGAAGAGTATTCTCGTCTTGGGTAGCGGAAAGCAGGTGCGAAGTCGTCACGTTGAGTTGTGCTTTCTCTATACAGCCTGGCTTACTAAGTTGAGCGGCCCGTACCGACGAACAGCCCTCGTTTCGTGGCTGTTGCTAACACTGTGCGAACGTTCAGAACGACCTCTTTCTTGCAAAACACGAGAGCGGACCATTTTTTCCTATTAAATAACCACAACCACAACCATGTCATCGTCAAAAGAAGCACAAGAACAATTGAAGCGTGAAGGCGAAGGTGCCCTCTCTACGTCTGAGTACTGGGACAAGCGCTACGCACAAGCTGATGGCGAAAATGCGACACATGAATGGTTTCGCTCCTTCTCAGCTTTGCTGCCGTTCTTGCAAACACATCTTTTCGATGCTCGACCTGTAGACCAGAAGCCCAGAATTCTGCATTTGGGTAGTGGTGATAGCGTAAGTTAGATTAGGAATTCGTTGAGTGGGTGGCGCTGATCAAAGATTAGACAATCCCTTATGATCTCTCAGCACGAGGATATAAAGATCAGCTCTGCGTGGACTTCTCACACAAGGTTGTTGAAGTTATGTCAGCCAAGGTCGACGACGGTGTAACATGGGCTTGGGCCGATATCCGTGATATGCCTCAACATAGCAGCAACAGCATCGATGTTGCGTTTGACAAGGGAACGATGGATGCTATGATTCACGGCAGTCCTTGGTCTCCTCCTGACGACGTGAAGGACAATACCTCACGCTATCTGACAGAGGTCGGCGACCACGTTTACGCACGTCAGAGACAAAAATGCTGACCAATGGCAGGTGCATCGCATCTTGAAAGACGATGGAGTATTCCTCTATATTACATTCCGACAACCGCATTTCATTCGTCCATTGCTGAGTGTCAACAACCTATGGAGTCTGAAGATGGAGACACTATCAGCTGGCGAGAGCTCCTTCGATTACTATGGCTGGATTCTCACCAAGAACGCCGCTGCATCCGCATAAGGGTGAACGGGATACCGATATGCAGTTCACTTTTTCAGACCTCGCCATCGTCCCTTTGTGACACAAAGACACAGCTCTACGAGAGGACGAAACTCGACGATAGACACTGGTCGTAAATCTGCTGAATTCTGTGCAGCTTGACAATCATGGACCCGAGGACACTACAACTCGATGCAGCCGCGAACAACCAGCCATACAGACATCAAGCCAAGAAACATGTTCACAGGATGCATCCAATCAGAGGCGCTAGAGAATGATCTCGATGCTCAGCTGGTGTTTACGACTTGTCCAGCAGGAGCGCTTATCTACAATAAATCGGCTGTAGAGTGAGGCACATGTGGCATATATCTTGATCACAATACGAACACAAAATACGCATAGAAAGAGAGAAAACATCTAGAATGAAAAAAAAAAAAAAGAAAAGAAAAACAGTACTTATTCCAAGTATCAACCCCCCAAACGCCCAGCCCAATCGTTACCAGCGATCCACCTTCTCACAAGTAAGAATCACACTTCTAGACCCAAGCAGCTCTCAGCAGCTCGAATAGAACAGCAAGAGTAAGAGAAGTCAAAGCCCTATAAAGACCGCCAAAGAAGCTAAAGTGTGTATCAAAGCAGCTCCAGAGGATGAGTTTGAATGTGAGAAGTAAGAAAATGAGGTAGATGATGAACATACGGAGGATAGTCATTGTGAGCTTGTGAGTGCTTGGAGATTGGAGATTGGCTTGGGGAATCGGTTGAAGCTGGCAGGGTTGATGGATGGTTAGATATTAATGAGTGAACGTTACGCAGAAGACAAAGGGGATATGTTGAAACACAATGGGTTTCTCAAGTCTTGAGAGAAGATGGAAGAACGAACAGGTCCGAACAATGGATAAAGACTATGTCTCAAAGAAGGTGCATCCCTACACGCTCTTCTGTAAATTCGCAAACTCCAATACTGATCACTCACTTTCACTCCGCTGTCCGCCTCCACCCTCCTCTATCCCTACCTCTATCAAGCTAGTTCAATCCCGAGTTCAGAGATCGGCCTGTTGTACTTGGTTCTTTCTGTGTTCGTTATTTGCTTGGTCAGGGGTTGGATCAGTGGGCGTGACTTGGAGAGACAGAAGTGATCGATTCGACTTGACGCATGGTGTCTTTCGACTCGTCTGATGGATAGGAGCGTGCAAGATGCAGGCAAGGGATGTCTTAGATTCTTGAATCTATACATGAGTCTGACCTTCCTGTTGTCGGTCTATTCTTTTCGCCTTGAAGAAAGACGATGATCAGACTTCCAAGCCGTCTGTCTCAGCCTGGTGTCTATCAACTTCAGTGCCGGCGACACCATAAACACGTATAGGCACAGAGACTTCGAATGTCTCCGCGACTAGTCGTTCTTTTGCGATCCTCACAACACCTCTTTCATCTCTTCCAACTTCTTCCAACAGATCATTTTCTCTTGCTTCTGCCAACGCAGACTCTTCTTCCGTGCCATTGGTCTCACTCTCTTCGATGGCCAGTCCACTAGCTACCTTTGGTCGTACTCGGGAGGTCACAAACTCGACTCTTACTCTCCAGTCCAACTGGACACCTGTAGTCTCAAATGTAGGTGTGGCTGTGGTAGGGATTTCAAGTCTGAAAGACACCTTCCGAGCGAAAAGCACGTTCTCACTGACATGTGCATGGGTCTTCCTTGTTGCTCGCTGGACGGAAGATGATGATCGCAGTGCCAGACTCGGATCCACACGTTCAGTCGTTTCTAGCCAGACGTTGATTCCGTAACTAGGGATCTGGTCTGTCACTGATTCGATCTCTGGTGTTGTCTGGGTAAAGTCGATGATACCCGTGATAATCTCGCCCAAGCGGTAGGCCGGTCGTACGATCGTTATTATGGCGACGAGCTGACCACCACGAGCGATCGTAAAGCGATTGCTTGATTGGGTTATATGGTCTGACGATCCCGAAGAGATATTTGACCTCAGGATAGCCATATCTATCGCTTCTTTCATGCTATTTGGTGTTATGTCTTCGAGCGAAGATCTACGCCGCGACGGCTTTTCAGCAGTCGGCGAGAGTAGTGCACCAGATTCAGAGTGAGGATGTGCTAACAGCTGATTCGTGTATGACAGAAAGTCTTCCAACAGGGAAGACGACCCTCTTCGTTCTGATGGCGACTTTGCTGAAGGGAATTGTGGCTTTGATCCACTTATAGCAATACTTTGGCTTCTAGCCTTGTCACTCAGTAATACGTAAGGTGACATCAAGTCATGGCCCAGAGTTTCTCCCCGAGCTAAGAACGTCAGCATAATAACGGAGATAGAGGTAAAGACAACTTACTATTAACACTGCCAAGCACACGGAAGGGAATCTCTATGTGCTTGACCTGCTGTTTGCCCCCAGGCCTTTGAATGCCTAGAGTCAGATGATACTGCACTTTGATAGCTCGTCCTTTGTGAGAGGGTGGCAGTCCTCGTGGTAGGCGAAAGCGATATGAATAGCTCTTGGTCTCGCCTGGAGCAAGCCGAAGATCGACGAAGAGGATAGATTGAGGTGTGCTGAGCAGTGGGATGGTTTTTGAGCTTGCAACACTTCGCATCTCCTTGATACTGCTCATTTCACCACCACCCAGGAGACCACCTAGACTTTCGCCTATGTTGCTCCAACCAAAGCCGAACATACGACTCTCTCGCTTTGACTTTTCGACGCCTACGACACCACCACCGCCTTGACCGCCCACAACACCTTTTCTCTTGACGTCCTCAAAAGGGGCTTGGTTGACTAGTGAGCCATCAAGAATGAAAGAACCCATGGTCTGAATGTATCCCATCATTAAGGTTTCTGGCTCTTTGCTTCTAGGCATGCTAGTTGGTGCAACTTGGTGATTGCGTCCGTTGATTGGTTTGGGAAGGATCCGGCTGGGCGGTGGTAGAGCCGCGTCTGAAGAGACAGTCTCGGATGAGTGATTTGTAAGTGAATAGAAGTCGCTGCTTGTGCGAGGAGTGTCGTTGGCACCAGACTCGGATATGATGCGTGAGAGCGGGTTCGCATGCGAGGGCGATACATCTGGAAGCTTCGGAGAGGGGAGATGAGGAGGTCGTTGATGTGGAGCAGGACTTCGTGGAGGGAATTGAAACTCGGGCATAGGAGAGCGGCCGAGCGCGGGAGAGGCCCTTCGTGAAGCACCAGGAGATTCGAGAGGAAAGGAGAACTCGGGAGGAGGAAAAGAGGCAGATGAAGCGGATGGGTATCGCGAAGGCGGAGGCATGATGTTGGAGGCAGAAGGAGGTCTCTGAGGAGAGTTATTTGCTGCAGAAGGATGTTGAGCAGTGGTAGGCGAAGGGAAATTGAAAGCAGGAGTGCCGGGGGCAGTACGGATGCCCGAAGTACGACGGGTCAAGGGCGGGTGGTGGTCTTGTAGCGGCGATGGGTTTCGATACGAGCTGAAAGACAAGGATGGAGCCTGGTACGAAGGTGTGCGCGATAAGACCTGCATACTGGCCGAACGACCATGGCCACGAGCAGGAGGACGACGCGAGTTCATGGAATTGGTCGTGGCAGCTTTGTCGCTGCCCATGGACATGATCGACAGAGAGCGGCCATGAGTCTGGACATGGCGCGCACTTGTCGAAGTGGTATTGCTGGCAGCATGGCTGGGCACTCTAGCATGGGCGCTCGTTGGCGGAGGATAGACGGTCAAGGAGAGAGTAGGTCGATGTGACGGCGTCCTCGAGCCGGCGACCGAGGGAGCGACAGAGGGAGCAGTCGATAGCTGCTGGGTCGAGTGTGTTACGGTGCGCTGTCTTTGGGCAGGTTTGTGACGGGAGGTCGTCGTCTTGTCGTCAGGAGCTTGCTGGTCGTCGTCGTCGTCGCAGGTGTTTTTGAAGCTGATGATGCATTCAATCTCCTCGCCAGCAAAGACGCTGCTCTCCTTCCACTGCACATAGGCGCGCACGTTGCTCCGGGTCGCCATGCTTCATGTTGCTGCGCTGTCTACTATAACTCCCATCTGTTGATCTTGGTCTTTGTTTTAATTATGCTTCATCGTGACATGTTGATCATCTCTCCACATTCAACATGTCGACCCCTTATCTCCGTCTCTTCTCCGCATTCATATTAAACTTGACACCAGCCGAGTATATTGACTGGGTTTTGTATCATTTTGACCGCTAGAGAAATGACCTTCATATTGCCTATCACAGTCTTGTACACCAGTCTCTCCCATGCGCCACTTGCCATCCGCACAACCCTGTTTCGACTGCCATACCTAAGAAGCCTGCGATACAAATTCCACCCGAGTCTGACACTGACGTTGCACCAAGACTGAATTCTCTGTCGTGCTCTGCTACTTCCTCTCCAATTCTGCGGAATGTGCTTACATAGACGATTCCTCCGAGCAATCCTTCCCAGAATGTGATTGCAAACACGAACCATATGTTGGGTAGAAAGGGGAACATGGCGTGAACTGCCAGGATCACCAGATTAAGACACTGCAGAAGCGAAGGGAGGTACAGCGCATGGATCCGAACGAATGGCAACGAAGATCGCGATATGAAAACGCCTAGTTGATAGATGGCATTGTAGGTTGGGTAAAAGGAGCGATAATGTTCGAAGGGTGTCTGGTCAAGGGGAAACAGCAGTGTAGGCGCCACACCTTGGTTGATGGTATACTCGGCCACATATACAAGGAGCAAAGGCAGCATGCTAAGAAGGGAGTAACAGTCTTCAGCTTACCGTTTTTTATGACTCCTACTGGATGGATATGACTTACTATGGGAAAAAGAGACTCCTGGCTCGCAAGAAATTAGTTTTGAGGTTGCGCCATGTCTCGTTGGGTTGAGATCCCTGGCTGAGTTTGGGAGAAGGAGGCAGACGATTCTCATCGACGGCGTCATTCAAAAGTGACTCGGTGTCGGGGTCTACATCGTCCTGGGCCGCTGCGATATACGAGTGACTTTCGGGCTTGGCTGGCAGTAGAATGAAGAAGCTGAACAACATGATGACAGGTAGGAAGGAAAAGACGAGCAAGCTAGTCCGAACGCTGAGGCCTATGGCAGTGGTAGCCAAGACGTATGCACCAGAGCCGATCAAGCCTGCACCGCCAGTTCCTGAGCCCCAAGCAGCCAGACTGAAAGGTCCGTAGAAGTGGGTAAGACCTAGGAAGCTGAGTTCACCTCCTCCGCTGCTTATGGAAGCCAGTATCACTCCTAGCATCTTGAAAGAGATAGAGCCATTGTTCGCGTTGGGGTCGGTCGAAGATGGACTCAAAGCAACAAGCAACATGCCACATGAAGAGAGGGCGACGAATGCTAGGATGCGCAAGTTGTAGGGGACAAGATGGATGTAGTAGGGAGCGGTCAGCTTGACCAGGAAAGAGGGGACGACATCGAAGAGCAAGACGAGCGACTTTGGCACAGCGGGACCGACGAGATCAAGTGCACTGGACAGAATTATCACATATAGGACATTGTTGATGAGGCCTGGTTGATAGTGTCAGCAGGATCATGCAAGGTACAGAAGTGTGTACAGGGTGCAGGTTGAATCAGGGGGTGCGACGGATGCTCACCGAACAACCAGAATGAGCCAACGACACGTTTGTCGACGCCCTCAAACATGGTCGCCAGTCTTTGGCGAAATAGAGCCCAGGACGATGAAGGAGCACCTGGCAGAGGGAGCATGTTCCGACAGGCAGGGATGGAGTGTGTTATGACAGCACGTTATGCGGTGTGGATACGTTAGTTTTGTGGTGACGCAAAGAAGTTTAGTTTTGAGTAGCGGCGGGCCCGGGAGCCCTTGGGCTAAAGCAAGCAAGCGTCGCGACCAGGGAAGGACCAGTGTGCGTCGAGCGAGATGGCTGTCCTTGACCTCTTCTTCCTCTGACCTTTGTCCTCTGTCCACTGCTCTGAATTCTTTCTTGGACTTGGCTCGTTCCTCAACTCTGAAACCCGCCCGTGCCAGCATGCGCAAGCCCTGCAGCTGCCCATGGTAATCCCCTCTCAGTCCACCCTCGCCCAAATGTCTTGAACTATTCTAACACTCAGTTCCCGTGTCAAGATGGATAATCGACTGCCACAACCCTCGACTCAGCCCTTTGCGGCCACCCATTCTGCCGCTTCGCAACCCTCGTCGACGTCGCATACTCCTCAACATAGCCAAACGGCGCAACCACCAGTCCAGATACCTTTCTCGGATCCCTTCCACACGCGCGACCCATTCATGCCCTCGTCTGCCCAGCACAGCAGACGCGACAGCTATAGCATTGCTCCCGCGACCCCTGCCATGGGCGCACCTTACGAAAGAGCTTGGAGCACACAGCCACAACCCCCAGGTACGAACATCAAGAGCAGCGCGTGTCGCAGGGCTGCTGCTGCTGTCTGAATCGCAGGGTTCAAGCAGCACCAGCAGCCACGAGACCGTGCTCTCCAAACCCGCCGATCGCTCCGGGAAGCCCAAACTTTAATCAGATTTTCTAACCACCCCGGATTTTAGCTCACACTCAGCACCCCCAAACAGCTCAACACCACCAACTCTCTCAAGCATCCCATACCAATCCGCCTCAGAGCTCCTCCTCGTCAGCCTCCGCTTCGGCTCCTACCACTACTCACATGTCAAGTGGTCCGTTCCCCTACGACTCTGCTCGACGTCGCTCCGTAGGCAGCGAGCGCTATCCTGGAGGCATGTGCCGTCATGGCGTCCGCCGTCAAGCTTGTCGCGAAGAACATGAGCTGACTTTGTTGTAGCGCCGCTCGATCCTCGACCACCGCCGCCTCTTTCTTATTCCTCCCGCAATATGCCGCCGCCTTCGCCCACTTCCGGTCCAAGCAGCTCTGCATTCTCCATGCCTGCGCCGCGTCATACTCCCTCTGCATCGCCCTACGTTGGCTCAAGAGAGCTGCCTCCCTTCAACTCGAGACCTGGCGCAACCATGTCCATCTCGTCTCTGATCGGTGGTGACTCTTCGCGCCATGGTAACCACTCGCCAAAGACTGTTGCGACTGCCCCATCGCCGCCTATGAAGCCTATACATCCCTCGTCCCCGCAGAGAGCTCGCTCGGCCAGCACAAGAGCTCCGAATGGCCACTTCCCGCGACCACACAGTCCTACTAGTATTTTGCAAGCCCAAAGGCAGTCAGATTCCATGTCTCAGCCATTCAATCAATCTGGCCCTCATCAGCCTCCACACATGTCTCAACACAACGCTGCTCCAGGCTTCCGTCCCTTCCAATCATCTCCACCATCCGCTCAACATGAGGAACATCAACCATACCCCGGTCATGCGCCTTCACGTCCAAACAGTCAACCCATGCATGCTCACCTCGATCAAGAACTACGGAATCGACAAGATATGCACGACCGACCTCCGCCACGTCATCCTTCTGCATTCCCACCATACGTCGATCACATGGGCAGACCTGGCCCTTCTTCACAGCCACCTTCAAGACCTGACCCCGACCGACAGGAGCTGAACGGAAATGGTCATCACCAAGGCCCTCATACTATGTCGCACACTGCCCGCTCTACGCCTGCACCCCCGCCTCCACCTCAGTCATACGGTCGCCTCAATTTTGGTTCTGCGCGAGAAGATTATCCTGGATTGTTCCGTCCTGCAGTACAAGCGCCGAGCAGGGAAGAGATGGAACAACGTGGTCCACATAATGAGAGGCCTGACTACCGATACACGCCCGCCATGAATGGCATGGACGATAGGCAGAGGCCAAATGCCGCACATTACGCCATGTATGGTCCACCAGGTTATGAAGCGAGAGAGGGAGATGAACATCCGTTGCAACGAGCCTTCCTGGGTGTTGCATCAGAAATGAGGCACAAGAATGGACGTGCATCGCCGCTGCCACAGGCAGTCCATGGAGCACAGCCAAGGCATACCGGTCCTGGAGCAGATCCTGGCGTCAAAAGTGAGTTTGGTCGAATGTTTTCCGGTCTCGGCAGTGGTGTTGGTAGTAATACTCCCACAGCCGGCATCGCAACCCCTTCACGCGGCAGTCCAGCTAGGCAGGCCGATGCCAACGACGAAACCGACAGCAGAAAGGCAAGAAGCAGATTGAGAGAAGATACCCGAGAGGACAGCGACAGTGTCGATGGTAGAAACACTCCTACTGCCAGCCAGAGGGGTAGTAAGCGACCAAAGACGACACATGCACAACCTCATCATCACCATCATCATGCCCATGCCCATCAGTGAGTGTTTCAAATCCCTTTCTTGATGACCACGCTGATGCTGACAAGACTTTCTAGCCATCACCACCATCATCACGGCTTGCCAGAGGAGCAAATGGCCCACGCCTCTGCTCCCTTCCATCCTCTCCGCTACCCGTCTAACGCCAGTACTCCACAACAACCTGGATCTGCTGCTCCACCTCCTCCTCATCACCACCACCATCACCATCATCACGCCGTTCATGCCCACGCTCCTCATCACCACCACCACAACGTGAGACCTCCGCCTATGCCTTCAGCACGCAAACCCCAAACTACTATCTCTAATCAGGAGTTGTTGGCATCTGTCTCAACTCTGCCGCGAAAACACCTTGGAAGTCAAGTCTACTCCACCAAGCTCAGTCTGCCTCCCAGGGAGTCCACACCCCTTGATTTCAAGTATCACTTCAAGAGCTCTGTCAAACCGATCCCACGCTTCGAAGACAAGGCAAACTGCACCTTCACCGTTCGCGTTCCACGCGCCTACCTTGGTGCCTCCAGCGCTGCCGAAGAAGATAGTAGTACCATTGCCGGTGGTCTAGAAGAAATTTGTAAGACGCGCGCAGTCTGGGGCTCTGATGTCTACTCTGACGACTCTGACCCCATCGCTGCCGCTGTCCACTCCGGCTGGATCCGTGGTGACTTTGGCGAATACAACGAAGATCTTCGCGAGCTGTTTAAGGAAGGGCAAGAAGATGCTTCGGAAACTCCAGATTTGAACAAAGTATACACAGAGAAGCCCGCGAGGCCTCTGCGTGCGCCACAAAAGGCTGACTTGCACATCACGCTACTCATTCTGCCAGCGCTGGCCTATTACACGGCCTCGACTCAGAACTTCCTGCGCTCTCGGGACTGGGGATCTGACCACGACGGTGTCAGCTATATGATACACTCGATCGAGTTTGTCGAGGAGAGTTCGACCAACAGATTTGTTGAGCGCAGTGCAGCTGCCAAACATCAGCGTATCAAGGATGATCTTGCTCGTAGAAAGGAAGCAGCAGAGAGTCTGCTTGGATTGTTGCAGGGCCCGAGAAGGAACATGACGCCTGCGAGCTCGAATGTCTCTGTCGGTGCTTAGAATGAGTGTAGTAGTCTTATGATCAAAAGTAATAACGTTTTTCTTCTACTCTAAAAGCTATCTTTGTCATGTCTTTAGTGTGCTGTCATATCATCGAGAGGTCTACTAGCAGCGAGACTGATTTAGCTATTTGTAGTTAGCGCTGGGACCAGAATTCACGTGCGCAGGCTCCCTGGCAGCGGAAGGAGCAATCTGACGAGCCGTGTATATAGAAATGGTAGACCGTCTTCCACCGAATCAGCGTCTGTGATGAGACACATCGGATGTGAAATAATCATATCGAAGAATCCAGGATCAAAGACTGGCCCCAGTCTGCTCGAGTGGATGTCCTCGACACAATCGACCTCCTTAATATGCAACACAAACATGTCCATTCCGCTCAAGACACGAGCGTTGAGCATCAAGATGCTAGATCTAGCTGCAGCTCCAAATCAGTAGTACACGTAGAGAGATGGCAATGATCTATGGAGGCCGTGGAGCTTGTAGCATCATGGAGCATGTATAACCATTGCTGGGTTGTGGAAAAGCGTCAAGGCTTGACCTTGAGCCGCATAGTCTAAACTCATGTTTTGAGAGTTTCGAGTGTATATGCTAGAAATGTGCTTTGATTGTGCAGGAGGTTGGTCGCAGAAGCGGAGGGTAAAACAGCATGGCTGCAGTGTAGCGGCATCTCATTGAACACCAAGGAGAAATTTGACCCAAAAGTCCCGCGGGGGTCATCGTATCCAAGGAAAAGCATAGATGATGAGAAACGACTTTGTGCTATACAAGGTATGCTGGCTCGGGACCAAGGAAGAGACTGGACCTGTCAAAAGTCAGTCGTAGCTGCGGAGTGCCATATCGAATTCATGATTGGCAAGTGTGGGCATTGACACAGTTCACAAATCCAAAGAGACGGAACAGATGTTTCTCAGTGTCAAATGTGGCATTAAAATTTCTACATAAGGGAGGCACAAAAGAAAGGGAGGAGAGAATGATTATATTCATCATTCCTTTGCCAGCTTAAGTAACAGCATTCTGCTCTCCTCCCCAAACAACTGGACCCAGGACCTTGGTTTGCCAACACCGACCTCTGAATCCAAATTTCAATTCTTCCTCCAACAAGAAAACGCCTCCCATAAAACACCAAAAGAATAGCCGCAGAGGCGGTTGCATTGGCAAAAGCGAACCTCTGCAATGCAAGCGACTTATGAAAACCAACCCAATATCGAGACGACAAGGATATTGCTTTTCTAAAGGACAGCCGCACTCAAGCCATAATATATCAAAATGAAGTTGCAATTGAGACACAAAGTCCCATGCAATCATTAACGCTCGTTACCAGTCAGCAAAAACTGCGTCCAGTCCTCCTCGTTTTTCCCACAAAGTAAATCGGTCTAGGGGGTATTCGCGGGAGTGTCTGGAGCAGGCGAATGAGCGCCATACCCCATATGTCCGGTCCATTATCCGGTTTCCAATGAAAAGTTGCTGCAACGCAAACACAGTGCTTCGATGGGTGGGCGATGATCTGGGTTCTCTCTTTTCCGAGAGATGTCTCCTGGGTGTACGCATGTGTGAGAGTTGTATTCCAGGCATCTCGTGTTGGCGTCTTTTGAGAATTGTGCTTCATCTCGTTTGGCGGTCCAGGCAAAGAGCCACAATGACGGGCAAACGAGCACCAAAGGGCAAGGCCAAAAGAAACGGCAAGACGAGGACAAGAAGGCAAGTCCAGACGTTGCGTAAGCAGCGAGAAGAGATGTCGCAGAACAAAGAAAAGAAGCGAGAAAAACATCCCCACACAGCGGTATCTGAGAGGGCAGCGGATGTTTGGAATCGTCGGTAGAGGGGCGGGAGGGATGGGGCTTCGAGTACCGGAACATTACCCCTGTCGAAACTACGACTCTCATCCTTTGAATGTCTCTTCCTTCTCTACCAGCCTTCAGCTCAACTGCCAAATGCATGGGCTGGCGAAGCACCAATACAAAAGGGAGGGCGAGGCATGGGAGGAGTGGCATAAGCACTACCGGAGGAGACGGATGTGAGGAATTTCGACAACGCAAAAGTCGAGCGCGCCAAAGCTGCAGCTCGAGACATACATCAAGAGAGAGCACAACACAGTGGCGACTCCGATCAATAAAAACAATGAATTTTTTTCTTGTTAACATCAGTTTGTAACGTGCACCGACCAGTCCGAAAACTGATCATCACGCTTCTTTTTCTCCTGCGGAGGAGCGGCATCTACTTGGTTAGACCAAGAATAAGAGCAGCATCAACTCGGGAGGAGAGAAAGAATGAGACTCTGGAACACCAAACCAGGTCTGAGCATATTTAAAGTCTCCCTATATGCAGGTGTCGACAACACCCGTAGCACACGGGTGACTCAGAAGAACTCACGCGGCCAATGGAGTTCAAAAGGTCATATGTGAGCCGATAGCAAGCTATCACCGGGCATGATCGGCGAATGGATCTTGTGGTTGCAAATGAGTGTTACTCCTTTGCGGGCTGGATGGAGAGTTGTCTACGGGAGATGCAACTTCTGCAAAGTTGCCATGACTGCTGGCACGAATGTGTGTAGGTCGACGTGTTGCAGCTTCGACATTTTGGGAGCCAACGAACCCAACCTTTTCGCTCGGACTGAAGCCAGAGCTCAAGATAGGAGACGTGACGCCCGGATAGTCGGAAAGTTGGAATTTGCGAGGCGAAAGGGTGTATGATTGGCCATTGAAACGATTTGCTGAATTGTCACTGGTGTCGACGGTCGTAGCACTGGTTGCTTGTTCGTAGGTAGGCACTCGCGAGGAGATCGAAGAACTTCTGCGAGAGAAGCTAGTGCGTGATGCATGTGTCGCAGAGAAGCTCTGTGGCGGCATGCTCTTGAGCTCTTTAGGATACTGATCGGCTGGAGCTGTTTCATTGCCAGCATGAGCTAACATGTAACCAGCTCTGATAAGTCCGACGAGCACGATCAGCAAGTAAATGATTAGCACGCAAGTTGAGATGATAGCTTCTTGCCTCACAGCCTTTTCCAGTGAACGAACAACAAAAAGGACAGCTGAAGAGATTTGGCCGCCAGCATCAATGGTGTCTGGTTCAGACAGCATCGAGCTGTTTCCTGATGAGGTATCGTTGATCTTTTCCATGGTTCCGAGAGAGAAAGTGTCGTTGTTGACCATTGGGAAGTCAACATGAGCATGATCACTGACCCAAGTCAAGGCTTTCTGTATGCCTTCAATCTTGAGCGTGATCAGACAGTTCACAACTTCTTGAACGGGATCTTCCAGGACCGTACCACCAAAAGTGGCATTGATCGCGTCATTCATCCCATCGACGAAAAGGTTGAGAGTGTTGTTGACTGCTCCAGTTGTGGTATTGACCCAGCCAAAGATGTCTTCATTGATTTTGGTGTTGGTCACGTTGATGACATGATTGGTATCAACAGCCCATGCAAGAGAAGCATTGTTGAGTGCCCATTGCACCTTATCAGCGAAGGCATCCACTTGCTCGGTAAGCTCTGGGACCTCTTTTTTGATCGTCTGAAGTAGGATATATTGGCAGAGACAACCAAGAAGTCCGGCAATTGCAAGAGAAAGAACGAACAACGCAGGTGTTGTTGTGGCATAGGCGACTGTCCATCTCACAAGTGTCCGTGCACGGGTCGATGAGAAGTGGTTCGAAACTTTGACACCAAAATCGGCTGTGTACGGACGCGAGACGACGTAGACAGCATCCATAGGGTCGTTTATATGTTTGATAGCTCTTGCTCGTTGTTCTTGTAAACGCCAGCGACGAACCTCTCGGTAAGCCATGGGAACGCAGGCAAGGATTGCAGCAATGATGAGGACAGAAAGGAAAATCTTCTTTGCTAGCGTAATCACATCTGCGAGGTCATCAAAGAAGTCGTTGATGCCGTGATTGTCAGAGCAGAATGTGAGTTTCTCCTTTGGCGGAACATGAAACATTGATCGATTCATGGTATATCTGCCCATTGATTCATTGAGCAGTTTCTTGACCTCTTCAAAAGGGAAGCGAAGAGCTGTGTTTGTTGCATTGTGAACTTCAGCAAATGTCGGAATGGAGTCGTTCAATTTGTCTAGCCCTTGGTCGTATCCGGAGGGAAGTTGCAATGAGTCGAGTTTGGCGATTGATGAGTTCAAATTGATCTCAGGAATGTCGACATTCTTTCCAGAGAAAAAGCTGCCGACATCTTCAATCGCACCAGTAAATTTGTTCATGGCCTTCTGGAAGTCATTGACAGCATCACCAAGTTCGGTACCTACGTCTTTGGCGGTGGAATTCAAGAAGTTTCCAACATCCTCAGCAACATCAATGGCAACGTGTAGGCTACCACCAACAGCGAAGGTGAAAAGACAGATGTAGGTCGAGGTGAGAAGGTTGACGTAGAACACAAAAACCTCCTCAAGTACAGTGACGCTGAGCAGAAGCATTGACATCAACCCGTTAATGGCCTTCTCGATTCCTGATGCGGTGAGTTCGTTCACGCCAGACGACATGTAGTAAGGCATGCTCGCCATGGCGCTTCCGACATTTTCCACGCCAGTACAAGCAGAGAGTGCTTCTCTTTTTGCGGAAGTCAGGTTCGTATTCACACTTCCAATAGCGAGTAGTGCCCGTATCAGGACGAGAAGAATGAGAATTGTCCAGCGGTTGATCCAAACCTGCGAGAGCCTAGCTCGAAGACCAAGGTATGGTGTTAGGTATGATGGTTGATCGGAGGACGGTCGTGGTACATCTTGCGTAGCGTAGTAGTTCCGCATCTCATGGTCGCCAGCGGATAGAGAAGGAGGCGCAGCCGGAAAAGCATGCTGTTGATTCTCTGCGGAGGACATGGTTGAGGAAATGGAGTGTGATTATCTGACCAGCAGGATAGGCGTTAGTGGAAGTCGAGAGCACGGAGAGTGCGACGCAATGATCCGAGTTTGAGCTGCCAAAAAGTTTGTATGTAAAGCACAATCAATAGCGATTGTCTGCAGAAGTGAAGGTATGAGAATGAAAGGAAGACAATAGCGAAGTCGATTGCGGAGCGTACGAGAATAAAGACAATAGCTGTTTTTGAATGACAACAAAGAAATACATGCATTGGCTTACCTGGTTGACGGCCATGGCCCAGTCGTGCAGCCACAGACCTCGCTGTCTGAGACTTAGAGCAAGGCTCCAAGTCAGAAGATTCACGCGCCATTCCACTCAAACCAGTCTCTATTCTGGGATATGGGAATTGTTTCCTGCCAGAGCGCTGTTTCTATTAGCGCCCTGTAAAGGAAAAGTTGACGGATTCGTAAAGCTGCAAGTCGGGTCTTTGATCGGGCGGTTAGAGTAACGCGCATGCGCGAACAAAGAACCACCCGACCCAAAGCCCTCATGTTCTGTCTGCTTCAGAACGCCGGGGCGCGATCAGCAGATAGAACATGTTGCCCAGTTGTCGTTAGCAGGGCGATTCCGTATCTCGCCCTGGGAGACTCCTCGTCTACGCACGACGGCGAGTTTTGAGACGAGAAGCCCGAAGAAAAAACATGAGCGCCTCGCTGCCGCTTTATCGAAACACACGCTGACGTAGCAGCCACACCGATTTGTGTGGCTAGACAAGGGCAAGCCTGCTTGTACGCCACATGTTGACGCACGTGCCAACCAGCTCGACTTCATCAAATCTCATGGAAGCTTGCTCCTTGACGACGGTCCCCTCGACATGCACGTCTTGTTCAACATTCAAGCATCCCATGGAGAGGCTACATCGTACTGAATTCCCATGTGGATTATCCGGATACGAAATAATCACCACGATTGTCCACGAACCACGTCCTTGCGATCGGCCTAGGGTCAACGATGTACTTTTTCTTTCGAACTTGCGAACCGGACAGAACGAATGTCAAGTCGCAGAGTATCGTTCAACCGACTGCTCAGCTTACTGGCACTGCTTCTTTCCGTTATCACGAACCTCCTTTACTCTCTACGAGGTCTGTATACTTCTCCCGAGCTCCCACTTCGCGAACTGTGCTATCATGCTTGGTCAAAATACACGAGGATATTCGGTCAGTTGCACGCAGACCCGGGATCTGAATTTTCCTGCGTCTACTTGGTAACCTCTGTACGGTAAATCAAGATTCACGTGATGCAAAAGTGTAAGGTCAGTGAGGGTAAAGCGATGATAAAGTGAACAAAAAGTACCGTCTCAGTGACGGCTATGTGAAGGGAATGTGGGAGATCAGTAAACATCTGGCTTTGATTGAACAATCAGGTAGGTGGGTGAGCGAACAATAGACCCTGCCACATGCAAATCTAATCGCTGCCTGGCTGTTGCTGCCTCAGGCAATGTCCTTCAGACCCGCGTTCGACTCCTGATCGGACCTTTCCTTTTACACCAACATCCATTATGCATTCATCGACCAAGAAGTGGAAAGCGCCCCGGGTCAAGGCTCGCGAAGAAGGCCAACGCAGACTCAAAGGCAGAAAGCATCTCTGCCCTGAGTCACCTTTCTTTACAGAACATTTCAACTTTCAGCAGCAAGAGACAATCATGCTCAAGGAGAAAGAGATGTACCTTGAGAGGCATGTGCCCATTACCATTCCAGTTAGGCCTTTTGGTGGGAAGATCTTTGCCCCGTTGGTGCTTGAAATCTTTAATGAAGATTTTCAGTACAGCGACTCGACATCCATGGAGGGAAAGTTCTTGCAGACCTCATGCAGCCCAGTGCTTTGTATGGCCACCGTCTGGCAGGAGGATTTCGAGCAGAACAAGTTCTTTGTCTACCCTGCTAATGCCCATGCTACTTCGGTCGTCGCTCTCTTCCCCAGTATCCAGGAGCTCAAATTCGAAGGCAACGACAGAATCGCCAGTAGCATCGTTCATCGCCGTTTCTTACCTTTTCCTCGTCATCCTTGCAACCAAACCGTGAACTGGACCGTGCGACCATACCTGAAGCCTCACAGCTTTGACGAAATCATGGAGAGTCACGCACCCACCGAGGAAGAAATCTTGACATTTGACTGGGAGATTGGTCTTCCCAACGACGAAGATCTTCAGATTGGTCTTCCAATGTCATTCAACAAAGAGAATGGTGATTCTGGAAGCAAAGATAGATTCAGCAACGACCCTTACGATGGCGTCAAAGCTGATCGCTTACTTGGTCACGACCTCCTTGCAGCGCTCGATCCCCAAAACGTCTATTTCTGACAGATGTCGACTTCGAAAGCTCATCGCACACGAGCATTGGAGCAGTATCGATACCCCTGCATCATGATTGCGTCTCGTCAGATGTCAATCTGCATCAAAACCCTCACACTCACCTCCATCCTGGACATACAACACATCATCATTCTCATGTAGTCGTCTCGACATTTGACGAAACACCATGATTCTTTCACGACATTCCGATTCGTCATCAAGCTCAACTTTCACGACAACTACGACTCACAATCGACGATTTACGACTGACGACTTACGAATTCATGCCCTTGATATTACGGTTTCTCTTGTTGCACAACGCGATTCTCTCCATGCATTGGGTGCACGCTTCTAATGAGAAGCTCGCCCGTTCAATGCTCGAATGCGAGCAAGCTCTTGATGTTTTTCATTTTTCGCAACTCGTTCGCCTTCGCAAATCTTGCGTTCTGCGAGTTCGCTATCATTTCTGATCTCCGGTGCTCTACTGCTTCTCTGGCTGTGGGACGGAGAATGAAAATTTGTCTTCTTCATTTGCATATTTGATATCGAAATCCAATCCAACAGTCATGCTATTAATTATCTGTTTCTCATGAGTGATTTTATGTGTTTGTTGGCTTGCCCAGCCATTTACATCGCGGTCTCTTGTTGCGACTCGAATTCGTCTGATATGTCCAGGACACGCATAATCGACATGAACAATAAGATAAGTCTGTGGAAGGTTGCTTGGACAGGGTGCTACAAGCAGCAAGCTCGAGAAGACGACTTGTGGCATGTGAAACATACGTCATGGAAGCTCCACCCCCTCTCTTAAGATCTTCACATTCAATTAACCTTTCCTACCTTGATATCGATGCTCCAAACCATCTCCAGATCAATATGAGCATGTTTTCAAAACTCCCGTGGAGCTCGGGCGGCGAGCAACAGCAACAGCATGAAGAAGAACAATCCCTCACATCAGTGCTGCCGACACCGCAAGCACGCAGCGATCTCACCTTGCTGGTCGCCAACTGCACCGAAACCATGAGAAAAGGCATCACCGACACTTTCGACCTCAACCAGATTGGAAAGATGGAAGACATGATGTCGAAGCTCAAGGTCGACGAGAGTGCACAGAACTCCGATCCAGCAGCAACACCAGAAAAGACAGAGGAAGAGAAGAAACGAGCAGAGGAGAAGGCACAGAGAGAACAGGCAGAAAGAGAAAGGGAACTGAGTGGTCCCAAGATGCAAGAATTACAAAAGGCTGCACTACAACACTTTGACGACTGGCGTGATTCTGTACTGCTTCGTATCGGAGAAGTCGTCAACCAGCGTGAAGAGGCTGTCTCTCAAAAGAAGGAAGCACATGCACAAACACCGCGTGTTCCATCCAAGAAAGCGCCCGAACCTTCCAAGTACGATGAAGGTGTCAGCAAGGCACTCAAAGAGTTGTGTCCTCCCACAGAGACTCCGCTTGTGGAACTGGAAGAGGAGCATCGTGCTTTGATCCTACACTCAGTTCTGTTGCTGCTACTCAGTCTGGAACACTACTCTGCTCACTCGCGCGTGCTTTTGTTGCACTTGACCAGCAGCTTGAATCTGTCCATCGGCTTCCTGGCAGACGATGAAAGCAAGATCGCTCGCGGCTTGCTGTCTGCCGCCGAGATGAAGGCTGATGATGAAACCAAAAAAAAGCAGGAAGACAACAAGGAGTCTAGAAAGTGGAAAGTCGGGCTGGCATCTGTAGCTGGTGCAGCTTTGATTGGAGTTACTGGTGGTTTGGCAGCGCCACTGGTCGCTGCTGGTATTGGTTCTGTCATGGGCGGTCTCGGTAAGTCTTTTGTATCGTATCTACAGCTTGTCTTATTGACCATCATTCAGGTCTCGGAGCTACCGCTGCGGCAGGCTACCTCGGCACTCTTGCCAGCAGCTCCATCATCGTTGGTGGTCTCTTTGGTGCCTATGGCGGTCGTATGACTGGACAAATGATGGACCAATATGCCAAAGAGGTCGAGGACTTCTCTTTTGTTCCCGTCCGTACCTATCACAAACCTCGCAAGATCGAAAAAGAATATCGTCGTCTTCGTGTCGCCATTGGTATTTCTGGCTGGCTGACAGAGAAAGACGAGGTCGTTGAACCGTGGAAGGTCATTGGACCAGAGATGGAAGCCTTTGCCCTACGTTTCGAACTACAGGCTCTACTCAATCTTGGAAACTCTCTCACGACCATGATTCGCTCAGCAGCCTGGGGATATGCAAAGAGCGAGATCATCAAACGTACAGTCTTTGCTTCTCTTACCGCAGCACTCTGGCCACTGGGTCTTCTCAAGGTTAGCAGAATCATTGACAACCCTTTCAGCGTGGCCAAGTCTCGCGCAGACAAGGCAGGAGAAGTCCTCGCTGATGCTCTCATCAATCGCGCACAAGGTGAACGTCCAGTGACACTTATCGGCTATTCTCTCGGCGCTCGTGTCATCTTCACCTGTCTGAAGTCACTGGCTGCAAGGAAAGCATTTGGTCTCGTCGAGAATGTTGTCTTGCTTGGTGCACCCACTCCCTCTACTGCGGCCGACTGGCGTCTCATTCGCGCTGTGACCACAGGAAGGGTTGTTAATGTCTACTCGACCTCCGACTATATTCTCGGCTTCCTCTATCGCTCATCAAGCATTCAGTACGGTGTCGCCGGTCTTGAACCAGTTTCTTACGTCCCCGGCGTCCAGAACGTCGATGTCACAGATCTTATTGCTGGAAACCACACTTCCTACCGCTACCTTTGTGGCCGCATCCTCCGTAAGATTGGCTTTGAGGATGTCGACCTCGCAGCTGTTGAGCAAGAGGAGAAGGCACTTGAACAAGCCACCGAGGCAGAAGAAGAGGAACGCAAGCAGAATGAAGCCAGCACCAAAGAAGGTGCAACTACAGAGGCAGAAGTCAAGGAGATGGAGAGTGAGGTGCAGAAGAAGAATGAGGCCTCTATGATGGATTGGGCGACTGAAAAGTTCAGGGCTGGTGGTGCTTCGGCGACAAGCGCAGCAAGCCAGGCAAAAGAGTGGGTCCAGAGGAATGTCAATCCAAGAAGTGGAGGCCAGAACGCAAGTAACGATGTCGGTGGCGCGGCTGGAGCGGTTGGAAGCAGTTTAATCTGAAACCAATTCTTCGTAGGATCTGGTATTGAAGCGATTCTTGCTCTGGAAACCCACGGGAATACCGAGACAGGCAGTTAGCACTTGACACTTGACAGGCGATGTCTTGATGTCTGTCACATTGAATGTGACGCCTCTTCTTGAATGACGAGCACTGTTTTTTCACATCTCAGCGCTGTTTTCTGAGAAATTGTGTAATCTCTATACCCACACTTGAGCACCTGTCAAGATCACGCCCATTCTCAAAGCCACAACTGCTAACCACTCCATATAAGCCCCCGAACTAGTGAATATACAGGTGTCACATCCAATGTGACAGAGCCTGATGATTAGTTGTGGACGAGGCGAACAGGTTGTACCGTGTCTGAACCGTGAACAGCATCATTGACCTATATGGCATCAGAGCCACTTGGTATGCCAGAATAGACTCAAGGTGCGTCTGACATTGACCATGTTTGTGGTGCAAGGTGGAAAAAAATTCTTTGGGAGCCGATCTTTGAGATTTGGAACTAATTTACAATGATGACCTCTTCTGACGCATGCTCTCCTTGGTGGTAGTACCCTGAGTGTTGCCTTGCTTCTCGTCTCCAGTCAAAGACAACGACTGAAACCAGAATGTATGTAACGATCCCACTTTCGGCGCTTTAATTGACCTTATTTTCTTTTCCAGAGTTCTCCTCCTCTTGAGCAGCCTGAATCTTTGCGCCGAACAGACAGTGCTTGACGTGGTCGTCGATCTTGTCTCTCACTGCGACACGCAGGTCATGATCGTGGTTGTACCTACAGGCAGCAGCATGCTTGCAGCGGCGATCCTTCAAGAACGTACGGCATGATACGAGAATGTCGTGAGAGTATGGGCAAGATTCCTTGGAACATCCAACCGGGTTACTGTTGCGATGGCAGACCTTCTTCAGTGTACAGTCTTCACCAAGAGGACAAGCTCGGCCGGAGTAGGTCAAACTGTATGGGCAGTACTCGAGTAGGGACTTGACGTGTTCCAGATCTACAGAGACGAAGTCTGTACTTTCAGGATCCGGAAAATGATGGAATATCATCGAGAAATTGTTTTGTTGGTCGTCGTCTTCGTCATCTGATGAGTGCTCTTCTTCCTCGTCGTCAATGCCCAAGTGCGCCCTGTCATCGGGTCCTTCAATAAGGAGTCTCCTGCTGCGCGTAGTGGGTCGCAACATGATCGAAGGAACAAATCTAGATGAGCGACGACCATCTCTTCTGAACTTGTTGACTCGAGGCGCAGCCGTTGACTCAGCTGGGGTTTTGTTGGATTCGAGAGGGACTGAAGTAGTGACATGAACCTTGTTGATGACGGGCTGAGTCACTGGCGAAGTAGCAGCGCTGAGGTTGACTTTAAGGACTTTATCATCGTACAAGCTGTGTGATTGAGTGGAGTATGTCTCGGACACGACGACTGAATCACTGGTACTTAAGGAGGCGGTCTGCGGACACTCGTCGTCGTGCTGAACAGTGGAAGATTCATCCTTGCGACTATTTTCGTAGTGCTGGTGATGAACTGGAGCAGAAGAAGGCTCGTTGCGCTGCACGGCGTCATCAGAGTGGGCGAAGTTGGGAGCAGAAGAAGGCTTGGGAGTAGAGTTAGGCTCTTCGTGCTGCGAGGCACCACCAAACTTAGGAAGGTTGGAAGGAGGGCAAGGTGCGAAGCCATGCTGAGCGGCGTCATCCAATTGGGCGCAGCTGGAAAGTGAATTCGGGACGGCCAAGTTGTTGGATGAATGATCGAACTTGGAGACAACGTGGGTAGGTTGCATAGAAGCGCTGTGGCTAAGATCTTGAGGCGCACTGGCGCACTCGACTTGAAGAACGCGAACGATTAGGTCGTTGAAGAGCTGCTGTTGGTCGAGATCGAGACGCTGGAGGGAATCGCCATACACGTTGAGAGCGTGGATGGTGGCTGGACAGGCAGCCATAATGAGAGGATTCGGACTGGACGCGCAGTAGAGCGATGCGCAGAAGAGCCAAAGGGCAGGAAAGACAGAGAACTTGGATCTGGCGCAAAGTAGAACCGATGTGCTGAGCCAGGGAAGAGAAGAAAGGAGAAGAGCAAAAGAGAAAAGACTTCGAGGTCAGAGCGGGAGATTGGGTGAGTGAAAGGACAGATGTGAGAAAGTCGAGAAGCTGAGTGGATGGTGAAGACGAAAAAAAAAACGAGTGAACGAACGAATATGACCGCCTCAGTCCTGTCTCGAATCATCCCTTCCGTACGTCTTGTTCTAGTAAAGCCTACTGTTGGATACTGGATTTAAAGGCACGCGGAAAGCAAGTCAAGTCATAAATGCGCCACTCCATTCAGGGCCAATACATCTTCAGCCATTCTCTTCCCTCCATGACCCAATCTGTATCCAAGGTAACGCTATCATCATCAAACCCATGCTCTGCTCCTGGAACAACTGTCTCTTTCACGTCTCCTTGGGCCTCGCGCACGAACTTCAACGTCCCATCTATCGGTATGAGGGTATCCTTGTCTCCATGAAACATCCAGATTGGCGGCAAAGATTCACCACGCTCCTTGAAAGTTTCCAAATTTTCAAGTGGGAAGAGGCGAGAGTCGCTACCAAGGATGTCCGTGTATCGTCCTTCCAGCAATGAAGCAACGAACAAGTCTGGCTCTCCCTCCTTGGGAATTCGTTCGGCTACGGGCTTTGCAGATTTGGCAGCTTCGAGTTGCTGGTCTAGCCATCCATCTGGGTATGGCGGTGGTGGTTGGCTCCAGATGACTTTGCTGCCAGGCTTGCTGTACCATGCGTCCTTGAGGTCAATCATTGGGTAGTGTGCGATGACTGCTTTGATACCTTTAGTTTCTCCGAGCAGTGTCGACTGAACGGCCATATAGCCGCCTGCTGACTCTCCGGTGATCAGAATATTGGATAGATCTGGTTTTGAATTTTGCTGTGAGAATGAGGTTGACACAAAGGAGGCAAGATGATCATGAAGCCAGGCGTAGAAGTTGTGGAGATCGGATAAGATGTCAAGGCCAGATGATTCAGGCAGTAGACGGTAGTCAGGAGCCACAATGATGGCACTATGAATGGCTGCTAGATCGATGATCCTGAGAGTGCGAGAGCACATCAGTAAGCTGGCTCCACAACACAGATACACGAATATGAGAAACTCGATAGTGCTGGCTTGATTGTCCAATTGAACCTAATCATCGCTCTCGTTGAAGGATTAATAAATTCTTCAGAAGACTTACCATCTAGGAAACCAAGGTTCATAGATTCTGCCACCGTTGATCAAAGCGCCGCCGTGCCATCTTATGAGTATAGGCAATGTTTGCCCCTTCTTGACGCCCTTAGGCACAAACACGCTGACCCCTACCGAGAGATCGTCGGACGTGTATGTTGTGTCTTTGCGGTCAAAGGCGTCAAACTTGGTGTCAGCCATGCAGGTGTCGCAAACGATGGTCAAAGGTGCCAACAAAATACAATTTAGACAGAGTTGTTGTCGACTAGATATGTTGTTGGAAGTGTATTTAGGCTGTATACTGTAAGGTTAGTCGTTGGATGTTGGTGGGGTATCTCGGTAGAATCTTATGCCGGGTGCTTGAACAACTCTAGTTGCACACGCAAAAAAAAAAAAAAAAAACAGATACAGCAGGTGAATGCGATAAGTTATGTCATGCGTCATTAGTCTAGCTAAAACTGCCAAGGTCTGGGTACCAATACAACAGACATGTATAGACATCAATCATTAAAAGGCATCAAGATTGGCTTTTTTTACTCGCAGTAAGCAGTGTGCAAGAAAAGACCATCAGCTGCATCAACATCAAGCTCAGTGCCTTGAGCAATGAAGAAGACGTTGCCCTCAGCAGCATCATAAGACTTGCCATTGGCGGTAAGCTTACCCTTGCCCTCTGTGACGAGCAAGATGCTGGGACCGTTGACAGCCCCAAGAGTCTCCTTCTCGCCCTTGCCGAGTCTTGATACAAGCATGTTGAACTCGCTCATAGGGGGCTTGTAGACCTGAGTCTTGCCGTTCTTGCTGCGGGTGTAAGACTCGCCACGCAGCATGCAAGCCTCAGGGTCATGGGGCTTGAAGGTCAGAGTGGAGGTGAAGAGGTCGGCGGAGTTGCGCTCGGCTGCAGGGCAGAAACCGGTGTTGAGGACGTTGTTGCTGCGGGCCATGCATTCAATGATATCACCTGCGAGGTAGGCATGAATACCATCGGCAGGGATGTAGATACCCTCGCCGGCCTGAAGAACGAGGTAATTCATGGTAACGAGGGCCACCAAAATACCGTTGTCGGTCTTGTCGTATTGCTCGGCCAGACGAGGAATGAGTTCAGGGATATAAGTGTCCTGACCGAATGCAGATTTGTCGAGCTTGGTCAGACCATCGACGACGGAACCGACAGTTTTCTCATCGGCTTTGAGCATAGTATTGACGATCTTCTTGAGGACCTGATCATCGAACTTGCTGTGTTCGGGAACGAACTGCTTCAGAGGGTCGATTTTGAAGAGGGGCTCGATGCGGTCAAGAGGCTTGAAACCGCAGAAAGCTTCGAACTTAGATAGGGCAAGAGCGATCTCAGGCTTGTGGTTAGGGTCTGTGAAATTTTGAGGATCCTCCTTGTGCAGCTTAGCTGCAAGCTCCTTGTTGGGGTGCAGTTGAAGAGGAAGAGCTTTTGCAATGGACAAGACCTTAGGCAAGAAGGGAAGGTTGGAGTGGCCGAACTTGTCGATGACATTCTTTCCAATGAGTTGCTCTGCATTCTTGTCGATGACATCCTGAAGGTCTTCCATTGTCGACTTTACATATGAGGGAAGAACAGGGTATGTACCCATCCACCTGCCAATCTTGTCAGATGTGTTTCTTGTCAAGTGCGCAGGCAAACATACATCTCGGCATATGAGGTCTTGTCGTCAATCTTGAACTGCTTATCAGCCTTCTCGCCATCCCAACCAGGTGTCTTCTCGCAGAGACGTGCTGCGATGGATTCATGGCCCTGCTTTCCCCAAGGGTACTGGTTGCAGGAGCAGCTCAGTTGAATAACGGAATCGACAGGCATTATGGGTATTGTCGGTTGTTGTTTGATAGGAGGAAGATGGAGTGAGAGTGAGAAGAAGAGGCTCAAATAGAAGTTCTGAAGGTGTCAATCAAGTGGGATGTTTTATTATGGATCGCGCGGAGAGGTGACGGATCACTGCTACGTCACAATCGCTCATGCTCTCGGCGAACCTACCTTGGATCATCATCTTGTGTGGAACTTCAGGGCTTACGACTCGCTTTGTAATGCAGTGGCAAGTGCTAGGTAGTTCACTTGCATCGAGATGGAAGACCTGACCGTATATCTTGAAAGGCACATCCAGCGGCTTGTTATTTATAGCCGCCTAAAGGCGGGAGCCGTCTCCGAAGCTTTACTCGGGAGTCTCGACAAGTCAGTCGCGTACCCAAACTACTGTGCAGCGCATCGACTCTCATGGAGCGCATAAGCGGTCTGATTTTGTCGAACTCTGTAGTAGAATCAAGCTTCTCCATGCCCTGAGCTCGACAAGATGCGAGATTAGAGAGCAGCAGATCCGAGCATGGATAGAGTATACAGCGCCAAGCAACAGCCCTTGACTGGTACGCTTGAGGCAGAACGGAGACCCGCGAGAAGAAGGCCGTTGCATACACGGAATACATGTCGGCACTGAACCGTCTTGCATAAGGCAGGACTTATTAAGAGTCAAGGTGAACATGTGGGCGACATGTCTGTGTATGATACAGACAGACAGAGTTTGACAAAAAGCGAAAGCCAGGGGTCCCCTGTTGAGAGTAGACAATAACCGTCGAAGCGCCAAGGAGATTATTATGGAGGGCGCAACTGGACACTTTATGGATCCAGCCCTTTTCGTACAAACAGCCATCAACATCAACAAGTCCCACTTGTCACTTTTGCATCCTGCAGCGACCTCTTACCGTCGTTCTGGTCGTCCTGCGAACTCCCACACCCGAATTGAATCATCAAGCGACTACGCGATGCAGCCATAAGAGCAGGGATACTGCTGCCACTCCTTCGATTTATTAGCTGCTGCTCCTTTTCGGTCGTCCCCATTCCCGACACAGCTCGACAAGGCATAACAACGCACACGACCTCGGACGACCTTGACGAAACACGATCATATAAAGCACACCCAAGATGCATTTCGCTTTCCCCCCTCGCAAAACCTCACATCCCCCGCCCTATGCTGCGCGCTCGTCCCGTTCGGGTTTCTTGCGCTATAGTCAGCTCCGGAATATCCTTGTCTTAGCCGTCGGCGCCCTCATCACATTATACCTGCTGTCTGGCCTGTTTTCAGGCTCAGGAAGTGTGTCAATACCAGCTGGAACACCTAGAGCTGTCGTAGTCACTACGCTTGACCCCTCGTTGAGCCAATCTTACAAAGCTGCCATCAAGGCCAACCGAAAGCACTATGCCGCCAAGCACGGTAAGCAATCATACAATCTCTTTGCCATCATATCTCCCAGCTGACAAGATTGAACCTTAGGTTATGCCGCTTTCTTCCCCAATACGACTGACTACCCCCTTGGCGACAACCCAAGCTCATGGTCGCTCGTACCTGCCATGCGCCACGCCATGGCCCTGTACCCACACACCCCTTACATCTTCTACCTCACCAGCACAGCTTTGATCATGAATCCTTCCTTATCAATCGAAGAGCACATCATGGACCCTCGCCGCCTCGAGTCCCTCATGCTTGTCGACAAGCCAGTCGTCCCTCCGGATTCTGTCATCAAGACTTTCTCGCACCTGAAGGGCGATCGCATTGACTTCGTTCTGTCGCAAGACAACGAGGGGTTGGCAGGTGGCAGCATGGTCATCAGATCCGGAGAATGGGCCAAGTTCTTCCTTGACTCTTGGTTCGATCCTCTATACCGCACCTACAACTTCCAAAAGGCTGAAGCCCATGCCCTTGAACACATTGTCCAGTGCGTATATCCTACGTTTTGCTACAAACCCATGATCGCAACAAGCTAACAAGACTTCTAAAGGTGGCACGGCACAATTCTGGCCAAATTGGCTCTTGTACCCCAGCGCGTTCTGAACTCGTACACACAAGGTCCCGCAGAGGGCATCTACAACGAAGGCGATTTCGTCGCAAACTTCCACGGCTGCATTCGCGACTCAAAACGCAATTGCGAAGCAGAAATGCAACCGCTCCTCACAAGATGGAGGGAAATTACCGACCGAGAGCGATGAGCAAGAGCGCGAAGCACTGTTTGTGTACGAGACAAGACATGTTTATGGCGTCGGGACAGGATTTATCAGATTTTTGAAGGAGGAGAAAGCATAGATCTATTATATGAATATAGGGCAGAGCATATTTGAGCCCCACGTGTTTGAGGAGGTCATGGATATCCAGAGCTGATTTCATCATGACTTGTCTAGGTGAAAGGGGCTTTCTAGATGCTGCTCCGTGCCGATTTCTGGAATCAAAGGCCAAAGTCAACAATTCTTTCATCAGAATATATCAGTGTCACCAAAGCTAACAAGGGTTGGAGTGAGCAATGACAAATTGTGTTTGGTGACAAGGAATTAAGTGATTAATGACAAGCTTGATCACGATTCCCCTAGTCCATGTGGCATGAAAGAAAGAGGTAGCAAACAACCATTGGCGCAGAGCAGTGAGAACAGGGGGTCGAAGAGCTCGTCAATCCATTACCGGAGAGACAAAAGCAAGACACAGCAGTGAGGAGAAACCAAGACATCGAAATGGACACGCTTAACCTAGAAACATTGACCACGTTTCATAGAGTTTCGCAGAGTCAGATAGTGAATCTGGAGAGTGCATCTCAGCGACCCGTATAACTCGCATAACGCATAGGAAAGATGGAGCAGGGGCGGCAGAGCAGGGGGGCAGCATGTGATCGGAACAGGGAACAGACTCCGAGATGTCCGAGATATACCTATGTACTTGACCCTGTCGATCCTCTGTATTTTATTACTCACACCGACTACGGAATCGGATGACATTCGGTTCTCTTGGTGCTGCTGGATTGAGCTTCGCCCGATGAGAAATTTGGCACGACAGACGTCAATGTATTGGTTCTGGTGCAGCTGGGTATTTGTTCGGTACTGCTGGTCGCTCGGGTATGCACTTCAAGCAGGAAAGAAGATCAGGCATCAAGAACAAAACTCGATGGGTTTCACGAGAAAAAGGGCAAGGGCTTGAAGCAGAAAAGCCTGTACTGTGATGTTGGGTGAGGACAGGATGAGCAATGAACGAAGAATGAACAGAAAGGAAGATCGAGAAGAGTCATGATAGGAGGAAAGTAAGAAAGGTCGGCGCTATAAGTCTATTCGTCTTGATCCTTCGAATCATTCAACAAGAAAGACACTAACGTGGTCGCTCAAGGGAAATCGGTTGCGAGAAAAAGAAGAGAGGGTGATATGCAAGACAAGGAAACAGAGCAGCAAAGGAGAAGAGAAAAGAAACAAAGCCGTAGTGGAAGAGGGCGAAGGTGAATAAAGCGTCAGGAAAAGGAGTTGTACATGGTTGGCCGATCATGTCTCTTGTTCTTCTCAGATCGGGAGCGTGTGTGGTATCGAAATCATGACTTTTTTGTCTCATTGATGTGTAGTTTCTTCCTCTGTTTGCTTCTTTTGTCACATCTACTCCTCATCGTGGTAGAATCTCTTCAGTAGGCGCTCGACAACCTTGAACTCTTTCTTTGCTTGCGCGATAGAGACCTTGAGGTTGTCAAGGCAGACGTCGTCGTTGGGCTCGTCGCGTGTGCCGGTTTCATCCTTGTGTGCGCCGTAGTGCTGGATCTTCTCGCAGTGGTCCTTGACTTTGGTCAGACCAAGTGTTGCACTACTACCCTTGAGGAAGTGACCAAGAGCGCTGAGTTGGGCAAGATCTTTCTTTTCACTGTTGTTTGGGCAGTTGAGTCAGCTTGTTGTCTTGTGTATGTGTTTCGCCGCTTGAGAAGCAGGAATTGAAAGACGCACATGTTCTCATCCATCTTGTCGAATGTGCTGTCGGCTTGCTGGAAGAAGTCGAAGACAATGCTTTTGCTGAAATCTCTCTCATCTTCATCGTCGTCCATCTCGAGGATCTGCTCGAAGGTTGCGACATCAATGTTGTCGCCAAAATCGGAGAGTCCGATGGGACCGTCCTCATTCTGTCAATAAACACACACATTAGCCTCAAAGATCAGCTAGTGAATGGACATTGCTGGCATGTACCTTGACCTCAGCTGCAGGCATTTTGGCGTAGATTTGATAGAGATTTGAAAGCGAGAGGCAATGTAGTCGATGGGATCGCAGAGACGGTGTTACAATGTCCGGGCGAGTCGCGTGGCAATGTTGTTGTGCTGGTGACTTTGTTGATCGGCTGATGAATGTCTAATGGCGCAAAAACAGGAAGTTTGGGGCGTTCTTTGAGATGGCAAGGTCACGAGGAAGTCGAGCAGGCGATGCTGTTCGAAGGGCGGTCGAGGCGTTGGTTTCGTTCAAATTCTGCACGGACGAATGACGTTGGAGATGGGGTGTATGGGAAGCTCGTAGCTTGAGATGGACGTAGGGTGCCAAAGAAGTCGTGAGTCGTCGGGAGAGCAAGACACGCGAGACGTTGGAGTCAGAGGGGGATGTCAGAATGGGAAAAAGAATGGAGACGAGGAGTGTGTGTATTAGGTAGTTTGGTCGGAAAGTAGCTGTCGAAGCCGTGTCCACACCCAGGTCAACGCATCCAAACCCAGTAACTTAGTGCATAGTGGGGTTCCCCCTCGGCCAACTAGAAAGATTTAACGAATCTCTGCATCGCCTGCAATATCCGGACATGCCGTTTGTGCTACCATCCCTGATTTCCCTGTCCTCGTGCATGGCTTGCTACAAATTACCACATCACACCTGCAATTGCCGATTCCTCCCTCCTCCTCCTGCTCTAGCTCTCTATCTCACATCTCACTTGGCACGCCTGGAAAAGAAGGGCCAACTGCCTATCCGAGCCCCTTCGAAGATGTTCATTTCTCTGCTGAGAGCCCCAGGCGGCCTTCCTTCCGCTCTCTCCATTTCGGAAGATTATGACGTTGTCGCGTTCTCATTTTGAGTCTGTTCATCCTTCCTCCTCCAGCTGTTGTTTTCTCATGCTGCCCACTCAGCCGTCCCTCCTAGTTGTGACAAGAGACAGGGAGTCTTCAAGAAGAACTTTGTCTTTTCATGTACCATGTCGGAAGAACTTTCTTCTCAACATCTCCTCGGTAGTTTGTCCCAAGGAAAGCAAAGTGGAGGCATCAAATTTCAAGCCACATGCTGCCATTTTAGCGCCAGATGATGTAACCCAGTCTTGTCTGACGACGACCCTGTATTTCTGTTGGAGCCTCTTTCCGACCATGCACCTGTTCTTATCGGCGCGACAGCCATCTGGCCACGCGATCTGGCATCTTCTAAACATGTTTCTTGAGACATCCGTCAAGCTTCTGGCTTTGTTCCACGTTTCGATCGAACGGTGTTCCTTGTTTTGGCCTCCGTGAGACAGAAATTCTTCTCTTCTCCACCGTTGAGCAAGTCGCAGCGGTGTGCACAACGAAAGTAGACAGCCCTTGGCCTTAGCGTGCTCGTTTCCGAACCACTTTTGCGCCACACACCTGCCACGCGATCGTGCTCTTTCCACATTCTGACACCTGACGATCGCAAAATCATCTCAGGGGCTGTTTGGACAAAAGAGCCTCTTCCGTGACCCGAGGTGTGTAGCGCCGGCGCGCGTGCGTGCATATGCTTCGACTACATCTTGTCATGAGACAGATCTGACACTTGGGGTAACAGATACAACGTGCTTTAGAAGCAGGTGGTTTTGGTAACGTGGTTGAACTGTTTTTGGTTCTAAATTTTGTTCTACAGGCTCGCGTGTTCCATATCCTACATTATACTTCGTCAAAAGGCAAGTATTTGGCCCTTGCTTAACCGGTGACCTTGTAGATGGACTCGGCAAGACGCTTAACGTTGGCAGAGGTGATACCAGCAACGGAGATTCTGCCGTCCTTGGTAGCGTAGACACTGTGCTCCTTGGCCAGTGCATCCATCTGCTCAGGCTTGAGACCAGTGTAAGCGAACATGCCGATTTGGCTGGTGATGTGGCTCCAGTCGTGCTTGCTACCGAGCTTCTCGAGGTTCTCCTTGAGGAGAGCACGCATGGTGATAATGCGGTCAGCCATGCCCTTAACCTCGCCCAACCATTGCTTGTTGAGCTCGGGGTCATTCAAGATGGTGGAAGCAACACGGGCACCGTGGACAGGAGGGTTGGAGTAGAGAGGGCGGACCAAGATCTTGATCTGAGAGTCGACACGCTTCTTCTCTTCGGCGTCGGCGCAGACAATGGAGAAGGCGCCAACACGCTCACCGTAGAGACCCTAGGTAATGTTAGCATGCGAAAATCACTATACGGCTTCAAGACGACTGACCATATTCTTGGCGAAACTCTGGCAGAGGGAAATCTGGTGACCCTCCTTGATGAAGTGGCGGATGGGGAAGGCATCCTTGTCAGTGTCTCCACTGGCGAAGCCCTGGTAGGCCATGTCGAAGAAGGGGTAGTGGCCGTTCTCCTTGATGACATCGCTCAAAGCGCGCCATTGCTCCTCAGTAGGGTCGACACCAGTAGGGTTGTGAGCGCAAGCGTGGAGAAGGACAATGCTGCCCTTGGGCATCTTCTTGATGTCCTCGACCATACCCTCGAAATCGAGACCGATGGTGTCCTTGTTGTAGTAGCGGTACTTCTCAACCTTGAGGCCCGAGTCCTTGAAGACGGCATTGTGGTTGGCCCAACTGGGGTTGGGGATGTAAATGGTCTTGTCGCCGGGGTAGAAGCGCTCGAGGAAAGCACCACCGATTCTGAGGGCACCAGTACCAGAGATGGACTGGGTGATGACAATTCTGCCCTCCTTGAGAGGTGCTGAGTCGGGACCGTATGCGAGGACAGCGGCGGCCTTGGTGAAGTCGGGGACACCAGTGATGCCAGCGTATTCCTTGTCAAGGTTCTTCTTGACGACTCTTTGCTCGGCTTCCTTTACTGAGGGCAGGACGTAGGGCTTGCCCTGGTCGTCACGGTATGCGCCAACACCTTGAAACGGTCAGATGTTGTCTTCTCTTGGTTGCGCAGCTGTTTCGTACCGAGGTTGATCTTCTCAGGGTGGCTGTCAGCCTTGTAGGCCTCGGTGATACCAAGAATGGCCTGAATTGTCAGTTTGTTGTTGGCGACGAGGTCTTTGAAGAGTGCTTACATCCTAGATTGCTGTTAGCATAATTCTTCTTCGCGCATGCAAGCTGTTGTTGTACTCACAGGAGGTCCCTGGGGAACTTGCGACCAAGCCGAGGCGGCTCTGATGCTGGACTGCAATTGCAGGCGAAGCTTGGAAGCTTGAGCAGAAGCTCTCAAAGCGGTTCTAGATCTTGAAAGCATCTTGTCGGTGCAGTAAATGAAATTACGATTGATGAGGAAAAGAAGTGAGTGTGACTCCCAAAACTTAACACGCCAGCAATGGTCGTTCTGAATCCTGGAGACGAGAGCTGGGGCAATGACGGATCCCGGCCTTGGCCGCGGTATCGGCCCTAATCTCTGTCCGTGGCATGGTTGAAAAGGCGTGAGAACCGACTTTAACCGACCGAGAGACCATGACTTCGCATATCCACGTCTTCTATGTTTGTAGAGAGCAGCTATGTATGTCGGATCCCAGTGCATCAGACCATACAATGTCTCATCTCGAACCTGACACGTTTACCCGAGGGTTTCAGGCACCAATGTAAATGCACTTAAACTTACCAGAAGTTAAGCTCGTTGTTGTTTTGACTTTGGGCATGGTGACTGTAATATGAGTATATGAGGAAAGAATTACACACTCTGGATTGACTGACTGCAGCCATGAGACGCTCTTCTGGCTCATGTAATCGTGGAGAGACCCTAGAAATGCCTGTCCAAAGCACTTTGTCCACAGCACACTTAGCAGACTACATGATCGGGCGACAACGGTGCCCATAAATTATGTGAGTTAAGCTCAACTACTCTCCCACTCTGCGCATTCCTATACCCTCATCTCTCACTCCATTTCATTCTGACTTTCAAACCCTCGAAAGCCACAGACAGGCGCAGAGAGTTTCCAGTGAACAAGGCTGGACTTCCACAGATACCGCTTGAAGTACAAGTCAGACAGTTCCGAGCAGAATGCGGACATCGAGCAGTGTGACTGGAACGAGATCAAGGAGCTTCTGGACAGTCTGAGAACTCCAGCTTTGTGTTCAAAGTCGGGTTCTACCCTAAGAAGACTGAGCCTGAAGGCCCTTAAGAGGTTACCATAACAGTCGTTTCCCTTGATTTGATCACCAGTTATTAAGATAGTATAGTCCAGCGAGTCTTGACTGTACACAAGATTGGTGTACACTACGAGCCCTGGGGGAGAAGGCTGATGGCACATGGGATTGGAAGGTCAAGCCTACGGTGACCATGATTCTTGTGATGAGTTTCTCCCAGTGAGCACCCCTTCCGTTTCACGAGCATTGTGTATTTATGCATCTAAGGTGGACAGTCTTGGGCATACAGGGTATTGGCTTTCGGAGTCTCGCTTTCACGGACCCAAAGGCCGCACGCATCATAACCAGCCACACGATCAGCTTTGCTGCTATTGTGGGCTATTGTCATCTTTACGGACTATTCACTCGCTATTGAAGGCCGGCAAAAACAGCATGCGACAATAGCGAGTGGCTGGTATTGAAACATAAAACTCTCTCGTAAGTCATCACTCTCCTTCTCCTCGCTGATCAAGATCTCAACTTTCTTGAGCATTCCTCTTCAAGCACTACCATCTTGCTTTACTCTCTTTTACTCTTTGGTACCTCGTCACCTCTGTACCAACCTACACTCAACCTCAATCATGTCTTCCGCTGCACCCACCATCATCACCTTGTCGCCTGAAGACCTTGAGCAAGTTCGTGTCTGCATCAAGTCTCGCGCCCTTCAGGAAAAGCTCTCTGCCATCAAGAATCCTCATGGTGCCATACTCATGACCGCCGCTCCCAACCCTACCTCACGTCTCCTTTCCATGTTCGAAGATGATGCAAAGGAGAAACTCTCCTCCTACCTCAAAGACCCTACTCAACCCTTCACCACACTCCAATCCATGCCCTTGACAAACCGCGATCAACGCAGAGAAGCACACAACCTTATCCGTCAAGTCTCAAACGACAAACTTGACTCTGGTCTCGACAACGAAACTTGTCGCATCAATGTCTTTGTCAGAAACATCCCATCGAAGCAGCAAGAGAATCAACGTCCTCGTCAACAAAAGGCTCAGAAGAAGCGTACTCCTGCCAAAGCGGCTTCTAATTCTAACGCCAATGGCATTCACAAAGCCACTCCACGCAACAAGCCAGCCGCCAGGAGTCTCGCATCTCGCATCACACCTTCAAAGCCGCTCACTACAGAGCAGAAGGCCAAGTTGGCTAAGCACATGCAGTCAGCTGCTCAGGTCACAGCACAGAGAGAAGCTGCGGCTAAGCCTCATCCTGTGAAGCCCTTCGAGTTCAAGAAAATGGATTGGTCGCAAGGAGAGATAACTTACAAGTACAGGGCTGGGACGGAGAAGGAGCCTGAGCTGACCTCTGAGGAGATTGATGAGCAAGCAGAGCGCAAGAGGAATGCAGTCCCACCTCACAGGCGTGGTGCTGCATCTCAGGCAAGGGAGGATGAGTAGATAGATTTATGAAAACGCATGATGGTATCAGAGTTGTCTTCAAATCCAATGAGATGTCTTGCATTGTTCTATCTCACTGGGTGTGGTCTATTTTCAAGAATTGTCCATGCTTTTTTATAGATTCAATCAAGCCTCGTGCTGGACTGGGAGCTCAGCTCGGGACCAAGGAACGTATCGTAAATCAAGAGCTCTACTAATCAATCAATCTTGCAAAACAGCGCTGTAAAAGTGCAGAATAGTATTCAAAATCTCCTCGGGTCTACCAAGACGTCTCACACTGTTCCTGTTGTCCCTTCGTCTATATGCATAAGAGATCCAACCTCTTTGACTGCCACCTCCTTGTAAGCCTCTCCAATGACTTCACCAGTGGAAGAAAACTGTTTCTTGACACCCATCTCACAAATAGCAATCTTCTCAACCGGGACATCAGAAGCCCAAACATGGTCTTTGTAGGTAGAGAGAAGAGACGTGACGTTTATGTACAGAGAAGATTTCGCAGATGGGCCATGACCTGAGGAAGCTTCGTTTGCTTGCAACTCATGTTTCTGCGTTGATACTGTTTCTTCCGTAGTCTGGTCTTTTGGTGGTTTCTCTGTGGTTTGATCTTTGGATGTATCTTCTGTAACTGGTCCTTTGGCTTTCTCTGATGCCTTGGACTTTTTCTTTCGTCCTTTGATGTAGATTGTGTTTACGATTGTAGCATGTAGCTTTAGTGGTCGTGTGTCTGGGACTAGCAGACCAGCGTCTGTGAATGTTTTCCTTAATGCTTGACAGAGGATCTGGAGACGATTTGTTGTATCTTGGGGACGTATGTAGAGGATACTTGTCTTTGAAGGCGATTGCATCGGTTCCAGAGATTCCAGAGAGATCTTGAGGGGAGAATTCAAGAGGTCAGGTATTTGGTTTGGAGATGTGTCCAAGGAGTTTGGAGGCGCTGCATCCGGGTCGTGAGTGTTGGTAGTTGTAGTGGTGGATAGGTTGGCCGGGATGGCTGCTTCACGAAGCAGGTTATCCAGATCAAGAGATTGGAGAAGCGTATTTGCTTGAATTAATTTCTCTTCGTCCAAACTCATGACTCCAAGAGTAAGATGCACTGAACCTAAGGGTCGAATTGCTTTTTCCGGTATCAAAGGCGACGAAGTTTCGCAGGGTGCCTTTTCCTCAGATGCTTTGTGAAGTTCTTCCGGTTGAGCTTTGGCATCGCTGACTGTTTTGGGGGTAGGGACTGCTTTCATTTGCCCTTGCCCTGGTACAGACTCAACTGGACTAGTGTAACACACATGTTCCTTGAACTTCCCGATAGTGGCCTCGAGTTGAGGTTGAGAAATTGAGTTTACAAGAGGAACACATAGGAAATGTGTCAGAGAGGGCTTCTTGGACGCATTGTTTTTCTTGTTTGCCTTTTTATGGTGTCGAGTCATCGCGGTATGAGCACAACGACTGAAAGAAAGCTTGTTACGACAGATGTGGAAGTAGGCAGAGCGTGCAAGAAGGAGCATTAAAGAAAAGTATGGAAAGCAGATGTATGGAATGAGGTCAGCTAAGAATTATAGATGCATACGAGTATCCTACAAGCCCAATGGACGATGTTCCTCGCAGATGGGATCCTGGTCTCTTGAGATCAAACTGATTAGAAAGTTTTGAATTTTGAGAACTTGCTGGCTCAAGGAAAGATGTCACGATGGATGGTATAGACGGCAAGTGCCGCCATGACGACGTGGAGCTCTAGAATTCCATCTCATGCGACCACTTTTCTAGCTGGCAACCACGACCAGACAAACATACAGCAACCATGTCAGACGCCGACACAGAATCGCCGGCTCAGCGTTCAGCTCGTCTGCGCCGCGAGAAGCGCAATGCAAAGATCCAGGCCGAGGGTTCGGACAGATTGGCACGAATCACGCAGTTGAGTGGAAGACCAGCTCCTGCACCTGAAGAGCGTACGCCGCATCCACTTGCATTGACTGGAAGACTTTCGTACTAATGTTGTGCACAGCATCCATGAAGCAAACTCCTACCAAGCCCGCACAAGCTACGCCAACAAAGACACCACAGCAGGCATCCGTTGAAGACCCCGACGAGGTCGACATTTCCGAGCACTACTGGACACCCACTCCTTCAGATCAGACCCAGCTCGCCCGCCTACAGCAACAACAGCAACAGTCTCCCTTTGCGCGACCAGGCCAACAAGATGAGGATCCTATGCTCAAGATGATGCAGTCATTGCTGAGTGGAGATCCTTCAGCAGCAGGTGGCATCCCAGACTCGGCCATGGACGACCTGCCTCCCATGCTCAAGGCTATGATGCAAGGTCAACGCGCAACCCAACAGCAAGCCTCACCACCCACTGGCTCAACCTACCTCTGGCGCATCGTTCACGCCGTCTTTGCTCTCGCTTTGGGCATCTACATCGCAGCCAGTGGTACTTTCAACGGCAGCAAGCTCTCACGCTCAACTTCACTTCAAGAGTCAGACTTTGGCCCTAGGCTTTTCTACATTTTCGCAACTGCAGAAGTCGTGCTGCAATCCAGCAGGTACTTTATGGAGAAGGGAAGGTTGCAAGGAAGTGGATGGTTGGCTACCATTGCCAATTCAGGTCTGGTGCCTCAGCCATATTCCAACTACATCAGCATGTTGGGCAGATATGCTGTCATTTGGCAGACGGTTGTTGCAGATGCCATGGTCGTTGTCTTTGTCCTGGGCTGTCTTGCTTGGTGGAATGGCATGGCTACTGCTTAGTCGATGATGCATCCTTGTGTTGCAAGAATTCATGGCTGATCCAGACTCGTTGTGTCGCTGTCTTTCTCCATATTCTGACGTGATCCCACAGACTTTTGAAAGGTCAAGGAATGCAGTAAAAACATGACATGTGCCCTTTTGTACACGCCCAATAAATTTTTGTAACCCAAGATCCACCAAACGCCATGCAGAAATGTCGTCTTGCCCCTTCCAGGATATAATTTTACACGAATCGACATGATTCTTAGACGGCCGAAGCAACGTCACCTCTTGCCTGTGCCAACAGAGCCTCTTCTCTCTTCTTCTTTTCTCTGACTTCCAAACTGAGTTTGCTGTCTCTTTCGCTGCGTAGCCGTTGCTCCTCGAGCGAGCGCAATGTCTCCAACTCTTCCTGAGTAGCCTCGACCTGCTTCGCGTTTGTAATCTTGATCAGATCGGCCAGAATATTTTCTTGTGTGCGGTGGGTCATGTCAATGGTCTCTGTCCTTGAACTGGGCGAGTAGTTGCTGGGTTGCTTGTCACCGCTCGTGCTGGTAGTAGGAGCGGCACCACTGGTCGGCGAGGCTTCCGGGTCGGCGAAGAAGACGGTCATCAAAGCGGGGTCTGTTTGAGCGGCGGTACGGTCGAGGGTCATGGGAATGGCAGGGTTGTGGAATTTCAGACGGACGAGTTCGTGGCGCCAGAACTTTCTTGGGCCCATGTGACCGCCGTCGATTTTGGGAGCGAAGCGCATATGGATACGAGAGACTTCCCTGGGGAGGACTGCTGCACCGGGACCGAGGCGAATGGCGAGGAGCTGTGTGGATTCATGTCAATTTGATGGTTGGCGGCGGGTGGTAGTAGTGAGAGTGGTGTACCTTCTGCGGCGCTTGTCAGTAAGTTTTGAGGCAGCGGATGACATATAAACGTACAGTTTGCAGCTTGCGCATGCGCTGCAGTAATGAGACCATGGTGGGCAAGAGTTGTGTGTGCTTTGTCTTGACCTTGAACTGGTTGCAAGAACCGACTTGGATTCATGTTCATCCCTTGTCGGCCCGCCGAAGATTGTCCGCCGCGTTCGTTGGTCCATCTTCGTTTCCGTTGCTACAAGCCCTCGAAACAGCTCTCCAACCCATCCAATCTTCATCTACACATCTCGCATCATGTCGGTTGCCAACGGAGGCCCTCTCGCGACCACATCGGGCGGTATGAAGCCCGTTCAAATTGCCCAGGTCAAGGGAAACTCTCGCGAAAACCGCACTGCTGCACACTCTCACATCAAAGGCCTGGGTCTGCGCTCAGATGGCCGCGCAGACACAAATGCTCAGGGTTTCATTGGCCAGGTTGCTGCCAGAGAGGTTGGTTTGCTCCGATTCTTACGCGATCACCCTACTAACATGTCATGACAGGCTGCAGGTGTTGTCGTCGATTTGATCAGAGCAAAGAAGATGGCTGGTCGCGCTGTCCTCCTCGCCGGAGGTCCTGGAACTGGAAAGACTGCCCTCGCCTTGGCTGTATCGCAAGAGCTGGGAACAAAGGTGCCCTTCTGCCCCATCGTCGCCTCCGAGGTTTACAGCACAGAAGTCAAGAAGACCGAAGCCCTGATGGAGAACTTCCGTCGCGCCATTGGCCTGCGTGTACACGAGACAAAGGAGGTTTACGAGGGTGAGGTCACAGAGTTGACTCCTGAGGAGGCCGAGAACCCTCTCGGTGGCTACGGTCGCACCATTTCACACCTTCTCATCACCCTGCGCTCTGCCCGTGGTACCAAGAAGCTACGTCTGGATCCTAGCATCTACGAGGCCATTCAAAAGGAGCGTGTCCGCGTTGGAGATGTCATCTACATCGAGGCCAACACTGGTGCTGTCAAGCGTGTTGGTCGCAGTGATGCTTTCGCTACCGAGTTCGACCTGGAAGCCGAGGAGTACGTCCCTGTACCCAAGGGAGAGGTTCACAAGAAGAAGCAAGTCGTTCAAGATGTCACTCTTCACGATCTGGATATTGCCAACGCCCGTCCCCAAGGTGGTCAGGACGTCATGAGCATGATGGGTCAGTTGATGAAGCCACGCAAGACTGAAATCACCGACAAGCTACGCGCCGAGATCAACAAGGTCGTCAACAAATACATCGATCAAGGTGTCGCAGAACTTGTACCTGGTGTCTTGTTCATCGATGAGGTACACATGCTCGACCTGGAATGTTTCACCTACCTTAACCGCGCTCTCGAATCTTCAATCTCTCCCATCGTCATTCTCGCGTCCAACCGTGGCTCCACAACCATTCGCGGAACTGACAACCTCGTTTCTGCTCACGGTATTCCACCGGATCTTCTCAACCGCCTTCTCATCATTCCCACCCATCCCTACTCGGCAAACGAGATCCGCAGCATTGTCTCAACACGCGCACGTCTCGAGTACAGCAGCGCCGCACCACCATCCCTGCAAGCAGACAAGCCCGGAGCCGCCCAAGGTCTCGTTCAAACTACTCAACTCGCTGACGACGCTCTGGACCTATTGACCAAGCACGGTGAGCGCGTGAGTCTGCGCTACGCCATTCAACTTCTGGCACCCTCTGCTATCCTTGCACGATGCAGAGGCTCGGATAACAACATGGTCACAGCCCAAGATGTCAACGAGGCTGTGGATCTGTTCTGGGATGCTGGTCGTAGTGCCGGTGTTCTGAGGGAGCAAGGCACTAGCACTGGCTTCATCTCATAGAGGGGTATCTCGGTTTAGCGTTTGGCATTTGATCAAAGTTATGGGGAGCAGGTGTTTATGGCGTAGAAACAAGGGGCGGTATGGACAGCGGCCTCGCAAAAGGGGTAGTATTGTACGATTCGAAATGATATCAGCTATTGACCAACAAATCTTCTTCATGATTGGCTTGTCAGTGAAAGATTGCACGATATTAACAAGGAACAGAATGGTGTCCACCAAGAAGCGACTAATGATGGACTCTGTGGACATGTCTATGCTTTTTGAAAACGTTGTATTTTTCCCTCGCGTGTAGTCTGCGCTCTGTGTGGCTTGAGGACGATGATTCAAGTAGAAGTTACAGATCCTGTTACACATGAAGGAAAGATCATTCACAATCAACTTGTCGGTGTTCGGATTTAGAAGCCTTGTCTATGTGCCGTCTGGTCATCTCAGGTTGTTGCAATGAACAATAAAAAGATGTACTTCTACATGGACAGGGTCATGACCGACTCAAGAATGACGAAGTTCTGCGACTCCACATCTTTCAGTCGCGAATGTGCAACCAACCCTTCAATCTTCCTCTACCTCAACCTTTACACATACCATCGCACACTATAGCAATCATGTCATCAACACTCAAGCGCAAGCCCTCTCCCTCTGAAGACGAATCGCTGGCCGAATCATCCAAGCGCCGCTTCACCGAAACCACCATTGATGAACCCACACCATCACAAGACAACGATACAACCGCCTCGTCAGCAGCACCCACACCCACATCAGCAACAGACTCGACAACAAGTACATCCCAAGCCGACCGCTTAGCTCGCTTCGCTGCCCTCCGCAACAGAAACAAGACCTCACGCGACGACAACCGCAAAGCCACAACTCTAGAAGTCTCTCGCGCATCCGCCGATCCGGCTGCCCTAGCCTCCCTCTCCCGCCGCAAAGAACGCGCATCTGAAAAACTGTTACAAGCGCAAACCCTCGAAGACGGCGAAGACTGGGATCGCAAACGCGCCTGGGACTGGACGGCTGAAGAATCCGCTGCCTGGGACAAGAAACTCGCAAAGAAAAAGTCAAACCGCGATAATGTCGCTTTCCAAGATTACAGTCAAGATGCGAATAAAATTTACAAACGTCAAGTCAAGGAGATGAATCCAGATGTTTCAAACTACGAAGCTGAGAAAATGGCTGCGGTGGAAAGGGCTGCGCAATCAGGAGGTTTGGAGATTGTAGAGACGGAAGATGGAGAGTTGATTGCTGTGGACAAGGATGGCAGTTTCTACAGCACAAAGGACTCGACTGATTTTGTGGGGAACAAGCCTAGTAAAGAGAAGATTGATAAGTTGGTTGGTCAGATACAGAAGGCTGAGGAGATCCGATTGAAGAAGAGGAGGGAGAGGAATGGCAAGGAGGAGGATGGCGATGTCACGTACATCAACGACAAGAACAAGCAGGTAAGCCAAGCTGCAATGAGATTCATGGATAAGTATGCTGACACGACATGACAACAGTTCAATCAAAAACTGGCGAGGTTCTACAACAAATATACATCCGAGATCAGGGACAGCTTTGAAAGAGGTACTGCTATTTGAGCAGTTTCGTACTCGATCTCTGGCATTGATGCCATTATTCTATATCATGGACGAAGATACGAAGATGAGATTCGACTCAGAGGCGTACGTCTCAGACCGAAGTCAAAATGAAGAACTTGATTCCCTTGCAAAAGCGCAGGGACGTCACAAACATGCCATCTCTTCTCGACGAATGTTCTTTCCTTTTTCGTCTCTTTCGCTTCAATTTCATTCTAGATATGCTCTACACGGTCGAGAGGGCTTCTCTTTCTCGATGAAATGCTTCTCTTCCTGCCCCAACACCTGCAGTAAACATTCTTCCGCATGCAAAGGACCGTTATAGTGTAACTCTATAAATGCACAGCCTTCTTGCAAAGACTGTGGCTTGCATCGAGAGAGCCTTGTCGAAGGCCGTCTTTATGACCAGGCTCGAATTCAGAACATGACTGTGCATTTTGACAGCTTAAAAACCATCTCATGCCTTGATACGGAGATGCCGAGATTGCCAGGCAAGGTTATACCATACGCCCTGGGATAGGAGTACAATGTTGACAAGAACTACAGTGATTGGTTCAACATGTCGATAAAGAGAGGAATATGTGGAAGAAAAACATGGTCACAATAAGACTATTGATGGTCAAGATTGCACAAGGATACAAGAAGTTATGAAAACATAGAAGATTTTGGGGTGGGAATCATTTTGAAATTGAGAGGTTTGTCTTCCCCAGTTGCCAGACCGCGCTAATTGAATAACAAAACGCCGGTCATGTCGCAAGCAAGACTTTTCATAGCAGCTAAGAAGAAGAAAACATTTAAGCGGAGCGCTCGAGGTCCTTCTTGAGGGTACCCATGAACTGCTTCTTCTCGGCGGGGGTCTGGTAAGCACCGTGACCGAACTTGGAAGAGGTGTCGATCCACTGAAATAATATGTTAGCATATGAAACATAGATGATGAAGACTGATTCGACATACCTTGAGCTCGACCTTCTCGGTGGAGCGGCGAGAAGTGTGGACGAACATGGACTTGCGGAGAGTGACGACGCGCTTCTTGACACCAGGGACGGAACCCTTGAGCATAACGTAGTCGTTGTTGATCTCTCCGTAGCGGACGAAGCCACCCATGGGGGTGATGGTCTTCTTGGAGACATCGAACTCGGTCGAGGCGTTGCCAGCATCGTCACCGCGGCCAATACGGTAGATCTTGTGGTTGACCGAGGTACGGTGGTGGTAACCGTCCTGACCAGCACGGGCAACGGTCCACTGGACTGAGTGGGTGTTAGTAGAAGAAAAGCTAAGGCAAGCAGCAGACCAAACATACCGTGCGAAGGGTGCCAGGCACCGATACAAGCGACCTTACGGAGACCCTTGTGGGTCTTGCGAGGAAGCTTCTTGGTGCCCCAACGGGAGGTAACACCAGAGAAACCGTGACCCTTGGTGACGGCAATGCAGTCAATCATCTCATCCTTCTCGAAGACGGAGCTGATCTCGATAGGCTTCTCGAAGAGGCCGTTGGCGAAGTCGACCTTGTCGGCAACGGAACCACCGTTGACCTGGATCTCCATAAGGTGGGCCTTCTTCTGCTTGAGAGGGGTCTTGGAGATCTGGGTGTGGGCGAGGACACGGACGACAGTGCAGTACTTCTTGATGCGCTCAAGGTCGCGGGTGACGGACTGGCCAGCGTTCTCGGAGTGCTTCTTGGCGTACTTGGTGAAGGCCTTCTTCTTGGACTTGTACCAGTTCTTGTAGAAGCGACGCTTGACCTCGTCGGACAAGTGCTCGGCCCAGACGGTGGTCAGGGAACGGAGACCACGGGGAGTCTCGATGTAACCAACAAGACCAACGGCGACCATCTGAAGAGTGTGTTAGTGAATGATCCAAGTCGAGTAGGGCGTTCGGAGTGGTAGCGTACGGGAGGGGTCTCGATGATGGTGACGGCCTCAACGATCTCCTTCTTGTGGAGCTTGGCACCGGGACGGTCAAGGTCGCGGACGATGGTGGACATGCCGGCCTTGTAACCCATGGCAGCAGTCAAGTGGACGGGCTTCTTGGAGTCATCCTTGGGGAACGACTTGGCCTTACCGCGGTGGTGGACGGTTCTCTTGCGAGGAAGGAAGGCCACTGTGCGCGCGCGTTAGCAATTGGTCCTGGCGATTGTCGATGGTCTTCGTAGGTGCTGGTACTGACAAGAGCCGTGACGGGGAGCCTCGAACTTTCTGTGCGACATCTTGACTGCTGTGGTTAGTTGACAACGAGGATGACCTGGAAAAACGAGAGAGCTGGAGGCCGATGAAATTTGCAAAAGCCCAGAGTGCAAGTCTTGGCACGGTGGTCCTCGCTTAGCCCCTGCGCACGAAGGTCATGTGATTTGCCCTTCCACTTGCACGTCTGGCCTCTGCTTCACTTATTCGACATCCACAACTTGTTCAATACTTTGTGAAGGAGTGGCAAACAACAACGATTGCGTTCTTCTTCACTTCTGCACTTCATGTGGATCCATTGGAGCTGGATTTTACTGATGTTTGTCAGGGAGGAGCAACGCCAAGGCGAACGCTCTAGGGAGAAGCCATCTTGAGCACGCGACTTCTCCCTGTCAAGGCACTTTCTAGCCATAGGATGATAGGTCTGCTTGTGGAAGAAGAAGGTGTGCTTTATCTGGATTGTGAAGCCACAGGTAAATATGAAGCACTTCCTCGTGAGTCGAAGTCAAGTACAAATTAAGGAGATGCCTTGAGCAAACGTCAAAGTGGTTCAGTTGCGCCTTGCGGCGTAATCAAGCCTACCTACTTCTACCTATTTCATGGGACCAACCCGCAACTGACGTCTGAGCTTGCTCCCTGGCTGTTTACGGACGCATCTTTACTCTCTTGTACTCCCATTTTTTGTTTCCTATGTCCTGATTCTGCATTGGACTCGAACGGTGCACTTTGACAGCTGATCAATCGCCCTGTAGCGTTACCAGGAGAGTCTCCAGAGTGAGGATGCTATTGGGCCGTGGTCTTCTGCTCTGTAAGGATATAAAAGCGCGATATGTCCGAGAAGTAGAGCAAGCTCCACCGAGCTATCGTCTCTTACACTCTGCTTAGGAAAGCTCAGGTGAGCAGAGTGACATCCTTTGAGGAAATTCTCAACTCTTTCCGCCGGAAGACAAGTACCACCGGAGACGAGCAACAACGCTTGTGGATACAAGGCACAGCCTCATGTGCCAAGGTCTGTACCTCTGGTTGTGCTCCGCCTAAGTTATATTAAAGAGTCAAAAGTATATCAAAAAAGACATTATCGTGTTCAAAAGCACATGCATGGCCAAAGAGAGCCGGTCAGACGTTCTATATCTGGTCAATGTCCTCAGATGGTTTTGCGCATTCGTACTGCTATACACGATACATACTTCAGCACGAGGAGGGTAGTATTGGCCAAAGATGGAGGATCTGCGGTCGATGCTCGAGACAGTGCGACCTTGAAGCAGATGAGATGGTCCGTGCAATGGAGCCAATTCGAGCAACCCCGAAATAGCCTTTGGATCGGCTACCCTGAATGTGTTCTTCGGCGGCTGATATGAGAGTCATCGATTGCAAAGGAGCTTTCAATCCTCCTCACACACGTGAAGCCAGAAAACGCAGATACAAATCGTCCTTACTTCTACAGAACCCAGATGCACAGGAACAGAGATATAGAAGCAGGACAGCCGAAGACAGACAAGCATCAGAAACGAGCGTTGTAGGTGGATAGATATCCGAAACGACGGCCAGCGGCTTCAAACCTTCTTGTTGTCGCAGCTTGCCCAGGGTAATGCTCCAAGGTTACATGTCAGAACAGTCGCTCGTGTGCTAGTTTTCTCTGGATACGCAAAATCGTCCCGGCCACAAGCTGTCCTCGTGCTCGAAACCACCACTCACCGCTAAGCCCACACGATACCTGTTTGGCCTGCTGTAAATCGTCTCTCAGCTCAAGAACAAGACGCATACATGAACAGAAGAAGCTAGTGTAGCATACATGTCGTGGCGACCGGTCAAGAACATCGTGCATGCTGTGTGCGTGCAGCGATTCGAAGCGACTCACCCCAACGATATTGCCCTCGAGATCGGCGACGATGTTTATATTACCGAAGTTGGCGGAATTGCCCATGAGTGGTGTCGAGGCTGGCTACTGTCGCAACCATCCATTATCACGGGTCTGGATTGTCAGGATGGCCAACCAATCATGCCACGGGCCTATGCTGGCATATTCCCGCGCAATTGCATCGAGGTCCGCGAGGTCCTGACTGAAGACGATGACGTTGCCGAAGAAGAGAAAGGACAATTGGATACTGCACAGGCGAATGGTGGTGCTCAGAATGGTCACGATCCATTGGAGCTATCGAAGAATACACCGCGTAGGGGAAAATCAAAGAGGAGGACACGCTTGCTTCCACACAAACCCAACAATGCCCATCTGCTGCCCGTGGACGTGCAGCCAAGACCGGTGGGTGCTCTCAAAGAAGAAGCTCCTCTGCCTGCTCTTCGCATTGGCGATGCGACTCCCTTCTCTGGTGAAGAGCCACTGGTCGACGAAATCTCGTCATGCCTGCGCGAGTGGCATTCCACCCATGTGCACCAGTTGATTCTAAACCACGAGTACGACCTGCTGGAAAAGCTCTCCGATCTGGCTGGCAGACTGGACAATGCACGCAAACAACTAATACACGACCTTTTGACCGAGAAAGAGCTGGCAGCTCTAAGAGAGCGGACGGTCTGGGACTTGGTCGATGGAAACAAGCTGCTTCAAGGAGAAGTTATCGTACGAAGTCCTCAGGAGAAAGGTCGAATTCTTACCGCACAGGACAGCATCACGGAAATGCTCGAGTTACAGGCGCTCATGAGCATGCGCAATAGACCTCCTCCACCACCTGCTCAAGAATCTTTGCTTTCACATTTGCTGGTTGATCTACAACAAACTGGTGATCTGAGTGGCGAGCCGGGTGTATTGCATATGTATCTCTGTCGTCAAGCATCTGATGCTGTGCCGCGTGCTGTGTCTGAGGTTTTTGCTGTTGAAGTGCCTTTCGATCGTCATTCCCTCGAGAGTCTCGCACCAAATCAGTTGCCAAAAACTTTGTTCACAGATTTGACCAAGGCTGAAATAGGCAGTGCGACTGACCCTAGCTCTCACCTGTATCTGGTGTGCCTGCTTCATCGAGAAGAAGCTCCCCGAAAACGAGTCATCGTACCTTCCCAACCATTGCCACCAGCAGACCGACCAGAATCTCACAGCCGTTCAGAAAGCACAGGAGCGCGTCGTAGCTTCCTTTGGGGCAGTCAACGTGGCCGCAAAAATCTTGAAAGAAGTACTTCTCGAGATCAAGCACGACCGCCAACTCGAGAATCATCACGGTCGAAAATGAGAGGCAGGCCACAGACACCTGTTGTCACAGACGCACAAGGACGACCTGCAACATCAGAAAAGAAGCTAAGGCGTGTCGTTGGATATGGCGCAGTTGAGATTGGCGAGCTCATCCGTCAACATGGCAATAACGTTCACAATATCTCGCTCTGGACTCCAGCTGAGGCTTTCGAAGAAGTCATCGAGGAGCCTGTTGTCGGTGCAGATGGCTGGGAAGACGTTATTAAGAACCTTCTTCGCAGTCCAATGGGCACCTTCACCAAAGCGCCCTCAATTGGCAAGTTTCAGCTGGACCTGCGTGCCTTCGCTCATCCAAACTCTGACGTGCTCATCAAAGACAATCCTGCTCTGCTGAGGGATGTTTACTGCACACAAGCACTTAACCTGTCTTCTGGTTCCGCGCATCAACGCAGCGATGTTTACCTAACCATCAAGGAGCCTATCCTACCATCTGGTGCTCACTGCTTCCACCCGCAGGACGGCAGTGTCGCTGTTTTTAATGAAGCGGACTTGAGGAACCTTCAGCTGACTCTTGAAGTGCGAACCGAGGCTGGAAATCGCATTGAGAACTCGGTTTGGCCAACATCAAATCGCCCACCTCATACTGCTTACAGAACTTCGGCTATTGACCGTAGCGAGATCTGGAATCAAACCATCCGTCTGTCAGTTCCCAACGAAGACCTACCTCATGCTCATGTCGTTCTTAGCATTGCAGAGGGAAACCAATTCCCCTTCGCACTGGCCTGGATACCTCTATGGGATCACCAAGGTGCTGTGTGTACTCATGGTCAGCAAACACTGGCTCTGTGGGATTACAGCGAATACACTGCAAGTACGGTTCATGGTAGGGGTGCCTACCAGATGCTGCCATCACGTCTTGACCAGCTTCAGGTACAGGACAATACTCCAATGGCTGCGTTGTTGGTAGATGTTACGCTTAGCAGCAGTACCACTCCCCAGGATCCGACCATCAGCTCACTCCTCCAATGGGACGGGACGACAGTACAGGGTCTTATGCCTCTATTGGGTGGCTTCAAGCAGGCTCCTGATGCTGAGATTGTCAAATTCTTCAAGCCGCTGTTGACAGCGCTTGACAAGATATTTGATGTCTTCTACCGTGTGGCTGATGACACTGGGACGGGAGTCAGCCTTGGAGAAAATTTCACTGAGCGGGCGTTGTCATGTCTAGTTCACATGCTGCATCTAACACGCGATCGTCGGTTCAGTAGTACGAAAGATCTATTTGACGAATACGTCCAGGAGCGTCATCACTCGCACGATGCTTCCAAGGGCGTGTGCAGGGCTTTGCGTGCCTTCATTAGCAGACCTTACGAAGTCGAGGATGCACGAGAGCTTCGCAGTACCTTGAAGGTCTCTGGCCAAGTCATGAAATTCGTCACTAATCGCGGCGAATCCGGATCGCCACGCAGCACTGCGTCGTTAGGCAATGCTGTATCTTCCGTACTGGTGGCATTGGTGAATTTGATGCGCAATCCAAGAGAGGATCTCTACGGAACTCAGACGATCCTCATGCAACATTTCTCTTCATGGCTTCCTGAGCTCGCTTACGTCATGGCTGCTGATGATATACTGGATGTCGTCGACGGCATGATGAATGCATCGGCCGGCAAGAAAGGCGGTCTGCGCATTCATAGACTGATCATGGTCAAGGAGTTATCTGGCCAACAGACGTTCTCTTCTCCCGATGCTTTGCTCAAGCTTCATGCCTTGACGATAGGATGGCTTGAAGATTATTGGCCAGATACATCCAACCTGACCGAGCAAAAGATAGAAGGCGTCAGAATGTGTTGCTCAATTCTACGCACCCAGCAAGCTCAGATTTCCAACTCTGCACAGTCTCTACACTACATCTGGAGACTTGTAGAGGCCTATCACATCATCAATGAGTACCTGAAAAGTGGCGGTGACGGGAGAGTGTCCTCCCTGTCCATCAACAGGTCAAAAAAGTCTCTCTCGTACCTTTTCCCGGACCATTATCCCTTCCTGAGCATGTCTGTGGATACGTCAAGTGTGCCCTCTGAGGTCTTGATGGAAATTGCCGCCATACTGGACTCTTTCTTCCAGAGAGGGCCACCACAAGGGCAGCTTTTCATGAGTGGAACTCCCTCCGACTCAAAGACCATGCAGCAAGATTTCTTGGCCAAGGCTTTCAAGGTGCTCAAATCGGTTCATAATGGAGAGGCATACCCTACCCAGTGGCTCAGTCTGCATGTCACTCATGCAAAGGTCACGATCACTGCTCTCCAATGGTTGCTGGAGATGTTATCCACAAATTTTGTGCCTCCTGAGGACGACAGCGGCGTCAACGATGTAATGGAGTTCAATCCCGATCTGTGGGAGATTTGGTTCCAGATATTGATCGACCTTGCCCTCGGCAGAATGGTGTCTATGGAAACCTTTACCGAACAGACAAGACGGGCCATCTGGACGATTGGTGGTGACATCCGCGCAAACGCTGCCGATTTGCTACAGAAAGGCTGGGCCTGTTTAGGCTGGCAGGCTCCGCCAGAGTACCTTCAAGTGCTCTATCCCATGAACCGAGTTGGAGGATACCAAGTGGGCCTGTCGACCGAGATCATTCCATCTGTTGTCAGACTTTGTATGGGGCTTCACGATCAATTGCAATCTGTCGGTCTTGACATATTGCGATCTATCATCGTCAGTGAATGGCAGTTGAACGAGAATCTGGTTGTGGTTCAAGCAGCCATCATCAATGCCTTCGACACCATGCATCGCGAAGATCACGCAATGCAAAGCCCATTCGCATCCGCTTTCCTGGAACGACTCGGAAAGCACTTTGTCATCATCAAGAACACCGAGCTGAACGTGCTTTACGAAGCATTGATGAGTGTTATTGTAGAAGTGGGCCGATTGTTCAATGTATTGGCTGATCTGGGAGACGTGAGAGACCCAGCTTCGCGCATGGTTCAGCTACTTCGTCTTATGGAGTTCCTACGATTGAGTGGTCAAGAGGAAGCATACGTGTGCCGTATTCACGAGCTTGCCGAACTTCATGTCCAGGCTAGGAACTACTCCAGCGCAGCATGCACTCTGAATCTGCATATCGAGGTATTGAATGAGAGTCAGCCTTCCAAAGCACTCGCCGCAGCAAAGGTACCTGGGCTCGAAACTCCTGCAGAGTTGGTGCAATCACGAAAAGACCGTCTTTATCGGACAATAGCAACGTACTATGAGAAGGGTTACTGTTGGGAGAACGTTCTCAAGACCCTCAAACAGCTTGCTGCAGGACGTGAAGCTACTTGGGACGCTGCTGGCATTGCGCAAGTTCGCTTCGATGAGGCACGCATCTATAACACTCTTGCTGCCGGACCGGTACCACTTCCTCGTTTCTTCCATGTCGCTTTCAACAATCATGAACTCTTCCCAGATTCTGTACGTGGTCAGCACTTCATCTTTGAAGGTCCTGCAAATTGTGACAGGAAGAGTTTCTCGGCGTTGCTCCAAGCGCAGTATCCATACGTTTCAAATCTGGGACCAGACTATACGCATCCCACATCGTCGTCGCACGACCCTGCTGTCAAGATCAGTCCTGTCACTGTGTACAAAAATCAGTTGCATCCTATCAACCAGCAAGGCGGGGTCGCGCCAGGTTTCAGAGAACACTGTCTGACCGCTCACCCCATAGCGTTTGCAATGACGAGCCGCCATGATAATCCATCTGTCAGCGTAGTCGATCAAGTTGTGGAGAAGACGGTATTCTACACCCAAACTGCGTTCCCTACCGTATTGTCCTACAGCTCTATCATACGGGAAGAGAGGGTAGTCTTGACACCGGTGCAAGCAGCTATCGATCGCACTCAGCGAAAGACGTTGAACGTTGCAGTCGCAACTCATTCTGCTGCCAGCAAAGGAGAATCGCATGTAGAGCCACTGATCGAGACTATCCACTCGAGCGTGGACACAAACACAAGTGGTAGTGTGGCCGAGTATCACAGATTGCTCGAATCGATTTCATCCCGTCCGGGGACAGGCAGTACCGCTAATAACACCATGGCCGAAGTCCAAAGTATCTACCACGACGCCTTTGGCGAGCCAAAAACTAAAGATTCACAACTTCGAGACATCCTGATGGTCTCACTCGAGGACCACGCGCGCAGCATCGAACTTGCCATGTCTTCTCCTTTGATCCCTACACACATCAAGGAGATGCTACGAACAAGCTTCGAAGACAGCTTTTTGTTGGAGCTGCATTCCATATATCCTTCGAGGGATTGGCGGGTGAGATCTGCGGCATGGCAGGATACAGAAGTGCCGCAGATGCCTGCGTCGATGAGGGAAAGAGCACCAAGTGATGTCTTGACTATCGACACACAGCACACTGAGCAGACGGTACACAAGCCTAGAAGTCGGCGCGCCTCTATTAAAAAGAGATTGAGCTTCTTGAGTCTAGGAAGCAAGGACAAGAGTGGTGATGGTGGGACGAGGAGCCATAGCAGGGCAAGCAGTCGGACCAGGTTTTAATGTTGGAGGTCGCGAAAATGTTGGATAAAATATCTTGCTGTCTTTGGCCTTTCGTTTCCTTTTCTGCTATTATCTAGATACCCTTTCTGCTATATTGTATATTTATTGCATGTCGGTTACACTGAGCTTCGTCCTCCGTGCTACATTGCAGCTATAAAGATGCACAATAGTTCTGTAAAGAATGTGGTCTGCTCAGAGAAGACCCTTTGAAGACTATCTCCGTGTGGGCAGACTCGTTTTTCATGTCGCAACTGTGCGATTCGATAGCTTAGGGGAATTGTGACTCGAGATGGGAAAGAGCTGATCGCTAATAGGTTGATAGCACATGGAATCTGCATGTGACGCGACCCTGGCGCCTAAAGCTCTCAATTTGAGTCACATCAACACTTTTACCACCAAACAAACTTTACATGCGCAGCGTCCGCCGTCTCCCAATATCTAACTTCCTATTCCAACAGAAAAGACAAACACTACACAAAATGTCAACACCCCCAACAGTAAAAACGCGTGTCCTGATAATCAGTGACACACATTGTGCACCTTTTACGTCCGCCTCATCTTCTCAAGCTTTCCGCCCTCCTCTTCCCTCGGCAGATGTTTTGATACACTGCGGCGACCTTACCGTGATAGGTACACCTTCTGAGTACCATGATACTCTAGACATGCTTGCTGCTATCGATGCACCGGTTAAACTGGTCATTGCGGGTAATCATGACAGAACATTGGATAAGACATGGATGAAAAATCACGAATGGATGTTGCGAGGCAAGAAGTGGGAGGATGTGTATGAGGAAGCTCAAGAGATTTGGTTTGGAGAGCAAGGTCGGGCAAGGAAAGAGGGTGTAACAATGTTGGAGGAGGGGGTCCATAAGGTTGAGCTGAGCAATGGAGCAGTGTTGACGGTAAGTGGCTCCCCGTTGCTCTACCATTGTTATCTTCTATACTCTGCATTGCAGCAACAACCTATTTCGGAGCAGCGACGCTTTGAGATGACTGATCGATACAAACACATAAACCTCAGAGACTAACGAGTTTCCTCAGCTCTATGCGTCTCAATACCAGCCTGAATTCTACGATTGGGCTTTTCCATACGAAAAATACGAGGACCGCTACAACCCTGCGTCTGAAACCCTTGCTGATGCCACCAACATTGCTGTCAACCCAATACCCTCCTTCTCAGATCAGCAACTAGACGTGATCTGTACCCATGGGCCTCCGTATGAGCGTGGAGACATCACCGCACATGGAAACGTAGGTTGCCCACATCTGCTCAAAGCAATGGCTAGAGCAAAGCCATCGGTACATTGTTTTGGTCACATCCATGAGGGCTGGGGTGCCGAGACTGTGACATGGAATGATGTTTCCGTGACTGAGAAAGAGACCATGGAGCAATTCAAAGGGCAGGGATGGAAGAAGCACGTCAAAGAAGTGGAAAGGGTCGAAGTGGCAAAGAACGAAGTCAAAGAGCAGAGAGCGGTGTTTCTAGATGGAACGAGAATCAGGAAGGGTGAGCAGACGATCATGATCAATGCAGCGATCATGGATGTTGGTTATAGTCCAGTTAACGCACCATTCGTGGTGGACCTGGACCTGCCGATGAAGGACTGATGACATGTAATTGATAATGAGGCTTGGGCATGGATGAACGAGACTAGACGGAGCAAGGTTGGAACAAGGCACGAAGATGATAAGAGAAAGAAATATCTATACCAAAAGCACAATCATCTCATGAAAAATCATATATGAGGGGGTATTCGAAAGGCTTTGAAATTTTTTTGAAAACAAGAGAAGATTCTGGCATAAGCTAAACAACAGTACTTTTTGCTGTCTTTCTGCAAACGCCAAGGTCATGAACAACGACGCCCAACCAGGAGCCATGATGAGTATCCCCCCATAATCCTTCGTTACCGGCGGGTCATGGTTTACTTGCGGATGGCGCGCTGGTAGAAGGCGAGCTCATCACCCTCGAGGATGTAGCCGTCAACGCGACCGCTCTGGCCGGGGCGCGAGGCAACAACGGCGAAGAGACGACCGGCCTCGAACTGCTTCTCAATGGCAGACTCGACCTTGCCGGCGGCCTTGGTGCGGGCCTCCTGCTTCTTCTCGACGGACTTGGACTTCTTGGTCTCCTCAGCCTCGGCACCCTTGGCCTGGCGACGGCGACCGAGAGCGGAGCCGTAGTGGGCCTCGTACCACTGACGGAAAGGAGCGGCATCGATCTGGACAACGGCGGACTTGGTCAAGGTGTTGGTACGGACGAGCTCGTTGTTGGAAGGGTGGTAGGCGACGGCAATGACACGGGTCTTGCGGGAGATACCCTCAGAGCCCCAGGAGAAGTTGCCCGAGTCGAGACGGAGGGCACGGAACTTGCGGTTGCCACCACGGGTGCGGACGAGATGGATACGCTTGGCACCGATACGGGTGTTGGCGGCCTGACGGCCCTTCTCGAAAGCTGTAAAGACGAAAAGTCAGAAAGACAGTTCGTCGAGCAATCGGGTTACGGTGTTGGACACCAGTTTGTTTACATACCGCGCTTCTTGTTGGCGGGAATGCTGAGCAGGATGTCAGCGAAAGTTTCCCTACGAGTCCAGAGTGACAGTAGATAATTACCGCTTGGCGCCAGAGGCGGCGCGCTTCCAGTTACCACTGCGAGAGATACCCATGTTGTCGGATTATGAAGGCTGCTGTGCGAAAGCGTCGGTCAGTGTGCTGTCCTTGTGTTTGGAGATGTGTGCGACGGCGGAGAAGACGCGACGAGGTCGAGTCGGCGGCGGCTTGTTGCAAATTAGGATGGATCGAGAAGGCTCGTAGCGACGGTAAAGCAGTGACAGGAAGTGTAGAATGGGTCATGTAGGTCGTGTGTCGAAGATTGTGTGTATGCATGTGCTTGTCCAATTTTTCTCCTTCACTGTCGACTGCGCGCGGCCGGTGTCGTTCGATGTCCAGATTTGCAAAAAGTCGGTCGCCGTATACGTCCAGTCGCATCTTCTCGTGCCATCAATGAAGCGACTCACATTGACTGGCTTCACAAAGAGGGGATTGTCGAGGGTTCGTTGTCGTCGTCGATTCGCAAAAGCGTTGGACAAGTCGCACGCAGATTTCGTGCAAAATCGCTTGTCGCTTAATCTTCGGCTGTTTGACTGAGAATGTGGGGAAGCCCAACCACCACCAAGGCCCCGTCTGCCAACCCTGACCGTACTCGAGTACAAAGCTTTGCCAACATCAATAACGCGTGTTTCTCCTTTCTGCCAATCAGATCCAGAGCCGACTTAGTGATTAAGGTTGCCTGTCACGAAAATTGTGCTGTCTTCTTGACGACGTCCAGTCGGAAATCCAGTGCAACCAAGAATGGCCGCTTGCAGCCTCTCCGTGTGCTAAAGCATGTAACATTTCTTTCTATGCACAATGTTATCAGAAATCAGGATAGTGTCCACCGAGAAACGACAATTTATCGGCTCTCAATGGAGATGTCTCCATCTCTGCGAAACTTGTGCATTTTTACGGTGTGCATCTTGCCTCCTGCTGTATTCGGAGTACGATGGCAGTTACATGCATTGGCATACGAAGTCTGTCCACCCTAAGGACGTCAAATCCTACAAGATACGAATAGAAGCTGAGCGGATGTGTCGTATTGTATAGACACGAGCTATGTACTAGACTGAAATTTACGGGCCACGAAAACGGAATCATCGAAGAAGAAGACACTGGAAAGAGACAAACCCCACAGAGAATTACGCGCCACGCGCAAACCACTGCTATCACTAAAAGGACTGGATAAGAGCCCGCCACTACTTTATGAAGTCCTGTGAGTCAAGTACTCAGGAACCAGATCGTCCCTACGTGCGTCGTCAATATAATGCTCGTAGAACATATTGCTGTTATCAACTTTGCAGAGCTGCGCATCTTCAGGCTCAAGGTTCTTCATGATCCTCAGGGTGCAATCGTCTTTCTTGCTGGCATTCTACTCAGTATTGATCATATCCTGGAAGCGCTCTGTGTTGTTGACAGAAAGAGTCTTGTTATCGTGGTTCCACTTGAGCCAGTATTCCCGTTGAGATGCTTCTGTGTCGGCTTAAACCTTCTCAATGTCAAGATCGCGGATTGAGATACCGTATTGGCCAGGAGAGACACTGCCAGTGCAGAGAAGGCCGAGACTGACAATCTGCTCAAGTCTTCCGGCTTGCTGCGGGCTCAGGATGGTGTTATGGAGGTAACGCTTTCTCTTGCGGCTGGGTGTTGGCGTAACGATTTGGTCGTCATCATCGCTGTGGTTGTCGTCGAAGACTCCTCCGGCAGCCAGACCAAAGTGATATGAACACTTGAAGCGATCGACCACTCTGAACTGAACTCGTGCTTCGGAGCGAGCTGTGCGACGCTTAGGGTTCTTGCGGATCTCGACAGCGGAGGTCGCAAGCAGCCTATCGAGGAGCTGCATGTGGAGTTCGTACAGAGCAACAGGACAGCGGTGGTTGAGATCAGTTTTGATCTCAGCATCCTTCTCTACCAGCTTCAAGCTTTTGAAAAGGCGAGACCATGTGTGATGTCTGGCCATGATATCTCTTGCTCTGGAAGTCTCAACGCGTGCCTGGTTGTTATTCTCAAGCATCCAGATTTGAGGAACATCTCCGCGCTCGCAGACCATTTCACCTCTCCAAATGATGTTGTTCTTTGCGGTGAAATGGTAGGGCGTACGAAGAGCTTCTCTGACAGCGAGCTTCAGTGACTTGACGTTCACGGAAGTGAGGTCAAGGAAGCAGGCGATCATGGCATCCTTGACATCTGTGGCACCCAGAGATCTTGTCACGCTCATCTGCCAGGGTATTGCGTAACCGTACGCATTAGACTAGCTCATATGGTCCTCACTTTGTCCCCCTACCATCGTGACAACAAGCATGATTGCATCATATGAAAATGCACGATTCTTTTCGTACCGAGAGTGCCACCAGAGAGAGCGTGTCAAATCAAGAAAGTGGCTCTCGTTGATCACCACCTTTCCCACCATTCAATTACTTTGGTAGCGTCCATTATACGAGCAAGCGTATACTAAGTAGAGGAACAAACGGAAAGATCCCGAGTGAAACGTTACAACAAATTCACCATTGCTATCAGAACGGTGGCCAGACGACCGAATGCAGGGAGTGCGGCTACTGCAGCTCCGCTGGAAGCACTTGAGGAAGCTGATGAGGAAACCGATGTGTGAGTCGCTGTAGAAGTAATATTTGAAGAGGCTAGGTTTTCAGTACTCGATGAGCTCATAGACTCGCCAGAGTTTGAAGACATTGAGGAATTTGACGCAGAGGCTGAGGTAGTAGAAATGGCACTGACAGTGATACATCATTAGCAGATGCTATTGTCGAGCTCAAACGCGATGTCGAGGCTGTCGCAGCTACAGACACCAAGTAGCCCAGTTGACTGCTGATAGCGATTGCCTGGCTCGATGACCCAGCATAGGCCTCGGACGAATAAGCAGAATATTGGCTTTGAAGTTGCGACTTGTAGATTCCGGTCGCGGTCGCTGCATCGGAAGACATCGATTGCAACGCTGCAGAGACCAAAGATGATTCAGCTGCAAGGTTGACTGCGGCTTGTAAGCGAAGAGCGAATTTGTTGAGGTTGGATCTACATTAGTCTGGCTGAGAGCGAGGGTAGCCATAGTAACAACAATGGCCATTGCGATATGCATCTTTAACAGAAGAGACTTGAGACAGTGAATGTGCGATTGAATTGGGGTTGAAGAGCGAAGAAAAGGTGAGAGTGATGAGAAAAGTAACAACTTATTCTATAGCAGCATCGAGTGCGACCAGAGCACTGCATGTTTCCATATTCCCTCACCACGTATGCTTAATGGCGTGAACATGACAAACTTCTGAGTGGTGTTGTACGAAGCCACGACATGCTATATAGGTCGTTCTGAGCTGAGATTGATATACCGTAGCTGTAGCAAGGTGTTGTTTTGTGGTTCTCACAACTCGCGGTTGTTAAGGAGGGTGAAGCTGTACAAATAGTAGCAGGTTTTTCGACAGGTGACCTACGTTATCGCTCTGACTTCGAGCGAGAAATATGCAAGACGCGAAAGCCAAATATTGCAAGGATTGAGCAAATGTAGCTTCGGTATCGTTACATGTTCATGCAATCCATCCTGTACTTGCGAAGGGTACAAGTGACTTTCGAGTCACGCGATCAAGCCAAACCACTTGGCAGCTGGAAATTACTTGGCCACCAAAGACAAGAAAAAAAAAGAAGCCGGACGTTGAAGGCTAACGAGCGATGCAAGAATCGATTCACGCAAATTGGCTGTTGCTTGTTCGTTTCTATTGACGTTATGTGCATACCAGCTGAGTTTTTGATCTTCGTTCTCGATGAGACGCAAGCTGATAATTCCGAGGATCAAGATTGCTGATGTAACACGAATTGCAACGCGAGAAGCTTGGTGTTGTGACTCGACACGAGGTGGGGTCGAGATGAGGTCTGCGTGACACGAAGATGCGCGGACCCAGGGTCGAGACGCACAATGGAGTCGGTATGATGGCCAGAATGCGAGAAGAAGAAACTCCCGTGCTTTGCGACGCCGCGGCGAAGTGATGATGACCATTATTCTTAGAAATGGTCCATGCCAAACACGATTCGCAAATTTAGTCATCGAGAGCGTCGGCCGAGGAAGCTGCCCTCTAGGATGCTGTTAGCAAGTATGCAAGGATGTGGAGATACAGCGCCTATTCTATGAGGGGGGAGCCTGTTCGTATCTGCTGCTTACAGCTGTCAGCATGACCTCTGAAGGAGTACTCGTATTGGATCCTACTATTGTATTGCCCATATTAGTGCATTATTCTAACGACCAACGAGGATATCGGAACGACTTTCGGCCCTTCTTGATCTGGGGTAAACCGGGCCAGCCGTTTGCTGCCGATCTGTCTGCTGATCGTGATCAGCACAACTCAATTGCGAAAAGACGCAACTTTGAACTTGCCCCTGATGTATGATTCTGTCAGGTGGGGCTACTGATGATGAATTTCGGACCAGCGCTGTACTGAGGGAGACTGGCAAGCTGAGTACTCGAATAGACATTTGAATGATACTGTACATTTTCACAAGTCACTTGATAATAGAATGAAAGATTGAAGTAGAAAATTCATTATTGAAATACTAAGCAACTATTGACATCGCGAAGGATGTACAATGCAGTTGTGGATATCTTGAACTCTTGCTCGGCTGCACCTTGCGGATTTTGATGTGAGAGAGAAATGGAGCGCTTAGAAGACGCTGCCCTTTCTCTCGACATCCTCGACGACCTCCAAGTCGAGCTTGCCGCCGTTGGCGTGGCCGACGGAGGTAGCGAAGGTCTCGTGAGGGACCCACTTGGAGGAGGTACGGGGAGTGGTCTCCTCCATCATGCGGTCAACCTGCTCAAGAGAGAGACCCTTGGTTTCAGGCACAAGGAAATAGGAGTACACAAAGGCGCATGTGCAGAGACCCATCCAGATGAAGAAGACGGACGATCTAAGGTTACCCTCATCCTTGTTGACCATGTAAGGAGTGATGACGGCAATGATGGTGTTCCAGAGCCAGTTGGAGGCGGTGGAGAGGGCGACACCGCGAGATCTGATAGGGAGGGGGAAGATCTCACCGATCAGGACCCAGGCACCAGGACCCCAGGTGGAGGCGAAGAAGAAGATGAAGATGGCGATGAAGGCAATCTGAGCGTTGACGGCAGAGATGTTGTTGGAGCGGGTAAGAGGGTCACCACCAGCGGGGTTGGGGATGTCGTGGGTGTGGTTGAAACCGACGGTGACACCAACAACGGCGACGATAAGCTGGCAGATCAACATACCGAAGGCACCCCAGATGAGCAGAGGACGACGACCGAACTTCTCGACAGTCCAGAAGGAGATAGGGGTAGAGCAGACGTTGACGAGGGTGAAGATCAAAGAGATCAGGAAGGCGTTGCTAATGGCACCAGTGGACTGGAGGAAAGGAGTAGAGTAGTAGAAGATGAAGTTGACACCGGTCCACTGCTGCATCATCTGAAGAGAGGTACCGAGAATGGTCTTGCGCAGGTTGCTGTTCTGCTTCCAGAGCGAACCCTTGAAGCAGTTGGCCCAGCCAGAAACCCAGCCAGTGGTGGGGATCATGGCACGCTCGTACTCCTCGTTGGCAACAATCTCGGAAAGCTCAGCCTCGATGTAGTCAGAGTCGCCAGGCTGGCCACGAAGTCTGGCCAAGGCATTGCGAGCAGCCTCGACGTTACCGCGCTTGACGAAGTAACGAGGAGAGTCGGGAAGGAAGAAGAGACCACCAGCAAGGACGACACCGAAGACGAACTGGATGCCGATGGGAATGCGGTAGGAGGCAGTGCTGTTGATGTCCTTGGTACCGTAGTTGATGCAAGAAGCCAACAAAAGACCAATGGTAATGCAGAACTGGTAACCGGAGACGAGAGCACCTCTAACCTTGCGAGGGCAGATCTCAGACATGTAAAGAATGACAATGGCGGATTCGAAACCGACACCGAGACCGGCAACGAGACGACCAGCAACGATCAGACCGAGACCGTGAGAGGCGACCTGGAGAATAACACCAATGATGTAGATGATACAACCGATGATGACAGTCCAGCGACGACCAATGGTGTCGGCAACATCACCAGCGATGATAGCACCGAAGAAAGTACCGGCAGAGAGAATAGAAGTGATGAGAGAGTTGTGGGGACCAGAGAGGGAGGTGTGGCCAGCGCCCTCAATGATCTCGACGAAGACGGGAGAACCAGTGACACCGTTGATGTAACCTGTACAACTTGTTAGGAGGTGGAAGAGTGATTGGTGGTCAAGATAGATCGCATACCAGAGTCATAACCGAAGAAGATACCTCCGAAGGAAGCAAAGGCGCAAATCAGGTAGGCCTTCCAGGTGACTGGAGCCTCAATCTGATTGACATCAGCAGTGGTAGCAAGCATAGCACCAGGCATGTTGGCGGTGGCTTGAGAGGATGAACTGTTTGTGAGATGGAATGATCCAAATGAGTGCGCGAACCCGTGGTTTTGTATTCCCACGCTCGTTCTCGACTCGATCCCCGCGTAGCCCCATCTTCCATCGAGAACATATCGATCTAGCCGAAAACAACTACAGAAGACGCCTTCTTCGGCGAGCTACGACAAAAAAATGGCCGTTCAGCGCTCGGGACCAGTCACATGGCCCGATCGTTAAGCCGTCTAGAACTTTTGATTGGCAAGAAAGTAAGTGCTTCTGCCGAGAACCTCACCAGCGGGACGCCGGGCAGGCTTTACAAATTTCATGTGGGTTTAGACTAACGGTCCACCAACGTCGAGCAATGACCGACCCAGCAAGCCCAGCCTCGGCCATCCAATAATTTTACGCTCTCGAAGTGACAAGCTCGTCACTTTCGATGCTTCGCCATCTTGTGCTTCTCGGCCATGACGAACAGAAGAACTGAAATCATGGGCCGTTTTCTGAACCCCATAGCACAGTATGAACATTATGCATGGAAAATTCTAAACATGTCTGACAGAGAATAATCCCAAAGAAAAAAAAATTGTGCTTGAGCTCCGCAACCATCCCACCTTGCCTGCGGTACCTTAACCCTAGAACGTTTTGAATACGGGGTTCAATGGTCGTACATGTTAGCCGACCATGATTGGTCTCCCCCATGAAATGTCTTCAGCTACCAAATGCGGAGTAGATGATGCAACCTGCGAACATGTACCAACTGTACATCATCACTCAGCAGTGGCTCTAGCATGTGACCTTCCGCCCTACTTTTTTGCAGTATAGAGAGATCATGAGTTGATCTTCTCGCGTGTTGTGGGGATGGCCTTCGACAAGCGCGTGTGGAGGATGGGCTTTGGAGAGGTGGTGGGGAATCGGGGAAGAACTCGGGAGCGCTTGACGCCCGGCCCTTTGCAAACACGGCGTGTTGCACGGGGTGCCGAAGGTCAGACATCCTTGCTCAGTCAGACCATGCGGCGAAGACCGATGTGGATCATCACCTCAGATCAGTGTCAGAAAAAAGCGCCATACCGAAGATTGTCGACCACCCCAAACATTCCCCACCGGACTTGGGTCGGGAAGCTGGGGCGCCCTTTCACTCGCGCCCTAATTCACGCCCTCGCTTCTTGGATCGCATCGAGCTTGTGCCAAATTGTCAAAACAAACTCTGTGGTAGTGGCACAAATGTGATCTCGGGGCGGTATAGCAGATGACGTGGGAATTTCAGGCTAAGCTTACCAATTCAAGAAGTAAAGATGCTCAAGCTCAAGGGTGGCCGTTTGTTTTTGGCGCATGCCACTGCCAACACGGCAACTACGGGCTGCATCATGCTGCATGCAAGCAACGCTGTCGAGCGTGGCGGCGTTGTGAACATGCTTGCGCTTGCTTGGTCCGAGGCTTGCAGAGCCCTCACGCGAGTGCCGAAATTGGTATGTCTTGGAAGTGGCTTTGGTGGCTGAAAAGCACGAGTCGAAGTTGCAGTGTTTGATCCTCCACAGGATCATACCACGAGTAAACACTAAGCGGTGTGCTTCGTTTGGCGATCAATTTTGGGGATGCCAACGTCCTTCACCATGGGGACTGTGGTTAAATTCAGCTGCGTGGGGCTCTCCATGGGGGCGGTCGACGAGCACGGAGCTCTGTAGAAAATTCTTTCATGCTCTGTGCTCGCTCAACCAGAACAAGATCGCGCTTCTCAGACAAGCGCGCGTTAGTAGTTCAGGTGGGAGCTAACAAATTCCGTCGCCACGATCATGCTTTCGCGGATACAACCTCTGCAGGGTTGTTGGGTAGCATTGCTGTATTGCAAACATCGTGGCGGCTGACGAGTAGGCGCGCAATCCAATAGCGCTGCTCTGACCTGCCTAACTGAGAAGTGCACCTAGCGAAGAAGGATGCAGTCACTTTCGATCCTACAAGGCTACAACAGCATGCTATAGGGCGGGGCTGTATTAGGAGTAGGATCAATGGTTTGCGAGAATTTTGCATAATGTCCTGACCAAGTGTCGTTAGCGAACTCCTGCATCTGCAACCTTCGATAATCACGACGCGTTTGGGAGCCCCCTGATTCTCCAATAGAGTTTACGCTCATTGTATTGCGACTGGTAGACCAGTGCGAAAATTTTCATCGAAGAATCGACCTTGACAACCTCCACGCTAGGCGCCTGACTTTGCAGTTGCGAACGGTAAGATCATGATCATATCGGAAAGGAGCTTTGTCCTGGCGACACAAATGAGACAATCAATTGGATAGCATCGCGGTAAGGGGCGGATACTAATTTATCGATGTCGGAGTGGGTCTTCGGCAGGTCACCACGTTTTCGGCTCTTCGGGACGGCTTTGCGTTCATAGCAGTGGAGGACAACTCGGAACGATACAAGGTCGCTCGGTATTGGACAGGGAACTATTTTGTTGGTGGAGGCGCCCAAAACCCACGCGGAGACGGTGTCTCATTCAATCGCGGAGCTCCCGGTTTCTCCTGCTCTGCTAGGTGCCGTTTTTTGAGGTCGGCCAAAGTACGAAATTGCCGAGACAGGGTCACTCTCTCAGCATCAACATCCACAGGTCCAACTCAGCTCTATGCCCAGCATTACAATCTAGAGCAGTGTTGTATGTTGTATCTGCTACAAATAACTCCATGTGTCATGATAGACGTGGTAGAAAATGCGCAATAGCAGTATGTGGTCAGTCACGGTGCATTTCGTGTTTTTGAGCTGTCAGCTTCAGAAGCCCAATTTGACGACACACAAACTACGTGCACAGGAGAAAGAAAAGTCGGGAACCAGGGTAGATTGTTCTCAGGACGACCCGGGATAAAAAGAGTATCCTGCGCTGAATACGAGCTAGAAAACAACCCCCGGTAAGTGCATCACCAGTACCGGCACATGTCATCTGTTTCAGAGTTGCATAATCGAACACATAGTAGTTGACAGACGACCTCTCTTCCGTTGTTTGATGTCTGTCCAGGACATGGTATGACAGGCACTTCAAAGTTGAATGTATCTCTAGCAAAAAGCATAGCTTAGATCTTGCCGTAGCCGACGTTGGCAGTGGAGACGGAGCTGGCGGCAGCAGCAGAAGCAATGTTCTTGCCTTTGAAGTTACCGAGGAAGCTGGTGTCGGCAGAGGAGAAAGCACCAGAGCTGCCAAAGGCGTTGCTCTGGCAGCTACGGCCAATGAAAGAACTGCAGACGCTGCCACTGCCAGGAACAGTGAAGTACTTACCAGTAGCTCCGGACTCAATCACAGTTGCCACGTTTTGAATCTTGTTGCTGTACGAAGGTCAGTACAAGTATGAAAAGGTCAGTAGATGAGCTTACCCTTCAGCGAGAACATAACCGCCCTGGCCGAGCTCGAAAGCGTGGCCCTTGGAGTCGATGTCGTACCTTCAAAACGGGTCAGCAGGTTCACCTGAAATGCGAAGAAAGCAGTTCTCACCAGTAGTTGTTGACTGCGTGGAGGATGGTGTTGCCTTGAATCTTGGGCGAACGACCAGAGGTGTGGTGGATGTAGTTGCCCTTGAAAGTGATCATATCGTTGCTACCAGTGAAGTAAAGAGCCCAGTAGTGGCGTCCATCACAAGTGGCCGACCAGTTGGACGATCCATCGATGTCGCAGTTGGAAATCGTGACTCTGCCGGAAGCAGACTCTCCGAGAACGATGTGCTGGCGGGCAATACGTTGAGTCTAGTAAAAAAGTCAACCATAGTCCGAGCAGGAGGTACTGGAGACTTACAGTAACGTGGTCGATCCAGATCAGGTCAGTGCCTATCATGGAATTAGCGATGGAACCGAAGATCAACTTTCTCCGTTTCAAATTACCAGCAAGGGTGATTGCATCACCACCCCAAACGTAGTGGGGGTTAATGTCAGTAATAGCGATGTTCTGAATTCAAGGTTAGAAATGCAATGTGAGGCTAGTATTGCTCTTTATACCTGAATGATCACGTTCTTAACACCGTTGGCCATGCGAAGACCCTTGCCCTTGATGATACCCTTGTTGCCCTGACCAACCAAACTCTTGTTTGAGTTGACAGTAATGCCGATCATACCGGCCTTGTCGTAAGTGATGGAAGAGACCTACTTCTTGTAAGACCACGTACCACCGGAGAAAAGATGACATCGCAACAAACCTTGGGTGCCGAGGATTCATAGTTCTCGCACCAGCCATCCTTGTCGATAGCCTGCTGGCAAAGACTGCCAGTACCCCAAGGAGAGCAGCCCTTGGCGGAGGTAGTACCCTCAGTACCACGGAAATCGAAGGTCTTGGTGAGAATAATAACGCGGGGCTGACTATCACCAAGGTACGAGACCAGCTCGGCAGTGGTGCTAGGATAGACAGCAGCGGCTGAACCACCTCCAGTGACGCCCTTGGCGAAACCTTCAGCGGCGCCAGTGACACCAGCAGCGCTAACGGTGCTGGCGAATGCTACAATTGCAGAGGTGAAAAGAGAGAAAGATCTCATGATCTAAAAGAGCGACAAGAAAATTGAGAAAGACACAAGAAAGGATACAAAGAAGAAGTAGTGAGTTAATTCAGCTTCGAGATGGCTCGTACATATTATATACCTACGCACTTTGCAGTCGAGATCCACAGATCTCCCATAATAGTGCTAATGTCGGCTACAAGAGCCTGTATGTTATACTGCGTGCAAGGCCCGACAGGGCAGGGTTGTCGAAAGAGGACGCGAGCGTCTCAGATTGCGCTTGAGAACTTATCCTGAGGCGAAGCGACAGCTTGGCAGGTGTCGCGCTCGGCGCCATTACAACCCTACGAAAACCATCTGCATTAGCCTAACAAAATCTCATAAGTCTCCTCCCATCGAAAAGCGATTGGTGCGGCCGTAAGTGTTCAGAAGAAATTCTACACTTTGTCTGAAGAGTTGAACCAAAATTGAAGTGCAAGACGTTGTCGCACCCCCAAGGCTAAATCATGTGGGCTGCCGGAAAAGAATCCGATGTGCAGCCCTAAAATTATCTAACCCGTTCGGGATCGATAGACGATGACCACTTTTCTCAAACCTATCTTAGGTATCCTTCTCCTGTTCTGCAGCACCTCGATCAGCAAAGAGCTCGAAATCACCTTTCAAAACGCACCAACAGCTTTCCTTCACAATACTGCTCGTTGAACTTATGAGCAGCGTGGCCTACCACGTATCCGTTGAATTTCACATTCGACTGATATCGTGAGGCTTTGTATAAGACCACACACGACAATCCTTGATGATGTTCTTGAAACTATGGCGTTGATCACAGCTTATCGCCGCTGATTACAGCTTCTCGCAGCCCTAAGGGCTATCAAAACTCCTCATAAATAGAGATCGGAGGACTCGGAGAAGCTACTACGAACCCCGGTGAGGAGATGCTCTGGACGATATGCTTGTCGATCTAGCGACATGGAGCCTGAAACAATAACTTCATATGGAAAGAAGCAAAAGTCTTAACACTTCAAGAGGACCTGACTGGATACATGTATGAGCATCGCTCCTAGCCCACAGATGATTGAGTCCGCAGTACTCGTAGAATTGGACGCTCACGAAACCGAAATCCATGACAAAACTTGCCGCACAGTCCTTCACTGCAGTAGGGCTACGAAAAAAAAAAAAAGCAAAACTAGTCCGCAAAAAAGACAAGATTGGTAGACTATTTAGATATAGCCCAGCCTTCTGGCCAGAAACATGGATCCGATCAAGAGCAACCAGGGAGCCATGCGGACAAGCCCATCCTTCACAGCCTTCATCGCCCAGATATTGATCAAGAGTACATGAACAGCGACAAACATCTTGCCGTCATTGACGTGCGGAAACTCATCCTCTGGCTTCGGGAAGTCAATGAAATCACAGAGCTCCTTCCAACCATCTTGCCCCAACCTGAACTCGAGAAGGCGTTCCTTGGGCACAACTGCCCGGACGCCTGCGTTGTGACGGGCCAATGCTTCGGTACTCCATCCGTCCATCACAGTATCCATTTTGTGCAACATGGCGCACCAAGCCGCGCACTCGGGGCTGATCAGAGCTAGATATGGCCAGATCCTCCATTTGCTGATGACGCCGACAGTATTCTCAATGGACCTGCGCCATTTCTCAGGATCTCTAGTTGTGAGGACGACTTTGGCCTCCGGATATGCTCCGAGAAGTTCTTTGACCAGCAAGTTCATTGGCACATCGCAGACCGCCTATTCTTGTCAGTAATACCTTCTGGATAACACTAGACTCACTGACGTCGAAATCACCAATCCATTTGTCAAATTCTTCTCGTCCGAATGGTCTCTCGCTGTCACGAGCATCTAGTGCTTCGCATGCAATTGGTAGATCTTGAGACGCCATCTTGACGGCCTCCGCTATATCTTGTTAGTGGTGATCTGCAATGCAAAAGGTATTCAAGCACATACCCATGTGGTACGGCGTCAAGCCAAGCTTCTGAAAAGCAGTGTACATTGCTCAACACGTCCATTAGCTGATGCTTCTAATCTTATCGCAGCTTTTGCTCTTACAGAAGGTACCAGTCCTAGACATACTGGCGAGTAGAACTTTCATAGGTTTGGTACGAATACCCCCCTCTTTGTCAATTGCTCGTGGTCCTGTTGGAGTTGATGCCAGTCTACGTCCCAGCGGCTTGTGGACCCGCCCTCCAAGCTTAACGAGCATATCATCGAATTCCTTCATTATTCGTACAGAATCGTCAATCGATGTCAGTGTTGTAGTGCGCTCTTGAATAAGAATGATGGGTTGCGAGAGTGTGGGTGGAACGCGAATTTATCTTTGTCAGTTCAGCTTACGCCGTCTTACATCCTTCTAAGCGAGGCCATGCTCCTGTTTCTCAAGACCATTGATCTCATTGGGGCAATGCTGGCATTCATGCAAGCCATTGTGGCACGTGCAGATTTCTTGAACCTGAGCGTCATTGACTCTGATTGGATGAGTGGTAGCAGAAACAGACAAGTGTGTGTTGTTCAGTTCTCAGAAACCTAGAAATTTCGAAATATCATACGTTCGGAGTTACCCTTTTGTTATCGTACACATTCGCAGCGGGTAGAGAAATGTTTTTCTCCATCTCGAAACATTTGTCACGATGTGATTACTGAATTGCACGATACTTTCAACTTGTCTCGTGATATTGCTCGAGTAACGTATACCTCAACGGCTCTCTGCAGTAGCAGCTCGTTCGACACAAAAAATGTGCATTGTGATAGCTTCTATAACTGCTCTGTATCACCGGAGGAGGCGTGTCGCATGTAGGAACGCAATTCAGCGAACATGAGCATCATTAGCACACTAGGCAAGGCATGCATGGTATTTGAGATTCATCTGCACCTTCTATACACAACTCACTCCCGCTTGCTATGATCGCAATGCACTCTGCAAAGGTCGTTCGTGTTCCCCCAAGATCAGTCTTCGATCTCCATGACCGTCGTCAATGCCAATAGCGATGTGCTTGTCACATTGAATGTGACGCATCTCTCATAGGTGAAGTGCACTTTCGTTTATTGCATAAAGCACATTCGATTCTGCTACATAGTCTGTAATCATGTGGACTTCTGAGTGGGTGCGATCGGGGTTTTATGGTGACCGAAACGTTGACAGTATTGTGCTAGAAATCCAGACCAACGTCACTAGGCCTTCTGTTCGTGAACATGCTGGAGCTGAGCTTCGGAGTCCTTGGGCTCAACGACAGTGTTCTTGCCCTGCATCGCTGACCTCTCCAGCATATTCAATTTGTCTTCGTTGGCGTCCAGGTGACGGAAGCAGAACCAGAATCCCACACCGCCTAAGAATGCAAGGATGGTGATGATAGTATAGTTCCAAACGAGCAGTGGATCTTCAGAAAGAGGTGTGAATGCTTGTCCGATGGCAGAGGCAAATGCGCTCATGAAGAGGTTGATAGACATGACCATAGATTTCATGTTTGCGGGAGCTTTGGCGTAGGCATATTCGAGCGAGGTAACGTTGGTGAAGATCTCGGCAATACCGATGAAAATGTAAGGCAGGACCTGGGCCCAAACACTAATGTCAGCCTTGCCAAACTCTTCTATACAGTCTGGGTCCGATGCATGTTTTCCACAAGGCGATTTCGCATAGATGTAGTGTTGCATGACTGCCGCGGCGACCATGGATCCAGTAGCAAAGAAGAAGCCGACCGTCATACGTTTGATCGGGGTAAAGGCGAAGCCCATCTTGCGGAAGCCAGGGTAGATGACATGGTCCAGGATTGGGATCATGATGACTATTGAGATTGGGTTCAGATTCTGGATGATATCGTTCGGCACTCCACCCAATTGAAGAGTCGCAGCTTGGGACGTCAAGTTTCCAGTCATCTGATTGTATGCTAGCTGTGAAGGTTGTTAGCGTCGTAAATCAATATTGAATGAGATATGGCCGCCGTAAAGATGAGAGGCTCCAACTGGAACGAGGTACTCACAAAGAAGAGAGGCAAGAAGAGAAAGACCTTGCAAGCACTGAGACCACGCTTAACCTCTTCTACCCATGCATCATCATATGTCATCCAAGCAGGGCGCTGCTCGACAGGGACATTAGACGGCTTCGCAACGTCCCAATTGAACTTCCCTTGCCGATTTTTCCAGGTGAAACCAAGCATGTGGAGAAACTTAGACAAGATAGAGCCAGTAGGCGGGCTTAGAATGTAGTTTTTGCGGTTTAGGAAGAGAACAACCGGAGCTGCCAGGAAAAGTATGGTCGGCAGCAGGAAAGCTGTGTTGGTAGATAGTGTCAGTCAAAGGGTTTGTCTGTTTACTGAGGGTTTGTTATACCTAACCAAAAGCTATGAAACTTCTCGACGTAGACCATGGAGATCTGTCCGGTAAGGGAGCCAATGTTGACACAGAAGTAGAAATAGAGGAAAATCCTGGAATTGGTAACCGACGGGTCAACGATCACTCTCTCGCCGCTCGCAAGGGTTTCAACACGCATTCGAAGATCAGTGTTCTGCTCAGCAAGTAGTGGCGAGATGTTAGCTTTAAAGAAACCAGTACCGACGCAGAGGGTGAGAAGGCCGATGATGAAGGCGGCAGTAGCTCCAGTTTTGTGGATGATAACATCGGGTGCAGACGCGGCCACCAGGATTATGTGAGCAACGATGCCAATAACGATGGCGATGTGGATAGTCTTGTAACGACCGAGGTGTGCATCGGCCACGTAGCCTCCTACTAGAGGCATGAAATAGCTAGGCGTCGTTAGTGAATGACCATACGGAGAGGACGTACTTTAGCAGACTTACGCAAAGAACTGGTTAAACAAGCTGATACCTTGTGCTGCACTCTGTCCCATACCAAGTGCTCCAGGTTGGCCATGAAGACCACCAGCACCTGTCCTTGACCCTTCAGGTAGAGGCCATTGCACAAAATTGGTGTAAAGAATAGAGCTTCCATAATAAGAGAAACGCTCCGCTAGTTCAGCGAAGGCGACGGTATAAGCGGCCCACTTAATCTTGCCAGAAACGCGACGCAGGGTCTTGAGATCTTCTTCTGTAGGGGTATCGTCGTGCTCTTCGATTTCTGGGGTTCGCACTTCATACAGAGGCTCGACTTTGCCGACATCCATCGATCCACGGCCGGCATGTGCCTCGAGAGTTGTGCCTTGCATGGACGCCTGAGGGACATGAGCTTTGGCGAGCTCGTTGGCGTCAAGAGTATTGTTGCTCATGATAGGGAATGTTTTCAGGAAGAATGCACCCTAGAATACTTTGGAACGAAGCACAAGAATTTTAACAATTGAATGAGGTACAGCTTGTTATATACCTAAGCAAGAAGAGGGGATTGTCCGGCAACCCTCCTCCCGAACTTTGTCTTGTCAAACTGCGGATTCCTTACTACCTACCAGTTGAATTGTTATCAGAAGCGGTTGAATATAGTGCCAGCAGCCAAGAGATAGCGAATATTCAATGGTGGCGGCTGTACACATGTACTGGAGTCTAAGGGTCAGAGACGAGGTAGGCACGCGATCCAAGACTTTGATTCACCCACTGTTACATGCTGGGGTAGGATATGCGTCCTGAAGAAGAAGGTCAAGAAGGACAAAGCAATGTAATGATTGCCAAGTCGCACTTGGCGGACGAATATGATTGGTATGCCAAGGTGACTTGGCAAGAGCGGAATGTGTCGGTGATTCTCGTGTCAGGGACGATCGTCCGTTTGCTATGTCAATGTAACTGCTAATAGACGCAGAAGCGAAGCGGATGTGCATAGCCGCAATGATTGACGTCTAACAAGGCCAATGAACACGGGGTTGACTGTCCGTGAGGCAAATTGTCTTCTTGCAAGGATCAAATTGAAGATAACTGTTCCGCAGTCCGGTTTTGTGATCCTCGAGATACGAAGTGGTCCGGCGAAGTTGTCCTGAATCCTATCCCAGAACCCTTTTCCGAGTCTTTTAAGCAAGCGAGCTTGAGAAAGACTCAAGGCATTTGATCCGTTGCACCCAGGTAATACACGAACGATCGTGAAGTGATGCGAGGGATATCGATTATCAAATCAGATCTGAGTAGCCGAATTTTTTCGAACGCGCTTATCATCAGCGGAGCAATTACGCCTCACTATAGTAAATCTCATCCTTCGGACCCATGCCTTTTTCTAGACCGTCAGCTCTGCAGAGTTCTCGATGTGCTTTTGATATCTCACTGTCGATCAGGAGATCAGTGCGTGTGATAAACTGCATCAGCAGACCAGCTTCTGCGTGCCATGAAACATGGCAGTGGAACGCCCAAGCACCTGGGTTGTCGGCTACAAATCGTATCAGTGCCCAGCCAAACGCTTCCACGCTAGCTGTGTCGCGTCGAATAGGATTTGTGAGATCCAGTGATTCATACAGCGGGGAGAGGTTATCTAGATCCATCGGTCTATCGAGCGACTTCGTAGGAGGATAACCATGACCTTGAGCAAGAACCCAGAACTTGTATCCGTGAAGATGATATGGATGGTTACTATCGTGCAATTAGCGAGTAGTGAGATTGTCAAAGAAGACACCGCTTACCCATCATCGAAATTGGATATTAAGATATCAATAGTTTGAACGCCTGACGACTGGATGGTGAGCTCGGTCGGTTGATTGAAAGCCCTATCATTGACGAATGCAGCTCTGTCGTCTTGCTTTGCGTCGAAGGATGCGTTCCTTGCCTGCAGGCCGTCGATTGTTCGGAACAATGTGGGACTCTTGACGTCCGAATGCCAAGTGCTCGTATTGAATTTGCCTCTGGAGAGCCTGTAGGCACCTATCTCGAAGTTTGATCTCAGATAGAAGAAGGCATCGGGCTTTGTAGGAGCTGCAACGACTTGAACGGGTACTAGCTCTGTAGTGTTTAGATCCTTGCATTCGAGGCCGATGGCTTCATCCCAGTCGATGGTTTTAGGTAGCTCATATGTGACTATAGGTTCAGAGCTACTGCTGTATCGCACAATGCCGTGTACGGAGTCGGCCATATATGGATTCGGCTCAGCGAAACAATGGGTGATCATTCGAGCTCGCATCCTGAAGCTGGTTCTATCCCTTTTGTCTGCATGAACGACCACACTGTAACGTTGAGCGGGGTTGATGTTCAGACGATGATAGTTGATTGGATGTACATCGGTGCCGTCGACTTCTGTCACTGCCAGCTCATGCTCGTCGATCTGGAATTGAAACTCGGCAAAAGCGCCGACATTCATGATGCGTAATCTGTGGTAGCGATTAGGTTCGAGATCAAAGGCAGGTATACCGACATTGCTTGTGGTATTATCGCATCTTCTATGAGGCAGATCGTCACAGTTGCGGATCGCGCGACCATTGATGAGTGCCCCATCTGGTACGGGCTCTGCATTCTCCATATCTGGAGCCATGTACTTTCTCGACAGTGCTCCAGAAAGATCGTGATAATGGTCGGAAAGCATGATTATACGATCGCTAGCATATTGAATTTGCTGCAGTTGCTTTTCGTCTTTCGAGTGGACGATTAGAGGTCCCATCAGACCATCTGATGCTTGAATGCCTTGATGCGCGTGATACCAATAGCTACCGCTCTGTCCTTGGACCTTGAACTCATACGTGAAGTTGTGGTTGGGAGCAATCGGACAACCCGTGATGCCAACAGTTCCGTCCATAGAGTTCGTGCCATTCTGATATAATCCGTGCCAGTGGATAGAGGAAGAATTCGTCATTCGATTTTCGACGGTCACCCTGATGGTGTCATGCTCGTTAACTTCTATCAGAGGACCTGGGAATTGGTCGTTGATGAGCAGCATTGGTCTCCATACACCGTCTGGGTTCAGTTCCGTCTCGGTGAGAGTCCAGTGATACTGTCTTATGGTTGGGCCAGCATCATGGTCCCAAGCAGGATCAAGCAAGTATTCGTCTTTGGGTGATGCGACACCACCAGTTGATTGAGGCAAATCGGGCGACTCGACTTGACCAAGCTGCTGGTCTTCAGTATATGGATCTGCTTTTGACGTGTCGATGCTTGCGATCTTTTTCCAGGATTCACCTTTGAGTCCAAGGTTTACTGCAAATGGTACAAGCAATATGACCGAGATCAGGAAAAGCAGCGCGTACTGCCACCACCTGAAGGACCACGTTTCGACATGGGCGCGGACTTTCTCGTCGTCCAATAGAGCTCTACGCTGATCAAGACCGTCAGACCATTGCTCGGAAGTCTCGCTCAAAGCGACTTCCTCATCTGTTAGTGTCATGATGGAAATGCGACAGAAGAACACCTGCAGGCTTCCTAATACTGCAATAACAAAGCGCAAGTCCGGGCTGCGCAGACTTCTGATTCTAGAAGCGCTGCAATGCTGATTTCCGAGTTTTTACCTATAGCGAGTACGACAACATCATGTGGCAAGGCCAGATTGGTGACTCTTAAAACGCAAACCTTCTCGAACTCCGTCGCACTGCGGGTTGACGCAGCAGCGGCAGGATGAGGGCCACATCATATCAACAGGCGGCCAGGCGATCTCGGCAGTGCTTGTTCTCGAATTTGCGCGCGCGCCGAACATCCGTAGAATATGGACTCGAAAGGAAGGTGGTTGGAATGCAGAGGGCGTGCAGCGAGCCAATCATGTCGGCTTGATCGTGCCATGTGCTCTCCACAGCCGCAACCCCTCGTGCTCGAATTTGCTGAACGAGCCTCCTGCACCCTTGATGGTGGAGCTTGAACTTCCAACCGACATGCTTGTTTTCTTGCTAAGGAAGGAGATTCCATAATAAATCTCAACGCACCAATGAAGATGCCGCTATTACATGCTGTCTACAGCCAAGTCTTCCACGTGTATAGGGTTCATGGACATAGATTCTTCTCAATCAGCCGTCTAAACCGCCTCAAGAAGGTCGAAATGCTAGCGAATGCGCGGTATGTGCATGATCCGTGGCGACGGCCGGAGTGCATCAAGTGTCCTCGAGAAATAAGTTAAAACTTGACCCAACCCACCTGCATTCCTTTGACCATCAGTCAACGTCCTTCGTTATGTTTTCTACATTCGTTCTTTCTGCACTGGCTCTCTCGAGCCAGGTAGTGGCTGTCAACTTCACCTCCACTTCGCCAGCCGACGTTGCTGCTGCTCGCGACAGTGCCTTAACTCTCAGTCCAACTAGCAAGGTCCCTGGCAAGGCCTTCGACCGCTTCGTGACCATCTGGCTTGAGAACACTGATTTCGACAAGGCGGCTAGCGATCCCAATCTTGCCTGGCTGGCCAAGAAGGGTATCATTCTTAGCAACTACAACGGAGTCACCCACCCCAGTGAGCCAAACTACGTTGCTTCCATCGGAGGTGTCAGTATAATACCCTTTTATATATAAGTATAGAGGCTAAATAAGCAAAAAAGGACAACTTTGGCATGGATAACGATGATTTCAACCAAATTCCTGGTAATATATCCAGTATCATTGACTTGCTGGAGGATAAGGGCATTTCTTGGTCACAATATCAACAGGTACGTAACGCAAGGGCACAGATAGCACATTTCAACAGCCATCATGGTAGCAGGGTAGCCACTGATGTCTGTCACAAATGTGTTGTTAAAGTACCACTCCTATACGAGAAGCATGCTAAATATCTCAGGATATGCCCTACTCCGGCTTCGAGGGCAAGGCCTGGGTGAACCAGCAGACTCAGGCCAATGACTACGTCAGAAAGCACAATCCTGCTGTTATTTATGATGCAAACACCAGCGCTGAGAGACTGGCTAAGAACAAGAACTTGACCGAGTTCTACAGTGACCTTGAAGCCAAGAAGCTTCCTCAATGGATGGTAAGTGACTTTGTTTCTCATGAATATCTGTGCAATGCTGAGAATTCCCTTAGTTTATCACGCCTAACATGACAAACGATGGCCATGATACTAGTGTCACAACTGCTGGTGCCTGGACTCGTAGCTTTTTGGAGCCTCTTCTCAACGACGACCATTTCATGCACAACACCCTTGTTCTGATCACTTTCGATGAGTCCCACACATACACCATCCAGAACCGTGTCTTCAGTATCCTTCTCGGTGATGCGGTTCCAAAGAAGCTGGTTGGCACCACTGATTCTCAGTACTACAACCACTATTCTGAGATCAGCACTGTTGAAGCAAACTGGGACTTGAGCACTCTTGGCCGTTGGGACGTCGGTGCCAACGTCTTCTCCTTCGTTGCTGAAAAGACCGGTGATGTGAACACACCCTGGCCCGCTGCCTCTGGTGCCAACTCTAGCCACTTCTTCAACAGCTCTTTCGCCGGTCCATTCAACGACGATGACAGGGTTTCTAAACTTCCCGTCCCTAACACCAAACTTGTCAGAAACGGCCGCAAGGTTCTCGGCAAGATTGCTCGCACTTGGGGTGCTTTCCAGAGCCAGACTTACTACGAGAACACCGTTCAGATCCCTGACGGCATGCACCCTCCTCAGGGCTGGTAAACATAGAATAGAATTAAGCTCTCTCCTCGTACGCTATAGACTATTAATATAGCTATAAAAATGCACAATATCTTTTGTTAAGCAGGTGGTTCCACAGAGAGAACCTCATTTGGTCCGTCTCAGTGGCCATGCTTGCGTCTGTGAAGCAACTGTGCATTTTTATAGCTTATAATACTCTTCTACACTTGATTGGAGAGATTCCAAACAGCTTCAAGTATCACGAACCCGCGTACTGCAGTTTCACGAACCTATCTTTTTTTCCTCGCTCGCGGGGACGGGGGACACGGGAAGATCGTGCCGCTCAACACGTGGGTAGATTTGAGGATATATAGACTTCCTCCAGCCTGCACCTAATTTTTTTGACTCTTATTCTGCTCGCACCACTTGATCTGCTGTACATATCACTCACCTCGTTGTCGCACCTGGCTTTACTCTCAACTCTCAACTCATCAAAGAAAATTACTGAATCTCGACACATGATGTCTATCAGCACAATCACATCCATGTTCCGAAATGACAATTCGGGAGCATATTCACCACTTCCGAGCTTCAACGACCGCAACTCAGAAAAAGGATCATCGTCACCATCAGAATCATCATCGCAGTTCTCTTCAGCATACTCGGCATCATCAAGATGGCAAATCGACCCGCGCACAATTTCAGATGCAACACTAGGATTGAGCGATGGTTTGACTGTGCCCTTTGCCTTGACGTAAGTTGTCGTTTCTCGCCCCTCCACATTTGTAGAGATCATGCTAATGGTGTTACTTCTTCAGCGCCGGTCTAGCAGCTCTAGGTGATGCCAAAATTGTCGTGTTTGCTGGAATGGCAGAAATTCTCGCTGGCAGCATTTCCATGGGAATAGGTGGATATCTGGGAGCCAGTGGTGAAGCGTGAGTTTGTTTCTTGTCCTACTACAATCCTTGACAGTTCTAATGGCGGAACAGACAATCTGCAGCTACCACAAAAGCAAACACTATTGGGATGGTACACACATCGCCTGCAGAGGCAAGAGCAGCTGTAGTCTCAACGCTGGAGTGCTACGTTTCTGCAGCTCTGCTGGATGCTGTAGCCGATGACATTACTGCTAATCACGACAAAACCATCGCCTTTCTACTTGAACACCAGCATCGCTTTGATTCTGCGGATGTGTCACCACGGTTGTACACAAGTGCTGTGTGTATTGCTTTGGGCTACTTCTTCGGTGGCTTGATACCGTTGCTGCCTTATGTTTTATTTGACGATGGTGAAGTTGCTCTGATTTGTTCAGTGGTGGTTATGGTGTTTACACTATTCGGTTTTGGTGTAGGGAAGACTGCGCTGTTAGGAGAGAGGAGTTGGAAAATTAGGACATATGAAGGTCTTAAGATGGTTGGGCTGGGAGGTAGTGCGGCGGCGGCCAGTGTGCTTTGCGTGCGTCTTGTACATCAGTAGACTTTTTACGATATCACTTCCTTACGACTTCAGAGCTTTCCCTGTATTTGATAGAATCAAAATGAGATGGGTATCAAGATTACCTAGAATTAGCTAGGCAAGGACATTAAACGCCGACGGTAATGCAGTAAATATCTAGCTCTCAACAGCCTTGGCCTTAACACCGACAACAACACCCTCGTCGTTAAGCGTGACGATGTAGTATTCACAGCGAGTGCTACCATGAGCGACGCGGAACACTTGAACATCAGCCTTGCCGCTGCCAGACTTCTTGACAGCCTCAACAACTTCGGCATAGTGGTTCTTGACGTTCCAGTCCTTGACGCTGATCTCCTCGACCTCGCCAGAGTGGTTGATCAGGTCGGTGAACTTGTCTAGAGCATGTCAGTATGTGCTGGCCTTTACTTGATCTCTAGATGATCTAACCTTGACTGATGGAGTTTTGCTTTCCGTACTTGAGAGCCACAGGTTCGAATGGCTCATCAGTGTCGCTCTGGTAGAATGCATCGACATTCTTCAATGGCGCAGGAACAGCGGAATCTACAGCTTTCGTCTGTGCAAATCCACTGGTCTTGACTTCATTGCTCGAGCTGCCGGTGTCCTGGTTGGCCTTTTCCAAAAAGTTGGCGTATTCTTGGTCGGATGACATGTTGAGGCGTGGAGTTTGTGATAGGTTTTGATGAAGGTTGAAATTTGTTCTTGCTGTTCTGAGTTTGAGTGTCGGTCTTGATGTTTTGCCAAAAAGGTGAAGTGCTGTTCGTTGCATGTTTGTTGGCGCCTTGTGGTTTTCTTGGATACAAACAAGTGCCTGCCCCTCATAACCACTGACGTCAATCATGCATGCATAAAACAGCTGTGTCTAAGCACAAAACTCCATAAGTGTCGTGTGTTGCATGCAGCTGGACACAGTTTCGCTTGTTCATTCATATCCTTGCACCACTATCTATGTAGTTCACTATGTGTTTATATCGTGATACCCGCGAAGCCCCCCTCTGTCACATTTCATACATAACTGTGCACTAACGCCTCAGCAATTCAAAATCACCTGCATCTCCAAAACTCCACTCTCTATTCGCCCGCCAGGACTGCACAAAATTCACAACAACGAAATCATATCTCCAAATCTGTCAACAATCAGCTTTCTGATTTGTTTCTACTCTTATGTTCCTACAGGCGTTAGAACAGTAGCACCAATAGATGCTGTCAGTGGCACTAAACGCAGTGCAAGATCCAAAAGTCACAGAATCACAATATCAAATGACCATGCTGTGGTCTCAAAATTGAGCTCGAGCACTACACGTGACGGCCACAAGACTAACCGAATTAAGCTACACGCTCTGAGCACTGCAGAACAACGAGAAGGGCACAAGAGACACTTATGACAGGACATGCATGTATTTCATACAAAATTTGATGCTTCATTTCTGTCTTCTCAGACATCTTCCCCTACAACGACTACATCGTTCCTGACACTGTCGAGGTCCAGAGGTTTTGTGATCTTCTTGTCGACCTTTCTGCCTTCCACTCGATCGAGAAGGCTGCGCTCCCAGTCCTGCCATGCAGCCCAATCCTCTCTCTTCTTCTGAGCATGCCATTTGGCAGTTTGAGCGGCAGGACGCCATGCCAGTCTGTTCTTGGGCATGTTACCCAGAGAGACTGGTTTGGCATCGGTGACGAGCTTGATCATCTCGCTGAAAGCTGTTCTGCCTTCTGCTTGCAGAGTCTTCTGTCGCTGTGCTGATCTTGAAGGCTGTGCTACCAACGGTGCCTCTAGCCAGTCCAGATCTGCAGAGCCAGAAGTGACAGATTTGGGTACAGATTGCTGTTGGAGGTAACGAATGGCAGATTCCAAGCTGTCGATGCGGAGCTTGGCTCTATCGAGCTCCATCTTACTTGCTCCGCCCATCTCTGAAGCCATGGTGTTGCTGGCAGTGGGATCAGGTTTATTTTCCTCTGCTGACTTTCTCCACTCATCTCTCTCTTTACGCAATCTAGTAACCCGTTGCTCTGCTTCAGCCAGCGCGTTCTGGTGGTGACTCTTCTCCTTTTGCAAGGCAGTGATGGAGGTCTCGAGATCCGCAAGGGCAGAGGATCGTTTCGTAGCTTCTGCCATACGGGCTTCGAGCATCTCGATTCGAACACTCTGTTCTTCGAGCTCTTGCTCCTTTGAGCGGACGAGGAGAGAGCGTTCACGGACAATCTCTGTAAGGCGGGCGACCTCTGCTTCAGTGTCGACAGACGTGAGCTTAGTTGCGCGTAGAGTGGCGCTGCGAGTTACCCATGGCTCGACAGGACGCTCAAACTCTTGAGTATTCTCAAGATTAGCAGAGATATCGCTGAGCTCCTGGAGCTGAGCAGTCAGCGAGGCAAGGTATGTGGTCAATGTAGCAAAAGGCGTTGTCTCTGTAGAGCTGCTGCCAAAGATACTTGCTGACAGGCGGGTCAGAAGGAGCTCGGTTTCACCCAATGTGATGGACTCCTCACGGCCTTCTTCGCCGAAGAGACTCTGAACCTTCTCACCAGCGCGGCGTCCGAAGACAGCAAGCTTAGAAGTCAAGCTCTCTGCGGAGATGAAGAGTTCAAGGTGTGGAGAACCAAGCGCCAGCGAGCGTGATTGCAGGTCTGTAACGTTGCGATGCGTCTTGTTCACGACGACACGAGCACTTCTGATTGTGGAGATGATGGTGTCCAGGTGTATGAACAGGTTAGGTTCTTCAGACTCGCTGCCCTCGGATTGGGGGACTGGAATCTGGCTCTGCACCAAGGACCTGCACATTCCCAGGGCTGACGAAGTGCTGTCCAAGTGGCTCTGGATCAGTGAGGCCTGCATAAGCATATCATTGGCAGACGCAGCAAGCGACTCCTTGATGTGAATCGACGCCAGATGAGACATGACTGCCATTGACCTCTGCAGCTCTTCGTCTACCCTGCCCTCTTTCATATCGTCACGCTTGATTGCGTCGATATAGGTGTTCAAGGCTCTTTCGACTGGTTCAAGCTCATACAAAGCGCTCTCATAACGTGCAAATTCATCGACAGAGCAGCTGCGGATGCCGTTGATGAATCGCTCGCTCATCTCAGCAATCCATGTGAGTCTATCAAGCACACTGTAGGCAGCGAAGATGTCCTCATCTGCAATCTTGGTGCCCTGTCCGTTCAGACGCTCCTTCACAAGACTGTTGAGCAGACGAGACTTGAAGCCTACACGTTTGAAACGTAGCAAGGCCAGGATCGAATCACGCTCTGCGTTAAATGCATCAGGCAAGAACAGCTGTACGATGGCCAGGTGCTCTGCTGCTTCCTCAGCCTCAAGACGTCTCAGCTCGAGATCGATAGTCTTGATCTGAGTCTTGGCAGCAGACATTTGTAGCTTCATGTTGAGGTCCATCATGGCACGGCTTCGACTCGACAATTCTTCTGCCTCCGTCTCTGTGATCTGGCGCGAGGCACGCATATCTTCCAGGTCGGCCTGCAGATTGGTGACCAGCTCACGGAACCGTGAAATTGTGTACTCGCAGTCTTCTATAGCTTGCTGTTGCTGTGCAGAACGACGGGACTGTTCACCAATGATGTTGTCCTTGAAGTCGATCTCTTCTTGCATCTGCTTTTCAGCTTCAACGTGATTGATCTCGAGTTCATCGTTGAGCTCCTTGAGATTTTCGAGATCTTCGATGACTAATTCCAAGTCGTCGATCTTCTCCTGCATGGCCATGTTTCGTTCGGTCAGCTCTTCGATCATGTCTTCAGCACCCATGGCAGCATCAAGCTGTTGGCGGATATCGTCAAGATCGGCCTCAGTTGCGAGAAGCTTCTCCCTGGTCTCCTCGTAGTTTGTTTTCAGGAGACCAAAGTCGTTGACCTCGTCTTCAAGACTAGCAATTTGGGCCTTGAGGTCAGCTTCCTGTTCCTGTGTCATGTCACGCAATCTCAAGAGAGCTTCCCTGAGTCTTTCGTTGGAGCGTTCCAACTGAAGCCAGCCTTGACTTGTGCGCTCTTCAGGGTTCATCTCTCTGCCTAGTTCTTCGTTCTCCTCCTTGAGAATGTCCAGCTCGAGGCGCATTTCCTCGTTGCTAGTACGCAAGACCTCGAGCTCAGACTTGAGTGATTCAGCCGTCTCCTCGGCCATTTCACGATCAAGAGTGGCCATTTCAACAACAGCGTCATGTTCAGCTTGGATAGCCTCAATATCGATTAGACGAGATTCCGAGTCCTTGAGTTGATTTCGCAAGTCGTTCAGTTCATGCGACTGAGCCTGCATCTTGGACTGCATCTTCTGGACAATGTTTGCGTACTTGTCGCGCTCTTGTTCGACATTCTGCATCTTTTTCAAAGCATCGCGATCCTCTTGACGCTTGCGTTCCATGATCTTCATCTTGGTCTGTAGATCCTCAACTTCGCGGGCGGTAGTCTTGGCTGGACGTGCTGAGGTATGCGAAGCAGCGGGCGAAGTAGCAGGCTTCGAGGAGGGAGCAAATGATTGCGGAGCATCTTGATCATCTTCTGCGTCTTGAGTATTCTGAGAGTCGTCTGTTGGAGCGGCAGAAGGTGAAGGTTTTGGTGAAGGAGAGTCTTGAGATTGTGGTTGCTTCGGTACGGTAGAGGTACGCCTCGCGGCAGGGGTCTGTTTTGCGGCAATGGAGGATTGTCTGGCGGCCGGAGTGAGGCCTCTGGTGGTGGAGATTGTGCGGGTGGTCAAGCGGGAGGAAGCAGGTGCAGTAGTCGAGGCAGAATTGCGCGGAGTCTGAGCCGTGGCAGTCGAGTTGGATGGAGGCACAGTAGAGGTCCTCCTTGCGGCAGCGGACAGGGTAGAAGGACCGGACAGGTTCGAGGCGGCGCGCGGTTTGGCAGTAGCTGTTGCAGTGGCTGTGGACAAAGGTCGACGAGCGGTATTAGCAGCGGTGGGAGGAGTGGGATTCCGGGTGTGTTGAGCAGTTGAAGGTGTAGCAGTGCGAGTGATCTTTGTAGGAGACTTGGTAGGTGAAGGCAGGGCAGAGGCAGCTTTGGCCGTGTCGAGAGCTGGTGGAAGGCTGATGCTCGTGGGTCTCGTCGACGGGCGACTCAGGATACGACTGACTCCTGCAGCGCGTAAGAACATGCCATAGTTGGGCTCGCAATCAAAGTAGCGGTCGCCCTTGACCGAGCCGTCATTCTTTCCAGTAGCCTCGTCGAGCTCTACACCGACCCATTCTCCTGGCGCAAACCCCGTTGATCCAAGGAAGCGCACAACTGCGTGTCGCCCATCGTTGAGCTCGATCGTCTGTCCCACGCCCAGCGCCAGACTTGCCATTGTTGTTTGGCTCTCTCAATCGCTCATGTCAGAGAGTTTGGAGAGTTGGACCATGTCTTGAAACACGTCCCTGTCCATGTTGCGATCGACGCCATCTCCGACGCGCCAAAATAACACACTTGCACCACTACAACAACAACAATACACCTGACCTTCATATGCCAAGAGAGAGAAAGACTTTATATCATCTTCTCTACTTCATTACCACTATGCGACACTCTGGACTGCCCGCGTCCTCGCTGCCACGTCCTCAGCCTTTGTTCGGCCTAGACCATCCTTTCCATAAAAGTCCATCGGATATACCTTCTTATCTCCTTCCCATCCCTCTCGCTCACCCAACACCACCAATGCCTCGTACGGCGTCAACAACGGCCGTGGGAAGGCATATCCCCAATCAATGCTCAATCTAGGGCATGCCACCTGCACCCAGCACTCAACGTCGTCCATCATGCCCAGCTTGCCCGGGAAGATTTCGCTCAGCAGCAGGTTCACCCATGGTATGCCCTTCTCTTGCAACCGTTGTTCAATCATCGTCATTGTATGCGGGTTTCCTTGTCTTCCGAGCGATCCCAGGATCAGCCCCCATTTCTTTGCTTTTCCTGCCGATCTGATAGCATCACTTCGGAGAGACATCATCTGCTCGTGGTCGTATGTCTCGTGCGTTAACCTCCTTGAGTAGGGATCGTATCGGTATGCTGGTATCGTCGGGTTGTGGATCATGGCGCTCTCCAGGTGGAAGCGTCCGTCTCCCAGATATAGAATCGAGTCGATCTTGTCTTCGTCCTTGAGCGCTGGGCTTGTGCAACCAAGAATCTCGCCTTTGCTCAGCGGCGCAATCTGCGGTATCACCACGTCGTAGCCCGCGTTCCGTAGCTGTGGTGCCGTTCCGTGCAGTGTCGCGTTGAACTGGATTGTGCCAACCATAGCAATCCTGGAACCCACTTTGAAATTGCGCTCGATCGTTGCCAGAAGATGTGAGACGTCTATGCCAATGTCGACAAAGACGTACAAGGTCTGGATCTGCGTCACGCTGACAGGGATCAAACAACTGTGGGCATAGTGTACCAGCATGTCACATCCCAGAGCGCGCGCCGTGTAATCGTCTATGCAGCATGCGCCATATGTCACGTCTCCCATGATCAAGGTACTTGTATCCTGGCAGAAGCGCGTGATGATGTCTGAGATGGTTGTCGCAAACAGAAGCAATCCTTCGGGGAACTGCAAAGCAATCTTCTTGGCTCCGGCGGTGCGAACTTTGTGGATGGTCTTGTGTATTTCGAAGTTGTAGTTTGAGGGAAGAAGCGAAATGGCAGCGTTGATGTCTTGATCGTTCAGGATCTCGGGAGGAACTTGGTTCAAGGCACGGGCACTCCTTCGAGGTGCAGCGACTGTACTTGTCTGTCAGTGGACTAAGTTGATATGAGGAGTGAAAATAAGTGCAAACCTTGAATCGCACCACTGTCTTCGATTCCAGCATTTGTGTCGCCTTTGGCCGCAGCCTTCTCTGCGGCAGCCCTACGTCCGATGAATCGCTTCTTGGGCTGTTTAGACACAGCTATAGCCTCGCCATCGAGTTCCGGAGTAGAAACATCTGCTTGTTGTCGGTCTTGCTCCATTTTTGGTGTGATGGAAAACTTGACCAGCAGCCAAAAAATATCATGATTACCACCTCTAATAACTTACCGCCTACACGGCGTCGGCCACCGAAACGCCGCCCGAGAGTCGGCCTTGGCTCCCGCCCTGCCGCCCCCGCTCTATCTCCACACCACCCGAGGCATCACTCCATCTTTGTGGCCCTTGGATGCTGTTGATTGGTACAAACAAGACCTGCATTCTTATTGTTTGGAGGCTTCAAATCGATCTAACCTCTACTCATAACAAGTCTGCTTCGCTACTACCAAAATGTCTGGATTCATACGTCCTCTGAGAGATTCGAGGATACCTAGGGCACTGAGCAGACGGTGCTTCTCTGTAACGTCCAAAAGGCCTGCAGACCACGTTAGGATTGTTGAAGTTGGGCCACGAGATGGTCTTCAAAACGAAAAGTCCTCCATCTCACCCGAGACTAAAATTGACCTGGTCAGAAGACTTGCTGCTACTGGACTCAAGACCATTGAAGCTGGCTCGTTTGTTCATCCCAAATGGACACCACAAGTAAGTCAAGTCAGTCTCTGATATGCCATGAATGGTGACTGATTCTCAGCAGATGGCCAGCTCGGACAAAGTCTTGCAGAACATTCTGCAAAATCCTCCTCAGATAACTGAACCCATCACTTACCAATGGTTGTTGCCCAACATGAAAGGTCTTGATAACTTCTTCTCCATCCAAGCCCAAAACTCCGCTCACGGACGCTCTTCTTATCCAACACCTCCCTCATCTCCTATGCATGATTCAGGTCCTGCCCAGAACACTTCTACACAGAACCCAAATGACATGCCTTCTGCAACTTCTGGTGCCGCTGCCATGGTCTCAAGTTCGAGCTCTGATCAACCAGAACATGAAGTCTCAATCTTCCTTGCGGCTACCGAGTCTTTCTCTCAGAAGAACACAAATTGCAGCATTGCTGAATCCCTCGAGAAATTCCAGCCTTTGATTACCGCTGCCAGAGATAAAGGCTTTGGCGTGCGTGCTTATATCTCCGTTGCCTTGGGTTGTCCATTTGAGGGACCTGATGTCGATCCTCACAAGGTCGCAGAACTGGCTGCTAGCCTTCTCGAGATGGGAGCAGATGAGATATCAGTAGCAGACACCACGGGGATGGGCACGGCACCTCGCACAAGAGAGCTCTTGCGTACCCTTACCGCCGCGGGTATTCGGAATGACGACCTAGCTCTACATTTCCACGACACATTTGGTCAAGCAATAGTCAACACTCTTGTTGGATTGGAGCATGGTGTCCGAACCTTTGATTCTGCTGTTGGTGGTCTAGGTGGCTGTCCCTACTCGCCTGGCGCAACCGGAAACGTCGCCACAGAGGATTTGGTGTATACCCTCGAAAGTCTCGGAGTCAACACTGGTATTGATCTGGCTGAGATTAGCAGAATCGGTGACTGGATCACTAGCGAGATTGGCAAGCCAAATGAAAGCCGCGCAGGTAAAGCAACCCTCGCTAAGTTGAGACGGGAAGCCGTGTAGGAAGATGCGACATCAGTCATATACATATAACTGCAAGAAAGCACACGTTCTGGTTGAAGTCGATTGCAGACCTTGTGGAATTGTTCCCAGTAATGGCTGTTGAGCGACACCACCTATTGCAAACAATTTTAGCTACACCTAATATCTCTTTTTGATCATGATAGGCATGTAACCATAACATGAAACACGTTGGTGCAGAAGGCCCGGAATACTGGGCTTGCATTAATCTGCATGCAGGCGACATGCAGACGACTGCAACGTGAGATTCGGGGACACCAGAAGCCGTCAGCAGGTACCAAACATGTGTCGCTGCCCGATAAGTTGGGCAAAGCACGACGCAATGACCAGCATTCGACAAGCTGCTGTTGGCACAGACAGATCCAAATACTTTGACATTCCCAAATCGTGGTTGTTGAAGCTGATATTCAGACCACCGATGCCACTGACCAAGCAAACATTGAGGGAAGCTTGACATGGAACAGGAACGCCATTTCAGGAACAAGCTTTTTTGCAACATCGCACAGTGGATCCATGAAGGCGTAATGTCCCGTTTAGTACTTTGAGTGCAACATCAGCTGAACTCGACCCGTGTCACTTCCAAGGATGGGCATGAGCTGGCCGGACATCTGACTGTCGATCACACTGTGTGACGAGCCCTTGGAGCTGCTCGGAGGGTGTCAAGATGCGGAGACATCTAGCGATGTGTCGCCAAAGCCAGGCACGCCATCAAGCGGCAGGCGGCCTGGCGAGTTGGATCCACACTACTCAACCCAAAAGCACGTGGCCCGAACCTAGCCACTTTTTGCCGTGGACAAAGGTTAACCACATAACCACAGCGAAGACCCCCAAAGACATTCGAATCCGCCCGTGGCTTGCCGTGGCGCGCCTAATGGTTCGTAAATTCCGTTGCATCTGGTCCGGTACATATCTAGTCATAACGTCTTCACCAGCTTACCGCTACCTATTGCAGCAGCGAGCCGACGGCTCTGAGCCAACAAACTCCTGTACACGGAAGCGTTATTGTTGGAACGTTCTGTACGAGTCTGTTTGATTGAGTGGGGAGATGATTATGCAGGAAACCGGCGGCCGGTAGAGACCAAGATAGCCGAATAAATGAATTATCGACAGGCTCGACGGAATGGCGCATCTACCTGCAGATGTACAGCGGGCCGGGTTGCTTGCACGGTGTGCATGATTGCATAGGTAATGTCCCCAGCACAGCGATCATGTACGCCGAAGGATTCGACGTGGCTGGATAATAGCTAATCACGAGATTGAGATTCGATGGCCGAATCGTTGCGGTGTAAAGGCGGTTTGGGCGCAACATGGCGCACTGCCAAGGTTAACGGACGTGCAGACATCATCACTCTTCTCTCCTGAGTTTGTTTTCCCCACGAAGTCAATCAACGCTCGCAAAAGCCTCGGGCATTCCACGACGGAAAGGATGGAACTTTGGAGTATGGATGCCGAGTGATACCGCTCTCAGCTGAAGCTTGTCCAAGGCTGACACGCATCAACGCAAGGGAAATGGCTGTATTCAGGCCTTACCCAAGGAGGCAGGCTGTTGCAGTCAAACATGTATAGCCGGCGTGGGGGCCAGAATGGTGGAATGCTCCAAGCTCGATGGGCATCTGCAAGCGTTGATCACTGCAGAATGGCAACGGTTGTCAACAGATGCAGGTAGGTTATTTCGATCGGTCGCTTCGTTCAATGCTTGGCTCGGGCAGCCCCCCCATCATTTGCATCCTCCACACATGCTAGTTCCGCGACAGGGGCTGATCTTCTGGCTCCACCATGGCTCAATCAAAAACAGTTGCGCCAAGGCACATGTAGGTGTGCGGCGCCTTTCAGGAAATCTGGGTTAGGGTTCTGTCAGAAGCGTCGTCTATCCGACTGCTGCCATTTCCCCTCTCGATTTTCTTCTCTTCCCTCTTCCCTCTTGTCGCCTGTTTCGTCGCGTGTATCCCGTGTGCACCTTGCGAGACCTGCCCGCTACCATCCACCATCCACCACGGTCATCAAAGACCTCTTCTTTTTTTATACCACACCCCACCTTCATTTCTGTTCGCTTGGCATCCTGGCTGTCTGCGCGCGTCTCGCGTAACCACAAGTAAGTCTTCTTTGCCCGCGCCTATACCGCAATGACGCGCGCCTGAGTCCTATAAAGCTTCCCATACTGACAGAGCCCAGCACTCCTCCTTAGTCTTTCATGATGGCTTCCCAGACATCCCCAACGACGGCGATGCATCCGCATCATGTTGTTCAGCAGGGTCGAGGCCAGCCCAATGGCCATGTTGCCTTGCAGCCTCCGCACCCAGCAAAGCCAGCATCGCATTATCTTCAGCAGGCAAACGAGGGTATTTGGTTGCAGCTTGGTACGTTTTGTCTTCTGTTGCTTGTGAAACGCGTCTACTAACACGACCTAGGAAGTGTCTCGGAGATGATGGGCGAGTACGATAGCGCGACGCAAGCATATGAACGCGCTCTCAGCTTCAACAACCATTCGGTTCAGGCCATGCTTGCTATCTCATGCATCCTTCGCTCCAAGGACCAATTCCCAGCTGCTGTCGAGTATCTTAAGCAGATTCTCCGCATCGAAGTTGCGAATGGAGAGGTCTGGAGCGCTCTTGGTACGCGACTTGGTTCCGACAACTTTCTGCGCCAGAGCTAACGATATTCCAGGCCACTGCTATCTTATGATGGACGACCTTCAACAAGCGTACTCGGCATACCAGCAAGCCCTGTATCACTTGCCTGATCCCAAGGTTTGTCCACCCCTCCTTAGTCAATGTCGTCGCTCTCACCAATATTAAATACCCGGCAGGAACCCAAGCTCTGGTATGGTATCGGTATCCTCTACGATCGCTATGGCTCGCTCGAACACGCCGAGGAAGCCTTCTCCCAAGTCATGCGCATGGACCCGCGCTTCGAGAAAGCCAACGAGATATACTTCCGCCTTGGTATAATATACAAACAACAGCAAAAGTTCCAGCAGAGTCTGGAGGTATGTCGCTTCCCTTGCCATCCGCAACTGCCGTTTGACTGACCATATCGCAGTGCTTTAAATACATTGTGACCGACCCTCCTCGACCTCTTAGCGAAGAGGACATCTGGTTCCAGATTGGTCATGTGTACGAGCAGCAGAAAGAGGTAAGGTCAACAACTTCTGGGAGTCTTCAGCACATGACTAATACACAATTTAGTACGACTCGGCCAAGAGCGCTTACATGCGCGTCCTTGATCGCGATCCCAACCACGCCAAGGTTCTACAACAACTCGGATGGCTGCACCACCAGCAAAGCACCAGCTTCAGCAGCCAAGAGCAGGCCATCGAATACTTAGAAAAGTCGGTCAACTCTGACCAGACCGATGCCCAAAGCTGGTACCTCCTTGGTCGCTGCTACATGTCGCAGCAGAAATACCCCAAAGCATACGAGGCTTATCAGCAAGCCGTCTATCGTGACGGTCGCAACCCTACATTCTGGTGCTCGATTGGTGTCTTGTATTATCAGATCAACCAGTACCGCGATGCTCTCGATGCTTACTCAAGGGCTATCCGCCTCAACCCTAACATCTCCGAAGTTTGGTACGATCTCGGCACCCTGTACGAGTCTTGCAACAACCAGACCAACGACGCTCTTGACGCTTACTCTAGAGCCGCTGAGCTCGACCCGACCAATGTGCACATCAAGGCCCGTCTTGCCCTGCTCAAGGGCCAGCCTACCAACGGTCTTCCCAACCAAGCAGGCGCTCCGCTCCCTCAAGATGTACCTCCTCAAGCATACCAGCCAGGCGCTTTGGGTGCTGGCCCCCCTGCTCCTCAATGGGGAGCACCTCCTCCGGGTCAAGCCCAAGCTGCCCAACAGCCTCCTCCAGGCGCAGACTGGTCCCGTAACAACCGTCTTGCCGACCTCCAGAACCCCCAAAACCCTGGATCTCAGCCCCAAATGCTGAACCCATACGACTCGAGGGATCGCCTTGCTCAGCACGTCCCTCCTCGCCAGCCTACGCCTCCCAAGCAAGAGCCCAGGCAATACCAGGAGCAGCCTCAGCCTCAGCGTCCTCCTCCTCCTGCCCACAGAGGTCTGTCACCTTCGCCCAAGGTGCTTTATAATGCTCCAGGACCTGGTGCTTACCCTCCTGCACCTCAAGCCCAGACTCCTTCCCAGCTTCCTCAACCACTTCCGCAGCAGGGATCGGCTCCACCCAACCGCATCGCTAACCCCAACTATGGCCCACAATCGTCTAGTGTACCTCCTCCAGCTGCAAGCATGGGTGCACCTCCACCGGCTCAGGGGCAAGCTCCTGGCTACCCCAACAGGATGGCTAGCCCTCCTGAGATCCGTCCAATCATCGAGAACCAAAACACTTCTCCTAACGGCAAATTTGGACGTCAGCCTTTTGAGCATCACCCTACATCTGGCACGCCTAGCATTGCTGGAGGTGCTCCTCCACCTAATGCAGCTTTGCAGGCAGCTGAGGCAGCAGCTAGGGAGCGCGAAGATCGTCCTTCGACCGCTCCTCCCAAAAGACATAGAGAATGGGAAGATGATGCCTCTAGCATGAGCTCCCAGAAGAAGCCCGCCAACGAAGAGAGCCGTTCGCGTCTTGAGGATCCTAGCAGCAGACGTGCTTCGCCACCAGACCGTATGGACCGTCTGCCCAAGTCGCCATACCGAAGCCCGTCAGAGGTACGACGCGCAGATGATCAGCGCCGTGCCACTGAGAACTACCACCCTTCCGAAGCCGCTCACCACTCACCGGCCCTTGGACCACCATCTCAGGTCAACCCTCAACCCTCTCCACGCATTGGAGCAACAGAGGAGCGCAAGGAGCAGCCTACACCTGTACCCTCTGCCCAACAGCTCCCTCCACCTCCTCAGCCCCAAACACAGCCTCCTACCCAGGCTCCTACGCCTGTGCAATCTCAGGCTCCACCACAACCTCCGCCTCAGCCTCAGCCCCAACAGCCTCACTTGGAGCCAGCGGCCCGCAAGATGGATATGGATGAGGATTACGATGATAGTGGTGACGAAGAGAAGAGGCCCGTCAAGCCCCAAAGCGAAAGAAATAGCCCCAAGGCAAGCAATGGCGCTGGCCATGATTGATGAAGCATTTACAGAAGTGGTATAAAGTGGGCTAAACCTTCTATGTAAAAAGTATTATCCATTCGTATGTCAGATTCTTTTGTTGATATTGACAACCTTACATGGATGTTTTCATTTGTGACCGCTCGTGGCTTTTGTTGCTCCTATGTAGGTAGATAACTCATGCTTTGGCTCAAGTCTCGTCTGATCTGAATTACGCGAGGCCTCTTTTCTGCTAATCGCATTGTGGATCGCTACCCTTTGGCGGTTCGTTGCGTCTGCAGAGAGATGCGCCTGTTGGAGCTGATCTAGGATGTGATACCTCGGTCCACGACATTCACATGGCGCAAGATGGTTCTGTTAACAACGCATGCGGCTTAAAGATAAGCTCGATTGTCGCTGCCTGTACTCCATATTGAGGAGGAAAAGCAAAAATATCATGTTTTCGTTGTGCAGGCAGCTGAATAAATGTCCACCAATGGCAGACGCTACATTGCGGATGCCTTGTACACGGCGTTATCTGAAAACAGTCGTCGGCAGGAGCGCAGCTCCGAAAAGAAAGTCCCAAGAAGGTAGGTGGATAAATACTGTACTACGCTACGTCTCCCTGAAGTACCTGTTTGCAATTCGCATTTCCAACAGGGGTTTCTTGCCCAGCATTGCCGCGATTGCTTTTGTGTGCATTATGACTGCCGGATCTTCGAAAGACTCAATTGACGTGGTGGAGGTCGAGCGACCATCACAAGCAACTACCAAGCTACCCGACGTCTACGAAACAGAAGTCACGCCTCTTTTGGGACAGAATACCGCACCACAAAATGAAACGATAACCGAAGATGGCAAACGCCAAATGAGCTCCCGCGCCATTTTGATTATAATGGGAGTTTTAATTCTGATCATCCAATGTGCCGATCAATTTGCAGAGGCACCATTGACGAGAATCTTTGAGTCAATTTACTGCTATCAATACTGGGAGCGTGAAGACCCAACCAAGATCTTAATACCTAGGCCAGCTATAGGACCAGGTGCACTTGGTGGCGTGGAAGAACAATGGTGCAAGGTAGCCGAAGTACAGGGAAAAGTGGCTATGCTGAAAGGCACTCAGCAATTTCTTGAATGCATTCCAAGTATGAGAATGTCCGAGTTTGAGATTCGACTCAATGTTGACACAATACAGGTCTCGTTCTATCAATTCCAATTGGTATTTTGGCAGACCGATGGGGTAGAAGACCGATTATGGTGATTGGTCTATGCGGCTTCCCTCTCAGAATAGGATGGCAACTCTTTGTGTGTAAGTCGAGCTTGCATTTGTGAACAGCTATGACCGCAAGCAGATTTAGATGTCTTACTGACCTTCGGACAGGTTGGTTCTGGCAGAGTTTGAACCTACGAGTCTCTTGGTTCTCAGCGTTGCATGCCCTTATACTGGGAGGCTCACCAGTCATAACAGCTGTTGCTTTTGTTGTCGTCTCCGATGTTACGAACCAGGAATCCAGATCCGCCGTCTTTCTACGCATCTACTCCGCCAACCTAACCAGTAATCTTCTTTGTCCACCTGTAGTGGCTTGGATTATGACGCGTAATCCTCTGGTGGCAGTGTTCATCGGTATAGGATGTTTTTGCATTGGAGTTCCATTATCTCTTCTGATTCCGGAGACACTGGGATACCAGCAAGCTGTCAAGCCTGAAGAAGAACGTAGTGACGAGGAAGAGTCAACATCATCACCGAAGAACCAAATCAAGAGCTTCCTGGAGCAATGCTACAAGCCTCTGGTCGGTTCCACCAAATACTTCTTGCACGACAAACGGGTTGTCCTTTTGATCATCACCTTCGTCCCTATCATGTTGACGGTCACCATCGTGCCCTTGCTCCTGCAGTATGCAAGTTCACGTTACGGCATGAGCTTCGCCAGTGTAACAATGCTGCTGACAGTTCGAGCCGGAGTGACCATCGCCACGTTCTTGTTTGTGCAGTCATGGGTCTACAAGCTTCTTGCCAATGCTGGTGTGAGCGGACAGAAGAGAGACCTCCTCCTTACTCGAGGAAGTGCTGGTCTGATGCTTGTCGGTTGGGCGGCCGTAGGCTTCTCATCCAATGCCATCGTTTTCACTGCATCATTGATGGTTGCAACCATGGGAAATGGTTTCCCAGTCTTCCTCCGCTCCTTCTTAACTGGCTTGGTCGAGCCGAACAGAGTTGCAGAGTTGTACACAGTTATTGGAGTCGTCGACACTCTAGGCTTGATGATCGGCGGACCACTGCTTGCTTGGCTGTTCCAGAGAGGCATGCAGCTGGGAGGTTTGTTCGTGGGGCTACCTTTCGTCGTGTTGGGTCTGATCTACGCTATATTGACGTCGTTCCTGCTGAGAATCGGTCATCACAAGCGCAAGGTCATGGTGGAGGAAGACATCGAGTAGTTCTTCGAGGTAAGGTGGACGATGAAAACAAGATTGTTCCGTGCAATCATTACCAAGTCATGAGAGTATAACTTCTTGAGACGTTGTAAATCTATGGCGGCTCATCACTGGGGGCAAGAGAAAGTATGAGATAATACATATAGCTATAGAAATGCATAATAGCAACAGGAAACAAGGCGGTATCCACTGAGAGGAATCAAGATGTCAACTCTCCGTGGACATGTCTCTGCTTCCTGAAATTATTGTGCCTGGGCACAACCTACATTCTGCTGTTAGAGACGAAATGATAAATTGGAAACTACTGCCCCGGTGGGGAGTCATCGATGGTTCGCGTGTTGTAGAGGAGAAGCGATCAGACGAAGGGCCAGAGAAGTGTCCCCTGCAAGCATTATGCCAAGCATGTAAAGAAGCAAAGCAATCTTTTGTCATAAATCAATGGTGAAAGGGACTCTTGGGGTGCATCAGGAGAGGTATTGATCTTCAATGCATATGATCAAGCCTCGCTTTGGTGCCAATGTAAATTGCCATGCTGTCGACGGTTCTAATTCCCGCACCAACCAGGTGGCAGGGGTGGGATCAACAGTATAGCTAGCGATCTTTGTGCTCTTCTTGGGAAGGTGCTGGAATCTTTCTGGTGCTAAATAGCACCTGTAGGAGATCGCTGCTCTTGGAAATGAACCGAGCTGCTGGCCTGACAAGGAATATGTTGGTTTATCCTTAACCAGACAGCTATTTGGGATGAACGACGACGTGCACTATCTTCAAGAGCTGAGTACCTTGCCATCATACGGCAAGCCGAAATTCAAACAGCCAGTTCAGTCCACCAACAGGACCAATGTGCTCCACGAAGGCTACTCATATGGCACGAGGGCTTTGTTTCTCGTACTAACGAGAACCGCAAGTTCAAAGAGGAACAGAAGGCTACCTGGCGAGCGGCCACCGGAAGATGGTTATACCTCTGTGCGAAACGTGAGGCTACTGAGCTTTACTTCTTGCGTATGCTAAGAGATGTGGAAGATGAATAGGGCGACGGAGACTGTCGCCGCTGTGAAAGCCACTGGATCTCATACGGTTGCTACTCGACTCCAGAAGAACCTTAGCGTCTGATCGAGAAGAGTGAACTGATCGCCAGCTATGCCGGCAATTTTCCACCACCTGGCCACTGTGTGAATGAGCATTTTCGGCAGATAATTTAGCACTGAGCCTCTGCTTTCTGAAAGAGTTGTGCCTTTCTACAGTCTACAGTCTATCCTTAACTATAGTCGGAGTACTTGCAGACTTCAATATGCAGGAAGGCTTGCGGCAGAGCGAAACACTAAAAACGACTTCTCCAGCAGGAATTCATCGCTGATCAGCGTGGTATAAGGAAAAACGCAGAGAAAAGGCCAGAGAGTTATTTCGGGCATGTGTAAAGCAATCAAAAAGCAAACCATCCCTTTTTGTGAACCACTAGGGAAAGAGAATCGTGAAGTGCGTCAGGAGAGGTAGTGGGCTGTAGAGATCTCTTACCTCCCCTTGGAGTAAGGCGGACCTTGTTGTTGTTGCTATCCCTCGCGAATGCTTTCTGTCCATGGGCGGATAATTAAGAAACCGTTTCTGGGATCTCTGCCTGAAAGTCTGTCTGGCTATCGTCCGTTGCTCTGTAAAACTTCGAGCACTCGTTGCAGACGTGTGCCTTCTTCGACTCCGCCCAAGCCTATCTCTGTGCGGTGGTTTCCTTGCACATGTCACTGGCGTACTGACCTCCGTTCTTGGGTGACGTGCGCTTGGGTCTTTGGCGTATACGCAGCTCATGCGGCAGATATACCCGGGTGATGGACATCGATAAACAGTCTGGCGACCTTCTTTCTGCTCGTAGTGTGGTTCTATCTGAGCGATCATGTGGTCACCGCTGCAAATGATCAGGTCATAAACCTTGAAGTGCAACAGGTCTGGCACTCTACTAGCAGTGACGATAACCTTGGCAGATACGGTCGTAATGACGTTCAGAAGCCTTATGCAGGCCTTTGAAGACCTTTTTACCATACCTGAGATAAGGCTATGCATACTTCAAATCTCTCGAGCTGATTATTTCGGAGATCAGTGCGTGCTAGAAACGGGCAGAAACGTAGTTAGCAACAAGGAACTTCTGATTGTTGTCGATCTTGATACCAAGAAGACGCAAACAGCAGTTGGTAGGATCCATCGTCTCACCAAGTTCTAAATAGGTCATCCTGATTATTGCAAAGTGGAGACATATCATATGTCCGGCACTTCCGAGTCTGCTATACTGAACGTGGCACGACGGAGGCAAGGTACCTATTGAGACATCATAAATAGCATGCAAGGCTCTGTTGAGCTCCGCCATAACCATGTTGCATCCATTGTCTCTAATTGCAAAACCGTGGTCGTCGATGTATGTGGCAGGAATGGAGTGAACGTCGGCATTATCAAGACGTTTTTCTTTTTTTGCCTTTTCGGCAAAAGCCGATGTTGGATGAAGAGTGGATGAAGCTCTTCGCTGACACGTAGTTGGTTGATGACATGTTGGATACTTGCGCCGACTAGAGCAGTATCAGAATTGTCTGTTTATAATTAAGGTCATGTATGATACACGAACACTCTTCGGGACCAATGGAAGGAGCTGGAGTGACTGTAAGCTGAGGCAGAGGGCCACAAAGCATGTCATTCTCTAAGAGCTTGACTTCTTCCTCTAAAATCTGTTCTATTGCACAGTCTGGATTGCAGAAATGCACGTTACTTTCACAAAGAACGTGGTATCCACAGAGAGAACCCATCGAGGCTATCTCAGTGGCCAGACCCACTTTTTGATTGCAACTGTGCATTTTGATAGCTTGTGACACTCGCCATGTTAGAGAAGGGATTGTTGCAAGATTGTGATTATCTTGAGTACCTTGGGAGGTACAATGGTCGCCCTCGCGTAGCGCTAACTCAAACCGACGATTCCACGGCTCTGCAAGAGCTTCGTTTGTCCCGAATTAACGATGTGCTTGTTTTCCTCGATGTAGGTTAACAGGTAGTTGATGACCGTGACGAGAGCAACTGTCGTGCGATTCATTTCCTGATGATGACTTTGATTCGCTGTCAAGTGGTTGTTGATATTGTCGACGACCCGATATGTAGGCTTGCCGCTTCTAGCGCTGTGGACTGTCTCATTATAGCTGTAGAACTGCACGATACTTTCGTGATGAACGTGGCCTCCAGAGAGATGACCTCGTTCAACGCTGTCTCAGTGGCCAAGCTCGTTTTCGGATTACAACTGTGCTTTTCGATAGCTTGCAACATTCCCTGTGTTGGAGCGGGGATAGTAGCAAGATTGTGATTGTTCGAGTACCCGGGCTGGCGGGGTTCCTTCGGGGCACTTGGTGTGATATCGCCTTTGTAAAATCTGCTTTGTGATTCTATACTTCTTGATGCGATGCAGAAGGGTGGTGTGAATATAGGTCATTGTTCAGGAAGGAGACGAGGCAACAAGAAGCGTGATGACGGTAGGAAGTCGCTTACAGATGACGCTGGCGTTGTGCCTTCCTCCCTCCTCACGATACCAACAAGTCGGCAAACAACGCGAGGGAAAACGATACGAGCCAGCATGTAGAAGACCTAGACAATTGAAAACACTGGATTTTAATTCTACATACGAACAACCAACTACTTCATCGCCTCAGTGAGCACTTTTGGAGCAGGGTAATGCTTCAACCCATAGACAAGCCACCAAAAAGTGACAATGACCAAGACACCAACCAAAATGACCGAGTTGTAGTTCATCAAATCAGCCGTTACTGGCAGTGCATAGGGGAAGCAGAACATGATGTTGAAGAAAACGATCAACACACAGCCAAGGGCGTTCACCACGAAGCCATACCTCCCCATCCAGAAATCGCCCTTAGGAGTGTACTTCCGGCCACTGATGAGGTGAGGGAAGATGGCTAAAAGGTACGAGAAGGCGCAAAGCACGATGAAGCTTCCTACTAAATCATTGAAACCGGTGCCAGAACCGAGAATAATGGCACCAAGAGCCGTGACAAGTAAGCCCACGAAGATAGTAGCAGGAATTGGACAGGAGAGCTGCTCGTTGACCGAAGAGAAGAAGCCTCCGAAAGGTGTAGCTTGATCACGGGCGAGTGCCCACCAGGTGCGACCAAGCGAGAGTACAGTCGAGATGGCGCAGATCATGATGATGAAGAAAATGATAAGCAGCAGGCAGAAAGCGCCACCAGCGTTTCCAGTTGCTTGCCGATAGATGATTGCCACAGGGAAGGAACCGGAGCTGCCAGTGACTTGGTCCAGATCGGACACGGCATAGAAGAGTGCTATGGCGTACAAGAACGCGGTGATGGCACCAAGAGAAATTTGAGCAAAAATGGCTCGAGGGATATCGCGACGGGGATTTGGAAGCTCTTCTGCCATATGAGAAACACTGTCCACTGTGGCGATTGTGAAGGACCCGTTCAAGACGCCGGTCAAAAATGCAACTCCACCACCCCAACCAGTGGCGTTCTGCCAGTCAGTCCAGACGAAGGAGGTACTGGCATGTGTGTTTGGCGTTGCAGCCAAGACAATGATTGTAACGATTCCTCCGACGATGAGCAAGAATAATCCAACGTTTTGTAGGAGCGGCAAGAATCGGTTGCCAAATACGCAGAACAAGACACAGAACCATGTGATGAGGACATATGTCAGATAGGTATGCCAGGCCTTGAGGACGAAATCGGGATGGAACAAACTCCACATCTGCAGTAGAACGTTCGAAGGAATGGCCACGATACTACAAAGATCGAACACCCATCCAAAGAAGTTGAGGTAGCTTTTAAACAGTCAGCAAAAGTATAGGCATTTTTGGTTTGGGATGATGCTTACCCAGCAAAGAAACCAACACTTCTGCCCCATTTTGGACCTGCAGTGACGGATGCCCAATGATATACACCGCCGGCAGTAGGTACAGCTGATGCAAGCTAAGATCGGGTTCAGTCAATGTCTTGTGTATGTTTGTGTATGTGTTTCTTGACAAACCTCCGCGATAGATGCTGCAATGATACCATAGTAGATACAGGCAGTTATCAGCTCGTATAGTACACCAGCAGGCCCGCCGTTAGGAAGAGCAAGAACCAAAGAGCCAGCAAACGCTACCCAGGCAGAGTCAATGTTCAGGGCCAGACCACAGATTTGCAGAGGACCGTAGTGCCGTTGTAATTGATCGCGATGGCCGGAGGCATTGACTGTATGTATGATTTCGCCGACTCCATTCTCGAGAGATGGTCTCCGATCGGTGGATCCCACTGGAGGCTTCTCGTCGTAGACGGGCTTAACATCTGTATTTGACATAGTTGATAGATGCTTTCAAGGCATTGACTTCAATCTGGTGAGCCGGAAGATGCACTAGGCGCCAAAGGGACTATTAAAGAAAGAAGACAAGAAAAAATCATCGGCACAACCTTCACGCCAATCTTTGCATATGGATAATAGGCCTGTGTAAGTGCACGATACTTTTTCATAGCCCTATTAGATGATTGCGAATGCCTGATAGGTGCCGTCCCTGCCAGCATTCTATTCGCTGAACGGTCATGCAGGTGTTATCTCGGGAAGCCATATCTCGAACCTGCAACTGGTGGGCTGGATGTGGCACTAAGGTCACTTGGCGCAACCAAGAGGCTTGCATGTCGACACCTAATCCTGGTTCATGTAGTCAGATTTGGGGCTGCAAACTCTTACCATTGATTATTGGGGTTGAGTTCTTGCGCGGGTCCTTCCTTCGGCAAGCAACCACATTTGGATAAGGTCCATCGAATCAAGCGCAGTCATGCTCCTACCAAGTGCCAAAAGCTGCAAAGTAGCACAGGTATGGTCAAACAATTAGGTATACAGATACTTACTGCACAGTGCAGCATCTCCAAGAGCTACCACTTATGTCTTCTTTTGCGCAGATCATGTTGCATTCTTAATCTGTCTGCGAAGGAGGTGGTGATTATACGATTGATAGACTTGACCACACGGCAGAATCAGGGATCGAATTGTCACAGAGACCCTTCCAATTGTGTATCAGATCTACTGGAAAAAAGTCTTTTGTCGTGTCAGCCGCCGGAGTACTGCCTCAGACTCCGGACGTGAGATTGGTTGGATGCATGAAGTGGTTGCTTGCTCGCGTGGCACTTGGAGTCGAGGCAATCAAGATGCGGTCCGTGCATCCTCCCGGATCATCTCTTCCGTGCCTCACAGTAGCACCATCTCCGACCTTTGCAATTGCAAAAGCATTGCTATGTGTCAATCAGTATAGTCTGCACTCGGCATCTGACAATTACAATGATATTTGAGATCTTGCAATGCCGCTGTACATGCAATGTGTGAAAATGAATTGCACATTGAAGTTTGATGGACGGCGGCTTCAACACCGGCCGTTATCTTTCGACGACAGCCTACTCGTATATCTCGAATATCAAACTTGGAAGGTCTCATCCTCGGCTACGAATATCCAAATTTTCTTCTGCGATGGCGAATACAGTCAACTCGTGACTCAGTATCCGATAGGCATCCACGGAAGTGTTGGAAAAAGAAATGTCGTCTGATGGTGTTGTCTGCTTAGCGACAGGCCTTAGTCAACAACCCCAATCTACCCCAGCAGATCTTTCTGATAAGAACCATGTTCAGGGCCTTTGGCTTGTCCTTCATCGCGACATCCGAGTCCCGCTGTCAAAGATGAAACCCCACTTGACTCGACACTAAACCTTGTCTTTGCTGGCAGCTTTATCGCCAGTAGTCTCCTTCTGGATATTCAGCCCGTCCTTCAGGTCAGGGTCTCGCCCAGGAGTATGACTAAACCCTCTTGTTCATGAGCGGCGGTGACGGTATGCGATGAGTACTTACAATATTTTGTTACCTATCATTCGTCAAGTGCAAATCGTTGGCTCTTGTCTCGAGCGTGTACTTCATGTCTTGACAGCCAGATTCAGGTGCATTCAGTCTATTGCATTGATTCCGATATACCCTTGCCAAAATGGACAGTCGACAGGATGGCACACAGAGCGCCAGTTCATGGTTGCCAAATTTCCTCCGAAAGTCGACAGACTCCAAAAACCTGAATCCAGACGAGAGAACTTCTCTTCTTCCCAAGCCTGACGATGAGCCCACCATTGGCTCTGTTGATGATTTCGAATACGAGGGAAAGAGCAAGACTCAGCTCATCCTCCATGAATTTTGGGTATTGCTTAATGGATCAATTCCCGTCTTTCTCGCATACATGCTCCAAAACTCTTTACAGACTGTTTCGGTTTTGGTCGTTGGACGATTGAGTCCTGAAGCACTTGCAGCAGCAGCTTTCTCTTATATGTTTGCCATGGCTTCTGGTTGGCTCATCGCACTCGGAGGCACCACTGCAATCGACACTCTTGCCTCTGCAAGTTTCACCGGAAGCAAAGATAAGCACGATCTGGGTATCATTCTCCAGAGAGCTTTCTTTGTCCTTGGGCTCCTGTATATCCCTGTCGCTATTCTCTGGCTCTGCTCAAAACCTGTCTTTATGGCTCTCGGACAGGATGAGCGCCTGTCCGAGGATAGCAGCAAATTCTTGAGCGTACTCGCACTCGGTGGACTTGGATATATCTATTTCGAATGCCTCAAGAAATTTTTGCAAGCACAGGGTAAGCTAATTGAAAACTTGCAGACACAACTAAGCACTAACAAAACATACTAGGTATCATGAGACCCGGCACATACGTACTTCTCATTACTTCGCCTGTGAACGCAGGTCTGAACTATCTTTTCGTGTACACTTGCAAGATGGGTCTCCTTGGAGCACCTCTGGCCACAAGCATATCGTACTGGCTATCATTCTTGCTTCTTCTAGCCTACGCACGCTTTGTCGCAGGCTGGGACTGCTGGGGCGGCTGGTCGAAGAAGGCCTTGCAGAACATCGGCACATTTACAAGACTTGCTCTACTCGGAGTGGTTCACGTAGGCACTGAGTGGTGGGCCTTTGAGATTGTGGCTCTCGCTGCAGGAAAACTTGGAACGATTCCTTTGGCTGCACAATCAGTCATCATGACCACGGACCAAGTCCTCAACACCATTCCCTTCGGCGTTGGAGTTGCAACATCAGCAAGAGTAGGAAACCTGCTGGGAGGCAGAAACGCCAAGGGTGCAGCACGCTCTGCCAACGTAGCTGCGTGGTTATCAATGATCCTTGGAGCCCTTGTCCTCGCCCTTTTAATGGGGGTCAAGAACTTCTACGCGAAAATCTTCAACGATGATGAGGATGTCATCAAGCTGACTGCAGAAGTCATGCCTTGGGTAGCCTTGTTCCAGATTGCTGATGGGCTGAATGGCTCTTGTGGTGGCTCCCTTCGAGGAATGGGACGACAACATATTGGTGCCTTAGTCAATATTATAAGCTATTACGCCGGCGCCTTGCCTTTGGGCATCTGGCTAGCTTTCCATGGCTGGGGTTTAGCGGGTCTCTGGATTGGCCAGTGTATCGCGCTGTACTTGGTCGGTTTTGGTGAATGGGCGATCGTTGCATGGAGCGATTGGAATCATCAAGTTCGAAAAGCCTTTGAGAGGATGGAGCATGAAGAACAAGTAGAGTCTGGTCTGGCAGACAATACCGATGGCTATCAAAGGGAGGAGAGCAGATAGCTCGATATTATATCGAGCTCTTGCAAATTTCTCTAGTGCCATGAATACATTGATATACAATAGAAAAAAACACATTTGATGCGAATGCTTCTCTGACTAGAGTCGTGTATATCAAGCAGAGTGATCACGCGACAGATTTCATGAGAACACAAATCACTAGTCGCGAAGACCATCGCAGAGTCGACGAGCTCTCGAGGAGGGTACTCCGAGTACTTTCGCGGAACCAAGTCCAAACCCCTCATCGCGGCAGAACCACAGCCAGTGTCTCGAAGCAGTGGCTGGTATCAGCGGCCGCCAATCAGACTTTCTACTTAGTCCGCGATAGGAAGGTTACCAATTCAGCTTGACAATCGACGCGATAGATTGTCGGAGTATTATCGACGTCAGTGTTATAAAGCCTCTTACTAACCCCAGGATCGCGGGGCCTGGTGGGGTATGTCGATTGCAACCTTGAATGGATATTATCGACAGGGCATATCTACGCCGCCGACATCTAAAGTTGGTGTGTCAACATGCGGAGCATAGCTTGATATCGTGATCTCACGATTGAGTGTGACGCGAGTAGCTTGAATTGCACAACATGACATCGGTGACATTGTTTTTCGTTTTGAGCTCCCTTGTGTAGCTTAGCTTGTGTTGACAATCTTGACAATGCGTAGTTAGGTAAACATGGCAAGACCAAGGTTGCTTGGATTCTCTTTTTGTTTCTGGCGGCCGAGTAGAAAGTATTTGTGGTGAGCGTGCTGCTGCATCAGAGAGTCTTGTATCCTCTCTCTCTCTCTCTCTCATCTGTCATCTCAATCGATCTTTTGCAACATACTGACCAGTATGTACAAGCTGATTACCCTCATTGCTGCTGTTGCAGCCGGTGTGTCTGCACACGGCGACCATAGTCAAGAGACTTTTAAGGAAGGTCCTCACAAGTCTCTGTGGTACAACACCCTTCCTGGCGATGGTGGTACTCAAGCCGACTCGGTCTTCTCAGGAATCTCTACGTTTGGTCGTATCGAGTACCATCCTTGTTTGTCCAGCGACGCTCGGAAGTATGATATCGCTTTCATTGGCGCACCCTTCGATACTGGTACGAGTTACCGCCCAGGTGCCAGATTCGGTCCCAGTGGTATTCGCCAGGGTTCCAGACGTCTCAACCTTTACGGAGGCTTCAATGTCCCTCTCCAGGTTCGTATCGACAGTCGAATTTATGCTGCGGCTCCGCGCTGACTGGATCTCAGACAAACCCTTTCAATGGATGGGCCACTGTCATTGACTGTGGTGACATTCCTGTCACCAGTTACGACAACGAATATGCTTTGAAGCAGATTGAAGAGGGCCACAACAGCATCTTGATGCGCGAGCCTGCTGCGAACGCACACATGACCGGTCCTTCCAAGCATGGAAAGACATTGCCGCGTGTCATCACTATGGGTGGCGATCACACTATCACTCTGCCTCTTCTGCGCTCCATGAACAAGGCATACGGGCCCATAACGTGAGTCTTGTGATCCTGCAAATTTGTGCTTTGAATGCTGACATGTTCGAGCGTCATCCATTTCGACTCCCACCTGGACACATGGAGGCCCAAGGTCTTTGGCGGAGCTCCTTCCAAGATTGCATCGATCAATCATGGAACATACTTTTTCCACGCTGCGCAGGAAAGTTGAGATTTTCTTAATATCAAAGAAAGTGACTAATGCTGCGCAGGAAGGACTTCTGCGCAACGACACCAACATCCATGCGGGCATTCGCACCACTCTGTCCGGCATGTCCGACTACGACAACGACGGCTACTGCGGTTTCGAGATCGTCGAGGCTCGTGAGGTCGACACGATTGGCATTGATGGTATCATCAAGAAGATCCATGACAGAGTCGGACACAAGAACCCTGTGTACCTCTCGATCGACATTGACACGCTTGATCCTGCGTTCGCTCCTGCGACTGGTACTCCCGAGACCGGTGGTTGGACCACTCGTGAGCTCCGCACCATTATCCGCGGACTCGAAGGGATTCATCTCGTGGCAGCCGATATCGTCGAGGTGGCTCCTGCTTACGATACCAATGCTGAGTTGACCACCATGGCCGCTGCTGACACTTTGTACGAAGTGATGGTATGTTCAAACAGTCTGGGATTGTCTTGAAATGTTGCTGACCCAAATCTGATTAGTCTCTGATGGTCAAGGATGGACCCCTTTCCGATATGTCGATTGACAGCAAGAAGGAGCTCAAGTAGGAGGACAACCATATTATTGGAAGTTTTGGAATGGCCTGGCCAGTATTTGGACTTGGCGACCATAGTTTTGGATGAGTTGATACGACCAGAAATGAGAGTTTGGCATTTGATGCCGTATTGAATTCCACATTGCATTTTTCCAGACTGTGCATCTGTCGTGGACCCATAAGGAGGTCGATTTGGAGGATAGAGATAGGTGCGGTATTGTATAACGATGTCTTTTCAAGGCGCATTGTCATCAGTGTCCGGAGCAAACCTCATCTTGAGCAACTTAACAAACTCAGCCAGAGCTTGATCATCACCCTCAGCATTCCTCATGTTTTTGAAAGACTCTATGGCCTCCTTGTCGCCCTTTGCTTGTGACCAGTGTGATTGGTGATGAAATCCACCTCTTCCCCTGCCTCGACCTCGACCTCTGGAAGAGAATGAACGTTGCTCCTGAGGAGTAGGTTCCAGCGTCAAGCCATAGACACTTTGTAATTGGATGCGCAGATTTGGGTATCTGTAAAGCAGTCGCAAAAGTTCAGGGTCGGATTCGAAGCCGGCAAAGTCGGTTTTCTTGCTACTTCCAGGTAGCGCACTTCTTGGGGCAGGTGCCTGGGATGAATTGGAAGGAGCAGGTTGCGTGGGCTGGGTCGACTGAGTCGGTTGCTGTTTCGGTGGGTCGTTGGCGTGAGTCTCTTTGTGTTGTTTGAAGCATGCGATGGAGCAGCTGCTGGCAATCAGAATGCGACTTCTTCTGTCAGTCACGAGCCACTCACTATCGCAATTGACAAGATGGACACTTGTACTTGGACTCGTTCTGTGCACAAACTCCGCAAATCTCTCCCATCTTGAATGTCTTGGATCAACGTAGAAAGCAAAAATGGTTGATGGGAAGATACTCTGCGGATGAGTAAGCTTTGCGGCCACTCCTTCACCTCCGAGAGAGGCTCATCTCGACCCTCTACAATTTTCATATCCACCCAACATGGAGTCAATATCGCTACTTGGCCGCAGTCTGGGACGCGCAGGATTAAGAACATCCCAACCATGGTCTAGCACACAATGCGCCCGCTCGCTACCACGCTCTTTCTTCCGAAGGAATATCCAGACCACTCCACACCTCAAGCAGCAAGGCCGCATACCCACCCAGGAAGACCTCCGCGCCCAATTCAAGAACAAGAATCGCAATACCCTCTACTACACCCTGTCAATCATTCTCGGCACTGTCGCTCTATCCTATGGCTCCGTTCCCTTCTACAAGATGATTTGCCAGCAGATGGGCTGGGGCGGTCAACCTATCAGTATCCACTCTGCTGGTCAGTACGAGGAGGATGACATTACTTCACGCCTGATCCCCGTCACCGATTCTCGCCGCCTGCGCATCACCTTCGCCGGCTCTACCTCTGACGTCCTGCCCTGGAAGTTCACTCCCCAGCAGAGAGAAGTCCGCGTTCTGCCTGGCGAGACTGCCCTGGCTTTCTATACCGCCACCAATCTGAGCAAAGAAGAGGATATCATTGGCGTAGCCACATACTCGGTCACTCCTGGTCAGGTTGCCCCCTACTTTTCAAAGATTCAGTGTTTCTGCTTCGAAGAGCAGAGGTTGAACAAGGGCGAGACTGTCGATATGCCAGTCTTCTTCTACATTGACCCCGAGTTCTTGAGGGATCCGAACATGTCAAAGATTGACACCATCACCCTCAATTATACCTTTTTCAAGGCAAAGTACGACAAGGATGGACACTTGTCTCCTGTCGCTTGATGCCCTCTACATACACCCCATCCTGTACATATACTCCCTCTTGTAAAAATACCCCGTCCTACTCTTCTCTTGAGTCCTCCATCTTCACGTCCTATCATCCCTCTTGATGTACCGTCTGAAATATGTTTTGAAGTGTTTTTCTCGATTAGGTCTATTTAGGACAGTGACACTGCTTTTTCATATCGTAGATCAGGCCAAAAGCATAAACCCTCCCAAAAACACTCAGACAATAACAAGAACAATAACAACTCTAAAACTTTCAAATGCATCAATCAGAAGCTCCATCTTCGTCGTCCAGCTCTTTGCATGCCCGAATGCCTTTCGAACCGTGAGCCAAAGAGAGCTTTGTGTGTACAGAAATATCAATCGTGTGTTTCTTTCCCTTTCGTGAACCACTTCGCAAAAAATAAAGACATGGCAACTCTCCATGCACGCTGTAACTCTTGTCGAAAAATCAAAATCTTGTTCGCCCGTCAGAAAATGTCATGACCTCCTTTTTACTCCTTCAAAACGCCTGTCAAAATGCTTTGCAATCTTCCTCGTTGCCCTTAAGTTGGGCCCTTGTATGCACTGCTCTTGCAGGAGTCAACAAACTGATTTTGTGGCCAGCTGTATCCCGCGTCCTCCCAACTGGTAATGTTGGGGTTTTGGTATGCATTTGCGTGCTTGCTGATGTATTCCGTCGTGGGGTAGCCCACGGGATCGCACGTCATCTCACCATCGTCGTCCTGGTAAATTCGGATGTAGTCGAACCTCATCTTACCAGGCATAAGTTCGGCCAGACCTGTCCAGTTCAACTGGGCGAAACTGGCAGAGAGACCGTAGTTGGCAATCAGTGCCATGGGTTCCTCGGGCATGACTCTCTGCCCGACGTTTCCGTTGGGTCCGACGGCGTCGGCAGTCATCTTCCAAGTGGGATCTGCGCCAACATACCAAGCAACGTATCCATCTGAACCAGGCTCGTACTCAAAAGCGTAGGTTTGGTAAGCTTTACCGTCATACCAGTCGTTGTTGAGAAGGGTTACGGTCGAAAGGGCCTGCTGGTAAACACCACCCTGGTAAGAGTTCATCTCGGAGATGGAAGGGTCGTAGACTTCAATGAAGTCGGTATTGGGACGCCAGAAGATATCGAAAGGAGCAGTTTGGTAACTCTGCGAGGCCGAGCCGACAGCGGCGTCATAGTGAAGAGGGTCGAGGTAAGATACACTGGCTTCGATAGCATCGATTTCGGCAACGTAACGAGATTTTCCGGGACTAGGGTGATCTTCGCCGTCGCAAGTACAAGCAGGGAGACGCATTCCAGGAAGCCAGTTGAAACCATCAGGCGATGACTGGTTAGCAGTGATACCAGCGTCGCAGACATCCGAATAACTGTAGGGCCAAGTGCCATCGGTCGTGGCACGGTATCCAGGTCTTCCAAGGTTACCCATAGCCCAGAAACCAGGCCAGAAACCGATCGTGTCGCCCCTACCAGGAAGCGAGATACTAGCCTCAAGATAACCGCCCTTGAAGCAAAGCTTGTTCCATGATTGCAGCATACCGGAGCGGTAGTTGAGGCCGTGGTTCTGGAAAGCGTCGAAGGTGATCTCAAGGACACCGTCCTTGGTAGTGATAGCGTCTGGGTCGTACCACTGTTGACTGTGAGCTTTGGAAATGAACGAGCATACATGGCTGCACTGACCTCGAGATCCTGTGTGACACCGTACCAAATGTCAACACCTTGGAAGTACGGGTCATCACCGTCATAGAAAGTACGGCCATCAGTTTCAAACTCATCGGAGAACTTGACGAGAATCAGTAAAGGGACTCTTTGACACCGAATCAGTGTGACATACCACCAGGTTCAAAGTTTTGCCGTTGACGCTTTTCCTTGTCATGACTGAGCTGGGTGTAGCAGGATCAATGAGACCAGTGCGTACGTTCTTCAGAAGAGGCACATCGCTTCTGATGCACATGGGATCAGACGCGCACGTGTCGACTTTTGGCTCGTTGTATTTGACCGCGAAAGTACTAGAAAGGGCATTAGTTTCAGGTATGACAAGGTATTGTCCAGCTGCACATACATGATGGGGTACCCGATAAAGAGCATGAAGACACCCAGGGTGATCAAGATAAGACCACCCAAGTTGGTGATACCACGTTTTGAGAACAAGTCGGAACAGGTTATGCGGCCTTCTTTCTCGTTGGGATCCGGGTTATGTAAGTAATCGTCCTTTTCAACATCTTCAGGGAAGAGAAGTAGGCCTGCAGAAGGCAGGATGTTGTATTTCTCTGAGACGGTCTGGGTATTTACGCCCTCGTCGTCGCTGCCAGCACGTGAAGGGGCGCGCGAGTCGTCAAAAGGAGAAGCAAAAGGACCGACGCGGCTATCTCTGCTGCCAGTCGACTCGGAGCCCCAACTCGTGCGACGAGAGTTATAGCCACTTTGGCTTGGCGACCTCATGGGCGAGTCGTCATCGCGGAAGCGCCGTGACGGGCGAGAGCGGCTAGGTGGGAGCAAGAGCTCTGCCGATTCGGGGGCACCAGCATTGTACATGCTGCTGGACGAGGGAGCGGGACGCAGCGAAGGACGGGCAGAAGCAGAGCCAGCGGTGCCGGGCCTTGTCAATGAACGGGACGAAGGCTGGCGAGCGGCCTGGTGGTCTTGGTTGTCGGCCATGTTGACGAGGTCGTCGCTGCCTGAGTTCAGCCGAATGTGAGGAGGTGATGGCTGGTAGGCGTCCGGTGGGGAAGACATACTGCTGTGGATGGTAGGTGGTCTTGCACGGGGATGGAGCAAGACAGAGGGTGGAGAAGTGGGCGGCGTGGTCGTCTAGTGTCTCTGATCGGCCAGCCCTCGGCCTGCGTGGGCAATGATGTGAGGCGAAGACGAGGTCGCCGAGCGTCGTAGGTCGGACGAGGTGGTGCAGAGGTCGGACAGGACGATGCGAAATGCAGAGAAAGACGACAGCAGCAACAACAGCAAAAAGATTGTTGATCGGGAGGTGTCGCGCGCTATGTTGTTTGTGCGCCTGTGCTTGGTGCTGGGGGCTTTCGGTCTCGAAAGGTTAAGGAGCGAAACACGGACCCTCTTGACAAGCCGTGTTAATTAGGGGCTTTGGCAGCAAAGAGTGGCAGACAGAGACGAGCGACCGCTGTTCACCACATTCTCAACCACCGCAACTTGCAATCATGGGGCCGATCTCAATCATCGCCATCAACTTCGTATTGCACTACGCGTACGCCATCCACCTTTGCCCGGCCAAGCTTTGAATCTCTGTCCTCTAGTTACACCATGCTGTGCACACGCAACACTCGTTGCTTCTACAGCCTCAAGTCCCGTATCCGTCTTGAAAACTCGAAACATCGCCACAGCCGCTGTGATGACGACGAAAGCCCGTGGCAAACCTCCGTGATCCCAGACTCTCAACTCCCACAAACTTTACGGACACGCCAACCCCGTTCTGCATTGGTTGAATCTCCCTCAACTTGCCCCGTCTAACCCGTCTCGCGATAGTGCCCGAGCGTCTCTTCTATTTCAAGGAACCACCCAAGGGCCTTGATTTGATGCCAACTTCAACCAGGACCCATGAAACAACCACTCGAGCCTCCATTTTTGTTCGGTCATGCTTCTGTACTGCCCAGCTCTGACTTTCAAAAAAAAAGCCATGACTCTGTAGCTACCCTGTGATGTCTGTTCAAATTTTATCGACGATGTACAAGGATGTGTATCGCCATGCTGACAGGCACCGCCCGCCGTTGCTACAGTGCTGACAGGCACATGCATGTACACTGTACAGTAGAAGCAGCACCTTCGGCATCGCATTTCCCGGCATAAAGATCCATATCAAAACACCAAACAAGATCTGACAAGCACTCTTCCATTTCTGTCTTGTATTTCATGCTCCTCTTACCAATCTTTGTCTTGCCTTGATTGTCCTCACCGATTAACGACTCGCGTGTCGGTGGCTTCTGCTCCTCCCAGCCTCGCGAGATTGCTGTAGATTTTCGGCTACGAATCCGCTCTTCCACCGGCCAATTCTGCATGTAGAAGCGCCGAACACACAAGAGTGGTTCATTTTCACGACCTGTATCTTCAGAATACAGGTCCTTGTCTGCTGACTGCACTGCTTTGTGCAAATTGTCGATTCTTCCAGCATTTTTGCAATTTCTAACTTTGCATTCTAGAAGGCGCTAACTCCTCGACCATTGAGCTTGTTTATAGGGGCTAAGTACCCGCAGCGGCTCCTTAAACGTTTCAATTCCCTTACTCATGCAGGTCTGACTCTAGCCCAAGAACTGACCATCAAGCATTTGAAGGATTACACTGATCATGTGGATGATACTTTGTGCTTGCTACAATCCTTCTAGGACACATGGGGTCCCTTATAGACATGATCATGTTGCTCAGACCACGACACCCTCTTGTTGACTGCCAAGCACATCTTACGACACTTCCGAGTACGAAGAATTAATGATATTACGCTGTTATGTCATCTAGCTCCAAAGCAAAGTCATTGGCTTTCAGGTGAGTCTGTCGTCTGCACCCTTGCTATTGGGTCGATTTGAAGCACTCAGGGAAGATGTTCCTAAGTTCTTCAAGATTGCTTATCTGGTATTTGGAAACCTGTGCCACAGGCGCAGTGACTCCTGGTTCTACCAAATGGGCGGCAGTCCAACCTAACTTGGTTGCACCGGCCGCATTGATAGCAGAGTCGTCTAAAGATGTCAGCAGGAATCCGTGACAGTTCATAGAATGCAACTTACCGACGAAATAACAATCTTCAACGGATTTTGCACCAGCCTCGGCCATGGCTTTCTTGAACATGTCGGGTGACGGCTTGCAAAGGAACTTGGCGGCTGAGTAGTCGCAGTAGGTGATGCCTTCAAACATGTCCTCGACGCCCAAGAGCTTTACAACTCGTCGACCGTGGTTGATATAGGCATTTGTGAAGAGCCAAGGCTTCACTTTTGATGTGTCAAGGTCCTCGAGCAGCTTGCGCAACTTCGGATCAGGTGACATGATATCTTCAAGTGGCAGTGCATCGTCGACCTTCTCGTTGTACTCTAGTGCATCGACCTTGTGGTGGCGTACAAGACCCTCAATGGCAAGCCCATAGTCTTTGTAGTACCGCGTATGCAGTTCGTTGGCCTCTTCTCGTGACAACGACAGATGAGTTTCGAAGTATTTGTCTGGCGCCTGATGAGTCATCGCGCGAATACCAATATTGATCAAAGACGCATACCGATCAAATCGCCCATCAATTCATGCACTTTCTTGTCTGGGTCTGGTTAGAACTAGATGTGAGATTAGGGTGATCTGACACACTCTTGGAATACAACTGTCAAGACTGTCAATAGCTGTTAAAACTCGGAATGTTTCTGTATGATGACCTACGCAATTATCTATGTCGAAAAAGAAAACTTTACGGTTGTCCGCCATGTTGCTCTTTACCATATCTATGCGTCTAGTTGTAGAAGAAACAAAACTCCGGGATGCAAAGAGACCTGGCCGAGCAAGAAGAGAAGGAAACCGACAAAGAGAGGGCAACATTCAACAAATGAGTCAAAGAAAGAAACAACACGTTGACGTCGATGGTATGGAGAATGAAGGGGTTGGCTACAGTACCTGGTCGTCGGCCCGCCGCCCTGGTAAATCGAGCCGCGCCGCCAAGCCGTCCCTTCCCGAGTCTCGGATGGCGATCTGACAATTTCATCACGAGCTTGAACTCCCAGTTGTTTTTTCTTTGCGTCGTCGAAACAACACGCGTGCCATCCATTTGCTATCACTAGACGTTGTATAGGCATGACGCTCGCATAGTACCATTGCTACTGGTGACATTGCTGTTCTTTCGTCATGGCTTCCGCGCAGGTGAATGGCTACAAGCCTGCTGTTGCAGAGCAGCATGAACAAGCTGCTTTCTACGACCAGTGGCTGCAATTAAAGGAGGCTGTTCTAGCAGACAAACACGCACGCTTTAGGTTGCCAGCTGCTGTAAGACAGCGGCTTCAATCTGCCGTCGCGCCATCGTCTACTTCCAACTATGCCTCAACTTTGCAGCTACCTGGCCTTTCTAATGCGCAAAGCAGAGAACAGGCAATGCTCAACTCGTCTCAGGGTGCTGCTACTGCTGCTTCTCTTCTAGGAAATGCGCAAGCCTTTTCACAGAATGCGTCCACAGCATCAGGGACAGTTGCTTCTAGGAGTGGCATTGACCCAGTTCTGTTGACAAAATCTGAAGATTTGATCAGAGCAGAGATACAGCTGAAGAGACAGCGAATTGAGAGACAGCTCAAAGATGCAGCAGAGCAGCGCAGACACACTCCCTTCTTCAAGAATCAGGAAGACATGGCACCTCTTATTGGTCTGACCGAGACTTTTGAGAAAGCGCTTGAATTGGTCAGGCCTATTTCGGGTCTCAAGCCCCCTGCTAATGCTCAAACTACAGCGAGTGATTCTTTCGACGAGAATTCATATTACTCTAGCCAGGCCAACGATTGGTCGTCAGAAGAGGGCTCGCCCAACAAGAGATCAGAAGCGACAGGTCTGGCAAGTAGCGCACCTCCTTCTAAGCAGCATCCTGTCCATGTTGAACATGATGACAAGCAGCATCGCCCTTTGCACAATCTCGATCAGCACGAATCCGAAACTCTCTACGACGCCGAAAGGGAGGATTCGGAGGAATACTCACCACCGGATGCAAATGCCTTTAGTGGGCCAGATGCTGACGCCGATGCAATGGATCTGGACGACGGTAAGTACACACCTATGTGCGTGAGCCCATGTGTGCCCTTGCTAAGCAACGGCGCAGACAGCAGTGAGTTCGTGCCGCAAGAAGCCAATGTCCCATCGCCTCGGGCCACTGTCATCACCAATCACCTCAGTCAAGTCGCTGCCCCTCAGCCTGCTCGAGTCTCGCCTCTTACTCTGGCCAAACCTCCCGGTCTTACCCAGTCCCAGACGAGCTACCCCTCAGCGGCCAATACTCAATTGCCTGCCTCACCTCATGCCTACCAATCCTCTAGCGCCTATCGCCAGCACTTTGAGTCGGACGACTCGACCACTTCGCCTCGCAATTCGACTCAAACCAGTCCAGTCGGCGCTTTCAAGAAACAAAGAGGGAAAGGGAAGAAGAGAAAGCGAGAAGCTGACAGGGAAGCGAAAGAGGCTCGTAAAAACCGGCCAAAGCCTAGTGCGCCTTCGCCTGAGCCTTACATCAAGCCCGAACCTGTGTCACCACAACCGTTCGCGGCACCTCCTGCTTTGCAACCATCTCGCACTCGACCATATCAATTGCCGCCAGATGTTGAGGTAGTCTCGGGTCCGAGAGCATACTACCATGAACCCCCGCCTCATCCTCCAAACATGCACTATGGCATGGATGGTGTGTCTTCTCCTACTGTCATCAGAGTCTCATCCCCTAGTGTTTATGCCAGACCTAGAAGAGATGACCAAGACCTGCGCCGTGTCGCCAGTTTGCACGCTGCGCATCGTCCTGTTTCCCCCATGGCCAGAGCAGCGTCTCCCGCCGGCTACCGCACTGTATCACAGCCTTTCCCCGAAAGAGCAGCACGATATGGTGAGGAGGTCATGAGAACCCCACAGGTACAGTACGTGCGATCCGAAAGGTCTGTGACTCCGCCACACCTACGGGCTGCAAGAGAAGGTCCAGCCTCCATGATGGCACCTCCACCACCGCCAGCTAGAAGAATTGTCGTGGACCAGTACGGCAACAGATACTATGCGAACGAGCCCGAAACACAGCCTAGAATGTCAGTCGCGCCTCAGCTGCGTCCAGAAAGCGAATTGATGTATGAACGTGCGCCGAGCAGACAGCCTGTTGCATACGCAAGCCAACCTGCACTCAATGCATATGAGGACGAACATGGAATGAGAATGCCACCACCTCCACCGCCAGTGCGAAGAGTGGTTGAGCAAGCAGAAATCGCACCAATTGATTATCGCGCGTATAGACAGCGAGAATATTCTCGCGCTCCTGAGCCACAGTACTATCGCGAGGAGCCTGCTGGGCCTATATATGTTAGGGACGCACCAGGACCCAGAGCGTCGGTGTATCCGCCCGAGTCTGCGCCAGCTGGAGTTTATGCTCCAAGAGCATACAGCGTGCGTCCTGAAATGGAGCCAGTCCGATACATGTCACGACAACCGAGCATGGCACCACAGGGCGATTACGCTCGAGTCGCAGAAATAGGAGGTCGCGCGGCGACCATGGCACCCCCTCCAGCACCAATGAGGGCGGTAAGTGTTGTGCCAGGATCCGAGTATGGACGTCCTGTCGAGATGAGGTATAGCTACGGCAGTCAGGGTGCAGGACCGTATGCAGCACCTGGCCCACGCTACGGTGAGGAAGCTCGAGAGATATACGTTGACCAATACGGAAGAGAGGTCAGAAGAGTAGGCTATTGAACAAGATTAGGGTGTAGCAGAGGCATTGTGGGACACGAAGTAGGAATAAAAGAATCAATTGAAGACATTCAAGACAAGCAAGAAATGTGCATGTGAGTTGGCTCAAGCTTCCATGGATCAGGAAGGTTTCAGGATCCCCTCTTTCCCTCATGGCAATTGCACGAGGATTGCCGACGGTCGCCAGTGCGTTTGCAGCCGTTGCCTTCTGCTGGCGAGTGAAGTCTGTAGCGAATTACCATCGAAACAGTAACCAATACTTCGCGTTGCCATCCCGCGATCGTGGCAGGCCAGCGCACGTGACCGTCTTCTCCGAAGTCAGCACTGTGTATTGGAGATACGCGCTTTGTGTGGAAAAACGACGACGACGACAGTAACACTGATCCGTCAGGGACTGCAATTCACTACAAGTCTCTATCGGTTGGCTTGTCTTCTTAGATACTGGCGGGCTCTTTGGGCGCCCGTGTTGACTCGACTCCTGGACCTCGAGTGCTCCTTGTCCTTGTTTGAGTGCTGCTCCAGCCTCGACGTCGATCTGACCATAAACCCACACGCTCGTTCATCCTCGCATCTCGACTCCTCCGATGCACAAGATTTCCAACTTCACCGGCCAAGCTCGCCATGGTTGGGACAAGATGACGCCTGCAATGGGTTTTGGCCGTCCGCACCACCAGGACATGTCCATGCCGCCCACCAACATCAAGCGGAACATGGCCACACAGCACCAGATGCAGCCGAATCCACAGGTCCCGGGCCATCTTGTCAACCTCTCATTCAACATCCCCTTTGCTTCGAACCTCAGTGGCCCCGACCCAGACTCGGTCATCTACGCCAGTCCTGGAGCTTACGCGCGCTGGACGCATCCTCAGCCGAACAATCCCGATTCTCCGCCGCCGAACCACGAGCTCCCTGTCCACGCCCGCAATGTCGACAACCTGCGATCCTTGTGCAAGGTCATTACTGAAGCTAGCAATGCTCAGGTCCAGGCCACCGTCACCTCAGCCCGGCCCAAACCCGTGCCTGGCATGCAGCGAGGCCCCCTGAACACTCTCGTCACAAATGTCTGTCTTTCCGGCGACTCAGATTTGGTCTACAAGATGCGAGCAAAGATCTTGAATGAGACTCCCATCACCTTGGTAGGTCTATCTCCGGCAAGATGTGGTATACAAAGCACCCCGCTGACTCGAGACAGCGCTCCGCTACCGTCGATGTGGACTCGACACTAATCATGGTTCCTGGCACCGAAGGAGTCCGTACAGACGTTCTGAGACACATGGACGACATCTCGGACCGTACCAAAGCCGACATCTTCCTGCTCAACCCTCGTCCCTTGGACGTTGACTCGGCCAGCATCCATGGTACCATAGACAGCCTTGTCGAAAACCGATTACGTCTGATGATCTTTGGTGACATGGAATGTTGCGAGCATGCAAAGACCAGGATCTTGATCATGATCGACCAAATCGTATGTCTATCAATCTGCTCTTCATTGTGTTTTCTTGGTGCTGACCACCATTGTAGCTCATGCGACAAGTCGACACGATCAAGCTTGAGCTTTCTCTCCACACCCTCATCTGTGGCCGACATCGCCGCAACATCAAGCTCATCGAGTCAGCTACCGGTACTGCCATCTACTTCCCTCCGCTATTCCCTGGCATCTTCGGGTATAGCCCTGCCGGCTCATACCCTCGTGCCAGAGACGAGATCATCATTACAGGCGAGAGCCAAGAGAACATCATGCAAGCCAAAAGACGTCTTCAAGACCTCGTCCTCACAACAAAGACATTTGTCAAAGATGTCGCCATCACAACCAGCAAGGTCGACTACATCTTGCTTGAGCGTTTGGACAAGATTCGCAAGATTGTAGAACAGAACGGCTCCTACGTCCTCCTGCCTCCTCTTGGCAACCACAGTGGTCTCTTGCGTGTACAAGCGACCGACATTCTGAATGTCGAGCGCACAGTGCGCGATATCATGTCTCTGGCCGGTCAGTTCTATAGCGCTTCATGGTGGTTGACTCAGTTGGACCCCATGCAAAGGCAGCCAACACCATCCGACATCCGTGCCATGCTGCCCGACATATGCATCAATTCAGGCGCCGAGATCAACTTCGAGAAGCTCAACTTCCATATCAATGGAAGTGACGATTCTGTCAAGGCCGCAATGACCATTATCAACTCGCTGCCCTTTGTCAAGAAGGCCAACTCGACTCTGCGGGTCAAGGTTGAGCTTGCTAACGAACACAAAGAGTTTGTGAGCGGAAAGAAAAATGGCAAGATCAACAAGATTATGAGCCAGAGCAACGTCCAGATTGTTTTCGATGGCTTCAATGAGTACAACTTCTACATTGACGTACGCGGTGCTCAGTACGAAGCTACCAAAAATGGTCTCGATCTGGTCGAGCTGGAAATGCCCGCTTCTATCTCCTTCCACGTTCCGGATCAATACCACAAGCGCATCATCGGTATCGGCGGTCAGCATATTCAACGCATCATGAAGAAGTACTCTGTGTTCGTCAAATTCTCAAATGCTATGGATAGAGGCGGCATTGGCAAAGACGATGACGATGTCAAGGTCGATAATGTCATCTGTCGTACCCCTGCAAGAAACGCCGACAACCTTGAACTTGTCAAGCAAGAGATCATGGACATGGTCGAGAAGGTTGATGCGGAGTACGTTTCCGAGCAAGTCGTCGTCGACAGACTCTATCACCGTGAATTGGTTGCTCGCATGCCCGAAATCGAGGAGCTCGAGAAGAAATGGAACTGCAAAATCACCTTCCCCGGAACAGAACAGGCAAGCGATGTCATCACCGTATCTGGGCCTGAGTACCAAGTTCCTCAAGCCGTGGACGAATTCCTGGGTATGGTGCCTGAGAGTCACGATATCTCGTTTCCAAGCACGGTGGAACTTCGCACTTTCCTCATGTCTGCAGAGTTTCACGACGATGTTTTGCAGAAGCTCAAAGACCAGTATGTTGTCGAAGTCATTGTCCAGTCGCCAAAGCACGAAAGAATCGGCGACGAGGATGTTGAAGTCGAGAATCTCCTTCTCACCTACACACGTAACAATGCTGGCGGTCTGAAAGATGCTATCGATTTTTTGGTCCTCGGGCTTGTTTCTCATGGGCTGAGCGCGAGCACTGTGAAGGGTGCTATCCCTCGACCAAAATCTGACTCTTTCGAGGACTCGATGCCATACTTCGACTCTAAGCTTCTGCAGCGCGCGGAACCACCTGTCGTCGCCGAGTCGCCTACACGCACTCACTTTGGCAGTGGAGAAAGTAGTGAAGGCCATCGATCTATCTTCGACAGACTCAGGAAGCCGGGTAGTATGTCGTCCTTCTCGTCTTTCCTCGAGAGACGCAAGAACAGTTCCAACTCTCCCGCGTCCTCATTGTTCAAGCATGCTTCGAACAATGCTTCCAAGGCCTCGCTGCAAAGCATGGAATCGCGAGAATCGGGCTATCGCAATCCTTGGAATGACAATGGCCCTGACGCCGAACCTGATAGCGCCAACAATCAGGCAAACGGTGGATGGGCAACTCTGGCTGCGGCAGGCAGCCGACCAGCCACTTCGTCGGCATCGCTTACTTCGTCGACACCTTACGAAAGCAAATTTCCTTTTGGCGCCGGGCGTAATGGCTCTACGACTTCGCTTAACACCACTTTGATACCCGGGCTAGGCGGCGACGTCGCCTCCAACAATGCCCACTACCATACCAATGCCAACCGGTCAGCCTCGATTTCTGTCGAGGTTGTCAATGCCAACAGCGGCAATGTGTCCGCATCGTCATCCTCATCTACACATGGCCCGGTTGGCTCGCGTCCTTCGAGTTCTGCTGCTGCTGCACCTGCTTCTGGATACCCGGCTCCCATAGGGCCTCCGCAATGATTTTGATTTGATTCTACAGACCATATATGTCTTTCCGATCCAGGGAAAAAGGATCTTCCTCTTGCCCTGGGGTCTTCTGTCCTCTTCTTGCTTCTTGTTTTCACGCAATGATATCCGACCGCCAAGACGTTCCCTATTTTGCTTTTTATCTTTTCCGGCATTTTGAGAGTACATTGCTACATACGTTCGGTTATGTTTCATCTCCTGTCTCTCCCTCATCCTTGCCGCTTTTTCATTGCTCTGGTTTTTTCACTGCACTGTCCTGCTGTTCCAGCCTCTTTTCCAAAAGAAAATACCCCTGTTCGAAGACTTAGCCTTGATTTTGATTTATTGTTTACGTCAGCTCTATATACCAACCACTCGGCTCTTTAACCAAAAGTCGCTTTGAAATATCTTTCTTATCACCTCTACAAGTATCCACGCTGTGACCATAAGCCTAACGAGTGGTCTCAAGTGCTCGCAGAATCAGTCGCATGTGTCTGAACTCATCCAAAGTCTCGCAACATGTGCTCCTCTGAGACTCGTTGAGGGCAACACCCTGCTTCTCTGGCGAGATGTATGACAACCTGCGAACGCACTCAATCTCGCATACCGGACACGTGCAATAATGGCACGACGTTTGTTCCTGCAGGTCGCATCGACACTGCGGCGACACGTAACTTGTGAGAAGGAGGTAATCACTACTTGTTATGCATCTATTATTAGCACATAGTTGGCAAAGGACGAGGGTTAAACATTTCATCACATAACAAAGAGATCCAGTCTTTCCTTTGCAAGGTTGAGTAAGATTTTACTAGAGTAGAATATTTGAAAGCTTGACTTTAGGTCTCGAGTTATGCTAACCCTCTATTGACCTGTATACAGCCTTTCCTCTTCCTCATGCTTCGCAGTGCTAGATCTTCTACCTTCTCGCCATTGCTGCAACCAAGAAGAAAACTCCACTTTCTGCTGGCCTTTGCGCAAGAGCAACCTTAGTTTCCTCTGATATGACAAACCTGCCACGAAACACAAGGCCCAGAGCAATACAGTGACGACTGTGAAACTCCAACTTGCTGAGTATGAGACAGTGCCTTGATCCGCAGTAACAGTTTTGGAGATAGCCAGTACAGCGCCGGTCTTGTCAATCGCAACGATGCGCAAGTAGTCGTACTCACCCTCCGGCACCTCAATTTGTGTCTCGAACCCATTCTTGTCTGCTTTGACAGCATCGATGAAACTCAATGCATCACCAGGTGTAGCTTTTACTGTCTGCAAGATCCATTGGCTCACTTCTGTCGCGCCCAGCCAGCTCACAAATGCAAAGCCATCCCTTGGGTCGAGATACACATCTGGCCGTGTGTTTGGACGTCCGATCCAGGTGCTAGCCCTAAACGCACGATATGCGTGTACGAAGCCAAACGGGAACAGCATAGATGGGTTGATATGGGTATCGCAAAGGACTTCGCCATCAGGAGAATATTCGGTGAATTCTGCATGGTAGCCCCAGCCCAGCAGTACGTTGCCAGAGTCCAGAACTTGCATCGATCCTTGTTGGGGTGTGCCTCGCGACCCAGGATTCATGTATTCTTGAACCAGCTCGACAGTCATCTTCTCCACGTCCAATTGTACCAACATCCCACGGCTGATCTCGCTGCCTCCTAGCAATTTCTCATGCCATTTCTGGTAGTTGGCATTGTCGAAGATACTGAGTTGATTGTTTGCTTGCACAGAGACGTGGTGTTGCCAGGCAAAATCTGTCGCCCTTCCTCCTGATAAGTCTGAGAAATCATTGTTGCGGCCGCCCAGAGTCCACAAGATTTCCCCCGTGTCGGCGGAGATGCATGCAATGCTGTGCATGAAGCGAGATGAAATGATGTAGTTCTTACTGCTATCCTTGTCAACACTGTTGATGTGGAAGAAATCGAAGGGTGACTCAGGGCTCTTGCCTGCAGAGCCTATGGGATAGAAAGTGTCGTGGATGGCGAAATGATCTGACGCACGCCATTCGAAGACGATGTCACCAGTCTCAATGTCTATCTCGCGAAATAGACTATCATAAATCCAGCCGGAGTCTTGGACTCCAAGAGAGGATAGATCCATCGAGATGGTATCATAGCTCGTGAGTAGAGCTGTATCGTCAGTTGTGATGGTGAATTCGTGAAAATCGTTCTCCAGCGTGCTTGAGGCAGAGAACTGCTTGAACACTTCATAGTTGGAGTTGAGCTGCAAAACAGGTCAATTCAACGTTATCACACGGAAGTGAATGCGCGATCACCAACCATATAATATGTCCCTAGGCCGAAACCAAAATCAATGTCTCCAGACCAGAAAGTAATGTACTGCTCGCCTCGGTACTCTTGGACCTTCAAGTTCATCACGCATGAACCAAAACTTTCGTCCATCCAAATTAGATCCCCATGTTCATCCAACATGATTCCAGCGGGACTCGGGACCATTGATCCGCGAAGGCTCAGTAAAGTGTATCCGTGAGCACATTGCTCATCCCATCGGATAGTATTCATGTGTGGCGGCCGCAAAGGTGATGACTTGAAAGATTGCTGAGGATATCGTCCAAGAAGACCCAAATCGTATATCGTTGAACTCCATGAGCTGTCGGAGATATCCTGACTGCATTCGACATGTAGCAGGAAGAGGGCCAGTACTAGCCAACCCAGCAACCGCCAGCTATCTAGGCCCGAGGATGACTTGAGCAATTGAGGCATCATGAGTTAATTGTTTTGCGTGACGAGAAGGACGAAGAAGACCTTCCACGACTAGACGTGGGAACCGACCCATGAAGACCCTGCTCCTCCATGGGACCAGCCAATACTTTCCTCTACGTATATTGCTGCTCTCGCCCTGGTCTCATTGTCATCAGGACCAAGGCATCGATATTGCCCAGTGACAATCGTCATCTCTACAACATACCTGGAAGAATTCGGAAGGTCACAATGCTTGGCCCGCGGCGAGTGTCTGGGAAATATCGATCTTGATCCTGGAGGTGTGGAGATAACGATTTAATAACAAGGGCATTGGCACCATTTGATGAGTTGTAGGCTATCAAGACCGTCGCTTCTTCGCGTCTGATTGCGTACAACACGATATCGATCTTATCACGCATCATTTAGCAGAGCCGTAGCTGGAACAGGCATACTGATCGTCTAGGGTTGTAGTGTCTCAATCGCGTGTACAATTGCCGGACCAAGGATGACGTGGATTGATGGCTGCCAAGCTAGATCGAATGCCAATAACGCGGCTCTTGTGGTAGGTTTAGCTTAGAGTGGGAGGACATTACTCATGCAATAGACCGCCATGATTGATGGAATGGTTTCTGATTCAACTGCAGCGGTACGAGTAGCAGGACGAAAAAGAGAGTTCGGGAAATTGATGCTGTCTTGCGTAGACCTCCTTGCACAAAGAGTCACGCCAAGCTTTCTCTATGCAGGCTCTATGCAGGCTTCGCTTGCACAACCTCTTGACAGACCGCCATACCACGAAAAAAAATTATTTTGGATCATATTACATGCCCAAAATGATGCTGCCCCCTATCAGAGTTGAACTGATGACCTCGGCATACCATAAATACTAGTGCCGCGCTCTACCAACTGAGCTAAAGGGGCTTGTGTGGCAAATTCACTACAGTCTGGTATAGATCCAGACGAATGTGTTTCACCTGATGCTTGTAATCATAACTTGCTCATTGTCTTGGGGGTAGGGCAACAGGTTATAGAATGCACAACAATTATTAACAATGTGTCGGGAGATAAGAATCAAGGCTGAGTGGTAGACTCTTCAGACCATGATTCTAGTTTTCTCCTTTTTGTTTCGTGCAACATCACAAACTGATTTGGACAGCTTGAAGCTGAATATACTTGCATGTTTTGTATAAAAGTTGCTAAGGCTCGATAGACAACCAATAGTTGTCATGCAAGCCGGGGAATGCAATCAACCTAAGATCTTTGCCAAAAGCCAAAGAACGCCATCATGCGTCCGTGAGTCAATGTCTTACAAGATCAAAGGTCGGCGATGTTGCGTTGCTAGACAACGCCGAAGCCTCCATATAAATTTCATGGCCGAAGACACTGGCTCGATTTGATCAACAATCTGGTTCATCACCACTAGCTTAACATGTGTTTATATGGTCCACATCGTAAATCATTCTGTCGCATGTTGTATCTCGCTGCTTCTAGCCACCTTGATTAGCCTGAAGTTGCTTACAATAGCAGCAGGAGTTGGTGTAGGTGACTCAGCAAAGTCACCTTGTGTGGGGTATGTCCGCCAGCGGTGACCCTTTTGGTCCTCTTGATCCTCCCTATGTCGGCCAGCAAAAGGTCGGATGTCAGCCTATAGGGCTGACGGCCGCGTTTTTGCTAGGCACGAGGAGGCTGAAATTGTCAATTCAAAGGCGTGGAGGATGGATGGCTTGTTCGAAACGTCGCCGACAAGGCGTGAAAAAGTCATTTCGGTGAGTACAGCAGAGTCATCGCTGTTTCTGAATGTGATGTGGTCGATGTAGTATATATAGATCGAGGTATGTTCGTTTTAGTGCTTGACATATTCATCAAGTCAATTTGACCTTGTACCATTTGGTTGTACCTTCAAGAACACTGTTGCCTACATTCAGACTATACCTACCTACCTCTTTGCTCCACAAGATATTGCAAACTCCCAAACCAAATCAACCAACATCATCTATTTCACTCTCCCAAGCGGACAAGAGAATTCAGAAGCATACCTCATCTCACACACCCACAACAATGCCATCCAACCCCTTTTCTCGCCTGACGAGCACCTCCAGCTCATCGGACACAGCCTCGATCAACACAACCTCATCCACCTCATCCTGGACCAAGCTACTACAAAAAAGCACTCCTGTCTCGACATACTCCACTATCAGCACGACTTCAGAATCAACAAGCAAATCAAAGACCAAAGATACTCTGTCGCCAGGCGAGAAGCAAAAGATCAAGCAACAAGATCGTATGAGTATGCAAATTTTGGCTACACATGCTGCTTTGAGGTAGCTGGTACCTCTATATCTTGCCATCGCTTGCTCTGGGCTTTGGATATATGCAAGATGTACTTCTGTCACGTCGCTAGGCGTACCAGGACAAGGGCTGGGAAATGATTTATACACGAAAGTGCTGTGACTTCCTGGAGAATGGCGTTTGGAATCGACCAAAGTCGAAGAAAGATATGACTGCATAATGATAGTGCTTTTTTAGTGTGTTTTCTCTCAATCAAGACACTTTCAGACATATCTCGTTCCAAGCACTAAGAGAAGGCCATGGGTCGTTCGTCTCTCGAAAAATTGAAAGAAAAGTAGATAGGAAGGAGTACATCCAAGCTAGCCATATGCAGCTAAATATGATGGTTCGCTCCTTCCTTCTTGCAGACGATTATCGAGAAGTACGAGAACCGTGAAATAAACCTGTAGCAGGATGTGATGAGTAAAGAAAAGGCTCTTTGCGATTTCGCTCATGTAAAAACATTATCAAAGACTAAAACGACTCCTCAAGCGCCACCTCTTCCCTTTCCCACCACTTTTGTGATATCATGCTGTGTCGTTTCCTTATGCCCCAGACTCATGAAATTGGAAGAAAGAAAAGGAGAAAATGAAAAGTGGTCTACCTACCAATACTTGTCGTCGATCAATTGCTCCTCTCCCTGCGAGCAATGAAGTAGACGATCAAGTTGCGCGCGCTTTCTTGAAGGCCGTTCTTATCCAACATACTCCAGAATTCGCTTTTTGCATCGCCTTGAGATTCGGCGTCTGATGGCCAACTCACGTGCAGTTGTGTGGCCAGCTCGACGGATGACTTGCGCACCTCTGCATCCTTGGAGCGCAAGGAGACGACAGCAAGACGACCAGCGCGTTCGCCCAAGTCTCTCGACAGCGGAGAGGCAGTGATTGTAGTGGATGCAATCAGAGCAGCCAGATTGCGGAGCGCGAGTGCCACTGCCTTGTTCTTGCGCACCATGCTCTCATCGCCGTGTCTTGCCTGGATTGCTGCAACGGCGCCATCGAGCTCTTGCTCCTGTGTATTGTCATCTGTTTCAGACACACAATGCTCGAGCCACTCAATTATCGCCTTCTCGCCCTCGTCCGGGTGGACTCTGGCTACAATGTCGCTGGCTAGTGCTTCAAGATCCTTGACTAACAGTCCTGAACCCTCAACATTCTTACGTGCGTCGAGGGCTCCAGTAAGAGCACGAGGATACCACCGTCCCGAGGCGATCCACTTCCTATAAGGCGGTTGCTGCGCATTGAGCACTGTTCTCATCACACTGGTAGCCTGTCTTCGAAGCTCTTGCGAGTGTCGCACAGCAGGGTTTCCTGCAGCATCCGAAGATTCGACGATGTATTCGAGGAGAACACTGCACAAGTCATCAAAACGTCTGCCTTCACCCACTGAGCCAAAGATCTCGCCAGACTCTGATGATTTTATCAACTCAAGCACCTTCCGGAAGCCATGTGCATCAAGTGTACGTCCTCGGATGCGTTCAATGCCTGACATGAGCAGCTTCCTAGAGCGCAGGGTCTCGGACTTGGTTTGCGGGCTCTGTGGCGGTGAGTCTTCTGTTCTAGGCATCTCCTCACGGTTGGAGCTTTCGGCGGTCGCAACTTGGCTGAATTCATTGACAGGAACTTCCCCCAACACACTGCGAGCATCTTGCGACTGCTGAGTCTTTTGAGCCTCTGACGCTTCTATGCCCTCCATGAACGGGTCTTCATGAATTTGGAAAGCGGCTTCTTCAGCCTGGGGTGAAGCAGACTCGATCTGAGCAGCTGGCGCTAGAGTGGGCAAAGGAGATGTTGCACCACCAGCGGGTTTTGCAGGACTGACTTCACGGTGAGGACTGGGCTGGTGGCTGATCGTGACTGGCGAGTCATTTCTATCAGATGCGCGCCGTGTGTGCTGTGGCTCTGATGGTTGAGTATCTGTTGTAGCATCGACGGTCGACAGATGCGAAGCACGACGCTCGAAGACGGGCACATGTGATCTGTGTACGGTTGGCAACTCCATACTAAAGGTGTCGTCAGCGATCACAGGTATCACACTGTCTACAGATGCCGAGCCATTCAAGGTTGGTCTGCGCAGCGTCGACTGCGGAGAGGTCGGGATATGGCTCCTAGTCGAATTCGGGGAGGTTGGGAGATGGCTCCTAGATGAAGTCGGTACAAAGGAAGCGAATTCGTCTTCTTTTGATGCGGTCGGCTCTTCTGTCTTGCTATCTCTACTCGAGGGTCGAGTCCTGTTGGCAGCCGATCTCGGAGACAGGTAAGACTGACGGAACGGACTCAACGCTGGACTACCCCTATCAGTGCGGGATTTGCTTGCAGATGTGCCAACGGAGGTAGATGCAACTTCTTGTCGGGGACTGGTGACGGGACTCTTGATAGAAGGTGTCTCTGGTCGAGCAAGTCTGCGGCTCGCATAGGGGTCTGCTGTGGCTGGACGAGCGATCTCAGGGCGTCTGACAGGCCGCCTTGCAGCTCCGGACATCAAAGCGTTGGGTCTTGCACTGGTTGAAGTGGACGACGAAGTCGAGGCGGTTGAGGGAACACGAGCAGAAGCAGGCGGTCCAGCAGACGGTTGGCGAGCAGAAAGGTTGTTTGATGACTTTGATCTTACAGTGGCAGGCGAAACAGAGGCCATCGCAGAGTTTGGACGACTCTCAGCCTGAGCCTTCTTGCGCGCTGCCATGATGGCATCTCTGACGGAAGATTTTGATGCTGCACCTGCTCTGCTTGCTGTAGAAGTGCGAAGAGTAGAAGCACTAGAAGTAGACGCATTGGGATTGAGAGAATGTTTCTCGAGGGCAATCTTTGCCTTTGGGTCGAGAGTGTTCATGATAAGCTCGGCTCTGTTAGGCCAGATCTTGGCTAGGGCCCAGTAAGTAGCTCTCATGGCCTCTTTAACCTTGGGCTGCGAATCGTTGAGACCATGTTTCACACACTTTTCGGCGAGCTCGAGGCCTCCGGTGCTCTCGAAATGAGACTTTGCCCCCACTTGTCTGCTGAGGATTGTACGCAGCCAGCCCGAGGCAAAAGTTCTCGGTTGAACGTTCTTGTCCTGACAGGCAATCCAGACATGTTGCATAGTACGAATGTTGTACGAAACGTATTGATAGATAGTGTCGACCGTCTGGTTACCGTTTTGAGCAGCAATATGCTTGGTAGCTGCACACATCTTTACAAATGTCTGCAGGTAGATCTCGACCATTGAATCGAGGGCTGGACCCAGAGTTCTGGCCAATTCTTGGACCAGATAACATGCGTTGGTAGAAGTCGTTGTTCTCAAAGAATTGGCAACTTTGATAATACCGGCTTGCATGTGCTTTATTGAGGACATGAAGAGAGTGTGGTAGTCGGTGGGTGCGTTTCCCTTCAAGAGCCGCCTCATCTTGGTAACGCTCTTGTCGCGATTTCCCCAGTTCTCTTCACTCTCCCTACCTTCGAAATGGGGAACCATGTCACTGAAAGTATCCTCGAGCTCCCTCTGCGAATGAACGAAGATGGGGTCCATTGGAACCTCCTCAGGTGGTGGCGGGCGAGCGGCCTCGCTGTTGATGCTCTCGGCGAGATGGGGATCGATGGCGGGGAGGGAACGAGTGGACTGCGACATGTCTATTGCGGGCGCCGATGCTTTGTCTGAATCGATCTGAGTGAGGATCTGAGATGCGATGCCTGTGCGAACACCATGCAGGTTCAATTGTCTCTTGAGATCGGCTTTTGCGCGGTCTGGCGCATTTCTACAGAACGAGTGTCAGTAAAGCGAGCGTGTCGCGATTCAGTAGCGACATACCGGAAAAGATCAACCAGAGCACTCTTTGCCGAATCGCGAACTGCGCCGTCATGGTCCTCCAGATTTGCGACCATCAAAGGTACGAAACTCTTGAAAGGTAAGGCTTCTTCACGATTCATGCGCACAACCCAGTGCATGGCTGTATCCTTTGCTCGCACGTTCGCGCCGGGGATAACTTCGTCGCGGATGATGTGCTCGACGTCGTGAGCACAAAAGTGCCAGGCGTCAGCAAAGGCTTGTGATGCGGCATTGCGGTGGTTCTCGCGAAGGTCGCCTAGTCTTTCTTGTAGGGCGGGAAAGAGTTTAGGAGCGTGTTGGACAATGGCAGAGCCATCAGGGTCCTGGATCTTCAGGCGCTTAAGAAGATGACCCAGCGTTGTAAATGCAGCAGTGGCGAGGGTGCTCGAGGCTTGTTGAGTCAAGGCGACTCGGAGACATTCAAAGATAATGGGTTGCGCGCTGTCGGGCACTCGGTGGTGCTTGATGTCTGACTTGAGATTGTTCAGCTGGGTAAGTTTCGCGTCCGAGGCAGCAGATGAGCGTTTGAGCGTCAACAGCAGAGTCTGGGCCTGCTGGTCCATGGCGGAGCAAGGCCAAAGTCACGAGAGGGTCGAGTGTCGAGAGTCGGGGTCAGTTGGCGCAAAAGGAGTGTGGAAACAAGTGGAAGCCTTTGGCCAAAAGATGAGCGCTTGACGGGTTCGGGCGTCGCTGTTGTTGTCTCCCCGCTTCGATAAACAACGCACGCCGACAAGCTGAACCTTGTCCTTATGAATCCTCCCTCTGCTTGATTAGCCGCCCTGCGCCCACGCGGCCGGCTTCTCCGTTCGTGTAGAATATTGTCTGTTCTATCCTGCTATTCGAATCTCATTTCTTGTCTCTACAAACATGTATGTCTGCCGCGTGACAACTCGAACAGCATTTCAAAAAATAATGTTGCATCTGACGCAACTTCTGGTCGGTGCCCAGCGGCTCCGGACCTTATCGGCCTTATCACTTCGGCCCAGCTTTTTACTGTTGCTCCAAACACATGCTTGCACATGGCACTCGGACTTGCAACTTCATTCCATGATGGGATATCTAAGTTATTTCAATGCCTCCACACTGCTCGTAACGTTGTCAGATTCGAATAGCATGACATCGACCTCCGCTAAACTCAATCCCACTTCTCTCCTGGTTCTCCGACCATTTATCTCCTAATCCCACCTCATGAACCATTTAGTACAGTCCTAGTGGTTGTTAGCCCCATGCCTAGAAGCAATATAGAAACTCTAAAACGTACCAATTTCTGTCAGTCTCTATAGGAGTAGGGCCTTTCTTATATACGAGTCTATATGGGACCGATTTAGGATGAGTAACCCCCTTAACGCGATCCTTAGTAGTACTAATCATCTTATGCAATCTCTAGTCGTTATTAACCTTATATGAATATTTAACATTATCCTTGCCCTTTAAAGTCCACTTAAGCCACTACAAGTTCTATATTAGAAGCCCCTCCTATTATAACATGTCCTTAAGTTTGTTAAAGCTAAGATAGTTAATTTCCATATTATTTCCTAACTTTAGAGGAAGTCTATCGACCATATTACTAAAGCTAATCGAGAAGACACGATACTTGCCCTTTAATTAAGTAGCGAAGGTAGTGGCAAGATTAGTAGCTAAGTTATTATTATCCGCATTGCTGCTATTCTTAGCGTTAGACATCTCCTCGTTAGATAATTTAAACTTATCTAACTCCTTAAGATCTAAATAAAGCACTAGAACCTCGATCGATCTATTTCTAATAAGTCGGAAGCGTACCTTAGTACTTAGGGTTTATAGCGTCTCCTCGTTAGAAGAGATATCTCCGTGCTTACGCTTAATAATACGGCTAGTTATCTTTATGCCTTTATCCCCTACGTCTATTCTATATACCGAGCCTAGCTTACGAATCTCCGAAATGCTGCGATAGATAAGATACTTAAGTGCCTAAGAGCGATAGAAGAATAGGGTAACACGAAACTATCTATATTCGTTAGTTACTATGTTTACTTATCGTTCGGCCTTAGTAATAGGAGGTTTACTGAAGAGTGTTATATAGGAGCGGATAGGTTTATCGATAGCTATAATATTATAGGCGATGTTTATATAGATAGGGGTAGTAAGGAAGCCTAGGGCATAGTACTAGTAGAGTAGACGCTTACTAGCCTTACATATAACGTTACCTTCGGTATCTTTAAGGTTAATAGGGATAGGGTTAGGACATCTCTTTCTTACTTCGGTTCGGATGTCGCGTATAAGTTTATGTATCTACTTTAGCGTAAAGAAAAGGAGTGCCGCTGCCTACTCGTTAGCTAGTCGACTACTAGAGACGTAGATTACGTCTACACCTTCTTTAGATAGAGTAGCGTAGCCGTATCGCTTATTAGAGTCCTACTTATTAAGGGGGAAGCCGTCTAGGCCATTCTTAAGGTCGTCGATCTAATCTCCCTCCTTTTACTTCGGCATTATTACGTAGGAAGGGTATATGTAAAGAGGAGTAAATAAGTTAACTATAAGAGGAATAGTAACTCGGCGTAGGTAGTATAGTAAGACTTTAATTATAGTAAGTAAGGATTACTTCAAATAAGATTATATAAAAGAGATGGTTAAGACGTATCCGGTAGTAGATGCTTTTTATTTTAAGAGTGATATATAAAAACAATCTTTATTTCATTATATAGAACTAATGTAGCTTAGAGTTAGGTGTGTTCACTTTATTCGGTTTCCAGATGCGGAAAATAGTCGTCTTACTTTGTTTATTAATAAACTAAAAAGTAACTACACCCGGATATTTTCTATGAATAATAAACGACGCCTATATTCCTACTTAATTACCTACTTTACATCTAGGATACTATAGCAAGCATAACTAAAAAGGACTCTAGATAAAAGCGTAACATAGATACCGACGGCGTAGAGATAGGGCTAAAAAGAACTAAACTTAATGCCGATCTAGCATCTACCCCCTAGTAAGATCTAGTAGAGCCTTCTACTCTATAAGAGGCTATTATATCTAGAACATATGCCTACTCTAAGCCTTAGCCTAGATTCGAATTCTCCTCCTAGCTAATCCTCGAGCGCATTCTACTAACTATATCGTAACCTAGTACGATGGCTATAACCCTTCGCTCTTAGTGCATTACTTCTATCGCGCCTTATTATAACGTCTCGTTTAAAGAGCTTAGATTAGCGGACTATGTAGCTAGTCTTACGTCTAGCCTATCTAGGCCTATTATTTCTATATAGCCTATAGACATCGATACTGTCTTTATGCCGTTTTAACCTATTATTAAAGACGTTAGTTACCTCGATATAAATTATCTTTAATCGATTACTAGTATGCATATATACGATGCCTTCTCTTTTAAGGAATTAAGATTAGTAGACTACATAGCTAGTTATAGACCTAGCGTAGTAGTAACTACACCTTTTAACATAATAAGCGATCTTAAGTCACTTATTAGACAGATTTAGAATCTACCTAAGAATGGAGACTAGCCTCTATATAAGCCGTAAGGGGGTAGCGACTTAGATGGTAACACCTAGCACGAATCCTAGGAGTAGCAAATAGAGATATATAGAGACGTAGAACTAGATACTACTAAGTAAGGAGGATAAGAAAGTGTTAAGATCCTTTACGATGACTCTAACGGCGATAAATAAATAGATAAAGATGCATATTATAAGGAACTAGAAGAGTCACTCTATCTACCTAAGACTAGTTAGACTATCTATAGCGACGGAGATAGCAAGAGTAAGGGGATAACTCTAGCGTATCGTTCTTTCTCCCCTATAACTAGATACGTTCTTCTACTAATTAATAATAGCCTTAAGATCGATAAATATGATGATATTAATAGAGTCTTCTTCTTTACTACTAACATTAACCTAGACTTTATAGACGACGCCGAGGTAAATAAATATCTAGAAAGCATTAACGAGGAATAGGATACTATAATAATCGCCGAGAAATAGTCCTTTATAAGAATAACATACTTTATCTTACCTATAATAACCTATGCTTAGAGATAAGTTACTAGTTAGAGTTATCTTAACGCTAATAGTAGATTATGCCTCTAGATTATATAGCACTCGCTACTTACCTACTTAAAGAGTATACGAGCTAACTACCTCCTCGGCTACTACTACTATAATAGATTTAAGATATACTTTAATCTCTCGATAGGCAAGTTCGATATCTCGGCCCTCTTAAACGCGGTAGACCTACTACCTATTAATCTACTAAAAGCACTATTTGCTCGCCTTATCCTATGTAATCCCTTATTCGAAGGTATAAGCATCGAGGACGAAGATGATAATGCTACCCTAAGACTCGAAGTTAAAGTATATAGCTTTAGTGTCGGCATAACACTAGCGAGCTTTATATACTAGATATCCCTCTTCTTTAATAGACCTCTTACCCTTAATAAGTTTTACAATATAACTCCTTAGAAGGAGACCGGTATTAGACTAGATAAAGATAAGTGCAATACTACGAACTAGAGATTTATCGACTAAGCTTTCGAAATGGGCGAAGATGGTAGGCATATAGAGACGCTCTTATGTAGTCTTTAGGAGATGGTAATTAATGAGTCGTTTAAGGAACACGTAGACGACTAGAGTTTAGGGGCTTATATGCTTACTTAGTTAACTAATTATATTACGGATGATGATAAGCTTTAAGCTATGTCGTTTTACCTAAGAAAACTACATATTATAAAGGCTCGTCTTATAGCAATTACTTATAGTTATATTACTCATACTAGAATAAAGGAATTAGTAGTCTAATAGATAGGGGAAAATAAGGAGAATGTATTAGCTCTAAATGAATAACAACTAGAAAAGTTAATAGCACTAAAGGCAAATTAATTAACTACTATAATAATGCAAACTAGCTAATTAGCGTTTGATACGATATACGCTAGCTTTAGTCGCGCTTCTATTTATATGGCAGTTATAGTAAAGGTGTTTATTAAGTAATTCCTTCTACTAGCTAAGCCTAGGGTTTAAATGTCCGCTATTATATTATAAGACCTAGTCTACGTCGAAAAACCTAAAGGCCTAATTCTCGATGTAATAGGGGTAAACTATACGCATTTTCTTAGAACATTAACTATTTCTTTCTTCCTTAGAAATGCAGATTATAAAGTCGAGTTAACCATACTATAATACATAGCGTTATAGGAACTTACTAAACTAGTCCTAGTTGCTAGAGAATGCATTAATTCCTATAAACATAAGGATAGGTCGTCGACTATGCATCTTCGTATAGAGAATTTAATTAGTAATGTTTGTTATTACTATAGCTGTCGTACGCGTTAGCGGTTTAAAGGCCTTAAACCGACTATATGTCATTCTAGTATAGAGCATCTTATGCTATCGAACCATTTGCGCCTTAGTTAGAGAGTTAGTAGTAAAGGACGGCATTAAACGCGACTTATAGCGCTATGTAGATATAACTATAAAAGATACGATGTCTGCCTATCTATACATTTAGAGGGCGGCTACTATAGAATGTGCAATCCGAGTAATCTTTTTAGCGTAGCTTATATAGAACTCTTAC